GGGGGGGGGGGGGGGGGGGGGGGGGGGGGGGGGGGGGGGGGGGGGGGGGGGGGGGGGGGGGGGGGGGGGGGGGGGGCAGAGTTGTCGGCGGCCAGGTGGGGGAGCGAAGATGGGATTCCTCTGTAGACATAATCCATTGTCAGTTCTGCTCTTGTCATATTAACTCGGATTGACAGTCTTACGTGTTTGCCATGGTGATTGTGACACTGGAGGGATGGGTGAGAGGTGAGAAGAAGAGAGGAAAAGAGAAAGAGAAGAAAGGAGGGAAAGGGAAGAAAGCGAAGGAGGGAATACACGCGTCGAGTTGGATGGGTCAACTGGTGTGCACCGGCGTCTTGTGACTTCTACATTTGATGCGCGCAAGCTACTGTTGTCACCTCAGTCCCCTCTTTTTCATGTTCGCCATTGATGATATTACTATGTATGATCGTGATGGCAATTGGTCTGAGGTATTCGGAGTGAAACTCATTCATCCATGGTTCAAACAATACGGACATAAAATCAAAACAAACCGTTCAGCTCTTTGATCCTTGATCTTCTGGGTACATCAAGCTTTGGCGGCGAGTAGAGTGGTTAATTCAATAGACAATGAAGATTCGGCTATTCGAACATATAACATTGATCAATATAGACTAGCCTGGCCAGGATCATATTACAATATGTATTTGACGTGTGACTTTGATGATTCATGATGTTGTGGTACAAACAATTGCAAATGCCATAAAAGAGGCCATATCGTTGGCTCAACATCTCGAATAGGTTTGTAATTACTGCCTGGGAGAAAGGAGAAGGCAAAGGGCAGCTCTTCAAACATAATGGCCGTTTTGTAAATTTCCCACATATTGTGACACAGAATACTTTACGGGGGCATAGGAAGCCTGTCAAATTTGTAGACTCACAACCAAGCACTGACATTTCGCAGGATCATATCGAACCCCTTTCAACCCACGTCGTCATGTCAGCTTCTGCCATACCCAGCAGAAATCTCAGCACCTAGATTCCCCCATAGTTTGTTGCGCCGATATGAGCGATGACCAGTACACTCCAGATCAAGAGCATTCCACCCATATATTTAGCAATTGGCAATCTACTTGACTATTAGAACGTCCACCTCAGACTTGGTGTAATTAGAATGGACACACGGAGTACCTAGGCACTAAGGATATTAAGAATAAAAAACAAAAACGGCAGCGGTGACAACAGACCCACCAGCAGCAAAAGCAAGAAGCGTTATTCAAACCAAATCACCATCCGCAAAGCAGATGCCAATGAACCAAATGAACGAAACGATACCCCTACTACTTGGATGTCCTCCCCCTCCACTCTTCCGATCCTAGGGCCTGTTGCCTCCCGCGAGATAGATCCCTCCAAGATGTCCACGCTTCGCCAATTTGGCGGGACTCTGTCAGCAAGATCTCCGACTTGGAGACCTGTCCAAAAGCGCACTATCGTGTCCCATTCATCCCCTCTTAGAGTGTATCTCAAGAGGTTCTCGGGGTCTTCAAATACCAATAGCGCGGAGCCGGGAATGCAATAAGTCATTGCCGCCTCCAGTGACGGTGAAGTATAAAACCCTGGGCCAAACTCATTGTCGGCGTATGCCGATGAGTGCACAGGGCAAAAGAGAGCCATGATGTCCTAATGAGTGTCTCATCTGCCGTCTCTGTGTCTTTCGTATTTTCAGGAGGGGGATCCTCCCTGTCTGTCCAAACTTCTATATCAACCCTGAAAATGGGTCCTGTATTCACGTCACCAGGATGCCTGGTCGGGTGGGCGGGCTTGCGGACCGATTTCCGTAATATCATGTCAATGAGTAGGCTACCGAATTTCGGTTACCCATTATCACAGTTCTCATGACCGCGACACCACGGTGGCTGATAACTCCCTGGTATTTGAAAAAGAGTGGATGAGCCCGACACTGGTTGTACCAGCTCCCACAGTCGAGGACCGTAAGTACCTTCATTCCCTGACAAAGTTCCTTGATGTCATCGAGGGTGGTTGACGGGTAAATGTCTGGTTGTAGGATTGCGTTCAATCCGCGGCTGTCGATGACCGCACGTGGGATCTCCTCAGTGGAACCGTCGTCACGGGTGACTTTTTTCCAAACGACGAAGACTGGGTTGGCGACTGGGGTGTGGTCTGTCGCCCAATGATCTTGCCCTGCGCATGGAGCTTGTCATGCAATTCGTCAATGGCTTGTCGGTCCCTCGGTCCGGCCATATAAAGTTTTAATTTCAGCAACTGGACTAATGTATGGATTAGATGAGCATAACTCGCTCACTCCAGCCTCCAATGTAAGGGAGGGGGAAGACCGCTAGTACCCAGAGGGCTCGGGCAAAACGAGAATCCATGAACACGAGCAGAGCCAGACGATTCCTGACATTTGGTCAGGGAGAGAAGGACTAGGAAAGGAAAACAAAGCGGCTGTGCTTGGGCATTCGCCCGTGTCCACAGGAACGTCCTTTCCTTACATCGCGTAGGTTTCAGCGGGAAAGCATTCCGGGTCTGGAATATCTGGATGTCGATGATTACTCAGGTCTTCAGAGTGGAGCATTCCGCAATTGTTTGCAGTTAGGAAGTAATGGAAGACCCTAGGCCAAGGGCGGAGCTGAGGCTAGCTGAAGACGACTGGGTTACCGCTTGGAGACGAGCCACTTGCTAGCGCCCACGGCCCCTTGAGTGGCTCTTCCACTTAAGAGGGATCCCCGCTCTTAGTGGCCCGTCGTGTCGAAGTGAAAAAAAAGTGTACAGCACTACATGCGCCATGGTCCCCACTTACCCCATGGCCCGGACTCTTGCGCGCTGAGGCTGTGCGATACACTCCATACTCTGTATGATAAATAAAGTCCTGAAAGTGAAGATAGGTAAATTTGTGTGAATTAGAGTACCTCAAGGCATTTTACTCCCTCGAGCTAGGGAACTAAAATGATATAATGATATTTGCTAAAAGGAGAGAGGGGATGAGCACGAGTGACGAGAGGACCTCCGTCTCACAAAACGAAGGTGAAACAGTCATTATAGTATACGGCGACCCCGAATGGTGTGGAACTATACCCCGAAAGGCACGAGGAGCTTAATCGCTCAAGGCTGTTACCGACTTTCGACTGTCAAAGCCCTCGCTAGTGCTAAAAGACGTGTTCGAGGCTGAGACTTACATGTATCTGGATATGTTGATCTATTACCCAATGCGGGTTAGATTTGGGGCCAAGCTATGACAAGGCTGTGAGGCGCTAGTCTCTCTTCGGTAACTGCGATGTACAGCCAATGAGAGGAAGGAAATGATGTCGATCATTTGAACGGAACAGTGCCGGAAGGTAGATGTACTCTTTATTTGGATTGGCCTCAATCCATTTATATGAAGTGCCGAAAGATCATCGCACTCGAGTACTTATAAAAGGCCAGACGAGCACGACAGATGCTTTTCCATTCACCTCAACTTGATCCTTCAAGCATTACCAAAAATGAAGTTGCTTTCTTCAACTTCTATGTCGGCCGTGGTAGCCACCGCGCTGGCTTCGCCTTCGGTGACCATTGATGCGGGCAACATCCAAGGTGGAATGTGCAGCGGAGGGCAAGGTGTGGCCTACTACAAGGGCATTCCATTCGCGGAACCGCCTGTCGGGGACCTGCGGTTCCAACCTCCCCAAGCCTACAACAAGAAGTACACAAATGGAGTGCTCAACTCAACTGGATCAGCTCCAACTTGTATCCAATTTGGAACTCAAACCGTGCCCGATGGACCGAAATCCGAAGATTGGTACGTCAAACACATAGCCTGACAATCAGCCCTTATTTTAATGCATGGATTATCTCCGCAGTCTTTACTTGAATGTTTGGGCCCCATCCGATGCCACCAAAGACTCACAATTGCCCGTCAAGGTTTTTGTTTTCGGTGGATCTGACACTGAAGGTGGCATTGAGTACCCTCTGTATGACGGCTGTAACTTGGCCGAGAAGGACACAGTTGTCGTATCACTGAACTACAGACTGGGGCCTCTCGGCTTTTTGGCCCTTGACAGTGCTGGAATTCACGGTAACCAGGGAATTCAAGATCTTATTGTTGGATTTGAATGGGTCCAGAAGAGCATCTCTGCCTTTGGCGGCGACCCCGTACGTGGAAATAATATTGATCGCGAAGGGCTGAACTGACGATGAATTTTCAACACAGAAAAAGGTTCTCGCTTTCGGACAGTCAGCTGGTGCAACAGACGTTTACACTATCGCGACTCTTCCTCGGGCACCATCTCTCTTCAAGAGTGCCATCGTGGAATCGATTGCCCTTCCCCAATTGACAAACAAATCGGTTGCCCAAAAGCTCGGTGTCTCAATTGCCAAACAGCTTAAATGCGGTGTCAAGGATGTGAGTTGATTATTATTCGTCAACAATCGACTGGACTGACCTGATCATAGAAATCATGTCTTCAATCGGTATCCTCGGCCGATCTTCAGAAGGCATTCTATTCTAACACATATATGAACTCGGGGGTCGGGGGACTCGAGGGAATTGGTAATTCCAACAGCCAGACGCCGGAATTCTGGCCAATCGTGGACGGCAAAGTTATCAAAGAAAATCCTCTGACTCGCGGAGCACAAGTTCCTACAGTCTTCGGTTTCAGTATGCGCACCTTAATTATTTCCGTTCATTGATTGAAAGCTAACACGTCGGAACTTCAAGACCAACTGGAGGGCGCTTTGGATGCTATCGGAAAATGGCCATCACCTAAGCTCATTGCGAACCTCACGGCAGCCGATTACAAGAACTTCCTCCGCGGAGACTGGGGCGCTGCAGCTTCCACGATCGAGAAATACTACCCATTCTCTGAATTTGAATCCGCTGTCAAGAAACTCGGACTGTCGGCCGGGTCTGCTGTTTTTGAGGCTGTTGCACGAGTTCTTACAGACGCACATTTCAAATGCCCTACATACGAGAGTGCTGTCGCATCCGCACGTAACGGCCACCCTGTCTGGGCCTATGAATTCACTCACAACTCCACCTGTGCGTGGTTGGACACTCTCACTGCTCTCGGAGACGATGTATCATTCATTGGCGCCGCCCATACGGCTGAGCTTCCATTCGTTTTTGGCAATATGAACTTCACATATCCCAGCAAGAACTATACCTGCAACAGCTCGCAAGCTGAGCAGACTATGAGCAAGGAGATGATCGGCTTATGGACTGCGATGGCGGATGAAGGCAAGCCCTCGACTGATACTATTCAATGGCCGGAGTTCAAGATCACAACATCGGGCGCGAATACCCCGGGAATGATCTTCGGTAACTCGAGTACCGCTGGCCCAATTGATTTTTCCGTCTGCAAGCTTTGGGCTCAAATCACTGCCAAGCTGGATGGAAGCAATACCACCGTCGCGGCATTGTCGCCTTCTAGCAGCAGTTCAAAGCATGCGGCATCACCAACTAGTGCTTTTTCTAGTGGCGAAAAAGCTGCTCCCGCTTCAATGAGCCTGTTGATCTATTTGGGTACCCTCACGATGGGAGCGACTATGCTGTTGTGAAATGATTGTGAATGATTTTTATATGGCTCAAATTAATAGATATATGATACATCGTCCGGCACAAGAGGCATCGACCTGATTCACCATATCTAGTAGCATCCCACAGGGCATGTGAACACGCTAAGCCTGAGTGATCTTACATGCAACATTTTAAAAAAAGTCTATAAGCAAGATTCCTTATACAATCCAACAAATATCTATTGTTTACGAAGCTTTCACATCCCGATCTTAACTAAGCAACCAAAGCCACCTGAGCATATGGTGGCTCATCCGCTCTCTTGGGAGGCCACCACATGTGCAGAGGCTTTCCTAGGCGATTGTCCGCTTATACTTCCGGGATCCACACCAAACCTCAGGTTGATCGATCAATTATTGACATTGATATTTCCTTTCAGCACTAATCGCGGTACATACGACCACAGGGTGTGGAAAACAGGGCTTCCCGTCCGCTCAGCCGTACTTAAGCCACACGCCGGTGAGTTAGTAGTTGGGTGGGTGACCACCAGCGAATCCTCACTGTTGTATGTTTAGTTTTTTTTATTGTGACACTCTTTTGTCACGAAAGGGTTGCCTGTTCGATCCAATTGAGGAGAGGTAATACCACAGATCTAGGCCAAATGTAATTGGATCCAAAAATCGTAGAATGGGATTGTTCCGGTCTGCTTGCTTTGTGATCTTCACCAGCCTTATGTATATCATGCGAATACCAACGTCAATGATAATGGCTCTCACCTAACGGTTCGAAAACAGTGCGTACATGAGTTTTCCACATCTCAGGACAAAACTTAGCTGATGCTGTGAGTAATAATATATTTCTTATAACCTTTAAAAATCATTCAGTAGATCCAGTATCTCTTAATTCATTGAGACCCAGTTAACAAGCATCAGTCAACAGCCTCACCACCTCTCCATAATCCTCCTCGACAGCGCACGATAACGCTGTCCGGCCTTCCAAATCCTGCATCCCCACACGGAACTTCCCAGTTTCGATCAGGAGTTTCACCACACCTTCATGTCCCTGCTGAGCGGCCCAAGATAACGGTGTCCGGCCTTCCAAGTCCTGCATGTCAAGATGGACAGTCCCGGTTTCAATTAAGAGTTTCACCACGCCTTCATGTCCAAGCTGGGCAGCACATGATAACGGTGTCCGGCCTTCCGAGTCTTGCAGATTAGAGTCCACCGCCGCACTGCGTAGCAACCTTCGGACTACTGCTTCGTGGCCGAGCGCCGCAGCCTTCAGCAAGGGTGTTCGGCCCTCTGAGTCCTCTGAATTCAGGTTCACTTTCCCAGTCTCAATGAGACATTTCACCACTGCTTCATGGCCCCGTTCAGCGGCCAGAGAAAGTGGTGTTCTTCCTTTGAATTCCGCCAAGTCCACACTCCCCTCGTGAGTCTCAATGAGGTATTTCACTACATCATTATGGCCCTCTGCGGCGGCCAAGCAGAGTGGTGGTGTCCGGTACTCGAAATCCTCCAAATCAACGTCCGCCCTCCCTATCTCGATTAAACATTTCACCACTGCTTGATGACCCTTCCAAGAAGCCAGACAAAGTGGCGTGTAACTCATATCGTCTTTCGAATCAACATCAACTTTTGCGGATTCGATCAAATATTTCACCGCTGCTTCATGGCCAAACATTGCAGCGTAGGATAATGGCGTCCGACCATCTCGATCTTTTGAGTTCACATCGGCATTTCCGAACTCAACCAACAGCTTCAGGATATTCTCATTGCCAAGCATTGCAGCATATGATAATGAAGCCCGTTCATCTAGATCCTTCGAGTCCACGTATGCCTCTCCGGTCTCAAGTAACCGCTGCACTATTGCCTCGTGGCCATATGCGGTAGCCCAATATAAGGGCGTGGAGCCCCTGCAGTCCTTGGAGTTTATCCCAGCCTGCTTTGTCGCAAGCAGCATTTCCACCATTGACTTAAATCCGCCCTTCGAGGCCAAGGACAAGAGCCCGCGACCCAAAGAATCCGATATCCCAATATCAGCCCCTTCTGCCATTGCCATTCGAGCCGTGGCTTCGTTCCCTTGATTAATCGCCCACAACAGTGCAGAACTGGAGTCTCCAGCGTTGCGTTGGTAAAGACATGGGTTGAGAACTTTGTACAGTCGTCTGCATACTTGGCACAATGAGTTGATGTCGCTTTCATTCTGCATAAAGCTTGATAGCAGCAAGATCAATTCGGAGGGCAGGGCAAGAGTACCCATTTTGCATTTGAGGCTTTTTCGGAATAAAACTCTTTATTCTTGGACAAGAAGAGTTTTTTAAGACGCTCATTCTTGGCGGTCTAAATTGGCTCCTTCAGGGCTCCAGGGCTCCAGGGCTGTTCATATCATATCACGTGAGTGCCAAGGTCGAATGGATGTGAAACCTGGACATTCAGAGTTGGGAGATTGTCGACGCCGAAACTTAATTTGAGACATTTTCGGTTGCTCCTTTTGTGTAAATAGTTCTGCTGCTGATATATGACTGGCAGAATCGTATCAAAAGCTCGAACAGTGTAGGTTTGAAAGCTCAATAGCACACAGGAAGCTTCTAGAAACATATGATGAGCTCCAAGGGGCCCACTAGGTATGATCGATAATTTGTATTTGACTTTGAAGCTATTCGAGAAGAGTTAGAAACAGAAAAGCATTCATTTTATACCCTCGGGCAAGAAAAGAAAGCCTTACCTAGTACCATCATTCATGTTCACACCATATTGGATGAGTGGATCACTATGGTGTAACTCCAGGGCTGCTTTAGGTTCCAGCTCCCAGAATCTTGATTACGGACGATCCCGGTTGTATTCATGTTCATATTCTCAACGTCCCACGGCTATTCATCAACGCGAGAAATCCGCCATGGCCGAACGTCTCTTGAAAAAAGAAGGTCTTCCTGTTGGCACACCAAGATATCGGTATCATGGTAAAATGCAACTTCTTAACACTCTTGACGATGTCTCTCACCAGCACCATTCATACATTATCCTCGATGGGGTGGACGGTCGCACCTGCCATAGGCATTTTCAGGAAGGGCGACTAGGCAATCTCTTGAAGTCATGCCTTATCCCCTACAGAATTATTGTCTTGAACCTCAAAATGGAATTACCTGTACACGCAACTGCGCAGGCCCAATTCCTGTTTCTGGTCCACGATTGGTCCAAAAACCAGACTGAACTTTTGAACGAAAGCACAGGTAGTGTGGTTCAACACAGCCCGCGTGGTAAAAGGCCAGATGGCGCTTGGAAGCCGGCTGATGTGGAAGCCAACATGCCATCTGTTGTTGTGGAAATTGGCTGGACAGAGGGGCCAACCAAGCTGCGTAAGGATATTGAGTTCTGGCTGGAAGGAGAAACGCGAGCTGCTATTTCCCTCAACATCACTAAAACCGGTCGGATGACGCTTGAGGCATGGAGGAGGAATGAGAATGGTCTGGTCGAATCACACCAAAGGCTCTATAAAAATGCGCGCGGCTCTGTGACCGGGGATTTTACCATCCCGTTCCAAGCATTTTACCTCCGAGAAAGACGTGAGATGGAAACTGACTTTCACATCACCCACGAGGCGTTCTCAAATATGGCGACAAAGGTTCAACTGGAAATCAAGTTTGATCAAGCCAGGAAAGCCACCGCAAGAGCCGCCCCCACAAGAGCTGCCGCCGCAAGAGCCGACACTGCCAACCCAGACCCTACATCGGGGTAACTCCGTGGATCTTCTATCTCTGGGGCCTCGGTGCAGAAGACTCACGTCAATATTAAAGTCTCTGATCTGGAAAGAAACAGAGCTCTTTTGAGATAGTCTCGGGCTGAGCACCTGTCCCACGCGCAAGCCGGTATTCCCTTTTTGCACGCACTCCTAGAACCGACCAACTTCCATTTCAGTACCCAATGCAAGATCCGCGGTTCATTGAATCATCAAAGACTCGTTCGGGCAATAGAAAAGGTTCTAGGCCATCATGAATTTGATCACAAGGGACTTTCCGTTGTTTCTGTCACCCTGGAGGTCAAGTAGCATATTCCTAGCAACGCGGAATTGAATCGATTTGTCCATATTGAATCGTCAAAGTCTCAGGCCGAGCATGACATGTCTCTGGCTTTTGATTAGCTTTCTCGCTGAGGCTTTTAGAAAATGTCAACCGAACATCCATGATTGGGACATCCAGTTGTAATCCATCGTCATTGTGCGTTGATTGGAGAGCGAGCCCCAGCCGACAATGCCATGAACTCGATTGTCCGATATTAGCTCCTGATCCGCAATGTCCCGACTTTTTTGGAAGCTCAAGGCATCTTTCAATTCAAAGACGGTGTCGGAGTGGCATCCGAAATCGCAGGGAAGATGCCGACCACAGGCAGACCGGTCCAATTTCATCATCATAGTAGCACTGTGAGTGTGCCTTTTGATAAATTTGCCAAGCGGTTGCAGGAGATGCACGGGGGCGAAACCGAGGCAGTTGACCCATCGCACTGGCCTGGTGCTTCCGCAAAGGCTGTGGTTATTCATTTGAAGGCAAACATGGAGAGTGGTCAAACCCTGCTACTCCCCTACTTGGGCGCGGAATAAATGCTGGCGCAAGGGGTTGAAATAGTTTGGAGGGGTACCACTCGTATTATATTCTGTTGATATCCGGTCCCAACGGTGGGTATGCGTTGAAGGGACTTCGAAGGTTGCAAGGTTGAGCCGACAGCCTATTGTGGGCCCCAGTATTGGCGGGTAGGCCCGGGGTTCGGTCCCACTTCGAGGGGTTGCAGAAGTCCAGATTTACTCAAAGTCCATCGCATTTTCTTTTTAGTGTTCTCTCCCGAGGTCAATCTTGACGAGTCCTGAAGGCCAGGTCCCCTGAGGTGGGCGCGTAGTCTTCCATGTCGTCTATGGAGAGACCGGGGAAACTGTAGGAGAGAGTGAGTGAAAGAGGAGAGAGCGAGTTATCTGCCAAGAGACCTCGGGATCAGACAACGTCACCTGACCGGGTGTTTGTTCACAGCCCAGGGGCTTGCTACTCCGTGCTGGTACCTACAAGATCTGCGTGGTACTTCTTTGAGTCCTAGGCGGTGTTTTGGGAGAGATAGGCCATACAGAGATTCAATGGACTGACCAAGGGGAAAATAGAAAGCTAGCTATGGAGTGGGAGCTAATATTCACTCAGCAAACTATAGTACCAGATACGGGTTGCCGAGTTCCACCCCATATGTACACATATAGAAGTGTGATAAGAGGCTTTGACTTGGTAAAAACTTGCTTTAGGAATAGCGATCAAGTCGACGGAGTGCACGCCACTAACTTTGAGACTGGATGGTGACATACCAGACCACAATAAAAAACAGAGCGGCTGCCAGAGGCTTCCCAAATGCCATACCTATATTACATCAACCACCGACTTCGCCTTTCCACATTATGACAGCAACAAAGATGAGATATGACCAAGAGCATTTTCATAAAATTGATACACGTAGTTTCGAAACTAATCAATCAACTAGCGTCTCACCTTCATCTCAAATCCCCATTTCTATCTCACTGTGTATCACGATAGTCGCGACAAAATGAGGCAATGGCAATACTTGAGTTTTCTTTCCTACACCGAGTTGGGAGCGGCGTTCAAGATGTATGGGGATGATGTCTTCCTGACAAGCATACCTACTTGAGTCACTCAGGCCGGGCCAGGGTTGCAGGAGATCACCTGACTGTGCAAGCTTTCCACTTTTCCACTTTTCCACTTTCCACTTTTCTCTCCTTCTCCTTTCTCTCTCTGAAGAGTCAAATGCTCAATCAAGATATACTCCCCTGAAAGAGCAACAGCCCGAAATAGATGTTTCCAAACGTTGGCTGAGTGCGTGGAAACAACAGGATCTGCAATACCATGGAATCAGACTGATCGACGGTGGGTTTCATCATTTGACACGTCCCCACCCGTCTAGTATCACTTAGAAGATTAAACACAGCACACGATATCTACATATCTCCCAAAGCTGGCACCCTCGTTGCCGTTATTTGATTGGTGTCTGCGTCACTGGGGGTGCCGGAACGCTCGAATCAACTGACCAAGCCAAACTAACTACTCTAATATTTACTTGCGCAGCAACAGAGACAAGAGCAGTCAGAAGTTCTAATGTTGAGGCCGATAGTTGTGCTGGCATGAAAAACATGCGACATGAATCATGGGGCCCCGATCGTTACATCTTGCAGTCTTCACCCGTGGACACCCTCTCTCACCTTATTCCCCATGTCAACATGTGGAGAACCCGATCCACAACCATTCGTTAAACTCCCGCGGTAAATCTACAAATACTCTAATGATGAATCTCCCCTTGATTCAAATGGAATCTCCCTTGTCTTCCCCTCTCGGCATCCCTCTGGTTGTCTCTAATCGGACGCGCGACCGAGCGGCCTAAGCTTGCACCGGTACCTTTTCCGCCTTGCTCTCATGTCGAGGTATTCCATCTTATGGTCAAGGGTTGCCATCTCTTGTTCCGATGATGAGCCGTGCAATGTGCCCTGAGGAGCAATGTGACCCTGCTCCAAAAAACCAGGAAGTCAGCCGAAGCTGAGCATCAAACTCTTGTGTTGTCATCACTGGCCCAAGCCTCAGATCGTAACAAGGAAATCACTTGCCTCGATGATGAACCGCGCAGTGCACCCTGAGGGACAATGTGATCCTGTTCAGCCCCGAAAGCAAGTTGGCGAATAGGTATATCATTCGGATAAAATATTCAGATGGAACTACCACTCGAATAGATCAAGTGATCACTCTCACCTCAACAGTCCTCTCGAGAATTGGTAAAAGGTAAGTTAATACACAGGACGCAGCGTTTGATGAAAAGCACAGGTGCCATCCGGAGGAAACTGCCTGCGAAAGAAGCAGCAATCTTACCCGCTGGCTCGGATTTGGGAAGCTACCCTGGAGCAATTACGCCATTAAACATATCCGCTGTTGTTCAAATATATACATATTCGACAACAACCTACTTAGATACAAGTTGGAGCGTATCAAAATGTTCCAAGCACCACTGATGTGGAAGGTATGCAAGGTTGCTTCTCCGGAGAAAGCAGTACTCTTTGCGGAAACCACAGAACATGCAGAATTATGCTTACCGTTGAACTCTAGACGAAGAGGGGTCCAAGACTGTCAAGCTTACACTTAAAAAAAATTCTATAGGACTCAGGCGTAAACCACCCTCCAGGGCTTTATTCAATTTTGTCCTGTGATCTTGTTACTTGAATGGTCTGTTTCGGTACGTTTCACCACTTACTTCTATCCTTCCAATCATCAAATTTGGGTCCTTTCATCATCATAAACTAGTATATTCGCCGTGAGGGAAGTGTGGGGGATCTTCTTGGGGCTCAAGGACCCAAGGAGAACAGCGTCCAGTTCTTAATTCGGACCTCAAGCCTGCTAGGCTAGAAGCTCTCTATGGAAGACTAGCCAAAATCGTCCTCTGCCTGTGTACAGTCTTTTTGAACCGGATTGAATCTCTTGACAAAAACGACCATTCTACGTTGGAAGTATTACACCGACCTCTATCATATCCAATAGATGGAAGGGAGAGGGAGGGAATGTATGCTGAATTGCTTGCGAAGAGGACCTTTTGAGTACCCCTAAGAACTGTGGAGAGGGTAAACACTATCGTGAATCGAGATATATTGACTGCGACACATTTGCAAATACCAATAGGATCCTCCGTGGACTCCGTACGGAGTAAAGAGCGATACAAAATGTCTGGAATTCCCCTTAGGGTCAGGTGAAAGGTGATCATTTTCACATGCGGTCTTTCAGAGCTCTTTGTTCACGCTCTCACATCCATGCCAGTCCAAAATGTCACGGTTAAGAAAGGCCCAAAAATACACGTTCCAGGAGGTGTGCACCTTTTTGGTTGAATGGTTAAAAACGGTGTTTTTTGTGGTCACACAAAATTCTGGCCAATCAAGCGTCTGTCAAAATTTGCATTGTCGACTGAGACACTGAGTTGGTGTACTGAAATCGCTAAGGGAATTCTCGAGCCTCGCTTGCGAGCTGGAGATGATTTCCGTCGTTGTGCTCCTCATGATTGGACAGATCATATCTCTTATTCCGAGCCCACGAACCGAAGATCGCGATCCGATCGAAATAAGCACTAACTCCTTCAGGAGACAGCCGAACGACAATCACCACCAAAAATGAGTTCTTCTCCCGTTTTGACTAGTGGTTTGGTAATGCCTCTGTTTCCCAGGCTGCTCAAGGGGCGAAAATGAGTGTTTCGCGCGTTTCTCCCTGTCTCAGAAACCATACGAGATCTGCCACAAATCACTAGTGTGAGGTGTGGCGCCCAAAGCTGAGCTTTGACGGAATATAATAGGGGAAATCGTGCCCATCTGCAGAACATCCTTCATTCTGTCAGGAAACCTCAATGATGTGGTTCAGTACAGTCAAGTCTCTCGCGATCGTGCTGGCGCTGGGCGCCAGCGTCTTGGCGCAGGATTCTTCCCATTCACTCGTGAGCCGTCGGCTGACCGAGTACCTGATGCCGGTCGCTACTCAGACGCATGAGTTTGCGCATGTTCCGAACTCGAATTTCGTGCTGTTGACGCAGATGTCTAACAGTGAATTGATCAAGATCGAGCTGGACTCAACCACCGAGGAGCCGATCGCATTCCACTCGTTCCCCATGGGGAAGAACAGCAGCACTTCTATGCTCCATGGCGTGTGGCCATCAACAGTATACCCCGGCATGATGTGGTTATCCTTGCAAGGCGAAAATAAACTTCTTCTGGTGGACCCCGGCAAGAAACTCTCAGCGGCGCCGATCATCAAGAAGACCATCGACATCCCCACTCCGGGCAACGGCCCGCATTGTGTTTTCGAAATTGGCAACCGCGTCTGGGCTGGTCTCAAAGTCGCCTCCGAGCAAACCGGAAAGTACTACGTCTTCTCGGCCGATGTGCACAACCCCAAAAACCACACCCTGTATCCCGCCCTCAACAGCCCTGTGTTTATCAAAGAGGAACCGACCACGGGCTTGATCTACGTGACCCAAGACAACGACTCGTCCATCCTGCGCATCAACACCACCAGTGGCGAAACAAAGCAGATGCACGTCCCGGCCAGCGTCGGTAACAACGCCGTCGGAATGATCTCCGCCACCGGTCCCTTGAGCGGTGTCTGGTTCACACTCGCAGGTAATGCCACCGGTGGCACTGGCACATTCGGCCACATCGGACCCTCGGGCAAGATGCAATTTTTCAAGCTAAAGCATCCGCTGCTCGGCACCAACGCTGGCTTGCTACACATCGCTGATGCGTCGACCGCGGCTGGACCCGCATTGTGGCTCTTATCGACCTCGCTGCTGAGCACCAACTCCCCCGATGCCCTCATCCGCGTGACTTTCGACGCTTCCATGAAGTCCATCGCTGATGAGGAGTACATCTCGATGCTCACTCAGAATGCCATGGTGCACCGCATCTTGCCTCTGAACCATACTGTTCTGGTTTCGGAGCTGCATACCTTTGCGCTCGCCCAGCTTTCGTACAGGAACACTGTGGCTGGAAAGTGGCTGCCTGCTCAGGCTGTAACTAATACCTCGGTCTACACCGAGGCCAGCTGAACGTACATGGATACATCCATCGGGAATGAATATACAGATGCCTCTATGGCCTGCGCAGATAATATATTAATCAGTCACTACGTTCATGAGAGACCAGCCAGACAGCAAGACAAACCTTGGAACGAGCTCGGATCTTCCAAAATAAAGTTTTCCACAAGGTTCAGCCGTAAACCTTGCTCCTGCGCTTGGACCTCCCGTTCGAGTCTCGTATTCTTCTGCCGACTGTGAAAAGTGGAGAGATGGGGAGACTTCAATTCTGTGGCCAAAATACAAGGTTTCCAAGATTTGTTGTAAACATCCGGTCAGGTGATCCTTCTGTTCTCTATGATCTCTCTCTCTCTCTCTCTCTCTCTCTCTCTTCGCTTTTCCCTCCTTCGCCCTTCTATCTCTTAGAGATAGACAGTCTACCTCTTCTCTGGCGTCTTGCCCTCGGCAGTAGTCAGATCAAGTTTTGATCATTCTTTCTGAGCATAAGTGGGCGAAACTTTAAAGGGAAGTATCAAACAGGCTATGAAGATACCTCACAACTCTGTGTCTCGACGCGAAATGCCCAGGTGCTAAATGTAGCGCGGCACGTGCACTGGTATTGTTGATGTCCGACCAGGTGACTTTTGCCTTACACCTGAGTATCATTCTATCTCTCTCTCTCCGATCGCTATTGAGGGTTTGGTAGCATGGGAAATGAGGAAGTCTTGGGATTCACAGGGAAGAGAAGTGGGAGAGATTGAAGTGGATGGCCGCTATTTGAGAAGGATATGCACCGAGAAATCCAACCAAGCCCCTCCTTGACCGGTTCGATACCTCCATGGCCCAATTCATCGGCGGACAAAGACCAAGTTAGATTGTACGATTCAATCCGATTGGCCAGAGCTGACGGATGAATAGATTATCTGATGCCTACTACGGAGTAGTAAGTGCTTGGATTGAAGTCCATGAGGTAAGTTCCGCCTTTCCATAGTAGCATCCTCTGGGCTCAGTAGATTTCAATGCTAGTCTCAAGATTAGGCTGCCGATCGATCTAAGCTTGATTGGACTTCATAGCTTAGCAAGATTACTCTCCGGCGCATTACATTTCGATCACCCGGGCCTGGGGAAAAGGGTTTGCGCGATTCCAAGGGTCAAGGAGATCTCTGAACAGGGACGAATGAGGGCCAAACGAAAACCAGGTGGTAATGTGTATCGTGGGTATCGTGACTTATCACTCTACAAGATTTAAAAGAAAGCCATGGGCCCGATTTGGGGTAAGGCAAGGTCCCCTCGACGTAGGTGGTAGCCTTGAGTGCCAGCCATGAAGCCACTTGGGCAGAAGCCAACACGAGTGGGCGGATGAGTTACACACCAATCAGATGCGTCAGAACACAGTGGTTGTGGGCAAGATCGCCACGACGAGATTTGAGAAACAACACGCGAAATCATGCTCAAGCAATATCCATACATCACTCGAAGGTGACTGCGGTGCCATAATATCCATGTCGAGGAATCTAAGCTTAGATTTAAGATCCAAACACCATCCGCAGTGTGGGGAACTCGAATGACACGTGGAGCTAATTCGGCGGGTATGATGTAGGTGGCTGATAGCTAAATGTCTCAAGTTCCGTGACTTGCGCTACTTAATTGCATCGTGCGCTACTCTTTTCTGCACAGCTTGGCAGTTGACACGATGGATGAATCAACCGACATTCTTCGGGCCTACGAAGCAGACCGTCAAGCTCGTGAGGTCTACCGCTACTTTCAACCCGCGAATCCAGCTGCCCTGAACACAAACCGACCTTTACCCGAGGAGCATTTCTCATCTTTGGATTCAACGAGAGCTTCGGCCTCAGCTTCGATTTCGGAGGACTCGGAGGCAACGCAGACTCCTTTGAATGCTCAAAGCAGCCCTAATACGACGTTGACTTCTTTCGCACAGCTTGCTGCTTTACGTTTGAATGCACAGCGTGCCTTCATTACGTACTATGATTCATTTCCTTAGGAGCTAAATGGAGTTGACCTTTTCAGTATTATCAATCATGACTTCCAGTTTGTCTTGGCTGAAGCAACAAAGTCCACCAATATTGGTAACTCAAAGCTATCTGCAGAGGGCGATGGGCTTTTCGTTGGAACCTCCACCTTGACGAAATCATGGAATATCTGCCAGGTGTGTCGCTGCTTACATGTAATTGCTAGCCGAGGATAGCAACTTGCCATTTTCTCTCTCACTCTCCTCTCTCTCACTCTCCTCTCTCTCTCTCTCTCTCCTCTCTCTCTCCTCTCTCTCTCTCTCTCCTCGCCCTCTTCTTTCCGTCTTCGTCCTCGTCTTCTCCATACCAATCCTTTTCAACTCCCCCGTGAATGCTCCTGAAATTCCCATCTAATCTTCACTAATTAGGAAACAGTTGCAACGACTGCGGATCAGAAAGATGACAAATATCCGTTCTTCGTGGTTAACGACCTTGAAAAAGAGGATCGTTTCAAGGAATTACCCTTCGTTACTGGGGAGCCCCGCTCACGCTTCTACGCTGGAACCCCCCTCACCAGTGGTAGCGATATCAATCTGGGATGCCTTTTCGTACTGGACTCTGAGCCGCGCAACGGGCTCTCGGAGTATGAGAAGGATACGTTATCGACAATGGCGGCGCTAGTCATGGACTACCTGCAGGTTAGTCGCCAAGCGAGCGAAGGACGCCGTGCTTTAAGACTGTCACATGGCCTCCATCTCTTTGTGGACGGAAATTCGAGCTTTGCCGACCAGGCCATCAAATCATCTTCGTCATCTAGCTCAGATAGTTCGCCCTCAGGATCACCCCCTTACCAACAAGCAAACCGTTCTGCAAGCCCTCGATTCGCCGACAATGACCAAGATCACCTATGGGCTGGAAGTAATCCTTCATCTTCAAGTCATAATGGGAATAGGCCTCCTAGTGCACACTCTGACAAACGACCTGAGGCAAGTGTTTTGGGAAGCCCAACGGGATCATCACACAGCCGACTATTGAGTGATCAAAGCTCAACGGCCTCTTCCAACAGCAAGCATTGGCTTTTCCAAAGAGCCGCCAACCTTTTGCGGCAAAGTCTGGACTTGGATGGCGCCGGTGGTGTCATGTTCATGGGGACAAACGAAGACTCGTCGGAAAACTTCACCGACAGCCATCGCGACTTCGATGCGTCGAAGAATCGGGCCCCCGTTCTCGCATTTTCTACCAGAGAGGATCCCTTGATGAATGACATGGTATCTCTTGAGGGGAAGCCAGCATTCGACCTCGACCATGGCTTTTTAACCCATTTGACGCGTCGTTATCCGAAAGGTAGACTCTGGTCATTTCATCATGATGGGACTCTCTCCACCGCAGACGAGGACCTTTCAATAGATTTATCTCGCAAAGAAAGCAAAAGATTCCAAGCCTCAGAAACAGCAAGTTTGAATGCCTATTTCCCTGACGCGTGCCAGGTTGCGTTTGTCCCCTTGTGGAACGGCACCGACTCGCAATGGTTTGCGGGATGCTTTTGCTGGACCCCCCATCCGACACGAGTATTCAGTCGAGCGGTTGACCTTAGCTCGATTTTCTCTTTCGCTTCATCAATTATGACTGAGTATAGTCGTGTTGAGTCTGTGATAGCGGATCGCCAGAAAGGAGACTTCATCAGCAGCATCTCTCACGAACTACGCAGCCCACTGCACGGTGTTCTGGCTGCCGCTGAGTTTCTGGAAGATGCTGGCTTAGACGAATTTCAGAGTACGGTGCTAGAGACCATCAATGCTTGTGGTCGGACTCTTTTGGATACCATGAACCAAGTTCTTGATTACAGCAAGATCATGTCACTCGAGAGATCGAAGAGAAGATTCAAGAAAGGAAAAGACCCATGGAAACCAAAGCTCAATGATGACCCACCACGCCTTGACACATTCGTATCCACAGATGTGGCTATATTGACAGAGGATGTTGTTGACAGTGTTGCTCTGGGACATTTCCACATGAAAAAGTCGGCCATTTCGACTGAACGTCCAGCGGGGATTTTAACACAGCCAACCTCGCCAAAGGAAACCCCATCCACCATCTCAAACCCAGAAGTTGAGTTAGTGGTTGACATTGCCGACAAAGATTGGATGTACCAAGTCCAGCCCGGCTCACTGAGGCGACTGATCATGAATCTCTTGGGCAACTCCCTGAAGTATACCGAGAAAGGCCTGATCACCGTGAGCCTCAAATCCAACGAGATGTCTAAAGCGCGTTCTCGCCGCCAAGGCCTCCAAGACATGGTGACATTGACTGTATCGGATACCGGCAAGGGCATCTCAAGACAATACCTCCAGAAGCGCCTGTTCACTCCATTTGCACAGGAGAATCCATTGTCCGTGGGTACTGGGCTCGGCCTGTCTATTGTTCGCGGGATTGTGAGAGCGCTGAACGGAAAGATAAGCATCCAAAGCACAGTCGGAGAAGGGACTACGGTAAAAGTCTTGCTCCCTTTCGAGCGGCCTGTCGGAGAGCAGACGCCCCATTCAACACTTCAAGACGAAAGTTTTGAGAAGGCTCAAGCTACACCATCCTCCAAGCTCGACAGACCAAGTCTAAAGGGGAAACGTGTGGCGATCTGGGCCATCGACTATGACAATTTTGATGAGTATCTTTTCTGGTCTACCATCGCTCGCTACGCTTCGGATTGGTATGGCTTGCAGCTGGTATCTTGTTCCGACAAGGACATCGATATTATATTCGCGGCTGAAGACGATTTGTCGACTGAAAATTTGCACACTTTCCCTCGTTCACTGTCAGGTTTACTCATTTTTTCGAATTATTCGAGGAGTCAGACTGACCCCCGTCTGCGCTGGTCTCATCTCGCCAACTCCTTCGCAATTATACATGGGCCTTGTGGACCCCAGAAGCTTGCCAAAGGTATTTTGAGTTGTCTCGAGGCGGCAAAGATGCCTAGTGGAAAGCCCACAAAGGGCCCAGCGGAAGCTATTTCCCCACGACGACCTGAGCCCACGGAGACAGTTTCCCATCGTCGTGATACCGCGGCCTTGGCATCGCGACCACAGGAGCTTCCAGTGAAGAACCTCAACTTCGCGCCGGCTCGAGACGACAAAACGGTTGGGAGGACTGAGCAAGATGGAGAGGCAACTTCCAGTGGCCAGCTCGCCAACTCCACAGTCCCTCCGAAACAAGGGAGGCCTCGCATCTTGATAGTGGATGACAATCAGATTAATCTTACCTTGCTGTCTACTTACCTCAAGAAGCGAGAAGTCACTTTCCTGGACCGAGCACAGGATGGACAAACAGCTGTGGACATGGTGAACAAAATGCCAGGAGGATACGATATCATTTTCATGGATATGTCAATGCCCGTTATGGACGGATTTCAGGCAACGCGTGCCATTCGTGCTATTGAAAGAGAACGGCCTGGGACCACACAAGCCAAAATCATTGCATTCACTGGTCTCACCAGTCCAACCCACGAATCCAAAGCCATGAAAGCGGGAGTGAGCGTTTTCTTGACGAAGCCTGTCCCATTCAAGGAAGTATCTCGGATACTTAGCGAGTGGGAGGACACCAAGTGAAGAACGAGCGCAAAAGGATGAGTCGACAAATCTTAAAACCTAATACCGAATCAAACCTGTCGATTCATTGACTATACACACTCGATTAACATGACCACTGGTCTACGAGTGTTGTTTTTTACCCAAACCTGGAAAGAACCTAGTCTCGTTGTGTGTAAGAAGCATCCATAAATTCTCGAGACAAAGAACCCAGGAGTTTCAAATCAAGTATGCGGATGAAACAAAGACCTGCCTCTTTCATGCAACCGTGGAATCATCCAAATAGACATTTGGATCACCCAACATCACGGGAAAAAAAAAAAAAAAAAGAAAAAAGAAAAAAAGGATTCCTATCGCCTCCAAACAACCGACCTCGGGAGGTGTCCATTTTTAGCCGTCATAAAGAATATACATGCAAAGTTTCAAATGTATGCTAGACCTCAAGGTTACTAGTACATCGGCCCTGATAGGATCGAATAGATTCATATTTTCCAAGTTTGACCTAATGTGCTAGTCGAGAACCCTGGAGTTGAATGAGAAGGTATTTTCAGTAGTCTATAAAAAACGATAAAAAGGCAACAACCTTGGAATTCAGCCATTCTTGGGCCGCCCGGAAATGAGAAGCAAGTAATCAGCAAAGAAAACCAATCCAGGTCCCAAACCTGCTATCGAGGCCAGTGTTAAAACATCAAAAAGAAAATGGCGGTACCCGGATTCGAACCGGGGCCAACACAGCATTGTAGGCGTGAATTGCTTCACGGCTCACCACAATGTGGTATCCTACCCCTAGACCATACCACCGGTTGTTATGTAAGCTTCATGCATTGATGGGCTATAAAGACATCCGAGTGCAGATTGTCCACGGGTTTCGCTTAGCGCTGCATGTCATGCATGCATTTCGCTACAGTTTTCCCAGGGCAAAACAGTGCTCTCTTATTTTCGTTATGGTTTACGAAACAGGTCAGGTGGCTTCAGGGCTGATGTGAGTTTCACGAGTCAGATATCCTTCTTATAGAACCCTACTGGTAGAGTGCCCTGTAAAACGAGGCGTCATATCACATCCGCACACCTGGTCAGCTCTCCGGGCTTACATCGGCCTAGGTTCGGACCTTGGGAGTTGTTCCTAGCCGAAAACATGGGATTGTTTTAAGTTTTACATGCTGTAAGCACCCGAGCGGCAGCAAATACATAATGCAGAGCATGTTCAAGGTCTCTGTGTGGTCTACCCACATGACCAGGGAACACGTCTTAAAGTCTCGCGATCTTCGGAGGGATATATTTCCGCCTCTAGTCAGGAGTGGATTGGCGATTCCAGTGGCGGCCTCGGCCCGTCCCTCGATGTATGAAATCATGTAGGAATGTGAACTCTCTACTCCATAATGCGCACTCCGTACTCCGTGATCTCCGTAACAGGATATGGTCCATACTGTTCTCCTGAAGGTCGTACCCGACTCAAAACTGGGATCTTCTGTGTGGTCCCCACCGGGGCAGATCATCCAGAGGGCAAATGAATGTGGTCTGATGGTCGCTAACATAAGACCTAACGAAGGCGACCAAACTGCCGGGTCGCAATACGGGGGCGGTGAACGGACTAACTCGGCCCGGGACTTTCGCCGGCTGCTGCACTTCGACCAAAGGAGGTATGCAGCAGATGCTCTGCCTCGACAATGGCAATCATTTGAGCCCGAGATGGCCGTCATATGTCTGGGATCTGAATCCAGGACTATGATTGATCATTAGGAGTGTCTCAGTCTTCAAATTGGAGATCCAAAGCGACGCACAGGGGACGATAGATCAGAAACCCCCAATCTCCTGTGAACCCGACAGTCTGGATACGAACCCAAACCCCTCCAAGAGACCCGTGTCGACTTGCCAAGCGAGACTGTTGCATAGTTTTTTTCTTTCTTCTCTTCCCCAGCAATATTCTGTCTTTTTCAAACACGCAATGCTGTCCCAAATGAATTCGGCCCCGTCGACACCGGCCTCGGCCCATGCCGACTCAGACACCCCGGTCAACACTCCCGGGCCAATCGCAGTCGACGATTTCACCGATGTATGTAGCCGCGCGCCCAGGAAGAAGCCAAATTAAACCCCCTGTAGGACACCAACAGCGAATTCGAAGATGACATGTCCGATCTCACCTCCTTGTCGGAGAGTGTCCTCGAGTTCGAGTATGAAAATGGTCGCCGTTATTGCAGCACCCGCACGGTATGTCGCGACTGAGAGGCCCAAGCCAAGCTCGAGAACTGACCCATGGCCACCATGTAGGGAGTTTACATGTAATTTCTGCCTTTCTCGAGAGGGTCTCCGATGACTGACCAGCCCAGGATGCCAAATGACGAGGAGGAGCAGGATCGAATGGATCTGGTAAGGAACCTCCTTCATGACTGTCTGTCCGAAGACTAACTTTCCCAGACACACCACATGTTCGTAAAGCAACACATTAAGGAATGTGAACGTGAGCGTGAGCGACTAACCAGGGGATAGATGGCTGATGATGCTGGGAGGAGAACTCTACAATGCTCCCGTCGGACAGTCACCGCAGAACATCCTAGACCTGGGAACCGGGACTGGCATCTGGGCCATGGATATTGCCGAGTATGTGCCATCATCCCCCCTCTCGCTGTACACACTGACCCCTGATAGAAAGTTTCCCGGCGCACACGTAATTGGAAATGATATCAGCCCTATCCAGCCCAGCTGGGTGGCCCCAAACATTGAGTTCGTCGTCGAGGACTTCGAAAGCGAATGGCAGTATAAGAGAAACCACTTCGACTTCATCCACGCACGATGCCTGGCAGGGTAAGTCGCGATCGGCAAAAACCAAAAACGACACTAACACGGAGCAGATGCGTGGCCGATTGGCCGACGTTCATCCGCCGAATCTTCAACCACGTCAAGCCAGGCGGGTACTTCGAAACGCACGAAAGTGCCGTATGGGCCCGAAGCGACGACAACTCCCTAAAAGAGAAATCCGCGCTCATGGAATGGCAGCAGGCCCTCAATTTCGCCGGCGAAAAGAGCGGTCGCGAGCTGAACATCTACCATAAATTGAAGAACTGGATGATCGAAGCCGGTTTCGAAGATGTCACGTTGCAAGTCTATGCGCTGCCATTCTCCCCTTGGCCCCGTGACCCCCATCTCAAGGCCCTGGGCAAATACCAGGCTGTGCAGTTGCAGCAGGCGATTGATTCATATTCGCTGCGTCTGTACACGCAGGTGCTGGGGTGGAGCTCGGATGTGGCGAAGATTCATAATGCGGTGGTCAAGCAGGAGTTGCGAGACAAGAAGTTGCATGCATATGTTCAAACGTACGTTGAGTCTATTTCTGGTTGAAGGGATTGTACTAACTCTCAGCAGGGTCGCGGTTTATGGCAGAAAGCCTCTCAGCCCTTACTAATTATTTGTGAATTAGCGACAGCATCAGCGGGAGTTTAATGACAAGACCGCACTACGGTCGATTATGAACTTATATTGGAAAAGCTTTTGTATGGTGTAATTGCCGAATGTGTGGCTCAGAGCATCACAGATTGTAGATGGCTTTTCAAGTGTCATGAAGACGACAAACATCCGGCGTGATCCGCTACGTTATGTGAATACCTTGACATGATTAATTTGGCAACGAACCATTCCATCAAGTCGCTTCGGGAGTTGGCGCAGACAGCCCAGACGATGGGAAAGCAGGAGTGGCCGGGGAAGTGCTCGCCTCCGCTGCACCCGTTGGTCGAGACTCGAGTCCACCCACCAACGGCACCATACTGACAGGTGGAATGTACCAGGATCGATGACAGTTTGTCCACAGGGGATCAACCTGCGTCATGACATCCGGCACCTCAATCCAGGGGAGATAGTCATCCCGAACCATGCTGCAGCCACCGCCCCCGAAAATGCATTGAGATGCACCGGCATATTGATCCCAGGGAATGAGAGGCATGCTATAGTTGCCGACCTCGTGGATCTGGAACTCGGAGTAATCGAAGGGATACGCGGTTCCGATCCTGGGGTACTTCGCATTGCGATGGTCTCGGTAAGACGTTACGGCTTCCGGGGCGACGGAAATGATGACATTCTTATGTTCACCACCGCAGGGACCACCGGGGTGCGCGCGCTGATTACTGCGGGCGTAGATGCTGGTGAATGAGACATAGACGCTGGGAGAGACGAAGGTGTTACCATCAACAACTGCAGTGTTGGGTCCGTCTCCTGTCTGTGTGGCGGGGACAGTGGTTCCGTCTCGAGAGCAGAGGTCTCCGCCCTTCGTGCTGACGGGCCAGTAGAAGAATGTCGCTGTGCCTGGGAGGTAGTGGCAATTGTTGCACACATCAGGGTCACTGTAGTCTCGGGTTGTTGTGGGACAACTACTTGGCTTGATGGGACTGTTGGTATCGCCTGGCAGTTGAGTTGGGACGGAAAGATACGCGCTAGACAGGCTCGTGTAGGTCTTCCAGATTGGAATGCAGTCCTGAGTGTTGAGCGAGCAGTCAGGCGTCGGTGATGGTGATCGGTACACTTCTGTCGTATCAGACACGGTGACTGTGAAGGTGCTGCAGGGACCCGTGCCGGGCCAGTACTCGGTGATTGATTCCCGAGGACCTAAAGCACGGGTGATGCCATCGCAGAGCGTGGTGACCGGGCCGGTATGGGTGTCATGGAGACTTTCACCGCGGACTTCAGTGGTGCAGGCCCCGCTGCTGGTGACATAGGATGAATAGAAGGTCGAGGTGGACGTTGCGCCGAGAGACTCTAGACCCTTCGCGCGCTGATTGTATTGAATCCACTCAGCATTGCAGGAGACGACAGATGCCTCGGGGCCGTCAGTCGGACCGTAGAAATAGTCGGTCGACGTTGGCCAAAAGACGGTCGTATCGCAAATGCTCAACCACTGGCTGCTGGTCGAGGAGACACAAGTATCATCCCCGCCAGGCTGGACAGTCTTAGATGGTGTTGGGCTAGCATCCTGTCTCGGAATGACTACACAGCCTGGTTCAGATATAGATCGAGGAACCACCGAGAGCGAACATACCTGGTTTAGCAGATGCACCCACCAAAAAAAGGAGAGCCACTCCAGACAACATGTTTCCACGGACTGGTCTTTTCCAATGAACAGTGGAATTCACAGTCAATTGACAAGTCCGAAGATAGCGATGGAATATGACCTGTCCCCGAATTTATATCCGTGGACCCTCTCCTGCAGGGCATACTGCCCCCCGCTCGGCTCTCGCCTGCATCAGGAGCTATACGAGGTCAACGGCCGCCATTCGCTCGGTTTCAAGTAAGCTGCATCGGGTATGCAGATGCCCCCCTACGAATGTCACACCAGACGGTTTAGTGGCACTTCAGGAACCGTGCCTGCTGATTCTCCGCGCACGGGGCGCCTTGATCGTGCCAAGACTTCATCTCAACACGAGCAATGCGGCACTCAAGGAGTCATCTTTTGGTCACGACTTGCAGGGTTGCGGAGGGAGCTCCGTAATAGTTGTCGCGTGTTCAGCCCGTTGACCGAATGGAGCGCGTCGTGGAAAACATTTTGGGGGAGCTTGGCAATGTTTAGCCAAGACAGAAGCATGAAAAACTCGGCGATTCTTCAGCCGCGTCCCGCTCTTCCTGTGGCCCCGCTCCTGGAGGCTTCGGCTTTTTCTTGAATTCTGGAGAAAAGGGAAGACAGAAGAGAAGTGGTTTGACAGAGGTCGACTTGGGCATTGTCAGGATGTCAGGCAAAGAAGGAAGATTCCAAGGTTATAGGGTGTGATAGAGGGGCACGGTGGAAAAATGGCCAAAAAATGACAAATCTGCTCTGTAAATTGCTTCAATGCCTCTGGCGGAGTGAAAGTGAATTCCATAGTGAAATGTCAGGTGGCTGTACATCTTGGCCTGATCGAAGGCGCTCAGCCCGGGAATATATTTTATCCAGACTCCTTGTTAATTTTGAGATTAAAAAATGACAATATCTTTGTTCAAGGTTTTTTTATTGCCAATGGCTTCGGGGATCCCGGTATCACTAGATATAACATACTACTAGTAGGTAGTTATTGTACGCAACGATACAGGTGGAAGGGGTGAGACTTCTACTAGTAGGTAATAGTCTTCTCCATGAAGGCTACAAAGACGAATGGGCCGGAGTCCTGAGCCCGCGGGTTCCAGCTGCTGGGGACTAGCAATTGGCTCATGGGGACCAGAAATGATTTTCCATTAGGCGTCCAGCTCATGGGGACTAGAAATTAGCGCCCGAGGTCTACGGCAGTAGAGGTCGTGGGGACTACCTAGTAGAAATCTGAATCTCATGATCTCTCCCCATCAGCGCCCTACCCTAGTACCACTAGCGTAGCTCATGGGGACCAGGACTTACCTCGTGGGGACTAGAGATGAATCCATGATTCATGGTCCCCATGAGCTGCAGGGTGGAACCATCAGGAAAAATGTTTTTCTAGTCCCCAGGAGCTCGGGAGCTGGAACCCCCAAGCTCAGACGCGGGAAGCAAGGGTTATGCCCAGCAAACATTTCACATCCCCCAACCTTGGAAGAAATGAAGTTTATTTGCAGTCAATGGAAGAATATTTATTTTCTCCGAACTTGAGCATGAAATGGTATTTGCATCAAGCATATGTAGCGACGGGCTCCCCAAGAACGTCCATCCGAGGAGTCACGCCTAACCCGGGCGCGGTCGGGGCAGTGAGCACTCCATTAACTACATTGAATTCCCCATCGGCAGTTTGACCAACGCACATCTCACGGGATTCCAAGACGCAGCGCAGGTTGCGGGCAGGAATGGTCTGACCAAGGTGCACGATAGCAGCAAAAGCAATATCAGATCCAGTCGTGTCCTGAACAGACATTGTATAGCCCGCCGCCATGCACATGTCTCGCACCCGACGACCCTTCGTCAAACCACCTGTCGGCGAGACCTTGAGACCAACGCCGTCTACAGCATCATCAGCGATGAACTGCGCAATGGTCGTTTCGTTCGATGCCAGCTCATCAAAGATAATGGGCACATTTGTCCGTCGACGCAGCGAGATACTCTCCCGATATGTCGCGCAGGGAGCCTCGAACACAAAGTCCAGATCATTGGGTAACATCTTCAACATGCGAAGAGCGGATTCAACTGTCATGCCACCATTGGCATCAATCAAGAAGTGTTCACCGGGCCGCTGCCCTTCCAAGGCTGCCTTCACCTGAATTGCACTGGCGACCGGGTCCGATCCGATCTTGACTGAGAAGCCCGTGAATCCAGCAGCTCTGTACTTCTCGACTTTCTTGCGAGTCCCCTGCTCATCGGCAACGGGAATAGAAGAAATGACAGGCAGTGGGTTGTCGGTCCGCCCGCCAAGTAGGTCACAGACGGGCATACCCACTGACTTGCCGAAGACATCCCAACAAGCGACGTCTATCGCGGACTTTGCCGACTCGTTTCCGAGCAAGACAGCATCCATGGCGTCATTGAGACGATCGACTTTGCGCGGATCGAGCCCGATAAGCTTCGGGGCGATCTCTGCAATGGCGGCGCGGATACCAAGGCCGTGGGAGGGTATGTACTGATCGAATGGGGTGCTTTCACCCCAACCCTCGATGCCATTATTTGTCGTGACTCGGACAAAGGTAGCGTCGAAGCGGGTAATTTCTCTCCCACCAGAAAGATAGTACACTCCGCCAGAGTAAGGTAGATCAAGTTGGAAAACGTCGATTTTCGCGATCTTCAAATCAGCCATGTTGAGAGGGTCAGGAATTTGGGAATGTCGCTGATTGAAAATCCGACAAAGAAAGAAGTATTTGGTGACAGCGTGTCAGATGGATATCAATTGAGTTCTCCTTCCAGGTTCGATGCTTTATTTATTCATCGAGGAGAACTGGGGTGACCAGCTACCATACTTGGTGCATGATCAGTCTCCGCCGAGTTAGCTGATTTTGGCCAACGAACCCGATTGAAAGTAAGCATAGCTGCCAAGCTGTCTATCAACCACCTCATTTCATTCCTAGAGCGCAAATAAATGGGGAAAACCATCCAACGCGGGGTTAAAACTGGGGCCCTGATGTAGCGAGGACACCCACAAGAGAAGCATGAGAGGTGGATAAACTGGGCATCCCGGACTTTTGTCATCCTCGGAGATACGGTGATGACAATGGAACTCATCCAGTGGTCCAAATCTCAGCGATAGCCTATAGATGGCTTGGATATAGCGGGGAGATCGGGTTCGGTCTCCTCAAAAGGCGAACTACCCGAGGCGGGGAAATCGGCTTAGAAGCCGATCAGTTCGATGATCCGCAAATTCCTAGTATATGAAGTATGAGAATGTGTTGTTGTTCACTGAATTTGCACCGATTCCCCTTGGACCACGATAAAACAAGACTCGCCAATGACTATGTTGCCCGCAGTGACCCATCGCCGTGCCTTTCGGCGGACAGACGACTTCACCCCGGGCACCCCCAAGTTGAAACTTGTGCAAGAAGAGATCCGCCAGCTGGCACCGACAGATGTGTTGATCAAAGTTCACGCTGTCGCGCTGAACTACCGCGATGCCAATATCGCGAATGGTGGCAACCCATGGCCAGTGGTTCCAAACGGAATCTTGTGCAACGATGCAGCGGGTGAAGTAGTTGCTGTCGGTGATAAGGTGAAGACCTTGGCGATCGGGAATAGGGCCGGGCCTATCACCGACACTGAAAACATCTCAGGACGCGAGATCAAGCGGTCTTGGCTAGCGGCCGATGAGGATGGAGTCATGGCGGACTATATCATCTTTGACGAGGCTGTCCTCTGTCTATTGCCGGACTATCTCGACTGGACGGAGGCTTCTATGATTCCCTGCGCGGGTGTGACTGCCTGGTCGGCGCTGAAGGGCATGAGTATCGGGCAAACGGTGTTGATTCAAGGTATGTGGGTTTGACCTCTGTATCTGGAAGAGATGTTAAATCGGAAATAGGCACTGGAGGCGTGAGCGTTTTCGCACTCAAGCTCGCGAGCGCTGCTGGTCTTCGCATTATTCTCACATCTTCCAGCGACACCAAACTTCAGCGAATGAGGGACCAATACCCGTCAATCCTGACCGTCAACTATTCAAAAACCCCAGACTGGGACAAAGAGGTTATGAAAATCACCGAAGGGGCGGGTGTGGATATCCTCGTGGAGAATGGGGGAGCCAGCTCTCTGGTCAAGAGCCTGAGGTGCACAAGACGTGGAGGCATTGTCAGTCAAGTCGGGTATTTGTCGGGTCAAGACTCTGGAGATCTGCGCGAGCTCATTCCAACCATCATCGACCGCAGGGTCATTCTCAGAGGTATCAATGCTGGCTCAAAGCATGATATGGAGGATCTTTGTGCTGCGCTGACTGCCGCCCAAACGCCTCTGAAAGATCTGATCGACCGGACATTCGCGTTTGAGGAAGCCGAGGAAGCGGTTGAGTACATCTGGCAGGGTAAGCAGATTGGCAAGATTGTTCTTACTCTTTAGTCGTGTTTGGCGAATTTCATGGAGAGCAATAGAAATCATGATTTGAAGGCACCGCATCGTAATTAGACGGACTTCGAAATATGGGTGAAAGAAAAGTAAAGAGTGCCTACGAAACAGGATGTTTGGTTCTTCTGGTGAAGAGCTGATCACGATGATTCGACGTTGAGGACCACAGCAAGGAGTATTCTTGTCTTCTAACTAATCTCCTATATCACCATCATCCAACTTGCAAGGTTGTGAACAAATTTCAGGACTGATTCAAGTCTCGAATATCTCATCTAGCCAACGCCAGTTCCCCGACATCAGTGTATGTTGCACATTGCATGCAGTATTGTTATATCTGGCCTTTGGAAACTGCTTTTTTCTTTTCCAAATTGACAATCTCACCAAAATCAAAATGGTTACACCAATGCATCCGAGATGGTATCCGGGCTCTTCTTGTCTTTCTGGTCGTAACCTCTGTTGCTGTCCGTCGAACTCCCATCAAACTTGGCGTCGACTTGAATCTCCTCGATCGAAGAGTCGATTCTGCATCCGGTCTCATCATGAGTTGCATCCCATTCTTCCAGATCGGCGATCGGAACTTTCCTGAGCTGATTACTTTGAGCTCCGCCGTCCAGGTGGATGAGTTCCTGTCGTAGCTTATACCCCTTCCACTTGGGAATGAGGAAGGCCCAGAACCAATAATAGGTACCACACGCAAGTAGGCTAAAAATTCAAATGTTAGAATCAGTGGTTCAAGAACAGCGCAAGGATCATGAACCCAGCTCACTCACATTGCAATACCCGTCACAGCAGACGTCGCATACCAAAAGCTCACGTCGCCCGCGTACTGGCCACCACTGGGAGGATACCAAGGCATCACAAGGAGGTACAGCTGTATCAGAACGTTGAACAAGATCACAATATGCCAGGCTTTGAATTCGGGCTCTGGGAGATTCGCCTGCTTGCGACGCCAGCGAATGATGTAAATACCTAGAGCCATTGCCAGATTGAACCCAGCGTTCGGGATGATGTTTAGATCATTCACTAAATTTGTATTAGTATAAAGACCACATAAAGTCTGTTTGTCCAGGCAATGGTCACTGACTGAAAGTGAAAGCATCCCCTGCCGGGATTGCAAGAATCATCAGCGAGGTCAGAGCCCAAATGACAGCATATGGACCTAAGGTTGTGCCGAAAGGCTTAGTTGAGACCCAAAAGGTGGTCCAAGGTAGGACGCCCTGTCGACCGCATTCTCTAATGCGACGCGATATTCCAATAATAACGGCGATCATGTTTCCAAAAGAGGCCAAGGCGATGAGGAAGTTAAGGCCACGAATGGCACCGCTGTTGCCGAAAACCTTTTCGAAAAAGAGACCCGCTGTTGTAAGGTCGGATCCCTTAATCTCCTCTTGCGGAACTGTTTTAAGACCCCATGATTAGTATGGAAATGGGAAATTGTGCATTGGTATTGACTCACTGGCCGCAAAAAAGGCAATGTTCGCGAACATGTATAGCACATAAACCACAGTAAGAGCAGTTGTGGCGTAGATTTTCAGCGATCTCACGGGATTCTTGAAGAGCGATTAGTTTTCAGTTCCATGCAACGTGAGGCTGGACCCGCCGTACCTTGACCTCGTTAGCAACGTTGAAGGCGTTGTTGTACCCTCCATAGGAAAAGATGATACGATATAAAGCCGTCGTGAAGCCGTACGCCGAAGCATTCGAACTGCCTGACCAAACATCTTGGAAGTTGAGCTTGGGGTTCTCAACCCTGGTGTTGCCTCCCAAAACAACAAAGCCGGTCACAATAACGAAAAGGAGGGTGCAGATCTTGACCACCCCAACGGCGTTCGAGAACCAATAGGCGTATTTGGTGTTGAAAACCAAAGCTGTAATATGTTAGTTCCAGAGACATCGAAATATCAGCACCCCAATAAAAACTTACTCAAAGTTGCTAGAGTATAACAAGCCAGGGCAGTTCCTTTGATTTGCCAATTCGTGCCCTCATGACCGGAAATGGCAATCAGGTATTTGGCCATGACTGTCATATGGAGCTGATTAACACTAGAACCAATACAATACACAAGGGAAGATTTACCGGTGGCATTGGCACTTCCGAACGAGAGAATGACACTTTGGACTGCGAAAGTGGTAGGGAATAGCCATTTCGGATTGGGATAGGCCTGTTCGAGGAACACCACCTCCGAGCCCGATCGGCTGGGGAAATATGCAGTGTATTCCAGATATACTGCACCAGATGCAAGACAGATCTGAAAATCAAAATGATGAATTAATCAATGCGTTCATCGGACCACCTGGGCACAGAGACTCACCAAGTAACCAAGGGTCCAGTAGACCAAACTGACTCCGACAGACCCGGTACCAGACAGAATGGAGGATGCTTCGCCATGTCAGCTTTGATTCATCAAAAAAAGATAGCATCTCACTAACGCGTGGAATAGATACCAGCACCAATCATCATGGTGATGTTCAAGAGAGTAATTGTGACAGGACCGACAGAGTATCCGAGCGGAGATTCGCTCTCAATTGGAGCGCCAGAGGCGTCTTGGTATGTCGCTGGCGCATCATTACCACCCTTTTCGCTAATATAAACACCTCCAGCTGTTGTCGGATGTTTGGCTTGACGTTCATTTCCCCCAAGAGAAGAAGCAGGGCGCTCGCTGTAAGGACGCCGCCAAGCCATATTGATGTTAGGTATGAGGAATTAACCTCGGTGATATCCAACGGCTGTACACCTGGCCAGTTTTGCTCCCAGTTTGGCAAAAAAAGTTCAATGGTGTTTTCAGCTCGACTCCAGGTGCGCAATCAAACCTTGTGATACACTTGACTTTCTCAAGATATCAGATAGAGCACGTACCCAGGTGCTGACGGGGCGATCTATATATTTCAAAATGAGATGACCCCCTCTCATCCTTCGGGTATCCTGCATTTGGCCGGTTATGATTGCGCTTGCTATTTTAGCAGATGTCCATACAAAGTTCGCGTGTGGAGCACGTAATGTCAACATTGGAGGTGCAAATGAGACCATGAGACAGGGGCAATTGAGAGACCGAGATTTTAAAACCCGGCCTTGTAACCCGGCTAGCCGTATCAATGAGCTAGAAGCCATCTTGTTCGTCGCATGCAGCTCCGCGTATATTTCCCTCACCAGGAGCGCCAAGTTGTTGAATGGCTTGTAGCACAAGTGGGGAAGACATCGCGCAATGCTGGGGTTTAGCCGATGCTGTCTGTGCTGAATACAGCCCATTTCTTCGATATTTGGGAAGCTTCATCGATTAGATAATAAATATGAAATAAGATATACCCGACAGAAGAAGATTGCGCATAATGGCGAAAGGCCTTGCAAGACACGGGAGTGAATCGGCTCAAGGTAAAGTAAAGAACTGCTGCCACTCGGACACAGATCATGCAGCCTGTATGACGCACGTCAGCGTTGGAAGAAACGAGAAGAAGCTTTGAACAAATGCAGGGGTCAATTCGACAAGTTCAGTATGCTCGACCCTGTCATTTCGCGGGCTGATGGTGTGAGCAATCTCGGGCGCTGGATTTGCGATATATCACGCCATATTGTGCTAAGATGAGAGTGAGAGATTCTTGTCAAATCGAAAGCGTCGGATGGTTTATCGAAGAAACGAAAAAGAATATGGAAGCTTTCCCCCAAATGACACTGAGCTCGGAGATTTATCCCGGGCAGCTTTACCTTCGCTCTGTTCGCTTCTATTCCTTGTTTCACCCCCATCGACCCAAGAACCCCGAATGGATCAAACCGACTTTTACTTTCAGTCACAGCCTCCATCATTGATGTCTGTTGAATTATCGTCGAAAGAGCGGCCTTTCTTAACTAAGTAATAGTTCTGCTCTTTTGGGCTTTCGGGCGTGACTCGGCATACCGACGCCGGAAGCGGAAGTGAACATATGAGTTGAGGCGACAAGGATCATCTGGGGTTCGACAACAAGTTGGAATTGAATGCTCGACGAGAGGCCATGATACGGAGCCGGGAAAAAGCAGATGTTGAGGATCGAGGTCCTTGATTCAGTTTTCGACTTTGGAGATGTGTCCTAGAATGAACCCACCCCTCCAAGTATTCCATACGATGTTTGAAATACGAAACCCTTTGAAAAACGTGTCAATCCATGAAGCCAATCAACCGAACAGTCTGAAGTTCAGGTTGACGGAGGTACGCAAGATGGCGCTTTTGCCACCGATTTCCGGTTCTGCGCCATCATCAATCGCGCACCGACCCGTGTGGAGACGTGGAGTAAATTCGGAACCGCTAGCCAGCCGGTGCTACTCTGTGTAGCTGCATTGCAGGGTGGATCATTCATTGAACCAGTGAGACTTGAGGACACCATCAACCGTAAAATAACGCCATCACTGGGTTGCACCCACACCACGAAACCAGAATCAACGGCATATTAAAACTGCCGGGCCCTGGAGTTGAAATGTTTGGGCTGGAAAATTGGATCTCTCAAAGGCGAAGTTCCTCTTGAATCAGAGAAATTTGGGATTCTGTTCATGCTCAACATGGGTGCGTAGCGAGTTAAGCCTTTCTGCTTTGGGCTTGACTAACCTCAAATCCAGCTCCTCCTGCTCCAGAGAATGAAAATGGCCCTGGTTTGGCCGTGGAATCCAACTCGAGCACCATTGGCGACTCTAAAATCCCTCAGACTTCGGAACAAGAGATGGATTCGGAGTCCGAATACCCGTCTCCGTCGGAAGAAGAGAAGAGTACGCTTCGCAAGGTTGCGGGCTCGCTTCCACTGGTTTCATTTTCCTTGTGTCTGGTGGAATTCGCCGAACGTGCATCCTACTACGGAGCGAAGACAGTGTTCAGCAACTTCGTCCAATTCCCACTCCCGGAAGGTAAAGATCTCCAAACTGCGACACGACACCTGCTAATTCCATTCAAGGCGGAAATGGAGCTGGTGCTCCCCCTCGCGGCACGCAGAAAACAGCGGGCGCCTTAGGAATGGGTCTCCAGGCGTCCTCTGGGATAACATTGCTTTTCTTATTTCTCTCATATGTCATTCCGATATTCGGGGGCTGGTGGGCCGATGTTCACGTCGGTCGATATAAAGCAATTTGCGTGGGTGTCTTCATCTGCGGTGTTGCTCATATCATTCAGGTCTTCGGTGCTATCCCTTCGGTTCTTCAAAAGGGCTCAGCCCACGGAGCTCCACCTTTCATCATTGGTCTGCTCCTTCTGGCATTTGGTGCCGGTATATTCAAGCCGAATGTGTCGCCTCTTATCCTTGACCAAAACCCCCACCAGAAAGCCTATACGAAAACCCTCAAGTCGGGCGAGAAGGTGATTGTGGACCCTGAGGCAACAACAAACAGAATCATGCTCATTTTCTATGGCTTCGTGAATGTGGGAGCGTTCTTCATGTTGGCGACCACATACTCCGAGAAGTATGTTGGGTTCTGGCTATCATTCTTGCTGGCGGGCCTGATATACCTCTTGCTGCCACTTCTACTTGCGGCGATGTACAAGAAGACGCACAAAAGACCACCAGCTGGAAGCTCTGAGATTTCGCAGGCGTTCAAAATCATTGCCACTGCCCTCCGTCAAAGCAATTTCATGTTTTGGCGGAAAGACTTTTGGGAGCAAGTCGCACCCGCCAATCTTCGCCAGAAGGGCATCATTGTGAACTGGACAGATAAAGACGTAAAAAACGTCTCCAGGACTGTGGGTATGTATTTTATTCCCACTCAAAGTTGGCATCGGACGGTATGCTGACCCAAATTAGCCGCTTGCGATATTTTCTGGTTCTATCCGATCTGGAATCTCAACGATGGCGGCATAGGATCCATAACGACAAACCAAGGTGCATCAATGATAACCGACGGAGCGCCAAACGATGTCCTGGGCAACTTTAACCCATTGACAATCATGTTTGTCATTCCGGTCCTTAGTTTTGTGGTGTATCCTGCCCTGCGCCGCTATCATATCAATTTCGGTCCAATCAGCCGTATCACGTTTGGATTTTTCTTGGCAACGCTCGCCGGTCTTGCTGGTGCGCTGGTCCAATGGCGCATCTATTCACTCTCGCCCTGTGGTAATTTGGCCTCGACGTGTGAGAACGTTGCGCCGATCAGCATCTGGTGGCAACTGCCCAATACAATTCTAAGCGCTCTGAGCGAATGCTTCTGCAACGTGACTGCATACGAGCTTGCGTACGCGCGATCTCCACATGGCATGAAGGGTCTGGTGGTGGCGTTCTTCCTCTTCATGAACGCTTTATCAAGTGCGATCGGAGAGATTATGCTGCCAGCCACTGCTGATCCATGGCTGGTCTGGGTTTGGGGTGCACCGGCTGTGGCACTTGCGTTGCAAACTGTCGTTTTTTGGTTCAGATTTAAGCACCTCAATAACGAGAGTTGGACGGAGGAGGAAGATACTACGACTCTTGTCCCCGAGGGAACAAAAGCGTGACGAGATACCGATCAGCATTGGATGCAGATCAAGTCAGGAAGGGAAGGTCGGAGTTGCGCCTTGGTGGACATTATAACCCCTAATTAGCTAAAGTTCAAAGGTAGCTTGCTTCGACATGATTTTTGCGATGGGAATTGTACTCACCGTAGAAGAAACAACACGGACTATTCCGTGTCATTGAGTAAATTTCGCTCAATGCCGACCTTGCCCCATTGCTGTTCCAGCATTTGCCCGTATACAGTCAAGGCTTTCCCTATCATTCGGACCACATCCCAAACGGCCACCCCGCTCAGTAATTTTGCCCAGATCTGAACAACTCGAATGCAAAGTTCAGGCAGATTCGCAGTCACGTCGCTATGACTATCGATGCTGAAGCCGGAGTCCGCCTCCGCAACCATATCAGAAATGTATGCAAGCAGTCTCGTTTCGTCCTCGCTCAGAGAAACACTAGGAGATCGAAGCTGTATTGCAATGAGCCATTTGCTCAAGACAAAGGCGCACTCCAGAGCACACAAAGAGTGTTGAAGGGACCAGGCAAAAGCCTGATTGCGAGCCACGATGTTGACGCCGATTTTGACTGGGATGCTCAAAGCATGCGCGGAGTACAACACTGCGCGAGTCAACTTTGGTGTCGGCTCGAGGTCCGGACTTCGGTGGATGGATTCTGCGATTTCGGAGGGATCGTGGGTGTTGAGTGCGCGCCAGGGACCCACGTCGACGGTCAAACGTATGTAGGCCATTCGGAGTAGAGCAGTCGAATTGAATGATATTGGGCCATGGGGGCTTCCGGGACCGAATGATGACTCTGGATCCTTGTACCATCTGTGTTGCCAGCTCCGCAGTGCTTGCTCCATGTCTGCCACGTCTTCTGAAGAAAGGCCTTGGTTGAAGGGAGGTCTTGACCTGGCCATGTTTCTGAGAAGATAAATGTGCTGAATCAAGGCCAGTATGAGAATGAAACCACCCAGGGAGGAAGATCCATGGTGAATCGAGTTGTTCTCATTCCCTCCTTTTGAGAAAAGCCCAGAGAAGCAAGATTGGAATGAGGTCTCGGATCGACGCTGTCTGCGGGATTCTTGCCACTCTTTTTCACTTCGTGCCGCCCAGCTTGTTTCCAGGGATGGGAGATGAATAGCTAATTCTGAATTCAATATCGGGGGTGGTGTGTCGTAGACTATTGTGTGGAAGATCAAGAAACTGAATATTATGCCAACTGTTCTGTTGAATCCTTCCACGCGGACCCAATCATCCCAGCCCATGATTTCTGATGGTTGAGCGCGCGGGTCCAGAAGCCTTTCTTCGCGCATGAGCTTCACGAGAATATTTTGTAACCCAATAGCTTCGTCGTAAATTGCCCTTGAGTTGCCCCATGTTGCCATTGCCATGAGCACGAGCAAGGTTTGGGCTATAGGCAGAGGATCAAACCTAGCAAACTGGCTTTCATCTGCAGAGACACCTTCTGGAATTTGTCGAGGCAGGGTTGTCGCATCTTGACAAAAGACATTTTGAGGGCCCGCTGAAAACTTCATGTCGCAGAGTTCATCTTTGCGTCGGCGCAAACGCTCTGACGTGATGGAGTATGAAGCCCTGAAGAACATGACTGCATTGGCATTATCAAACGCGGACTGTGCTCCAATGGAAGCCATAGCTAGAATAAGTTCAACCGGTTGTCTCGTAGGCTCAAACGTTGGCAGGTGGAGAAACGGAAGGTGACGATGGAATCCCGAGAAGTAAGTCGCAATGTAGCGAGTCATTGTGTGACGTGACGGTAACAGGAAGTTGGGAGGCAGGGCGAAAGCCATACTTTGTAACTGGTTGAGTAGACATTCCCAATCTGGCTGTGAGACCCTCCAAGGTTCGTGCTTAGATTTGGAGGGTGACTCGAAGGAAGGAAACGTCGATGAAAACTCGTCGAACAAGCGTGGCGTCGAGGAGTCCTTTGTTGTAGAATGGGGTGTCCAATGTGATGGACTTTGCTGGCTATCCGGCCGCACTTCATTCAGATCGCCGAATAACGGGTGGGGCGAAAGAGGTAAGGTTGGCTGATCGATCAAAAATGCAGCGTTGTTTCCACAGGGCATATTCATACTGTCGATGAACAGATCAAAGTCCCCGAAGTTACTAGTCGGTTGAGCCCATGAGATTTGAGGTACATCACTCGTCATTTCCGGCGATACTCCCCGATTGTCAGATCGCGCTGGATTGGCTTGGGCATTGGGATCTGTGGACAGAGGCAAGCCCGGACCGGAGGATGTCAGGTTTGAATTCAAATGGCTTGATTCATGCCATGAGGCGCTTCCATCTTCTGCAGCGGGCTCGGGTACGCGTATCGAGGAGCCGAGGATGCGTGCGATATGCTGAGGTTCCTCCTGGCCCGGAGCAAGTGTTTCTGGACCCCTTTGTTCGACTGAAGGTTCATGCAACATGCGGACATGGCGGGCAAGAAGATCCCTATTTCCATTTTACATCATCAGCCCTGTCAAGTCCGTACGACAACCATCCGTCAAGCCAATACCTTCGGGTAAATGTTTGAGAGCAAGTTGAACAGCGGAACGGTTTTTCTTTGGTATCTGACACCGATAAGCGCACTTCTTTCCATTGGCTTGGAGGATCATACGCAGCCGCTCATGCCGTTGTAAATGCTCATTGCGGTGGAATTCTTTGGCACAGAATTGGCATTGGAAAATCCGTTTGCGCGCTTTCTGATACGGCGACGATGGATCTGAAGAGTCAACAGTCCCGCTTGTGGCAGTCTGGGCCACTGAGGCAGACTTTTGTTTTCTTTTAGCCATTTCCGAATCACGTCGTCGCGTCGTCGCATAGACGAAAGTGCGTCGTGCGGGTGCAGATGTGACGCGGAGGGTCCCACTCTGATTGGCTGGTGACATTGATCAGTCACGGGTCTTGGCATTTTGGGGTATTTTTTCGCGTCGATTCTCTTCGACTTCACATACGACATCGAGTACGAACAAGGGAATTACACTGAAATCTGTGCATGCTACTCAGGCCACAACCCGTCACTGCAGCTGTGCTTTGTCGATACCCGCTCGAGCTTACAAAAATAGGTGCTTCTTCAGGGCTCTTTCATCCAAACAGGACTACCGATACGCCCATCGCGTTACCTCGACGCCAATCTCAGTGTCAATTTGATCCTCGACTTCACGCAACAGCTTGTTGAGTCCCTTGCACAGTTCGCGACATACCTCTCTACCCCGTACATCTACAGCTTGTCGTCATCCCCAAAATGCCAAGGAATCGCCCCACACAGGTTGGAGATGTCACCCGTGACATAAGTAGAGTCATCCTCCCGAGCTCAGTGCTTCAGGGCTCATCTTGTCAACTACTACCAGTTTCTCAATTCAAAGACAACATCGAGCTCTGAGATCAGTCAGACAATATGACGAACCCTTTGGTTGCCGACACTCCCCAACATATTTTGCAACTCCTCGATGAGCTTCACCAGAAGTCACTGGAGCAGGAAGCTCTCATTTCGAAGAAAGGAAAGGTATTCTCGGCGGACGTCCTAGGAGATCTTGAAGACAAGCAATCGAACCTGAGCCCGAAGGATGCATTCAATAAGCTTATGATGGACAAGTTTATCGCGCTGGATCAAGACAAATGTCAATTCACATACCAGTTGATCAACGCCATGGGAGCCACCAATATCGTTGAAGCTGGAACCAGCTTTGGAGTCAGCACGATATATCTGGCACTTGCCATTGCGAAGACGAGAGCCGCTACCGGCAAGTCTGGGACCGTGATTGCCACCGAAAACGAGCCTGAAAAGGCAGCAATTGCACGCAAGTACTGGGCACAGTGCGGTCCCGAGGTTGAGCAACAAATCGATCTCCGCGAAGGCGATCTACTTCAGACACTCCGAGATGGACTACCAGATGTCGATCTTCTGCTTCTTGACAGTAAGCGTTCCCCTTGAGTCCACTTGATGGCCCTTAGCTCACCGCCCGTAGTCTGGTCGGCACTTGCATTGCCAACACTGAAGACGGTTCTCCCTCGCCTTCGTCCGGGTGCGGTCGTGCTGACTGACAACACGATTTCCGGCGCCCAAGGATATGCTGATCTGCTGGCATATCTGCGAGACCCTGCAAATGGCTTCCAGAACCAGACTCTTCCGTTTACCAACGGATTTGAAATGAGTGTTCATATGCCCAAGCAGCAGTAAATATACAGAAGGCCGCAGGGTGCTCATGATCTCAGGAGCACAATCCATGGATTGCTACTGGAGATAGTTGATGACACTCTGGGGCAAATGATATGAACAGTATACTATGCTCTGAGTTATAAGAAGACACGAAATATTGATCTACAGATAGTCGCTTGGACAACAGACATATTCTGAAAGATTGTTGGGGATGGGGGATGAAGACTAACAGCCTCTACATCAGCATTAGACCCCTAACCAACCTTGGAAAATTAGAGTCTTCTGAACTGAAGATTATTCCAGATGAATACTTGCAGGCTGTGATACCATTCAACTCGAAGGTGATCACCACATGCCCCATCCGACTCAAATTACAGACATGAAAAATGCCAAGACTTCCGCGCTAGCTTCCCCCCTCTTCGCGGAAAGCTTTTCCTCCTTCCCTTCCCATCGTTCAAAGCTACTGGGAGGTCACCGATGCCGAGACAGGCAGAGCGAGGCCTGCATTTCATCAACACCAACCCGTCCTCGGTAAAGTCACGATCAGATCTCATTCATGAGATAAGGTCACACGCTGGAAGATGGAGATGGCAGCAGGCTCGCCAGGATGAAGATGAATACCGAGATGGATATCTTGATTCCAGAGGTGGACCTCACCGGCTTGATGATTCCGAGTATATTGACGGATCCATAACGCAGCATGCTACCGGCGGAGACGAAACGCTCAGACCAGTAGCGCTCAGGTCGTTGGCACCCGACGTCGTCTCGGTCGAGACTCTGGGCACACGGCGTCTGCTCTCTTCCGGCGTATCTCAATTCAATGACGCCCAAGTAGAAGCTCTGCTCGATCAATCAGAGGTAGTACCCTGTGGCGATCAAAATGTGAATTATTCAAAACATTCTAGACAACACGGTCAACCAGCACTGGTCAGCAACCCTCATGCGAGCATCTTAGATCCTTTCCAAACGGCGGTTCCCTCTCCGATTCCTATAGAATTTATCAGCACAAACAACAAATACGGTAACATTGCCCATCTCACACCATGAACTACCTTCTGAACGCTCCTAGCTGTTTCCGTACTCTGGCCTGGGCTTATGCCACGATCCACGACGGGGAACCATGCAGGCGTAAATGCGTGGTTCTCTCATTCTGTCGCTCATCCAGCTTTGCATAGCTCCATGCTCTTCGGATCGTTCTCCCATCGAAGAGTTCGTGTGTGCAACAAAGGCGCCGGGCAGTTCAATGCAGATGATCTGAAACAAATGAACTTGTCTCATGATGACTCAATTTCCAAGATCAACCAGGCTATGCAAAGCCTCTCAGACGCGGTCACGGATGATATCATTCTTTCTGTTCTTTGCTTAGCAAACAACGACACTGCCACGCATCAGGAGGCTGATGAATCGCCTTTCAGGCCACCATTGCGTAGCTTGCAATGGTTGGACATTTATGGAAATCTGGCTCCTAACCAAGTTCATCAAGCGGGGCTCGCGCAGCTCGTTTACCTGAGAGGCGGGCTAGATAAAATCGAGCTGCCGGGACTGGCGGCTGTCATATCATTGTGAGAATGTGAAGCTTTGGTGATTGTGAACAAAACTCAAGACTGACTCTTACGATCTCAGTTCGAGCATTTTGGCTGCATCTCGAAGCCTCTCACCGCCGCACTTTCCCCTTATTTCGCTGCAGGGAGAGGCATTGACACTGCAAAGCATACTCAGCACACAAGATTCGATAATAGATGCCACGGATCCTTTATCTGCGCTTGGTATGACGAAAAATATGCTCGATATCTTCCAAGCTGCACGGCATTATATTTCTCTTGTGGAGGCATACATCGACGGGTCGCCGACGGCAGAGAGTCTCGGCACGATCTGCGATCGGCGTAATCTTGTGCAATGGCACATCATGTCGCTACTCCCTATAAGTCAGGGACTCTATGCCACGCAGCCCTCAGATATTTATGAATGCTGTCGATTGGCATTAACCATTTTCGGCGTGGGGGTGATCTTCCCGCTTCCAAGCGAGGTTGTGCCCTTCATGGGCCTTGTCCGGATGCTACTGGTCAACATAAATTCGGTGCCATACAGGACCGCAGCCTTTGCTGACGCAAATGCGCAGAAGTTGCATTGTTGGTGTATTGTCCTAGGGGGAATCGCAGCGGGGAGGTCTCAAGAAAGAACCTGGTTTGTTCATGAATTGAAACAATGGGCCATGTGGCAATCCATAACAAGCTGGGATCAGCTGCTGGACATATTGCGGTTGGTTTTGTGGTTTAATAATGCGTGTGATTTGGCAGGAAAGGATTTGTGGACAGAAGCGATGAGTTTACCGGTTTGTCAATAGATTGAGATTGCACAAATTGCACTGTCTAGTCTTCCAAGGTTGCTTTTAACGGGGGCTAGTCTCTATTTATCACCCTTCGGACTACTGAATACTAAGGCTATGGATTTACGCAAAGTCAGATGCACTGCCTCGATTAGGAAGGTGTAGTCGCGTACACGAACTTGGTTTCAATACTGTGCTGATACCGTATATTTGCCCAATGAGCACTAGCACATGCCGAATACAGACTAGCGCTGTATTAGACAAAACAGTTACCCGTGGACCGTATGCAGGCGAAGAGTCTGATACTCTCGAACCAACACAATAACACTGAATTATTTTGATCAGATGAAGACATACCGAATCCGAGAGTCATATAGTCTATTGTCTCTCTCGCATCATAGCTGAATCTCAGTTTGTGATGGAAGTACATGTATCGTTCAAGCCATTGAGTCCCGCGACTTGAATGATTGCATTTGCAAAGATCTCAGGCGCCTGGTACGGGATATTCTCTCCCACATTGGGAAGTCGATGATGGCAGCGAGGTCCGGCGAAGAACTTGGCCGAAGCATTGGCATCTGCCGGTGCCAGAACAACACTATCCTCCGGATCGAGGGTGACCGAGGGAACCGTGATAGATGGCTGGCTATCCAGCTTGTTTGCCAGTGTAACAAAAGCAGGATCTCCGGGTGCATAGAGAAGGCGGTTTCGGTAAAAGTTGACGGTGATGTCGACAAAGTCGGGGTTCAACAGAGCCGTCGTCGTGAGATCGAGGTATACTTCGGAGAAGTTCCACCCGACCGAGTTCTTTTCCCAGAGTGTTCGCGTCCATGCCTTGGGTTGCTGTGATAATCCTGCCGCACCTCGGGGCGTAAGGAAAGCATAATAGTACCAGCGGGTGGCTTCGGCATTGGGGTCTGTCGGAACCCACGCCGTGGTCCTATTTTGGATGAGATAACTGTTGGCAGCAACCATGCGAGTGCATCGCTCTGGCCACAAGGCAGTGGCAACGTTGACGGCAACACTGCCCCAATCATAACCGGCGCAGATTGCTTCGTCAATGTGAAGGGCGTCCATCAACGCGATGAGATCGTACCCCAGCGCTGCCTGCTCTGCACTTCGAGGGGTGTTTTGATGCAAAAATCGTGTGCCTCCGTAGCCGCGTAGATAGGGAACGATGACTCGGTAGCCTTGTTTGGTCAGAAGGGGAATGACGGAAGCAAAGGCATCTATTGAATATGGGAATCCGTGAACCAGAATGACAGTCTCGCCGTGGACCGGGCCATCCTCGAAGTATTCAACGCTGAGGGAACTCGGACTGTCGGTGTTGACTTTCTTCAACGGCGATAGAGATCGATCATCTGAGATTAGTGACGATCCAAGGGTGGAGATGGCGAAGATCGATGCCGACGCGAAAAGGAAAAAATTTGAAAATTGCATGGCAGGGATAACTCAGGTGTGGAGAATTGGAAGTGAACCGGTCAAAGCCTTTATATTCTCTGTCCACACCAATTAACATAATGATCGGTAAGATATGAGGTCCAAAAGCACGGAGAAACACTGTAGGCCAGTATGAGCCAATCTCAATGGTCAAAAATAGATCGATGTTGCCGGATATGTTAGTCCGCACGGGGTAGGTTGAAGTGATCAGCGTGTATCCCGGCGCAATCCCTCTGTGATAGGTCACAGTTTAGGCAGTGATATCTGCGACCTGAAGGGTAAGCCTAAGTACATGCGGAAGGCGTCCGCTAGCCCGCAGTTCAAGACGCCCCGATCTCGTATTCAGAGACTGGATTTCCAATGAGCGAATTGATCAACAAATAGGTCGGCTTATTGCTTGCAAATATTGCCTGAATTGCCTACTTAGGTAGCAACCCGGTCGACTTTGGGGCTCGCTTTTTCTAACTCAGCTTCATCCATGGCCCCACGGGTCAACTGGTCAACTAGTCGCTTATGGAAGAAGGCATCTCGCCACGGGCAGATGCATTTGGATTCAACTGCGAGGTTCTCATATAAATCACAGCATGAACGAGTTTATATTAAGATCTAGAAAATCAACCAGATCGTCCAAGATTCTCACCTCCATCAGGCAAAAGTCTCGCTCCCCCCGAAGATGTTGACCTCCCGTCATCAACCTGAATAGAAATATCTGTCTTGACAGTAACACATCCATCATCCAAATGTTCCGGAGTTTCGGCTTTAGAGACCCGGCTCTCAGAACGCTCATGTAAACGGCCATCCCAATGCGTTGCTGGGTTTTCCTCGTCCCCCGCCCGCGTATTCGTCACAGTAGCTGAATCAAACCACTGATCTTTCGCATTGACATGCCTGCGCTTCAGCTCTGTGTCGTGCTCATTGTCATTTGTTGATCTGGAGCGAGACCAATACCCGCCGTGGGAGCGACCTTCGCGTCTGTGATCTACAAAGGCGCGAAGGAAGAGGCGCGCTACCGGGGCGCATGAGGCGAGAAGGATGCTGTAATTCTCGATCCTACTCCCATTAGAACTCTTTCTTAAAATCTCGAATGATGGAAATGTATGCATACTTCACCCAGAGAACAAAAGTGACAATGTTGTATGTGAAGTCTTGTCGGTCACCAAGAGATTTGAGTTTCTGGGTTGGTAGTCAGATATCGCCCGGGCATGATTGTTCTGCAGATTTGCTCACATATGTTTTGACGATAGACGCACACCCCGAAAGGAGCAGTGGCCCGCTGAGGGTGATAGTTTGCCAAATACGCCTCGATCGGACCGTGCCACTGATCTTATTGAACTGCGACCAGAATGACAAGTTTGGGTTGCGATGCAATGTTCTCAAAAAGAATTGCCACAACTCAACTGCGGCAAGGATAGCAAGGAAATAGTCGATCACTGTGTTAAAGCCTGCTGATATTTAGTGCATCGTCCATTGGGTCAAAGTAGGATTTCTTTTGACGAACCTCCTTGTACAAATCCCACAGTAGTCTGGACAGACGGCGACTGGCACTTCACGGAGCCATCTTCTGGCAAGGGTGTCCACATATAGTGAAAATATTGAACGCGGTTGCTCTGCGAACATGTCAGGATAAATCACCAAAGGAATCAAAGAAAGTGCGCACTGCTTGATAAGGATTTGGGCCGCACTGGACCACAATCTGGACTATAGTGATCATATTGGCAACAATCTGAACAATCGCGCAAATAATGATGGAGATACGGATCTTCTTGTCACTTGCGGCGAAGCAAGTGAGAAGGAACCACATCATGCCGGTGCGGGAAATCATGGCTGAAGATACCGCGAGTGGCTGAGAAAGAAAATCCCATTTCATAGACTGGAAACGCTCAGTGGGATTGAGATAGTAGAAGTGTCGCCCAAGGCCAGAATTTGCACTGTTCAATCAGCAAACGCATTGATGGGATGTATGAAGGTGAGTTGGGCTCACCTCATTTGAATGAAGGCCATGTGGGTGACATCAAACCCATACGCGACGAGGAAGAACAAGTCCTCAATACCCCATACTCTACCAGGTGCTGTGACCTGAGGTAGAGCCCAGCGGACCCAGATCTTGATTGCATAACGAAACAACAAGGCAACGCCCACGACAGACGTCAAAACCTAGTTGTTGGTTAACGTGTGAGCATATACTTGAGGGCTATTAGCCGAAAACAGAAAAGCGTACCCAGCAAGCCTGAAACGTTCCGGTTCCTGTCAAATCCAATAAGTCTTTGGCTCAAGCAGTACCCTAGGCAATAAACATACCAATGTCAATATCACCCTCTGAGGGTCTGGGAATGTCCATATTCAAGGCGAAGCACAAGAACCAGAGACTTTCAAAACCAGGACTCGCAGGATCGAAATCAGCGTCGAAGCCAATTCAAATACTCCTCATGGCATGGATGCGAGTAAGAACTAGCAGCGCATGGGTAGATGAGATATATCGAAAACAAAACCAGAATCCGATCCAGGACTAGGGACCCAGCCAAAATTTGACAGAAAATCTTAGTTCTTGGAATGGACAATGGATTCCACGCGAGAAACTCACGCGAACCAATTTACAGGTCAGAACCCTGGGCTCAACCCTTCCTATCGGGCCGGGGGATGTCAATCACCGACTTCCAAGTTTGGGTAGAACAAGGGGTGGAAGGCAAATCAGGAACAATAGCCAGAGCGAGGGGCAGATAGTCTCGGATGAATTGAGCGCCCGCGCAATGATCATGCAAAAATGATGTGTACGTACATATTGCTGGATATGGAGAAGTAGCCAATTCAGAAACAAATCAGGACTGATCTTCTGATCAAAGTTGGCGACGGGACTGACAGCACTCGAATCAGGTGGACTTCATGGCAAAGGCATTCCTGGTGGAGCAGGGACCATGCAATGACCATGCGCTATGCAGCAAGGGATGGCCAAGGTGGGAAGAAGATACCGAGATCCGAAGCGGAGAACACCCAGATCTACTGTGACCATCTCCAACTTGCTCGTAACGAGCAATCTGCACTCTACAGTACATAGTATGGAATACAGTCACTTGCACAAGTGATCTGTTCGATGTGTGTAATGTGGATCTTAGATCGGTAGATCGCGTAGGTTCGGGCGCAGATCCGACACTCCTACATCTGGACAAGACCGAAGGAGTAGATCGACAAGCCCTGGAGGTTTAGCGCGAACTATTCATAACAATAAGCTTTAGCTAAGCGAAAGTAATGTGGTTAACGTTTGTGATGTGTACAGTAGTGAGATGTGATGTATCATTGCCCCTCCAAAGTGCATTTATTTACATCCGAGTCGATCAACGCCAACTATGATGGCATTTCAACCTCCAGGCTAGCGATCCGCCCTCCTCATCTCCACCAAGGACTCGCCAGCCCTGACATATTTCTCAAAAGTCACCTCCAGCCCCGTCAAGCTCGCCATCTGCCGCCACTCAGCCGCACTCCGCTCGCGCCCACCATACAGCGCAATCATACTCGCATGGAGCGAAGTATAAGTCACATTCTTAGCATATTCAATAATCAGCACTCTCGAGCCGGGCGCCATCGCCCGAGAGATTTTCTGCAGTAAAGCCACAGCATCCAAATCCGGTAAATTGTGCAGAATATGCTGCATCGAGTAGATTCGCGCTCCGCGAACCGGCTGCTCACCCGTCTTGAAATTCCATTCCATGAGACTGACACCAGCCACGGACTCAATATCAGCGTTGAACTCCTGCACAATCAATTCCTCCGGTCGCAGTGCAGGATACTCAGCCTTGACCTCGAGAAGGAGCTCGCCGCGTCCACCACCAATATCCACCATTGCCGCCGAGCCAGCGCCAGCCAGTGCGCTATCCAGATCGTAGCCCATTGCCCTGACGCGCTCGGGGAAGGTTCCGAATTTGAGGAATTTGCCGACCATGAATTGATTAAAGCTATCCATGCGCCCTTGCGTCTCCATGATAGAGTATGTGTGCTGAGACGCTAGGTCCGACTGGCCCATTAGCTCATATGCGTATTGCAAGGGTCCGTCTGCGTCTGCGAAGGGGTACGCGAAATTGGTATCCTGAAGCTTTTTCATCAAAAACGCTCCAGCCATTAGTCCTTCGGTGGTACTGGTGGGGGTTAGTCGATTTCGGGGCGGAAACGGTTCGGGACTGACAAGTGCAGGGCGCCATGCTGCGCGGAGGGCATGGCGACCATGTGTTTGGTGATGGCGTTTGTAGCAAAAGTATCCTCAGCGACGCGCTCGACCATGCCGAGTCCAGACATGATGTAAAGTGTGTCCGCTACATGGGTTAGTTCGTTGATCCACATTGTCGAAGCAGAATATCCGTACAGGCTAACTTGGTACCTGCACAGGAGTCAGTGGCATTCTTAGCGGCCGAAGTGAAACGGCAACGAAAAGTGAAAAATTCCCAAGCTCCTCAAAACACATACTCAGCTTTGGCTCGTCCTTCCCTCGCGCCTGGATGCGCTCGTTACATGTTGTGGTCACTTCATCAACGGTCGCAGGGCTTCCATGTCCCACGAGAATACTGAATAGATCGAAATGAATCGCGACCGGGACAAATCCCAAGGACGCAGGCTATAACTGAATTAAATGCGGTCCTGTCCGACGCGTTTGTCAGGCTCACCACTGTGACTGTAGCTGCGAGAGCGGCGCCCGGGGGCGCAACCGGAGCGGGAGATGATAGGCCGAGGAGACTAGCTAGACGATTGAGAAAAGACATTTTGCAGGAGCCTGGGTTGAGATTGCAATTGTGTTAACTTTGACGGGGCGAGTTAGAGCATGAAGTATAGAGTCAGCTCGACATACGGAGTAGATAGATCCGATCAACATTCCGACGGAGATGCTAAGCAATAGAGTTTGCACTTGAGAGGTATTCCTTGAACGAGTAATCCGTCGGGGTGTATGTTTGAGCTTACGCCCGAGATGATTGGCTCTGGGTGCAAGGGGTGGAAAAGCCACAACAATGCGAGATAGGGCGCCAAATGCAAATAGAAACAGGTAACGGAGTACAGAGTACTCCGTACGGAGTGAAATCATCCTAGAAGCCCAGGATAAACTAGTGGCTGCGGGGTAGAAGCTTTGAAGTATATAGAACTCTGTGATAGATCAACTGCGCCGAGTTTGCAACTAAAATCCAGATCTCAACCTTTCTGATACATCACTCTCCAGAGCCTGTACGACAAAAAACCACGAGTTTGCCATGTGTTGGTCTAGAAACCATGCATAAAGTCTCAAAGACGATCTCTCCTCCTCCTTACTTGACTATCCTTTGCTTCACTCTTCGCATTCGAGACACTAGCAACTCCCAATAATGGAGAAATCCCCATTAACTCCACACGAGATGTCAGTCAGTGACTCGCACTCTCTGTCGATCGACTGTCAATCCTCCGATACAACCTCGGAAATGTCAAGGGATGCGACCAACCCCCGAAACTGGTCTTCGGGGCGAAAGACCATGCTTTTCGTGTCCCTTATGACCAGCTCACTCCTAGCTGACGGGTACGTATGACCGGTTCATCGCGAAATCTTATTCCCAACTGCGACATGCATGATCTGACAAGAGCCCAGGGCAATGGTTTGGGGTGGTACACTAGTGACCGAGCAGGCCATGGACTGGGGTGTGAGTGTAACACATTCGGCCACAAGTATGAATTATGGGATTCTGCTCCAAGGCTTCGGGGGCATTTTCGCTGTTCCCTTGATTGAAGCATATGGCCGGTATGTTGGTCCATTCGCGAGATATGAAATTATTCTGATGGACCTAGATTACCGGTATGGCTTTGGCCCCAAGTGATCACCATGCTCATGGTGCTGGGCGCGACGCTCTCCAATGACTGGTCAACATTTACGACTTTTCGCTCCTTGCAGGGCCTGTTCGGGACCGTCCCGCAGGTGATTGGGCTTCCTATCATTCATGATATGTATTCTGCTGAGGGTATGTTTGTCGCGATAATTCCAGAAAACGTATCTGACATGGCTAGATTGGCCCCGAATGATCAACATCTGGTACAGGCTTCGCGGTCGTCTTACAAAATAATCGCAAATAACTGACAAGCTACATACAGGGGAACCACCTTCCTTGTTGGTCCTTTCCTCGGTCCTGCGATCGCAGGATACATCGGGGCTGCAACAAACTGGCGCACATCCTTTGGGGTCTTGACAGCTATATACGGCCTGTCCACGGCTATGGTAGTTGCATTCGGCTATGAGACTTTTCACATCCCTGGAGGAAAGACGGGTTCTTCGCGACTTGCTTCATACTTTGGAATTGGCAATACAAATCTCCCCAAGAGATCAACATTGCTCTACTGGTGCCGGAAGGTTGTTTTCTATGTGTTCAAGTTTCCATTGCTGATGACTGGTGAGTGCAATTAAGTGGATGAGAGAACAGTGTTAATAGTGGTCTACAGGTATGACGATCCTGGTGACATTCACATGGCCAATTGGTTAGTCCTACGCCCTTCCAGGGTTCCTGTCCTGCATCTTGCTCAATAATCGGCTCTAGGAATCACAACCACGATCGACACCTTCCTACACAGCCCACCGTATCTGTTCAATACAATTGAAGCCTCATCAATGCGGTTCGCGGGCGTGATTGGCGCTCTATGTGGTATGTCCCATCCTCAAGACCCTCATTTTCCCATTCTCACAAATCCAGGCTGGGCCTTCGGTCACTTCTTCAACAATTGGATCTTCCAGCGCCATGTCTCAGTCTGGCGAACCGAACTTCGACTTCACGGGGTGTGGTTCCCGATCGGTAGTATGGCCTGCGGCTTGCTTACTTACGGACTCACAATGCACTTTGGTAAACACTGGATCGGCCTTGCTTTTGGATGGGTAATGGTGAATATCGGCATGGTTGCGACAATTGTGTAAGTAGCAGTCCGGCCGATTCCCCGTGTCATTTGCCCTATCTAACTTGCGTTCCTTAGCGCTATCTCCGCATACGCGTTAGAGAAGTACCCCCAGAAAGCGACCTGCGTTTCTGCAATCTTGAATATGTGGCGCACCTGCGGTGGGTTCGCTGTTGGATATTTCCAACCGGCGTGGATTGTGCGTAATGGATTGGGCCTGGTTTTTGGCATCCAAGCTGCAATTGTGATTGTTGCTGCTATTTTGACTATCTCTCCAGTGTTTATCTGGGAGCGAAGAAGGCGTTCACAGCGTGAAGCTGGGGATGTTTGATTCTCGGATTCCAGCCTGGAATTTCTTCCACCTGGGTGGGTAGGTGTGATAACGTTGAACATGGTTGACCGGAATGCTTGTGTATATATATCTTCTCTTCTCTTGTGTGTTTTTCTTTTTTTTTTACTCTTCGTGTACTGTACTTATCTTGAATTATGGTATTTATTCGTGCAATTCTATCCGACTCCAACTCTGGATTGGAAAAGTGATATTCACACCGAGCCAGACGACAGAAGCTTCCAAGGTCGAAGGTGGCCCTGAAGGACCGGTCGCTCAGGGACCCAATGCGGCACAAACACGGGACAAGATTAAGCAACACCTAGTACAGGTGATATAGTGGGAAAGTCTGAATTGAAGGACCAATCGTGAGCTCAAGATCCCCCCGAGACCCTCCATGGACTGTATGCACGAAGTGAAGACGATCCCGTTTCAGGTGTCATGTGATGATGCCTGAGTCCACAGGCACCCAACTCCACCGATGAAACACTCGACGCCTTCGACGATGCTTAATTATCTCTGACACGAACGCTTTCGGTATCATGTTGAATTTGGCCCCCAATTACCCCGGGCGCTTCCATACTTCTCAACGATGACACTCAACCTTCACCCCTGATCGATCTTCACCTCCTGAACACTCCCCACCTTCGCTCCCAGGCGATCATTGCCCGATGATTTGGGGTCCCGCAAGCGATGACGCTGCGCGTGGGGCACCAGGCAGGTCCTGAGGAACCACACGGTCTCGTTGGCTCCTGGGCCGCGTGGTCGTTGATCTATCCCCAGTGAACATGTCACTAGGCCTATCAAACAGCACCGTTTAGAGCTTCGACCAAATCTGGCGGTTCTGCCAGGATCGTCTGCCCACACCGTCGAACTGGTTTGCCTAGGGCGATCATTGACCCTTTTCCCATCGCGTTTCATTAAGCGCTGCCTCTCCCCTCCTCTGCCCTCTCTTGATTTCTTCTCAATGACCTCTCGTTTTCATTCATCCGTTTGAACGCAATCATGTTCAGTTCTCCCCGACGATGGCTCTTCATCGTCATTCCGATCCTTACATTTAGCTTCATTTATTATATTTCTCGACTCCCAGAGTCCAGCCCAATCCCCGTGAACACCGAAGTCCCGCGCCCCGAAGATCCGATCGTGGTCGCAGACGAAAAGCAGCAAGACCCCCCTAAAGAGTCCCCGGAACCGACGGAAGAGCAATGCGGCCACCTTCTCCACCAGCTGGATGATGTGATGATCGTTTTGAAGACCGGAGCGACCGAGTCCCTCGAAAAAGTCCCTATCCATCTCCGCACCACCTTCAAATGCGTCCCACACTTTGCCATTTTCTCCGACTACGAAGAAACTATCGACGGGGTCCGAACTTACGACGTCCTCCAAAATGTCACCGCGGAAACCAGACAAAACCAGCCCGAATTCGGGATCTACCGCCGCCTCCAAGAAGTCGGTCGCGAAGGCTTGACCGACGCAGAATGGGGTGACAACCAGAACGGCCCGCTCGGCAAAACCAACAACCCCGGCTGGAAGCTTGACAAGTGGAAGTTTCTCCCCATGATCGATGGGGCGTTAGACCTCATGCCAGACGCCAAGTGGTACATCTTCCTCGAGGCAGACACCTACATGGTGTGGCCGAATCTCGTCAACTGGCTCTCGCATCTCGACCACGAACGCCAGTACTACCTCGGCAGTCCGATGCAGATCGGCGACGTCCTATTCGGGTATGGCGGCGCCGGTATCGTGCTCTCAAGCTACACCATGCAGCTTCTCAGCGAACACCGCGGGCGCTCCCAGACCGAGCTGGAACAAATGACAGCAGCCGAGTGGGCAGGAGACTGCGCGCTCGCCCGGGCCTTACAGGACGTGCGCGTCGATCTGACGTGGGCCTGGCCGATGATGATGACGACTCGACCTTGGCAGATCGACCATTTCTCCGAAGGATATGGGCGTCAGCCATGGTGCTATCCTGTCATCTCGTACCACCACATGGAGCCGGAGGACATCCAAACCATGTGGAAGTTTGACCGTCAGTTCTTCGCCAGTGGCAAGAATGCTTTGATGCTGCATGCGGACGTTTACCAGAAACTCGTTTACAACGAGACCTACACTGCCTTGGATAACTGGGACAATCTGTCTGCTGTCAGGATTGACTTCGCCGAGGGCACGATCCCAAGCTTCCAAACATGCGCTGAAGTCTGCGCAAGGAATGAAGAGTGCTTGCAATACTCCTTCAGCGAGAAGGATGGAGTCTGCAAGCATGCTTCTACGACCTTCACTGGTGTTGCCACGAATGGGACCTCATCTGGCTGGATCAGACCCCGGGTCTCAAGACTGCTCAAGGCTTTCCAGTCCTCGTGTGAGGGGGTGGAATACATCTTCGATTGATTACCACTTGGCCATTTCATTGTTTTGTATATATACCTTCTTTTCACAACTTTCGCTCGCACGCTTGAGAGCGTGTTTCCATTTTTGAAGGAGAGTCATTGGCGAGGCGTTTTTATTGGCGCTTGTCTGCTGGGCAGACCAAAAACTACACTTCTGGACATCAGCTCTTTACTTTCGTTGTCACTTATTGCACTCTGCATTTACGGATATTTCCTAGCGACTTTGTTCTTGTTCAGTCTTCAATCGAATTCCATGAAATTCAAATATCGATATCCTGTCAACAGCCTGTCCAGTCCACGGATGGGATTGCATCGGACCACCTGCAGAATATCAACCGGACTCGTTAGTCATTAGGAGCTTCCTATCCGAGATCTACACTCTGTAAATTTCCATCGGGGAGACGGGCCCGCATTGTCTCGCGTTCCCCTCTGGATGTTGGAATTCGCCGTACATCTCCATTTAGTCTCACTGACCACCTCGTCTACCCGAAAAGCGCAACGTACCTAGGTATCGACGAGCCCTTACCCTCGGTGTCAGTTTGGTTGGTTTCCAAAGCACTCAGCATGTATTCGTACGCGGGGAAAATCTGCCAATTGGTACAATAAGGTGGGAACGCTGGAAACAACCTTGGAAACCAGGGTCCTGACTCTCGTTACTACAATGAGTGGAAATCTACCGATCTTCCCCAGGTCCCATCTGGGGTGGGATGACAACGCACAACTCTGCTGCGGAGTTGTAGGAACGCATACCCGAGGTCGGCTAGGCTACTGACGAGATGATGGACAGTCCGATGCTCTCAAACAGTAGAGATAGAGAAAAAATGGACATTGGTTCCAAGGTTGTTCTCTTGAAGTGAACAGAGGACTTCTGTCCGTCTGGGCCAGTATGAGCTCACGAGTCACAGTTTATTCGCAAGGGTTCCAGTCTCACAAGGTCTCAACAAAGCAAAGAGTAATTAGGTAACAAATTCAATGTATTTGGATCTGAGAAGTATAATTAGACGCCCACCTTGGAAGTCCTTTGATCACGTCTCAACAGGTGTATATTACCGTACGTTGTACCTGGTATTGTTACCGGTACGGACCTGGAACCTAAACGCCACGACGGTCCGTCGGTTCGCGCCACGATGGGCCGGTATCATCCACGGATGTATTGCACACCCCGCGTTTCAAATTAAACATAGGAGATTTGATCGTGGCTGTCGGTAGATGTCGATTGTGAATCGGGAGACGCTTCCAAATTTGTTATAAAAAAGTGTCACTCAGGGCTGTAGTAGGAACCAGTTATTATTGTTATTATGTGTTGTTATGTACGGACCTCGGGAGTAACTATGCAACCGCTAAAGGGGGGAAAAAGGCAAAATGCAACACCGATACTCATACAATGCGCGGACGCTTTGTGTCCCTGGACTCCGGACGCAGTAATTTTCGATCTGGTCGTGATCGCTTTACGAGTGGTCGAGGTATCAGCGTAGAGCGATGGAAGTCGATGATTAACGCCCGACGAAGCTCTTCGTTCCAGAGAACATTCTCGTCCCGAAGATCATCATGGACAATTCCCAGAGCTTTTATTTCCCTCCTCGCTTTGTGGATATGTCCCAGAAGCTCTGGTGTCATCTCCATTTCCGCCGTGGACTCGCCTCCCCAGCCCATAACGAGCATGTGTCGAATCTCTCCAGCTTCATGGAGGAAGTATATTCTAGACAGATTGAGTACACCCAGGAAAACAGGAACTGCACGTGCTTGAGCCTTCCGCAGAATTTGATATACTTCTGCTTCGCGGGAGACTTGTTTCCACAAATGCGATGTAGTTCCTTTTCCTAGGACAGCATAGCCATATGTAGCGCATGTTAGCTTGAAAGGTGCACCGTATGAGCCGCGACTTCCATAAAGAATGCACCGATCAATGTTCTCATCCAACTGCCTTTTTATTGAGCGAAGTAGATCTGTCGACGTAGTAGAATGTTTAGTATCATCTTTTCCCCGACGATGGAGCTTCACTTTTGGGCAGCTATGATCTAGCAACCCGCCGGTCTGCAATCCGCGCAAACATTTCAGGGTGCAAAACTTCCCATCGCGGTATTGCGAGAAACCTTGATTATCACTTGCCTCGTGGTGAATCATGGCAGCCAGACTCGTGTGCCTTTTCGTCGTATTATTGGAGTCACAGGGAGTCTGTTCCAGCTCTGCCTTCTGAGCCTGAGAACCAGTATCATCAAAACCAGTCTCCCAGACATGGAGCCTTGGTAGTACAGAATTTCTCCATTCCTGGTCACGCGGTGTAGAGCGGCATGCCGTTAACCACAAACAAAGAACTCTAGCAATAGATGTCTTGGGTTGTTGGAAAGATTCTTCCAGCTCTGGGTCCAGTTCGTTGTTAGGGTCACACAAGAAGTAATATAGCGTGGTTGGACTTTCGTATGGGACATGGAGAAGAACGCGGGTTATCCCAGTGGTCAAGTACGAATATTCCAGCCCTTCTTGAATCATCATATGGTATTCTTTGACAATAGCAGAGCAAACAAGTCTACTTGCCTGAAATTGCGCCTTTGCTTCTGGGTCCGTGGGGATTCGGTTTGATCTGACCATATCCTGCCATAGATCCATTGGCCGAAGGCCTAGACGGAGAGCTTCAACCGATAGCATGTGAGGAACTCTGTAGCCGGCAGATGTAAGGACAGAGGTAGTGTCGGCATCGAGACGATGTATGCAGAGACTATCACGGCTTGGGCGTGACTCAACACTATCATCCATGAGGTCATCCTTCCCCAAGAAGTTGACATGATAGCCAACCTCGAGTCCATCACGAAGGCCGAATTCAGCACGCGCAGCCGGGAGCTTGCATAGCTGGCCGATGATGTCAAGGACATGGATTTCCACAGCAGTTCGCTCGAGGAACATCAGTTCTCGCTCACTGCTAATTGGCGTGTGAGCAAATTGCCGACCGGTATGCTCCAACGCACTTATCGACGAGAACATCCGTGGCGCTGTTTCTGGTGCCGACTGGAGATACTTGTAGACAGATCTATATATTTCTGACTGTTGTGATGAGCAGTCGGCCCAGTGCTCTAGTCGTGTCGGGCAGTACTTTCCGGTGGGAAGAGGAATGGCTCCCGTGGTCGAGCGTGACGGTGTTGCAGCGCTCAAATGCCGTGAGATGAAGTCGTGGGAATGGCGGATGAGTTCAGCAAAATTAGTTGATTGAATTTTCGCCGTTGCTCGCCTTGCTCTATCTTCAGTCTGCAGACAAAGCCTTTTGGCCTGAAGAAGACGCTCTTCTTCCTGCAGAAGACGCTCTTCGGCCTCTAAGAAAAGCTGTTTGTAGTGTGGAGAACTCTCTTCAACCATCTTTTGGTGTTGAGGAACTACCTTGAGGCGAGGTTGAGAAGGCCAGAGATGACCAGCAGGGGCAGTAGCCACCGGAGGTCAACACGCTGATGTCATCTGACCTCGGAGCCGGAAGATTGGAATTCTCCGGTCAGCGCCGAGGGCGTCCAAATGATCTTCCCCCGTTGATTGAATTTTTCTGGTGAGGTCTGTTGGGTTGCACCCTGCAGCTATAATCTCGCATGGGTAATTAGAGGTCTCTTTGAAAATAGTACAGTAGGTGGCGATATGTTTTCCGCAGATGGCAAAACGACTATCACTCGGTGGATCCAGCATCTCAGCCTCAATGTGGATCTATGGAGTACTAGTAGTACTACTACTTCGCGTCCCCACAACGACACTCTACAATACACTCTGACGGCCATCCACGGATTCAGTTGCCGCGTTGGAGACTAGACTTAGTTGCCTAGGTACAGGGAAGGTGGATCCAAAATCATACACCTATGGACTTTTCTCCACCCCAGTTTCATCACAGCCAAACCCTTGTGTGCCCCTTGGGAATGAGGCAGGTTCCAACACTCTATAAAGGTCAAGATCAGCCCAACAATCGTTCAGGACACATAGGGTCAATTGCCTCACCAGGACAAGTGTAGGAAATGATGATGTCTCAGTAAGCGCTGTTGGATTAATCCCCCTCCAACTCAAGATGTTACTCAGGCAGAGACACCATTGAATATAGGAACACACTTGAATCAACGAAAGAGATCTGGAGACCATGCGCCTTTGAATGCGGGCTTGCTGTTGGAATTATTTCCATTGGCTGCCTCACTCTTGTTCCTGGGGTTTCCAAGGTCACCGTGCTCAGGCGGGCGCTTATCTGGCCCAAGACTGTTTTCAGAAGATACGACAAGGATACAGGGCGGTTATAGCTTAGCCAAACTCCCTCAGTATGAGGATTCAAGCCAAAAGTAGAACCTCGCTGCTCCTTAACGTGCTTCCCACCCAAACGAACGCCATTTTCAAACTCGAAAAGACCAGCTGTTGCGACTGAATCTCGCTATGGCTCAGCCCAAGGATTACCTTGATGCGAATGACTTCGAAAAAGATACAAGAACTTGGGTTCCCATCTCTTTTGGAAGTCTCTGATGGATGATTCACAGGTCTGACAGAACTCGACGAGCAGATGGGCCGCAACCCATTCATCGTTGCCTTTGCGCCAATCCGCTTCATCACCGCAGGAGGATACCTGGCCGTGTCCTACCTCCAGCGCCGGGAAAGTACTGGTGACATAGACTGTCTGATCGATCCAGAATTTGTAGGCGACAGAGACATTATCACGCCATTTGAAGAAGCGGTGCAGGTCGTGGCAAAGAAGTTGAACTACAACCCCGAGTGGATGAACGACGCCATGTCCATTTTCGTCACACAGAAAACCCGAAAATTGTTGTTCGAGCAAGCAGATCAACAGGACATCATACTTTACAAAGGGGAGAATCTGGAGATTCGTGCCGCGCCCATCGAATGGGCCCTCGAACGCAAGTTACGGAGGATACATGCAGTGTACAGGAACAACAAAGGAGCGATGGATATATCGGATGCCGTTGCCATGCTGAAGCACATGCGCACGCGGAATGATGGTCCCATTGGATGGAGAGGTCGTCCGAAAAATGAACATGAATGGGTTTGACGTCGAACCCGACCGTGAGACGATGAACAGGGTGGCCGATGAGTACCGACGTAAGTATGGCGAGGAGATTTTCAAGTAGTCGAATGGGCCTGAGTCGGTTCGACTTTGGAGCAGATTAGAAGATCATGATCAGTGGAATGATGTTTGCAAGTAATATCCCGACTATGAACAGCTCACTATCTTGGTAAATCATGAAACCACATCGAGACACGTCCTATTCAGACAGTATAGAGCCATCCTCTGGTTGTAACGATGTGACGTCGCGCAGAGTGAGGTGCCTTCCCACTATTGTCAAGACGCAGGTTGCCATCATTGTCAATACTTGAAGCTGGAATACTTTGCCTCAACAGATCTTTATCAAGCGGTGGGACCTTTGCGGTCCATTTCGGAAGAATCTCCGGGGTGAATGGCGGCCAGGGATCGCCGTCTTCTTCCCGAAACACATGCTGTTTATTTCTTCGCAGACCTAAGCCCAATCTCCAATTGACCGCTTCGTGGAGCTCCTCCATGATCGAAGCGACCACTGCATAATGCAGCGGATCCGGGTCCTGGGGGTCAGGTATATCTTCCAACTTCCAATCCGTTCGACCAAAGAAATACTCCGTCTCCCAGCCCATGAGAGCATAACGACCAGATAGATGGAGTTCATAAAGGCGGTATATTGATCGTAGCGGAGTATCCCGCCATCGCCAAACAGGAATCGCTCGCAGATTGTGTATCTCCCCGAAATGAGCGTTGATTATCGGATACCCATTTTGTTCGTCCTCGATCAGCTCACGAAGAGAGTGTGGACCTTGGATTGGGTAATACCATGAGGGGTACGGTATAAACATGCGTATGAGGTCAAGGAGCGGGTACCGACTGCTTCTGAGTCGGCAGAGGCTGTTTCGTATTTGCAGAGGCGAGTGCGCAACTAGTAGCCACCATCGGAATCGCGCCCAAAGAGAAACCTTGGGGCGCGGACGGCGCTGGCGTGGAGGCATTGAGACACTCGGGGCGGTAGAACGTTGCGAAACTCTGTCAGTCTGTAGCCGATCGCATTCGCCGCACCAGTGAACTTTCAGCCAAGATTCTCGATGGAAGCCGTCGAAAGTATATACCAAGCATAGATCCTCCGTACACAGCTATGCAATAACAAAGGAGCTGAGAGGAGAGTTGTGGAGGCGAAGTGACAAATGATGTCTCATTTACGGGCGGGCCGTCAGTAGGTAAACGAGACCAATGAGATCTGCCACTTAATTCCACGCACTATGTTCTCAATGTCAACAGACATACACCCAAGTTACCAAGTTGGAGTCGCCAGCGAGGTGAGAATCCACCAAATTGCAAGTCGATATGAGTATCCAGTACTTATTTCGTCATTCTTCCCGTCTGCTTAGCACTGATCAACCGACAGCCTTGTAGTATACAAACCTTACCAAGACGGGTTAGCGTGACTTGATGACTCAATGCCTAGGTGCTCCAGGGCTTCCTGTTGTTTCTTCCTTAAGTACCCTGACTCAATGGGAGGAATCGTTGACCCTCTTCATCACCTTGTACCATGTCCTTACCTAGAGATCCCCAGCAATGGACGCGTGCTGAGTTCTTAGTCTCAACGGACAAGAATTTGCTTTCCATCTCTTCAATCAACTCCGCATTCCAGCAAGACTTCATTTACTGGACAAATGTGGTCCCAGAAGCTACCCTGCAGCAGATTGTAGACAACTCATTCTGCTTCGGTCTGTACAAAAAGAACCAATCAGACCCAGACAACGACTCTTATTCGACAACCGAAAGCCAACCAACAAATATGGAGCAGATTGGATTTGCTCGTCTCATTACCGACAACATTACATTCGCCTATCTGACCGACCTTTACGTCCTCCCAGGATACCAGGGTTTGGGCCTTGGAGGCTGGCTGGTTGATTGCGTGGACGAACTTGTGGAGCCTCTCCCACACCTGAGATGGACAATGCTGCGGACGTCGATGAAGAAAAGCCAGGAGTCTTATGAAAAAAGACTTGGGATGCATGTTCTCCAATCAAATGATGCAAGCGAGGGTCCTGTTATGATGGGGAAAAAAGGCAGGGCAAACCAGGCATGATATTGGCGTCTTCAGGTATATTCCGGAAAATACAAGACCTCTTCGTATAGTAAACTTCTTTGAGTGTGGTTTTTTTGTTTCAACATTCACCTGGCAACACTTCGAAATATAGACGGAGCGAAAGCTACGCCTTTTTCAAAAGACTTAACATCTATGCAAGCATCTAGTATTTAGGGTGGAAGTCTTGAGACTAATCTACTGGAGTTCTATATTAGATCATGAGGTGCTCAACTTCTTCAGTTCCCCTATCAAGGCTCTTGACCACCCATCTGATCCCATGTAACCCATGCAAACCACAAAGTCACGTTCCTTTGCAACAGAATGCACAAGGGCAGGCAGATGAATTGAATCATGCATTACAGTCACTCCTGGATGACCGTGATCGCGAAGCGATTCAGCCAGTATCCTCTGGGCTCCCGCAGCCTGCCTCTCATCTGTGCCTTCGGCTCGCCCGACGATGACATGTGCTATCTCATTAAAAGCACTCGCATATCCATCGGCCACCCAATCTTCCGCCATCGAGGCCCGACTGGATGCCTGATGGACGGCAATGATTCTGTTCGCCCCTGCCTGCTTTGCCATACCGAGTGCTGCTCGTATCTCAGCAGTATGGCTTGCGTGGTCGTTGATGATAGTGATTCCATTGAAAGCCCCGATGCGCTCAAACCGCTGCTGCAGGCCGGGGAAGGTACTGAGTGCCTGATTCCATGATTGCGCATTAATCCCAATCTCAATGCAAATAGCAATGGCTGCTAGTGCATTTTGAACGTTCGCCAATCCAAGGGCATTGACAGTGGTGCGACCCAAGTTCGTCCGGCACTCACTTTGTGGGGCACGTACTGAGACGATGAATGAGCATCCATTGGTTGAGTATGTGATGTCCTCTGCGCGAATGTCGGCCTCTTCGGAAATTCCATATGTCACAATATTGCGATCCTGTACCGAGGACACGATCTGCCTCACGCCGGGGTCGTCGATACAGAGAACACCGAGTCCATAGAAGGGGGCATTGCACACAAACTTCGAAAAGAATTCTCTTGTATGTCTCTCGTCTTTCCAAAAGTTGATATGGTCACTGTCGATGTTGGTCACAACACTGACTAGATGGGGTAATTCCAGGAACGAGCCATCACTCTCGTCTGTTTCTACCACCATCCATTCTCCGGTGCCAAGCTTGGCGTTGCTATCATCCAGACCCATTACAGCACCAGTGATCACGGTCGGATTGTATTTGGCGGCGTCTAGGATTGCTGCCACCATGCTTGTCGTGGTGCTTTTGCCGTGGCTGCCCCCAACCGCAATGGTCTTTTTGTTGCGCATAAGCTCAGCCAGCATTTTGGCCCTGTGGATGACCGGGATTCCATTCGCCCTCGCGGCTTCGACTTCGATGTTCTCTTTGGTCCGCCATTTGATCGCCAAAGCCTGCCCTGATGCAACAACCAATTTGGCAGAGCCGACAAGAGTAGCGTCATGGCCAATGAACACTGTGACACCGGCGGCCCGCAGTCTTCTTGTATTGTCACTCTCTTTAATGTCGCTTCCTTGCACTTGGTAGCCGAGCTGGTGGAGAATCAAGGCGATTCCCGACATTCCATGTCCGCCGATGCAGACCAGGTGGATCAGTCCGATGGACGGAGGGAAGCCGGGCATTGGCGGAGTCCGCTCATTTTGTAGGCAATTTTTGAAATCTGGGAAACGCATATCACCTAAAATGCTTCCTTTATCTGTAGCGGGATGTCACCAGCGAAAGGTGTGCGACCTGAGGATCTTATGTGGACGATCAAAATCGCCCCGCAGTTAGACTGCTCGCTTTTCATGCATGTCTTACCGATCTCCCAAATGGTAAGTCATGCTCCAGATCGAGGGTACATTGTCTAGCAAAGAAATGTCAAGGTCAATGCAAACGCTCAACAGACGATCTCGAGAAGAAATGAGAATGGAATGAACTGATGCCTGAGGCAGAGTCCAACGTCTGGATTTTCTCTCCTTTTACTCAACATTGCTCCCTACTCGATCTATTTTCTGCTTGTCACAACCCGATTGAACTGGCGCTCCGCACATTATGCGATTCTTATTGATTCGGCGGATTTAAGCGATGTTGACTTCAGGGGTCAACTCGATCCCATATTGGGCCTGTACGTCCTGAACGATGAGCTTCGCCAGTGACATGATCTCTCCGCCCCGGGAGCCATAGTTCACGAGCACTAGAGCATGATTAGAGAAGACTCCGACTTCTCCTACTCGCTTTCCCTTCCAGCCACATCCCTCGATTAGCCATGCTGCCGGTATCATGAAAGATCTATCTGGCTTAGGAAAAATCGGTATTTGTGGATTCCTCTTCACAAGAGACTGAGAGAGGAAATCGTCGCAAACGAAATTCTTGAAAAAGCTCCCGGCATTTCCGACGATCTTCGGATCAGGCAGCTTGCGTCTACGGAGGATGCAGATTGCTTCACTGACCGATCTGATCGTTGGCGTGATGACCCCTTGTTCTTGGAGAATATCTTGAACTGAAGAATATTCTGTATTCAAACAGTGAAACCGCTCTTTGTTTACCCTGATGATCACGCAAGTGATGAACACATTCTTCAATTCCCGTTTGAAGATGCTGTCTCGATATTCGAAGAGGCACTCATCTCTCGACATTGTTGTTACTTCACCGGTGCTTAGATTGAAAATTTCAAGACTCAAAATCACATCACTTAGCTCGGCTCCATATGCCCCGATGTTTTGAATCGGAGCTGCGCCAACTGTGCCTGGAATCAAGGACAGATTTTCTAGCCCTCCCAAGCCATTTTCGATGCAGTACTTCACCAGCGAGGTCCATTCGACTCCTCCACCGACTCTGAGGACTGTGGAGTGGTCGTCCTGTGATAGGACTTCAATGCCGCCTATCTCATTCTTTAGGATAACGCCGTCGAAATCCTGCGTGGCAAACAGAATGTTACTGCCCCCGCCGAGCACCAAATTTCGAAGGCCGTGGAAGCGAGGTGAGACATGAAGCTTTTTCAAATCTTCCATACCACGAATACGCACAAGATAACGAGCAATTGAGCATACGTTGAAGGTGTTATACTGCCTCAGATCCACACTTTCCTCCCAGCAAAGGTAGGACATGATGTGTGACAAGGTCTGAGTACCGTTTGGCAATGCCGATGGCTGTCTCACATCAATTATGGATATAGCAAAGCTGGAAGAGTCAAACGCTTGCAAAATTTGTTCAGTGGTTTTTTGGCAGCGTAAGGTTGAAGGTACCCCGCTTGTCGAAGAGCAGATCTCAACGTGTCTGTTCCGTCTTCACAAGACCAGATCTCTCAACAAAACTCAAAGAGCGAAAAGCGAGGGGCACTACGACTGCTGGATGTGATTGGTGGATCTGATGCATGAAGCTGCAGTCCCATCACACGAGCCGATGAGCCAATTCCCCACAGCGCAAACAAGTCGGTGTAGCTTCGATTCCAGAAGGTTATTTTCGATCCTTTTCCAAGTGATAATCTGGTCAAAGTTGAACCATTGATCTTGCTATATCCAATGACAGACGCTTTTGTCATCCAGGGGGGTCGCGATGTCGCCGGACATATCTACGTATCTGGCTCAAAGAATGCCGGGCTAGCACTGATGGCGGCAACAGTGCTTACGCGCGGCACTAGCACCATAAAAGGACTTCCAGATGTATCCGATATTGATGCAATGGCCAAGATCCTTGAACATCTTGGTGCGGGAATTACAAAGCGCGATGATATTATCCAAATTAATACAACAAGCATAACAACCTTCCATGTACCTGATCGACTGGCAAACCGTTTGCGAGCGTCAATTCTACTTCTTGGTCCACTTCTTGCGCGGTTTGGACACGCTAAACTGAGCTTCCCGGGTGGGTGCACAATCGGAAGCCGTCCAATTGATGAGCATGTCAGAGGACTGGAGGCTCTGGGAGCCTGTGTCAAAGTCACTGATGACTTTGTTGAAGCACATGCTACCCAACTTCACGCCGCATCTCTGAATCTCCAAGTGCCATCCGTGACTGGGACAATGAACTTGATAATGGCCGCATGTTTGGCACACAGGATCACGCATATACATAATGCAGCGTGTGAACCAGAGGTTGTAGACCTCATCTCATGTCTCGTCGGTATGGGTGCGCAGATTCAAGGGGCCGGAACCGACCACATCATCATCACTGGTTATGATCGGCCACTTTCTCCATGCCAGTATGAGGTGATGGAAGATCGGATTGAGACAGGCACATACTTGATTCTCGGAGCAATATGCGGTGATCCACTCACCGTCCACCGATGTCATGCTAAGTATAACACGGTACTTATCAAAAGGCTGCGCGCTGTCGGGGCTTCCATTGACGTCTTGGGTACTTCAATCACTGTATACAAGGCCAAGAAGCTACTTCCCTTCGATATTCAAACCGGGCCGTATCCCGGCTTTCCAACGGACTTGCAGCCGCAGTTCATGGTACTTCTTTCCCTGGGACAGGGCAAAGGCAAAATTACAGAGACTGTATACGAGCAGCGATTCAAACAGGCCGAAGGTCTCCAGGCCATGGGCGCGAATATCCGGGTACGCGGTCAGATCGCCACCATTTCTGGCATATCGAACCTGTTTGGTGCGGATGTTGTCGGCACTGATTTGAGGGCTACGGCTAGTCTCATTATTGCGGCGATTGCTGCTCGAGGGTTTTCTATCATCAGAAATGTGAACTATATTGACCGAGGATATCATGATCTGGAGAGGAAGTTGCAAAAAATAGGTGTGGACCTCGCACGAGTACATGGAGGGTATGGAATCGACAAGACTCAAATTGAAATTGATTTTCCTTCCCCCTGGGAGCGTGCCACATGAATAATGGCCTCGGGAGCTAGCAAGGCAGGCTATAGCCACGAATTTGAGGCCCAAAACCGTTGAGAAGGGATCCTATAGAAATGAGACTAATTTTCGATTCCTCAATACTTCTGAAAAAGAAAAGAGAATTTACGTATACAATAGTTGAAAGACAGGGGTAAAACAAAGCTCGCCGAAAACTGCTGGAAGGGAAAGAAAACTTTCAAACCTCAACGGACCATGAAAGCGGGTTAATAGTGGCCAGGAGGTGGCAATAGTGGAATTATGTGAGCTATGCCTAACGCGGACTAGGGTATTGAAATAAAAAAGATACCGGTAATAATACGCACTTCATTACTGTATGTGACGGACTGAGCGCCATGGGGACATACAGGTGACAGGCGCGCTGGCCAGGATGCATAAGAAAGAGGTTAGGGTGACTTCGGGGTATGTGACTCATCTCGGAGTAATGATTTTGAACAGCAATGAACAAGAAATCCATAGACTCACATGAGTGGTGATATTATGCCAAAGACTGTGTGTGTTCGCCATGGTACGAAGGAAGCTGTTGTTTTTGAGTCTGAGATACTCCGTACACCCTTTTCATTTCGATGATTTCCGAGGGGGTTCAGTCTTTCGTTGGATCAAGGCTCTCTCTCTCTCCCGAATGCGTGATATTTCTGGGCTTTACCATTTTTCCGACCGACGAGAGCACAAGGAACACTGACTCCGTCGAGCGAGAGCAGTCTTTTGTATCGAAACAGTGTCATAGTGATATTGAGTCAAGCTGGAGAAGAATCTGACACACAAACCAGTCAACAAGTGTATTATTCCAGGGCGAGACAACCAAACCTTTTCGATATACTTTACCCCAATCAAGACGCCATCCTCATCTTGAAAATCATTATTGTCCCCAAAATCACAATTTGTCTCATCTATACACGTGAGACAATTCACAACAACACGCACAAACTTATCGCCCATCCGGCGTGGAAGCACTTCGGTTGCTAGCCGGACAAACCCATCGACGGACTTGGTCTTACCAATATCCAGGGCTTCCTTTGATTCGGCGAGACATATCTCACCCCTTTTATCGTACGCGATAAACGATCTCCAGAGCCCAATCTCCAGCATACACACCCCAAGACTGTAGATGTCATGTTGCATGGTATAGTATGCTTCTGGAAATACCCCCTGTCGGTCAGGATGGCGGTATAGGTTCTGGTCCCAGGCATCATCGCCCTGACGAAGAGAGTTTCCGTCGGCCATGCGGACGGATCGAAATCCCACGAGAGCCAGCGAGCCCAGCTGGGATACCCCATTATCGAAGACCAAGATGGTCTCGGGCCGAATATTTTTGTGGACGAATCCCATGGTGTGGACGTAGCTCACGGAAATCGCAAGCTGCTTTGCGACCGCAAAAACATCACTCAATGAGTACGACTCCTTTGAGCACAGATGATCTCGAAGGCTGCGCGGATTGGACATCGTCTTGGGGATTTTGAAGACGAAATCAAATGATTCCGTGCGGCCTGTGCCCTCGCTCTGGTTTCTCACCACCCCAAAGCATTTCAGCAAGCAGAAGTTGGTGGGCTCCGTATTGCGAAGTCGTCGGGCCAATGTCCGGATATCTTTGGTGAGGACTGTGAGGTCAGCTCCGGGGAGACAATCGGTGTGATCAAGTATCAGTGTCTCTGAGTCTGGCTGCGATAATGTTTCAACAACCGAAAGTGGTACTTTTGATGACTTGAATTTAGTAAGACCACTAGCCGGGAGGAATATGCGCTCGTTGGAGCTCGGCTCAACTGCCAAAGACTGTCTGAGGCCTTTGGCGACCGTGACTGCGGTCGTCTGGGCGGGCTGCTTGGCCAGCTCAGCATCGATGACGGGGTTGGCAACTCGGATGATCAAATACCAACTTGGATCGAAGATTGCCTGCCAGGTATTGAGCTCGTGGACAGCGCTGTCAAGGGATCCTTTCACCACAAAGGCATATTTCCATCGATTCAAACGTGGAATTCTGCGCGCACTCGATCGGTCGTGTTTCTCTTGTATTCTGCTGATCTGCAAGACAGAGACCTCAAGCTTTTGGTTCAAGATCTGCAAGACTTGGCCCTGGAGGCTCTGGTGCTCTGGATCTAAGGTGGACCAGACCTGTTTCAGGATTTCCAGCTGCAGGGATATTCTTTTCCAGCGCGCAGCTAGCAGGAATGGGCCCCTAATGGGCCCCCAGAAAAGCCCAGAAAAGCCCATTTCTATGCATAAATATGGTCTTGGCATGGAAGATTCTGCTGATTAACAGGTTTTATGTACGATTGTTCTACCTTGTAATCCTACAATCGGCTGTCTACCTAGGTAGGTATATATTTGCACCATAATCAGAAGAGCCTCGCGAACTCATTTACTTAGACATTACTGTGGTCTAAAGCTTTTGAATTTATATCAATCTCTTTCTCTCTTTCTTTACTACCTAGGTATCATTCTCACTTCTATAAACGCGTTTTTTTTTCAAGATTCATTGAGGTTATTAGTCCAAAAGGGTAGTATTTTCATACCTGACGATACTGCCAAGATCTGCATTCTTTGTGAAAAGACTAATTCTTGGCATGTTTGTAATGTTTGGGGTCCAATGGGCCCCCAGAAAAGCCCACTGGGCTTTGCCCCTGAGCCCAGAGCCCATTACCGGGCCCGAGGTCCGGCCCAAAACCCAACCCATTAGTGGGCTGGGCCGGGTTGGGCTTTGGGCTTTCTGGGCTGGCGCGGAAGTCTAGGAACAACAAAAACATGTTTTTGGATGATCTTCCAAGTGAATTTGCTGACACTGATGAAAATTCAGCTAACGTGGGTGTCTAGTTCCCAATTAGATTATTCGTTGATTTAAAAAACTTGATACAAATGCGTTCCATCTTCATGTATCAATTTCTTGCTCGTTTGGGACGAGTATATATTTCAAGCACCAGCTCCAGTAGGAACGAAGACGCGTTTCCTCTGTAAATATTGGTTAGTACAATCTTTTCGGACCGATAGGAACAGAGGAATGAACAGGTGGGACATACCGATAGACCAAGGGATCCAATCAGAGCAACTGCCGATCCAACATACGCGAAGATAAAGCTATGGTGGCAATGTCAGTCGGTAAAAAAGTCAGCGGAAACTGGGTGATAGACTTACGTCTTACTCATATTGGAAATGATGAGGTTAAGTGCAGTTTCCCGCAATTCTGGTGATAGTTTCTGGAGAACCGCACTGCTAGTACCCGTGATAGCAGACTGAAGCGCGTCGGTTGGCGTGTTGGGAAGGAGGTTCTGCAGATCGAGAGTGGCGCCGTTGACAAAGACGGCACTAGCGCATGAAAGGCCAAGAGCAATGCCTCCAATTTGGGCTATGATGTGTCGTCAGAAAAGGAGTGTTTTGGAAAGGGAAAGAGAGTTCATACCAATCATCATAAAGCTGACAGCGTAGCCAAGGTCCTCTGGCGGAACCACAGTTTGGATGACGGCGTAGCCTGCTTGGACAAATGCACCACCGCCGAGGCCCAGCATGGCTTCAAATCCGTAAACGTACGAAGGCGAAGTTCCGGCATCGATCCGCGCTGTGATGAGGTTAGTTGTAATCCATGGGGTGGACAGTAGCCCTCTATATCAGTGATTGATAGAAACATACCGAGGAAAACATTGCCGATCATAGCCACTGCAGCTCCAATGGTGTACCAGGGCATATAATAGCCCCAACGGGACATGAGATATCCACTTGATAAAATCATGCCACAAAGCAGGAAAATGAGAGGAAGAAGCCGAACTGCAGAATCAAGAGCGCTATCCCCTCGTGTAAACTGGAAGTAGATCGGGATATAGTAAATCGGAACAAATATAGAGGCGTTACACGCAGCAGCCAATATGAAAAGAAGGAGCGCTTCCTTGTTTCGAAGGAATTGGACAGGGAACATTCGGTCAATCGGTCCTGTGAGGAGAGTCCAAGACTGCTGGATGGCGAAGAGGATCCAAAGAACACCGGCAATGACGAAGAGTGCAATAATCTGCCCACTGTTCCATGCGTAAAGCACGCCACCAAAGTTGATGGGCATCATAGTTGCAACAACTGCACCGATGCTTAGGATTGCGCCAACAGAATCGAATTGCCGAAATCTTTGGCCCAGCGACAAGTGCTTGGCTGGGTGGACGCTCGGGAGCAGGAAAAACCAAATGGGGCAAAGGACACCCCCGATCACCAGGTTGATGTAAAATGCCCAGCGCCAAGTGACCTTCTCGAAGGCACCGCCGACGACGGGGCCAAGGACTGTGCCTATTCCCCAGACCAAGCCACTGGAACCCGTCAGATTAGCACAGAAAAAGACAGAATTTGGTAAAAGATGTTTGCTTACACCAAACTGAGATACATCGGGCGCTCCTGATTACTGGTATTCACCGAGAGGAGAATCATCACGCCAATGTAGATTCCAATGCCGCCCGCGCCGGCGAAGACGCGACCGACGATCTCGCCATTAACGTCGGGAGAAGCACCGCAAAGGGCGGAGGCAGCCAAGAAGATTGTGGTCGATCCAATATAGAGCCACTTCGCGTTAAACAAGCCGTAAAGCTTCCCAAGAGGCATGATCACGGCCACTCCGCCAATGTTGAAACTGCACCAAGTTGTTAGTGGGAATTTCAAACACAAGATTTTCGGAAAAAGGGTCTCACCCGACTGTAAGCCATCCCAAATTGTCGACGGAAGAAAAGTCATCGACAATAGCCTGCGGTGTAACATGAGTAAGGTTGCACTTGAAAGTCGCTAGGGACAAGGGCTCTTACCGGGATGATATCGGCGACGATCGTGTTGTCGAGGGCATACAAAAAGATGCTGGACAGAATACTCAGGACAACGAGGAACCACTAAGCAGCCGTTAGTCGGTCAATGCCCACCTAGGACGAGATTACCCGTACCTTGAAACCTCGTATTTGCCGAGGTGCATATGGATCCTCTGCTCGGTAGTCCGACAGCTCTTGGGCAGCCTCCACGTTTGACGATTTGTATTCGGAGCCGAATTGCTCCTGGGCGAGAGCCTGATCACTGTGTGTGGCAGACATGATTTGATTGAGATGGGATTGGAGTAAAAGTCGCACAGAAGAGAAAAAGTCGGTCTCTAAAAGGCCTCAAAAAGAACCTGGCGGAGACATTTGGTCAGCTGCCTTGTGGATCGGAGACGGAATGGACCGAGGCTAAGGGAAAAGGGGAGATCAGATCAGCTCCCAACGCTTAAAAATCAAAAATGGGGTGATCTCCCTTCATGCATAAATGTAAGCTTATTTCCGCATCGGGAGATCGGGGTAAGCACTAGTCCCCTTTGGGATGGTCGCCAAGCATTTCTTTGTCTCAACGCCCCGGACGCCTTACGCCAGATGCGCATATGTCTCCGCTGGGCTTACGGAGTACGATGGTAAGCTTTCTTACTTGCAGGAGGGTTCGATCGAATTATCAATCTGACTCTCTAGGATCTATAGTCTATCCATGGACGAATATATATCTGACTCAAACCTGGGAGTATGGTTTGTCTCTCACACAACATCTTCTCTCTTCATTGCAATTGAGAACGTTCTCCTCGACTCTCGCATCCACCAAATCCCAAGGTCGACCCTTAATCCTCCCACCTCAAAATGTCCCTGCAAAGAGCAATCCAGATCCAAGCCCCAAAGGTGGCAAAGCTTGTCTCAGATGCTCCCATCCCAAAGCTCCGCAACGACTACATCAAAGTCAAGACCGTCGCTGTGGCTCTCAACCCTACTGACTGGAAGCACATCGACTTCCTTGCAACCAAGGGTGCCATTGTCGGTTGTGACTACAGCGGAATAGTGGAGGAAGTGGGCTCCAACGTTACCAATGGCCTGAAGGTCGGCGACAAAGTTGCTGGCTTTGTCCATGGAAGTCAGTCACCCTCTTCCCGTCACCCATCCCCCATCCCCCATCCCATATGTCCCCTCATGCGGAGAGAAATAAAGCTAACAATGAGAACCAGGTAACAGCGACAATCACGAAGACGGTACATTTGCCGAACACATCGCTGCAAAAGCAGATCTCCAGATCAGGGTCCCCGACAACGTGTCAATGGAAGATGCGTCTACCCTGGGAGTTGGCATCACCACCGTCGGCCAGGGCCTCTATCAGTCCCTAGGCTTGCCTCTTCCAACCGAACCCGCGACCAAGCCAATCTCCATTCTCATCTACGGTGGTAGCACAGCGACCGGAACCCTCGCCATCCAATTTGCCAAGCTCTCCGGTCTCACCGTGCTGACCACCTGCTCCCCACACAACTTTGATCTTGTGCGCCGTTTTGGGGCTGATCAAGTCTTCGATTACAACTCCCCCACAGTCAGCGCAGACATCCGTGCCGCGTCTAACGATTCCCTCGCTTACGTTTTTGACACCATTTCAACTGAACCCGCCGTTAAGATCTCAGCTGAAGCAATCGGATCTGCTGGCGGAAAATACAGCAGCCTTCTCGTCGTTCAGAACTTCCCCCGCGAGGATGTCACTAGTGCGGGCACTCTGGCCTACACAGGCTTGGGCGAGACCTTCCACAAGGGCGCGAAGGAGTTCCCTGCGAACCAAGAACACTTGGAATTCCAGGCAAAGTTCTGGAAGCTTTCAGAGGAACTTCTGGCTCAGGGCAAGCTCAAGACTCACCCAGCTGAAGTGCAAGAGGGCGGCTTAGATGCAGTTCTTGACGGCGTGGATGACCTTAGACAGAACAAGGTCAGCGGAGTGAAGTTGGTTTACAAAATCTGAGTGCCGAGATGCCTGCCATAGTTATCATCCTGTCTTTTATTATGAATCAATGCAATGAGAAGTTCCAAGGTTAGAACGTGTTCCGTAACCGAAAATATTATGATGCTTCCCTAGTGACTCGTGGGAACATGGACAAACTTGGTTAACCTTTTTCGAGCCAGCTACTCGCCAGCGACCAGAAAAGTAAGAGGAGAGAGAGAAAGCTATCTTCAACTGCAAAAGCTTCCAAAAGATGACAGCTTGGGGCGATCGGATGCCAATGTCCTCTTGGTTTGGAAATCAATCCATCGCAAGAGGCATCGCAGTGACTCTTCTCCGTAAAGCAAGGTATCTGAGATTGGGCGCCCTCGGATATACCTACCTACGTAGTAGATCTTGGCATTACTCGACAAATGTCTCACGAGAGTGGCCTATATAGACATACACACGACCAAACTAGAACAGTAATTTTTCCCAAAGCCTGCGCCAGACCTTCAAGACACACGATCACCAGAGGGATCGTTACTCATACTGGATGCCAGCTTCGAGCTCAGAAAGTGTAAGGGTGATCAACATAGATGGCCCTGCGAATTTCTTTTCTCAGCCCTGGAGAACGTGACTCATGCAGAGCTTAGGTTACTTCTGGAAATATCTGTTACTATGCCGAGGGATGACTTTTGTTCACGATGATTGAGTTGACATGTAGAGATGGCATTTCCACATTTATTTTATATACAAACGGGGCCATTGCAGAACATCCTGTTAGACGTCATAGCAATACCAGATCCACTCAACTAGTAGATCATTTCACGTAGAAGTTGTTAGGGTCGGGGCCCTGTAGATCAAACTCCACCTTTGTAATACCACCAATACCGACCAAGTGGAGCGTCTTCAGATCCTTGCCGGTCCACGCGATGTTCTCGACTGGGTGATCCGTCTGAATTCTGGCAATAAGCGCGCCATAGCTATCGAGAATGTCCGCGCCGTTCGAAAGACCCGTGCCGGCAATCAGATAGCCGTTTGCCGCCACTTTGAGACCATCGGGACTACCTTCCAAGGCCTGGAAGATGTTGCGCTTTCCGGAGAGAATCGGACTACCTATTGGCGTGCGCGACACGTCGAAAGCATAAATGTTGCGAGCGTTTGTTGACGTGAAGTAAATACTAATGGGGTAGTCGTAGGTACCGCCATTAGTGCTTGCGTTTGGACCCACAGTTTCCAACCCAGTGTCGGTGATGTAGAGCGTCTTGCCATCGCGCGAGAAAGCAATGCCATTAGGATGCTGAAGAGAGGTATCTGCTATCGTGATCTCGCCAGTGGATGGACGGAAGCGGTAAGTGGCGAGCTGGTTCTGGTTTGAGACAGGTGATAAACCAAGACCATAAGCGTAATCTGGAGAGTCAAGTTTATTAGACAACGGCATGACACTTTGGGCGCAGCATGGGATGAAACCTACCGCTATCGGTAAACCAGACGTCACCAACGTCGTCCACATTCAGGTCATTGAGTCCGCCAAAGTAGAAGCCGTAATAGTTATTGACGAGCCACTCGGCCTTGAGGGTCTTGGGGTCCACGCGAACAACACCCGGGCGCTGCTTGAGGCCGTTTGGAAGCGATTGATTGTTACCCTGAACAGCCCAGTAGATCATACCATCATGAAGGATACCACCGGTTGGCTGATAAACTGGCGGATCGGTAACGAAAGACTCCACCTTGGGAGGATCGTAGTTCAGATCGATGACGATGTTGCTTAGATTTCCAGGGGGTCCATCCTGGGTGGTGAACAACTTGTTCAACTCTGGAACGTAGATGGGCGCTTCGTGGATGACGTTCAAGAGAGGGATGTAGCCGCGAGAGATTTTGGGTGCTGATCCCAACAGCTCTAGGCCGCGCTTCTTGTCGAAGATGACGAAGTCGGCATTGGGGACGTGTGCCTTCCAAGAAGGGTCGTCAGAAACGACTGTGTCGCCAAACCCAGTGGAGGGGTCTGCATCTTTGATATAAGACCCGGGCAGTACGCTCATGTAGCGGTGGATGCAAGTAATATTGGCGGACTTGGGACCACAGGTGTAAGCTACGGGGGCAATCGAGGAATTACCAGGACGGGAAACCGAGGTATTGCCGTGGGGGACTCCCATAGTGGTGCCGGCAACGGCTAGGAGGCTGGCAACAACAGCCATAGAGCGTGATGAGCTAGGCATTCTGAAAGGCAGCAGTGTCCGGAGAGAGAGGACTGAGAGGATGTTTGAGAAATGATTGACCTGGACCGACAAGCACATCCTGGGAGTCACCTTTTTATCCATCTTCTGTGCTTCCCAGAATATCCGCTATGGTAACATCGCGTCGGTAGCCTTAGGCTGTTAGGGTATGAGGCTCGCGATGATTGATGACCATCTCGGGCCGTAGGGGCCGAAAAGTGCCAAGTATTGCTGATGCTTACCACTTTCGGCTCCCGTGAATGATCCTGTTGTGAGAACATTCGGGGCATCGTGGATTTAAGCTTACCTATTAGCTGCGGAGGGATCAGAAAGACTTCGAGCTTATTCCGGTGCCGATTTGGGGTTCGTGAGCTTACTGGTCAGCTTACCGGTCCATACACGGTTAGCGTGAAATGTGGAGACATCGCAAGGGATCAGACGCGTATTTCGACAACACACGAGTAACTACTCGCAGGCTTGTGTCTGAGAGTGTTATGGCGACTGGATAGAAATGAATGACATGCATGGTGAGCTGTAGAAATATTGCAAAAGTTGAATCATGGAATAATGAAATTTTGAAGTCGACTTCTAAGCCTCAATTGCACCTTTACGACTTCTATGCACTGATCTTCGTGTTGAAAGGTAATTCGAATCCCAAAAAGTATGATTTCTATGAGCCTCCAAGTCTCGGCTTTCTATTTGTCCATGCTCGCTCGGCCTGTGCCGCGAACACAAATTTCTTCTTTCGGAATGCTATTTCGTGGCTGAGACACCCTTAGCTCCACAGCTAATATCGGATGAAACACTTCCATTTTTTTTTTCCTTTCTTTTTCCTCCGAATCAAATCTTCTGAATCGATTGGGTCCAGCGTGCAGCAGAGAGGAAAACGAACCCGAGCATGACGGATGTTCCCCCGAACAACTGTGCATACAGATAACTGCCATCGGCAACGCCGATCAATGCTCCCGCGATCGGAGGACCCGTCAGACATGCGACACTGCCAACGGTAAAGACCATACCGACCCGAGATGCTATCTTGCTCATGTCCGTGGTCAATTTCGACAAGGTCGATGGAAAGAGCGTCTGCACCGCGTTGGAACAGATACCGTAGATGACAACAAAGCAGTAAAAGGAGGAGGAGCTGGTGGCGCCAATCCATCCGAAAAGCATCACAGATGCACCGAGCACGAAAGGCAGCAACGTGTTGAACGCGCCAAAATAGGCGTCAGCGAGGAATCCTGGGACCGTGCGCCCCGGGATGCCAACTGCGTTAAGAACCATGAGTTGCGTAAGAGAGCTTGTATCGGACAGACCGATTACATGTTTTCCGTAAGTTGACGTCTGACCGATTATTCTGCGTCAGCCCGATTAAGCTCGTTGGGAAAAGGGGTAAAAAACTCGAATCGAAATCAATATGCACGTACGTAGAAATAGGCGATGTAGACACCCCAAAGAGTGAAGAAGATGCCAATTGCGAAGAGCAGATATGTTGGCTCCTTGAAGGCTCTTGGATCCACCAACGGACCCCGTGTTTGTTGGAAATGGCGCGGTCGGGCAAGGAGCAGGATCCAAACTGTGTTGAATACCATGACAAATCCCATTACCCGAATAGCCCACGGGGAGCCAATGCGGGTCGAGAGTTGTTGGGAAATCTGCTACATGTCAGCACTGTCATCCGTCAGTGCGGGAGTGGCAGGGAACAACACATACAAGTGGGAAAATCACCCCGCCAATTGGTGCCCCGCAGGCAGCAAGGCTCAGAGCAAAAGCTCGCCTTTTGGAAAAGTACGTTGAGACCAGTGCGATGCACGGTGTAAAGAGAAGGCCATTTCCGATGCCCTGGACGATTCCTTGAGAAAGCACTAGCTGCCAGTACTGCGAGACAGCAGAAGTGGTGAAAACGCCCAACAGTTGAAACCCACAGCCAAAGATGAGAAGTAAGCGCAAATGGCCACGGTCCATCAGTGGGCCTGACAGAGTGCCCAGAAAGAAGAGAAGGAAAAGTGATAGAGAACCGACCCAGGAAATGTCCGATCCGGACTTGCCCAGGTAAGTGACCCAATGCGATTCGAAGAGGCCGAATGAGGAGAAGTATCCAAATCCGTTCATAACGAGAAGGTGACTGACAAGGACTTGCGTCCAGGCCGTGATGCTGTTCTCGGAGATCTTCTCGGGGACCTCCCGCACGGTATCGGAAGGACCGAGTTGGGACTTGTGTTCCGAAGACATCGTGGACGAAGAGCTGGTTGAAGACATGATGTGAAGACAGTAATCAGACCAGAAGTGTTAGCACCGCGGAAACAGCGATGGCACGAGAATATGAGCAATTCCAACCCATGAGAGAAATGTAGCGTAAGACCGGAGCAGAAAGTCGCAACTAGAGGACGCACGCGGCCAGCCCTCTCACGCAATCCACTTGCATGGTCATGGTAAGGTCTAAGTCCCGATTCTCACCCGAGGTTAAGGCCGCCGAGGCGCCTGGGCGCGAGACGGGACGTAAGCTTGACCCTAAGCAGCAGCGTTTGTAAGCCCTAATCTTGCGACTCAGCGATGCTGACGGATATCAAAACCAGAGATGGTGAGCTGATCTTGTATTACCGACAGCATGCCTCGTCGAGGATACAGGCTGACCGTGTGGTATGTCGAGCGAATTGGGGGTATGGCACAACCATGCGGGAAACAGGGTTTCGAGTTTTCCGAGATGGATGACGGTCTGACAATGAGGAGGCTGAGGAGGCTGAATGGACTGCCAGGCGGGTCGACGAGGATGGCTGGTTTGGTTCTTATATCAAGGGCTCTGGCGTAGATGGTTTCTCAGAATCAACCAGTTCACTGTCAACAGTTTGTTGTTTAGTCTATATTCCACAGTATCCGAGAAAATGGCAACCATTTGGCAATTGATCGAGCAAAAGCTCATCCATTTGGGGGTTCTGAGAGCTTTGCTTCAGTCCAAGTTCCCCCAGCATGCCTACTTGGGTCCTTTGCTTGCATCCGGTCTCCGGGATGCATCTGCTGCCAGTGACCGTCTTGTCAAGGGCTCCGAGATTCAAGAACCTAAAGAGGTTGTGGAAGATACCAGGATAGGTGAGTCAAGCTGCCTGGAGTTGCAACGATACCAATTCTCATTCATCTTTTACTTAGCAGTCAATTCAGCAGAACTTCCGTTGGTGGTCAGCAATCAGACACTTTTGGAAGACAAGAAAGAAGTTGAAATTACCGTCACAGGTAAGACAGATAATCCCCAACAGCACGCCCCGTTCCCATTGACTGATCGTCATTGTCAAAGAAATTGAACCCGAGGAATCCGCCGAAGAGCCAACCCTTTCGCCTGCCGATTCTCTCACACAGCTCGCCAATGACATTCTTCAAGTCATCGAGGGCTACGGGCAGCATCTGCCACCCAAGCATGATGAGGCCCCAGTAACTGGCTGGATTGGTAAGTCCTTCTTCATGGACAAAGTGAAGGACCAGCTCAGGAAGGGACAACCCATTCACCTCATTCTGCCCGCATTTCCCTGGAAGAGCGTGAGTGCCCATATGAATGATACCCAAGCAGCAACAACGACTAATATGCTTCACCCCCAGATCAACAAAACTGACAAGGTCACTGGCGTCCTACCTGACTTGGGAGAAGAATTAGCACTTTCTCGCCTGAACCAGCTATGCGAAGATATCAAGCAGGTCTATCCTCTTGGTGGTGAGGTTCACATTGCGACTGATGGACTGGTGTTCGATGGTATGCTCCACCCACTCCCTGGCGTGCGATCCTTACTAACTATTGATAGACGTGGTTGGAATTTCGGATGATGACACATGGGCGTATGGCGAGGGTCTCCTCCAGCTGGCTGCGGAAAAGGGTTACGAGAAGAACATAAAGTTGCTGCGGGTCATGGACATCCTCGGTTACACTGATGGAAAGATCTTGGACAAGGACCTCTACATGTCTCTGGTACAGAAATGCCGCGATGAGCTCTTGGAGAGCTATGGACGTACAGAGGAAGAAGTCCGAACAATGATGCGCGAAGATCCCGATACGCTGCTCACCTACTGTGGCTTTATCCGTTTCCTTGAAACAGATCTGAGGTGAGACCTTCCTTGGGCGTATTGATCAAGATACTGATAAATTCTCAGGCACAGCGCGGTAGCACAAGATGCCACCAGTGGCCACAAGTTCCGCAAATGCGTCAAGAAGGTTGCGATCAATATGATGATCCGGGCAGAGGTAAGAACCTATTTTTCAAACAAACATATTTGGTTGGAGGTTGTTTCTAACTGGCTTTCAGTCATTCACCAAGCTCCTTCAAGCAAGAAAGCCGGACCATGTCCGGCTGTCCATTCATCCATCAACCGGTTCCGTCAAATTGTCTGTTCCCCTGATCATCCAAGGTAGTGGTGCCTTCCCCAAGTCGCCCTGGCACAGCAGCATTGCGCTTTCCCTCGAAGGACTCTACAGCACTGTCCACTCCAAGAGCGTCTGTGAAACACACAACCTGATGTACAAGGACGGAAGAGCATACTACTACCGGGAGAAGTCCGATCTTTGGGATTGGGACGACGAGGACGTTGTTTTTGAGCCTCAATACCCCAACCGCATGCTCGTCCACCCCCGAGCAGGCACCGAGAGCACAAAGGTGCTCACCAAGGTCCAGTTGGAAACTCTGGAGAAATTGAGAGCAGTCCACAAGGGGCCAGTCATGGTGACGGGCTTTGAGAACTCAGCAGCGATTTCTGCTAACCTGTGATGGTTGAACTGGCACCGAAAAGGGAACCTCCCATCTTTACTGGGAGGTCCGAGACTGGATTTTGTTGAGGATGGGATATATAGGCGTTTTTTTTTTTTTTCTTTCTGTGATTTTACTTCTTGAGGAGATCTTCAAATACATTGACGTTCTGTTTGACTTGAATATTGTGAAATTGACCATACCTAGGTAGGTCATGAGTACTTTGAGCATTGGAGCTTCGCCTCTACATACCTAGGTAGTAAATTTTTCTGGTACGGAACGGAGCTGCAAACCTTCAACTTGAAGGTTGTAATCTTGAACTTTCCAAGGTTTTCTTCCGAGTTTCGGCCTATGTTTTGGGGGCTCTGAACAACCTCGGAAAAATGCCCAGTTGTTATGTTTCAAATTAGATGAACAAGCCAAACTTCAAGGTTCCACATTACCGTTTCGTTTTCCCGCCGGCAACAACATGTGTAATATATATTTCGACGTGAAGTTGGTAAACACCATGGAAGTGAGGATACCCTACCTCCTGGGGAAGTCCTCGCTCAATTTTCCAACACATTATCATCGAGATACTAGGTGGAAGACTGGGCTATTCAAAGTTGATATGCAGTTAATCGAGAATACATGTGTGAGAGAAAAGACAAGTGAAGAGGTGACGACCTCGGGACCCGGGAGATATTCGATGTAGATGCTCGGCCCCGCTTAATTTCCCACCCACCAATCAAAAGAGAGCTGTCGATCTCAGGTGCAAACAAGGCAAATGATACAAACATCAAGACAAACAATCAATTCGCGACCAACAAAAGCACTTATCTGTTATGTGCAAGAACTTCACTGGTATTTTATAATGCTGCGCCTATGTCCAATCCCCCCTAAATACCGGCATCAATCTGTTCAACCACATTATGGTCGGACCACTCATCCCAATCATCGCACGTCTGTTGCATGATGAAGGGAATCTCCATATCACGAATTTCCTCTCCACGTTCAAGAATCTGGATGTTGTAGCCCAAGCTCGCATGCCAGGCAATGTGACAGTGGTATGACCAGACGCCAGGGTTGTCGGCCTCGAACTGTATTACCAGATGCCCGTATCGGCGCTGCATGTGCGTGTCACGACGTGCCGGGTTCTCGGGGTTGATGATAGTTTTGTTATCCCAAGCACCCGGTCCTTCAGATATGACTTGCTGCAAAGTTGTCAGTAACAGTCATCACCATCTAGATGCCAGTAAACTCACAAACGAGTGGCCATGAAGATGCATGGGGTGCGCCGACTGGTACACAGTGTTGAGGACGATGCGGATAGTCTTGCTCGAGCCAAAGTCGTAAACATTCCACTCTGGATCGGGGTACGAGAAGTTGCCATTATTTGCCAGCAGCAAGATTGGCTTGTTGTAATCCGTTCGTTGAGTTCGGTTGTTCATGATCCACACATGCTGGCCTGTGCCGTTGGTAAAGAGATCCACTTCAATGGTTTCTACAGAATCTGGATTTGGGTCCAACGGCTTAGGAAAGAACGGAACAGTCTTCTCCAGATCATCCTGCGGAAGTAAGTATTTTTGCTGGAGGCCTGCCTCGGCAGATACGTACATTCTTGCATAGGAAATCGTCACGGTCAGCCTCGGCAGCCGCCTCGCTGATATTGCTTTTGGGCACCTCAACATCGTAGTTACCGGCATAAGACAACACCGCGAAAGCTTCCGTAGTGTGAGTCACAGAGCAGTTCTTGGAAATGGTGGATCGAATCCAGTATGTCTCTTTGGGATCGGCATCGGCCGTGACCAGCACATCGGTGCGCTGGGCAGCCCCGAGGGTAACGAAGTCGGCTTCATAGGGTACCACCGGCACAAAATCATTAGCAATAACCTGCATCTTGTGCCCATCGATGCTAAAGTGAACCAATGCAGCGGCGCCAACGTTCATCAATCGCAGACGATGAGTCTTTCCGGGCTCGAATCGGAATTGGGACAGCCCCGCATTCGAGACGCAGGTTGCATTGCCTGTAGCCATCGAGCAGTTGTAGTTGTTCTTGCCATTGATCAAGTTGTTGTCCGACCAGGGCACGTAGACGTTGAAATCGGATGTGTTCGAAGTGGCGGCCTTCACGACATCAAAGTAATCGGAATGGTAATAGTCCCCGAGTAGCACTGGGCCAGAATCTACATCATAGGGGACATGATTGGGTCCGTAGATAATCAAGGGGCCCACAGATCCTGCAGTATACTGGGCGGAGTAGTGGGAGTGCCACCAAGAAGTCCCATACACACTCGCGCGGAATCGGTAGGTAAAGGACTTGCCTGGAGCGAGGGGACATTGGGTCACGCCAGGAACGCCACTGCAGGTACAAGAATGATAAGAATCGTACGTCTCCAAAAGGTTACAAATTGGATTCGGAGCGACTTACTCGGCGTATTGGGTTCCCTTTTGAGGAATACCGTGCCAATGAAAGGCAGTACCTTCTTCGGGACCGGTGATGTTGTTGTGTACTCTCACCTCAATCGTGTCTCCCCAGTTGGCTTCAATCGCAGGGCCAGGAAACTGACCATTAACAAAGATGCCGCTCTTCTCTGCGGGACATGGATTAGTTCAATCATAGAGCGAAGCAGCTGTCTGTGGTATGTTTCTGGAAGGCAATGTTGGAGGTAGGGCTGAGCTGGACACCGATTTGGTTGGTTGGTAGGATGTTTGGTTGTAGATGAGAGAGAGAGGGAGATGGAGAAAGAGGGAAGTAGTAAAAGAAAAACTTGGAAGAAGGAATGTCTGATTTTACGCACCGTAACCATCAGGAGACATGATCCCCCGCGAAATGACAAAGTCATAGTATCTCGTCACTCCCGTATTTGGGGCCGTCGTATATGGATCATTCTGGTGGTCTTCTCGAATCCCCCACGGAAATCCCCCGGGTAATGGCTAAAATTGAGTGAATCGTTTAGCTTTTGACACATTTCTCGTTCGACTTGAGTTCATGTTTTCGTACATTCGAATCAAGAAAATTGGGGAAAGTTGGACAGTCTAGCGTGCCCCATTTTGAAAGCCTGATGATTGTGGTTAATGTCTGATGGAAACAAAAAGCCAAACATAGATCGATCGGAAGTGAAGGAATCCTACCCATTGGTTTGTTTATGTGACAACGCCGGGGATAGACTACACCAGATGTTAGCTCCGGCTCAATCAACAGCCACGCCATGAGAGGGTTACCTGACTGCACTCACGACGCCCCATAAGGACACAAAGGAGCCACAGAGAACTGCACACTTCATGTCGGGCAAGATACAAAGATCGATCGACTTTTCCTAATAGAGAGTGATATGGTCTCTCCGATTCAGAAATGATAGACTTCGATACCTAGTAGGTGTTCCGGCCTGTTGATAATTATATAAAATGTCTTTGTCTGAGAGTGGTTAGGCCATGTCATCTTTGAAATTGACAGAAATTAGCCTGAAGATGACTTTGGTGAGAGTAGCATTTTCTCACGAAATGATCACTTCTGGCTTATCATCCATCCCTGGATGTAATACGGCCAACCTTTGCCTAGTAGTCCTAAAACCACAAAGACTTTGCTCCTCCCTGAATCTATCGAATAATCAATTAATTAACCGACTACTCACCTCGATAGCACGCTCGCTAAACCACACAAAATCGCAGCAATCTACTCAGCCAGTCATCTTATTAGCGTGCTAGACGTCCGACTGGTTGGGGGTGTAAATTCTCCGAGTTGTCCAATGAATCGACGAACATCCGAATTGCCTACCTAGGTAGTCAGGCCTTGTGTATTGATACACGTAATCCCAATACAGTGAGCTTAGTGGTAACTGTATTGTTCTGTGCTGAGGCGCACGCCCGGGCGGGTCCCTTGGTGCGCCGGGGCCAAAGCCGCCACCTCGGCCCCATTTTGGCCCGTGCCGCGGTCCACTAAGGCCCGGCGGGCTCCTTGGAGGCTTAGATGCTGTACCTTAGCGTGATCTTAGTCTCTGCTTATGGTTCAAGCCATGTCACTCGGGTCAGCTTACTTGAAATGTTTATTTCAACGCCGTCAGACACGTGAGGACTAGGGTAGCTAGGGCACGTGGCGTGATTACTGACGGTTCGAACAAGGGGCTTGAGGCTGATTCCATGCTTACAATGAATTGTTTTCAGATCGCCTGATTCGTGCCTTGTCCAGGCACACTATCCTACTGCCTAAAGCAGCTGTATGAGGGAGGCCCTGGTCTCACCCGGGCTACGGCTGAAGGGCGGTGCAAAATAATCCCTACTGAAAGCTGAGCATTAGCGATATCGAAAACAGGGCCATAGTCGCCTCGTTGACCTGATTCGCCCGCTTGTAGCACCTACTGGAAGGGCAAAATCAGGTTGACACGATGATATAATGTTGAATTGGGGGCCATTCTATCAGAGCGAGGCTTTCTTGAAATGACCGAAACAGGACAGTCAGGGGCGGATGGCTAAGGGCGTGGCAGAGGTACCTAGGTATATAATGCCCAGGTGGTGTCGGGACTCGAGAGAATACATCAAGTATATCACTACAGCTTGGAATCACAACTTCCTTCACTCTATATTCTCTTTCGTCTAAGGTTGCTTTCCTCTCCTGGTGATCTTTATCTCTCCACGCACTTCAGGTGTTTGTCCTTAGGCATCATGTTCTCCGGACGCCTCGGAGCCGTGTTGCTCTCTGCCCTTCCACTGGGATCGAATGCGCTCAGTCCTAGAAGCGAGGTCACTGCCCGTGGCATACTGGGTTCCTCGTTCGGAGAGGCGCAAAACGCCACTTACGACTATGTGGTGGTCGGTGGTGGAAATGCCGGATTAACGGTAGCCGCACGCCTGGCCGAGGACTCCAGTGTATCCGTTGCCGTTATCGAAGCTGGTGATTTCTACGAAGTGGAAAATGGAAACGTCAGCCAGACCCCTGCCTACGACACCTACTGGACGGGGAAGGACCCCGACGATGTCAGCTCCGTGGATTGGGGGTTCGTGACTTCGCCGCAGGAGGTACACACTCTTCATTCCCATGGAAAGATCTCTTGAACACCCACTAACAATTGCATCCAGGAGTTGCTAAATGCCAGTGTCCATTACGCTCGTGGAAAGACCCTTGGTGGATCCACAGCTAGAAACTACATGGCCTATCAACAAGGATCTAAAGGCTCGTACGAGCAATGGGCCAACCAAGTTGGGGACTCAGACTACACATATGAGAATTTCCTCCCCTTTTTCAAGAAGAGTCTGAATTACACCTCACCGAGCAATGCCCGTGCTGCCAATGCCACTCCGGACTACGATGCTGCATCGTTTGGGTCTGGGGGCGGACCTCTTTCGGTCACCTTCTCCAACTACGCCAACGCCATGTCTTCATGGGTGGAGAAGGGGCTGGATGCGATCGGAATCAGCCCCATTCAAGGATTCACGAGTGGACAGTTGAACGGATCTTCCTACGTCTTGGAGACTATTGACTATACCAAACAAACACGTGAATCGTCCGAGACGGCCTTCCTTCGACCCGCGATCAAATCGACCTCACTCAAGGTCTACCCGTCTACAATGGCCAAGAGAATTTTGTTCAACTCCAAAAAGAAGGCTGAAGGCGTGCTTGTCAGCTCAGATGGGTCAGAGTACACTTTATCTGCCAAAAAAGAAGTCATCGTCTCCGCTGGCGCCTTCCAGTCTCCTCAGCTTCTGATGGTCTCCGGTGTTGGTCCGAAGGCCACTTTGAAGAAACACAACATTCCTGTAGTCGCAGACCGACCTGGTGTTGGCCAGAATATGTGGGTAAGTACACATGTGTTTATGTCTCCTTCTGGAGACTAAAGTGAAAACATTCCGCTGACATGTCTAGGACCACGTTTTAATGGGACCTACCTATCGTGTCAATGTGATCACCTCTTCTTCTCTATCCGACGCCAAGTTCGCTGCCGAGGCAGATGATCTTTACAACAACAAGCAGGAAGGAATCCTGACCAATTCCGGCGGAGACTTCCTGGCCTGGGAAAAGATACCCGAGAGCCTGCGCTCGTCCTTCTCTAACAGTTCATTGACTGCCTTAGATGAGTTCCCCAAAGACTGGCCAGAGATTGAGTATCTGAGCATGAGCGGCTTCCTGGGTTACCAGGAGAACTATGCTCGTGACGCTCCGACCGACGGATACAATTATGCCACCGTTTCCGCTGCTCTGGTATCTCCATTGTCTCGCGGAACGATTGATATCTCCTCGGCCGACATGGCTGATCCACCCATCATCGACCCACAATGGCTGTCTCATCCAGCGGACCGTGATGTGGTTGTCGCTGGCTATAAGAGAGTCCGGGAGATGTTCGGCACTGAAGCCATGGCTGATGTGCTAATTGGGTCCGAGTACTTCCCCGGGTCTAACGTGACTACCGATGACGAGATTCTTGAAGTCATTCGAAAAACAGTTAGCACGGTGTTCCATGCAGCCTGCACATGTGCCATGGGGAAATCAAGCGATCCTGATGCTGTCGTTGATACCCAGGCTCGGGTATTTGGTGTTCAAGGATTGCGCGTAGTCGACGCCTCGGCATTCCCTCTCCTACCCCCTGGTCATCCTGTGGCCACTATATGTAAGTGATATTTTTGCCACTGATTATTCTCCCCAGACTTGAGATTTTGTTTGCTAATGCTTTTCACAGATGCGCTTGCCGAGAAGATTGCCCATGATATTCTCAACCCATAGGGACATCAACGCATCCTGAAATCTACTGATTCGGGGTTTTGGATTATTATTTATTCGTTGGTCGGCCAACCTCGAGTTGGGAGTTTTGTTCATAGTTGTATAGCTATCACTGAAGATATGTACAGTATTAATCCAGTCATTTGCCACCATTTCGACCAGGTTTCTGAAATTATGTTTCTTTTTTTCAGGGTCCATGGTTTTACTTCAACGATAAATATCGATTGTCAGGGGAAGAATATTGAGTGGAAGGCGTGCCCTTCTCTGTCAGATCTATCGGGGTCCACGGGTGCCTGCCTGTGTCCAATCAGCGTGTAAAATTGTGATTGCTATGTGCGTTTAGTATGCTGATCGCGCCCAGATCGGAAGGATAGCCGGTTGTGAGGCGGCTCCACCTTTCTAGTTGTAACCCTTGCCCCCAACTACTTGATGAATTTGAGATTGGGTTTCATGAAGCTATTGTGTTGTTTGACTTTAATGATCTACCACTGTATCAAACTTGAAAACATTTTGATAGACTCTGGATACCATGTTTCAAAGTACATCAAGTTTGATATGGACCAGCCCCAACATTTTGCAAAAAAATAAAGGAGGGGGAAAAAAAACCTATTTCCTAGGTTCAATTCAAGTTTTTCAGAGAACAGGGATATTCTGAAAGTCTTTGCCCATCGCGGTTTTGCCAGCATAAATCGCCACCTTCAATCTCTTTGTTCTGTGTAACTTACATAGCAATACCGTAATATATCGTCATGGACCCATTCAAAAGCAGAAATGAGCATCTTGGGGCAAACTAATCGACAAATAAGCTCAAAACGTTTCGCAAGATCCCTTTTTTTTTATGTATGTGCAGTTCTTTGAGAATCATGTACATATCCATGGATATATCAATGAAGGTCCCAAGGTTGCAACCTTGACATTACGCGCGGTAGTCGAAAGATCTGATCTGATATATTACAGACCTCGGGAGGATCTCTGACCGGTTTCTGGCAAACCTTCAAATTTGGTATCCATGGAACAAGCTTGGTAGTTTGGATGTATTCTTAAACGCAGCTGCGGTAATTCATTTCATTTTGATTTAACATATGGAATCATTACTTCTTGATTGAAAAACAAAGCCTAGCATTTGTACTGGCTTACCATGAAGGCTCGGCGCCATCATATCGGTTGAGTCCCTCGGCCTTCTCCCAACCGTCGACGCGGATGTTGAAGAATTTACCGTTGGCCTGCTTGTCGGCACGGTCGACAACTTCTAGAACTCCATTGGCACTTTGGTCGACGGTCAAATCGGCCGAAGCACCTCCAAGATCGGTCTGGACCCACTATAGGACTGGTTAGGAACAATGGAATTTGGATGAGTTGGTGGATACTTACACCAGGGGAAAGAGAGAAGATGCAGAATCCCTGATCGGCAAATGACTGGGCGTATTGCACAGTAAGCATGTTCAGGGCGGCCTTGGAGACCTTGTAGGCGGGGACAGGGAAGAGTGAGTAGGTGGAGGCCATTCCAATGGAGCCAAGGGTAGTAGAGCTGGCCACTATCAGTATGTTGCTTGCTTCAAAATATGTGAAAATGGATGGCTTACACATTGGCCACCTTCTTGAGGTTACCCTTCTTCAAGAGCGGAAGGAGTGCGCTGGTGACGAGATGAGCACTGGTGACATTGGTAGTGAAAGAGGATTCAAGATCAGTCCTAGGTCAACGAGTCAGCTGGAAACTCCGAGAGCGAGGGAATAACTGCTGGTACTACTCACATGGTCTCAATACCGTCGGGGGTGTAGTTCATAATGCCGGCATTGTTGATCACGACATCAAGGCCCTTGCCGCCTAGGGACTGCTCAACCTTGCTGGCGGCCTGCTTGACGCTCTGCTCAGATGTGATATCGATAGGAACGATCTCAATGCGACCATCGTATTTGGCGGCCAGATCTTTGAGAGCCTGAGTCTCCGTGCGGGCGGCAGCAAAGACGATGGAGACCTCCGAGGCAGGCCTGGCCGCAAGAATCTCAGTGAGCTTGAGGCCAACACCGCGGGAGGTACCAGTGATGAAGTAAGAGGCCATTGTGTTGTGTAGTTGGAGATGTGTGAGAGATGTTGGTGAAAGTGAAAGATGGTTGATCGAATGTGTCGAAGATAAAATCCAGAAGGAATTGGCCAGCCTTTTATGTGTTTACCCCCCGGGGGCCACGAGACATTCGATGTAAGCAATCATTTCAGCTGACTCTCCGGGTCATTGACAGGGGGGTAAAAATATTTAATGTGCTTTGAAATCAGGGTGGGCCGTTGCCCTTTCTGCGGCGCCTGAGTATAGCGCCAATTGACTTTGGCCCCATTTCTCGCACCGCTTTGTTAGTAGCGGTTGATCTAGTTACTAGACGCCTTCGACCATCGCCCTAACAATTATTTGAGAAAAGTGACCATTGCATTCGCCTTCTTTCTAGGCTAGAAACCCTGTTGGTTGACAAGATTACAAATAGTTCTGTTTGCGAAGTTGATTTATAACTCTTCGGCGAGTTGGAACAATTGAACAGCATGTCTAACACAACACTAATCCAGCCATTTTCGGCTTTCCTCCACCTTCCTGACCACCAAATCTATCGATTCAGGGTGAGCCCACAGACAATTTGCAAAATCCACCCCTTAACCCCTCTAGTTGCGCGGTCATCTCATCATCTCCGAGCATCAGCTCGAGTTCAACTCCGATCTTGTAAAGCATGTTCAGCTCGTCCACTATGGTGCCGATGCGCTTGACCAAACGGTCTGCATGCTTATTCCCAGGACTTTCCACCACTGGCTATGGATGTTGTCAGAAACGAGAATGTCATTGCACTGAGTGTGGGTTTGAAGATCTTACCTTGTGATAGCATGTTTGCCCATTTGTTGCCAGTGAAACAGGAGACGCTATCAAGGGCGCGCTTTCTTGACATCCAATGTCGACCTGACTTGACAGTTCCACTCCTTGCACGTAGGCCCGTCGTTCACCCACATCTACAATGGGGTCCGCCACAAGGCGAGGCGACAATGCGATAGTTGATCGAGAGAGATCAATAGAGGGGAGTAATGTTTCCGCAAGTCGCGGCGCCTGAGTGGAAGCAACACTGGAAGAGGAACTGCTCGAAGCGTCCGATAATCGCGCTAATGTGGACATTGCCTCTGGTATAAAATCCGGGTCTTGCTGGGGGCAGTCGGCCAGCCACGACAAGTCCAGCGCTGCGTTTAGTCGCTCTGGGCCTGTGAGATCCAACGGGAGGGGAATGACAAGTTCAGGGTCTGTTACTGTCGCTTGGGTCTTCATCTTGCGACCTATCTTGGCTCTGCGGATCAGAACCTAGTCTCTGCAGCTGGTGCTTCGGGGCATGCACACTTACGATATTTGCGTTGTGCGGCCTTGTTCTGAAGCCGTCGTCGCGTGGCCATGTCTTCGATCTGCGACCAGTCCTCATCTGATGCAACGGGGTTTTCTTGCCCCTGCCAGGTCAGGGTGGGTGCCTTTTGACGCATCGCTGAAGTGTCTCCCATTTTTTCCCCAGGCTTGCTCGGTATATATCCTTTGTGTCGACCAAACGCAGATTGTGTCTCTTAAGTGAGATTTGTGTTGGTCCGCCGCATAATATCTTAGGTGTCGCCGCCCCCAGATGTCACTTTTAGTTCGGCCTCCAAGGTTACATAATATCTGACTACGTTCGGGGACGCCCACATCTACGTCCTATTGGGTGTCAAAATGATGAATGCGAGATCTCGCCATCGGGCACGATCATTTGACTGGCTGGGCATGCTTGCCATTCTTGGTAAGTCTGATGCGCCTCTCATTCGTTGCTTGTTCTCCTGGGCTTATTGCTTATTCCGGTAACCCCACACCAGTGCCCCTGCTCATTGGCCTCGATGATTCTAAAAAGCACCGGGGTAGAAATTAGTGGTGGAAAAAGATTTCACGCTAACACCTGGATCTACGAACATCTGCGGAGTAATTGGTGCTCATGGCGGAACCCTGCCGTTGGGTATCTCGTATTCTGGTATGTTCGCGCTCAGAGTGTGATCGATACATCCGCGGAGGCAGATCCCAATAACAATCCAGATCGATTGCGTGATTTTTTCTTTCGCACCCCGGCAGGTGGAGAGGCTCGGCGTCCCCGGGGGCCGTAACTCTTATTTTTCAGCCCCATGATCCACCCGTTGACAGGGTCGGTATGATCCGTCGTTCGCGCCTTTTCCCACGGTCGCCCGTGAAAAATACACGAAGGATTCTCCATGCATCGCGATTGTACTTATGTAGGGAATACACCCTTCTAGATCCCAAGGTTGCTATCCTTGGGCACGCCAAGCATCACCTCGGGAACATATATACGGAGTTCATCGGACAAAATCCGCATTGCGAGCACGGTATCCGATACATTGGCCACTGCACCCATATCACCATCCGCAGTGCGAGTTCTCCCGTGTCTTATTCGAGGCCCCCTGTGTGCTATAAGTACGAATTAGTGTTGGTGCAATGCTTTCACCTAATTGCCATATGTCTGTCGTTTTTCGAATCGGGTAGCATCGATACAAGAGACAATTTTTCTACCTACAAGGTTCTTCTCGAAAATGCGCAGTGTTACCTTAGTATTGCTCCAATTGTTCCAATTGGAAGGTGACCCGATCCCGATCCCGTCGCACGGTTCGACACGGGCCGAAACTAATCCACACCGCAAACCCTATGCTCGGCCTTTCCGTTTTACGTGTTGGCATAACTACACCTTTTACAGCACTGAGTTCGAATGTACCTGGAATCGTGGCTGTGGATGTCAAAACGCCGACCGTCTCAAACTGTGCCGCAATATCCAATGAGGTCCCACCACATTTCGACTAGGAATCTTAGTACGACGATCACGCAAGGGATGTCCCGCTGCCGCATAACGCTAACTTTGGAAGCGGCTCTCGACCGATTCTCGCCCCCGCCACCGCTGGGCAAGAAGAGGTTGTTCTAACCTCTACTCCATAAGGGGTCCCCACTACTATACATAGGCCCTCGTGTTCGGAGCTTTCAATGTAACATAACCATGACGGGAACCTTGATCATCGAGAACCAGTAGCAGCCCGGTGAATATACTAACATGTATGTATTATATCAATCAGTAGTACCGAAGTCAAAGCTGCCTCAGCGACAGTTTTGGGAGGTTATACTAGGTGCAAGGAACTGACCATAGCAGTGGATCTCACCTTGATCTGCGGGGCCGTGCCGAGGAAGGAGTAGAATAAATTACTTTGTACTAAATGTATTGCAGCACCACATGTGGACCAGACTACTGTTAGTCTTGCGAGCCTTGAATCCCTCAACATGTAAACATGTGGATCAAATGATTTGTTGAACACAATACATTTGTATATGAATAACCCCACCGCCACTCCGCTCAAGTGTCAGAAATGGATGATTTTTACCTATCTTGGGGCGATTTGGCGAAAGCCGTAAGCTGATGGGGACCTGTGGGCCCGTGAACCAGTGGACTTAACTCTGGACACGAAGAGTCAAGCCGCCAACTACCCCGAGGTCCACATTCGATATCTTTAGATAGTGTAAATTTAGTGGGAGTGGAGCGCTCACGATATACCGGTGATATGTGTGCATTTGTAAAAACACCGAGCCTCCAGAGGGAAGTGAGAGGACCTGAATCTTGAAAGAAGTATGTTTTCCTGTGAGGTACTCGTGGAAATTTCTGCCTTGAGCTTTTGCTTAGACCCCGAGAAAGCCATGATATTGGAAGCCTCATATATCAGGCTGCAGGCATGCTGTGGCCCGAAGACATCAAGTTGTGGCACTTTTAACGTTACACATAGACAGCAAGATCTTTGAATTTTATGGTCTTAGCATGCATTATCCCAGGGGAGATTAGATCGAATCTATTCAATGGCCAATACTTGAAGATCCATCTTGGCAATAGCGAAATTTCTGAACTAAGAATTGCTTAGGGGTTTAAAGGTGAGACAGTCGATCACCACTCTTGGAACATTCTATGAAGATTCGTCTGACTTAGAAACTATCTTCCAGACCACAAAGACAGGGCGCGTTATTGGCGTGACGCCCGTAGCCCATGTCATCTTTCCCTCGGCATGCGGTCGGTCGGGTACTTTGTCGATCACGGCTCGGCCTGCTCCTATACACTTTGGGCTCTGGTAGGTCTGCCCCTGCGATCACTGGGAGCGTCATCCACAGCCATTCCGGGAAGCCAACAGCCGCATTCTTTGTCCAAGTGCGAGGAAAACCGTCCACGCGGGCGATGAGAATGGCGCTCCCTCTCTTTGCGTTTCCCTTTGGCGTCCCTCTCTCGACAGGAGAATCAATCTTGCCTCTTTGGCATAAGCTCCTTTCAGTAGCTTCATCAAGGAGTGAGTTGTCGGTGGTGACTCTCGCGGCGGCTGGTCTAGCTTGAAGAGACTCGATTTCCGTTTGTACCTTTGCCACTAGATCTGAGAACGTCTGATGGGTGATGAAAAAGACGGCTTCGGTCTCATGTTCACCCCAAGGCAAAACCCCTGCCCAAAGATCCGAGTGCATTTGCATAGAGCCTTTGGTGGGATTCGACCTCTCCACGCGGCAAGCGTCGCTCGACCGGTTGCGGTGATGTTACGTGCCATGGATTTCGGCTAGAAGACCAGTCGCATGACATATAGATGAAATGTATATTTGATTGACCTTGCACGTCATCTGTTGGTTTGACCGGCTGTAGAAAGTGTCCGTGAGTTGATTGCCAACCCATCGTCGGTAACAAGAAGAACTTACCTGAGCTTGCGCTTTCGGAGATCTGTGAAGAATATGGGCATTCAAGTGAATGGGTGAATTGTCCTTCGATCGAGGAAGCTCTACTGCTTTTGATTTCGATGAATGACCCGAGAAAGGGGAAGGTATCAGGAAATGGGCAGGCGCTTCTGGAGCTGCTGTCGGGTCCCGGGGCCTCATCTTCAGTTGAATGGAATGAGATGCCCCAGGTCCAGCACTTGAAGACAATCTTGCCATGTTTGTGGCCATTGATGTGACTACCTAGGTAATTGTGGGAGCAAGAACCCAGAGAAGTGATTGATTCCTCACTCAGTGCAATGAAGAAGGGAAATGTTTTTTTACGAACTGCGAAATCCTCTGGTATGGAGTACCTAGAAAGTCCAGAGGCAGTAGTGTGGATTCAACACAAGTGAACTATACGAAGTCAATCCACTTCAGTTATTGTCGCTGCGGTCAATACAACTGAAACAGAACAGTTCACAATTTGAGTAACCTAGGCGCCGGTGAATTGGAGTGGTGTCAACCAATAAAACAACGTCACAAATACTCATCTTCGACGATGTAGCACATCGCAGCGTCGTCCACTGACCCCCCTTATACTAGTTCCAAGTTCCACCTTCATATTTACCACCCCGCGGTTTGAATTTTAACAGAGGTTCCTTCACATTACTCGGTACCATGCTGGTTTTACACTAATATTTTTGTGGACACCGCAGTTAAGTCCTCTAACTCGGATGGTCTTGGCTATTCTCCAGATAGCTCACTCACTCTCTTCTCTTTGCTTTTCCCTGGTTCATCCTTTCTTGTAGGGATAGAACCAATCTCTTCTCTGGCTCTTTACTCCTAGTGGTAGTTAGATTAATCTTTTAACTTTTATTTTTTTTTCTCCGGGTACTGAAGGCATACTGAGAAATATACTGAATTACAATCCTGCAAATTGAACGTTGGATATAATGCACACTCTAATGTGAATAGATATTCAGAAAGCTTTACGAGTAAAGTGAATATAGATCAAGAAACACTTGATGGCTAAGTGAATTGATCAGAAATGAAGGATTGACACTTCAAGGTTCAACTTTATACCTACCTATATAGGTAAGCTGAATCCATGGAGAATACCTGCCCCATTTACATCCTTCTCATTCATCCCAAGGTTTCCTTCCGTCCTTCTGTTCTTCCTTTCTCTCTCTTCTTTATCTCTTCCACACACACGGCCTCAGACCTTGAGCCATCTACAAGCTTCTCTGGTTGATCAGACTGCCCGTCCTCGTCCAGTCTGCGTCTTTTCGCCTTCGTGTCCCTCCCGTGCCTCTTTGAGGTTTGCCTTCTGTCTCCCGTCCGGTCCGCCCCTCTCTGAGGCTCAGCTTCTTTTTCCCGGTTCCTGTTCGACCCGTTCATCCTTGAGGTTCGGCTTTTCGGTATAGTACTCTGAAGCCTGGTCTCTTGAGCTTGGAATACTAACAAATGAGTCAGAAATGGCCTCACGCGCCCACGTCCCAGATCTATTCCGTTACCCGTTGGGGGGAGACTGGCCTCGGGAATTGCACGATTCATTCAAAAGACTCCAACAATGCAGTATCAGTGTTGGAAACAGCCACACTTACATCACTGCGAGGCTGAGAATCCGTCCAGATTCACAGTCTCCATGGCTCGACGTCCAGATTGGTCCCATGCACATCGCCATCCCTGCCACCCGGGCAGCTATGAGATTGGTTCTAAAGGGCTCCTCCAATCAGCAGGATTCTTTCATCGAAGGACACGAGAAGTCTCTTCCCACAAGACGAAACGGTTATCAAACCTGCTTCTTTGAGGTGGACCCATCAATTGGCCCTATATTCGCTGGTCCGTCTTGGCTTTTGGACGATGAGCAACTCGCCATCCTTCACAAGATCCAGGATATTGATTGGTCTCACGAGAAGGTCAATATCTGGATCGAGTTCCCAGACCAACGCCTCGGGGTATACCGACAAGCCCAGCGCCACATGAATGAGTTGGTGAAGCTTGTTCGACAGGCCCTCCCCGCCAATGGAGAGACGCCTCGGACTTGGTATGTCCAGCGCAATCCTTTGCCGAATGCAGAAAAAGCACCACGGCGCCCGAAGATGCCATGGCTATTTGATCGAGAGGAGTTCCCGGAATACCATATCTGGCAGACAGCGGTGGACTTTTTCTTGGATGATATGGATTGCCGGTCGCGACTGCTTGAGGCCGCATTCGTGGAAAAGCATTTCCTCTGGTCCACCTATAATGAGGCCTTTCACGAGAGCAAGGAGCACGAGGCTATGTTTGAGCAATCTGGGCCGAACGAGGCGTACTGGAAACTCCATATCTGGATAAATGCCAGGCCCAAGCCAGCGCCCCCTGAAGGCACGAGCGCGAGATATGAAGTCGATTTGGCGGATCTGGATAATCGCAAATACCCAGAGGCATACAAGGGCAATGGAATCTGCATTTTCTCGCCCCATGCAGATTTTGCCATCGTCACTCGTGCGCCCTTCGAAGCCGAGTTGGACGGGCAGACTCGAAAGCTGAGGGTCGCCCTGACGCTCAGTCTGAAGTCTACCCAACTGCAGATTGACGCCCTCGACATGGCCTCAAAGGTGGTATCCTTCGGCGACAATCCCAAGCACCAGGGTGAAAAGGGCTACTCACTCCGACGGACCATTTTGGCGCACGGAACCGAGCTGTCCACAGACGACCGTTCGGCCTTCTGGTTAAATGCCCAGAAGATTTCGACCCTGCGCGATCAGGAGAAGGAAAGGCGAGTCGACTATATCTGGGAAAAGTTCCCATTGGATCAGTCGCAAACCGCGGCCGTGCAGAGGTCGGTGTTCCAAGTGCTCGCTGGGATTCACTTGGTCAAAGGCCCACCTGGCAACGGCAAGACCCGAACCACCATGGTCATCCTCTTGATGCTAGCCAGCCTGAATCTTCCGGTCCTTATCTGTGCGGGCTCAAACCAGGCCGTCGATAACCTCTTGATCGCCTACCAGGATGCCCTTCACGGAGATGAAAGGCTTCGGCAATGGTGTGGGAACTACTGCCGGTTCCAGGCCCCGTACTATCAGATGGCATCTCTGCGCCGGGCAAGCCAGCACCGAGGAATCAAGAGGAGAAATGTTCGGCCATCCTTCTCTGAAAAGGCTCTCGAAGCTTGCCAGATCGAGTCTTTGGTGGTCCAAGAAGCCAAAGATCACTGCGAAGAGCATCGGCAAGCCGAAGAATTCTTGGATGCTCTGGATAAGGATCGCGCGCAGGGGTTGACCAACGAGGAGGCCCGCTGTCTTCAGCGCACCTACGAGAATGTGCTCCGCAGGGTTCTGAAAAGAATGAGGGTTGTCGCCGTCACGCTAAGCGCGTCGGGGGACCTTCATCGACAAGGCGTTTTCCACCCATACGCCATGCTGTGTGACGAGGCCGGTCAATGCTTGGAGAGCGATACCATGATCGCGTTGACAGGGTTTCTCTCCTTGAGGTCGATCACCTTAATCGGTGATCCTGATCAGCTCCCCCCGACTGTGTTCTCAACGGATGAGAACGAGGGTGGCAACTTTTACGCCCGATCTCTGATGTCTAGATTGGCCAGCTGCTACCCACTCACGTTGCTGAACATCAACTACCGATGCCACCCCGAGATTCTCGATTGGCCCGCGAAGGCGATCTACAAGAGCAAGATCACTGCTCGTGACGAGAACGTCAGGCCCGAACGGGTGGGCAATGTATGGGAAGCATTCACCCATCCCCTCCACCATTTCCGGGTCAAGGGGCTTGTTGGGAAGCGGCGTCTTTTCATTGATGCAGATGGCATCGCGGAACAGCCATACGGATCCACATCCTGGCGCAACGATGCCCAAATCACTGTTGTGATGACATTGCTCCAGGCACTGTATGCGAAGACATGCCCGGCCGGTCGCATTACACCCAGCGACGTGATGTTGATCAGCCCCTACAAGGAGCAGGTGAAACGAGTTGTTGAGCGCTTCACCAAGGAGGGGGTGGAATACGGCCGTTGTGTGACGGTGGACGGCTCTCAGGGCCAAGAGTCGAATGTGGTGATTTTCATGTTCACCAAACCGCACACCGTGAATTTCACTGGACTAGGCTTCTTGTCTAGTTACCAGCGGTTGAACGTGGCCATGACACGCGCCAAGAAGCTGATGATCGTTGTCGTCAATATGCGCATCTGGAACGAGAGGTTTGCCGTGAAGGCAAAGACGGGCAACACCAGATTCTTGGCCAGCCTTCTCCAGGATGCGGTCAATAAGCGCGACGTTTTGAGATGGGAAGGCCCGCTAACCGTCTACAGGCCCTTCGAATCTCCCGCCCCCCCTCGCGCGAGCCTGAGGCCAAGTGCAAATGATGACCTGGCCGTGGTCACATCAAAGCTTGAGGACGTATGTATGTCCGATGCTGAAAAGCAGGCCGGAAAGAGGGATCGGGCTCGACGGCGCGCGGAGCCCAAAGCTGCTTTGGCGGCACTCGATGCAGAGGAAGAGGAAGAGGAGAGACAGTCACGCCAATAGGGCTCTCTAGACTTTGAGATGAATTGAAGCAGTCGGTGCCAGTTTTTGCATTTGTTATTTGTAGAGAGAAACCATAGTCTGTCTACTTCGACCCAGACACCTGGGGAGGACAACTGTCAATGTAACAATAGGCCCATACTTGACCGCTACGCTAAAAAGGTGTCCAGTTGCATACCGGAGTTAAGCTTCACCTGGGCAGGGCTAAGTACGGTGTAGTATCACGTTATTACTTCCAATGTTGAAGATGTAGTGACCTAAGGCGTCGATGGTGATTGCCCTCATAGATGCATTCCCTTTCCTCAACATGGTCGCAGCGATAGACCCAACTGGGACTCGAAGCTCGTAGTTTGACATCGGGAGCTTGTCTCTTGATCTTTTTCGGTCGATCTCTTTCGATGATCCCAATCACTGTCTACCGCCCGTTCGGCTTTGGAGTTCGGCTTTCTTCCCTTGTTCTGTCCCGTTCTTACTTGGGTGGTAGAAGTCGAAAAGTACAGCCCCGATTTGGCAAGTGCTATATTATAGGTTGGGTATTAGAATCTCCCAGTGACAAAATACTAACTTCACCATAGGCATATCTTTAGACATAGCTTTACAATGGGAGACTCAACACCAAGTCCCTCGTCGAAGGAAGACATATGCGATCCTCAAGTGAACTGCCTGCAACATTCACCTCGTCATCGGTGCCTTGTGTTTACGATAACACCATCGTCCTCGCCGCAACGCACCCTTCTATCAAAAGTGCCCACCAAATGGAAGACAGGTGGTTTATCTCCGACTTCTATGCCTTTAACCATCTCAAAGGTCAAGGTCAGAACCTTGGAAGCAGACGTGGCTGACAGCCGCCGATCCAACAACGCTTGTCCACAAATATGGTTCATACCTAGATAGCAGTCCTTACGAAGAGCGCAAAATTTACCTTTGTCGCGACATGCTGGATCAAGATCAACTGATCCCTGTGATCGTCCTTCGGTCGAATGAAATGATTGACCGTTTCCTTCTGAGGGGTTTTATAGATCCACGCAGACTGCTTGAATGTTTGTGCCTCTAAGTCCAAGAGCCAAAATAAGGGAACCGTTTCCATCCAATATCCGATATGGTGTAGTGGCTAACATCGTCGTCTCTCACACGACAGCCGGGGGTTCGATTCCCCCTATCGGAGTTCTTTTTTGGTATAATTTTTGGACATTCCGTTCAGACGGTTTCCTTGCCAATATTGCCTCCGCACTGGAAGTAACCAAGAGTGGCATTGCAACTCGTAGGAATCACTACTCCGTAGTGCAGAGGACCATTTTCGGAAATTTTACTCCGGAGATTCTTTGTGAGTCGATCGATGTGGACCGAAGGCCCACTTCCAATCAACATACAATCCCTGCTTGGACTCCAGCTAAGCTGAGCATGCAGATCAAGAGAGATGACATTTACATACATTTCTCCTTGCATCTGAAGAACCCCAGTTCTTACCCGGACACTCAAAGATCGATTCATGTGGATTTCAAGTGCGATGACATAACAGATCACGTGTATAGTATCAACATCTGGACTCCGCGGCCAACACCTTCACCCGCAACCATGCCGCCCAAAAGCTTCTCACATCCCTACCGGCGAAGCTCCAACGCCTCTGAAAAAGATTTCTTCGATATCCCGGACGAGCCATGCTTGTCCGTGGCCAAGCGCCAATTGCGCCGTCTCCGGACATGGGCCATAGTGGCAACCCTGCTACTATTCGTCATGTGGTATCGCCGTGAAAGCCCGCCGCCGCCACCCCTACCGCACATCCATTACGACGAGGTCGACTGGTCGCGCTTTGCCTATACCCAATATGCCACCAACGAGGTGTACCTGTGCAACTCCGTCATGGTCTTCGAGACCCTAGAGAGGCTGGGGAGTAAAGCAGAGCGCGTGCTATTCTACCCCGAACAATGGGACCTCATTATCGAGGATGAATATGATCGCATCAGTGAGCTGTTGCTCATGGCCCGGAACAAATTTCGTGTCATGGTGATCCCAATCAAGATCGAAGGGGTCGAAGGCTCAAGAGGTATGTATCATTCGATTGAAAGGCAGTACTCGGCTGACAAGCGTAGGGATTGGGTCTGAAGCATCCTGGGAATCCAGCTTGACCAAATTGATGGCCTTCGGCGAAGCCAACTACGATCGCGTCATTCATCTCGACTCCGACGTCCTCCTGCTCCAATCGATGGACGAGCTGTTCTTCCTCCCACCCACAACCGTCGCCATGCCGCGCGCCTACTGGCTGCTGCCAGATAAATCCCTTTCCTCCCTCCTTATCGTCGTCGAGCCCTCTTTCCGCGAATACAACCGCATCACAAATGACGCCCTTCCCGCCAAGACGGGCCAGATCGAGGTGAATGTGACGGATCATCGCTATGACATGGATCTGTTGAATGCGCGGTACGGGGACTCGGCCATGGTCCTCCCGCACCGTCAGTATGGACTGCTTTCTGGGGAGTTCCGCACGAAGGATCACCGCCGGTTCCTCGGCAATGACGACGAAGTCTGGGACCCGGACCATGTCCTTGCGCAGGCGAAGTTCGTGCACTTCTCAGACTGGCCGGTGCCTAAGCCGTGGGTGATGTGGTCCCAAGATATCCTGGCACAGGAACAGCCAAGGTGTGATCACAACCCCGGCACGCCGCAGGAGAGTGGATGTCGGGACCGGGAGATTTGGAAGATGATTTATGACAAATACCGGAGGAAGCGAAAGGTAAGCTCTTCTCGTGCATTGTACAGGAATTCGACTAATTGTCGCAGGATGTCTGCAAGCTGCTCAGTTACCCAGCGCCCAATTGATCCGGACCGTCGAGCATATCTCACATTTGGTGTTTGGGATTTTGATATTACCTAGGTAGGTTTGTACATTTACATTAGACACGACCCGTGACGATAGACATATATTAAAGATCTCCGCAACAGTCGGAGATCTTTGAATCAAACTTGTAACAACAAGGGGATATCTCGATTAACAGTATATATATACAAGTAACAGCCTCATGCATACCCCATACCCCTCCTCCACCACTTCCACACTCCCCTCTTTGCCATAATTGCCCCAAACTCCTTCACACTCTCCACCTCATCCAACCCCAATGCCAGCCCCGGACCCTCTGCCTCTCTTTCGCTTGTCTTTTTCCTCCCCTCCGATTCCCCATCTCTTTCCACCTCCAAGGCCCCGGGTCTGGTCACCAGCTGAAAGTCCTTATATCGCAATTTCCGGACCACATCAACCCACGACTCGACTCGCTCCTTGCCCTGACCTTCCACGTACATGATCCCCGGGCACCCGCCAGAGCGAAGCAGGACGGAGCATTGGTGTGTGTCTGCCGCTCGTTTCAGCGCAGCAACCTTCTTGCGCGAGGTGATGTGGTGTGTGCGAATCAGGGCATTGTGGAGAGCTTGCATTTTGGGGAACAGAGAAGAGGATGTGAAGCTTGATGTTGCCCGTGTCTGCGCTAGGCCTAATATGGTAAGTGTATCTGCCTGGGGAATCAGGCCAGTTAAAAAACCCCCGGAGCTGCAGGACCTCGGCATTCACTTGCAGCGCGGGGACGAGGACATGACAGAGGGATCAGCGGTCAGCAGTTGCTCTGTTCACGGGTGGTCCTGGCGTTGGATAGCCTCTCTGCCCAGCACTATGACCGAAGTGCCCACTACCGCCATTACCGATGCTCACTAATACACGAGGATTCCCAGGGTTAGCGGTGGCTGGATCTAGGTGATGGAAACATTTGAAGCGAGAAGGTCTGACTCAGAGCGCAGAAACCAGTGACATGAAGCAATTCCAATCCCAGTACCTTAGCAGACCAAAGTGGCAATATAGCCCTACGCATACATACAGTCCGCAGAGTCTGGAACCGGTGGAGCGCCTTCTCGTCTTGGCTTCCTAATTGCGCTAAACAATCGCGCGGTCGCCGCGGGGCCCGCTGGATTATTCTTTTTTTTTTTTACTGTGGCGCCCGGAGACGATCCCGATTTTCGTGCGAAAAAAAATGGTCTGTTCGCTCCGGCGAGCTGCCAAAGCTGGAGAATCTATCGCAACCAATCTCTCCGAGCCCCCTCCATGAAGTCAATCCCTTTTCCCTGATTGGTCTGGGGCAAGATGTATCCGATATATGCCCCATATAAGAAAAGAAGTTTCCGCTGTTGAAACACGGGCATCACTTGTACCTTGGCTTCCCGTTTAGTGGAGGCAGACCTCACTGTGGTTCCTATAAGTCCTGATAGATTCTTTATAAATATACCACTTCGTCTACTACCTCACCTTCCAGACAATGACTACAGCTTGATCGGATTGAATCCAATATAGGGTCACGATGCCTGCTCCGCTCAACCCCCACCCGAAGCATACGCCCTCGTTTGCGTCGGAGTCTCATAACGACGGACCCCCACGAGTGCAGGTCTCGCATGAAGATGAAAATGCCATTGCGGACATTCATCGCACATTAACAGAAAAGACTGTCGAGGATAAGTATGCCGAGCCGCATTCTTCATTCGACAAATTCCTCGAAGAACAGGCCCAAGGGAAAAATCGATCCAATCTTGGGGTCTGTTTCCAGTCGCTCTCAACATGGGGCGATGGAGATAGCCATGTCGATGTGAAGACACTCGGCACCGCCCTCTGGCGAACTTTGACCATGCAGGATATCTATGAATGGACTATCCAGCCATGGTTCTCGAAGAAGAAGCCCGAAGAAGGCCGCCAGCTGATTCGAGACTTCTCTGGTGTAGTCCAGAGCGGCGAAATCATGCTGTATGTATAACCGTTGAACGATCCGAAAAGACAGATGTCTAACATGAGACAGCGTATTGGGACGCCCGGGCGCAGGCTGTTCGACATTCCTCCGCACTGTTGCATCCCACCACAGTTCCTTCCTGGGAGTCACCGGCTCCATCGACTACTCAGGCCTGAGTCAGGAAGAAGTTCAGAGCCACTACCGCGGAGCGGTGGCCTACGTCCCAGAAGATGACGTTCATTTCCCAACTCTGACCGTTCGCCAAACCCTCGAGTTTGCCTTGCAAAGCAAAACTCCCAAGCGCTACCGGGAGAGAATCCCCCGCTACCTGGAGATCTACGGCCGTGTCTTTGGTATGTCGCATACCATGAACACGCTGGTCGGAAACGAATATATCCGCGGTGTATCCGGCGGAGAACGCAAGCGCATTTCGATCATCGAGTCGCTTGCCACCGATTCCTCCGTTACATGCTGGGACAACTCGACAAGAGGACTTGATGCTTCCTCTGCGCTGGATTATGCGCGCAGCCTGCGCATTATGACTGACACCTGTGGCAAAGCAACGCTTCTCACCTTGTACCAAGCCTCGGATGCCATTTACGACCTCGTCGATAAGGTCTTGCTCATCGACGAAGGACGGATGCTGTTCCAAGGCCCTGCCAATGAAGCCAAGGCATACTTCGAAGGTCTAGGATACGAATGCGCCGATATGCAAACCACCTCCGATTTCTTGACTAGCATCACACTCCCGGAGCGTCGACGATTCCGCGCTGGCTGGGAAGACCGAGCACCCAAGGGTCCCATCGAGCTTGAAAAGGCATTCCGGGAAAGCAGTTCATTCGCAAAGATTGAAGCTGCCATTGAGACCTACCAGGATCAAAAAGTCGGGAGGTCCTCCGGTGCGTGCCCTACCGATTCAGAGTGCGACAGTGTCGAAGAATTCAAGAAAAATATTCAAAGCGACAAGTCGCGATTCGTGTCGCCCAAGTCGCCTTATACCATTTCGCTGTTCAGACAGGTTGTGCTCTGTGCGAAGCGTCAGATGTGGCAGTTGAGAGGTCATATGAGCCCACTGTACATCAAGTTGATCTCTTGTGTTGTATATGGCTTGTTGATTGGTTCGATGTTCTATAACCAGCCCAAGACCACCGAGGGGATGTATTCCCGCGGTGGTGTCCTCTTCTACTCGTCTATTCTGCTTGCTTGGTTGCAGATGTCCGAGTTGGAAGAGGCGATGCAGGGTCGTGATATTTTGAGTCGACAAAAGAAATTTGCATTTGTCAGGCCTAGCGCTGTGTGTCTGGCGAGATTCCTCTCGGATTTGGTGATCACCATGGTCTTGACATTCTTATACTTGATCGTGATGTACTTCCTTTCTGGATTGAGAGCTGATGTGAGTCAACCCAATTTCAGCTTTGAGGGAAGTTGTGTCAAACTAACCCGAAAACATAGGCTGGTCCCTTTTTCATCGATTTCCTCTTCATCTACACATGCACCGTCTGTCTCACTGCGCAGTTCCGCGTTTTCGCCTCACTATCCAACAATTTCGAGGTCGCCTTGCGTTACTGCGGTGTCTCTGTCCTCTTTTGCATTGTCTTCGGTGGTTATGTTTTGTCCGTCGACAAGATGATTCAGGATGTTCCATGGGTAGGATGGCTTGCATATACCACTCCCGCCTTGTTCACCTATGAAGCCGTGATGGCCGCCGAGTTTCACAACGTCAACTTCACCTGCGCGACTGGATCCATCATTCCTTCTGGTGCAGACTACACAGATCTCGCTCTCCAGACCTGTGCCTACGCTGGTAGCAAGGTCGGCAGCCTGGTCGTTAACGGCGATGACTATCTGGCCGCTAAATATGGCTTCTCTTACAGTCATGTCTGGCGCAACTTTGGTATTTTGTGTCTGTTTACCGTCGCATTCATCATCATGACCTGCTGGTTGAGTGAGGTCATGGAATGGGAGCTAGACAGCGCCGGTCCTATCGAGTACAAGGGTTCCCCCAAATTGTTCAACCGGAAGAAGAACGTGCAGTCCGATGAAGAGAAGGCGCCCGTTTCTGTTGACTCGAATGCTCCGCCTGCTGCTCACAGCGGTAAGGGCGATCAGGTTCTCGCAGCTACGGAAACAACCTTCTCGTGGTCAGACCTAGAGCTCCATGTGCAAATCGGAAAGGAGACTCGAAAACTTCTGGACAATGTCTGTGGATATTGCAAGCCTGGCTCGCTGACTGCTCTTGTTGGTGCGTCTGGTGCAGGCAAGTCGACATGTAAGAGCCCTCACCCCGAGCACCTTGAGCAATTAGACCACTAACATAAAATAGTACTGACGGCACTTACACAAAGAGAGAGCCCTGGTGTTCTCACTGGATCCCTCTTCGTTGACGGCCGATCCATCGACGAGTCTTACAACCGCCAGATTGGATACTGCCAGCAGATGGACATCCACGATGAGAGCGGCACGATCCGTGAAGCCTTTGAATTCTCTGCCCTTCTTCGTCAGAGCGATGAGGTTTCCAGAGAGGAGAAGTTGGCGTATGTTGACACAGTCATCCACACCCTTGACTTGGTCGAGCTACAGGACGCAATCATTGGCTCCTTGGATATTGAGAAGAAAAAGCGTGTCACTATTGGTGTCGAGCTCTGCGCTCGCCCCAAGCTGCTTATGTTCCTGGACGAGCCGACCAGTGGACTTGACAGCCAAGGTGCCACCAACATCGTTGCTTTACTCCGTCGCCTCGCAAACCAAGGACTCGCCGTTCTCTGCACCATCCACCAAGCCAACCAGCAACAATTCGAAGAGGTATGATAGCAATGCCCCTTCCTCTGTGCATCGGGACTAACGCAAAAAGTTTGACCGCGTCCTCGCGCTCAGCCCAGGAGGAATGACATATTACTTTGGCCCAGTCGGTGAATCCGGCCGAGCGATCTTCGACTACTTCGCCAGACACGGCAATGTTCCCGAGAAGGTCACCAATGCCGCAGACTTCCTGATCGAGGTTGTCGTCGGCGGAATGAAAGCTTCAGAGGCCAACAAAACAAACTGGGCCTCTGTGTGGCGCAACTCCCAGGAATACACGGATGTCAAGAATGAAATTGCCAATATCCGCTCCGACCAAACCACTCCACCCTCTCTGCCTCCGACTCAACCATCGCTCCTTACTCGAACCTTCCTCTTGACCCAGCGCACTGGTCGCCAGTTCTGGCGTACCGCAGAGTATCCCTACTCGCGCCTCTACTCATCCTTCCTGCACGCGTTGATCAACGGTCTGACCTACTTGCAAATCGGTAACAGTACCACCGACATGCAATCGAAAGCATTCTCATGCTTCCTGGTTCTCATGCTGGTTCCCGAGTTCATCAACGCCATCTCAATGCGATTCATTCTGAACCGCGACATCTGGCTGGCGAGAGAAGGCCCGAGCGGAGTGTACGGTTGGCTTTCCTTCTGCACGGCGCAGATCGTTTCCGAGATCCCATACACTGTTGTTGGCAGCGTGGTCTTCTTCGTTCTCTATTACTTCCTAGTTGGCTTGCCGCTTGGCTTTGCGGCTGGATATAGTTTCTTGATGTTCTTCCTTTTCTTCTTGTTCGCGACGTCCTGGGGGCAGTGGATTGCTGCTATGAGGTGAGTCTCTTCCCATCCCCCATTTGGATATATACTAATATTCGCAGTGCCGACTCTATGATCGCCGCTACTCTCATGCCCTTCTTCATTATCATGTGCGAGCTTTTCAACGGTATCCTCCAGCCGCACAGTCAGATGCCCGCTTTCTGGAAATACACCATGTACTACGTCACGCCGTTCACGTACTGGATCGGTGGTGTGCTTACCTCCGTTCTGCGCGGTACTGAAGTCGTGTGCGCTCAGAGCGAGTTGACGATTTTCGGAAGTCCTCCGAATGTTACCTGCGGCGAGTACGCGGGCGCTTGGCTGGAGTCCAAGGGGGTGGGATATTTGTCCAACCCTGATGGAACTGGAGAGTGTGGATACTGTGAATATAGCCACGGTGACGATGTAAGTCTGTTTGTGCTTATGGCGAGGAACGACTGCTAATTATTCTTAGTATCTTTCCGGCCTTGGTCTTGACTCTTCCAAAATTTGGCCTTACTTTGGCATTTTCTTGGCTTTCACCGTCACTAATTATTTGATGGTCTACTTGATGGTTTATTTGCGATCGGTGATGAAGATGAAAAAATAATATTTCATGCCTGTACATAGCATTAGCATAGCGAGTTCCAAGTTCGAGGTTGCACTTATATTTGACCAACGATGAGACACGTAGGTTCAATTACAGGATATTCACATTCAATGTTGCTGTCCAAATATATATTGTCCACTGGGCACGAGCGCAGTATTTTGGAGAGCACTTTGGTAATCCAAAAGCTATATATAGAAACCTTGGAAATAATGTCAGGGCATAATGATTCCTAGAATTCCACCAGGTTCAAAGTTGAGTGAAGTAGGGGACCTTGGGCAATAGTGACACTTCAGTCACCAAGTGAAACACTGGAGTTGCGACATCTGCCTGCTACTAGTGCTTAGTGGAGCCCTCAATGACTCACAGTTTAACCTCAAAAGCCCCTTGATTTGGCGAAGCTTTGCAGCTGCAGGGCGTTGTTATCAATCAGTCGGAGATGTGAGGCAGATTACCCGATCGAGTATCTCCGAGCCCGGACTTCCCGCATCCAGCCTGGCAGTCTCTTCTCCGTGCTCCGTCTCTTATATAGCACTTCGCACTCGCGGGGGGTATCTGATCTCTTTTTTTCCCTGTTTGTTCTGTGTGACAAATAGACATTCTGTTGGACAGGCGATGATTGAATCCCCTGTTGGACACACTCCAGCGCCGTTGCACAGCAGATCACGGAAAACCCAATCAAGTTGTTGAGACAATTGCCAAACAAAAACAAAAAGATCGATCAGAGCGCAGAAAAAAGAGAACAGAGAGAATAGAAAAGGGAAAACCCTCCGAGCGAAGTATTCGAGCCCGCAGAACCCCACGTCACAGATGGCAGCGCACTCCGACTCCGCCATGGAAGACCACCTCTCCAATGAAGAGCCAGAACAACCACAGCGTCGCCGACGCCCACCACTATCGTGCACAACATGCCGACGCCGAAAACTAAAATGCGATCGCTCCTTGCCCTGCGGGCAATGCGTGCGCTCAAAAACCACAGATGAATGTGTGTTCACCGGCGCACAGCCGGAAACTAATCGCCAGATGTCGCCGCCGCTTTCGCGACCAAGACCAAGCGCAGCAAGTGAGCGAAAAAGCGGCATGTTTGTCTTCGACTCCAAGATGGGGCCAAATTCCTCGCGGGTCTCGAAGCGTCGGTCGGATGAATTGACCGAGATGAGACAGAGGCTGAAGGCGCTGGAGAGTTTGCTTAAGACAAATGTCCAGACTCCGGATACGTCAGTTGGCGATGTTTATTCGGAAGTCGACTCAGCCAGTACCTCGGAGAATGTGGGGGTGGACGATCGGGTGCGGTTTTTACCAGACTCGAGTTTTCGTGGCAAGAAGGCGAAGACGAGGTACTTTGGTCGCAGTCACTATACAACGACTGTTTCATTTGTAAGTGCGGTGCTAATGGTTGATGTCAAATTTGCTCCTGCTAACAGCGTGGTAGTTCCAGGATGTTGGGGCATTTATGCGCCGTGGTCAGCATCGCGGGGGAAAAGACAGGGAGTATTGCGACATGAAACGGTTCAAGACCGAGCTCTGGTCGCGCGAAACGCAGGATCATCAACGCGAGTTTCGAGAGCAGGCCTTCAAGCTCAATGAGATGGTTCCACCGCGAGCGGTGGTAGATCACTTACTTCGATTGTATTTGGATACTTTTGAGACGACATATCGTGTTCTGCATACCCCGACCTTCTTGAAACAGTATTCCGACTACTGGGCCAATCCTCAATCACCGGACATGGGGTTTGTCGCCCAGCTACTGGCGGTCATGGCCGCTGGTAGTTGTTTCTACGTCCCACCTCCGGGCCGAGACGAATGTGATATTTTCCAGAAGCCCGCCATTCGTTGGATCATGGCGGTCCAGTCATACATCTCCTGCACGTTCGTCAGCCCGGATATCGACTTTTGCATGCTCCAAACCCAATGTCTTCTGCTAGTGGCCCGTCTCGGAATCGCCAGCGATGGCGATGTAGCATGGGCATCAGCCGGGTCCCTCATACGATCAGCAATGACAATGGGTCTGCACCGAGATCCAACCCGGTTCCCGAAATCCCGTCCATTCCACTACGAAACCCGACGCAGGCTATGGGCAACGATTGTTGAATTGGATCTCAAGATCTCTCTCGATCGCGGCGTTCCACCATCGATTGATCTGGATGAATGTGATTGCGACCCGCCATCAAATTGGGATGACTCCGAGCTAATCCCTGACATGGAGCACAATCCAGCACCCCTCAGCACGGCATTTTATACCCAGAACTTCTACCAGACATTGCTCACCAAGACACTTTCGCTTCGCTACCAAATCGCCAAGAAAATCAACAGTCTCAAGTTCAGCCTCTCCTACGATGATGCACTGAGAATGGGCGAAGACCTGTCTCGTGCGATGAAAAGCGCTTCTGCCATATTCGAAGATGATACCTCAATGATTCTCTCTGAGACCGTCCAACGCCATCGCTTCGCCCAGTCTCTTCACCTTTTCATCATGCGCAAATTCCTCCTGGCCCTCCATCGGCCCTTCTCATTGAGTGTGGTCAGATTACCGAAATGCTCTTACTCCCGCAAGATCTGTCTTGAGGAATCACTCGGAATTCTCTCTCAAATGGAATTGCCCCTCTCCCCAGACAACATCCAATACCCGCACATCACGCAGTTAGGTAGCGGAATGTTCCGCGACGAGACTTTCCATGCTGCAGTGACAGTGTGTGTGGAACTATCGTTACAAGCACAGGAACAAAAGTCTTCGACTTCCGGCATGGATGGTGTGAACTCAAGTGTCCTCCTAAGCATGATCCAATCACAACAAGTTGTGATGATGCAAGCTGTTGAGCGCACGACCGATAATTTTGGCCGAAGAATTGCCTCGGGTGGAAAGGGCAGCAAACCCTTCTTCTTCCTGAATATCATTTTGGCTTCGGTAAAATCGCGCGTCAAGGGTGAAGATCCAATGTGCAATGTCGACGCTGCATCCAAACGAGCAGTCCGGATCTGCAGAGACATCCTCGATGGCACCTCGTACCAGGATGCCAAACTTGCTATTGATAATAGACCGGTGCAGGTAAGTCCTGATCGTTTCTTTTCGCTTTTTGAGCTGACTGTTCATCTCACCTATTTGCTAGACACCACTACCTTCTGAATTTACGCCCACTTCTACCACCCTCAGTGATCTCGATCCTGCTGCTTTGATTTCAACAGATTTCAATGATTTCGCAGTAAGTCTCTTTGCCGCTCAATCAGCGTATCCTGTTGACCTATGGCAGCCGATGGATATCGGTGGATGGTTCGATGGATTGGATTACACCGGGTCTGATCTGTGGGATCCAGAACTGTTTGGAAATCTCCCAACCTTCTCATGAATTATGACTGTACATCTATGGACTCCCCACTTTTATAATATATTGCTCAACGCTGGGTTGTTGACATGTTACTCATTCCAAGGTTTGCTTTGCATTCTTTCTTATAATTGCTCTAGTTAGGCCGGTTTGAACAGGAATCTGAAATCTCATCCATTTCACTCTCCAGCTACTTCACAATGACATATGGATCCACAACCATCCTCAACATAATTCTTTGTTGGAGCCACGACTTGGCTTTGGAATAAAATAACCCATCATTAGCTGGTATGAACATTCTTATACTCGATCATCGGCATGGGAAAGGGAAAACCTTCCAAATCAGAAGAGAACGGTAGAAATACGAACGGGTACCTCCCGGCCATGTGCTTACGCTGCACAGAATCTGAATGCAAATAGACTATTTCAGGAACTTGGAATATGATGGGGAAACCCTTAAGTCGCCTTGCAGCAGTTGTGTACTAGGTACCTCCAGGGCTGGGCAGCCACTAGGAATTGGAGGATCGCCCGATCTGATGCATTCAGGGCACTCGTACATACTCGCGACTCCGTGATATCGGGTACGGAACAAGTTATCCGTGTATATCTTGGGAATACGACTTGACAAATTCAAGATTTTGTTGCCAGCAGGCAAATAACAGAATGAGGCGAACACCTCGGCATTCACTTCCAAGGTTGAATCAAATTCATTGCCTGAGATGATCGAGGTGGACTAGGTATTCATGGATGGCAAAACTGGTTATAGTACTGCTCAGATGGATGAGTGTTCAAAGTCACAGTACCCCATATTTCGAGATAGTCCACGAAACTTGGATCCCCTGCGTGTGAATGTGACACGTCCCAACAAATCAGACATCTAGGATGCCATCTCATATGTCCGGATGCGAGACCAGACTGACTGCAGTCCCGTAGTCGCCCCAATGAGAAATAGAGAACCGCGATTTAGCACCTGGGCGACGTTTCACAACCATCATGGCACAAGTATCGAATAGAGCTAAGATCATGAGGGTTACCGATTGTTTCTCAAAGTCTGTTGCGGCGGAAAAGAGTCGCTTGTTGGATATTCTACTCTAACATGTCGGCCGCTAGGCAAATTCTGCGGGTTTCGCCCTGTATAAAGCGTAGTCCGGCCATCCTTTCTGAAATTTGCTGGTTGCTCCTATTGATTCTGTTAATGCAAATCTTGGGCGATCTTCACGAATGTTTGATGGTCCCTCCATCTGAGACTAGGCCGTGTCAATCTGGGTTTGAGACCGAGGTGATCCCCAACATCGTTTTCAATGGTCATGGTTTGTTTTTTTATCAACGATCACGTTTCTTGTTCAGACCAGAGTATCAACACCAATCGAGATAAGCCCCATTGCGAAAACCTAGACATCATGATGCCACACTGGCCTGGGCATACTTGTGGAGCGGGGCTCGACGTGAACATCAGGACGATCAGGACACGACGTTGGTGATCGAAGTGCATTTGCACGGATCGTAAGCTCACGGCGGCCCCTGAGATGAAACTTTCGATGTAACCGATGGCGGAAAATCACCAAATACTCCCCGCAGAAGAGACGCGAGCCCAGATCAAGAATCACGTGCCTTCCGCGTCGCACGCTCGGATCGCGTCGAAACGCAGTTCGGCCTTCAGAAGATACCCTATTTTTGAGTGCAGCATCTCAATGGCCCGGACACAGAACGAAATCAGTCTTCTCAACCTGACTGTTGAAAGTGGATCCGATCGGCAGACATGATCTCATCCCTCGGCCTCTCGCTCTCGCTCTCCCACGCGCAGTTATAAGACAATCCCCGCCGACCTGATCTTGCAGCACACCCCAAACCCACAATGTCGTGAGTGCCTGAGTGCCAGACCGGCAACACCACCGCTAACACCACCACAGTGCGCTCCTCACAACCATCGGTCTCCGCGCCGCCCCCGGCCAAACAGCCGCCAACCACGCCGCCGGCTTCCTCATCGCCAACTGGGTCTGGGCTTTCTGCCTCACCAGCAACCGCGGCGCCAAGGTCCGTCTCGGTATCGATAACAATGTCTGTCCCCGCGAGGATTTGACCACTCTCGGCGAGGCGGCCGTGCAAGCCGGCAAAATCAGTCGCAACACTCTCAACAAGCTGAAGCGTCGCGAGGCTGCCCACGAGAACGCTCAGGAAGGATACCCCTTGTTCGTGGCCGCAAGTAGGTGACCCCTTTTCACACACTGCAGCTTTTGCTGCTGGACCTCGGCTCGCGTGCTGATTATGTAACGCAGTTCTGATTTCGCTGTTCGCCGGTGTTCCCAACGAGACGATCAACACAATTGGGCTTTGGTATTCGATCTCCCGTATCGCATACAGTGTTCTGTATGCGAAGATTACCAGCAAGCCTACGAGCTTCCTTCGCTCTGTGGCTTGGTGGTCAGGCAACATCAGCTGCATCTATGGACTGGTCCAGGCCAGCAAGAAGTTGTAGAGGCGAATATACCTCTCTGAGCCAGGCTCATATGACAGAACGGAGTTCTCCGGGTACATAGAGTACATAGAGTACATCCATCATGAACTATCTGTCGTTGCACTGATCCAATCTTCGTATGTCTTTCATTATGCAATGCGGAATGTGGCTCAAACTGGCGTGACTGTCTTGTGGCAGCTTGAAACAACAGACACCGCCCATGTTGAGCTCTGATTTCCCAGATGGATTCTTGCCTGAGTAGCGCGGGCAGCATCGACCAAAGTGACCACCTGCTCCGTGGCCCGCTGGTTGTGCCACACTGTTGGCGTCGCGGTGAAACACCTCTTGATCCTTATTGTCAGTGTTGACGAAGCGCGGCTGTATCTCCAAAGGTTTCTTGCACTCCGTCGTTGTGGGCTACGAAGAGGGCACTGTAGCCGACACGACTACACGCAGGGCAAATATTCTCGGCTCTAGTGCCATGGTCATGTTGACCACTCCTCGGGTTGTAGCATAGGTGCAGCTCAGAGCAGTCGTACAGAGTGCATGAAGAGTCGGAAAACTATCGGAGACTTCGGGGCGGAGAATCCCCACAACTGGCCCATCTGTGCCCAGATGGGGGCTCAATCCCGCGAGCATTTTGCTCCTTGACATGAACTTGGCCTGGCAAGAGCTGACAAAATAGCAGCACTCGAATCCATCGTATGATGCGGGGAAATTGATTCCTTATTGCCCTTGGCGTGCCGTCCCGGAAATTGGCGTACAGGCGTGGCGTACAGGTGTGGCGCACAGCAGCCCGCGGGTGCCAGTTGTTTTTGGTGAGGGGTGTTTTACCCCGAAGATGCAAGTAGTAACAATGCAGTTAGAGCTTCAACAATTTGAAGATAGAAACAATGGTTTGTTGGTGAGAGGAAGTGGAGAGAGGTCTCAAATCATTCGCGGGTGGCGTGTGCTGGGTGAGATTGTCAAATCCGCAGAGTACATCTCCATATTTCGCGCCAAAGGATCAATTGAGAATAAGAGTAGGCCAAGCTTCTTGATGCGGAACCTTGGAAGTGAGAAAGAAATGAAAACAAGACATTCCATTCCTTTACTACGGGTTCAAACATATCAAAACAGATGTATATTCCATCACCAAACACAACGACAATACTGCACCACACATCGGAATGAATGTCCTCCTTGAATCTATAGAAGAATCGGCAATTGAATGAAAGAGGAGATTGAAATCTGCGGTGAATTACCAGAAGATGAAAACCGAGCTGATTGGTGGAAGATCATCGCCCCCAGCGCATCAATCAGCCCAAGACGGCGGAATCCAAGCCGACCACCAGAGTGCTCCAACCAACCCCGACAGAAATGGCTGCCAAGAGGATCTACTGAAAGTATCTCCGCCTCCCCGCTCGCAAATGAGCATGGGGAAATGCGGAGGGATGACTTCATCTACACGGTCCTTACATGACACTGCGGTACCTCATGCCGTACACGGGGACGATCACTGGAGCTCGGCAATTCAACAGATGTGCTTTTTAGAGGCGGAGAAATATCTCCTCGATTCCCGTCTTGCCGTTCCCCGGATATGCTCAGTCCGGGGTATGAGCTTTTTTCTGTCGGGGGTGGGAGTCTGGGGTCTACAGGTATTGCTATAAAATGAGCGATGTCGCTGTGGACTGAGAGAAACAATTGTTCAGATCAAAGTCGCAACAATGAAGTTCCTCGCTATTGGTGCACTTCTACTCAGCACCGTTGGTGCTATGGCTACCGAGCACATCATCAAGGGTGCCAGTATCATTCCTGCTAAGGACAAGGGGGCATTGAAGAAGATCGGTGCCCATGGTCAGAAGTACGCGGATCGTCGAACTGTCACAATCCGTTCGTCGAAGAGTGATACCGATGATATCGCTGATGATTTCCTCTGGGGCATGAAGGCTGCGAACCACGGTGGCAGACTTGTGTTGCAGAAGGGCAAGAAGTATGTCATTGGCAAGAAGCTGGATCTTAGCTTTTTGGATAACATTGAGGTGCAACTCGAGGGTGAACTGAAGGTACGAATCTGGAATAATATGAGACTCATCGAATGCCACTAACCAGTGTAGTTCACCGATGACATCGAGTACTGGCAAAAGAACAACTTCTACTATGCCTTCCAGAAGTCGATTACCTTCTGGGTTTGGGGTGGACAAGACATCAAGATCTTCGGCAAGGGAACTTTGAACGGCAACGGTCAGGCTTGGTACAACGGCTTTGCCGGTCTAGAAATTCTTGTGAGTGTCAACCACCAGAGATGCAAGATAAACTATTGACCTAACTCCAGGACTCGACCAACACCTACTACCGCCCAATCCTGTTCCTGACTGATAACGCCACCCGAGTCAGCGTGGAGGGTATCACTCAACTCAACTCTCCTTGCTGGACAAACTTCTTCGTTCGCACTAACGATGTTTCTTTCGATGATGTCTTCATCAACGCCTACTCGACCAATGCATCTGTAAGTGATTTCCCTTGGCCCGAAAATCCCAGTTCTAAATATCTGGCAGGCTCTACCAAAGAACACCGATGGCTTCGACTCCTTGAATGTGGACGGCCTCAGCGTGACCAACACCCGCGTTGACATTGGCGACGACTGCTTCTCGCCCAAGCCCAACACCACCAACATCTTCGTGCAGAACTTGTGGTGCAACAACACCCACGGTGTCAGCATGGGAAGTATCGGACAATACCCTGGTGTCGAGGATATCATCGAGAACGCTTGGATCGAGAATGTCACCCTCCTGAACGGTCAGGTAAGATATATTGTCTCCAGGAGGTAGTACTTCGTGACTAACAGACGTAAAGAACGGAGCCCGCATCAAGGCCTGGGCCGGTCCCGACGTCGGCTTCGGTCGTGTCAACAACGTCACCTACAAGAACATCCACGTCGAGAACACTGATGCTCCCATCGTTCTTGACCAATGCTACTTCAACATCAACGCCACCACCTGTGCCGAGTACCCATCTGCAGTTAACTTCACGAACATCAAGTTCGAGAACGTCTACGGTACCTCATCTGGCAAGAATGGAAAGGTTGTCGCTGATCTGACCTGCTCCCCTGACGCGGTCTGCTCCGGAATCACTCTTGCCGACATTGATATCGCTAGCCCCTCCGGCTCTCCCTCCGTTGTTACCTGTGATGGGATCGATGGCGATGTCGGAGTCGAGTGCCAGTCGAGCTCAGCTTAGATGAGTGAATTTTGAAGCGATTGATACGATATAGCAAGCATCTATAATCGAATTAAAAGACAGTACAGCGTTTGCTGTACATATTCTATACCTTTGCCTGCGTCGCAGTTTCCCTGGCAGCCTCCGTAGAAAAAGACAAATAGAGGTTGTTGAGGATAAAAAGTGCTACTGCTCTCAACCCGCTGGATATGAATGGTGATCATCTTCAAAATTTTTAAAATGTCGATGTGATTTTAGGTGTGCTCGACCACTTTATAGTTACTCAATCTCTTCAAAGGCTCGAACAATGTATGATCTTCCCTGAATCATAACCTTCTCGCCAGGAACTCTCCACGCTCCCTTGCCCTCATTGTCAAATCCACTCTTCATCGAGGGCACCGCACCTGCGTCAGGTCCCACCAAGTACTTCTCCACCCATCCCGAGCTCCACTCCTCTCTCCGCGCACTCACTTCAGCCCCAGATCTCTTCACCGACCAAACTCCGTGCTCATCCTTCTGATTCGAATGGGTTTGAGTCTGCTGGAACGCCAAATATGTACCCCAGATCCGACCCAAAAATACTTTAGTCACGGTCATCTGGGCCTCTTGCTCGCCCGGCGCCAAAGGGGCATCATCAGACTCCAGGATCCATGAAATTCCCTTCTTCGCACCCTCGGGCCCTTCCCGGAACGGTAGCTCTCGCCAAACTTCCTCGAAGGCGGTCATAGGTGCACCGGGAAGATCAGCCCGAGGCATCTCTCCACTCTCAAGGTCTGTGCCATCCGGCAATGGACTGAAGTTGCCAACGTCGACAATCCCAATTTCATTCAGAGAGTCTAGCTCACGCGTGAAGAGCACTTTGACTGTTTATATCATCAGCATCATGATCGGACGAATGATCATTTGAGGAACATCGGGGTACGGACGCGGGATCTGGTTGGGGTTCTCCTCGATTCTAGTACCGGCCATTGCCCAGTCGATATCACCGGATTTCTTATCCATTCGCAAATCGACGAACCACTTGCCCACTGAAAGAACAATGGTATCGGTTGTTTCCTCTGGGACTTCAGGCACCCATCGGAGGGAGAGACGGGTTGAGAACCCGCAGGTAGAGCCGATTTGAGCGCTTGTGGACATTGTGATTGCAATTGTATCTATTGGTGTGTGCTCAAGTGTGGCTCGACGAAGTTATAAACGATTCCGCGTGCGTGCCACGTGGTCCGGTCCAGCCCGATTGGGTGGAGTTGGTGATCCCGCTAGTCCCAAAGGGGCAGGATGAGGATATCGATGCTCCTGTCTATCTAACACTGTTACATATTGGATCAGAAATCACTCAGATTCATTGAAATAAGGGTTCCGGGTCCACATAGGAAGCCAATCGGGGACATAAGTACCTGAATGGCCGATCATTCTTCAGGGCATCAATACAAGCGGGAGCATACCCCGCATTCGAAAGAAGGATAGAACATCTCTTTCTCCAGTAGCTTGACAATCAGCAATCCTGAGATCACATATCAAATGATGTCTGATATACTACCTTCGTTGAACGCAAACGTCGGTAATCTAGCAGATGTACCAGTATGCGGAGACGTAGCATAGCTAATGAACAGCCAGAGACCAAACTCTCAATCAATCAATCGCTGTTCTCAGAGTGCCCAAGTGTACACGGTGGAGAATTTATGGGCCTGTATAGACACAGACACTCTATTATTCATCACGTATAGCCTGTCATACTACGTAGCCGTAGGCCTTGCAAGGTATTTAAAGCGCGAACATCTCAAGCCTAGCACTATCCAAGACTCGAAAACAATACTAGTGTAAATTAAGTAGTAGAGTTCAGTTAAGCCCGAGAACATCGGAGTATCGCACCAATTTTGAACTAGCCTCCGTCGGGAAGTGACCTTCACAGATGTATCTCGGGTTTTCACTATCACAACACGCACAACAAGGTAGCGGGGAAGTTAACGACTGCCAAAGATTTGACTAATCATGAAAGATCGAGAAGTCCAGATAAAAGAGTACAAGAAAAACACGATAAAGGTGAAAATTGAGACCTAGGAGAAAGGAGATTCTGCGATTCTGAGCAGTACAAAACTCTCCAACATCCAATGACTTGGTAGCTCCAGATGTCCGAGGTCCTGCTTACGTCGGATCTGTTATTACAGCCAAGGAATCTTCGTGTCAGCCACGAAGCCACATCCACGCGGACTCTGAGCTTGGATTTTAGAGACTGATGAACATCAACTTTCATATGCAGGATCTACCAGTAAATGAAGTCTGCTATTATTGTGCGTCTGCCTCTGTCAAGAGTCTGAGTTTTAGAAAAGAGCTATAGTCTCATTCCATTCATAATCAGCTATAATGTGGCAAGTTTTAAGTGTTCTGCGTCAAACATTTCTCCACACCCCACTCATGCGCCGGCTGAAATCATACCCGGAGCTTGTCTTCGGCCAATGACGATGTCTAAAATGGGTCCGTGGATATACTTCCTTGATGAGACTGCTCCTCTATGCTGCATTTGACGGCTTTAGGGGTGGGTTCTCCCTGGGGATCTGTGGGTTCAGCCCCACCCCCGGACTTTGGGGAAACGTGGATACGGGGTAATTTCATGGGGAAATGATATGCTCAGTGTGATGCAGTCAGTCTGGAGACTCCGGATTCATATATAAACGAGCACTCTCTCCACATTCTCTCGTGGCCTTCGATCGTTCTCCTTGGGCTACATACACGATGGAGAAGTCGAACAGTGAACACTATCACATTGAGAGACCACACTCCGATGTGCAGGGGATGGAGTCCGGAGACTCCCACTTCTACATAGAAGAGCGCCTTGCTCATCTATCGGAAGACCATCGCCAATACCTCCTTGCCCGACATGGCACCCTGGATCTGGACCCCATCCCAGATATGAACGATGCAGATCCTTACAATTGGCCACGATGGAGGGTACAGAACTCCTCGTCTATTACCACAGCTCACAACTAACACTCATTCTGCGACAGAAAACCCTCAACCTCTCCCTTGTTGCCTTCCACGCCATGATGGCCACGTTCACAGCCGCCGCCATCCAATCTGCATTCGAAGATATATCCGAAGATCTGGGAGTAAGCATGCAACGGACCAGTTACCTGGTATCTCTGTTCATTGCTGTGCTCGGCGGCGCACCGCTATTATGGCGCCCCTTGTGCAATCGCTATGGTCGCCGACCGATCTTCTTGATCTCGTTAATCTGCAGCTTGGTCGGTAATATCGGCTGTGCTAATAGCTTCTCTTATGCGACCATGGGGTTGTGTCGCGCCATCACCTCGTTCTTTATTAGTCCTGCCGCGGCTATCGGCAGTGCTGTTGTTGCGGAAACGTTTTTTCGCAAAGACCGAGCTCGTTGTATGGGCGTGTGGACACTTATGGTTACTCTTGGAGTGCCTGCTGCTCCATTCATTTTTGGTTTCGTTGCACTGCGCGTCGGATACCGATGGATTTACTACACCCTTGCGATTGTAGGTGACTTGATGTAAATTTTAAACGACATTACTGACAACTTCACTCAGGTCAATGCAGTTCAGTTTATCCTTTACTTCTTCCTCGGCTCGGAGTCCCTCTACCTCCGAACCCACGCCTCTAGCAACGACTCGAGCACGAAACAAAGTCTTTTCAAATTTGGTCGAATTAATCCAGCCCCTCTCAAGCTTCAAGACTTTATTCACCCTCTTATCTATGCATCCAAGCCTTGCGTTGTCATCCCTGCAGCTGCATATGCCATGATCTTCCTCTGGGGCAGCGTAGTGCCGACCATCGAGATTCCCCAAGTCTACCCCGAGAAATTCGGACTCAATACCCAACAGGTCGGTCTCCAATTCCTGGGAATAATAGTTGGATCAGTGATCGGTGAGCAGATCGGCGGTCTCATATCTGATCGATGGATGATGATGCGCCAGAAGCGTACGGGTGAGCCTCCGGCCCCAGAATACCGCCTCTGGCTCAGCTATATCGGCCATTCTATGACTATCTGCGGTATTGTGGTTTTCGCGATTCGATTACGTGACTCGGGGAAAACATGGGACATCACCCCTGTTATAGGATCAGCGATTGGGGCGGCAGGGAATCAGATTGTGACGACTGTCGACATCACATATGCTGTTGATTGCTACCGGGAGGATGCAGCCAGTGTGGGTGTTTTTATTACGTTTGTTCGTCAGATGTGGGGATTTATTGGTCCATTTTGGTATGTGATGTCTGCATCGTGCGTGCTACACTAGTTAACATGCGCAGGTTCCCGCAGATGTTTGAGAAAGCTGGCTGGGCCGGGGGCGCAGGCATTGCAGCTGCACTCATTGCTGGTGTCAGTGTTGTCCCGACTATTATAGTTCAATGGCGAGGAGCCTCCTGGCGTTAGGCGGACAGGACCTTTATTGGAATCCACGTTCCAACTGGGAATATTTGGGCTGGGATCTGGATGTCGGTTACTTTTGTTCAGATATCTAGTTTGAATTGCGTCAAGTACAAACAGAGTCTTGGAACCTTGAAAATTAGTTGGCAATTTGTTCATAATTCATATCTCCCTATAACGCGATATACAAAATTTCAATCTTCTGAGGTTCTAAGGTTACCATCCCTCGACCCTTCTGATAGCAAGATGCATACCCTCAACGGGCTTAATAGTAACCGACCCAGAAGCATGAATCTCCTGATTAGGATCCTGCATCTCGAAGGCAAACCTACCGACCACACCGGCAACCGCACACCGGAATTCTGCCCGCGCAAAATCCTTGCCAATACACGAGCGCTGCCCATGCAAGAAGGTAATCTGTGCGAAATTCGTCGACGCACCGCCATTGTTATTCGGTATTTGATTACCATTCTTATCCGTGTCAATCCACCGCTCAGGGTAGAACTCTTCCCCATTCTCTCCCCAAAATAGTGGACTGCGGTTAATAGCCCAGGGACAGAGAACGACTCGCGTGCCTTTGGGAATGTATTTCCCAGCCACCGTGGTGCCTCGCACGGCCTCGCGGATCGTCGTTGGGACTGGCGGGTACAGGCGGAGGACTTCTTGGCAGACTCCGTTCAAAAGGGGGAGGGATTCAAGGTCCTGGTGTGTGATTGGGGAATTTCCGCTTGGGATATTTGCGCGAATCTCCTCACGCAGTCTCGTTTGATACTCTGGGTTTTGATGTAATAGGTAACAACACCAGGTTAATGCGCTGGCAGTGGTTTCGTGCTGGGCTGGTTAGTCGTCATATTTCGCCCAATTTGGAATCTGGTGATACTCACGCCGGCTGCCAAGAATGTTAACATCTGATCCACCATCTCTGTGTCGGTGAAGTCGCCTCCAAGCAACATTGTGCCGAGAATATCAGCTTCGAGATCCTCGGCGGAAACCTTAGACTGGGCGAGTTGGATTCGCTTCTCTTGCACGATTTCGTTGCACGTTTTGCGTAGGTAGGCAGTCTCTGATTCCAAAATATTGTTCATGCGCCAGGGAACGCGCTTCGCCATCCATTGGGGAAGAGTGAAGTTCATCACAAGGAAGGCCATCTTTTCCTTCGTCGGCTCGAGGATACTGGCGAAGCTCTCCGCAACCTTGTTACTCTTGTTTTGGATGGAGTTGAAGTCTCGTCCCATTGATGCAGGGCCAATAATGTCCAGAGTGAGGCGACTGAACAGTGTTAGATGTGCAGATCGTTGCATTAGTCGAACGCTTACCTGGCCCATTCTCCCATTTCAATTTTGCCGACACCGTCTTCGGGCTTGGTCCCCTCCATCGGGTTGGCCTTACCCTCTTTTTCCAGCTCATCCAATAGCAAGCCTGTCTTATGCCACATCAACGAGTACATGGAGCGAATGTTCTTGATATTGAAACCCGGGGTCAATGCCTTGCGCTGTCTCTTGTGATGCACCCCCTCGGAGGTGATCATCCCAAACCCGATAATCCGAGCAAGAAAGTTGCGCATACGCCAGGGCTTTTCGAAATCATAGGTATTCGTACTCATGACATCCAACAGCGCTTGATGATTAGTTGGCAGAATGTAGCTGGTGTTCAGGTTGTCGCGCATGTGAATGATTCCCTCATTGGGAATCGTCTTCATCCATATCAATGGTGTGCTGCCTCGGGGAGTGTCGAAAATCAACTGCGAGTGACTCGCAGATCCCTAAATCCATTAGACCGAGCACGTTATTCGGCGAACTGCTGTTCCTACCGGGACTTTGGGCAGATGCCGCACTGGACTCAATAGCAGCGGGTAGATGATGATACTGAAGAATCCTTGGATCATGAGAGTCACGATAAATGTATAGAGAAGGACTTTGTGGTAGGTAGTCTCTTCAAACACTATGCGTTGCAGTAAATAAGCCTCTACCAGCGAGAACGCGGCCACGAGGGGTATATTGTCACCCAGTGCCATTTCGGGAGCCTAGAATAGGTAGCACTGCAGGGTAATAGTATGCAAGAAATGAAAATGGAAATGCAAGCAGAGGCGTTGACATATACTCGCACGCTAGGACTCAAATTGGCTGTTTCGTCGGACCCACAGGGATCGACATGGGGTTTCTGTTTGAGGGAACCAATGCGACCCTCGGCTCCGTCTGCATTTTGCGACGCCCGTTTTTTGTTCTCTGGCATTTGGGTTGTTTCATGTGTCTGGCATCTGTATATTGAGAACAGGGGTCTGCCCTGGAGGCTCTCTTGGTGGATCCTATACACGAGCATCCCAAAGTAGTGAAGATGTGCATATTGCAGGTAATGCAGATAGTGCAGATTGATATAACAAGAACGTGTTGGAATGCGGTGTACTATGAATAGAATGTATTGCAGTGTACTCCATACTTCATGGTGTCCTGCAGTGCAGTTTAATGCAGTTCAATGCAGTCAGTGTCTCCCCAGATTTCAACGTGGAGCATGTGACAAGTGTAACCGGAAGTAGTAATTTCGGCTGTCGATGTTGTGGAGTTGGCTTTTCACAACACAAAATGTGATGCCGAGGCTTGGTGTCCGGTTTTATAAACCCTCCGACCTCACTTTGACCTCACATCACATCATGTCTCTCCTGGAATACACACAAACTGCCCTCAGCGCCCTGCCAGAGCCTGCCCAGGCTCTGCTGCGCAACCCCACAGCGCAGAAGACCCTCGCGGGTGTCGGCGCATTTCTGCTCGCTCGCGCAGCGAACCAATTCCTGTCGCGATGCGCACACCAGAACTGGACAGTCAATTCCGCCTGGAAGGCGGACGCAGAGCTCGTTCTGTTGACGGGCGGAACTTCAGGAATCGGCAAGCAAGTGATGGAGGATCTCTCGAAGCAAGGAGTCCGTGTCATTATCCTCGATATTAATGAGCCGAACTTCACACTCCCGTCGAATGTGTCCTTCTACAAAGCGAATATTACCAACTCGGCAGACATCGCAGCCGTGGCGAAAACCATTCGCGAGAACCACGGCGACCCCACCGTGCTGATCAACAATGCCGGTGTAGGCCACGATGGAAGCATTCTCGAGGAACCAGAATCAAAGATCCGACAAACATTCGAAGTGAACACCATCTCCCACTTCCTGATGGTGAAGGAATTCCTTCCCGCCATGGTCAAGGCCAATCACGGCCACGTAGTGACAGTTGCCAGTATGGCTAGTTTCGTCGCGCTGGGCGAAATGGTCGATTATTGCTGCTCCAAGGTCTCCGCCCTGGCCTTCCACGAGGGTCTGCGCCAGGAACTCCGACACTGGTACAATGCGCCCAACGTGCGCACCAGGTATGTATCCCGGAAGATTGCTGGCAACACCCATGCTAACCAACATAGTGTTATTCACCCATTGTGGGTTCGCACGCCGATGATCACGATGTTAACGGACCAAGGCTCCAACTTCAAACAGCCCATCATGACACCGCAGGTTGTCGCAGACGCCATTTGCAAGCAGATTCTCACACAGCGGAGTGGACAGATCCTCTTGCCCAAGAGTCAGTCTATCGCCAGTGTTGTGCGCGCCATGCCTTTCTGGTTGCAAGAGGCTGTGCGAACGCATGCTTCAGGGGATTTGAGGAAAATGCGACTGGCGCAGGCGCAGGCCGAAGCTGTGAAGAACTGAATGATGCGATAGTTTATGATTTTTAATTATACCAAATACCAGTCTGATGTTCATGGAGATCCTTGGCGTAAGATTAGTCGATCTCCACGCTGTTTCAGCCTCCTGCATCTTACGGTCTCCATAGTTAATGCACAGCTTCGATTGGTGCGCCGACTCCGCACTAGCTCTGCAATGTGAAACTGAGGCGTGAAACTGAAGCTGAAAGATGAGCATTGTAGGTTGGCTGGTCACGGCCAAGAGAGTTCGACAGATCAATTTGTACGGAATAAAACAACGTGGTATGTACGTCCATCTCAATATAGACAAGAATTCAACGAAATATGTGCAAGTATGTCCAGACCAAATAGTATGTGCGGGTATGCTCAGCATATCCCATGAGGTGCGATCAAGGCATCAGGTCTGCCAAGAACTTCTCGATCTTCTTACCCTGCTCGGTCTTGGTCGCATCGCCAAGCTCGAGGTGATAGACCGGCGCAACATGACACTCCCTGACACCAACGAACAGCTCGACTCTCTCGAAGCCTTCCTTGAACTTCGCCGCGAAGTCCTGGATCAAAGGCAACATGATCTCATTTCCGCCCGCGGTGATCAACACCGAGTCCACAGGGAAGGTGCTAAACCAGTCCGCAGGCGCCGTCGACAGATCCGTGTAATAGTCCCGCTTCGCCGATCCGACATACGCGGAGGCCCATGGTCCCGCGACCGCAGTCGTGATGATATCTCCACCATGGTACACCTCCATGTCCGGGAACTCGACGTCCATAAGCGTCCACGGCGCGACCATGACCGCACCGGCGAGGTTTCCCTTCAAGTCCACGGGCTCAATTTCCGGGTGTGGGTGTGCCAGGTGCGACAGGACACCGGAGACGAGGTTTCCGCCCGCACTGTCACCTCCAAGGAAGATACGGGACGCCGGGCGGGTGGGGAGAACGTGCGCGAGGCAGGACACAGCCTGGCGCAGCTGGGTGGGATAGGTCGCGGTCGGGGCGAGGGTGTAGGAGAGACTGAAGACGGCGACGCTTTTGCCGGCGGCGCGCAGGTCGCGGACGAGCTGGGTGTAAAATTTGTAGTAGCCCATGTTGGCGGGGAGGCTGAAGCCGCCGCCTGGAGGTGTGTTAGCACGCCACAAATTCCGTCTCTGCGCGACACATACCATGGTACCAGACAATCACAGTGTCTGCATTGCGATCCCCGATCCAGTGGCCGAAGGCGCCGTTGCCGAGATCGACGGAGTCGAGGAACGCGCCCGTCTTCTGGGTGTAGATTTCGTAGATTTTGTTGGTCGCGGGTAGGATGTACTGCATCTGCCCTGGGGACAGGCGCGCGGTCGCTTTGCGGAATAGCGCGTAGCCTAGATGCAGGAACAGGGTCTTGGCTTGGCGCTCGGTGCGCCAGAGCCCTGTCAGCAGAGCATAGAAGGCTGTGAGGATAATGGAGCCGATGGCCGGCAGGAAGTCGAGCTTCTCACGGAGGGTGAGGGTCACCTTGGAAAGAGACATGGCGTGCATGTCTCCATTGCGGCGGGGCCATGGTTAAGTGGCTCCCCGATTCACAGTCGACTCGTTTTTGCACACGAACCGAGGGAAAAGTGGTTCGCAAAGGTGGCTTGTTTGGGTAATGATTGGCGCTCTGGGAATTGCGACGACCGAGGTTCCAAGGCATATGGAATCAGACCTGTACTGTACGGGGTAGACATCATTGCGTGCAGTATGCAGTATGCAGTCAGCAGTTTGTAGTTCAAACATGGAGTGGGTTGTTTGTGGTGTGTCGTATGTCGTGTGTGAGAAGCTGCAGGATCTCTTAGCCCCGATCTATCACAGGTGTCCCCGAGCTCCCCGTTAACCTCATCCGCCGATCATTTCTTTGCTGTGAAACCGAGGCATGTGAACTTCTTTTTAAAACTGTCTCGTCTCCTCCCCTCCAACTCACACACACAACCATGAGCAAGACATTCGACGTGATCATCGTCGGCGCAGGCATCTCCGGCATCAATGCCGCCTACCGCATTCAATCCCAACTCCCGGGCTACAGCTATGCCATCCTGGAGGCCCGTGATGACCTAGGCGGCACCTGGGATCTCTTCAGGTATCCTGGAATCCGATCTGATTCCGACCTCTTCACGTTCGGTTTCCAATTCAACCCGTGGAGTCGCGACAACCCCATCGCCGAGGGCAGCGCCATCAAAGAGTATGTGCGCGATACAGCGAAGAAGTTCGGCATTTACGACAACATCCACTTCGGCCACCGGTTGAACACAGCCAGTTTCTCGACGGAGAGCAACACCTGGTCGCTGGCCGTCGACGCGCAAGGGGAAAAGACCTTCACCGCCCGCTACGTCATTTTCGGCACTGGCTACTACAACTACAAGGAGCCTCTCAAGGCGGAGATTCCTGGGCTGGATGATTTCCAGGGCCAGATCATCCATCCGCAGTTCTGGCCCGAGGACCTGCAGTATAAGCAGAAGAAGATCGTGATCATCGGGTCCGGCGCAACAGCGGTCACCCTCTTACCAAACCTAGCAGACGAGGCCGAGCGAGTGACGATGCTCCAGCGGAGTCCGACATATATTCTGTCCTTGCCCAATCGCACCAACAGCCGCTGGCTGAGTTACATCTTGCCCAATGCGTTGTACACCCGCATTCAGCGTATGATTTGGATCTATACATCGCGCATCTTCTTCCTCTTCTGTCAACGATTCCCGAACTTCTCGCGCTGGTTGCTCAAGTTGAACGTGCGCAAGCAGCTGCCCAATCACATTCCCTACGATCCCCATTTCAAGCCGAGATATAACCCCTGGGACCAGCGTTTGTGCGTGTGCCCGGATGGAGATCTGTTCAAATCCCTCCGTCAGGGCAAGGCCGACGTGAAGACCGATACCATCAAACAAGTTACAAAGAATGGAATTGTGCTGAGCTCAGGGGAGAAGCTCGATGCAGATATCATTATCACTGCTACTGGTTTACGATTGCAGATGGCTGGTGGTGCCACTCTGGCTGTTGATGGCCAGAAGATCAATCCCGGCGACAAGTATCTCTGGAACGGTGTGATGCTGCAGGATGTCCCCAACGCCGCCTTCGTCATTGGATACACCAATGCCTCGTGGACACTGGGTGCCGATGCTACCGCGCAATTTGTCTGTCGTCTGTTGAAGAGCCTTGAGTCGCGCAAGTTGATTGCCGCCACACCAAGAGTGAAGGAGAAGGAAGCCACCACACTTCAGGACCGCAGACTCCTGAACCTGAACTCCACATATGTTTCTATTGCCGAACGTGTGCTCCCCAAGGCTGCTGATCGTGGCCCTTGGCAACCTCGTGATCACTACCTCAAGGACATCAAGTTCGCCACAGGTGGTGATATTGATACCGGACTGGAGTTTGCACAGGGCCCCAGTCTGCGTCTGCGTCCTAAGATCGCTTGATACGATACCTTCACGAGTTTTATACAATGTGTCTATATGGCGTTTGATGAATACATTTTTTTTAGATTGCATGAAACCTTCAAGGTGGAATGAGTACGGTGTTGGGCAACAAACACAATGTAGGCATTTTCAAGGTAATATATATGAGCAGGACTTATCAAAGCGGTGGCCAATATCGGTTGGCGATATGTCGCTTTCCGATGCCCATGTCCACGGGTGCTTTCCAGTGGATCCATGGGCGCTGGAAGGCCTTGCAATGTATGAAGCCAATGCTAATTTGCTCCGACACGTAGGCGACCACATAGTTTGAAAGCTTGCAATTGAGCTCAGCGACAACACAGCTCGCATGCGCTGCCTAATCTCTCTTTCGTAGACTCCGCATCCTAGCAGTGTCCTTTTGCTTCTTGTTGGGGCTAGTGTCCTGTTTGGCGGTGCGTTTGTCTCCCGCGCCTTTGCCTTCAGACTTCTTTGATCCTTCACCGTCTTTGTCCCCGTTTTCATGCTCAGGGCTAGTCTTACTTTGTCCCTTGGATTCATCCTCTTCATCACCGCTATCCTGAGGACTGTTGTCTTCGTCGTCTTTGCCTTTGTCGCTGTTGTCGTTGTCATGCTTGCTGTCTTTCTGGTTGTCGCTACCGTTGGTTTTCTCGGTTTGGCCCTCTTTTCCGGTTTGCTTTTCGTTGCCACCATCGCCATCATCGTTTGTCTCTTCGCTCCGATCTTCAGGACCATTGCTGGCCTTTTTCCTGGCGTCTTTCGCCTTCTCGGTGTTTCCAACAAATTGTTCTCCCTCCTTTGATCCTTCCACCTTCTTCTCGTCCGTTTCCTCTTTCTCTCCCTCACTCATTTCTTCCCATGCCTTCTTGGGCAAATATCTCTTTCGGGAATCATCCTCTTGGCGGGCCGTGCCTTCGCCCTCCTTAGTTTGCCATTCCTCCTTGGTCCATTTGTCAAGGTTCTTCTGGGACTCCGACTGTCCTTCTTCCTTGGTGGTGTTGTAATCTCCACCGCGCTTCTTGTACTCGGATGCCATCAATTGCGCCTGCACCACCATTAGCAATAATATTTTGACTATCTTTGGGGGAAATGACCTTTCGCGCGGACCATTGACCAGGCTGTCCCCCCTTGTCACTCTTGTGGATTTCCTCCTTGACTTCATCGCGCAACTCGGGGTCTGTATACTTTTCTTTGGGTGGCATTTTCGCGGTAACGATAAGATGTAGGTATGGGATACAGTGGTGAAGGAGTTCAAGTTGAAGAAAACCGGAAGGGATAGCAGTCTCATATCCACGACGTAACGGCACGACTGTGACATCATGTCGTAAACCTGGAATAGCCGCATTGCGCAGAAATTCCGGAACCGCCCGGGCGGGTAAGCTTTAACCTTAATCTCGACCCGCTAAGAATCTAACATTCTGTCAGCATAGCAAAGAAGACCCCACCCGGCATACTGCATTTTGGTATTCTATGATACAATGGCCGTAGTCAGAATTCCGTATTCCCATCAAGAACTCCCGAGAGCCGTGTTGCATCACAAGTGGAACCTTGGAACATACGAATCGTGGCCGCAGCCTTGTACTGAAGACTGCACTATGTAGATACCCTACACTGCTACCACTCCAGACACACTACCACTTCAAGCATGCTACTAGATTACACTCCATACATTACTCTTATACATTCTACCAGCTCTCTTTATATAGATTGTTCTATGGTGTATATACCTAAGTAGTGATATATATTTTTTCGGCCACGATACTACGAATATAAGATATATACTGTTCGCTCTTACCTAGGTATATAAAGCTTTAGAAAGGTAGTGTGTAAAGGATGAGTTACTCTCTTTACACACCTAGGTCTCCTCCGTGAACACTCCACACTACTTCCAAGGTTCTAAGGTTTATTCCAGGGTTCTTACCACACACCCACTGCAGGCAGTTCTATTCTGTGCACGCTACTCCCTGTCTCACTCTCGCTACGTACCCAGCTCCCTTCTAAGGCTCTATGAATGCTTTCCTTCTCACAGTTTCTATCTCTACCCACCCAGCTCTCTTCTATCCACACTTCGTCTTATCACTTTCCAAAGATTACTCTCGCTACGCATTTAGCGTTTTCGTGTATATATATCTACCACTCTACTCCTGCCACATACTTAGCTTTTTTGTGTGCACACTCTATCACGTTACTTCTGCCACATACCTGTGGATTTAGCTTTTTTATGTATATATATCTATTACTCTACTCCTACCATATATTTAGTTTTCTTCTATACACACTGTATTATATTACTTCTACCACATACTTAGCGTTCTTCTACACACTCTCTATTACTTTCTTCTAAACATGCTCTATCTAGGTATTACTTTACTCCCGACACGCACTGAGCTTTCTTCTGAGCACGCTCTATCTAGGTATTACTTTACTCCCACCACGCACTGAACTTTCTTCTGAACACGCTCTATTACCTAGGTACTTTATTCCCGACACACACTGAGCTTTCTTCTGAGCACGCTCTATTACTTTACTCCTGACTCATACTGAGTTTTATTCTGAGCACGCACTGAGTTTTCTTCTGAGCACGCTCTATCTAGGTATTACTTTACTCCCGACACGCACTGAACTTTCTTCTGAACACGCTCTATCTAGGTATTACTTTACTCCCGACACGCACTGAACTTTCTTCTGAACACGCTCTATCTAGGTATTACTTTACCACGCTCTATCTAGGTATTACTTTACTCCCGACACGCACTGAACTTTCTTCTGAACACGCTCTATCTAGGTATTACTTTACTCCCGATACGCACCGAGTTTTCTCCTGAGCACGCTCTATTACTTGACTCCCGACACGCACTCAGCTTTTTTGTATGTATGTATCTATCGTTCTACCCCTGCTACACATTGAACATTTTTCTGAGCACGCACTGGACTTTCTTCTACACACACTCTATTCCTTTACTGTTACCACGCACTTAGCTTTTTTGTGTGTATCGTTTTACCCCTGCCACACATTGAACATTCTTCTGCGCACGCTCCGACTTATCACTCCACTCATCAACGTACTGATAACTCGACCAAGGCCTCCCTGACGGACTCCTTCGACACGACTCTATATGATGGGGTGGGGGGGCTGAAAAGTACTCGGGCTACAACACCTCGATTGCAGTTGACGGCGATGACGAGGCAATCCATGGATGGGGGACGCGAATGGAGGTCATAATTTGTCTCGCCACGCACTCAGCCCTTTTTGAAAGGTTCATGAACGCTTCCCCCCCATAATTATTTCGCCACGCACCTAGTTCTCTTCTGCGAACGCATCCTTCCAACGCCACAGTCCCCCAACTACGCAGAAAGCTAGTTCCTAAGAATCAGAATGGCAACTTGGAAGCCGGATAAAGGTCAGGCTATGGCAATCAAGCCTAGCCTGATCCTTGTTATCTGGTTCCTATCTGTTCTCCGCTGCCCAGGTGGGGGGCACCTGGGCATCTATGGACGACCTCGAGACGGTATGTTGTTTCCAAGGGTATCTCTTTATCCATGCAGGCCATAAGACTGACCAATCAGGGGTTCCGATCGAAGTTGAAGAGACCTCCAAGGTCCAGAATATGTTAAGGAGCACACATCGCTCCAGGGCTTGTAATCAGGACGCCCATGAAGGTACTTGTGCAGCCATCACAAATTTGCTGCAGCAGGTTATTTCGAACAAGGTTACATTCGCCTAGCAAAAAGACCTCATCTGACTGGGCTAAGATAGGTATGTATACGAGCCGGTGATCTCGATTGCCAGCCTACAGCCTGACTGACCATGCTTCGGATCAAATCATTTGCGCTCTACTCTTGCCGGAGAGGGTTAATGCAGAGTGCATGCAAAAAGCTTCTGGGTGGACTCCGACCTTGGGAGCCGAGAGTCTCACCTTGAGCACTTCTTTCGATGGACGAAAGTTCACAATACTGGGGATCAACCTCCGGCAATAGGTGAAGCAGCATCCTTGTCCACACAAACCACCACAAAAGGACTGCCCCAGCGCTCTGAGGATACATGGACATCCGTGACTATAGTGTCTCCAGCGCTACAAGTGCGGAATCTGGCACCAAATACCAAGGAGATTAGTTGGATTTTGGGCTGTGTTGTCCTGTTCGCGGCTGTCATTGAGCGAAATTTTCGCATGTTATGCGCTTCGTCGGAAGAGAAAGCCGGTGAGATCTCGCGACAGGGGGGGCGGCAAGAAGCTCCAGATGTTGAGCGCGGAGGTTGATGCAAAGAAACCGGCTTTCGGGACAGCTTTGGCCTTTGTGAGGCTCAGGACCAAACATTGACGATTGGGGCATCCTCGGTCTGGACTATTGTTGTCGTTGAGTACGTACTGTCATGTCAGACACTCCCGAGGCCATGGATGTAACATTCCGCCCTGTTGTGTTTAATCGACAATGAACACAAATTATCAGTTCAAGATTCTCAAGTACAGTGTATAGCTTATAGAAAGCGCTCTACGTGTACAAGGAATGTAAAGTCATGTAGAATAATCATATTTGGGTATTCACGCTCTCGTATCATTGGCATTTCCGCCGCCCAACGCCAATTCTCAAGATCTTCATTAGTACTACTTTGTTTTCTTGGATTTCATTCGACCAAATTACTTGCGCTCTTCATCGACGACCTCACGGTTGCCCATCTGACTATCAGGAAGCATGTTCATGGCATCTTCCTCGCGATCCAACTTGTAGTTGGTTGCCCAGAAACCGGCACCACCGATGAAAGCCAACAAAGCAACCAAGGTGTAGTTCCAGACCAGCAAAGGATCGACGGATAGACCAACGAATGCCTGACCAATGGCGGAGGAGATGGCGTTCATGAAGAGTGCGACGGCCTGGACCAGAGAGCGCATGTTCTTGGGGGCCTTGGTGTAGGCGTATTCCAGGGATGTAACAGATGCGAGAATTTCGGAGATACCACCCAGAATGTAGGTGAGGGCCTGGATCCACACGGAGATGTTGGTGTATTCACCCTTCACCTCGAGACAGTAGTTGGCTTGGTCACCGCAAGGACCGAGCTTGTAGATGTAGTGTTGGGTGACGGCGGCGACAATCATACCGGATCCGGCCATGCAGAAACCAGCGGTGATACGCTTCAGTGGTGTGAAGTTGAAGCCCATCTTGCGGAGACCGGGGTAGACAATTTGGTCGAAGATGGGGATGAAGATGATTAGGGCGAAGGGGTTCAAGTTGTTGATGATATCGTTGGGGACACCGCCGAGCTTCATGGTGGCGGCCTGGGAGGTCAGGTTGTTCAACATCTGGTTGTAGGCCAGCCCTTGGTAATGTTAGTCACATCCAGTCATACGGGACTGGGGAATCACGTACAGTATAGAGGGTACCACAGGAAAACTCTGCAGGCCAAGAGTCCACGACGGACTTCATCAACCCAGGCGTCATCGAAGTCCATCCAGGCGGGCTTGTTGGCACCAAGGACACTAGGCTTAACGTTATCCCAGATGTTGGTCTCGGACTTGCGGAACCTGCCACACTTGTTAGTCCAAAACTCTTGATGGGAAATCCAGTCGTCTTACCATCTGACGGGGTTCAAGGTCCAGTGACCCTTCATAGCCAAACTCCACAACTTGAAAGCCTTGGGGTAGATAGAACCACTGGGAGGGGTGAGGTAGTACTTGTTCCGGCAAAGGAACAGAACAGTAGGGCAAAGGCAGAACAAGGCAGTAGGAAGCAGGTATGACAACCAGAATCCAACATAGCGCTCTGCGTAGACCATGGCAATCTGACCGGTCAGAGAACCAACGTTAATCATGAGGTAGAAGTACAGGTAGATACGGGCCACTGTCGCAGCGGGATCCACAATCACACGCTCTCCACTGGGAAGGGTGGAGACGTAGGGCTTGGTCTCGCGATACTGCTCAGCGATGAGGGGAGAAATGTTGGACTTGAAACCACCTGTACCCACACCCATGATGACCAGACCGATAGTGAAAGCCGCAATGGAGCCATTGGGACTAGCGATAACCTGGGGAATAGCAGAGACAATGAGAATAGTGTGGCCGACCAGCGCGCAGGCAATCGACGAGAAGATAGTGCGGAATCGACCCCAGTATTGATCGGCGACCCAAGCACCAGCCAAGGGCATAATGTAAGACCAGAAAGAGTTGACTGATCCAGTCAGCAGTTACACAGCCTATAGGGCACGTGCATACATACACAATGTCAAACCGGTGGAGGCCTGCTGGCCCATTCCCAGCGCACCGGGGGTTCCATTGCTCCAGTCGGAGCTGCCCGCCACCAAGGCACCTGTGGTGGATCCCTCGGGCAAGGGACGTTGGATGAAGTTGACGACTGTTGTTCAATTAGACGTGGTCCAACAGCGGAATGCGGGGTAACCTTACACACTGCGGTGGTACCGTAGTATGAGAATCGCTCGCACAACTCCACAAAGGCAATTGTGTACGCGGACCACGGGATTTTGCCTGACACACGACGTAGGTTGGCCAGCTCGTCGATGGTGGGAGCGGTCTTGTCGAGGGATTCATCACCATCAACATATGTGACCCCCTGCTGCGGAGCGCTGTCAATGGTCATCTCATCAATGACAGGGACCTTCTCATTGAGAGCCACATCGTTAGAGGCAGCCTTTGACTTGGCCACCTCGGCAACGTCGACGGGGTCAGAGGCATTCATCGTGAAGTCGTGTGAGGAAAGAGAAAGAAAAGAAATAAAAGCGGGAAGCAGCTAACGAGACACTTATAATGTCGGCGGGCCTGATCTGGCAGGTGCCAGGTTCATTTCCAACTCGCCGCCACTGTAGCCACCGTCCCAGTTCCCCCCCGGCCGCTCTTCTAGAACCCGGAGTTTTGTCTGCTTTGGGACATTGCTTCCTCCCTTGCTTCAACCTCCCATCACCCGTTAATATCCGCCAGACCCTGCATCGCCGCCACCGTGAGATCTGACCATAAGCTCTGGCCACGCTTTATCTTCGGCCTGACCCGAAGCAAACCTGATAAGCCCGGCAGTCGATGGTGAACATCCCTGAAGGCTAATAGTTGCCAAGCATCGCGTTATCCAATCAGTCAGCTCTAGTGGGCTTAGGCCTTCCCTCCGAACAGATTAGTCTCATCCGCCGGTGGCCCTTGGCAACTTGGCACGTGTACCGCCCCGCGTCGTGCAGCTTGGCTGGACGCAGACAGTGTAACCCTGTCGTTCCTTGGCCCTGTTGCACCAATGACTGCCCGGCGTTCGATTACCCGACGAAAGATAAGTGATAGCGAGCACATGGACTGCAGCCAATCAGCGACCACCGTGTGAGTGGGGGCTGATTAGGCTCACGCTAACCGCTTCATTCGCCACTGTTTCCGGGGAACTGAGACATGCGACCCAGGGAACTATGGTGTGCTCCAGGGGGACATGTGATTATCTGCTTTTCTCTTGGTGTTCTTGGTCCGTCGGTCTCCCGGAATCATCTCGTATATGCAAGCGAGATCCTTTATTGATCATGGTTTACATACAAAGAATCCCTTATTGGCCACCCGGTTTCACCTCCTGTGATTGGACCTCGCGATTGCGTTTCGCGTTTCCTTCCAACCCATACAGCACGTCCTCTGACATTCCCGGAATCACCATGTCAAATGTTTCTTTCACCACTGTGTACTCATAGTATCCACAGCGAGCGATGGGTTGGGTCTTCCGAATATCCAACTTCCCATCGGTCAACACCTCGTCTTTGATATGAACGGCAACCACCTTTCCAATGACTACATCCACCGTGCCCATCGGGGGGTTACCCGGTAGTCGGATCGTGGTGTGATATTCACACTCGAATTTCACCGGGGATTCCTGCACCATGGGAACGTCCATCAAGGTCGCGGGCTCCTTGGTCACGTTGGCCCGGGTGAACTCGTCCACACCGTAGGGGACTTGCTCGGCGGAGATGTTAACCGCTTCGCGAAGGTCCCAGGTGGCCAGATTCCAGACAAACTTGCCGGTCTGCTCGGCATTGATGACTGTGTCCTTGCGATCGCCCGTCACCGTCTGGTTGGACGAGAACATCACGTACGGTGGGTCGAACGTCAAGTTATTAAACTGCGAGTACGGAGCCAAGTTGGCTTGGCCGCTCTTGTTCTGAGTGGAGATCCATCCGATCGGACGCGGGACCACACACGCCTGCATTCGTTAGATTGTTTCGTGCGTGATGCAGGGGTCTAACCTTGAAAGGATCGTGGGGAAGGTTGTGTTCAGTGATACCGGGTTGATAAAACATCTCTGTGTGAGCCTGAGTGTCTTCGTTTCTGGTGTTGCCCCCTCTTTATAATGCGGCTGGTTTAGCCGACCGGGCTGCCGAGACGTGGACTTCCCCACAGGACACTCTGCCCAGATGCAGTGCAGTGCAGCTACTGTACCTAAGGCTCGGTATTCGGTCAATTACTTTCCTGGTCAGAAAGCTTAGTCCCGACGTCCGAACAGAATTGTCCAATTGAGACGCGACCGTAAAGATTGCTGCCTGAGGCACATATTTTCCATCTCGGGGGCTCGGAGACTCGGAGAATCGCTTACTCGCTGCCTCGGGGTGCTCGAAGGATCACTCGGCATCCCGAGGCGATCATGAATAGCTCTTGCAGGAAAACCCGTTGAGCCGAGCTAACCGGTCGATCATATATAACGCCTGCATCGGACATGGTTGATTGACATCTTCAGCGATACATCTGTCTATACTGAACATCTCATACTTCCAACATGGTCTCCACCGAACCTCATCTCAACTTCCGATCCTTCGTCGAAGCCCTCAAGGCTGACAACGACCTGGTTGAAATCAACACTACGATCGATGCCAACCTCGAGGCAGCAGCCATCACCCGACGAGTCTGCGAGACCGACGACAAAGCTCCTTTGTTCAACAACATCATCGGCTCTCAACATGGCCTCTTCCGAATCCTCGGTGCCCCAGCCTCACTGAGGAAGTCCTCCAAGGACCGCTACGGTCGCCTGGCTCGCCACCTCGCTCTGCCTCCTACTGCCTCCATGCGCGAAATCCTCGACAAGATGCTCTCGGCTAGCACCATGGCTCCAATCGCCCCTCAAATCTTGGAAACAGGCCCCTGCAAGGAGAACTCGCTTGAGGGTGATCAAATTGATCTCACCAAGATCCCTGCACCCCGAATCCACCAACACGATGGTGGAAAGTACATCCAGACATACGGTATGCACATCGTCCAATCGCCCGACGGATCCTGGACCAACTGGTCCATTGCTCGGGCGATGGTTTCCGATGAACGACACCTTGCCGGTCTTGTCATCGAGCCCCAGCATATTTGGCAAATTCACCAAATGTGGAAGAAGGAGAAGCGCGATGTGCCCTGGGCCTTGGCATTCGGTGTTCCCCCAGCCGCCATCATGGCCTCAAGCATGCCAATCCCCGACGGCGTCAGTGAGGCCGAGTACGTCGGTGCCATGACTGGATCTGCGCTTGAGCTCGTCAAGTGCGACACCAACAACATGTATGTGCCAGCAACTTCGGAGATCGTCTTCGAAGGCACACTATCCATCACAGATACCGCGCCAGAAGGCCCCTTCGGTGAAATGCATGGCTACGTCTTCCCCGGCGACACCCATCTCTGGCCCAAGTACACCGTCAACAAAATCACATACCGCAACGACCCTATCTTGCCCATGTCCGCTTGTGGTCGCTTGACAGATGAGACAGTAAGCACTCCCTCCCTCCTATCCATACCCACCCACTAACGAAGCCCAGCACACCATGATCGGTGCTCTCGCCGCTGCCGAAATCGGCAAGCTCTGCAAGCAAGCCGGCCTCCCCGTGACAGATGCCTTCTCACCCTTCGAGTCCCAAGTTACCTGGGTAGCCCTCCGCATCGATACAGCCCGCCTCCGCGAAATGAACACCACCTCTGTCGAGCTGCGCAAGCGCATCGGAGACCTGATCTTCAACGCCAAGGCCGGCTACACCATCCACAGACTTGTGCTGTGCGGTGACGATATCGACGTCTACGACGGTAAGGATGTCATGTGGGCATTTTCGACCAGATGTCGCCCCGGCTCGGATGAGACCTTCTTTGAGGATGTTCGGGGATTCCCGCTCGTTCCGTACATGAGTCATGGTGCGCACTCGAAGACGATGGGCGGAAAGGTGGTTTCTGATGCTCTTATGCCGACTGAGTATACTACTGGTCGGGATTGGGTGGCTGCGGACTTTGAGTCTTCTTATCCTGAGGAGTTGAAGAAGAAGGTTTTGGATAACTGGACTCAGATGGGATTCCGTGAGGAATAGCCGACTCTTTTGGGGTGTTTGTGACATTGGAATTGTAAATATATCTAGAATTTTGTTTTATTCATTTGTATATTTTTCAGAATGAAATTGAGATTTGTTCTACAGAGAATCCACATTCCAAGTTAGGAAGTGTTTAGACCCACCTGATTCAGGTGATTGTATCTGGAGTCTGATCTCGGGATCTTTTAGAAAATCCTCAAACCTTGGAAACCTCCTAGGACTGTTTGAGCAATAATGTAAGAATGAGGTGAATCTGACGACTTTCAGCTCTGCATCATCTCAGGTACCGCACAGAGTCCCTGAGCAGTACCGTGGATTCACCTCTGCGGTGCCGGCTGGTGCCGCTCTTATAGTTGGACCTCAAACATCACGGATATGCGCGGCAGTGTGGTCATGATGCATTCATCTATGATTCAGATCAATCATTCTGACCAGAGCATCGGGATGGACATCCATTTGCGAGATATATATATAGTCTGCCGAAAAGTATATTAGATGCTCACCTTTCAGGCAATCGATCATCGCTAGACTTTATCTTACGGCAACCTTGAATCAAAATTCAGAAGTGAGTATTGATTTGCCATCTACCCACCTGGGCAGTACCGTCCAGCGCTGACCTGAATGGCACCCAGAGAATCAAAATGCATCTTCAACTCCCAATCCTGCTAGCTTTGGTGACCTTCGCAGTCGCCTTCCCAAAGAAGTCAGATGGGAAAAAGGGGGACTCCCCTTCTGATGGGAAGCCCTGGGATGGAGATGATGGCAAAGACGATGACCCATGGAAGCATGGCAAGGATGATGACCAGCCGTGGAAGCACGACCAACCAGATGGCAAGAACCGGACCATCTGTATCTCGATTCCCGACGGGGCATCTTGGTCTGCGGTCAGCCCTGATGGCAGCCAGCATTCGTTCGATGATCTGAAGTGGGATGCGTGATATGGGACCAATATCCTGGTGGAAATGGTATGTGATTGATTTTGACTCTTTGAGTATGAAGGTTGCTTAACATATTTATAGCGTTAGTGCTAGCGCCAACAGCCTTTGGAAGTCTCAGGGCTTCAAGGTTGTTCTACAACAGATGACTGATGTCAGAGCTTCAACACAATCGTTCCAAGGTTCTTTTACTTCAATTCCAATTCCACTCCTTTGTCAATTATGATTGAAATATCACCGCCGCTCCTTCGTGATACCTTGATGAGCTTGCATTGATGGTCTTTCCATGTTCGATCGGGGTCGAATGTTGTGAAGTCTTAACTAGGTAGTTCACAACCTGTGGAATGATCATAGAATTTTGCTCTCTTTAAAAGTCTGAGGCTCGAAATTCTAGCTCCAAACTATGAAGTGAAGCCGTGCTGATTTCCGAACTTTTCGACTCTACACCTCCAGGGCTTGGAGTTAAGTGCCGGTTGAAATTTCGTTTCGAAGCGACCCGTGGAAAATGCCAATCAACAAGGGGTATCAAATACCTACCTAGGTAGTATATTTCCAACCTTGAAGGTGTCTCTATAAGATATACAGATACCAAAGGCATATCAATAGACCTCGATAGTGCCATGTCAGAGGAAATTGTTTTCTTGGCTCAAATCGAACATCGGACCTATGGGGCGTGAGTAAAGAATTCATGTAAATAGTTTGTGTTTTCATGCTCACCATTCATTATCATATCCAGATACGACACGGGCGAGTTATCGAATGGGTTCACATCATCAAAAATGCCGTCGGGTATCCTAGAGGATTCAGCTCGAGCTTCAGTTGACCTTGGCGTCTTGGTACTCACCCTGAACCAAGTCCAGCACCGTCCAAGCTCTGTGGCATCCATGACTCGTTTTCAGGGACGTTACTCTCCTGTTGTCGATCCAAAGCACTGCGCAGGGTGACCAGTGCGCGAATGTGGCGTGTGGATAGCCACTGGCCGTCATTATCTACGCCGCCTTCTTCCGCAGTTCGGGAGTCAGATGAACTGAACACGTCGATTACGCGCTGTTGCAGGTCCCGACATTGTGGATCATTGCGTGTTTCTTCCCATATGCAAAGAAGCAGCGTTGAGCTTAGTACAGTGTGCACCATTGACCAACTCCGCATTGGGACAACACTTAAAGCCTGGAAGTCAAGGAACGCTCGGGATGCGTCAATCAGGCTTCCCTTGGCCCGATTCCGGAGTATTTCTGGCTGGAGCAGATGTGGTTGTGACTGTGATTGTTTCATTGCCGGGCGGCATACCACAGAGACGCAAAACGATGAGTGCATTTTGAGAGCAAGGTGCTCGAGATGCTGCTGGAGAGTGGTGCAGCTGCTCCGAACTTGCAAGTGAGGTTTGCCGCGTTGGTATAGCGTATCCAGCTTATTTAATGCTTCGACCGCCCTATCGAGCTCACTCAAAAATGAGTCGGGTCGTATGATGTCGAGTATGAGGCGACAGAGCGAGTGCATGACTTCTTGATATGATAGATCAGTTCTTCGAAGAAGGTCGCTATCCATAGTCCACCCGGTGACCGTTACTATTGGGGGGCGATCGTAACACATGCACAGCAAACTGTCCTGCCATACAATAGTTGACCTGTCTATCATTAGAGACACTCACATCAATGGGCGATAAGAATGCATAACTCACCAAAGAGTTCTGGTCTTGGTTCGCACATACTCCGGCCATTGAAGAGTGCTTCGTTCGGTATGCAACCCCATCGTCTGAGCAAGGCGAATAGTGGTGCCCAGTAGAGCCCATGCTGCATCCGATTGTCCCATGTTTTGTAAAGTATTGCCGAGAATCAACAGCGTCTGAATAATGTCGAGGGATGGTCGGAAAAGGAAGTTGGCCAAGCGAAGCGCGTGAAAGGACCGGCGAGCTGCAAAAATTAGCTATTAACGCATATCGCAATTGATACTACCTACCGAAGTCTGTCGCGAGTTCAAGCCGTTGTGGATAGTCAATGTCTGAATAATGAGCACCGGCGGCCAGCGTAGCCAGTAAGAGACTTATATGACCGATTGACTTGTCACTTGCCCATCGATCGACGATTTTGTCTTCGCGTCGCAGTTCTCCTGCCGAGTGTGCGTTCAGATACGTGCACATATCCGACTCGAAGCGATCCATATCTGCGAGGATCGGATTAAACGGGTACGCTGTGACACGATAGTAGTGAAAGAATCTAGGAGCGTTAGCAAGTATCCCTAGCCACAGTGCGGTGATCATACTTCAACACTTCGCTTCTTTGGGGCAAGACACTGAGCAGCGAGGTCCATTTTTCCTCTGGCGTCCTGGAGTCCATGAAGGGGTAATTGTTGAAAGTGTTCTGAAGCCCCAACACCGATCCAAGATCGCGGGTCATCGAATCATTTGCATCAGATGCACGGGAGCGCAGTATTGACACAACCGAGTTATCCCCTGAGTAGACATAATTCTTGGCTGCATCATCGGGCCGGGGATTTGCAGACGCGAGAGCAATGGCAGAACCATCCTGCTGCCTTTGTCGCTGCACACGCTCTGGTGTCGGTTGTTCCGGCTGAACATGGGACTGGATATTAAGGACAGCAGGGGAGGCCTCTCTTCTGGAGTCTCGCGGCGGGTCGTACGTGCATATATGCGGGTGATTCCGCTTCTGGCACGTGCGACAGGGTTGTGTGCCATCACATTTGACTTTTCTTTTTCTGCAGGGATAACACGCCCTTGCTTCCCTTTCCTTGCGCTTGAGACGGAGTACTCGGTCGACTTCGTCATGGCTTGGCGTGGCGTTCATCTTGGGCCGAGGGGGCCGAGCCACCGGTGATCGAGATGGAGGTGTGTCGAAGTTGTTGCGAACACCCAGTCAGGTGATCCTGACTGTTACCTCGTCAGCTTGTTCTCTCTTCCCTTCGCTTTTCCCACTTTCGCTTCTACTCTCCCAGTATAGGAATCAATATCTTCTCTGGCTTTCCCCCCCCCCGCAGTAGTCAGATCAGAAATTGCGCGACTCCTGGCACGTCAACTCAATCTTCAATGAGGTTCTTTGGCTGGTCATCTGGATACCCTAACGAAACGGATACCACCATCTTTGATTTGGTGAGAAGATGGAAGTCCACGGATGCGAGGCTCGGCAGTTCCGAACAGGATCATGTGACCTCGGGGTATATCGCAACCTTAGGCAGACGTAGCGCTTCATTATGACGACCTTATGTTTGATTCACACACCTTACCTTCGATAATTCCCCTCAGGAGAGATATCATCTTCATAATCATGGACACGCTACCGTACGAGTTGGTGGTGATGATCCTGGACCACATGGTGATATCACCAAACCCGATACGTCTTGGCATGATGTGGAACGAGAAAGGCGAGTCAATATCTCCCGCTCGTCCAACTTTCAATTTCAAAGATCAATAAAAAAAAGGTCGCTACACACTTACCTGGGACTCCCAGGACAAATATCACCCTCTTGATTGCAACATCTGCACCAGGAATTATCCCAAGCGTTCAGTCATGAAGGACTGGCGCCGTGTGACAGAAGTATGTAGGAGATTCAGTGAGATAGGAAAAAGTGCCTTCTTCAAGCGGAACAGCTTTTCTGTGAATGTCCTCAATTGGGGCAGACCCGTAGGGCGCTATCCGTCCAGCCCTCAGGATGACCGACTTGCCAAGCAGTCCATCCACATTCTCATACTCCCCGACTACTCTCCCTCTAAGTGGAAACCCATAAAAGGAACCATGAATCCAATATTACGAGAACTTCCAGCTGTTCGGCATTTTGTTCTCCCTCTCTTCAACGCCGAAGATGTTTTCGAATTTGGATCCACCATGGAAGTCCGGGGAGTTTCGGTGAAATTCATCAGCCGCGAAGGTAGTCAGGAGGTATGAATCTGGGACTTGGCTCGTGCATCCAATATCCGTGGTCTGATCGGTACCTTTAGTATCTAGGGCCCCCGAAGTCCCATTGCGAAGCTACGGCTCTCTTGGAGTGAGTAGTGCTACTTCGAGGTCTGAAAGGTCTCTGCTATGTCGGGCTCGACAAACATATTTTCAGTACGATCGGAGCGAACTGCTACACTTCTGGTGTTAAAACACATGGCTGATCATGTTTCGACTGGCAAACGATATTCTGCTCTTGTCCTCGATTGGCTTTCTGTGCTGTCGATCATGTAGTGAGTGCTCCGAAGGCCAGAGGGTTGATTGGTTTAATCAGTTCTTTCCCTACCTTCAAAAATACCTAGGTAGCTAAATTCATAACCGAATGAACTTCATTGTGGACTCCTCTTGCACAACTCTCAATCACCGAAGTCCCGACGGTGATGGCAGCTCGGCCAGCTCGGGATCTCGGTATCGGAGCCTCGGGGTGGGTCATGTCCCGCTCTTCAACGGCTGCACGTCGGAATTCGGCATGTCCTGTATGTTGTGGATATCAGGAAAACTTCTTGCCACCGATTTGGTATAAATGGTCTACAATGTCGACCTCTCCGAAACAGATCACAGCTCACCTCCATACACAAGCAACACTCATATCCACCACTTGAACTCAATACAACAACCAGTATCACCACATGTTTTCTCTTCTTCAAGGCACTCATACCCCCTCTTCCATCCACGCCTCCCCCAGTGGCAGCCCGCCCACATCCGCAATGGAGCCTCAACAACAAGTTTCCCAACCTACACGACCGCGCCGACGCATCGTTGTGGCCATGACAGGCGCCACTGGCGCAATCCTCGGCATCAAAGTCCTTATCGCTCTTCGTCGCCTCAACATCGAAACCCACCTCGTCATGAGCAAGTGGGCCGAAGCTACAATCAAATACGAGACCGACTATCACCCATCCAACGTCAAGGCGCTGGCAGACCACGTGCACAACATTAATGACATGGCTGCGCCGATATCGAGCGGCTCATTCAAGGCTGATGGTATGATCGTCGTACCATGCAGTATGAAGACACTTGCTGCGATCCACAGTGGTTTCTGTGATGACTTGATTTCACGAACTGCGGATGTCATGCTGAAGGAGCGGAGAAAGCTGGTGCTTGTCGCACGGGAAACCCCTCTCAGTGACATCCATCTGAGAAATATGCTGGAAGTCTCACGTGCGGGTGCTATTATTTTCCCTCCGGTGCCGGCGTATTACATCCGTGCGGCTACTGTTGAGGATTTGGTTGATCAGAGCGTTGGCCGCATGCTGGACTTGTTTGATCTGGATACCGGGGACTTCTCCAGGTGGGAAGGCTGGGAGAAATGAGTGTTCCAGGTGAACAACTGAAATTGGTCATGATTTGTGCATTCCAAGGAGTTTTTGTTGGCGTTAGGATTGTTACATTTACCATATATAGGAGGCTTGAATATATTTCTGATCAAAGCAAAATGAGGCGAAAATCTCACCAGGCCACGTTTTCGTACAACGTCGATCAAAGTTTGGGAAGTGTCATCGCAGACACAGGACGTTGAAAGTCTACACCCAAATGCAATACAACACTGTGATTGTGTTGCCAAGGTCAGCTATTCTCGCCAGTCATTCAGCCAGCAAAGTGAGAGTTTATGCTCGGTGTATAACCTCAATCAATGGTTCGCTAGGACATCAGTGGTTTACACGAACACTTTAGCCAAGAACTCTTGTTTGATGTCTTCGTGTTGAAGTCCGCCATCAAGCAGGAATGCCAGGTTATAGTATCTCTATGTCTTTAGACTCTCGGTGGAAGTCCGCGGGAATCTTAAGGCGCCCAGACCAGAACTCAGTATACGATAACTTGGCCCTGTCCCAGTACTACACAACACTCTCCAGATGACGACACAAATGATACCCTCGACAAGCCGCATAGCTAGAATTCCAAGGCAGATTATGCAACGCAGGCCTCGTAGTATGCTGAACTCATAAGGTATGAGGTCATTTCTCGGCCACGGGCACCACGCGCAGTCTAGAGCTCGAGAATTCCTTCCCCGCGCTCCAAGCTATTAAAAGCCCTCGAAAACAAACTGTGATTGGTGTGTGTAGTGGTAACTGACACAAAGATCGACGAGATGCGCCCCTTGCGTCAAGCCCGCCAACTGACTTCCTGATTTCGGCATTCCTGGTCTGTCTTGCATTGCTTGTAAACCTTGTCGGTGGATTGCGCCCAAGGCATCTTTACACTGAAGCCACAAGACGAAACTCTCGTCAATGTGCCCCGCTCAGCCGAACTTCCCTGCAGCATCGCGATGGCTCAAGATATTTCCGAGCGTGTGGAATCAAGCCGCATGATCACTACCGGTTCAACCTCCGCTTTGAGCGGGAGATATGCTTCATTGCCGCTTCCAGTATACGCCGAGCCTCCAAAAACCTGAAAGTCCAATGTGGATCAGCAGAGCTGATAGGAGAATGAGCATGTATAAAATCAAGAGCAAAAACTGAGCCCAAGTCCAACGGGGGAGGTGCCGCATTCTATATCTACCCCTTCGTTGCCCACCCCAGATGAAGAATCCAGACCCCCGATTCCCTAGATTCCGAACGCGAAGAATAAAAATCCATCGATTTCTGAACTTCGTCTTGTTTGCGGGTACAGCTCAACACCGCCCGACACGCTCTTGCAATGCTTGTGAATTTCAGCCTGCTATTGGTCGCATCGGCATTGCCTTTCGGGTTAGCATGGCCAACGTCTTGGAAAGGAATCAATAGCCCAACAGTCAATATACCCAGGCCAGATGCGACCGTGATCGGCGCTTCGGCAAATAATGTCGACAGCTTCAACGGCATACCATTCGCGGTCCCTCCGACGGGCTCTCTTAGACTAAGGCCGCCTCAACCAATTCAAACATCTCTGGGCACAATCCATGCAACGTCTCCTGCAAGATCTTGCCCGCAATTCCTTGAAAGCACAGCCACAGGGAATCTCCCGAATTCTGTTCTGGCAAAGGTGAACAACATCCCGATCTTTCAAGAGATTGCCAACTCGGGCGAAGATTGCCTCACTGTCAACGTTGTACGCCCGGCAGGAACCAAACCGGACGCAAAACTACCAGTCTTGGTCTGGATCTACGGAGGAGGGTTCGAAACAGGATCAACTGCAACTTACGATGGCGCAAGCATCGTATCCTCCTCTGTATCACTGGGCATGCCCGTTGTTTATGTCGCCATGAATTATCGCCTCGGCGGATTCGGGTTCTTGCCAGGAGCCGAGGTAGTGAAAGATGGCTCAGCCAATCTTGGCCTGCTAGATCAACGTCTGGCTTTGAAATGGGTTGCGGATAACATCGAATCCTTCGGAGGCGATCCCGAAAAAGTCACTATCTGGGGCGAGTCGGCTGGGGCTGTATCCGTGTTCGATCAAATGGCACTCTTTGATGGCGACAACACTTATAATGGTGCGCCGCTATTTCGCGGTGCGATCATGAACTCTGGCAGCATTGCACCTGCAAACCCTGTTGATGGTGTCAAGGGTCAGACCGTCTATGACACTGTGGTCAGGAACAGCGAGTGCAAGAACGCAGTTGATACTCTCTCCTGTCTGCGTGGGCTAGACTACACCAAGTTTTTGAACGCGGCAAACTCGGTTCCCGGCATCCTCGGATATCACTCGGTGGCCGAATCATACTTACCACGTCCTGATGGGACAGTTCTAACTGCATCGCCTGAGCAACTGGTTATTAATGGCAAATATGCAGCAGTTCCGTTCATTGTTGGAGACCAGGAGGACGAAGGAACCATATTTGCATTGTACCAAAAGAACCTGACAACCACCAACGACATAGTCGACTATTTCCAGAACATCTACTTTTTCGATGCGTCTCGTCAACAGATTTCCGATCTAGTCGCGACCTACAAAGACGACAAGGAAGATGGCTCACCTTTCCGCACCGGCGATGAGAACAATTGGTATCCGCAGTTCAAACGTCTCTCTGCTCTACTAGGCGATCTCTCCTTCACCTTGACTAGACGAGCCTTCCTGAACTCTGCACACAAGGCGAAGCCCGACGTGAAGTTCTGGTCATATCTTTCATCTTACGGTCATCATCTACCATTCCTCGGGACTTTCCACGGATCAGATATCTTGCAATTTTTCTACGGAATCCAGTCAAACTATGCCTCAAAGGCAATGCATACGCACTACTTGTCTTTTGTCTACGATCAAGATCCGAATTCCAGAGCTGGAGGCTATCTGATTTGGCCGGAGTGGAGTGGCAATCATTCACTCATGCAATTCTTTGATGATCACAGCGCTTTGCTGGCGGACAACTTCCGTCAGGATAGTTACGAGCTTATGACGAAAGATTATGCGTCTTTCCACATCTGATTGCAGCATTCAAGCTATTTGTTGGAGCTGCGGATGATGCAAGGTTGAGAAGATTACGAATTATGTTAACGAGAAATGCCTTTGATAGCATGGAGTGGTTGTCGTTTTCAACATCGAGGTGTTGAGTTGATCTGCACAGAACATTCTTTTATTGAACAGTGCTGAGGTCTTTGGTTTGCTTTTTGTCTTCGTTCATTCTCTTCGGGCACATTTCAATACTATCAGTCTCATCGAATGTTGCTTGTATTCTTCACTGCCTTCGTAAAGGGCGCGTTTGGGACACGAATGTGCTTGATTTAAGATAGAAACGTATGATTCAAAGGATTCAATACTAGGTATCATGACCCACACTCCCTCGTGACCTTTTGAATCAGAAAATCCACTTTAAAGATATATCAAATGGTCTGAGGTGCAATCTGGCTTGGTGGTCGTTCAAATCTTGCCCAGGTGAATTCGGGCGTTCCAGGCTTATCTCGCTGAAATACCGAGCCAGATTGCACCCAAAAAATTAAAAATATCTTCAACATGGACTTTCCGATTCATGAGATCACGGCGGGCTGCCTGGGACACGAAATGAAAGCACCATTGCCAGGTGTGGTCCGAAAATCCAAGCTTTCCAAAGCTTTCTGGACGCTAAAATCGTCCAAATTCGAGTCAAGTTTGAGCGACACGCCTGCCCAGGTGAAATTCGGCTTTTTCTGACAGCATCGATTCAAAATGGGAGGTAGTTCAGTGCAAAAATATCGATAGAAAATGTAAAACTTAGGGATTAGAAAATTGGTTTTAAAAGGGGCGTTGGTTGACGGGGTGATGGAAAAAGTGGAGTAGGGCGAGACTTTTGGACGCCCATTATGGTGGAGTTATTCTGATCAAAGCATTGCATTTCTCAAATTCAAATTTTGGTATTACGAAATCCAAGAAACTACCTCCAGGTCGCGGTGACAGTCGCAGTCGTACCTGAACATCCACTTGGCACAGTGTAGGACCGATTTGGATCGCTCTCCCAGGTGGCTGTTGTAGAACCACTTGACTTCTTGATAAACTTATAAGAAAACTGGGTCCCGACCGGTAGTGTGATGGTAGCCTGCCATAGCGGGTTGGCAGAAGTATAACTGCTTGCAGACAAGGCGATCGCACTGCTTGCGTCCCAGTTACCCAGCTGACTGATTGATCCTGAGATATAGACATTTTCTCCGTACGAAGTGGTGACTAGCTCTTTGAATAAGACTGGAAGAGCTGTTGCTTGAACGCAGCTCGTTCCTGTGCTGGTTGAGGTTGCCGTTTGAGTTTCTGCCGTGGTTGTGGAAGCTGTTGAGTCACATAGTCCGGTGTTACCGATTGATGAAGCTTGTATCAGAGCACGAGGAAGTCCGGAAATCATGGGCACGGGTACGTTGCCGTTTGAATCGACCGTAAGAGACGTGCAGGTGTACAGCTCCATCAGCTTTGTGCCCGATGAATACCCACTTCCACCGAGAGAAAGCGTGTAAGAAGATCCGGAGGCTCCTTTGTTCGAAAGAATCGTGATCACAGAGCCCTTTTTCATTGCGATTGTGTTGCTATCCTGGTAGAAGGGTGAATTCTACCCAGTCTTAGCGATGGCTTCGCAATGGTGGTTGAAGACTTACTTTAGATGTGATGTAGCTGGAATCCGCCGAGGTGGCCAGTTGGCGTATTTTGTTGGTGGTAGCAATCCATTTGTAAAGCTCTGCGGTGGTAGAGTATCCCGAAAACCACAGTGCTTCACGGTTCGCGGGATCCTCCGCCCCATCGTAGTGCTGTTCCTGGCCCGAGTATATGATGGGAATACCATCGGATAAGAACAAGAAACTGATGACATTCTTGGCTTGGGAAAAGTCGCTGGTGTAACTGGAAGCAGCTTTAGTGAGCCTTCTTGAAAGTTCAACAGAGGCTGGCCCTACCTTGGGAACCGAGGGTTGTCGTGGTTCTCAATGAAGTTACCCAAAAGGGTCGGGTCGGCACAGTCAGAGGCCACGGTGTTGACCATGTTGTAGAGGTCGCTGATACTTCCACTAGATGACTTGAAAGCATTCAAGAGCGGGTAGTAACTGGAGAATCAGCAAATGTTGAATGGAGCAGGTGGGTGAATGGCATACATTGGGTAGTTCAGCACACCATCCAAATAATTTTGGTAGTCGCAAGTGTAAGCTGGATTTCCGTCAAAGATCTCTCCTACCGAGTAGACACCTGCAGCGTCATTGAAGCCAGGCCAAAAGGACTTTTGCACATGTTTGACAGTATCAATACGCAGTCCATCGACTAGAAACAATTAGCATGAGCGCGAACCCTGGCTATGTGCGTCATACTAGAGTAGTTCGACACCAAAGCGGCAATCCAATCGTTCCAAATAGTCTGAACAGAGCTTTGGGTTGTGTCCAAGTCAGGTAGTGATACGGTATTGTCTCCCAGCCAGCAATTCTCGACGTTTGACTGGTCGTTATAGTTGCTGATCAGGCAGTAGGAGTGGAAGTATGACGATGAACTGAAGGGATTGAAGACGCTGTAGTCCACGCTATTACCGCTACCAGCGTAGCCCTGAAGAAAATTAGAATATCCCCGTCGTGCTTCAGGTCAGATGAGGGGAGGGTACCATATGGTTCGCAACTACATCCACCATCAGATACATGCCTCTGGCATGGAGTGCATCTGACAGGGCCTTGAGATCCGCAGCGTCTCCATGGTGGGGATTGACTTCATATCTTGCCCATGCAATTGAATTAGTCGTGCACCATTGGTCCGAGTTGTTGACTCACATGTCTTGCTGCCAGTATCCATGGTATGCTGTCCCGTAGCCGGTGTTTTGAGGCAGCTGTTCTGTGACCGGAGTAATCCAAATGGCAGTAAATCCCATTCCTTGGATATAGTCCAACTAGCGAGCTCATTGATTAGGCCGAGGACTCCCAGAAAGGGAAATTGCCGCATTTACCTGATTAATGATACCCTGCCATGTCCCGCCACAATACGTCTTTCAGTTGTCAGCCCGGCCAGCAGTGGTATCCAGGGGAGTCATCCCAGCTTACCCGATCTTCAGTGTTGCAAGTAGCGGTAGTCGATCTATCATCACGGCCAAAGCGATCGGTGAGCAAAAAATAGATTGATTGACTGCGCCATTCGGCCGGAGTAAGGGCCAACGCTAGCTGCCCCCACAGGAGCGCTGCAGTCAAGGCAAATATCATCAGCATCGTTGCAGTTGGGTTTCCAACTTCTGGTTGAGTTCTGGTTTCGAGCAACCCATTGTTCGGCAATGTGGGCCTACAATATATATCAGTATCACCCCATGCTGGCCAAGCCACGGAAGTATCACAAGATTCAGTTGTTTTCATGAAACCATCGATGGCCGCGGGAGTTCAAAAGCACCGGATTCTCAATCCAATCGGTCAATCCGAGCATCGTGATTGGGTTTCATGCCGACGACTTCATCTCGCTAAGGGGGAGGAATGGACCAACAACCTTCGAAATGCCTCACACTTTCCATCACGGGCCGAGATATTAAGTGTGAGCCAACAGGATATCGGAAGATCCCATCTCCTCGACGCAGACACCTGGGAGGTGCAGGAAAATAGCTTCGCGCCAGTCTTTAAGGGGTCGATCCTCCGGGGCTTAGCTGAATCCACCGGATTCTTCACGGCCCCACCCAGGACGGTCGCTTGGAACGTCCAAGGACATTCTGGTGCCAGGCTCACATGCAAGTCATCCCCTGCCAAAGCGCCACTGTTCGCGTCGCGGGCGTGAGAGGCTTGTTCCTCCTCTGATTGGTCGCTGCCAACATCGAGTACCCGGCGAGGACGACAGGGGACGGAGATTTTGCGGGGTCAAATCGCGCAAGTGATGAGGGGCCACTTTAGAATTACTGCGAAATGCTTGGTCTGGAGTGTGTCGATCGACGCGATTGGCAAAGTCCCTTGATCGGACCCGTAAGGTACGGAGTACAGAGTACAGTACTTGCATGTGTCTCGGGAGATAATCGACCCACCTAAGAGAGTGCGGAGTACGGAGTGTGCATTCAGGGCCTTGACGATTTGGGGGAAACACCTTCGACGCGCAGGGATGCAGAAGCGAGATGATCTCCACTTTGCGTTTCTCCGTGCCGATGCAGTACTGTCAACTGGTCTATGCAATGTTCATGCACTTCGCGACCGAGTCAAAGTCACTGCGATGAATATAAAAGGGGTGCTGGTCCCCATGATATCTCTTCAACTCATCTGACATGGCTCCTCGATTTTGGACTGCGCTTTGGGCCCTTGCGCTGGGTCATGCTGCATTCGCTGCGCCGCAGATCCCCTTGGCGCCGCGCGCAACAGGCAGTCTGGATACTTGGCTCGCATCAGAGACTACAGTCGCTAGACAGGGAATCCTGAACAACATCGGCTCGGCGGGCGCGTATGCCGCGAGCGCAAAGCCGGGAATCCTGATCGCAAGTCCGAGTACTTCGAGCCCCGACTGTGAGCCTCCTTGCTACTTGAGATGAGCGGACTGTACTAATCGTGAGTGCAGATTATTACACTTGGACTCGGGACTCTGCTCTGGTGTTCAAAGCCTTGGTGGACCTGTTCAGGAATGGCGACACGGAGCTCCTCACGGTGATCGAAGAATACATTAGCTCGCAGGCATACATCCAAACCGTGTCGAACCCCTCTGGGAGTCTTTCCGGTGGGGGAGGATTGGGAGAGCCCAAGTTCAACGTTGATGAGACGGCCTTCACTGGCTCCTGGGGTCGCCCCCAACGCGATGGTCCCGCACTCCGTGCTACTGCGCTGATCTCATTCGGACAGTGGCTAATTGTACGTTATCAAGACTGATGGTTCTTCAGCTGCTAATCGATACAGGACAACGGATATACGACCTATGCGACTAACATTTTGTGGCCGGTTGTGCGCAACGACCTCTCCTACGTGGCGCAATACTGGAACCAGACTGGGTTCGGTCAGTTCATGCTTGGCCATGGGCGTGCTATTCATCCTTGCTAATTTCCGGACAGATCTTTGGGAGGAAGTCTCCGGATCTTCTTTCTTCACCATTGCCGCCCAGCACCGCGCCCTCGTGGAGGGTAGTACTTTCGCAAGCCAAGTTGGTGCATCCTGCTCGTACTGTGATTCTCAAGCACCTCAGGTCCTGTGCTTCCTCCAGTCGTTCTGGACGGGATCGTATACCCTAGCCAACTTCGGTGGTGGTCGCTCTGGCAAGGATGCCAACACCCTCCTCGGCAGCATTCATACCTTCGACCCCGAGGCTGGCTGTGACGATACAACATTCCAGCCTTGCTCAGCTCGCTCCCTGGCAAACCACAAGGTGGTGACCGATTCTTTCCGCTCGGCGTACTCCATCAACTCGGGGATTGCGGCCGGAAAGGCCGTCGCCGTCGGCAGGTACTCGGAGGATTCATATTACAACGGTAATCCTTGGTATTTGTGCACCCTGGCTGCAGCTGAGCAACTCTACGATGCCATCTACACATGGAACCGCATCGGTTCTCTGACCATCACCTCCGTGTCGTTGAACTTCTTCAAGGACTTGTATAGCTCTGCTGCTACTGGCACGTACTCATCGTCCAGCACGACCTATGCGTCGATCGTCAGCGCCGTCAAAGCTTACGCTGATGGCTATGTTAGCATCGTGGTAAGTCCTCCTCCGGGGCAATCCAGTCAAACGCACTAACCCGAACACCAGGAAAACTATGCCCTGAGCAACGGCTCTATGTCGGAGCAGTTCTCGAAATCAGACGGCTCTCAGCTCTCAGCCCGTGATCTGACCTGGTCATACGCAGCCTTACTCACTGCCAACGAGCGCCGGAATGCGATCGTCCCTGCGCCCTGGGGCGAGACATCTGCCAGCAGTGTGCCTGCTCAGTGCAGCGCCACGTCCGCTATCGGCACTTTCAGCAGTGCGACCAACACTGCGTGGCCATCAACCCTGACTAGCGGAAGTGGTAGTGGGACCACCACTGGCACAGGAACGACCACGAAAGCGACCACCGCGACCACTACCAAGACCACATCCACCACCACTTCATGCGTCACGCCTACCGCTGTGGCAGTGACGTTTGACGTGATCGCGACAACTGTCTATGGGGAGAATATCAAGCTTGTGGGGTCCATCTCCCAGCTTGGTTCGTGGGACACTGGCAGTGCTCTTGCGCTGAGTGCGTCGTCGTACACTTCTAGCAATCATTTGTGGTTCGTGACGGTGACGATCCCTGCCGGATCTACCTTCACCTACAAGTACATTCGGGTTGCAAGTGATGGCTCGATCACATGGGAGAGCGATCCCAACCTTTCGTATACTGTTCCGAAGACGTGCGGCACATCTGCTGTCACCATCAGCGATACATGGAGGTAGCTAAGTGGGAGCATATGATCGAATTTGCTACGATTTCATATTGTGCATTCCAAGTAGAAGAATGAGATCATCTTTCTGGATTAGCCTCCCTTGCTGGCTTGGTCCATAATTTCTCGGTATCGACGTTGAGTTGAGCTTTGATCCAGGAAGATTTCATACTTTGCCCCAAGAATTGCATTTTCATGCTCATCTGTTGAAGGATAGAAAACCTCCCCAGGCTGGCTCATTTGATCAATCACGTCCCACAAGTCGGCAGTCCCTCCATTGACGTCCACGCTAGCCGCCTTAACCCCCAACATTGCGGCACCATGGCAGACAGCTGCATGGATGTAGCGTGGGACAACGACGGGCATATGGCATGCAGTGGCAATGAGATTGACCAGGACCTCATTCTGACATTGTGACCCGGACATGAAGATCGACCGGATTTGGTGACCAGATCCATTCATTGTGTCCACGATCTGTTTTGTTTGCAGGGCGATGAATTCCAGGGTGCCATAGTAGTGTATCACAAGAGATTCTATCGATATATCACTCGATAGACCAACAATCGAGCCTCTCATGGCCGAGTCGGCCAGTGGGGAACGATTCCCGAACAAGTCCCCGTAGAAAAAGAAATGTCGGGCCAAATCTGCAACACCGGGAACTTTTCGCTCGATAGCTAGTTCGCGGAGCTTGATGTTCAAGAATTCGAAAATATTCACACCAAAACTCTTTGCTTTTGTTTGCGCTTCGGGGAACGCCGGGTGTGTTTCGAGGACATGCTTAAGCAGTTGTCCAGTGGCGGACTGTCCCCCTTCGGCCATCCAGCAACCCGGAAAGATGGTATCGCGGTAGGGGTCCCAAACACCTGGCACGAACACGGGGTCGGGCGACGTGGCAATATGACAGGAAGATGTTCCTGCAACAACGGCCAGACGTGAAAACACCTCACTTCTATCATTTGTGCCTTTTTGCACTGGCTCTCCATGGACGACATGCCTCTTTGTGTCCATCTCGACTTTTGCACCGACTGTGCCTATCCATCCTGCGTATGCATCAATCACTCCACTGCCGACAGCAGTTCCGGCGTTGAGTCCCAACTGTCCGGCTGCCTCCTCACATAGGCCCCCAGCGAATTCGCCTGCGTGTAAGTGCCGACCATTCTAACAAAAGAGAGTCAGCGAAGCCACTTCGTTGACAGATTTCAAGAATCACAAGCCACGAGAAGCTATCCATACCTCTCCATTCACACCACCGATACGATCGAACCGGCGGTTGCCAAGCTCGCCGAGCCCAACTTGTTCAAAGAAATCTTCTTGCCAACCGTCAAAACTTCCATCCACTCCCTTGGGCACGTATCCCTGTTTGCAAACCATGCTCGAAAAACTTCTGGTGTCCCCGCCCGTCGCAATGTGAGTCAAAGCATCCACGAGATCGAAGAACTTGCAATCAGAAAAGGTTTCCTCTGGCATATTGTTCTTCAACCACAGAATTTTCGGAATCTCCATCTCAAGGGACATCTTGCCGCCCACATAGCGCAGCACACTATGACCGGTGGCATTGATGACCTCCGTTTCCTTTGTGGCGCGGTGATCCAACCAAAGAATCACATTGCGATCGGTGTTGAAATCTGGGCCGGTGACGGAGACTGGCTGGTTGGTCTTTGCGGAAAAAAGACATAGAGAGCAAGTCGCGTCAAACCCGATTCCGTGTACGAGCGATGGTGAGATCTCTTTGTTGTCGAGGGTTCGGCGAACAACTATGCAAATGCACCGCCAAATATCCGTGGTTGATTGTTCCTGTAGCCACACAAGTGATCAGTTCTTTATTCCTCAAGCTCCCACGCCTGCTTGGAGAGGCTTGAGTGCGAAGGGAACATGGGATCACACGCACGTAATATTCCTGCTCTGGTTGCCAAAGTCCAATATTTTCCGATGCGACATCCACAATCTCGCCATGGTGGTCCATGAGACAGGCACGCGCACTGCCTGTTCCGACATCGATTCCAATGTAGTAACCTTCTTTGACCATGGTCATTTTGAATATCGGGTTGGGAAGTGCTTGACGAGTGGAAACGCGCACTGTCGCTTCATGAGACATGCACCGAAATTATATATGCTCCGTCAACCACATGATGGAATCTGCGTAGCATTGAGCTATCCCACGGATCGGCTCTGTGTGATTCATTTGTGGACGCGTCCTGCTTTGGACAGCCCAGATCGCGAGATTGTGCGCGGAATCTCGGTCTTTTCGGCGTTTTGCCCGTCCCCGCGAATAAGACCCCACCAGGCCGTCGAGTTCGATATCAGTTGTGGGGTATCGTCAGGAGGAAGAAAATAGGCGAGCGGTATCCATTGGAGAAATCGAATAATCCCTGTTGTTTGATAGAAGTTTTGATCCTTTTAGTGCTGCGTAAGGAAAAGCAGGAAAAGTTGGACACCTGAATTTGGCCTGACGGGTATTCCTACAGTCGACGATGCTTCATATCCCCTATTCAATCTCTTCATGACCTTTGATATTTCGTTGGATACATTCACTCAAGAGTCTAACTTCATGTCTGATCTCCCTCTGAACTGGTGTATTCTGTATCTCAATTGGCACCTGGCCATTCGACAAATATTCACCAAAGAATCACAAAGGCCCAGTGCCAATGGTTCTTTTACGGTCTTAGAATATATTTCTTAACACAAAATTCTGAACCCTCGTGGGTATCCGTACTTTCCAAACTTAAGCGGTTGATATTCCAAGTTCTTATGCTTCAGGCCCTGCAATCAGAACTTTGATCCCCGTCCCAGCCTTCACATCGTGGAAAGCCCGCTCGGCGTCCTCAAATTTCACAATGTCCGTAATCAACTCCTGCGCCTTCACCTGCTGGGTAGCAAGAAGCTGGATAGCAAGTTTATAGTCACCGCTCGCATACCGGAAACTGCCCTTGATGGTCAATTCCTTTGTGCATGCAGCCGTGATCGGAAAGTTGACTTCGTCACGTCCCATGCCTCCTTGAACGTAGGTGCCACCCGGGTGAAGAACATGAACACCAGTGTTAATCGAGGCCTCTGCACCGGAAGCATCAATGACGAAATCAGCACCATTGCCGAGGCCGTTTTCCTCCTTGAGGCGGGTGGCATTGTCTAACGGCGACCCCGACCCTGGAAGGAATGTGGCCGTTGCCTCAAATCGTTTGGCAAAGTCGAGTCTCGGCTGCTGAATATCAACAGCAATCACTTTGTTGGCTCCGAATGCTTTGGCCACCGCGCAGCACAGTAAACCAACGGGTCCAGCGCCGAAAATCACAATCGACGAACCGGGCGATACATCCGCCTGACGTACAAGATGGACCGCAACGCTGAGGGGTTCTACCAGCGCACCCTGCTCGAGACTGAGGCTGTCCGGTAGCTGGTAGCAGAGATCCTCTGGCAGACGGTAATACTGTGCCAGGGTACCGTCGTAGGGAGGGGTGGCAGCGAACGCCATTGCAGGGCAAAGGTTGTATGTTCCGATCTTGCATGCGTCGCATCTGCGACAGGGCTCCCCGGGCTCCATGGTGACACGGTCGCCCACTTTCAATGCTGTGACCTTGCTTCCTATTTGTTCGACAATGCCTGAGGACTCATGTCCAAGGACCATTGGTTGCTCGACTTTGAAGGGTCCGATTTGTCCGCAACTCCAATAGTGTACCTAGTTGCGGATAGGGCGGTCGTTAGATAGTGTTTCACTGCCATGGCCCGGTAGTGGCAGACTCACATCGCTGCCGCAGATTCCAGTAAATTTCACTCTGACCAAAACATCGTAGGGGTCGTGTAGCTGAGGAATCGAACGGTCTTCAAATTTCACTTTTTGGATTCCCTCAAGCACGAAGGATAAATTCTGCTATCTCTGTGAGGCCAATGCAAAGCGATATTCTACCGAGATATATTGACATACCTCTGTTCTTTTCATGATGGACATGTATTATTCCTATCCGCAGGATTGAAGTTGGTGAATTGGACGGGAGGGAAGTGTTGAAAAAACTGCAAACCTCGTCCGGGGAGCTACTATGTACTCATCTTTAAATGAATCAAATGGTGAGCTTGCTGTAGACTGGTGTTTACCCGTTGGCGTGTCGCGGGAAACGGGGATTTCGCCGTCTTCGCCGTCGGCCCACCCTCCACCATCGGAAGACCCCACGGATCGGCTGTCTGGCAATCTCGCCGGGCGGTGATTCAAACTATGTTGGTCGTGCAATCTCAGGAGATATGATCTCTGCGTTGGTACAGGTTGCATCACTGCAGAATTCACTGGTCGGCATACGGACTAGTTGTCAACAGAAACCGAGGTTGACTTGCATGGGGGTGAAAACCGTCGTTGACCTTGAACTTTTTGATTTTGCTTCATGTATCTATGCTTCATCCAAGCGATGTGAATGATCATGCAGTCCCAAAGCAGTCCGATGAAGCTGGTCCCCCCTAGGGCACTGTGAAATGTTTCACAGAATGCTACAAACCAGACTCATCAACTACAATGCTTTTTCCTCGAAGTTTCGATGGCATCGTATCTGAAGATACGCTGAAGTCAAGAATCTGCGTGAGTTAGTACAAAGCTCTGGTGGAAGGGTGTGATCGTACGTACCTCGATGTACGTTCGGCCGTCTCGTTGAACCGCCGCTACACAGACTTGGCCGTCAAAGCAGACTTGCCAAACACCGTGGAGATCCGTGAGAAGGTCCCTTTCGAAGACACCTGTCTGGATATTCCACAACTTCAAATGCCTGTCTGACCCAGAAACAATCTTTTCGTTGTCGTGCTGGAAACATGTCACCGCTCCACTGTGGTCACTCAGCACACTTCGACACGCGCCATTTTCGGGGTCCCAAATCCGGAGGCTGGAATCAGCGCTGGCCGACACGAGAAAACCATCGCTGAGTTCTAACAAGCCCACCAGCGACGTGTGCCCTTCGAGACTGAACAACAGCACGCCGGTTTCAAGACACCAAATCTTGACCATGTGATCCATTCCTCCACTTATACAGCGATTCCTCTGGTGGTCTATAGCAACTTCATAAACTTTGTACCCATGGCCCTCAAGCGTGTGCACCAAAGCTCCGGTGGAGACTCTCCAGACCCGTACAGTGCAGTCATAGCTGCCACTCACCAAAGTGTCCCCATGGACAGCCATCGCGCGCACGGAATGCTTATGTCCTCTCAAAACGCGGATGAGATACGGGCAATCGTCGCTTTCTGGTATATGATCGGGCAGGTATGTTTGGTCTTCTTGCTGCGGTAGCTTCCAGACCCGCATGTTACTATCACGGGAGCCTGAAATTATCAACGGCTGATCGTGTACGACCGCTGTTGGATCGGTCTGTTGATCAACCAGCGTCGGCGGCAATATCTTCAAGATCCGCACTGTGGAAGTGTGGCCGTGAAGGATATGAGTACATTTGGCCTGTTCCATATCCCACACTCGGATTGTGCGGTCTGTGGACCCTGAGACAAGGGTGTTCTCATAATGTTGTACTGTCCATACTCCTCCTTCGTGTCCTTCCAGCTTGGCCCGGACGGCGCCGGTCTTGAGATCATATATATGAATATTGCCGCTGTCACTTGCTACTATAATCTTCTCGCCGTCAATCTGCATAGAGGTCACGACGTGCCGATCGTGGGCCGGAAAGGCGATGTGTTTCGGTTCTGTATTCTCCCACATCGTGGCTCAAGAGGCGGACTGCTCCAATATATTTGACGGCTGAGGCTGAGAAGAGAAAGAATGAGGGGAGAAGAGAGGTGCCCAGTCACTCCAGGACTGCGATCTGCGAACTCCTGACTCCACGTGATTGCCCGCTTGGACCCCTCCAGGGTTGGCCCAATTGGGAAATGATGCACAACACGCGTTGCCCCCTTTCCTTCGCTTCTGCGAGGCCGTGATTCACACAGGCTTTGTTGAGATCGGATAAAATCACGATATATTATGTATTATTGATTGATGAATATCTGAATTTATGTACAGTATCAAAAACATTGGAAGCATATTGTCAAGTGCGAGCCCATACTCGAAGGCTCAAGGGTCAAGTTCAACCTCCAACTGCGCAATATCAACACATGGTTGCACACACTCGATCTTGAATTTCTCGAGGATACTGGCGCTACGGCGATGAAAATTTTTGATTCAGATGCCTTTGACCTGGAGCAGCTTTCCGGTGCAGCGTTACCCATGCAAGGTGTAACACGATTGACGACCCCTTCTTCAATGGTACAAGTTCAAACTGTAGTTTTGCAAGCGAACATCATGGGTGCCCACGGTCGATATCTTTTTGACAATTGGGTCAACATCTCTGTTCGCATATTTCCCGATCCGGTGGGACCTCAATCGGGCCCGTCCAATCGTCTCAGTGGCTTGTGGCTCTACAACATGTTATTTGTCCTCTCAATGCCGGATAACACAGAGGTGATGCATATGGGGAATGATTTGTGGGATATGATGAGATACCTGCCCGTTCCAGATGCAAGACTTGCCATCCATGTCCGGCGGTCTGAGTCAGTCCTGTTGTCGGGACTAGCTCAACCTTGGAAGCATCGCCCTTGAGACAACCCGACAGCAGTAGCCAGGTTTCGTCCCTATGCTACTGGGTACACCACGATATATTTGCCCTGACATTTGCCCCATTTTTGATATATACCGATTCGATCTGCTTGGAAGTTTTTGTGTTTTTCTCGGTCAGCTACAGACCCTGGGAAGGGGAATCTGTGTTATTTGATACTCAAATAGTTTGTCAATTCATCCATATACCTAGGTATGTCTTCATCGGACAGTGGTTTCGTCGTTGCATGCGCTGAGAGACAGACCAACCAGCTGGCACTAAATTGGCTTGACCATTGTAAAACCATCAAGTCGTTTCAATACCTACATAGGTAAGACCCATATATTTAGGCAGTCAATTTCCGGTGAAACTGGTGAGAGAAGTGTGATTTTCGAATCTCAAACATTGGCCTGAATTGTTGGTGCCTCAGGACGCCAGGCTAGCCGGTCTTTTTCCGTCGGGGCAACTACTTCACGTCCAAGACGAAACACTTTGAAATCCCGCTATCTCCACACAAGCATTGTTACTAGATATCTCTACACAAACATAATACAATTCACCATGCCGATCACAGAGGAAGCGCTCGACGCCTCGGTTCTCGGTCGCGCGATTGACGACGCGTCCGATAAGACGGTCCGTGCGATTCTAAAAACTATTTGCGCCAACAACGATGAGGCCCGTAAAGAAGCGGAGAATCGTCTCTTGGTACTACCAACGGATTCAAAGGAACAATCGAACACTGCCAAAAAGCCAGTTCCACGATATGCCTTCTGCGTGAATTGCAAGATTGAATTCGATATCACGACTAACACGGAAGAGAAATGCAAATATCACCCACGTACGCTAACATGAAGCGGAGAGTTACCGTGGTCTCTTGAAGATTATTTGCTAAATTGAGTTTATCAGGGCCTTGCGAACCTACAGGGGAGGACCTGTGGGTTGACAACTATGATGAATTCGACGTGGACACCGATGAAATGCGCGAGGAATTCCCCCATTGCTTTACATTCGGGTGCTGTGATGGGAATCTCCAAGATAATCCCGATGGTTGTGTAATTGATTTCCATCAAGAAGGCAATTGCGACACTAAGCCCTCGAAACGCGCGAGGGCCTTTTGATTTGAGGTTCCCGTTCGTGGATATATGATGGTTGATTCTGCTCCGAGACTCGAGTCAGCAATTGTAGCCCTTTCAATCACTCGCAAATCTTTGGAACTTCTTCAATCTTTGATCTTGACCTTGGAAATTTGTGCATCGGCTTTTGTACCCCAGGAGACCCTTCGACTGACCATGCGTTTGTTCCAAGGTTTTATGCTGCGAGGCCTGGAGGTTAATCTGGTGAACTTGAGCATCCATGGACATAATAAAGTATCACTAGGGGTATTGAAGAGCCAGATATGCAATGGCAGTATCTATATGTCGACTAAAAACAACGAACAATGTAATCTGGACAGTAAATCGCATTCAATAAAGACACAAGGCTATTTCCAAGTTGCTCCAACCTTTGAAATTGGAAGGTTCATGATAACTCGACCAAAAGATGTAATCTGGCGATATCATTTACTTGGCTTTACAGAGAGGCCCGTAGAGGGTCGGACCGGTAATCTCTTCCCAACCCTCACTGCCAACACAGCGATAGCACCAGAACAACCCCTCGGGATCATACTTCTGCTTAACGGATGTCAGCCACTCATATCGGTCACCATAAAAGTCTTCCTTCCAGTCTGGATCATCCGGATCGGCCTCATTCATGTAGGTGCCGATGCCAGGAGCAGCAGCCTTCATCGCGTTCAGTTTCTTCGAAATCGCGTACTGTCTGACTTGGCGAACGCCTTGCAATCCGCTATCAGCAGGGGGCACATCGAAGTTTTCCATGAACAAATAAGTGCTTCGCCATCCTGGGTGAATAGCGGTATTTGGCTTGGGCTTGAGAACTTCCCCGCCGCCGACGAGAGAGAGCTCCAGCAAAGATGCGATGGCTTGGACCTTCGAGTTGCTTTCAGGGAAGATTGCCTTCAGCATAGTTGTGATATTCTTGTGGTTGTTGATGAGGGACTGCTTGTCAAAGAAGCGAGACACCATGGCAGGACTGGGGTAGTTCAATCCAGCCGACTCGTGAGTGCCACTTGCGAAGTAAGTCTGGAAAGTATCAAACTTTTCAAATTTCGAGATCACAGTAAGCCCGGTCCCATTGAGTGGCCGTAGGAAATCAACAAGCTGCCTGTTCATGACCCTTTTCGCTTCTTCGATTTCAGATGACAATTTGACTGAAGAGACATTCGGTGACAGCATCTTTGCGAAATTATGACTGTAGATTGTTTTGCTTCCAAGCTTCCGTGTAATTTGCGCATTTCCGGAAAATCCTGCATCCGAAAGAGCAGGGTATTTGGAGAGAACCGATGCGGTGGCGTTCATCAAAGTAGACAGGTTGGTGCTTGGTGGTGCGAGCACAAAAGAGTGCTTCAGAATGGGCCTTGTAGGGTAAACTCTGATAGTGGCCGATACCACAACACCAAAGGTACCACCACCACCACCACGGAGCGCGGCGAAGAGGTCTACATTTGAGCAATCGTTTGCGATGACAATTTCACCGGATGCAAGCACAACCTTGTACTCGAGGACCTGATCTGCTGCGAGTCCAAAATCATGAGTAGCCGGGCCATGACCGGCCCCTTGGATGTATCCTCCAACTGCACCGACAGTCTGAAGGCAAACCGTTAGCAAGGTCATACACACATGGTCATTGAGTTGGATATTTACCTCGGAAGAGCCACCAACGGCAATATGCCCGTGTTTCGCCGCGTATGCGTATACCTCCTTCCAGATATACCCGCCTCCAACGACAATCGCACTTCCGGTCCAATTAGATTGACATGAGCTGTTGGATGGCTGGTATCTGTCTTGGAACTGGAGTTCCGGCTTCATATGTTTCATCCAGATAGACAAGCTTCCATATCCCTGAGATCTGAGAGTGTGTCAATGTTTGAGCACTGGGCAATCAGAAGACATATGGCTTACCGTGCCCTGACATCATGACCAGTATTCTTGATTACCAGCCGGACATTGTTTTCTTTAGCAAACTTGATACCAGCTGCGACATCCGTCGGCTTGGTCGCGTTGACACTATAAACCGACGAAGTGCCCAAATCACACACCGGAACTCCAGCGATAGAGCCATTGACTGGAGCACAGGTCTCAATGACCGGATAAGCGTATCCAATTGGAGATGACTCTCGGAAGGAAGTCAGGTCATAGATCTTGCTGATTTCCTGACACTGCGAGGGGTCAGTGCCAATACCAGCGTAGCATGATTTGGCGAGAGGCTCGTTGGCGATGAGGGCCCCGTTAACAGTGGTGTTGAGGCCCTTCCACTTCGAGGCTGAGGGCCAGCAGCTGTTTGTTGGAGTCTAGATTCCAAACATTAGCCTTCCTTCAAGTTTGAAGTGTATGTATAGCGGCAACATCACGTACGCATTTGCAGTTTGCCAGAACGGACGGCGCTCCCGTCAGTAACAGAAGAGATATGAGCTTCATTTTTTTTTATTGCTGAAGAGATCGATGGTAGCTGAGCAGAGCTTTCTTCCCTACTTATATCATTTTTCCTTCCTGTGCGCTGAGCCTCGACCTTGTCATCGGATGGGGGCTGAAAGGGATCGACTGTGCCTAAATGTGAATATCTCGGTGCAATATTCGTCTTGGCAAGATTATTGCCCTTTCAGGTGAAGATGTTCATGACATGCTTGTGTGGGGAATCAAAGTCTTGGCCAAACCCCTTACCGTTTTGAGATAAGATCTTCACAAGGCAATGTTTGTTGTCGATCTTTGTATCGGGCGACCCGACCGTCCTGTGGCGCAGAGATGAACTCTTGGCATGTCTTTGCCCTGATTCAGGTATAGATTGACTTTTGGTAATCGATGTTGGAGTGTTATTGAAAATTTCCGAAAATGGCAGTAATCATATTCCCTGGCCCCGTGGGTCATTGACCCGGAGACGGGCTGGGGTTCATGAGTTTGCGCAACTTGATCGGTTGGGTTTATCTTCCCGTATATCGATTGATCTCGACTGTTTGTATGACTTTGTTATCGTCGGTTCTTTCTTCGCGGGGTCTTTGATCCAGGCAAGAGTCGGGAAGAAACATCAATTCATTGAAAGGAAGAGGGAGAAAAACAAGGGAACAGAGAGGACAGTGGAAAGAGGAAGGAGCATAAGGAGAGAGGAAGAAGGAGAGCTAGCTAACGACACTGAGTCTATCCAACGTTGGAGAGCTAAATGTATAATCTGTCTTAGGATGCTCTTCTCAATTGCCCCCGATTGACCGTCAGGATTGTCGTCAAAACGTGGGGTTGATCAAAGCAATCATCCCATCCATTCTTACCAGAGTTCCAGAACTTTTCCAGTAGGTCCCTTGCGGCTAGTGGTGCATGTGTACCGGCACGGACACTGATGCATGTCATGTTGTTGCGAACAAAGGCTCGCAAAGTGGGACTCCCATCAACTGCTTGCATTCCAAGAACCAACAGAGGCCAAAATGGATACCCATATGATCCACCTTGCAGTAATCTTTCGACCAACCCATGTAATATTTGCTTCTCCGTGTCACGATTCTTCGTCAATAATGGACTTGGAGGTAAAGCTCGCATGCTTTGAAGAGAGGACATGCAATATAATGCAACTGCGCTTTGATAAGTCTCCACTACCAGCTTGCTTGCATCGGTGAGATTTTCGTTGGCCTCTATCCACGCTGTAGGGGAAAACTCGTAAATGCGACGTAGGACCTCCCGAGCGTCGCTGTGAAGCTCGCTGTCATCCGTTTCATCTATCGTTGAAATTTTGCATCGAATATTGTTGATCTCGAGAATTTCACCGAAGAGCGGGGTCGGGCACATCTGAAAGCCGTATCCATTTTCGCCGAAACATTGTATGAAAAGGCCCAGTTCCATGGGATTTAATCCACCGATAAGCATATTCGACGCAGGTGATGAAGTATCAGAAATGACGACGAGGCTAATGAGCACCGACGTTAGTGATTGGCGATTAGATTAAAACGAGAAGTCCTCGATCACTTACTATACAAAACACAGAACGATTGGGAGAAGTCCTGGCGTTGCAGCTAGGTGAAACATTCCACCCCGTAAATTGATCAACCTTTTCACCCCCTCAATATGGTATCGCCAATGTGGCGAGACTCCTTGCTGCACCTTTTCGGACATCAGTCTTCTATCAATTGCTTTATGGCAATCTTTCAAGGCAATTCAATTCAAACTCACATCGGCCAGCAGTAACGATAGGATTCCCGCAAAAACGATATCGCTGTCTCGCTTGTGTGAATCGTTGATATCTTCATTCAATGATTGAATCATCAAACCGCGATGGCGAAAGAAATGGCTTTTCAAGGGCTTTGAATCCAGATCATGGCCCATTTGGTTCATGCGATGACTGAGGGTCAGACAAACCAAACCCGATCGAAGATGGGTGGGCCGGGAGGAAGCCGCACCCAATATGGTTGGTGGGAGCTTGTATATATTTGTATTTGTGCCAAGACGTAGGGAGTTTGCCAATTGCGGGTACATGCAGGAGTTGACTGCCAAGATGTCATCGAAGTGAGTCTCGAAGTGCCGAGAGACCGTTGCAGGACTTACAGTATTCCACGGAATCTATCAGTGCATGATAGTCCGTTTTGAGGTTAAAAGATGGGATGGTCACTGGTTGCATAACGGTGGACGCTTCTGAGTTCGTATTAGATGATTCTGAGCGACATTGTCGATGGCTAGCACTTGTTGGACTATTTTTGTTCTTCTGTCGACTGAGGGTGCCTTTACGTTTTTTCGAATTGGTTTCGCCTGGGTCGACCCATCGCAGTCGCACTTTTGCACTGTCGCCGTAACCAGGGCAGTCCACTCCGGATCTTGCACATCGTCTACATCCGGGGACTTCGAAATCGCATACCAATCGACGTCGGAGGCATTCTCCGCAATGGACCTTCCGAACTTGCGCCATCTGCACGAGTTCGATGATCTGCAGATGGAGCGAGATACCGCCAAGATGTCACAGCTCGCAGTTGACGATCGCACAAAGTGTATTCACGCCGTGCACCTCAAGATGAGACTGGACATTAACCGTATCCTCGGCACCTCAAAATGGTACTCCCGGGGGATCAGGGCAGCGGTAGCTCTCAGGAACAATCAGCTCGTGTCTAGGCTATGACGACATGAGAGAGTTGCCAAGTTCGAAATTCAGCCTCAGTCTCCTGGGCAGTGCAGAGTACAACTCATGCGGTCAACCCGTCAGCCCGGATCAATAGGTTGTCCGACGTGGGGGCCGACCAACAAGCCGTCATAGGCCACTATTCTGACAAATTAGGGGCTGCTTCTAAGCTTCGAGGGACTCCAGGCTCGCGCGCCGCCGATCACTAGCCCCACTCCACTCGGCTACAAAGTCTTGGCCATGCTAGATTCCGCATTTGGTGTCTCAGCTTTAATATTGGCGTAACGGGGATTCTGGTCCGAGTTCAAGGAACCTGACTTTTTCTGAGATCGTCAGGATGAAGCTGCGCCACACGCACTCATTGGGAAAAAGCCCGTTCTAGGGCATATGTGCGCGGACTATTTGTTCTAGAAGGAAACCGTTTAAAGGACGGCAACATTTCCCCAAAGACAGCTCACTTTCGTTCAAGATCGAACCTGGATCAGCACGTTTTCATATTCTCATATCACCATACCAAAAAAACAGCGACACTATGATCAGAGCAAGGAGAGATGCTCAACTAGGAATTCCCCCGGGGGATCCCAGATATGGGCCCTCAATCGGACGATCTAGATATCGTGAACGAAGATCCGGCTATCCACCACAACTGTACGGCCCACCGCAAAATGAATACACATTCCAGCAGCAGCAATACAATCAACCTCAGCGGTACGATCATCAGTATGTCAACCCGCAGCCAAATTGCCCACAACAACCATTCGATGCCAGGCAAGCGTACGGCCAGCCGCAGCAGTATGGGAGTGATGGTCGTTATTCACCGCCACCCAACGGGCTCTATCCTGGGAGCCAAGGAGCACCCCCGCCGAGTCAACTGTACACAGCGCAGATCCCCCAGATTCCACCACCGCCATCAAACAGGCCTCAGGTGTGTGTTATTCCTCGTAAGTACAACTGCCATGTCAATTCCAAGAAGCAATCTAACCCGGCTCTCAAACTCCTAGAAATAATGCATAAAAGATTCAGCGGCGAGAATATGAGTCCATTTGTCCGCGTACGCGTGCCGCAGTTGGAGCAACAGATATCTTCCCACGAGCTTATCATTTTCATCGATGAGTTGAACGAAGCTTTCCTGGCAAATCCCGCCCTCCAAGCAACCAATCAGGCTGCTAATATTGCCGGCATGGCTCCCTCGATGATTGTTCAGTTGGTCGGCGTTGGTGTCAATGTGGCAGCTGGAATCAGCTCAACCGTCACCACCAAGACGCGCACGAAGAAATACCTCGCCAAGGCTAATAAGGAGCTCTTTCATGCAAGGGGCTTGCATGTGCAAATGTGCAAAACGGACAAGATGCTTGAGTATGCTGGCTTAGGCGGCCAGGAAAATGTCTTCCTTCGACAACAGTATAGAGAGTCGACCGAGCATGCGATGCAGATGCGAATCCCGATGAATGGTCCAATGGGGTCTGCGGAGACCGCTAATCATCCTATCATGCACCGTATGGCTGCGCTGGGGGACCGAGTGATGCCACTTTCGTTCGATTATGTCGAGGCAGCAACCAAGCCTGAAGGTTTTTGGAAGAAGTGGGGTGCAAAGGAAGCCACTAAAGCGGATCAGAAACAGATGGAAAAGATGATGAAAGAGCAAGCTAAGGAAGAGCGGAGATCAGGCAGAGGAGGAGGTCGACTCAGCTCGAGGAGACAGGAGAGGCAGGGGAAGAAGAAGGCGAAGGAGGCTAATAAGATCTTGTGGATTGTCATTGCTCCAAAGGCAAACCAAGCAGGAGGGGATGAAGAGTGGGATTCTGGGTCCGATTCAGACGACTCTGGAAGCCACAAGCATTGATCTCAGAAACCATGCTCACCTCACTCTGACTTCGCCGTCAAGTGTCACATTCAAATATGATCCCTGTTCCCGATGACTTGCATGTATTATATTGCTTCCATATCCAGATGTTTCCATGGAGCCATGTCGACCAGGCAGCATCATGGGGCTTCCATGAGCTAAATTCAACGGCTTAAGTGCAAAGTGAGGTGAAGTAACCCGGAACCGAGCTTTGGGAAGATATAGCAAATTCAAAAGAGTGATCTGTTACATCCTCCCGGGCCCCGGGGTAGTGTCTTGATCATGGAATTCATCCTACTCAGTCACCACAGTCGTTCCTTCTTCCAAACAAGCCGTTTTGAGGTACAATTCATGAAAGCCAACGGTAAGGCGATCCGGTTTTCGGAATCTCCATGAAGAGCCGCGCCAAGCATCTTGGCTCATCCATGTTCGTTGGATCAGTCGCTCCCAGCGTCAGCGATCATACAGAAGCCAACCCCAAGGCTGTAACACGCACACATCGCGGCAGCGATTCCAGCGCCGATGGCCAGCTGGAAGTCAGTAAGAGCAAAAAGTCACACCGCTCGCGCGCCTCCCCGAAGAGACCCGCAAATCCAAGCGCAAGAGCAGCAACCCCGCCGATGAAAGAAATTCCCTTCGGGCCTTTTGGTGAAACAATGTGAGGGGATTTGCGGAGCCATACATTTCAAGAGCCCCGCCAAAACCGATGTCGCTCTCAAATACCAAACGCCAGAATTTTGTGCGGAACAAAGTACGGTACGAGACCTCTTCATTGCCTCGATGCTGCAAGCAGGCGTAAGGCGTGTGAAAGGCTGCACTGGACGCTGGAAGCGAAGGCGAAGATCTTGAGTTCTGTCTGAACACGATGGCTCCATGTGTTATATGACACTTATTTGTTCCGCATTGGCCCTGGAAGTATATGGGACGGTACACTCCAACCATCCTGTCGCTGATTGCTGCACCCAACAAAAACGATAAGTCAGATGGTCTCCGCAAATATACTTCGAACCGACCTGGGACCCACCTTTCCACAATTACGCGCCACCCAAGCCATTCAATCCTTGTTCTAAGCTCATAACCATAGCGGCCGACGATCTGCAATAGCATGGACTTTCTTCGAAACCAGTCGCTTGGGTACGATTGCTCCCAAGGTTCAGGGTTTCAGCTTGCAAAGACTTCAGAATCATTAAAACACTCTTGCCAAGGCCTTCTTAAGAGTCTATGGTGAGGAAGATCAATGGATTCCCATCAACGAGTGGGGACTTCCACCACCAGGTCATTATCATAGGGCTGCAGAAATGATCACGCCTCTGATCTGGATTTACGACTTGGCGGTCACCCTTTGAAGGTCGGGTTCGGGTTCGGGTTCGTATTCGGCTCAGATTACCCACAATGGAAAGATCTACACACACCCCTTCACGTCGACTACGGCTATTTTATGCCATGAAACCTGGGTGGTGACAGATTGAGACACCACGCCAACTTTCGCAGGCATACGAGTACTCTGCTCTCGGTGCCACGCGGTCCAGAATGCCACTTGAGCCGGCTCGACTTCTCGGCCCGCTTAAGCTTCTGCACAATGCAAAGATCTGCATGGCCTGCTGCTGATAGGCTCAGCCAAGAGGGCACATGATGAGTATTCGTCGGCTCAAGGTACTTTCGATGCCAAGGCCCACTGCCTGGCTGTCTACGTAAGTATAGCAATGTTCATTAATAGATCATGGTGAGATCTGTGCTTCAGTAAGTACAGGTGAATTGGCTATATAAGAGCCGCTGATCATCCCCCGAGCCCTCATGTTGTTCTTACCATCAATTTTCTTTCTAAGATGTTGGGCTTTATCCAAGCGATTCTAGCAATCCCAGCTCTGGCTGCTGCGGCTAGCTTCCCCGTCATTGAGACTAACAGTGGCCCTGTTCAGGGTACCAACTCTCCCTTCCGCAGTGGAGTCACTGTTTACAAAGGTCGGATACTATTGCTCCTGCTCTCTGGCCTCTGTGTGACTTACAAAGTGAACAGGTATACCATACGCCGCAAGTCCCGCCGGACCGAAGCGTTGGACTCCTCCAACCAAGCCGAAGTCTTGGACAAAAACTCTCAATGCTACAGAGTTCGGTCCACAGTGTGCACAGCCTTATTCCGAGGCTGGAATCTTCTCCTCTGGAAAGAACAGCACCAGTGAAGACTGTTTGACAGTCAATGTCTGGACGCCCACCTACGACACCACTGATGCCAGTGAGATCAAGTCGAAGAATCTCCCCGTCTACGTCTGGATCTTCGGTGGTCGGTTCGAGGGCGGCTCCGGCGATGTTATCACGTATGATGGAACGGGTCTTGCTTCTAAAGATATCATCGTGGTTACTTTGAACTACCGCCTTGGTGCATTCGGATTCCTCGCCCACCCTGACCTCTCTCGTGAGTCTGGACACAACAGCTCTGGAAACTACGGCATCATGGATCAGCAGTTTGCTCTCCGCTGGGTCCACGATAACATTGCCCAATTTGGTGGAAACTCTAGCCAAGTCACCGTTGGCGGCCAATCTGCCGGATCTGCCAGCGCCTTGGATATGATGTGGAGCCCTCTCAGCAAGGGATTGATCCACGGTGCCATTGCTGAGAGTGGTGCTCGTGGACCCCACGACCCTGCTACAGGAAGTGTCGCCACCTCCTACACTACCAAGGACGTAGCTGAGAAATTCGGAGTGGAATTCCTCCAGACGATGAACGTCTCTTCTATTGCGGAGCTTCGTAATGCGTCCATGGCCTCCCTCATTGGACAGGGTCAGTTGATGGAATCGGACTACTATGATGGTACCGTCTTTTCCGACCTTTGGTCTGGACCACCCCGCTGGCGCCCTGTGATCGATGGCTACGTGCTTCCTTACGGGTATGGAGAGGCTTTGCGGCTGGGCGCTCATGCGGACGTTCCAATCATGACGGGCAACAACCTGAACGAGAACGATGGCGGTGCTTCGACTGTTTCCGAGTACAAGACCCTCTGGACCACTGTTTTCCAAAACTACTCGAGCGATTTCTTCTCCCTTTACCCAGCTAAATCCGCAGCTCAGGCTAAGGAGAACTCCGATGCTGTTCTTTTGGATATGGCTCAGATTGGTACTTGGGACTGGGCTCGAATGTGGCGCACCGGCGGAGCCAAGTCCAACATTTTTCGCTACTTCTTTGACACGGCACCTGCAGAGAATGAGTCTGGTGGTGCCTACCACGGTGCGGAGCTCTGGTTTGTTGTATGTATTTCCTACGCCCGAGGTCTTGAGTCATTAATGCACCATTCAGCCGAATATGTGATCCCAAGCTAATACAACTCCAGACCAACAACATCCCCTACTCAGACTACTCGAGCGTCAGCTGGAATGAATCCGACTACAAGATTGAGTCCGTTATGTCCAGTTATTGGGCTAACTTCATCAAGACTGGCAACCCGAATGGAGACGGTCTGACCTACTGGAGCCCCTCCTCGGACAACAAGACAGCCATGCACTTGAGCCAAGGCTTTGGAGCTGTTCCAATTGCCAAATCCGCTGAGCGTATCAGCTTCCTTCGTCGGTGGATGTCGCACTTGCATGAGTATTAGACGGCGGAGATGCTTGTTCGAGCGTCCCCGCTGTCAGTTGTGAAATCTCCTCCTTTTGTATAGTTTCATTCGCTATCATTTTATGATCAGTGTGACTTCTCTCGGGTAAATTAAAAGAACAAGACTCGGTTTGCTTCCTGGCCGATCATACCTTCGTAAAAATAGGGCAAAAAATCACGGGCGGAGATACCGAATTGGGAAGCCCAATCCGACCGACCTTAGATCTCAAGTACAAACTCGCGAACGCCTAGTTCACCCAGTCCACGCAGTTGGTGGAATGGAAAGAACATTGAAACCATTCTATTTAATCGGCGTGATAATTTTGCTCTATTACGGTTGCCTGTCAACATCTCCCAAACCAACACGACCCGAAATGTCGTTCCGTCTGCACATCATTCGACATGCACAGGGCACTCACAATATCGCCCACGATAAAACAATACCTGATCCGCCGTTAACAGAAGAAGGTATACAACAATCCGAAGACTTGTGTCGCGACTTTCCCTACAAAGAGAAGGTTGGATTGGTGATAACTTCGCCACTTCAACGTACACTCCAAACGGCAACAGTGGGCTTCGAACAATCCATTGATCAAAAATACTATTCGAAAAGCTCCGGAAGGGGTATCACAGGTGGTGCGCGATTATCCCTTGAGCCAGACGCACAGGCACACTCCTCACGACCGTGCGACACCGGCTCCGATATTTCAGTTCTACAGTCACGGTTCCCCGGTCTCTCCTGGGACACATTAGACATGGATTCCACGTTCCCAGCCAAGAAGGGAATCTATGCCACTGATGCAGAATCGCTACAACTTCGTGGATGGAGACTCCAGCGCCGATTGGAAGAATATTTCACGCAGTTGCAAAACAGCGAGCGTCCTGACATCGTTGTTCTTTCACATGGCGGCTGGCTAAAGTACGTGATCGGGCAGGACGTTGGAGTAAAAGCTGCCAAGTGGAAGACATTTGAGGTCTCGTTCGATGAAGATTCGAGAATTGTGGTCGAGTCGTCACTTTCCGAGGATGCTTAGTTCCCCAAACGATCATCATCGGGCTCGAGCGCTAATCTTCGTTCTGTTTCGCTATCTGCGCTCCAAGCTCTGGATGTACTTTTAACAAAATAATTTTATACAATTTTATCTATGGCCGTCTTTACCGGAGGGTTACAGGGGACCCCTTGAGTCCTCCGCACAGAAAGGCTACGCGGCGGGCGGCTTAGTCCCCCGAGGTGTCCACTTTTACACCCGAAGGCTTCGCCCCCGATGCACCCAGTCAGCGCAAAGGCGTGGACCCTAGTCCATACTGCCCTATTGCTTGGTATCGTCACATTTTGTTCCCTGATGAGGAAAGCTCTGGGAAAATCGCTCTCTGATAGCCACGTACCTACCCCTGGAATGCAATCATGAAACTCATTTAAAAGACTGGTCGTCTACTTGGGCAGCAGCAATTTCTCTCTCTTTTCAGTGCCTTCTTGCTTCCCACTTTTTCCCAGTCGTTCTTTCCCATCATGAAGCTTCTTTCCACCCTTGCAGGTGCTGCAGCCTGTGGGTCACTCGCATCTGCCTTAAAGCCCCCGGTGATTGATACTCACTACGGTACGATCAATGGAGGTCTTTCTCCTTTTGCCGGAGGCGACAAGGCATTCGTCTACAAGGGGATTCCCTATGCCCAGCCTCCCATGGGCGCCAACCGCTGGACCAAAGTCAGCGGTCCAAGCTATTGGGGCGAGCTGAATGCCACCGAATTTGGCCCACAGTGCGCCCAGTCGATCAGTGATGCCGGCATCTTCTCCAGCGGCAAGAACACGACCAGCGAGGACTGCCTGACCCTCAACATTTGGACCCCGGCATACAAGAACCAAACCAACATGTCCTCCAAGAAGCTGCCCGTTTTGTTCTGGATCTTTGGTGGACGTTTCACGGGTGGATCTGGTGATGTCAAAACGTACGACGGCACCGGTCTCGCACAAAAGGACATCATTGTGGTCACTATCAACTACCGCCTAGGACCCTTCGGATACCTCGCGCATCCCGAATTGACCGTCGAGTCTGGACACAACAGCTCTGGAAACTACGGTATTCTTGATCAACAGGCCGCTTTGCACTGGGTCAACGAGAACATTGCCAAGTTCGGAGGCAACCCTGACCAAATAACTGTCGGTGGCCAGTCCGCTGGCTCGGCTAGTGCTCTTGATGCTATGTGGAGTCCTCTGGCTGCCGGTCTCGCTGCTGGGATCATCGCAGAGAGCGGTGCCCGAGGACCCCATGATCCAATGACTGGCACTGTGGCCACATCGTATCGGACCAAAAAGGCTGCCGAGGCACAAGGTGGTAAGTCTGATCGTAATCCGCGGCTGAGGCCATTGCAATGCTAATGAACGCTCGCAGTCAACTTCCTCAAAACCATGGGTGTAAGCTCGATTTCCGAGCTTCGAAACGCGTCGATGGAAAGTTTGCTTGAATACGATATGCTGTCTGATACTATATGGGAGGGCACTCCTTTCCAAAACTTCACCGATGCCTTCATGGAGCCACCCATGTGGCGTCCCAATATCGATGGCTATGTCTTTCCCGACACTTACTCTGAAGCTTTGCGCAACAATTCCCACGCTGATCTTCCCATCCTGACTGGAAACAACGAGGATGAGTCCGGGGCTACTCCAACTCTGACATACTCTGCTTCCAAGTACCACGATCTGTTCAGTAACCTCTTTGGTGACTTGTCGGAAGAATTCTTCTCTTTGTATCCCGGCAAAAGCACCACTCAGGCATCTGAAAGCGGAAAGGAATTCTGGAGAGACCTCAGTCGTGTCGGCACCTGGCGATGGGCACTTGACTGGGCTGCTGGCGGTGCCAAGGAATCTGTTTACACCTATTATTTCAACCACTGGCCTGCGGAGCAACGGTCATCGGGTGCCTATCACGGCAGTGAGCTTTGGTATACGTAAGTCATTGCTTGGAACTCGGGAGACATTTGCAGGCTACAAAATAGCTAACTATGGTACAGCTTCAACAACATTCCCTATTCGTCGTACAGCAATGTCACATGGAACGAAGAAGATTACGCAGTCGAGAAGAAGATGGCAAACTACTGGGCCAATTTCATCAGAACCGGAAATCCTAATGGCAATGGCCAGGCTCAATGGAAGGCCTCGAAAAAGAACCCGCAGACTATGTGGTTGGGCGACCAGTGGGGAATGGGACCTCTTACCATGAACAACAAGCGTATTGAGTTCCTGCATAAGTGGACTTCGACCTTGCCTGCGTGGTAGTTGGCTTGCCGAAGACTTGCATGGTTTATTGAGACCTCGGTCCAATCCCGGGTACCCGGACACCCCAAGGTATCATTTAGTTATAGTACTTTGCTAGATTGAAGACCTCAGGAGGGCTGAATTCACGAATATATATACAGTCGAGGTTTTATGTTGATTGTCGGCAAGACGCGTGAATCAGGGATATTACAATTCTAAGATTCGGATTGCCCCGTTTGGAAAGTTTTCATGTTTTCTAGAAGTTCTTGGCGATGCAGACTAACTACCTAGGTACCTAGTAGGTAACACCGGTGCTGCAAGACGAAGAAACGACGAGCGCCAAGACCTCGGAAGAGGTGAATTTGTAGAAACGGCGATCACTACCATAAACGGAAGCATAATCCGTCCACAGGGTTCGGCACTGCGAATCTTGGCAGTCAAGTCCGAGCCCTCGGCTATCCACTTTTTATCGCCGACCACTTCGCTTCGACGAGATCCACCATCGGCGTCGAACACTGATTGATTGTCGATCTTTGCTCCTCTGAGGTGTGTGGAAATCAGAATTGCAGCCTTGCTCCTTGTTTCAGACGCCGTGGTTGAGATTTAATCCCGGATCGCCGCGCTTTACTCCCAGGTTCACCGTTAGATACCGTCCATCATGGAAGTCACACCAGCCAATTGATTTGAAAAACCCAAAAATCCTTGGAACGGTCCAATTTAGAAGGTTGCATGAGAACGTCCCGAGATTCAAGCTCGGCCTGAAGGGGTTGCAGTTCATCCAGAAGAACCACTATATGTCCTACAATACTAATCCACACCAGGAAGTAACAGCGGACGGTGTCTTCACGGTATTCGGATTAGTGAGATTGGGGTTCAATCCGGCGTGGCGAAGCCTGTCTCACGAAGAGTCCGCTGCTATAGCTTCGAAAGTCAACGAATCAATTGATGCTTGCTAATCGATGTCGACCTCGGGACGAGATCGGAAACATTCGATGCTGAGCTACATTTAAACCTATCAGAGCGTGATGTTTCAATTCTATTCGTGCATGTCGCCGCCAGTCAAGCTTTCGGGGCTCCGCCCTCGAAACCCGTAACGCTTGGCGGTCAAGACTCGGACCGAATTGTCATTTTGGTCTGCTAGATGAAAAACGGACGCCATCTCGGCTGACGCGGACGATGTTGGACAAGTTTGAGGAGACATACCTATATCAGGAACCCCGGACGCTGATCCCAATGAATTTCGTCTTGGCACGCTCCATCCAAAGGCTTCTCTCGAAGCCAAGCCTCGGCGTCTATGATTTAACAGCAACCCAATAGGCCGTTGGCCTTGTGGGCCATTGCATGGACGAATAAGACCGACATTTGAATCTGAAATTGAAAAAAAAGGGAAATACAAATGGTACCTTGCATCCATGTCGACGGTTTTGATTATTGTCCATCGCATACTTTCGTTTGACATTGTTCCTCGACAGAATTTGAAATGCGTCTCAGCGTTGCTTATGTCGTTGGTCTCGTCATCGCTCCTGCGTTGGCAGGCTGCCCATATGCTCGAGACCTCGGGTTGAACGTTGATGGCAATGACAATCCTCACGTACATGCGCCACGAGATGTTGCCTCAAAAAGTGCGGCTGCACCTATCTCATCTTCCACGCCCGTCGCTGGCAAGAAAGGTGTCTTCTACAGTAAGTTTTGATAGTGATTTTCATCATCACACAGTTTGAGCAGAAGATCTTACGTATCCAGTGAACCGCATTGGACCCTCAGGATCACAGCTTTGGATTTCCAATGCAGATGGCACCAATGCCACAAAATTGATGGGCAACCAAGCAGGCGCGTTTGATTATCATCCCACCTGGTCGCCAGACGGGAAGTGGGTCGTGTTTACAAGCGAACGTCGCGGAGCAGGCCAGTCGGATCTATACCGTGTGCACCCGGATGGTAGCGGTCTGGAACAAATTGTGGCTACAGACAGTGCCGAAGACGCTGGTACACTCTCACCAGATGGAAACACTCTCGCTTATGTGTCTACGTATGGTAACTACACGATGAATGTCTGGGTCAAAGACCTTATGACCGGCATTGCGCGCAATCTGACCGATACCCCGGCGAATCGAGCCGACAACACCTGGCCCACTGGTCACTATCGCCCTTCATGGTCTCCCGATGGAAAGTGGTTGGCTTTCAGTTCTGACAGAGATAACGACTGGACAGGACACAGCGATGGGTATGGCCCCTTATATTCACTTCTCGCCAATGGTAGCAGCCACTGATCATTGTTCTAGAGTTGGCTGGGAGCACACCCAAAATCTTGGTCTGTATGTGGTTCGCCCTGATGGCACCGGCTTCCGCAAAGTGCTGCACGAAGACGGCTTTGCATTCGGTACGCCCCAATGGTCACCGAATGGCAAGCGCCTGATTTACAACAACATGACGAGAGAAAACACGTACTATGCACACGGTGTTTCCAGTGAGCAGTTGCTAGTGCCTGCCCAAATCTACAGTGTCGACGTTGCGACCGGAAAGAGTATCATCAAACACACTTCCGATAGCAAACTCAAGGTTGGACAACACTTCATCGCCAATTCGACTAATATCGGCTACGTCATCAAGGCAGGCGACTTTGAGGGAATTGGCTACACCTCCCCCGACAAGACACACAAAGCTTTCAACCTGACTGGCCTCCGCGAGCCTTCGTGGTCCCCCGACGGTTCGAAGGTTGTCTACAACGTTTTCAATTGGGATCAGCAAGCCAGTAATCTGAAGCTTTGGAGCTTTGACGACGAATGGGATTACCGGTATGAGCGCAATGGTATAAATGACAGCCAATACCTTCTAACCCTCACTGCAGCTACATGGACGTCTTCCCCCTTCACAACCCGGCTTCCAACAGCTTGGCCATAACTCAAAAGGTGCTCGGAGGAGCCAATAGCTCCCTTGTGGTCTCATCGACGCAATACACAGACCTCGTTGACTCGCTCGACTCTTACGACATCTATTCCGCCGACAACAGCACCGAAGTCGAGTGGCTACTGGAAGGTAACTCGGGAGCCTTCCAACCCTCATGGAGCCCAGACGGGGATGAACTTGTCGTCGGATTCGGTGCCTGGTTTGTCACTAGATCTACCGACACTGCGGCTATCTACCGCGTCGCAGCCAACGGCTCCTCCCACACCAACATCACTGATTGGGAGAACAACGCCGGATTCCCTGCATGGTCCCCGGACGGATCGGCGATGGTTTACCGACTATGGAATCTTGAGACCGGCGCCCCCCAGGGACTCCAGCTTCACAACTTCACAACAGGCTTGACCTCTAAACTGACCCACGGCTGGGATAACACTCCCGGCTGGTCCCCCGATGGCGAGCGTATTGTCTTTACCCGTAACAACAACTGGACCGAATCCTACGGGGCCCGTTGGTACGCCGATCGATTTGATATCTACACCATCCGTCCTGATGGCTCCGACTTGACCCAGGTCACCGATAGTCTGGCCAACGACGCACAGTAAGTATTTATTTTCCCACTTCCAAGGTTTCTTGAAACGTACTAACATTCCAAAGCGCTGTTTGGTCCCAGGATGGTCGCATCATGTGGTCTACGGGAATGTACGGGTTCAAAGATGAGAGTGCCCTTCAGGATAACACCTTCCAGCCCTACGGGCAGATCATGGTGATGAACTACGACGGCTCCGATAAGCACCTTGTCACCGATACCCTCTGGGAAGACTCCATGCCGCTCTACATGCCAAATGAGTACCTGGAATAGGTACTCGATCTTAATAGAAGAGTGTGTACTACTCAGTAGTAAGTAGTTTTGAAATTATGAGATTGACAAAATGAAAAAACTTGGATATATATATCTCATGCCCACTGGAAGCCATACCTATCTAGTAGCGCTGGGGCCGAGACGTTTTAAAGGGGCTGGACACGGAGCCAATCACAACGCCTGAGGTTAGGCCATATCCATGATGCACATCTATTCCTGTTTGGGATGTTGGGGGCCAATCGACTCCGTACACCTGTCCGCTTATGCCCTCGTGGGAATCTCTGCACGATTTCAGATGGCTAATCGAAACCCGGGAATGGTGACATATAGAGCTGCTATCTCGCTGACCAGCGATAGGTAAACATGCGCTTCCGTGAAGATCATGACATCGGACAAGTTCCAAGTTGGACCCGTCAATACGGGATCTGTCAAAGCCTAGGGCATAGCTTGGCAAATGAGACTGTTTGTCTGGGCGCTCTTCTGCATCTCAAATGCACCCGAGTGGTCTTGGCGCTGCCAGTGCGGCTTCTCAGCCCCATCGCACTTGTTGAAATCACGGCGCCAGCCCTTCATGGCCCAAAATACAGCTCCCCCAGCGGGTCTCTACCCTTCCCACTCCCTCATCTCGCTGGCCGGTGATGTTCTATAATGCTCTACTCGCGATTTTGCTTGTTTTGCCGGTGGCCCACGCGGGCGGCTGGGACGACTTCTCGAACAACCTCGCGACTGATCTCGCGCCATTCTTGTCACTATTCGGTGAGCAGATCACGAAACAATACCTGAGTGAATGCACCACCATGGTCGACTACTTCATTTTCGCGATGGCGCCAATGGGAATTCTCACGGGCCTCGTCTCTGCAATCCGTGTTTGCGGTACCCCGTCGCTACGCGCATTCATCGGCAGAGCTCAAGAGGGAGCTGGAAATGCCGAAGCTGAGCTCTGTACGTCGACTAGCCGTGATGTCTGTGAGCTATACAACAGTGGAGGAATCGCGCGCGTTTTTGGTCGCCCGAAGATCCTCGAGGTGTTGCATGACCCTGCGTATGATTTCGAAAATGCACAGGATCAGACCGCGGGGATATATACATTCCAGGAGTATATTGCGCGTGAGGGCGATAAAGTGTGGGAACGGAAGACCAAAACAGCGGATGAAAAGTACATGCGAAGATTCGGGCTGAAAGATGTGGAAAGAAAACCGACGGCAATTCTTCCGCCTCCTCCTGCAACATTCGCCCCTAATCTATCTCTCAATATTGGTATCAAGAAGCCCCACAAAGCCTGGTTTTTTGCAATAGCTGCGACTGGATTTCTGCTGCAAGTTGGTGTCTTAGTGTTTGCAGGTGTTGCAACCTACCTGCTGAAATGGGGGAACGATGACAGCCCCCCCGAGTCGTATGCATGCCCGCTGGTTATTAGCGGCACGGTCCTTGTTTGCGGGGGGATGTTCCACTGTGCTTTTCTTATCGGACAAAGCACCAAAGAAGATATCTGGATCCGGAAGGAGAGAGGGAAGAATCAAGCCGACTGATTGTCCATGTACTGGGTACAGCCTGGGGGTCAAATCATCGGCGATCAAACATTCGACGCTTTTTCTCACACAGACCATGACAACCATCTGCAGAAGTATATGACCTCTAGAAAGGACATTGCTTCCCGAATCTCGAAAGTTCAAATCTGGGCAGCCATTGGAACCACGCTTGTTGGCTTTGTTCTCCAGTTCACCGGACTTCGTGGTATACATTCCTCTGTCTCCTTGGCTCAACTGGGTGTCATCATGGTTATGAGCATCGCGAGAGCTGCCCTACGCATGCAGAGATTGAAACCAGAAGATAACAGCCTAGCTGAATTCCCCGACGAAGTTCTGGGCCATGAGCTAGACTGGCTCGCTATGCGGATGGGCCGAGAAGTCATTGAAGAGGATCTTGGTAAAAGTCTGCCTGCAAGTCATCAGTCTTTTGGTTCAACCCTCACTTCGCTTTCACCTCCTTCGAACCCTCCACCTTATTCCTCTTATCAACCTTCAAGCTCTCAACACTCGCGGCCCCGTTATTTTTGGAAAGTTTTCGATCGCGCTGATGGAACAAACATCAGGCTACAACACTCAACCCCCAGTGATCAACACAATGCCGCCGCCAAAATTCTGGCCTACCGAACCCGACTCACATCATTGACCGACTCATCTGCACTGCGCTCCTCCCTTGCCAGGGACTTCAAGGATGATATGGTGCAGGTCCGAGGTGCCAGTCTTCAGCTCGCTACAATGATTGACGCAACCTTGAAAATGATCCGGTCAAAAGCCAAAATTCAGGAGGACTGGTTGAACAAGATGAAGAAGCAACCCAGCGCAGAGTGCCCATCGTTATTTTGGGGCCTGGAATGCATACTCTCCCGAGAAGCAGATCCCAACATCGAAGGCCCAGTTACCCGAGGTTCCAACACCCACCGGACACACACTGTCTACATTGAACTTGTCCCCGAGGATGCCGATAACGAGAACGGCCCTTGGATTCTCAAGAACAAGCGAGAACTCGAAGGTATACTCGGGCTATGGACGTGGTCATTGAAGGCGCATCCGGACATAGAAACAGTAGACTTTGATACTGGCCTCACAATGTCAGTTTCCGGTGACATTCAAAGCCGACGGATTGTCCCCGCTAGCCAAGCAGATCGAGACACGGGGGATTTGACAATGTGGCTCGGAGAAGACATGGACATCATCACAAAACACTCTCTACACCCCGCTTCCGATGATCCTCTCGACCTGAGCATTATATGGAGACGCATGGTCAAATCAAAGCTCAAGCAAATTTCCCCCCACCATGAACTGAGGAAGGCCCAGCCAGCTGTATCGTACCATAAACAATGGTTCCGCTTTTTCGGCTGGAAAGCGTCAAACTCACCAGAAAATCATGAAAACCCCACACCGAGCGTCTGGTCCTCCCCCGTGCAAGGCTCGCTGGTGTCTGCGTGTGCCCAGGAAGTTTCTATTTCATTCCTCGGTGGCATTCTCGACATAGTGGAAGATCTCGGTGACGTCAATATCCAAGAGACAAAGAGTTTTCGACTCGAAAATAGCCTTGTGACCGAAATTGTCGAACTTTTCACAGAGATGCAACTGGGCTCGAGGCAAGAAGCACTTATGTGTGTGCTGCCCTTGATGATATCACGACTGAGAGTCTCTTCTACTGAAGGTGGTTTGGATGCAGCAATAACTACTGCAACAGATTACCGACGACGCGAGGAGTGGGGGAAGGCAGAAGCTCTCCTACGTTGGGCTTGGAGGATGTGTGCTCCACCTAGTCCGACACGCGTCGCCCAAAACAGTGGCAATGAAATACGGAACAATCTTTCTGAGAAAGTCGCAACTGCTCTGTGCGAGCTCTACAGGTGGGTCTTAGTGGAAGAGTCTACTAGGGCAGTTGGCAAGACCGGCATCGACTGGCTCTATCAACAAAGTTCGAGTCAGCCGACTGCCATACGTGCGATAGTTGAACGCTACCTTTGTGTCGCGAACAAGAGTTCATCATATCTACCAAATGACTCCAAGGATGATGCAACCGATGACCATTTGACCAAAACACTGGTTTTCATCACCAACCCAAAATCAACTCTGACAAAGTCGAAGAAGGGAGAAGCACTTTGTTTGGCGGTGAAACATGGATGGGATGAGGTTGTGCTTGCTTTGCTCGAGATAGGAACCGACCTTAATTTCAAAGACGCAAAGCACTCTAGAACCCCAATTTCCTATGCAGCAGGCAATGGGAATATCAAGATTGTGAAAGCGTGTCTGAGTCGGAAAGCATTCCCCGATGCAAAAGATTCTGGGCGTAGAACACTTCTATCATATGCAGCAGAAGCAGGATTCGACTTGGTGGTTGCGCTCTTGCTGAAAGACGTTCGGGTTTCTCGAAATGAACCTGATGAACTCGGGCGCACGCCTTTGTGGTGGGCTGCGAGCAACGGGCGGGAACTCGTGATTGCCCAGCTCATTCGTGGGATTGAAAGTGAGAACCTAGTCCTCGAGGATGCAAGCGGCCTGACTCCCTTACACTTGGCGGCATCTGAGGGGCGTGAACCTATTGTCGGCCTTCTACTTAACAAGGGGGTGACTCCAGACCTGAGACACTCCCAATCCGGGGAGACTCCATTGCATCGGGCAGCATCCCGGGGGCATGATTCTATAGTCAAACTATTGCTGAGCAGGGGGGCCGATCCAAACCCGAAATCGAGAAATCATGGACGCACTCCCTTACACGAGGCAATATCCGGGGGACATGAGTCCACAGCCAAGCTGTTGCTAGACGGGGGGGCCGACTATGCCGCTTGTGATTGCACTCCATTGCACAAGGCGGCAATCCTCGGCCATGAGTCTATAGTCAAGCTGTTCCTTGATAGGGGGGCAAATCCAGACCTAAGGATGAAAGGTTCTAGTCGCACACCATTGCACGAGGCGGCATTCGAGGGACATACCGCGACGGTCCAGCTCTTGCTTGACAGGGGGGCGACTGTAGACCCTATCGAAGATTCGGGAGATACTCCATTACATCAGGCTGCTTCGCGGGGACACGAGTCTACTTTAAAGCTGTTACTAGAGAAGGGTGCGGCTCTGAATCAGACTGACAAGCTCAATGGCCGCACTCCAATACACAAGGCGGCAGCATCCGGGAAGAGTGCATCTGTGCAGCTCTTGCTTGATAGTGGAGCAGTTATAGATGCCACGGACCGCTATGGCCGCACCGCACTACACATGGCAGCAGTGCAAGGGCAGGAATCCACTACAAAGCTGTTACTCGATAGAGGAGCGGCCCCGGATGCAACCGACGACAACGGCCGCACTGCCTTACATGATGCAGCTTCCTCGAGGAAGGTGTCTATCGTGAAGCTGTTACTTGATAGGGGGGCAGCTCCAGCCCCAACGGACGCGTCCGGCCGCACTCCATTGCACTTAGCAATGGCATACAAAGAGGAAGTGACTACTGTCCGGCTGTTACTTGATAACGGCGCTGCTCCAGACCCAACAGACGCATCTGGCCGCACTCCATTACACAAGGCGGCACACTCGGGCTTCAAGTCTTCCGTCCAGCTATTGCTTGACAGAGCGGCGGCTATCGGTCCTCCAAGGGACGCATCTGGTCGCACTCCGCTACACGAGGCAGCATCCCCGGGGCGTACGTCAATCGTGAAGCTGTTGCTTGATAGGGGGGCAGATCTGGACTCGACCGACGCCTCTGGCCACACTCCACTAGACACGGCCAAATTGGAGAAGCATGCGTCTACTGTTGAATTGTTGCTTGGATATGGGGTAACTATTCGAAGGTCTGATAACTGAAAATGTATCTCAATAGGTAGTCGTCGACACACACCTCTGTGCACCAAATGACCTGCACGACCTGGAACCGCTCCAGATCCTTCAAAGCTGCTGCCTTTGGAAAGCAGCCTCTGTTTCCTTATTGGGACTGGTCATGTAACCAGGTGCCCGATATCCCGCATCCTCAGTAGTTTGGTGAAGTAATCATGCTTCTGACGAGTGAGGGACGATAGGAACCCACTCCCGATGATCCGACCCCATTGAGCTTCCTGACTTACTCATTGGTGGTGAATATCTACATGCCTCAGCTTCGTATTGGATATCACATTCTCGGATTTCACCAATGCGACCGTGCGTGAATATCGACGTGAGGCAGTTTCGTATCAAACGCGACGGACCCCGAGTTCACAAGCGCAACCGTGGAAGGCTATAAAGCAGCCTACAGCCACGACTTCAACAGCTGAGCTGCTGAGCCTATCAGATGCAGCTCGGTATTTCCAACTTTGAAATGGTGGCAAAGGTTGCTCAAACGGATTGAATTTGGCCTTTCCCACCCAATAACCATCGATTTTGACAACGAACGCACGGTCGCATTGGTGAATTCGGAGAATGTGATATCCAATATGTACGAGGCTGAGGCACGTCGATATTCACTACTAATGGGTAAGGCAGGAAGCTCAATCCGGTCGGATTATCAGGAAATGGGTTCCTACCGCAAAGATGGTAGCAGATGGACTCACCAAGTCCCTCACCCGTCAGAAGCATGAGAACTTCATCAGACTGCTGAGAATTCAAGACATCGGGAACCTGATTACATGATCAGTTCCGATATATTGGGGTAAGGAAACAGAGGCTGTTTTGCGAAAACAGCAGATCTGGATGATCGTCGCGCAGGTTGCAGAAATGAAGCTAAAGGTTTGGCTTGTTTGCACTGATTTTCCCTTGAATGGTCACGTGCTTTCCAGGTGCCAAAATCCCAGGAATAGAGAATCGGACTTTTTCATACCAAGTCAAAGTGCTCCGCATTTGACCCACATCGTGTCTTACTGATTTGGCTATGACTGATCCATTTGCAGAGACGGATACCCTTGCTGACCTCGTGCCATGTCCAACTGTTATCCCCATACGGTAACAGATCATGGATTCAGAACACGATTCCAACATTGTCTCGGGGGATCACGAAGACCAGCCTCCTGTAAACAAGAAAATGAAAAAAACACCTGTTCCCCGGAAACCTGCATGTCAACCCTGTCGTCGACGCAAGGTTCGTTGTGACAACAGTCAGCCAGCCTGTGGCTTCTGCTCTGCGAACGGAACTGAATGTGTCTACCCAACCCGCGGAGATGATGGAACCAAGCAGTATGTATGCCCTTTCATGTTAGATACAGCTGTCATTGACCGTAACCTCCGACCATCAGAGATCTTGGAAAGGTCTTGGAGCGATTAGACACTCTGTCGCAAACAGTCGAGAACATTCAGCATTTTCTCACCTCTCAACGTATGTGAAACCTACATTCTGAGTAGGGATAAAAATGATAACGATAAAAGATCACCCTCAGCCAACGGCTCAGCCACACGAGGAGCCCGAATCTCGGTCTGTGAGCATTCCCGTCAGAGCGGCAGACTGGCAGAGGGATTACTTGCAGATTCCAGCCTCTCGGTGCAGCGCGGATACGGTCCTCACATGGCCTATCTTCGGTGGGAGGTTTCGGGAAAGCTTTTTGATCACCACTTTGTTCCAGTATACCCATGGGGTCGCCGGGGACCGAGCAGCTGACGCATGGGCTGTTCCCGATGGCCTCCGATTCACACCTGATGATCAGATTCCGACTCTGGTTGATCAATTCATCCAGAATGTTCACACCAAGAACCCGATCTTAGACCTAGAGTCACTCATTCGCTCGGGAAGGCATGCCGCGGAAGTCGGTTTACAATGGGATGCGCAATCTTGCCTCGTGCTCTTGGCTTGTGCTTTGGGTTGCATCTCGCAACCCTTCACTTTGTCTACTCAGGGCCACCAAAATGGCAGCCCTTTCCCTGATCTGTCAGAGCAGAATGTGGACAATCGCAAATCTACCTCAGCTACTCAACTGGGTGAAGGCGAGGCGTTTTTCACTTTGGCGTGCAGACGAATTGGTCTCTTGCGATACTCAGTGATCGGTGCACAGTGTCACTTCTTTGCTGGAGGTTGGTCCGCCGTCCATTCATATTGATCATTGATCTTGGGCTGACACCTGCTTTCTCCGATCCTAGTTTATCTGATGTACACATTCCGCCCACTCTCAGCTTGGAACCATTTTTACCAAGCATCTACGTTCTACCGCCTACGCCTGAGACTCATCGACGGTCTCGATAAGTCGGCCTATGAGCATGAAGCTGAACAGCAGGAGGCATCCGTGGCTCGCCGCCTGGAGCAAAGCCTTTATTGGTCATGTTTCAAATCTGAAGTCGAAATCCGTGTCGAGTTACCATTGCCGCAATCCGCCATCGCGGAATATGAGTACCCGGCGCTGTTCCCCACACCTCCAACCTTGCCAGACAAGTACCCGAATGGCGAAGATGATCCCTCTGGTGGGACCAGCTCTGGCACAGCTCCATGGTCGCTGGACGGGGAACGCTCCAATATTCCTCCCAGAGGAATATACAATCACATCACGAATCTGTTCGATGAACAACAGAGCTGGTACTATTATCTAACAGAAGTGGCCCTCAGACGCATCGGAAATCGAGTTTTGAACGCTTTCTATCGTGAAGAGCCATCAGCATGGTCAAACATCAAACCTTTCATTGCAATAGCCTTCGAATTTGAGTCTCAAATCAATTCCTGGCTTGCAAATCTTCCCCCGACAATGCGGTTCTACGAATCCGACGTGAGGTTCGGGGGTGCAAGACGAGGAAGCGCGACGGACCTCGGCGAATCCATCTCGCTTGAGCTTAGCTGGGCAGTGAGCAACAGATTCCTTGAGATCCGTCTCTGGCTCTACCAGCCATTCTTGTACTTTGCCGTGCACCGAATGAGCACAAATACAGGAAGCTCTTCACTGACCAATGACGAGTTCAACCTTGTGCAAGGCTTCGTGGATTCCGGGCTGAACTGCTGTATGAAGATTCTCCAAGCCCGATGCCTACGGCACCGCCACCATGGCATTTGGTTTGACTTGCGAGCTGTGGTCACGGCATCTTTGGTATTTATCGCGTTGGCGCGGAGTGGGAATCTCAGCCTTCCAAACATTCACCCAGATGGGTTGCGAAGCCACTTGGCTCCAACGCTTGACGCTTTACACTACTGGGAGGATGAAGCTCCTGACATCAAGAAAGCGCGAGAAACCTTGTACGATTTACTCCGTGAGTTTGACTAGCTACAAGTGGTCGTGCGACTCGCCTGGATTGCATTTCAGGCTATCAGCAACTCGCCATCGACAACCGGCATTTCCATATCAATATGAAATCAATACTTTCACAACCCATGACCACGACGGCCCAACTGCTCACGCTCCACCACTACGTACTGCAACCATCAAGACACCAGGCCGCTGGCTTAGCATCCTCCACCTGGGGCTGCAATTGTGAACGGCTGAGTATAGGTCTCAGGGTTGTTCACTCGGATCTGGTAGTTCCACCTATACGGTGAGGAATGTCAGCATATAGCCTAATCAATCAATTTGAGGCTGAGAGATGGACCCACCCCTGGTTGTTATTTCGATAAGTATTGGCGACTGCAGCAGACACGCCAGGCAACAAGTAGCGATTGAGAGACGAGTCTACGCGCAGAGGCGTTGGATCACCAATGGGAAACGAATCGTCGACAGTGGGCCATGCACCCATCATATTCCAAAGACTGAAGGTCAATTGGGCTGGAACAGCAGGGTCCCTGAAGAGAAGTCAGCATTATCGGCTTCCAAAGTTAATTACGCTTTGGAGGTGGTCAATTACCCGCCCTTATCCCAAGTCACCAAGATAGGCTTCGTGATGTCAAGACAAGTGGTTCCAACACTAACAGTCAGGCCTTTTGGAGTCAGCGAAAGTCAACCAGTCACTGCCGGCACGCTCACCAGCAGCGGAGGCGGCGAATGCCACAGCGAAGGGTGCAAGAAAACGCATATTTCAAAGTATGTTTGAATGCTTGGTATTTGAGATGGACAGATAGATTGAGGTGCGAAAGGCAGCTCGAAGGCGCGATTTTATAGACCACTAGGCCAGCGACGTACGAGTTGCCACTACCCAGGCCTTCCATGCACTCCTCAATCGCTGACAGTATCTTACTATCAAGCAAGCTCGCTAAAAGCATTCTGCGATGAGACATTGTCTCAGCCATCCATGCTCATGAGACGTTGATCAACGCGTCAACTACCTGGGGGTATTGGGGCAGAGCCAGGGCTGGTGGTAGGCTGCCATGTCACACCGTTCAATTCCAGCATCGTAACCACCTCGTATAATTCAGTACTTTCGTAATGGACCATCGATCATCATTGGCTCAATATAGATCGGTTACTAAATCAATTGCTGTGAAGGTTCGTGGTGGAAATACCGAATACGAGAGCCTGGATTTGAGGGGAAATCACGAGAATTTCACATGTTGGTGTGCTCTGGCATTGAGTTGCGTCCCGAAGCCTAACTATATCGGACACACTCCAGGGTCTAACAAGTAGCATTTCCCTTATACAGGCCGAAATCGAAAGAACCAAGCAGAGAGAAAAGAGTGTCGACAGCGAAAGAAAAGCCAGGCCTCATAGTCATGGGTTGCAATGATTTCACGTTTACTCCAAGGTTGGCTGAAAAGACGAAGCACGTCCAATGACGCAACCTTGAAATATCACTCTTTCTGGCTTCGTTCCTTTTTCATCGGTTCTGTCCACTCGATCCATCACCCAAGCACTAATTCCCCGATGGCTTGGCATCGGGGGAGGCGTTATGGAGATCGGAGCGTTGACCGCTTTGTGGTTCTGAGATGGATACGGTTCGCGATGTGTCCGACAAGTTCAATTGAAAGAGGTTTCGTATTCGGAGAATATATGTCAAGGCCATCTGCGCATGAAGGAGGTTACCTCAGGGTTGGCGGTTCTGGGGAAGTGGGGCCGTACACACCTGGGCATCCATGGATGAATTCAGCCTCATTACCAAGCGCACAAGCTCGGTTATTAGGCAAGGCCTCTCGTCCAACTCTGTTGTGTGAAAGTTGAGAAGCAGGGTAACGACCCCTCGAGGATTAGGGCGGTCGTCTGAGCCTCTTTTGCTGAGTACATAAAAGGGTGGTGTAAGCAAGTGTCGTGTTTCCGCATCGGGGACCGGGGTGTCATGATCCGATGATTGGAAAAAAAAGTCCTGGGGTTGTTGGTTTGTGGGCTCAGGCTCTATCGTGAAACTGCTGACACCCGTCGACAACTGCGAGCTGGACCAGTGAACGTGTAGATCTAGGACCGGATGTAATGATGTGTAAGACCGCGTGTCATGGCTGCCTATCTTCCGACATTGGAGTCCATCATCTCCAGGGCTGTGATAGACACCATCTTAGGTACCGTTTCGGAAGCCACCAGGTTTCACCCGTGGACGCCCAACAATGCAGGTTCGCAGCCGTGGAAGTGGCGACTTGATACAGGGCTAAGGATGATGAGATATATTTCGCGCTCGGCTCATCAGCTGACTTACGGCAGCGTGCATTGGTACATGAGTTGTGGAAGCTTTGATAGCTTGAAAATTGGCAAAGCGAGTTCTGAGTCGAAATATATTATTGGAGTCAACGTTGGAAGAGGGTGGTTGTCAACCTCGGAGGGAGTGGATATGTCGATAACAGGTTAGCGAGAAGCAAGACAATGAAAGACCGGAATGTGCCTAGTATGAGAATACAGAAAGTGAGCGAGACGCAGGAGAAAATGATGTTACACATACCTAGGTACTACATTTTTCCAAAAATCATACCTGGGTGTGGCATTGCAAGGTGAGACGGCTGTGACGTCTGCTAAGCGGAAATTCATCTTTAGCCCAAAATGAGTTTTCCTCCTACGATAGACCTAAGTAGTTGCTGCTTCATATCTTCCTGGTTTCAAAACATTGTAAATGATCATTAAAGCAGTTGCAGTGAGGAGCGAGAGAGCATCGACCGATTTCGGAGTAACCCAGCCCGAGAGTAATGTGTTTGTATATACATAAAGAAAACCTATTGGCATACACGTCGTGACTCCATACACCAGAGCTAAAGTTGATGATGCACAATGAAGAGGCCTGTAAAAGAGGCTAAAAGCGAACATGCTAGAGAGAATACTTGTAGGATGTCAGCCGAGGACTAAACCTTGGGGGGGGGAGGCCACCAAACTCACAATAGGTATGCTTCAACCCAGCAACATAGCAGGCAACCACGACTTCCCGAACATGCCCACTCAGGCTTGCAATGTAGCCCGTATCTGCCAAAGCGCGTCGGATGACGGTGTCTGAACCCGGTCCATGAAGGTGCTTCTTCAATTGTCTTTGGAATTCGATCCCGAGTACCGAGTTAGAAGTCGTGACACCTGCTGTCATGGAGAATCCAACTAGCAGCATGAAGCCTGCTGTAGCCATTGCTACTTCATCATTCGGAAGCATCGCTGTCATAGCGACAAATGCCGAGGCTGAAGCAACACCCGTGCCTAGACCTCCAGGCAGGATGAACAACGATTCCCAAAATCCGGTATCACCATTCCAGCAAAGGTACAACAAGGCATAGGAGATGGCAGCTATTAGGCCTGCCAAGATAAGCAGAGCCTTGAAGCGGCCCGTCCGACGAACAAAGATCCCAGCGACGAGTCCACCCAGGGTATTTCCCACGACTGCGGGAATCATGTGTCCGCCAGCCGCTGTTGTGGATGCGCGTTGCGTCACTTGGAAATAAAGAGGAAGTGAAAACAACATGCCGAGCTGTGCAGTGATTTGGAGGGCACTGATGAGGTATGCAGCTGCAACGTTGGGGCGACGCAAGATGCGAAGGTTGAAGATCGGCTCGCGCGCGACGTAGGCTTCGACCAAGACGAAAGCAACCAAGAGAAGGACTCCGCCGCCCCCAAAGAAGGCAGGCCACCACGAATTCCAGGAGAATGACTTACCACCCTGGTCGATGAGCAGAGTCAGAGCCACGATAGAGGAACCCAGTAGGCCCGTTCCGAGGAAGTCGATTCTGCCCAGTTTATTGTCCTTTTCGATCTTCTCGCCTACATCCAATTTGACAATTACCAGGATAGCAGCCACAGCCAGCAATGGTGCCTGAAGAAGGAACAGCCTAAGTTGTCAGTATATGTGCGCTTGGCAACCTCGGGAGGAGGAAGTACTTACCATCTCCAACCCACAGTATCGCTCAACCATCCTCCCACGGGGCCTCCCAGACTGCGGCCAAGAGTCATTGCTATATTCACATAGGCCCGCCAGGTGGCGACCTCCCGCTTGGGCACGATATCAGTGATGATAATCGAGCTGATCGTCATGGTTCCCGCACCACCCATGCCGCTGATCGCCCGCCCCAGGATCACCATCCCCATTTGGGAGGCAAGACCACTATATGTGATTAACATCAGATCCAAATCGTTTGCGAAGATTCAATCTACCTCATAATGCATCCTAGAGCGAACAAAAAATATGACAGCAACAACAGCCGTTTGCGACCGTAGATGTCGCTCAATTTGCCATACTGAACACGAATGAGCGGAGTTGGTCAATCGTCTTGACAACATTTGTGGAATGAGGTTGGACTTACCATCGGTTGGGCCGCGCAGAGGCCTAATGTGTATCCCGTCGACAGCCAACTGGCATCGCGCAGTCGATTGAACTCGGATGAGATCCGGCCCGCCGCCGCTATCACCAGTGTCCCATCGGCATTGGAGATAAATTCACCTATTCGAGGTTACTACATGAGTCCCCTACATGATAGCATATTCTTTCTTACCCAGAAGAAGCACGGCAATGATGGTTGCGACACCCGCCACGGGCTGCACGGGTGTTTGCGACCGTGCCAGCAAGGGACGCTCCTCGTCGGCTCCATGGGCACGGATTTCGCTCTCAGCAGGCTCTGTGCTGATATCTGTAGCCATTTTGAATATATTGGAAGGATCGAATACTTCCACGAGAAACAGGATTGGGGGCCTCAATAAACCCCTTACTGCCCAGGTGCACCTCGCTTGGATCCGCTAGTTTCCGATGCACTATCAACAAATTTCTTTTTACGGTCGGTCTGACTGCCGTTGAGGTTTACAACGTCCATGAATTCTGGTTAGACTGATATTGGCGTTTTGTTCTCATCGTGAGGCTTTAGCACGCAATAGGGTCCACTCTTATACCTCGGGAAACATCGAGTCCGATAGCCGACACAGCTGAACAGCTGAAGTGAGAAAAAGCAATTCCAGGAGTTGAGATAACCTTCCGGACTCGCACGGCTGACCGTACAACGTGTCACCATCGCAGTGTCCCTACTGTCTCTTGTGCTCCCTACGCCAGATCGTGAAAAGGGTCAGGGTCAACAGAACAAGCTAAGCATCGCGACCCACATCGCAATCGGGACCACCGATGGCATCATCGCCTCAGTCTCCAGAATTGCCGAGCGTCGTTATCAAAACCGGTGAATCAGCTCTCTCCAAGTCTCACCACAATGAAGTTGTTTACGGTCGCAGCGCTCGCCGCTAGCGCAGGAGCATTCACAGACCTCCAAACAAACCTTCAATCAGCCGTACAAACAGTCCTCCAGCACAGTGAATCGCGGAAACCAAATATCCTCTTCGTGATCACCGACGACCAAGACCTCCAGCTCGACTCAATAAATTACACACCCCTCATCTCCAAACATGTCCGCGATCAAGGAACATTCTTCACAAATCACTTCGTCACAACAGCACTATGCTGTCCATCGCGCGTGAGTCTCTGGACAGGTCGCCAGGCCCACAACACAAACGTCACAGACGTGAAGCCGCCCTATGGCGGATATCCGAAGTTCGTGGAACGCGGCTTCAACGACGACTTCTTGCCCATCTGGCTCCAAGATGCCGGGTATGACACCTACTACACGGGGAAAATGTTCAACGCGCATACCGTGGACAATTATCATTCTCCACACATTAACGGATTCAATGGATCTGATTTCTTACTCGATCCATACACATATTCGTACCTGAATTCGACCTATCAGCGTAATCGAGATGCGCCCGTGAGTCACGAGGGTGAGCATACCATTGACGTGATCACGCGCAAAGCCTTGGGCTTCTTGGACGACGCGCTTGAGGGCGACAGGCCATTTTTCCTGGCTGTTTCGCCTGTCGCTCCACACTCGAATGTGGACCCTGATGCCATTGAGGGAGGCAAGATTTCCATGACATTGCCTATCCCACTCAAGCGCCATGAGGATCTCTTCCAGGATGTCAAGGTTCCTCGCCACGAGAACTTCAATCCAGACCAGGTAAGCTGCAGTCGGTATTGAAATCTCGATCGGGTATGCTAACGCGTACAAAGCCAAGTGGGGCCGGTTGGATTCGCGATCTGCCCAAGCAGAACCAAACGGTCGTTGATTACAATGATCTATTCTATCGCTCTCGTTTGCAAGCCTTGCAGGGTGTTGATGAATTGGTGGATTCTCTTGTCACTCGCCTTGAAGAGAGCGATCAGGTGGATAATACTTATATTATCTATACTTCCGACAATGGCTTCCATATCGGCCAGCACCGCCTGCCACCGGGAAAGACCTGTGGATTCGAGGAGGATATCCGAGTGCCGTTGTTCATCCGAGGTCCTGGTATTCCCAAAGGCCATGTTCAGGATGCAGTGACTACGCACGTGGACCTGGCGCCCACTTTCTTCCATCTGGCCGGTATTCCTGCGAGGACAGACTTCGATGGTATCACGATCCCCATCACGCCTGATTTTGAAGCCGAGAGACATGAGCATGTCACGGTAGAATACTGGGGCTCCGCCGTTGCGGAGGGAGCATTCAGTGGAATTGGTGAGCATTACTGGGGAATCTGTGTATCGCGTGTATTGATGATTTTCAGGTCCGCAAGGGTCAACTCTGATTCCAAATAACACCTACAAATCCGTTCGCCTTCTCGGGGAGGGCTACAACTTGTACTATTCCGTATGGTGCAACAACGAACACGAGCTCTACGACTTATCGGTAAGTGTTAGGAAGGCACAAATTCCAATCGACCGGCAATACTGACAAATCACAGACGGATCCCTACCAAGTTAACAACTTGTACCCAAATTCACCCATTGAAAGTAGCGATAGTCCCCAAATTCTGGGACGCAACCTGAACCAGGCGATCAACCGGCTAGATGCATTGCTCATGGTTCTAAAGTCCTGCCAAGGGAAGACTTGCATTCAGCCCTGGGATGTGTTGCAGCCAGTAGACAACGTGAGTACGCTCCGTGATGCGCTGGTTGAGGAGTACGATGACTTTTACGCCGCGCAACCTCAGGTTTCGTTTGACTGGTGTGGGGAGGGATACATCATAGACGCCGAAGGGCCACAAGATCCATTAACGAGTCGATATGGTGTTTCCTGGGACGTTTGGGTTTAGAAATTAGAACGAATATGAATTACCGCTGTTGTAAATAAACGAATGTTGGAATTGCTCTGGTTCCTGTCATAATCTCCCCACCCGTGCACCGGTTTATACCGAAGTGGAAATCTAGCCCACCAAGATCCAATAGAGCACGCGTCAACGTGGCGATAGACTTTCGGCTGGCCACGAGTCAAGCAGCCTTCAGATTGATCCCGGGGGCCAATGAGAAGTATCGGCGCTGACCAGGGTAAATGTCGGCAAATATGGAATGTAGTCAAAAGTGCCAATGATTGCGCCATAACTCCCCGCCGTGTCGCGACAGCTAAAAGCTGGCATCGCCAATCGGCGCTGTCTGTAATATCGCGCACAGGACACAAGGCACGGTAATGCAGCCGTGTTTTTCTTTTGGAAAAAAATCAATTGCTCTATCCATTGCGTTATAAATAAGATCCACTCCCGCACTTCGTTGGTGAGAGTGTGCTCTATGACTGTTGTTTTTTTTTCTTTCAATATGAGTCTACCCGATCGCAAGATGTCTGAGGGAGGCCTCGATGAAAAACACGTTAGCTCAGAAGTTATGTCCACGCCTCCAAGCGAGAACGATGTCATTGTCAAAGACTGGGATGAAGAAGAGTCCGCCGTGAGGCGCAAGTAAGTCAACCGAAAGCGCATCCATGAACGCAGGCTAACTGATCATTGTCAAGGGTCGACTTTATCTTGATTCCGATCCTTGCCGTAGCTTTCTTTGCATTGCAGATGGATCGCGGAAACATCAGCGCCGTATTGACTTCATCTATCACGCACGACCTCCACATCACCACGAACCAAATCAATATTGGCTCCCAGCTGCTATCGGCGGGTATTGTGCTGTCGGAAATTCCTTCGAATATTATCATGCAACGACTCGGACCCCGGATCTGGCTCTCTGGTCAGCTTTTCGCATGGGGACTGGTCGCCACATTCCAGGCTTTTGTTCAATCATATGCCGGATATCTGGTGACGAGAATATTGTTGGGATTCTGTGAAGGTGGTTTCATTCCTTGTGCTCTGTATTATTTGTCGACTTGGTATAAGAAGGATGAAACCAGCCTGCGGACTAGTTTGTTCTTCTACGGGCAGATGTTCGCTGCCGCGACGTCGAGCTTGATTTCGGCCGGTCTGCTGAAGCTGAATGGTACCCATGGGTTGGAGGGATGGAGATGGATCTTCTTGGGTATGTTTCAATCTCTGAATCCAGCGACTTCACGGTCTAACTGTCTGCTATAGTCGAGGGTCTGATCACACTCTTCATCGGAATCATTTTCACCCTTCTTGTTCCCCCGTCTGCTGGCGACGGTCGTCCGTTGATTGCTGCTGGTCGCTGGAGCTATTTCACAGAGCGCGAGTCGCACATTATTCGGAACCGCGTTCTGCTGGACGACCCTCGCAAAGCCCGAGGACACATCCAAATCAAGGGCCGGGATATCTTGAATACGCTCAAGGAGCCTCGTATCATGCAACATGTTGCTCTGACTCTGGTTGCTATGACCAGCTTCCAGGGCATCACGCAGTACAGTCCTAGCATGATCAAGTCCTTGGGCTTTGATGCGGTCAAGGCCAATGCGCTGAACTCGGTGCCTGTGTACTGCAGCATGGTTTGGCTGCTAATTTTGTCACTTGCTTCGTGAGTTCCGGACTTCGCTTCAAAGTCGTGCTTTGATGAATTGCTAACTCTTCCAGTGACAAAACGAAACATCGTGGACCGTTCGTTCTTCTGGCCATCACGTGGAATGTGATTGCCTACGCCTGTCTTCGCACGAGCGACACCCACGCCTCACAATGGCACCGCTATGGAGTCATTGCTGTTGCAAATGTCTCCTATTGCACCATGCAGTAAGTTTCATATCACATATTGATCATGCACATGGCCCATCTGACCGGATATAGCATTCTCAACATCGGCTGGTTGTCGTACTACTGCCGCACGCCCCAGGAGCGGAGTGTCGCGATGGCTCTGGTTGTTATGGCCGCTAATTGCGCGGGTATTGCTGGCTCCCAGATCTTCCGGACATCCGACGCGCCGAAGTATCTCCACGGTCTCACCGCTAGTGCTGCTATCGCCGGTGTTTCATGGGTGATTTGCTTTTCACTCGGTGTGCAATATTACTTTCGTCGACAAAAGGCCCGGTCGTCGGATGAAGAGGCTGAGAAGGTTCCCTCATGATAGATAGACTTTTGCATAAATTATGAACTTTTTGTGTCGCAAACCCGTGGTCCAATATCTATGACGTAGACAAGACAAACAGTGCAAACGGGCCAATGTTTGCCCGAATCGGAGACAAACAGCCCGAAAGGGGTTAAGTCGCTATCTCCGGTCAGCAAGTGCTTACTCCGGACTCGCCGACAAAAGTACCTGAAGTATGCGGAAGGTTAGGGCTGCATCCTCTGAGTTTATATCAACGTTCAGACAGCAGGTTTCCAGAGATGAGCTTGGTAATTGCTCTCAGTGTGCACCCGAATTGCCACACTAAAATCTCTTCTCCGGACATAATCTTAAAACCGTGATGACAACCCACAACGGGTCAAGTGGACCTCATCGTGGACCTTTCCTTGATATCGACGAATCCATTTTTCGGATGGGATCACAAATCGATGGGATGATGCAAATTTCCGAGCGCGCCGTGTTGCCGGCAATGGATATAAAGAATGGGCCCAACCCGAGGAGAACTATCCCAATCATTCACATCTGCACATCGTCAATAACATAATGTCTTCCACCGATTACAAGTTTGAGGGCTGGATGGGCCTCGGTCCCGAAGCCGGTCAGGGCAAGATGGTCTGGCAGGAGTTTGAGCCCAAGCCTTGGGAAGAGACCGACGTCGACATCAAGATTAGCCACTGTGGTATCTGTGGCTCCGACCTGCACACTCTGCGCAGTGGATGGGTAAGCTTCCTGCGAATGCACTTCCTCACACACCGCTAACACTCTCCAGGGACCCTCCAACTACCCCTGCTGCGTCGGCCACGAGCTCGTCGGTACTGCCGTCCGTGTCGGCTCCAAGGCCACCGGCGACATCAAGGTCGGTGACCGCGTCGGTGTTGGTGCGCAGAGCGCCGCCTGCCAGAACTTCGACGGCAACTGCAAGGCCTGCGCCGGCGGTCTCGAGCAGCACTGCACTCGCATGGTCGGCACCTACAACGGCACCTACGCCAACGGCGGCAAGTCGTACGGTGGCTACGCCACCTACAACCGCGCTCCCTCCCACTTCGTCATCAAGATCCCCGATGCCATTTCCTCCGCCGACGCTGCCCCCATGCTCTGCGGTGGTATCACCACATACTCTCCTCTGCGCCAGAACGGCTGCGGACCCGGCAAGACCGTCGGTATCGTCGGTGTCGGTGGTCTCGGTCACTTCGGTATCCTGTTCGCCAAGGCTCTCGGTGCGGATCGCGTCGTCGCCATCTCCCGCAAGTCTGACAAGAAGGAGGATGCTCTCAAGCTTGGTGCTGATGACTTCATCGCTACCGGTGAGGACGAGGACTGGGCTACCAAGCACGCTGCGTCCCTTGATCTGATCATCTCCACTGCCTCTTCCTCCAAGATGCCCATCGTTCAATACTGTGGTCTGCTCCGCGTCCGCGGTACTTTCATTCAGCTCGGTGCTCCTGAGGATGGTGCTCTGGAGATCCCCGCTTTCGCTCTGATTGTCAAGGGTATGAAGCTGGGTGGCTCTTTGATTGGTAGCCCTGACGAGATCCGTGAGATGCTTGCTCTTGCCGCTGAGAAGGGCATCAAGCCTTGGATCCAGGAGCGTCCCATGAAGGATGCCAACCAGGCTATCTTGGATATGGACAAGGGTGACGCCCGTTACCGCTATGTCCTGACCAACTAAGTCAGCGATGGCCTTTTAACGATTGATGAATGAGACTAGCAGAGGATTAGATATAGAATATACCACTTACATTCTGCTCTGACTTTTGTTTCTTCAAAACTGCAACTCGTAGTTTGTAGGTTCATATGGCCCATGAGCTGCATCCCACAAGGGCGGTATATTGGTTGTTCGTGTGATTGTATGTGTGCAGATGCCAGAGACACCCTGAATATGTTGGTCAAATGGTGAGATGCGGGTGAAGGAAAAGGTAGAAGAGACGGGGGAAGAATCAAGAAATGAAGTGTCCGGTTCTCAGGGTCCTCAATGGGGACCTCCGCCGCCCGGGTACATGCCAGCCCTGGAGACCGATGCAGGTGGGGCCTATGATCTCGGCTTCACACAACGTCAACACCGTATTCCACGTCAGTTGCTATACTGGAATATAAAATTCCTTGGAAATCCCACCAGGCTAACTGTTTTCAGATCTAGCTTGGGCTGGAAGTCAGATTTCATCCACTCTTACAAAGTGAGTGAAGATCAAGGCATTGGAAGTGATTTATAGGCACTGGATTGCCTACACTGCAATGCTAATATTCAAAGAAAGGCCAGAATGGACGAAAGGTCGGCTATCTATTTAGATGTGAGCTAGCTGGACTTCAGCAAGTGACACTGGACTCCAAGCGTCCCTGGTGACCTGCGATATCTGATCCTCTTCATATTTACATCCAAATCGCCGAGGAACTCTTTCTGGGATAATGGTTCACGACATACAGCACACATTCATCCGGATTTCCGCACTTGCTCCCTCCCTTTCTCTTCCATCTCCACCCTTCTAACCGCAGACTATCAATCCCCCAACATCTGATCTGGATCACCAAATGGATCACCGGGATTTCCTACTCGATGACCTGGGCCGTCGAATCCAAAGTTCGACCATCATTCATCTAGGCGAATACGCCCTGGTTGTGCGCAGATTCGACACCGCCATCAAAATGCCGGTCGTACACACATATGATGCCGACACCTCAATCAACGTCTGCCGCGCTCAGCTGAGACAAGAACAACGCATTTACAGGTGTCTCCAGCCAGACCTGCGGCAGGAAATTCAGGGAGTTGTTCCCTGTACCGCAGTATGGGGCAACACCATCGAACTTCAGTACATGTCCCAAGGCACTCTTGGGCAGATGCTGGAGAGCAGGGGCGTGCCGTCTCTGCCCCTTCAAAGACGATGGCTTTACCAGCTTGCCATCGGCTTGGATAGTATCCATTCGCGCCGAATCCTCCATAATGACATTGCGCCCCGCAATCTTCTCCTGGATGATTCTTTGAACATCAAGTTCACGGACTTTGGTGTGTCAAGCATCGTCCCAAAAAATGAAGATATGCATGACTTTATGGATGGATATAATTGCTCGATGTGGACAGATCTCATCCAGCTGGGTTCGGTCTTCTATGCCATTCTTGGCGGACAACGATCAGTCGTCAACATCTACCCTAACCATGGTGCCTTTGCGGAATATCCTCCCTTGGACACCCTTCCAGACGTGAGTCACATGTGGGCTGCAGGTGTGATTGAGGATTGTTGGAATCCGAGAGAGCTACATGGCGGTGCCCGGGAGGTCGTTCAACGAATAAAGAATGTGGTGAGTTACTACGAAGACCTTGAAGCCGGTCGCACCAACCTTGGAATGAAGAGGCCTAGGTAGTATCCAGAATTCATGATATCCAACCTGCCAAGGCTCAATGATATCTGTGGTGCCAGGCGATGTCTCCTTAGGACTTTAAGGTTAAAGTGCTGGGTTCTCCAGGCGGAACACACAACTTGGAACTGGCGAGACATACCTCAATCCACTCCAGATCCCAACCTCCAGCCCTGGAGGGCTTGAGTCCGCGAATGTCTCTACCTAGTATTCCGGAAATCAATCACAATGTGCGTCTGACCGATCACCTCCTCTACAGCCTTAAGACACAACCTTAGAAGATTACGGCGTGCTCGACCGGCAATGGAGCAAACGTTGACCCCTGGAGGTCGCAAAATATATATCCACGGCTGGCGTAATGAAGTCGGGAGCTAGTCTCACTAAACCGCATGACGAAACTCCATCGTTAAGATACCAACAAGCAGCCCTAGAGGATATGAAAATTTAATGAAAATGTTCCCTTTCCAGCCAAAAAGGGCGCTCCGAGGTCAGGATTCAGAATTACACGGTCAGCATCCCTGCTCAGGCGATGTCCGATATTGTTATCTATGCCGAGGACGATGGGTGCCAAAAAGAGCTTGTGGACCTGGCCAACCAACTTCCGATGGCGCAGCAAGCACAGAGAGTCAACATGGATCCTTTGCAGGAGAGACCAACGTACAACACGTTCATACTTGCCGGTTCGTCACCTGACCCCCCTGCCGCGTACATCCCCCGCTCAGGGAGATGCGCGCCAAGCCCTCGGGAACGAAGTGGACCAACATGGTTGCATCCCAAGGACTTCCTCAGACGCTGAGCAAGCAGCCTTAGACAATGCATGAGCGCATAAGTAAGGGTGTTTTTTCACTCTTGTCTGGCACAGGACTGTCAAAATGCAGCCGTGTGTCATGTCGATCATATCCCGGTCGATCCGGTGCCCTCCGCCTGAAGAGTCCAATGCCAGGGATACCGCGACGAGGAATCATAACAGGGCCTAACAAATCACTTCATGTCATGTCAGAGACAGAGATGAGCCAAGAAGCGTCTTTCAATCAAAAAGTGTTCGACTTGTCGCTTGCCTTATCGCGAAGTCGCATGAATGACGCCACCGAGCTGCGATGCATGCTTTTGAACGTCGATGGCTCTGTCAAGTACTCTGACATGAAAGGAACCAAAGCCGCCGTAGCTAAACGGTACGGCCTCGACGGGCGCGATTTGAGGAACGTTGATCTTGTATCAGAAGGCATTCCACATATATTGGTTCGACCATCTACTATCTTCATCAGCATGTTCAATTTGCGGCTGCTCGTACGGTCAGACGAGGTACTTGTCTTTGTCTTACCGATCGAGGATACCGATATCAAGATCCAAGACGTATTTTTGAAAGATGTACAGCATAGGCTTCAGCCTACGTCTAGCACAGGAGTTTTGATCCAATTACCATTCGAGCTACGCGTTGTGGATGCCGCGCTTGCCTCTGTGATTGCCGTCCTCGAAGCCGAACATGTTCTCATCAGAAGGGAGGTGGAAGAAAGCCTCCGCGACTCGACACGCGAGGATATCGTGCATTCAGTCCTGCGCGGTCTGCAATATCACAGCAAACGATTGGTGGCTATTGAGCAGCGCGCCCGGCAGGTCCGATCAGCACTGCAAGAGCTCCTTGGGAACGATCAAGATATGGCCACGATGTACCTGTCAGACAGCGAGGCAGGCCAGCCGCATGCAATCGAAGATCATCAAGAGGTGGAATATCTTGCCGAGGCATACTATAAAAACACCGATGCCATTGCCGAGTCCGCCAATGCATTGTTAGGGGATGTCAACCGTACCACTGACACCATCCAATCCATCCTAGATGTACGGCGGAATCAGATCATGATCTTCGAAGCTCAGCTGGAGATCTGTATGCTTGGGTTCGCGGTGTCGACTTTCGTGGCTGGCCTGTTTGGTATGAATGTCGTGAACGACTTTGAGGAAAGCGCCTTGGCGTTTGGAGTTCTCACCGGCGCCTGTGTGATAGGCACAGCCCTTATTGCGCGATATGGAATGTGGAAACTGAATAAGTTCCGCAAGTTGCGATTTTGAAAATCAGAGAGGTGAGAAGTGAAGTGAAAGTGAGAGGTCATGGCTCTTTCCGTATAATCCAGCTGAGCATAAATACCCCTCAGCGCTTCTGTTCTTCTCCTTCTCTCCTCTCTCCTTTCTTCAACCATCTCCAACTTTCTCTACAACCTTCACAGTTATCAAATCAACCTTCAAAATGCCCGAAGACAACTACAGTAACCAGTACTCCTACACTAGCTCGGGCACGAACAGTCAGGCAAGTCGCAAGGGAAGCAGCAAGCAAAGACACCCTAACATGAGGCTACAGGGAAATCACTACTGTTCCCGTGACTTTGGCTCCGGCGCGCCCAACCAGAACTCATACCATTACTCCAACCAGTGAGTGATACCTGTAGCTGTTGACCACCACAGCCGACAAACCATCATCAGAGCTAACATAGACAAAAGGAATGGTTCCTACTACTACTCGAACCCCAATGGCTCTACCTACTACAACAGTGGCAAGGGCGAGAGCGTCTACACCAACCCCTCCCAGTCTTCCAAGGGCTCTTCCCAGAGCTCTGGTCAGTCCAGCAAGTAAACCTGTCTCCTAGAGATAATGGCTTGGCTCGACGGCTGGTGCTTGTCCACCAAAAGTGAGCTCGGATCGACAGAGGGTGACTTCGAATTGCGTTTTCTTGCTGCTGGTGATGGGTACCAGTCAGCTTTGACATTTCAGGAGATAAACTACAAAAACCAAAAACAAATGCAACCCGGTTCCTGAATTTTTGAGATGGAAAATTTGTAGACAACTGACGCAGTGTATGAAGTCACTAAGTGTGAGCTGACACTGTGCTTGCCTGCCTATAACGTTAATCGCGAAGCAACAGACGATGGGAACATCCACATCAGATAAGATGGAACAGATCGAGCGTCATCAGTATCGCAATCCCGATCCAAGCGTCCTGAGGTCTACTCGTCGGCTTGCTAACCTCTCGCGCAATACTACTCTCGGAGCGCCCTACAACCTATCGAGAATCGAGACCAAGACAGACATGATACGAAAGCCTTCCTTCAGAATGGGAGAGTGGGTATAGTTGCACATTCGGCTTTGTTATCTTATGCTTCAACCCTGTGAAGCAAATCCAGACTGATTAATTTATAGACTCGAGAACTCAGGGCTAGTTAACGAGAACACCACTCCGCTGCTGGCCCTCCTTCAATGCAAGCTCGAGTCCATCGATAACCTCGTCCGGGACACTCAAGAATGCGGAATGAGATCCATTGACATGATGGGTAACTGGATCGATCAAGTTCTTGGCAAAGTTCTCTTGCGCGGGCAGTGGTAGAGCCTGATCTTGGTCGCAGAACAAGTACATGCTCGGCATCTCGTGCCACGGCTCGTGCGTCGCCGGCTCGTTGAATGACTTCTGCGGCTGCGGTTGGAGTTTGGCAATTGCCTTTTGTTGCTCCTCCTCTGACATGTCATGGTAAAAGATTTGCTCGGCACTGGACGACCAGCAATACCCATCATCGGGGTTCTAAACAAAGTCAGTTGGATGCCCCAAATTATCAGCGGAAGAAACCTCCGAGGCGACACAAACCTTAATAATCATCCATGGAAGCCAGTTGCCACCCAATTGATCCAGGACTGTTTTCCCCTTAGGAGTGACAAACGCTGCCATCCAAACCATCATTATAACGCCACCGGGAAGCCCGGCTTCAGCTCGCTGTCTGAACCCGAGGCCCTCGACCGCACCGGAACCGACCATGCCACCGTAGGAATGATTCACAACCACAATCTGACGTCCCGCGTCGGCCATTTCTCGGAGAATCGTCTTGGTATATTCGATATCGGCGTGGAGACCCTTCTCAAGAGGTCCGCCAACAGACGGCAAAGCGATAGCTTCACTGGCCAGACCGCGGGCGAGCATCAGCTCCCGGACCATATCGAATGTGTCGGCAGTGTGCCATGCGCCAGGCACGAAGACGAAAACGGGCTTATCGGATGCAGACATTCTGAAATTCTGGGAGGATTATTGAGGGAACATTCAGGGGCGTGCTGGGGGGTAAATACCCGCCCTCCTGGCAGCGGGACGACAAGGCCAAATACTGTCCTACTACCGATCCGAACTTGGCACGGACTTTGGCCGGACAATTCATCCACCAAATCCACGTGGGATGATCATTTAGTGCAGATTGGGTCGATGTACCGCTATTGTCCCTTCATTTTGACTGGTGGCTTTCGAGGACGTGTTTCACTTCGGACTGACGGCGGAGCCGTTGGAGGATCCATCAAGTGGGAATCCATTGAGACGGGCACAGGAGCGAAGGAAGACGCAAGGAGCCACGCTAGAGGCTTAGTTTTCCATTGGCGTCTGACTTAATGCATCCTGCGCAGTGGTTGCGGGCGAGATCCTTAATTTGGGATCCACCCAAGTGTCAACCTAAACAAATGACACCGGCGGGCTGAGACTAACTGATTCACCAACAAGCCTATTGTCGCCTGGTGGTAATCCTTCCAGTGTTCATTGGCCCGGGGAAGATTAATATGGAGCTCAATCTCCAAAAACGGGATGATCGACCGGCTGGAGCCGACCAATCGAGACATTCTTTTGTCGTTCTTTTTGGGGGCGATTTGAATTTGGATGGGGACACCTCCTTTACGCGAACTCTCACAAAAAGTACAAGTTCAAAAAAAATGCTGCAGCCCCGATTTCTGCTGGGTCGCGGGCGAACACAATGTCCACGCCAGAGAATGATGGCACTCAGAGGAGTTTCCGGGCCACGACCATTGCCATGGCGGTTTTGGCGGTGGTTTTTACGCTATTCAGGTTTTTAGCACGGTGGAAAAAAGGTCTGCGACCCGGCGTCGACGATTATGTGCTGGTGGTGGCCTTGGTATGTCATCCATGGATATCGCCCACTACTATATCCTTGTCTGACATTTGGATGAAGTTGTTTATGTTTGTGCTTACTGGGCTCATGCTTGCATGTAAGTACCCACATTCCACGCTTGTTTGGAACTAGGATCTGACAGTTTATAGTGATTCACTATGGGATGGGATTCCACTCCAGCGTCCTCCCGGTCGAGGACGTCATGATGGTTGGGAAGGTACATTGAAGGCATAAGAATCTTTACACGACTGGGACTAAAAGCTAATGATTTGCTAGCTGCTTATCGCCTTCGAATGCATCTATGTCACAGCACTTGCGATCACCAAGATATCCATTTTGCTGATGTACGCTCGCATATTTCCCACAAGAGGATTTCGAATTGCGTCTATCATACTGGGGGTAGTTTCAATCTCTTGGGCCATTGCCATCATCTTCGTCAGTGTCTTCCAATGCACGCCAGTTAAGCGTGCATGGGATCCGACCACTCCAGGCACCTGCATCAATCTGAAAGCCTCCTTCATCGGCAATGCAGTACCAAACATCGTGACCGATATTGCGATCCTGTCGCTTCCTGTCCGTGCTGTATGGGGCTTACACGCCAATCTCGTCCACCGTCTCTCGGTCATCGGAATGTTCCTTCTGGGAAGCTTGTGAGATCATCCCCCATATCCGCCTCGATTTCCCCAGCCCTGGACTAACGAAAGTGATTCAACAGTGTCGTCTTCACGAGTATATATCGTTTCAGCACTCTTTTCCAATTCGAACCTCAAGATGTCACTTGGACACTAGGTACCGCTTGCACCTGGTGTACGGTTGAAACATCCTCTGGGATCATCTCCGCATGCATGCCAACTCTGCGACCCATTTTCAAGATCGTCTCATCGAAATTCGGAAGCAGCGCGGGAACCATGCACACAGGAGCTGCAGGTTCGAAATTGTCAGAGGGATATGGGATGGGGAACTCTGCATTGCGACCAGGAAACGAGATCCTCTCCAGTACCAAGATTCAACTCTCTGTTGCTACCAAGGACAATGGGTCCGATGATCAGATTCCGCTGAACTCGATCCGAGTTGATCGGCATATGACATGGCATGAAAGTAGCCAGGATTCGTCTCGTCATTGGTGATATGTTCATCATGCGCGATGCCAGGACAATAAAAGTTCCATTCCACTCACAATTCGATCAAAGTGAGCAGGGGGATTGGGAACTCCATCTGCGTTAGTGCACGGTAGAATCTCATCAAAGCCAAATATTTATACCTAATAATACAGGAAAAAACCATCAGCCTGAGATCCCGGTTGTACGTCAGAAGTTATAAACTGCTCCACTAAACATACAAGAGCCAATTCCAAGCTTGTTCCATACTTCACGAACGCTCTTTCGGAGACCATGACCTGAAGTTAGAAAGCTCACCAGGCATGGAATTCGCAGAGGTGGATGTTATCTATATCCCAATCCTTTCACATCGACATGTTTCAGCCCCACGGGGAAAATGCCGAGGTCGATCACGTCTGGGCCCAGGTGGAAACACCAGGGCAGTTCTCGGTACGCAGCTTCCAAGGTTATTATCTCCATCGCACCCTTGATCTGCTTTGGAGACTGGTATACTTTTCTCATCATTTGTCGTCGACTGTGTTCTAGTTGCCCAAGAAATGGCGTGGGGTACAATTCAGTCACATAGGCACGTGAATATTGACCCGTATACAAAGATAGTGTTCGGTCATAGAGATCCACGGGTAGTATAGCTGCTTATGCCATCTGTACTTTGCACCAGATAGAGAGTTGATAAGTTCAAACCGTGAAGCTTGGAAGGCATGGTGAATAAAGACATGAAAAATACCCTTAAGAAGACGTTGAAGTACCAAAATTCGAGGAGCCAGGCTCGATTAGCTATATTAGCCTCTTCCAAGTTTTTGCATCACGTAAACCTGAATTGTTCGGCCCAAACGAGACATCTGCATTCCCAGTCATGTCGATACCAAGGGGGGTTGGGCCCAATGTAGACGAAAAGCGCGCCTGAGGAGGACAGTGTTAAGCTAGAGCTTTGGCGCAATAAGGTAGTCTAAGAGATCAGTTTTTTTGTCATAGCATGCCGTGGATGATAGGCCTAACACCTGGCAGAGCTGGCGTTTGAGGCTGTGTACGGAGTACATGCGGAGGGGCAGAGGGCTTGGAAACTATAGTTTTCAAAAGCAATATATTTCATCGTCAGCATATGTTAGGTACATACGACCACAGGGTGTGGAAAACAGGGCTTCCCGTCCGCTCAGCCGTACTTAAGCCACACGCCGGTGAGTTAGTAGTTGGGTGGGTGACCACCAGCGAATCCTCACTGTTGTATGTTTTTGCTTTCTCTTTTTTTTTTGACTCCATTGATATCACACCAGATACATCGCTGGTGGTTGGGTGCATAGTCAGATACGCTCGATTTCCATAGAAAAAAGTTGCATTATTATAAAAAATCGAAGATCCAGCCCATTCGGGGGTCATAAATTGACCGGGCTCAAATGTGTGATGTTCCATTGTGTCACTTACCCACTTACAACCCACACATGCTTCTGTCAAAATCTCTGCTTCGAGCCGCGCCGGCTAAACCCCTTCACCTACGTCCTAGTATCTTTTCACAGATCGGAGTTATCCCGATGAATAGCCAAAAACGGCAGGGGCACGGCGGGCGCGGGCGCGGGCGCGGACGCGGACGCGGCGGATCGCGTCCCTCCCACCCAAGCGTCCCCCCCTCAAGATCTATCAACCCCGGCACACCCGTCAACATCATTCTCAAAGCCGACCAGCCTACAGGGCGCACAGTATCAGGCACAGTGAGCGATCTACTCACGCGCGGCGATCACCCCCGAGGTGTCAAAGTGCGTCTCACGGACGGGCGCGTCGGGCGAGTGCAGAGCATCGGAACCGGCGAGCCGACACATGAGGCAGGAGATGACACAGAGGGCACACAACCAGGTGAGCCTGGCATTCAATTAAGATCAGAAGGCGGCGACTCAAGCGGGAGGCGCAATCGGTTTACCTCGCGTGACATGCGTCTTGATGGACCGGAGGAACCTTCGGCGGAGCCCCTTGGATTGGATATGTACATACGTCCCGCCAAAGGAAAGAAGAAGAGCCAAAAGGCGCAGGCAGCACAGGGACTGGGAGAGGAGAGCCATGCAAGTGCGAAAGATGCAGGCGCTGCCGCTCAAAAGCCTGGCTCGCTGAAATGCCCCGTGTGCGCTGATTTTGAAGGCGATGAAGCCGCTGTAGCGCACCACGTTGCTGGCCATTTTGGAGAGTGACTGGTAAAGAGTCTCAGTCGAGAGCAGAACCTGATTTGAGATCACCCGTATCCTCTCCTATCACCCAACTGAAGAACCTTTTCAAGGTCTGTAGCCTATCACCAACGAAGACACAAGAGCATTCAAGGATGCCCACGAAGTATGTCCGACCAGCTTTGTTTTGTTATATGCGATGAGAATGCTACCTGCACATTGCAACGCGCACATTGCAACGAAGTTTCAGAACTCGCGATGCTGGATGCTGTACCCATTTCTGGAAGCCATGTGTCTAGAAAAGGGACCTCCCAGCTCCAGTCCCCCGCTGTGGTGTTCCTCGCTGTTGTATTGAGTACGTAGTACGGGCAATCCCTCAGTCCCATGCACTTTCTGGGAGCGCGCCCAGCGGAACGGGGAATTCTATCCGTTTTTATTCCTGACAGAGTACGTTGATCCCAGAGGCATTAACCCCCCAAGCCGCTCTCGTCTTGGTCGTCTAATGAGAATTGGCGCTACATTGGTTGAATTCGAGGCATGATGCATACATATATTGATTCTATCGTATGCTCGTCGTAGTATGAGTGTAATTCGCAAACGGGTATAATTTCTAATCTCTAGATTGCGTGACTACCTAGGTACACACTGTCGTTCCAAGCTGTGGAGCACCCGCCGAATCAGGGATTACAGTACATTGTTAGACGAAGACAACTCCAGGGAAATGGCTATACCGTACAGCAGCCCAATTCAGGTCAGATGTAGCGTTTGCTTTCCACACAGCCTCCAGCAGTTGACGAGCATGATGGATGTGGCTAAATCCAAGGGTGTTTTCCATCACCATGAGGCGCTCTTTGACGGCCATTCGGCGCTCGATAGCAAGACTGCTGGATCCGGCAATCACTAGCGGGAATAATAGACATCCTTCCAGCCTACTTGCGTAAGGAACGTCCTGCACGCATTCTAGGATAGTCTCGACCGCTTTCTCAACAAACTCATGAAGAACTTCGTATCCCTCGACAATCTGATGAAGCCGAAGTCGTATAGCCCATTCAAAAGCCGTAGTTGCACTCTGTGTATCAGATTTTTCAGATATGGTTCGATCATACGAAGCCCTCCACTCATCGATCTCATCCTCGATGTGCGTGGCGCTCGCCCGAAATCCGATCTCGGATAGTTCATCGACTCGCCTACTGCGGTGATTGGCTAGCACGTTGATCATGCCGAGTAAGTCCAGAAGAGCGGGAGGAATTCCATATATAGCTTCCGTTGAATCACTTTGCCCGAGTTCAGGCAAACTGTTTCGACGCCGGGGGGTCGGCAAGTCGTTTTGGCCATCCGTGGTGGGTAACAAGGGCGCTTTGCAACGAGAGATTGTCGACATGGAGTCCAGGTAATGAAAGAGACTCATACAGAATTCCCACTCATTGGAGGCGATCGATGGGAACGCCCCGGATTTCAGTATGGCACTTGCGGCTTTGAGATGCCACTTCCAGACCTTGGACGTACCGTCAAATAATTCAGTCAGACATAATAGAAGCACAGTCACGCATGCTTCGAAGATTGATCTTTTATCGGAGCAACCGAGGAGTTCATTTACTTTCGTGATTGCTGGATATCGTCAGCTAATATAACAAGACGATTTGATGCGAGGCATTCGTACCTTGTCCCTGTCGCCTCAATGCACAGCCCCAAATGCCCGGGTAGACCCTCTTCCAATGGCATCCACTCAGAGCCAAGATTATGCTTGTGACAGCATTCGAGGCTGCTGCCAATGGGAGTAGCGTGACCAGAAAGGGGTTTTGGTCTGTATTAGAGCGGCAAAGTGCTCGAGAAACAACATGCACATAGTGGTTAAACAGCGACCTATCCTCTTCTGTGCAAAGATGAGGGTTCGCTATCACCAAAGGCCGGTCCAGTAAAAGTCTAGGAGCAGTTTTCTCAGGTAAGGGGTGTGGGAACAGCGTGGCAATAAACTCATCGGCGTCGAAAGAAGATGTGGGGCTGGGCATAGATAAGCCCCCATTGGCATCGTCTATCGGAGCATTGTCTGGGCTATCTGGAGAGCAAGTGGAGTCTGCTGCATCACTCAACTCCAGGATGATGGGGTCAGTCTGTGTGGCACTGGCTGGCCATTGACATGTGAGATTTAGGCGACGACAGTCACTACAGCGAGGATGCGATTCGTCACATTTCTTCTTTCTGCAGCGAGACACGTATCAGTATGCAGAGCGCAACGCAAGGGCCCACGACCGCAGCCTCATCAACGTTACCTTGACTTGCAGCGTAAACAGCCGCCGCGGGACCGCGATGCACGTGGCCGTCGCGCCGCGTTCGGTCCGCGCGGTGAGCCACTTGATTTCTCTGGGCACCGGGGTTTGCAGACATGACCGAGGCCTACTCAGTGATCTTCGGATTAGTTCAGTTCCATGTCTTAGGCGGAGGTGCATACGCTTGCATCGTGAGCAGGGTGTTTCACCGTCGCATCTTTGTTTCTGAGGATCATTAGCGACGCCTCGGTCTGCTGCATGAGATACTCACTATACGAGCACAGTGTGCACAGACTCTGGCACTTGTTGTATTCATTGTGTGGTGGTGCGAGAGTTGGAGAAGCAAGAAGCGACGGTATCATCGGGTCGTTCCGATGTTGATAGCGAAGTGCGGGGAAATAGCCCGAGGTTGACGCCACGCCAGTTGGTGGGAAAGTCTTGATAAAATCAAAATATAGAGATTACATGTAATCAGAGGCTTTGGAAGAATGAAGACTCAAGATATCATTCCAAGGTTGGATTCAATGGATCTGCCATTATCCCCCGAACTTATCAACGATTCAAAAATGTTGTGCTTCCAAGTTTAACATTAGGGCTTAGTATACATAACGGAAGTTAATATCATCGTGAACGTCCTGGTCATGAGAGTTCTCTGCCAGGCGCGTTTCAATCAGACTACGTGCAGGTCTTCCTAGCTGATCTGCTGTGGAATTACGTCTTCCGTAGACAATGCGTAAGCAAGTCGACACCACGATCGCTGCCGCATTAACTGCAACAATCGTGATTTTGGCCGGTATATATCTAAAAGATTGTTTGTTAACATGGAATCCAGAGACTTGAACTTCAGGGTGCTCTCACTGTGGGGCGTCCTTAGCCTGAAATGTTTGGGGTCCAATGATGTTTGCAATGCTAAACCCAGCAGACACGATACCAGCGCCAGAAACCTGCAATTGTCAGCTTAATGGAATTCCTTAGTCAATGAAAGGCTGCTTACCTTCATGGTGTATCCTTTGAAGTTTGCACCGGTCCAGGCATAGATCAATGCCAGTGGAGCAACAGTCTCTTTGGGTCAGCATTTGATTTTCCTGCGCAGGGGAGAGGGTGACACACTGTGTTGACTAGGTAAATCCCAACTAAGCAACCCGCTTGGTTTTCGGATGGAAGGAAAGACATCAAGCAGGAGCCCAGCAGTGTGGGAATCAAAAGCAGATCAATGGCGACCCAGCGCGAAAACCCCTTGGAGATTGCAAAAGTAGAGACCATCGTTGCAACGATGCTCACGATTCCAGACGGCATGTTTAGCAAGGCAGTCTCTTTGGAGCCGTATCCAAATCCCTTGATCAATATTGCCGAGAAGGTCGTGATAACGCCACTTGGAATGGTGATGAGAATGGTCAGTAAAACCAGCAGCCAAGTTTGAAGGTCACCGAATGCCTCAAGAACGGAGCGCCATCTGAAAACTTTAGACCCAGCTCCAGACTGGTCTTCCGTTAGCCGCTGGGCTACTCGCTGTTTCTCTTCCTCCGTTAGGAATTTGGCATTCGCCAAGTTGTCGGGGAGAATGAATAGCACAAGAAGTGAAGCTAAAATATTTACGGCCCCAATCACAACGAACATGATTCGCCATCCACCGAATGAAAGGTGGGCTGGGGCATGTTGGGCCCCAAAAGAGATCAAGCCTCCCACAATCTGTCCGACTCCCAGTCCACAATACCAAAGACCGTATCGTGGTGTAGATTCAGCCCGCGTGTACCACATGCTGGTATATATTGTGAGAGCAGGAGCTAACAGAAGTATCAGTCACTTAGGCCAGACCATCTCTGTTTCATTCAGTTCTCACCTATCACAGCTTCCATCAAACCCAGCAGGATTCTCAGCGCAAGCATATGGGAGAAGTTTTTCGCCGCGGAGGAACAACATAGGATGATGCCCCAGCACAGTATGTTGAAGCCGAGGACTTTGGTGACAGAGTACCGCTGTAGAAGGGTGCCCTGTGGGATTTCTGCCACCGCGTATGCAATAAAGAATGCCGTTGCCAGCCATGAGAAGTCGTTTCCTGCCATTTTCAAATCATCCTGGAGGCCCATCACATTTGCATACTTCAAAGAGTCAGTAGTCAAGCCATTGTAGATTCGTATGACGTTCCGACATACATTGATGGAAATCTTGTCAATCATTTGCAAGAAATATGTCAAGAACATGATAGGCAGCAAATGCCAGTCGATTTTGCGAAGCAGCCTCCTGTCATCCATTGCCACACTGCCGAGTGCGCAGTCTTCGGACTCACTCTTCTCGTTCATTTTGATCTTCTGTTCAATCATTTCGGAAAACTAGGGTGTCCTGTAAATTCGGGAAGTTCAAGAAACAAAACACAATGCCCGGTCCCGCATGTTGACAGACCATCAGATTTATTGACCATGGAACCTTGAGATAACAGCTCCCCAACTTGCCGAAACTCTCTTTCCGCGTTTGGTAGACGTCAAGCGACAATCTACAATTGCCAAGGTCGAGTCCAAAGTGGCAAAGATCGGCAGCGGAGAAGCCAAGACATGCAGCCGTCGGATAGATAAAGACGCGCCCCGTCGCTTATCGTAGGATACAGACCCCGGGGGCAGTAGAAGCCGATTGGAAAAGGAATCTGGGTATCAGCTGAGGTTAGTAGTCGAACGGTCGTCATCATGAAGGAATATATATTGTGAGTGGACAGTTCATGCTGTCTGAGACTTGTGCACACATACCGTCGAACCAAACAAACATGCCCGCTCGAACTGACTCCCCTCTTCAAGTCGCCATCATTGGCGCCGGTCTCGGTGGTCTCGCCGCTGCTGTCTCTTTGCGTCGCCAGGGTCACTTGGTGACAGTGTTTGAGCGATACGATTTCGCCGGGGAGGTGGGGGCTTCGCTGAGTGCCGCTTCGAATGGATCGCGCTTTTTGGAGGAGTGGGGAGTAGATGTGAAGGGAGCAAAACCGGTGCGTGATCAAACGAAGATTTGGAGGCCAACTGAGCTCTTTCTAAACTTGTTTCCAAACAGGTGGTACTAAAGCAGCTTATTATGCACGACTGGTCCAACGGTCAAGTGAAAAGCACATACCCGCTCGGCGACTACAAATCCAAATTCGGCACGGTATGAATTTTAATTGTCGCTTTCAATCATTTTTTGACTTGCAGTAGGACTATAACAACTTCCACCGCATTGATATTCACAAGCAGTTGCTGAAATCAGCTTTCGAGGAACCTGGCACGGGTCCCAAGTGCGAGTTGAAAGTCAACTTCAAAGCGACAGATGTGAATCCCGACAGCGGTGCGATCAAATTCGAGAATGGCGAAGAAACCACTGCCGACATAATTGTGGCAGCAGATGGAATCCGGGTATGTCGCGGCCAAGGATCGTTTCGTTTTCTTTTTCACTAACAAAAGCCAGTCTGTTACTCGTAACTTGATTGGGATTGAGCCTCAATTTGAGATGTCCACATCTTGCTGCTACAGATGTATTATCGGGGCCGATAAACTCCGCTCCCTCGGCCTGGACGACTACATCTCCAATGAAGCTATCGAATTCTGGGGTGGATTCGGGATCAATAAGATTGTGATGTCACCCTGCAGCAATGGGGAGGTTGTGAGCTGTTATTGCTTCTACCCAGCATCACACAATAATGTACGCGATGACGGTTGGAGTATTGCTGCCTCGCCGCAGCAACTTGTTGACACATTCCCCGACCTCGATCCGCGGATGAAGACCCTGATGCTCAATGCCGAGGATATCAAGATGTGGAGACGTAAGGAGACACCCACTAGCTGACGGATCGCTCCTGGCTAATGACCCTTTTCCAGTATACAAGCACCAGCCATACCCCTTTTGGTCTAAGGGAAAGGTGTGTCTGCTCGGAGATGCAGGTAAGACACATGATCTCTCATTCACCCATGAGCCAATGTACTGATCTATGAACAGCACATCCGATGATGCCCGATCAATCCCAAGGCTCTTGTATGGCGTTCGAAGATGCAGGCGCCCTAGGGCTAGTCTTGCACAAGAACTTCCGTGAAGATTACAGTGCAACCGAAGGATTGGCCATATACGAGCGATTGCGCAAGGAACGGGCGACTCGCGTACAAGAAGCTAGCTTCAAAGCACGAGAGAATCTGAGCGAGCGTATTGGCTGGAGTTCATCCGCCGACCGTCCCGGGAAGTTGACGATCGAGGAAGTATGCGGCTACAATATGAGGGATCATCTAGCTAAGCTGATCGCTGAGCAGAGCGCAGCGTGAAGAGTATATTCTGATTCCTAGCTTCTAACACACCATCATAATTTTCTCAATTCACATCGTTTAACCCGAATCTAAATTACCATCCATCCTATATGTTTTTTCTTCGGATTTGCTCTTGTGAAACAACCATCTTAGCATGGGAATATTTTGTGGGACGTGAAACTTCCAAGGTTAACACTTATTGGCGCAACTTCAATATCTCTGGATCCTCAGGTCTATTTACCTTTGCTGGTCTTTCTTCTGTCGTTCCAGCTTTCATCTCCGTATCTATATTCAACATTTTCCCCACACAGCCCTGGAGAATATGTGCACATTATGTTATTTGAACAAATTTAATGAGGGCCATCACTCCCTGCAAAGAAGATCTCTATTCAATATCTACGAATTGCCTATATAAATCGCACTTTCAAAGGTGCTGCCCCAAGTTCCGTTTCTCCATATCATAGAGCTGTCGGGCAAGCGGAACAATCGAGTCCTCCAGCTTTCGGAACTTCATTCCAAGCTGCTGCTGCGCCTTTGTGGAGTCGCAAGAGTAATGAGTATCTGCCATCCTTCGTCCTGGCTCTCCAACTGGTACGCGATGTATATCTGGAAGTCGCGACCGAACGATGTCGGCAATAGTCTGCGTATCATACGATCCTTCGGTCACAAGGAATCTATCATGTCCTGCCCCAGGGTAGGTAAGGGTTCTGAGGGTGGTCTCGGCCAAGTCCTCGACATCAATCCAAACTTTTTGAAGACTATAATTAGCTCACATAACTACTTTCAAAGGGTTGAGCATACCTGGCGCTTTGGTAGGCGGCATCTGTCCGTCCTTTCCAGCATTGAGCACTTGCCACACAATTTGGTTGCTCGCGTTCAAGTGGGATAGTGATGAAATTGGGTGAATCATTTTCCCAAATACCATCCCTGGACACAGAGTCATGAGTTGATACTGCACCTCATTGTCCCGTACGAAATCCCAAGCTGCGCGCTCGGCGACAACCTTGGAGGCACGGTATGCGATGGGCTATTTTGTATCAGAATGTGACTTCAAATCCTGATGTCGTTGGGGAACTCACCACCGCAGTGGCACTAACGCCATCCTCATAGGTTAAAGGACACCAGTCCTTCTCTGTGTACACCACTCCCGGTTGAAGCCCAAGAGAGGCATCATAGACACTTGCAAAGCTGGACATTATGACAACCCGTCGGATCGTAGGGTGGAGCTTCGCCGCTTCACAGACAATCTGCGTTCCCTTGACCGCCGGAATCATCAATTTCTCCTCAAACTCGCCCGGCGCAGCATCGTAGGTAAATGCTGAAGCTAAATGTACCACGGCTTGACAATCTTTAAGTGTCACCGAGAATGTGGCGAAGTCGGTTGGATCCGACACAACTGCAAACTCGAGTTGAGAAAGATTGTGGACGCCCGCAGACAATATTGCTTGGCGTGTGAGCTTTTCTTTCTCGGCGGAGCGCACCGTGGCTCGCACGCGGTAGTTGGAGCGAAGTAATGTTGCGATGCAATGCGCGGCAATGAAGCCATTGCCGCCTGTCACCAAAACCTTTGAGCCGGAGTCGATGGGAGGCATGTTGTCTTTAATAAAATGCTTCCCGAGTGGGAGAGAAATAATATTGCATCCTCTGTTATATGCGTTTGTGATATAAAATAAACCATCGGGTCATCTTGCGCCGCCGTCGGATACATGTCGCTTGAGTAAATTGCGGTGGACTTTCCCCGACTGACTTTGACGTGACTGCATAAGTGGATTTCCAGCGCGGCTTTTCCGTATCTTTGGCTTCTCGGGCGACAGATGATAGTGTGAGGGGTGTTATTTCTCATCGACCAAGACTCCTTTCTTCATTCTCCCATCTCCTCGAGCCAAGAGACTTATTGGTCGATTGATTGCATCTCCAATCTCAGTAGTACATCCGGTAGAAATTGTTGAAATTACTCAAAGAGCTTGCCCCAATTTCTTGACAGGTCACGCTTGTTGCCAACAATGCAACTCTCTGCAAAAGCAAGCTCCAACATTATTTTGGTGGCACAATTCCATTTGAGTAATATTTTTCTCATCTAATAAAATTTCTCAATTTTTTACGATCACATTCTCACTTAGAATACCTGGGGTTTAATCTGCTTCAAAACCGAGAAAGGCAAAGAGTCGTTTTCAAGATTCCAAGGTTGACGAGTGAATTATATATCTTTTCTGTCCTCACTCTACCACCGATTCCCACCCCGACACATGCCCAGGTGGGCACATTCTGATGTCAAAAGCTACCTACCTACCTATGCACCTAGGTAGGTAGGTACCTAAAGCCGACCTCGAGGATCATGTTCGCAACTTAAATCGAATATGATCGGCAGTCAGGTCAATAAACCGCTTTGCTTGCCAAAGATCTGGAAAAGAATCGTCAACACTTATTGTACTCGGTACTCGAAGAAGGATCAAGCAACGCACCTTTGTCCATATGCATGAAAGGATGAGGAACCCCAACAAACCGTTTTTGAGTAACTTCATTCCCATTGCTGATCAATTTCTGAGCATAGGCCTCACCCTCGTCGTGCAGCGGATCACACCCGGCAGTATAAATAACCGTCGTCGGAAGGTCCTTGCAATTAGGCGCATCGAGGATATTGGCATACCAACTGACAGCGGCGAGTTGAGATTCTCGCTCTGAACCAGATGATGCGATGCTTTGCCATTTGAGGTTGTCGAACCATTTCAATCGTGCCCAATTGAGTGTCGGTGCATACTCCATGGCTTGCATGGACGGCCAGGGTGATTCAGACGCTGTTTTGTATTTGGAAATATCGTCGATGGTGGGCGTTCCCACGGCCACTAGCTTGAGGGGGAGGTTGGCGTCTCTTGCCAGGTGCGCGCATACCAAGGCAATGTGTCCACCGGCTGAGACGCCTCCGAGAGAAATGCGGGTCGGGTCAATGTTGAATTGACCAGCACCTTTCGCGTGGATGTGCTGGAGTGCAGCAAACGAATCTTGGATGCCGATTGGGAATGCATGCTCCGGTACGAGACGATAATCCACGTCAATCACGCAGACATCCGCCTTGACGCAAATGTGCTTGCAGATGTGGGATTCCGTGTCAAGGTCGCCAAGACCCCATCCTGCTCAATTGGTCAGATAAAATATTCACGCTCTTGGTCTGGATGAGACAGATCATACCTCCGCCGTGGAAATCGATATGCACTGGCCATGGGCCCGGAGACGCCGGCTCGTATACCCGAACGGGAATCATGTCCCCATTATGTCCTGGAACTTCGGCGTCATACACCCGACCACAGTCTGGTGCTGGTCCAGTGCCATAGGAGTACAACACGGAATATTTGGTGCGCAAGACTGCAAGATCAATTGGTCCAGCTGGGGTATTTGCGACGTGTTCGTTGTATAATTGAACGAACGCAGGGTCCAATTTGGGGAGGACTGAGGGATGAATGGGGTTCAATGCTTCGTGTGACATTTTGAAACTGCTATGACGGTACATTCATAGGAAGAATCCAAAACACCTTTATTTGAAGGGTTCATGGATGCGACCGATGCGATTCGCCGTCGCGATCTATTTGCCGACGGTCGGATACGAGTATAGAAACCCCGCACTTTATCTACGCGACGGGCGGATACGAGTCGGAAGATGGATCTTTGAGGGCGCCATGCCTGTTTTTTATTCATATTGAAAAGCAAAGTGTCAGCAGCACCATGCCCCATCGACATACACCATGGAGCCTGTACTTATCGTTGGCGCCGGCATTGTGGGCTTGACACTCGGCCAAGCGTTGAAGCAAAAGAACATCCCTTTTGAGATCTTCGAGCGCGATGCAACTCCTGAAGCCCGGGGCCAGGGTTGGGCTATCACCCTACACTGGGCGCTGGAATACATGTTCAAGATGCTCCCTGAAGAAACATTATCACGAATCCAGGACGTCCAGGTCGATCCAGACGTAGCAAGGCACGACAGTGGTAATTTTCTGTTCATCAATCTCGAGACTGGAGAGCCGAAATACAAGATCCCGCCCAATCGCCGGTGGCGTGTGAACCGCGAAAGGATGCGTCGTGCTTTGCTTCATGGGATCGAAGAGCATGTCCATTGGGGACATCGTGTCGTGGGGCTTGATCTCCCAGAAGGAGAGAATAAAGCCCGACTTCTTTTCGAGGATGGGGATGCTGTTTCGGGAAGACTTGTGGTCGGGGTTGAAGGTAGTCGATCTATGGTGCGACAGATTCTTCGACCGGACTCTTTCAACAATGTGCCCCTGGGTATCAATTTCACTGGAGTAGCTGTGGATCTTACCCCGGAAGAGATTCAGCCTCTGCGAGATATGGATCCATTGTTGTTTCAGGGATGTCATCCTCAAACAGGTGTGTTCTTCTGGTTCTCCATGCTGGAAACACCACACGTGAACGGCACAGCAAACACTGCAGCTGAGCGGTATCGTGCACAGATCTGCATGTCTTGGCCGGAAGAAGGGCCAGACGATAAGGTTTCGTCTACCGACGAGGGCCGTTTGATGAATATGAAAGAACGAGCATGCGGATTCGCACCATTCTTGGAGCATGCGGTGAATCGGATACCCGATGGAACACCAGTGACAGAGATCAAGCTTGCCGATTGGGAATGTCTCGACTGGAACAACCATGACGGGCGGGTGACGCTCGCTGGTGATGCTGCGCATGCCATGACAATGTGTAAGTTCTTGGTAAACCCAGCAACATGCTCCAGCTAACTTTGTCAGATCGGGGAGAGGCGGCTAACCATGGGATACTGGACGCGTTTCGTCTTGCTGGGGCTATTGATCGGATATACCATCACTCAGTCGGCGCTACTGTTGCATTTGCAGGATACGAGTTGGAAATGCGCGAGCGGACGCGACGCGCAGTTCAACTAAGTCGCCAGGCATGTCGTGATGCGCATAATTGGGCAAGCCTGGATGGGAACTCCGCTATTCTGACCAAACGAGCCATAATCGCAAGCTGAGTGTTCAGCCTCAGGCAAACCATACGAGCCTCAAGCAGTTACTCAGCATAATAGGGTGGCCAAGATCATCCTGAGGTATGACTCAAGTTAATCAGCGTGAATTCATGCGCGAATCTATGTTCAATACTGTCAAATCAACAGGCTTTCTAACCACTGATCATTTTGCCAGAAGGTGAAGGTGAAAATTTCAATTTGGATACGTACGCCAAGGTGTCAAGCGTAGTAGTCTGTGTATAGAAATGTGGAAGAAATTGTAAATAATAGAAAGGAATACAGCGACAATCCAATGGAACTTGTCTCTGTGGCATAGAATAGATTCCCAGATTACAAGGCGATCATACCAACACCAGCCAGCAGTGCAGTACCAGCGTAGATCGCGACCTGGAGCGATCCGAAAGATGCGCTTGAGTGAATACCAGAAGCGGCACCGCTGGAAGAAGTCGACGTGGAACTAGAGCCGGAGCTGGTGTCAGCGGTGGCAGTAGCCTCGGTAGTGACAGTTCCTGTTCCAGCTGTTCCAGCCTCCTTCATTTGAGCGGAGCAGGTACCAGAGGCCGCGGTGGTAGCCTTGGTAGTAGCGGAGCTGGCAAAGTTGCAAGCGGTGGCGGCACGGTCTTGCTCAACGTAGTACTTGTTGAGGGCAAAGGCAAGCTGTTGCTTGGTGGAACACATGCCGTAAGCACCGTATTCACCAGTGGTGGCGTTGGCAGTGAGACCGCTGCAGTCGGTGTATCCGCAGACGGTACTGAAGAGCTTGGCGTACTTGCTGGTTGACAGGGAGTCGGACACAACGCAACCGGCAGCATCGTACATGCATTCACAGAGGTTCACATCGGCACTTGGGGGAAGAGGCGAGGCCTTGGCGGACCACTTGCTGCCAACGGTGGGACAGCTTCGGAGGGCAGTGTTTGTGGGCGTGTAGGAGGCCTTGTTGGTACCAGTGGGGTTGACACTGGCGATTTCGCTGGAGTAGTACTTGAAGTCGGCCATAGTACTAACACTGGTGCTGTCGACTACCGAGACCAGACCTGTGAAATAGGATGAGCTCATAATCTGGCATCGAGACAAGATCTCCACTTACCGTAGTTGTTGGTTTCCTGGAAGTACATGTAAACAATACCACCGGACCAGACCTCAGCCATAGTGTCACCGTACAGAGCCTTAACCTCAGTGAACTTGCGAGGAGTGACGTCGTTGCAACCGTATTCAGCAAAGAAGACGGGGACAGAGTAGTTGCTGAACTCTTCGGTGCGGTCTTTATATCCGGATGCAGAGTAACTCGAAGTACCACACCACGAGTAGATGTTATATCCCCAGAAGTCGATGGTCTCATCGGATTCCTCGCAGTCGAAGTAGTCGGCCATGTTCTCGCGGATAGCTGACACGTCGGCGGTAGCGTAACCAACACCCATGGAGCGGTATCCCTTCTGCTTGATGTATTTCTTCATGTCGCGGACAGCAGCTTTGACGAAGGCACTGGCGTCGGATGTCGCAACGGTGTTGGAAACCTCGTTTCCGGCAAAGAAACCAATGGTGTTGTTGTACTGAGAAAGCTCATCGATAACGCTAGTGTATCGAGTGTAAAGGGAGGTCTCCCAGGAAGGATCACTCCTGTCGATGGATTGTGAGGGGTCAGACAGATCGGAGATCAAGTAGATACCAGCCTCGGACAGAAGCTTCATGCATGCGGAGTGGTCGGCGGAGGCATTGATCGCGTAGGTGCGAATGACGTTGGTGCGTAGCTCCTTCATGATTGGGACATCACGAGCACAGGCAGTGGCATCGGCCAAAGGATCCGTGTAGTCATCACCATCAGCAGTTTCTGTAAGGTGTTAGTTGACTTCTTGGTAGCTCTCACTGGAAACCTACGCTGGTAGGCGACACCACGCATGTAGCTATCATATGGAGTCAGTATGAATGTTTGAAGTCTTATAGAGCATCATCATGGAAGAGGCTTACAATTGGGTATCATTGCTAGAGTAGAAGAACTTGGATCCCTATTGCAAAGGTATTAGTACAAACTACCCCATTCTCACGTTAAATATGGAGACCGTACCTTGATGACGATGGGGTCCAGGTCGGCAACGGCAGCCCCAACGAGGGTTGCCAGTGCCACCAAGGAAAGCTTCATGATGATATTTTACGGATTCTCAAGAACCGCAAATGTATAGCGAGTGTATATAGTTGGATAGTTTGATTCGACAAAGCGCCGAAGAATGAAAGAAAGACGAAATACGAGATCGAGAAAATATAACGAGTGAATGATTAACTTCTGGCACGCCGCTGAGAGAGGAGACGAGTCGAAGTCGAGAGGGATCCATGGTGGCTTCAAGTCTAGGTGCCATTAATAGTTCCGGGCAACCACCCAGCCAAGCCGATTTGCTCATGTCCCCTGAAATCAAAGTGGACGCGTATAGCTGATCCAGTTGGCATCCACCTTGCAGTACTCGCTTCGAAGCCGTCGCGGAATAAGTTTGGGCTACTGGCGCCCGGATGTCATTTTTGCCATACCGGAGATGGTTTGACCGCGTCAACAACTTAGGGCTTCGATAAAAAAAGGATCGGGTCATGGAGCCCGAACGAATCAGAAGGTGTGCTCAAGTGGTCCCACGCACTTAATGCAGCTTGGCTTCGGCATACTAGATCTGATTAGTCTAGTCGAAAGGCCTCGTGTTTCTGTTTGAAGAAACCCAACTACTACTAGTCAGTATTTGCCGAACGCTCCCTGAAGTTTGATCTGAGACAATGCTGCGCTTCCAGTTTTCTAGCTAGGCACCGAGGAAATTATATTGACCATATCGAATCTACCTATCGACAATTCACTGCAAGTGAGAGGAAAACACAAAAATATTCCCAGGCTGACGTGGTGTGGTGGGGCCTTTTCCTTAGGGCGCCGGCAGTGCGTGTCCTTTCTTGGTGTGAGAAACTTCTCTTTGGAAGATTCAATTAGAGCTAGGCGAATAATGGCAATGGTCTATTTGTGGCGCCTGTTAGTTCCAATAAATAGTAGAATACCAACCAAATGAAACCTATGTCACCAATGAGCTCGGAGATGATTTCTCTGCGTGGTCTAAAGCCGATTCCCCACCAAACGGGAAAACATTTATCACTGCCAGTTCGGGCGCTGGTTAGCCAAGTGGACCGTGAAGAATGCTTGATTTTTTAGTTCCAGGTCTGATAGGAATGTTAGGAAATAACCTCAAGGCTAATATTAGACCAGAGGCGATCGGAGGTTCGTCACTGAAGCCACTGCTTCTAGCACTTGACAGATTCCAGATGGCCACCAAGACGGAATTCCCAAACGCGATCGGGACTGATTTGTCATTTGTTCTGTACATGCTCAACATGTTTGGCTCGTTGTGAATCCACGGATGTACTCCGTACGGACTATTCCGCACCATTCACGCGAATTGACGTGTTGATCATATCGGCATGTCCCGGATCAGACCGCATCGTCAAGTCGATCCAAGCATCATCAGACATATCCGAAACTTGGAAGGACCGCCCGGTCGATAAAAATCATTGGCCAAGCGCACCAAGGATACATCATCTTCCCCTTCAAGTGCTTGACAGCCTCGTCTGAAATTCCGCTACCGCTCAAGCTCCGCGCCTCGTTGACTACACTACATAGACTACACCGTGGGGATTGAGCCGGTCGGAGAGCCGCGACCATCTTCCAAGGCTGGAGGTCTGGATGGAGGGAGCTGCCGGATGTTCCAAACACCCCTGGGCTTTTATGGATCTTCCGGCTGGATGCCCAGGGGGCGCGTCTCAGGCACCTGGGCACTGACGCAGTTATTTCAACCTTAGGAGGGAATGCTTAGAAAAAGGTATATATTGACTTGACATTTGCAGCTGACTCCAAAGCCGAATAAATAGATATGAAAGATAACTCCCGAGGCCCGATCCTCGTATTAAATCGCCGTAAATATTAAACGTTCCTTCGTAGCATTATTGGCTGTCCGCAATGGCTTATCGCATGCGCTGTTGTTTGTAATGACTATCAATGGCGGCATCGAACGAGCGGATCGTGTCGAGGGGTCGCTCAAAGCGGCTGCGTGTGGGGTTGGAAAGGTCGGGGTCCGCTGTTGAGAGTTAGTATATAGTGCGAGGGCGAAATGCAATGCGATATACTACATAGTAGGTAGAACTTACCAATGGGGTTGCCTTCCCGGTCCTTGTGTTGAATGCTTCGGAGAGAAAAGATATCGCGGGCTCCAGGCTCCAAGTTCACAGTTGCTAATTGAGGTAAGCAGACGTTCGATGCGAGGTGGGTATCATGGGGGCCCATGGGAGTGAAACGTACTGGGCTCTTGTTCGTGGAGGGCCATGTTTGGGTCGGCCTTGCTTTGCAGTGAGGTCTTTGGGCTATGGTGCGACTGGATTGAGCCGGAACGCTCGCTAGAGGCCAGAGAAGAAGCCATTGTGGATAATTCCTGAATGTTTGGAATCTAAAAAAAGGTGATGTGTATTGACCAGAAAATGTGCACCTCAATGGTATGGATATGGATGTATGGATTCAGGGTCCAGGAGGCGAAAATCTGTCCTATATATATGTCCTCCAATCCCTGTCAGATGTCGAATTTGTATGTACTCGTACGCATCCGACTAAGAATAGATCGGCTGTTCTGGAAAGACAAGAACGAAAGCACGCAAGTCGTGGCGACACAAAGAAATTGGGGATAATGATTGGATCGATTAAGATCACCAACCATGGGTGACTCGCAGCCTGAGACCTGGTTTGTGTGACGTTACCGACCCACCAGAAGCGTTCCAAGTGGCCAGATCCGCCTGCGCTAACCACTAGCAGAATGCTTAGCATCCATAGGGTCCAATCGCATTGCATTTCGGTCTCAGGGGCCACGCAAGCACCAGTGGCTCAACCCTGGCCCGCTTCAGGCACCCGCAGGGATCCCGGATTAATGCAACTTTCTCAGGCACAGCCGGAAGACACGTACATACGAAGTATGTATGTGTTATTGCCAATGGTGTCTGGACCCATCACATGCAGGTACAGACTGTCTGTGTGACGAGCTGCCTCCCGCAGTGGAGATGATCGCCGGTTGCAAAAATGTGACAGGAATGCCCCAGCATTCCTTCTCCAGGAACAATCGAGCTTCGGGGATCCAATGATGATCTGTGCGAGTCGATTCTCACATGGCGATTCGTCCTAGGGCAGAGATAGCTGTCATTCCGAGGCTTTGACGTGCATGAATTTTGTGTAATAACTCCCCTTTCCGGTCAATGGACCAGCCGGATGGAGCACTGGGGTCTATTCGTGCATATTCTGCACAGCATGTCTATCAATTGGAGTCCGTGATACGCAACTTTCAGCCGTTCCCCGTTCAGTTCATGTATGATGCAAAACAACGCGCGGTCGGGTTCCTGCGTACGGGGTACGAATCCTCCAGCCCCCTGATCGCACAGCTGAGACACCAGCGCTGGGGATCAGGCAACTAGATTCAGATGATTGGCGAAGAAAAGTGAGCAATTGAGTGGGGCGACAAGGTTTCGACTATCACAATGTGACAATCAGCACAAAACTGATCCAGAGCTCGATGTCATATTCACCCAATGCGACGCGTTAGTCATAATTCTTGGCCGCAACGGATCGCCGGATTTGAAACATCACCGGTCTTGGCCCATGCGTTTCTGGCGTCGAACATTCTTTGCTTTTCTTCCGATCCCTTCTGGCACTTGTGGGCCCCAGCCTCCATGTGGAAGTTTCATGTTGTCATTGTGTATCATGGTGATGCGAATGATCGTCGTTTAATAAGACTTCAGCCCTGTGATTGATGAACGTTTGACTGCGGTCGTTTTCAGTCATTTACTTTGATTGAACGATGAGAGTTGGCGTCATTTCCTATGCAGATCAGATTCATTGACAGAACCTTGGCCCAGCGCCACATTGGCCAATTTCGTCTACCAGCCTGAAAACGTCCTAGGATTCGGGTATCACTCGGTGCAAGGTACCCTAATATGGACGTCCAATCCCTGCGATGTTGGCCATTTCTCAATCAGTGGGGTACCGGTGCGTAGAGAGCCCACATCACTGTGTGCTCGGGGCTGTTGTGCTTGTAGGTTGATCTGCTTGTAGCCTGTGTCTCTACTAGTAGGCCGTGAATTGGTGGAACCCGAGGATTGCCTTATATGGCATTGAAGCGACCGTGAGCCTCGTAGATGGCCAAGTTGATCGAGATTAGGAAAATCAGTCGCCGGGGCTGTGGTTGGTATATTTGGTTACCATCGCGTTGACTCGGCGTAAGGCAGATCTACCTATGAAGTCAAGATCAACTAGAGCGACCAGGGATGAACGGGAGATGCTGTCATTCGGGACTTGCAGCGCAATAAGAGTAAGAGTCCAAAGCGAAATGATTTGGAGAAATTTCACCGTTGAGTCGTGCCCTTGTGAGGAGTTGATTGGGTCGGAGCAAACGTTGGTATGGACATGCTTAAATCTAAGCAGGAGGGTTGGAGAGAGGCCAAAACAACCTCAACTCAACTCTTTTCTTTTTCTTTTTCTTGTGCTTCGGACATCTTCGAGCACTTAATCATTATCACGAATAACGATTTTTTAGAAAGCAAAAGATATGACCATATCAAAAAAGGGCAAAAAGAAAGGTCTTACCCGGGTTCGAACCGGGGCTAACGGTAATGGGGATCACATGATCGTCTCAAAAACCGCTGTCCTAACCACTAGACTATAAGACCTAACATGATTGGCTCCGTGATTCCCCGTTCACATGACCGGAGAAAACCCCGAACGGCGTACCCTAGGGTCCTTGACAGTTGGAGACAAACAAACACAATTCAGATGGTCCCGTCTCGCCGTCGGGTGCATCCGATTAACTCTGTCGCTCATACCTCCGTCATGCAGGGTCGCGTGATCGGCCATTATCTTCAAGATGGTCAAATACACAGGTTGGGACCAGGTTGAGATCACTCACATTGAGCTTTTCGTGAAATGACTTCCACAATTTCATCCCTCTTTGGCTACAAGCCCAACGTCCTCGGGACTCCTAAGGCTCCCGAGGGTCCACCGAAAGCCCTTCCTGCATCGTGGTACCGATCACCAGAAATGTACGAGCTAGAGCGACGCGCCATCTTTTCAAAGAAATGGATCTTGATCACCCACAAGCTGCGGTTCGAGAAGCCGGGAGATTACCATCGCTTTGAGGAGGCAGGTTTCCCGTTTTTTCTATGTCTGGATCGAGAAGGTAAACTGAATGGCTTCCACAATATCTGTCGCCATCGCGCATTCCCCCTGGTGTCACAGGATGATGGAAATGCAAAGATCCTTTCGTGCAAATACCACGGTTGGTCTTACGGACTCAATGGAAATTTAGCGAAGGCGCCGAAGTTCGACGATGTACCGGGCTTCAACAAGAGCGAACAAAGTCTGTTCCCCGTGCATATCCACATTGATGCACTGGGATTTATCTGGGTCAACCTCGACTCGTCCCCAACCCCAATTCCATGGGAAGAAGACTTCAAAGGCGTGGACACACAAGAAAGGTTCCAGAAATTTGACTTCAGCCAGTACTCATTCGACCACACATGGCACATGACCGGCAACTACAACTGGAAGACACTGGCGGATAACTACAATGAATGCTACCATTGCACCGTCGCGCATCCAGATGTGGCAAATCTGGCCGATCTATCATACTACTACACCATCTCAAAGCCCGGCCACATTCAACACTTCTCCCGGCCGAAGGCGGACAAGGTGGAGGATGACATTGAGAACGCCAGCACGTATTACTTCCCGAATGCGTGTATGACCGTCTCGTAGGTTTTCCATGTGACGCCCGAATCCATGACAGAGACTAATACCCAAGACACCAGACCTCACTTCTTCTACATGATGCGATGTGTCCCAACCTCTGTAGGGACTTGCTCGATGGAGTACGAGGTATACCGTCACAAGGATGCCTCAGATGCGGACTTTGAGTATATTGATTCGTTTTTCAAACGGGTGCTAGATGAAGATAAGCATCTCTGTAACGCTGCGCAAAAGTATCTGAATTCTGGTGTCTTCGTCAATGGTCAGCTCCATCCGGATCTCGAGAGTGCGCCGTTATTCTTCCAGAAGACTGTTCGACGTCTAGTCATGACCCATCGGGATGAAGAGAAACGTGAAAAAGCAGAGATTTGGCCGGCGCGACAAAGCTCTGCAGGGTCGGCGACGGCGGAAGATATTGAATTCTGCTCGGGGCTTTCTTGTGGAGAGGGGGCTAGTAATCTGGAGTGGTAGTTTAATACAGTTTTGAAGCTGCGAATATGAGCCGGGTCATGAATTTTGCTATCTTATTCTGTCCAGAAGCCAACTGGTAGTTCGATTGTCCCACACCTGAGTAGATGATACTAATAATACACCACATCATTGTTGGAAGATACGAGACAGCATCTCGTATCAACTCCGCATCCTGGTGGATCCCAGAGATATACCCCGCACGTCTGGCCTTTTTATACATCCGCCCCAACAAAGATACTTCACTCAAACATCAATTCCCACAGCTGTCATGTCAGTGGTGAATTCGCGCGTGAGCAAAAGATCACATCAAGCATGTGAGAATTGTCGGTAACACACCCATTGTCCCATATGGAGGGCCACCGATTGACAAGACAGCTAGACGGAAAAAGACACGATGCCCGGGCGAGCGACCTGCCTGCTCGACCTGCACTCGACTCAGCCAGGCATGCCAATATAGCAGAAGTCATGACTCACTCGAGCGGCCGGCGGAGACCCGAGTTCTGGTGCGAAAATTTTGGTCAATAAGGAAGCGAAGATCTAACCCCAGTTAAGGAAGACCGACTTCAACAGCTGGAAGCTAAATTGGAGTTGATGATGGAAAAGTCTGCGTAAGAAGTTTCGGGACGTGTCGGTACCTTGCCAGCTGCTAATTGGGATAGTCCAACTCAACAGTCCGCGACTCCAAGATCGTTTTCTTCTGGACCCGTCAGCGCCGAAAACTCGTCTCAACCTCCCCTTCAAGATGTCCATGATGTATCCCCAATTATGGATTTGGCGCCTGACGGTCCACCCGAAAATGGCGCGCAGGTGATCCCTTTCACCCTGCCACCCCAGAATGTGGTGGATGAGTCCGTCAGTCTTTATCTCCGGTATTGCCACAAGCAGCCATTGTGGCTTTTTGACGAAGAAGATTTGCTGAAACCACATGAAATTCCGCGGGAAGCAATCTTTGGTATTCTCGCACTCGCTTCGAGGTATTCCGAGAACTCGTTTTTTGCCGGTCGGATCGATCAGATGTGTTTGGAATATACCGAGTCCGCCCGTGGGCTTGTCATGCTTCGGATAGCGCAGGGCAACGTCCAACTCTCCACAATACAAAGCCTTTGCCTTTTAGCCCTGGCAAATTTCATCTGTGAGTGTGCAATATTCCTCAAAGGTGATACGGGCTAATAATCTCTAAAGCCAATGACACCCAGATGGCTTGGTTGCATATTGGGCTCGCTACAAGTCTGTCTAGATGTGGTGGGCTTGATATTGAATCCCACCAGGGCGAATTCACACCAGCGCTAGAGATCAGACGGCGAGTCTTCTGGAGCATAAGTTTACTCAACCAACAATACGGACCGCGGAACATGCAGTTGAACATGCTGCGAGACATTCAGTCTCCCAAATATATGGGCGTGAACACGGACAACATGCGAGAGATGGGGGTCGTTCCACCACAGATTCCCCAAGAGATTGCCGGTCCAACACAGCTTGAAGGAATATGGATCTACATGGTTCAACTGTCTACACTATGGAGTGAGGTCCAACATTATGTTTCTCACTGCGCAAGTGGAGACCCAACGCCGCCATGGTCTTTGGAGTCCGGATATTCTGTCATAGGAGCTCACCTCATGAACATGGAAACGAAATTCCCCACGTATCATCGGTGGGACTCGGTGAGATTTATGGACCATTCCACACACGATCTCAATCAGAATCGCGGTTACTGGAGTCCCTGGGTCTATCTTCAATTCACATACCACGCCATTCACAGTGTTCTGAATCATCCATTTTTATACTCATGGAGGCCGCAACAATCTGCGCAGCTCGCAGTGCCTAATACGTTTTGGAAAACATCATCAGAGTTGGCGCTTATCCACACCACCTGGACAGTGAGACTTATTGACTTGATACAAGAGAAAGAGTACCAAGTATCCGACCCCTTTCTTGGACATTTGGTTGCTATAGCCGCAACGATTCATCTTTACTATTGTCGTGCAGCCGACCCAGCTATCAGAGAGTCTGCACAAAGCAAGGTTGATATCTGCTTGGAATTTCTAGGTCAACTGGCGACCAAATGGCCACGATGCCAAGCAATAGTGAGTTCGCCCTAATTATGAGAGAGGTCACTTCTCACAAAGTCAAACAGCACCGCAAGCTTCAAGAAATAGTTCAATCGGCATTCGCCCCGAGTCCTTCTTCTAGCGGTACAAACATCCCTCGTCGAACACTGTCGATCAATACTTCCTTAATGTGGGATATTCTACTTCACAATTCTCCACAAAAGCAATCCGCCCCTGTCAGCGCCGGTATCTTCGATCCATCGTTTTTCCAAACTTCCGAGAAAGACGACACGAAAGAAACAGTTGAAACCGAGATTTTCCACCACTCAACAAGAGCAGTGGATACCTCGGATGGCGGCCAGGCTCTGCCGCCATATTCAAGCGCTACGAACGGGGGATCACCCTCCAAGAATGAACGAAAGGAGGGAGATGGTTTAGGTGGGGTTCGCTCTGTCCCCGGCGATAGCGCAATGGAGCAATATTCATCTCTACCAGACCATATGATGTGGCCTGGACCTGCACTCCGCGGAGATGGATCTTTGATGGATCTGGCCCATGACCCATTCTTCCAGTTTCAAGATCATCAGAGCCCGTTTATGGGAATATGGGAGATAGGAAATTTGTAACATCTACAACCTTCAAAGACCTTGTGAAAGTGGAAGTATCTATTCGTAAAGCATCCATCGTTATGGGCTCGCAAGAAAGAATTTCGCATTGACTGAGCTACACCTGGGCATTATTCACGGTCGCGTGTGTAATGATCAATATATTTGTCCTTGATACCAAGTGCACATGTGCACCCTAGATACTCCTTCTTCCACGAGATTCAAGTGGGAAAAAGACGGCGAGGATTCCGCACATACCCAACAGCCCGGCACACACATAAATGGGAACGGAACTCGACGTAGAAGTGAACGCGCCAATGAGAGCTGAAACCATTCCCATAAGTCGATTAAGGGCGACAGCCACACCGTTACCAGTCCCACGATGGGCGGATGGCAGAATCTCAACCGTATAAGCGTACAATGTCGCATAGTAAATATTGATGGTGACCGAGATGGCACAAGAGAAACCCAAGTTCTCGGCACTTGTGCGAACGGAGGTATAGCCGAAAAAGAAAGCCACTGCGAGCTTTTAGTAATCAATTTGTGGGCGTGGGGGTTAATAGAAGCTTACTTGTAGCAAATGCCCCGAATGCCATGGTCCTTTTTCTCCCGAATATAGGCATCTCGCACATGAAGCCCGCAATTATTGGACCTGGAACGGCACAAAGGTTGGTTATGGCATAATTCCTCCATGTGATGTAGCTCGATGACTCGCCGGTGGATGCATCGCGGGACGCCAGGTATTCGGGTAGATAGACATAGTACAGCGCATAGCCTAGGCCGATCAGAGCCCACGACAGCCACACGAGGGATGTAGAGAGTGCCATGGTCCGAGTCGCGAAAAGGCCTCTGATATGAACCCCGACTTCGGACAATGACGCTTTCTGTTTGGCGTGTGCACTTTGGATTTGTCCGCATGCTTGGAGTTGCTCTAATGTCAGATAGCAAGGTCGATTATACCGCTCAGCGAGATTTCTCAAGGTCTTGATCACGTCTTCATCCTTTCCTTGGCATAGAAGAAACTTTGGTGTCTCATGAAACCGAATGACTAGGACTCGGGCCACGCTGAGCACGAACACAAGTGCGCCACACGTGTAGAATAGATATCTCCAGCCCATGTTGTTGGCATTGGTGCATGGAACTGAACCGTCAGAGGGACAGCTATAGTTGGCTTTCATGTTGTCAGTCCAGTCATCGAAAAATAAGAAAGCTGAAGGTCCTACCCATAAAGCCCCAAGCTACTAGACCAGCTACAGTCTGCCCAACTCCCCACCACCCAGCAAGCAGAGTGAGAAGCCATTGCTTGTTCGATGGAAGATATTCCAAGAAGACAGTGGTATCCAATACCAAGTTACCGCCAGACCCAAAAGCAGAAAGTGCGACAAATGATGCCCACACGGGGTAGTTCGGGGCGGCACCGGCGACGGTTGAGAATATCGCACTGATCAGCAGCGAGAAGTTGAATGCCCACTTCCGACCTATCACATCTGCTGTACTTCCCCAAAATAGGGCGCCAACCAAAAGTGCGAGATAGAAACCAAGCTGGGCCCCTCGTGTGAATTTCGGAGGATATTGTGCCACGACTTGTTCGGCCGAAATACTCATAAGAAAAAGTAGAAGGGAGTCAACGCCATATCTAGAATTCGTCCATTCTGGATTAGCATGATCGCGCTCCATTGGGATATAAATGTATCCAGCTTACCCAAATCCGTTAAGGAAGAAGAGTTTGGTATGATAGCGCGTAAAGCCGATCGTGTCGATAGCCTACAGGGGTAAGTAAGGTGTGAAATAATTCCTCGGTGGCGCTGCTCTGCAGGCTTACATCGTTGACATGATGCATCTTCGCGCTCAATGCCCGGTCAACATTATCCAACGACATTACATCGCCAGGGCCAGTGGGTATAGGCCCCTTCGTGGGCACTTGGTCGCCCACATCTTGAGGATTGGATATTCCCACACTATTCGACTCAATGGCCATAGCTGTGGACATGAAAAAAAAAAAATAATATGTCAATTGGGATCAACGCATTGATTTAACTCAAGTCCCGTTATAATGAAGAATCAAGAATTGAGGGATTGATACTTTATAACTTTTCCGCCCTAGACTCCGAGGAGTCTCAGGTTTCGGCTCTGACTATGTGCACTGTCCCCAAAGAGTCAAAGGACCCCCCAAACGGGTAATGGCCTCATATTGGCGACGAGCAGTGTGGCTCGGTAATAGGATACTTCGGAGTGGATAGCGATGCATAATGCGGGCACGAATCACAGCACCACTGATTATCTTGGTACTGTTGGGGAAGTTGATCGAGTGCGGTTGTCACTGCGGCGATTGGAAATAATGATGCGCTGCTTGATAGGCGTGTCTCCCCGCCCATGTGACCGGCGATAGCGGTATATCCCGACGACGCGCCGCGGGCTATTTGAGATGCCGGAGTGGATGAAGCTTCAGTCTGAGTGCCCGGGGTGAGAATCAAGGATCAGAAGAGAGGCGGCGTTTGCTATCGTGGATTGCTATTCGTTTCCAAAGCTAAGAGCTGAGAAACAAATCACAGTTGAGCCTTCAATCTCTCGCAATTGGGAAATCTTGCGTGGACTTCTGCAACCTGCAACCATTCGTGGGCCTGAAGCATTCCACAGTCAGCCTGGCACTGGAAACATCTCGGCAGTGTTTCTCATGGCGGCTCGCCTGGTGGTGATAACACTCAGGTCTTCAGTAACCCCCACGCAGCAGATCGCTGGTGTCGGACTTGCTCCGATGCCCGCTCGGATTTGAATTGTCTCGAGTCTGTCACCGTGTACGATTCCTTGATGCCTTTCGCGTCTGTGTAGGTTATTTCAGGTTTGATTTTCTGTTTGCTTTTTTCACGCGTTTGAGACCTCAACAATAACAGTGACGAGGGGCCACCTTGAATCGATGCGGAGAGCTTCAACTGAATAAGCAAATTGGCCAACAGCAATCCTAGTATCTTGTTTTCGTGATAGAGTGCATTTTGTAGAAATTTCTTGACTCAGCGGTGGAGTGTAGCGTCCAAGCCTTCTGGTGCTGTCTGAGTCCGACGTGCATCCGCAACGCGTCGCGTGAGGCTAGTTTGGCCCCGCATATTTCAGCATCAACCCGGTGCCCTCTCAGCGACCCGCGCGTATACGAGCACACGAGATGTCGGCGATGAACTTCAACGTGTCTGCCTTACTCTCCACGCTCTTGGGTAGTGCATTATCGCCTCTGGGGTGTGCATCGAATTCTTCGCTCCCGTCAGAACCCTCGGTGCCGGTCGGCGCAAATAACTTCTTGAACCCAATCCCTGCAGGGTTCGCTCATTTGAAGATCTCACACGTCAAGAATAATCTCGCAGTGCTCCCAGGAGAATGGGAGAATGACGGAATCAGTCAGTTGTCGTCCATAGACATGGGCCATCTATCGATTGACATCTTTCCCAGAGGCGCCATTTTATGATTGCAAATCAAACGATCCAGAACTTGGAACTGCGTTGCTGCAAATGAAACAATCAGACTTCATCGCATGGGATAACTCCTTTTTCGATATTCTCGGACAAAATGCGAAGCTGGAACGCATACAGTCGTTCATTGGGGAGCCACCCCATGTCCACGAGGCTCCTGCGTACGTTCCTGAGACGAATGAGCTAGTTTTCTCCGACACGAGTGTTACTGGGTGGCTTTGGGCGATTGAGATTGATACGCACGAGGTATGAGTCTCCAAATGCGCTGTTTCCCTCTTCTTCTTCTTGTTCTTGTTCTTCTTCTTACTCCAAAAAAATTGCTCAATGCCCCAGACAATGCATTTTGAATGCCACGGGGAAGAAGCTAACTCTACTGAAGGTGCGCAAAATACACACAAATCCTCCACTCAAGAACATCAACGGCGCCCGGTATCATAAGGGCAAGATTTATGCCGCCACAAACGGTGGTTCGGTTCGCGGAATTTGGTCTCTCGATCTAGACGGTACTGCCACACCAGTGGTAAACAACTTTCGCGGTCGCCACTTGAACAGCCCCAATGATTTGATTTTCGACTCGGCGTCTAACATCTGGTTCACGGATCCCCCGTACGGCTGGTACCAAGAATTCCCCGATGTCCAGCCACCAGAGCTCGCAGCGGGTATCTACTTCTTCAACAAAACTTCCCACGCCCTGATTACCGCCTCGAATACGGTAGTGATGGTGCCAAATGGACTTGCGCTTTCTGTTGATGGGTCGCAATTGTACGTGGCTGATTCAAGTTCTACGTCTGGCCGACCCATGTCACACGCCCCTGCCAGTTTGCGAAATATTTGGGCGTTTGATGTACGTGGGTCGATTCTCGGAAACCCGCGTCTGATCTATCAAACGGAAAGCGGATGGCCCGATGGACTGCAAGTCACCCGGAATGGCTACTTGTTGATTGCGGCGCTTGGTGGAGTCGACATTGTGGACCCCAGGACTGGGGCTCTACTAGGGAAGATCAACACACCGGAAGACATCATTTTCAATTTGGAACGAGGGCCAAGTTTCAAGTCTCACTCTGTCTGGTTGCTGACGGGGCAAAACTATATTTATAAAGTGACGATTCATGAAGGTTGATAGCCCATGTCGTTGAATCGACACAGAGCCTGAAGAGCCAGAATGCTATGGCAGCATGATGTGGACATATGAAGACAATGAAACTTTCACAATGTGAAACTTGGATAACAGGACTTCTCCCTCCATCGCGATAACACGGAGATTAGACGACATTTTCAACATGAGACGAGTGTGATCTTTTGGCATTCGAGTCATCCACATTCGTTTCCATGGCAGGGTGAGTGACACTTTTCATCTCCATGGCCGCCGGTGAAGGGTCTCCAAAGAGCTCGGCAATTTCTTCCAGGGTTTTCCCACTGGTCTCCGGCAGCAAGAAGAAGTACACCACTGCTGCAGCCAAGTTTGTCGCAATGAAAAGTGAATAGTACCGCCAGCCAACGTTTTCAAGCGCAGTGGGTGTGATCTGAGACAAAACGATAGCCGAGACAGACTTACAGAACACAGCAAGTCCCATCCCCGTCGCTCGAAGTGTGAACGGAAGAATCTCGGATGGAACTACCCAGATTGTTGCATTGAAGAAAACCGCATACCCGCAAGAGTAAAGGAATATCATCGCAATGGCTGCCCGGGCACCGCTGATGTTTTCCACGTCTGAGCCCCCATACAAGGCCGAGAGGGCCATGCAGATTGCGATCATTGCGGACAAGAACAGAGATCCTACCCACAGAGTGCGACTGCGAGGCCATTTGTCGGCCGCAATGAACAGATAAATGACCTGGCCAATCACCCCCATGATCCCATACACGCCGCTAATCAATAGCGAGGTCTTTCCAGTGAATCCCACAGCAGCATAGAAGCTGCTTTGATAATTTTGTATCACTGACGATCCACTGAACTGACCCATGACGAGAAGGAAACAGGCCATCAGTGTGCGGTGCAGGTACTGACGCGAAACAAGCTTTGTCAGTGACTCCTTGACTCCGGAGGTCACAGTTGCTTCTGTTTGAATGTGTTCCATGATCTCGTTCAGGTCTCTGGTGACGGCATCTTCGTCCTGGTTTAGCTTCATTAAGACCACATGCGCCTCCTCGTACCGCTCCTGTCCTATCACTTGTCTCTCACTTAGTATTGGGTTCGGCCAAAAGCGATCCTGATGGCTCACTTACACCAACGTGGGCTGTATGGAATGAAGTAGCAGCCAGCTGCTAGCGCGAGGGGGCCCGGAATCTGCATCGCAAGAGGGATCCGCCACTGAGCATCGCCTTTGGCAAATGCACCACCGTATCCGATCCAATTTGCAGCAAAGAACCCGATCGCCATCATCATACCTTGCAATCCTACGATCTTTCCACGGTGCGCTGGTGGGGAGATCTCGGCGATGTATATCGGAACAACTGCGAGAAGTATACCACATCCCATCCCAGCGAGGAAACGACCGGCGATCATCATCCCGGCATTGACAGCCCCGCTTTGCAATGCAGCACCCACAATCGCTGCGTTAACTTCATCTCAGTACTGTTTTGTGTCAAAGGAATAGAATGCTTTACCGATGATGGCACTGGCACATATAGTCCACCGTCGGCTGTATTTATTGGCCGAATAGCCAGCGCCAAAGGTACCAATCGCCTGACCAACGTTGTAAAGAGAGACAATGGCTCCAGTGAGTCCAGCATTTACACCAGTTGGACCCAACATGGCATACTTGAAAGTATCGTGGCCAAGTGTTGTTGCGATAATTCCTTCACATGTTAACCTTGGAAGGGACCACTTTGACTCAAGATGGACTCGACGTACCTGCATCTACTCCATAAACAAATCCACCGAGTGCCACCACAAGAGCAACACCCAGAATAGTCGGGTTGATCATATCTTTCCTCGTTGGAATAAATTGACTTGCTGTTCCCCAGGACTTCTGCAGAAGCCGGTATTTATAAACAGGCAAGGATCAGTCACAAGCTAATATACCGAGCCAGTTTAGCCGTCCTATCACCTGCCCAAGAAGGCTTTCCTACCCATGTCGTTTTCCAAAGAAAGCCAAACCCCGCAAAGTCCTTCGCAACCCCGCGGGGGCAATCGGATACAGGGGGCGCCACAATACATCGACTGGCGGCAACGCACCAATCAAAAGCTGAGAACGCCGCCGCGGGGACGATCGTCTCTAACGGTGTGCGTCTCTCATTCGCCCTGTTTCAGTGCCGAGAATATGCCTGCTGCAGAATTGACATGGTCACAGGACTTGCTCGGTGTTTCGCTATCTCTCATGCCGGACTGAGTTGGCAACGGGTCCCGGGAGGATTCTAGGTGATATAAGTGCAGGCGATAGCCTCATTTCACTTCCATGGACAATTTCGTTGTTTCCTCTCAGTTGCTAGGATGGAATCTTTCCCCAAACTTGCAGCTCCCTCTGTCGAGCAACATCCAACAGGGTTTGGAGTAGGATCAGCCACACCTCGCATATCGTGGCGCTTTCTCACCCCCAACACAACTGTTCAAGAATGGGCACAAATCGCATACGAAGTCGAGATATCTCGCAACAACTCCAATGACACATACCATGTCGATAGTGCAGCTTCAGTCCTGGTTCCTTGGCCAGGTGAGCCACTGAACTCGCGCGATCGTGCTCAAGTCCGAGTGCGGGCCTTCGGTAAATCTTCGGGTATTGCCCAGAGTCAGCCCACCGACTGGTCGCCGTGGACTCAAGTGAAATGCGCATTGCTTTCCCGCGCTGATTGGACTGCTGTTCCGATCGCAAGCTCTATCTCCGAATTACAGGATGGTCCCTTGCGGCCTGTTCGTTTCCGCAAGGACTTCCACCTTGATCAAGAAGACGTCGAAAATGCCTGCCTCTATATTACAAGTCTCGGAGTGTATAGAGCCTTTGTCAACGGTCATGAAGTAGGTGACCAATGTATGGCTCCGGGTTGGACGAGCTATCGGCACCGTCTCAACTATCAAGTCTACGACGTTGCCCCGCTTCTCGCCAAGGGGCCAAATGTGATTGCTGTGGAGGTCGCTGAAGGCTGGTATGCCACCCGCCTTGGATTCAAGGGAGGAGAGCGCCGGATCTACGGCGATCGCCTTGCTGCCCTCGCCCAGCTTGAAATACACAACGGAGATAATTCTCAATTCATCATTCCGACCGACTCGACGTGGGGTTGCGCTCCAAGTGCCATTGTCAGAAGTGAGATTTACGATGGGGAGGTGTACGACGCGCGAGATGAGAATGGGAGCTGGAACACACCATCATCGGAGGCAGATACTACCTCTTGGGTGCCTGTTGAGGAGTTACCCTTCCCGTCTGCTCAACTCGTCGCTCCGGATGCACCGCCTGTCCGTGTCACGGAAGAACTCAACCCAGTGGATGTGTTGCAATCTCCGTCGGGCAAGACTATCCTAGATTTTGGTCAAAATCTTGTCGGGCGCATCCGCATCAATGCTGTTACAAAGCCTTCGGGGGCCCGTTTGGTGCTTCGACACGCCGAAGTTTTGGAACATGGCGAACTCGGCATGCGCCCATTGCGATATGCCAAGTGCACCGATGAGATCATCTTTGCTGGAAACGAAGTCACCAACTGGTCACCGCACTATACTTTCCATGGGTTCCGATATGTCCAAGTTGACGGCTGGGGCGATGAGGATGCAGACTTGCTGGAAAGTCTGACAGCATTAGTCCTGCATACCGATATGGCTCGGACAGGCTGGTTCGAATGCTCTCACCCGATGGTCAACAAACTCCACGAAAACGCATTATGGAGCATGCGCGGCAACTTCCTTTCTATTCCCACTGATTGTCCCCAGCGCGATGAGAGACTCGGGTGGACCGGAGACATTCAGATCTTCACCCCATCTGCCAGCTTTTTGTACAACACTGCTGGAATGCTTGGTGATTGGCTCAAAGACGTGGCAGCAGAGCAGCTTCTCGATCGGGATGGCTGTGTTCCTCCTTTCGTCGTCCCAAATGTCATAAGCGAGGCTCTGTGGCCACATCTCCCACAGGCGATATGGGACGACGTGGTTGTATTGACTCCCTGGGACCTCTATTCTTCATATGGCGATATCGATTTGCTTCGTCGGCAGTACCCAAGCATGCTTGCTTGGATTGACCGTGGTATCCGGAGAGGACCGGACGGGTTATGGGATCCAACGTTGTGGCAGCTGGGCGACTGGTTAGATCCTACCGCTCCTCCAATTGAGCCAGGTGACGCGCGCACAAACGGAACGCTGGTCGCAGACACATACCTTGTCCATGTCACGTCGACCATGGTGAAGATCTGTGATGTCCTCGGGCACCAGGCCGACGCAGCTCGCTACCGCGAGGACGCCAGACGACTCAAAGCCCAATTCCAACAAAAGTATATCGCCCCATCCGGTCTCTTGGTCGGAGACACACAAACAGCTCTGAGTCTTGCAATCATGTTCGATCTTCAGGAAACCCCTGAGCAGTTGGAGGTAGCAGGAAATCGACTCGTCGACTTGGTCCGGCTGGCCAAATTCCGAGTCGCCACTGGGTTTGCTGGCACTCCGATCATCACCCACGCACTTACCAAAACTGGTCATCATCAGGTCGCGTATCGCATGTTGCTGGAAAAGAATAGACCTTCCTGGATGTACCCCATCACCATGGGGGCCACGACGATGTGGGAAAGATGGGACAGCATGCTTCCGGACGGATCGATCAATCCCGGCGAGATGACTAGCTTCAATCACTATGCTTTGGGGTCTATAGTGAACTGGTTACATTCCACAGTTGCAGGTGTAAGGCCCATGTCACCAGGATGGAAAGAAATTCGCGTTGAGCCGATCCCCGGCGGAACAATCGATTCGGCATCGGCGGTGTATGAGACGCCGTATGGACGACTGGAGTGCCGATGGAAGGTACTAGTTGCAAATGACCGGTTCGAAATGGAGTTGGTGGTGCCTGTAAACTCGACGGCTGTTGTTGTCCTGCCCAGTGATCGACGCCAGCGTGCTGGTAGCGGGAGTGGGGTGCGTGTTGGATCAGGTCTTCATCGCTTCGAGTGTCAGTGGGAGGCGCGCGAGTATCAACGTGGATGGCCTCCACAGGCGATCATCCCCATCATGCGAAAGCCAGGCCCGGATAGTATTGCCTGATTAGATTTGTTAGACGCGTCAGAATATTTAGACAACACCTTTAGAAACACATCTGGTGCCTGCTCAGGAAACTCTGTCTTTTCTCTCGAGGCCCGTAGACTGTTTGAAATAAGCCCTGGAGCCTAAGCATCGAGCCCTGAATCCTCTCTGGGTTGAGGTTGAGCTCATGAGGGACTGGATATGAAGAATGAGCGAATGGACCTCCAAGTAAAGAAGAAAGAGGGAAATATCTTCCACCGGCAAGCGAGATTCAGCGGTTTCTCGGGTGCTGCTCAGGTAGCATTTTCGTCTTTTCTCACTTCACCATCATTCAATATTTATTTCCTTCCAAGGCTCACCCAGGGCTGGTATGGCACTACCAGACCGGACTACATGACACCGTGGAGTTTGCCCTACTACAGATCACAACTTATGACTTGATCATACTACGAGTTGTAAATTTGGCTCCCTATTATAAACATAAATGAACTGATGTGCATATCCGGTCTGCCTCGTCAACATAAATTCCTAGATACAAAGTCATCCCCTTTGCGTGAATCTCGACACCCTCATCTAGCAGCTTCCGCCACCGCCAGAGTCAGAACTGCCACCACCTGAGTCACTGCTTCCACCGCTGCTAGAACCTCCACCAGAGCTACCTCCAGAATCGCAACTGCTAGAGCCGCCTCCGCCTCCGCCACCGGAGTGGTGGTGACTACCTCCCCCAGAGCCCGAATCATAGTACCCAGTAGCAGCGCCAGAGTAGTAGTTGGACGTCGCAGCTGAGTTGGATGTCGCAGGGGTGGTGGAAGTATTATACGGCACGTAAGCTGGTCTAGCCGTGGCGACAGCTGATTTCTGGCGCTTGTCGTTCACCTTCTGGTCTTTGAGGGCTGCAGCCTCCGCCTGCCTCAACCTTCTGGTCTCTTTGGAGCGGAATAGATCGAGGAACATCGTGGGAGATATGTCGATAATGAAACTTTCGTGGTGTCAGTCAAGCTATGTTTGATGCGCATGAAAGAGAACTGACCGATGATGATTGTGGAGGCGATGTCGCAGACTAAGGAACAGAGTGTGTAGTAGTTGAGGGTTTTCTGTGGCGTGATCTTGTAAAATAATCAAATGAGCAAATCCTGGAGCCTTTGTGTTTATCTTCAATAGTGATTGCAGAATGAAACGAAAGCTAAGAGCGAGGTTTCTTAAATAGTAGTTCTACCATGAGCATGTACGAAGTAGTGCATCACGAGCGTGCTATATCACTCAGCACAGCCTCGGGCAACAGGGCACAGCCTTTAGCTTTGAATCCCGTTTTCTGCATCGCTTGCCCATACTTGCGATTGGTTCTGTTTGGATCAAAGGCATACATCGGGATGATCTTGTTCCAATCCGTCCTAGCGCATCCTCACTCGCATTTTCCCACCTTTTAAGGAGTCGCTTACGAGCACTACTAGCATAGCCCGGGTTCCGATATCAACACCAGAGCCTCATTCTGGGCTTCCGAATCGTCATTCTCATTCTATCTGCAGATACTGTTTTTTCTTGTCGCTCTGAGAGCTCAGCCGACCGTGGGAGAACGCCTGTTTCAATTTATGACTCACATCTTAGGCGTCACAGCAAGTGACCAAAGCTCGACTTGCTAGATACGTACAAGCTTGTGGTCATGTAGCTATACGAGAGTCTACAATGGCTGCGGATGGCGCCGGCCTTGGCTATTCCCCGATTCTCCACCCTTGAGGTTCTGCTCCCCTTTCACCTAGCGCAAGGCTGATCCACTGTGTGACTTCATTGGGGTTGTTTTCTACCAATTTACTCCGCACAAGTGTAGCCTCATTCTATGACTGGCAGCATATGATGCGCTGAAATTTTCTTTTCTTCTTGTGGCATGACGCCCACACTCACAGGTGATATTGGCGAGGGTTCTCGACCGAGATGCCTAGTCTTTCCCACATAGCTTCAACATTCATATCCTCCCGGCCACTAGAACTGTCAGTCTCAAGCATCCGACTATGGGGCGAAAAAGACTTACTCTTCCTTCAAATTAATCCAAGGCTCAGTCTGTCCCTCCGCTGTGTTGGGATTGCGGAAAATCACATTCTGCTTCTGTTGGCGGAGTCAGCTCGTATTCGCAGGTTGCAAAATCTCCCGACCATAAACATACCATGCCAAGTGTCAAATGAATAGCTCCAGGCCCCTTGACAAATGTCTCATCTGCGATCTTCCCTTCAATCAAAGAAGCAATGTTCTTTGCAACGACTGCAGCTTGTGCTGAGCCGGGTCTAGCGGCCTTCTGTGCGCCAGTGTCTGCAATATCGCCCACAGCAAACATGTTCGAGTACTGTTCATCCAAGAACTGCATGGTAGGTCGAATTCGAATGAAGCCATTATCGGGGTTGATGATTGATTCTCCGTCAGGTTGAGACGGCTTCAGATCAGCGACAGGCTGGTTGTTTGGGGTCTGACCCGTCGCCAAAATGACAAATTGTGTAGACTCGGTAGTTCCGTTGGTGAGCTGCACCTGGAAAGTACTTCCATCATTGGGGAAACCACCTGATGGAATCGTCACCCGCGATCCAGTGACAAGGCGAATACCGAGCTCATCGAAGCGTCGCTTGATTAATTCATTAAGGCCCGGGTGGAAATTAGGCATCACTCGATCGCGAGATTGCACGACCGTCACCTCCTTCTCCGGGTAGAATTCTTTGAGATCGGCAGCCATCTGGACGCCGACAGCACCGCCGCCGACAATCAAAATCGAGTTGGACCGCTTGACGCCGGCTTGATGCTCCTGTAGATAGTCGACCGATGATGGCTTGTCGTCATTCACCATTGCTGCGGGCTTTGAGAGACGCGTGCCCGTGGCAAGCACGACATAGTCGAAGGAGATCTGCTTTGAGCCATTCCACTCGCGGTCCAGCTCGATGTGGTTTGGTTTCACGGAAAGCACGCGAGCTTGAACAACGCCATGGGCTGTGGGATTGGGTGAAGAGTTGAAAATTCCGCTGTAGGGAATGAATGCTTTATGCTCCTGTCCTGGGACAATTGCAAATCGTGGCTTTAAAGCAGGTCAGCTAAAGACTTTCATCAAAGATGTCAGTATGTGGAATCGACATACGAATGTGAAAAGGTGGTGAAAGTGGCTGTGAGGCTCGGTGAGGAGAACCTGTTGGTATGGTTAGTATAGCCCAATCTTCCCTACTGTAAGCGATATTGCCGCTTACTCTGTGTGTTGGCGGCACGACGCGTGCTAGCTCGTGCGCGGTAGTCTGTAGAGAGATCAGTCGCTGATACAAGCAATAGGTTTTGAGGGACATACTCGTCCGACAAAAGAGCCGCCGACAACGATGATGTTTCGAATATTCATCCTGAGTGTGAGAAGAGGCAGAGAAGTGAAATCAGGAGAGTTATTTCCGGGAATTTGGTCCCTTTTAAAACGGCAGTTTTATCAGATCAAATTAAGTCCGAGATATTCCTCTTCTGGCAAATGCCGAGGCCGGAGTAGTTTACATCCGGGGCGACACCCCCAGCGCCACCGAACTCAGCGATCACCGTTATCCGATCAGTACTCCGTATAGCCGGCTTTCGATGTTTGTCATGTTTTCCTTTCAATGTTGAGCCCCTTACAGTTGATCGAATATCTGTAGGTGAGGGTGCTCATTGCAGACGCGGAATCTATATAGAGTGGTTTGCCGGTTGGATTTCACATCTGAGTGCACTGCCATAAAACGATTAATTTTGCTTGAAGATGCAAGCGTGATTCTATTATCATCGGCGTCTACTTTGCATTGTAATGGTACCCCATACTCCGCCTTGCATATAGAAAGAAGATACAACCGGTGCGTCGATCTCGGCTGGGGATGTGCCGGCTTTCGCCTGAGGCAGCATTTCCCCACATTTGGCATGACCCTGAGATGTTTGGTATTGCTGGTTCAATGCTGAGTGTACACCTGGGCGATATCTGCAGGTTACCTCGCCATGTGATTAAACATGCCAAACGATATTCAAGTCACTCGACATTACCTTATTTCTTGCGTCAAAACGATAGAACAAAACATTAAAGGCGGCTGAAGTATATTCGAGATCCAGTCTCAACGGTCCAAGTCACCGTGCACTACCTAGAGTCAAGTTTCTATTGCGGGTGCCAGGTAATTGTTTTGGCAAGGGGGCCTCCCCGGTCGTACGTGGCCAGCACGGTATGATGATCGAGAGCCAAAATTCCAGGCCAGAAGCTGTTAGCCGGGGAGACAAAGGATGGTTGACTCCATTGAACACGTCCTTCAGATGGAGGGCCCGCAAACACAACCTTGATAGAAGCGTTCTTGACCCATTGCACATGCTCCGAGTCTTCATCCGTCATGAAGATCGCCGCCAACGACCCATCGGCGAAAGATGCAATCTGGGGAGACCCTGCATTGTGGCCGTGTTTCGGGCGGAATACCTCATGGCGCCAACCCCAGTTGTGGCCATCGTCGTACGATAGAAGTGCCTCGACACTGAATGGGCCGTAACGGGTAGTTTCGAATACCATGAGTAGTGCTTCTCGTCCGTTATCGAAGGTGCGAGCAATACCACTCATGCCATCCCGAAGAGCATCCTCGACGCCATGCAAGCATTTTGGTGCAGACCAGGTACTTCCATGATCCCGTGAGATGACTTGCATGGTGCATTGGTTGTTGTGGGCAAACTCCTGCGAGAAATACAGTTGTACCTCGCCTTCACGTCCGACACGCATGAAAGGTTCCCAGATTCCCAGAGGGGGACGCTTCTCGGCTGCTTGGGACGCATATTGCCATACGCGGCCACCATCTGTGGAGCGACAGACTGTGATGCGGAAGTGTGTCGGGCCATGTGGACCCACGTCGTGGTTCCGGAATGCCGCAAGAACTGTGCCTGGAGCTACCTCACACAAGAACATATTGTCGACATCACCGGATGCGCGAGTCACCTCGGAGAAGTCCTCGAATGATTGACCGTTGTCGGTGCTTCGGGCGACGCGAAGGGATCGTTGCCCGTCAGGGAAGCGAGTAAAGGATGAGAGGATGGTTCCATCGGAAAGTCGGCAGAGTCGCGGATATGTTCCATTGTTTGGAGGGGATGATAGGGCGCGCTCGTCGCTGTTCACAGCTGCTCTGCCTGGTAGCCGAATCTCCGAAGATGTATTTTGGTGATCGCCATGTTTGTCAATTCCTAAAGTCTTCAGGACTTTTTGGCCGAGATGTCCGGGCATATCGACGATTAATGAACAGTGAGAGTAGTGGCTTGGAGAAGTGAATAGGAGAAGTGTTGAAGGCTGCAGCATTTACCCCGAAGCTTGACCGTATGACATCACCGGCACACGTGTACCGCACGTCACTGCAAACATAACAAATAGTCCAAACAGTGCAAACACTGCGAAGTGTTCGACATCTGAGACACGGGATCTCGCGATCGACGCGCTACTCGTCCTGTCGAATGGCGACAGTTTCTGAAATGGATTTACATCCCTACTGGAGTACTACTCCGTACGGAGTACCGTGAGTACGTATGGTGGAGTTTCAAATTGTCAAATCATTGCGTCTAGTCAACTTCGTGTACGTTGGAACTCATCCATAATCATTCCTCCGCAAACGCCATAATATACCATCCTTTCATTTCCAATACATCGAGAAATCCCATCATGACTGCAGCGTTATTTTCACAACCTTCGCCGGCTCAGTGAATGTGCCGAGAACGGGTGCGATTTGACCACCGCTCGTACCAACATAGAGCACATCACGATCTTTGCTCAACCGCGTCGATGTGGGACCCGGCATCTCCATTGAGATCTGACCACCTGCAACCAGGGCGATTTGGCCGAGGGGCGTGATACGGACAACACCATTCTGAGGGTCGGTGGGGATATACGCAGTTCCATCGGGCGTGAGCTCAATGTTATCCGGCAGGAAACCGCTGGCAATGACCTCATAGTCACCAACCGCGTTTGCTTCCTTGTCGACCTTGACGCGGCAGTACTGCATGCGCGTGGTGCTGGTGTAGTACACATATTCGCCGAGGACGGTGCAACTGTTGATACCGAGAGGAAGCGGGCCCGGAGCCGCCGTCATGGTGGTATGGTTCAATGCGACGGCATAGTCTCCAGTCTCGGTGTCGACCTTCCAAATGACACCCATGAGGCTGTCGGCGACCAAAACCAGGTTGGAGTCCTGTGCGAAGGTAGCCATGCCGTTCAGGGCCAGGGATTCGGGTACTGCTGCGATCTCTGAGGCAGTGGGCCCCGCCAGAGCGCGCTCATCTTGGGTGGCATTCTTTTTGCTGAAATCCAACTTCTGAACACTGAACGAGCCAGCAGTGGGCTGGTAGGTCTTGGAATCGAAATCTCCGATAACGACGGCGAACACGTCGTCTGCGATCTCGCTGATTCCGAAGCAGCTGGTCACGTTGGGGAACGAGTGCACGAGGGTCGCATTTCCACTGGTAGTGTTGACTTGCCAGACCTCTGGGGTATCAAGGCGCGTGAGGAGTAGGTTTCCATCAGATCGAACGACCATGTTGTCGATCCACGAGCCATTGTTGGGGAATTGGAATAGCGTCTCGACTTTGACCTTGGGCTGATCGTTGTTATACGGGCTTTCCGGGACCTGCACAGAGTTGTAGACGTCTGATGAGGGCCAAAAGGCGAGAGCCAGTGGGCTGAAGGCCAGCCCACTAAGCCAGGTGGAAAAGAGGCGCATATTGAAAAAAAAAAACAAAAAATGGTGCGTTGTGTGTCCGAGGAGAGTGCGAGGTTCCCTAAGTACGTGGAAGCCAAAGCCACAAATTACTGTGCAAGGAGTTGGAATACTTGCCAATTACTGTTTTTCTTGTTCCGCCAATGGCACGGGAATTATCTCCTGGCCGAGCATTCTTGAGCAATGTTGTATGTACATGGGCCCCTGCATTCCCTGCCATGCATTTCTCGGGCCCTCGCCACACAGCAACAGACACACCACGCTCTAGATCTCTTGTTCAATGATTCCTTATGCATAACACATGTCAAGTGCGGCAGATCGCCAATGTCCACATTGCTCTATCAGGCGGGGTTCAACGTTATATTCATATTCAGCCTCACATTATTGGTGGCATTTTAATTCAAAGGTGACTCTGGAATGACTGCCCTTCAGGCATCTGGGGGTATTCGTACAGGCTTCCAGTGCTGTCGGTTTGCATAGCGTGATACCATTCACCAACGGTCTTCATGAAGATTTCCATGTTCTTGTCGTCACTCAAGTCAATAGGCTCCTGGTCGTGCGCAATCTGCAACATGTGTGCACCAGCCGCAGGGCTAGTCTTGAAAAAGTCCTGGGGATCAATTTTCTGCTGAATGGCTCCCTTGACGGTTCCTGCAAGCAAGTCTCTCGGCAAGTGAGGCTCCTGGGTGATGGAGCGCCCGAGACCAACGCCATCGACAGTATCGAGAGCTCGGACCATTCCGGAGGCTGTGCAGAATCCTCCGGTCACATAGCTGCGCGTGCGCTTGAGAGCGGGAGCAATCAGGTCCGCGAATTCCAAGAAGAAGGACTCGCGCTTTTGCGATGACTCGCGCTTATGTTGGAAGGCACCCGACTGGTACGTTCCACCAGACAGCTCGACAAAGTCAAACTTGGACTGGTCGAGAATCTCACACAGCTCCTTGGACTCTTCCGGGGTGAATCCGTGCTCCTGGAACTCAACCGAGTTGACCTTAATACCGATGACGAAACCGGGCTCTGGCAGTGCTTGGCGAATGGCATCGGCGACTTCGACAATGAGGCGGGCACGGTTGGCGAGGCTGCCGCCGTACTTGTCGGTTCTCTTGTTGGTTGTCTGAGACAGGAACTGCGCCAAAAGATAACCGTGGGCAGAGTGCAGCTCAATACCATCATAACCGGCCTTCTGCAAATACACGGCGGTGTGGACAAAACGCTGAATGATCTCCTGGATCTCCTGCTCGCTAGCGGGATGGGGCTTGCCGAATTTGCCGAATCTTTCCATGACTAGCTGAACATCACTGGCAGACACGGGGTTGGGCTGCACCCGCTCGGATGTCTGACGACCGGGATGGCTGACTTGGCCGATGATCAAGCTTCCGTGCTTCTTGGCTTCGGTGGCCAATTGCTTGAATGCCTCAAATCGCTCACCGCTGAATGGGTTCTCAAGGTCGATGATCATATTTCCGGGGGCCTCCAGCTGGTCGTATGCGATCATGATGTTCGCGGTGAGTATGACACCAAATTGACCTTCGCCCCATCGGCGGTAAAGATTGATCAACTTTTTGCTGGGAATACCACGGGCAGCGAGATCAGTCGGAGACCAAGAGGCCATTCTTTCCGACAGAGACGCCTTCAAAAAGCGGTTCGATGCCTGACGGCCACTGAATTCGAACTGCATAGGTGCCCCAAGGGGCGAAACATCAACATCGTCGCTGGGGTATCTTGGAGACATGGCGCAAAGGTATCAAGTGTTGTAATATTGGACAATGAGCCTGAATCGCAGCAACATGGCTTCTTTTATGCTCTGCCATGATTCAGGCCCACTCGGTTTCACCGTCAGAAATTTATGGGTTGGGATCCAGTATTCTCGGAGCAAGAACCCATACCAGGCATGATGTCCTTGACGGATCCACGTTTAAACCTTCACAAAGTCCACAGTTGTTCAATCTGGATATGTCAGCACTCAATTCGCCCCCCTGGCAGGGCTTAATGTTATGCATTGGCATAATTAAGCAGTCCAGGGGCACTCCATCCCCAGCCGGCGAAATAATTGCTCCGCAGGCCGTTCGGATTCCCGTGGCAAAATTGCTGTTTCGGGCGACTGAAGGATCCACCGGGGCACCAATTTTCGATTTCTAATCATTTTCACGGCCAGGAGGTAGGATTGACTGGTTCTTGGTATCACGATCAATGTTCGAGTCGAGCAAGTTGCGATTCTACCTCCGTTTCGCGATCGCGTACAGTAGAGTTGGTTTCGAAACGAATTTTCAGTCCAGTGGACGATGGTCACTCTCGGTCTCTACCTAGTATTTGTTTGGCCCAGACAATTCCAAGGTTTCGATGCCTCCAGGAAATAGGTATACTGTAGTTTCAATGTTACCCTTCGATGTTGATCTCGTAAACCTCAGTCTTTTAAGGGTCTGCGGGCGGATGAGTGGTCTGCATTCCTGGCTCTAGTCCGACAAATATATATCTCTACACCCTTGGGGTACCTAGGGCGATTCCTTTCGAGACCAACTTTGGAAATTCAGCGCGTGAAAACAAGGGAAAAGCATTCTAAGAAAACATTTTCACCGTCTGAATTCTCCTGCCAAACCCAGGTTTATGTCCAGGTAAGTGAAGTGCCAGGTGAGAAACGCGCAGTGGCAAAAGACCGAACTCAAGAACCATATAACCGAAGAAGCCGAGCCCCACCTCTCCAGGAGGAAAGATGCACTCTGTCTCTCAATTGTACTACTTATCAAACTGGAAAAGCCGATTCTCTCGCTATCTACGTATCAAGAATGGAAACCGAAAGCCCAGAGCGCCCACGCACGCGCGCAAAGAAGGCGTGCCTGGCATGCAACTCGCGTCGCGTCCGGTGCAACGTCCTCGAGATGCAGCCCTGCCAAAACTGTGTATCGTGGAACCTCCCTTGTGAAGTAGGCATCTCACGACGCGGAAAGTGAGTTGGAGCCACTTTGCGACGACGACATAGTTCTCATCCGGTCTAGGTATCCCCGCCGAAAGAAAAAGGGATCAGCTCGGGCATTCACCAAGTCAACCGATAGCTCTGCTAACGCATCTGAGACTCCGCCTCTACAGCAGGAGCAGCTCTCATTGAATGGCCAATGCGCAAGGTATCCACCAACACGTCTCGCAACAGTAGAGGACACGATCCATAAAACCGTGTTCCTGGGCGAGTCCAGCCCCCTTACTTGTGTCGTGGATGAAGGTCGCCGCTCTCCCGATAAAGGGTATGCACGCGGTAGCCAGAAAGGTCGGCTACACTACTCTATTTCAGAGATCAGCGCCGCGACCGAAAATAGTCCCGACTCCCTTGGCCCCCGTCGCAAACTACTGCATGATCGCCTTACCCGTGAAGGGGCCTTGATCTTCCCGTCACCGGCTATTTGCGATAGCCTTTTTCAGGCCTATTTTGACTGGCTCCACCCCTGTTTCCCAATCTTGGATCGTGCGACACTGCAGAGGGGCTATCAAGATGGCACATTATCTCCACTCCTCATGCAGTCCATGCTCTTCATTGGGGTGAGCCTGTGCTCTGACATAGCCCTGAGCACCACAAGTCTTGGCGAACGATACCAAGCAAAAGAGGTGTTTTATCAAAGAGCAAAATACATCTACGACTCCGGTTGGGAGACTGATACAATTACTAAATTGCAATCGTTGTTTCTACTGAGCTTCTGGCGTGGAAGTCCGACCGAAGAGCGCGATGTACGATTCTGGCTGGGAGCCGCTATCAGCCTTGCTCAGAAAAAGGGCATGCATGTCATGTATTCAATTTCTCACCGCGATCCATATGTCGAGATTAGCTAACTTCTGCAGGTCTAAGCTGTCATTTCTTAATGTGAATGATCAAAGAGTCTGGAAACGAATGTGGTGGGCTCTATATGTAAGAGGATATTCTCGATTGTTTGACTATAAGCATGTTTAGCTGACAATCCGAAGGTGCGCGATCAACAGACATCGGCAGCACTGGGATTGCCTCCTCGAATACGCGACGAGGACTGCCAAATAGCCGACCTGGAGGCGTCCGACTTCGAGGAAAGTGAAGCGATTGGACCATCTGAAATTTTCAGAGCACCTCCTGATGTTCACGTATCATACGTGATTGGAATGGCTCAACTAGCTCGATTATGTATGGAGCCTCTACCTCATGAATCTTTGCTACGAACTAAACGACCAAATCTAGTACGCGAAGTCGTCTCCAGTCAATACTTGCCTGGCCGATCCAAATTGGAGAATCCACAACGGCCCTTGCTTCACCAAAGACTTGTTGATTGGGAAGCAGAGCTTCCAAAAGAGATGCATTTTCAAATGCCCATGAGCAGAGAGGCAATGTTCCTCGTTGGAATGCTTCACATGGCCTATAAGTATGTGGCACTCTTCTGATCAAGAGCACTTGACCTGAAAGCTAACTTGAATAAGCAATCTCTACGTGCTTCTTTACAGACCACTTTTCTTACAGCCTCCAGGACAAACAACCAGCCCAGAAGGCAATATGGCGCTCGATGCAGCAACAAGAAGCACTCGAATTCTGGAAGACATGCTTTCAGAGAATCTGGTCCAACACGGGTCACTTCACCTGTAAGTTCCAATGATTCGGCAATGAATATGGTCTCACAAAATCAGAATAACGCACACCTTCTCCGCCCTATGCATCCACACCATTCACTTCGGTCGCGTGACCGGCACAGCACGTAAATTGGCCGAGCACAGGGCGAAGCTCTGTTTGTTGGGACTCAAAGAGCTACAAAAATCCTGGGACCTAGAGAATTGGGTGCTTGATCTATTCTTTCGTTGCTTGGATGATCGCACTGCTCGGGATCTTCGACTTGCCGACGTGAACATCCCCTCGTCAACAACACAATCGCGTGGTGAGACTGCGGAAATAGCACCAGTCGCATCTATTAGCGATCAATCCCGGCATTTGTCGCCCCATCCAACAGAAAACATACTGGCAACACCTCAAATACCCACCAACAATAGCCTTGCGGAGGAGGCTGCTATCAATATGGATTGGTATGAGCTTTTCAATATGGAAGGCGATGATGTTATGGGTCTTGCTGGGTCTCTGTCTAATCCGGATTATCTGAATCCACAGAACCTTGAGTTTCTGTATCGATTCTTATAGTGAATGCAAGCCGAGAGTCCTTGATTTGATAGATTATATGGTAGACGATAAGTCTGCCTTTAGGATACCGTGACACGAGGAATAAATGGTATCATTCCGATATGCCCAGTTCCGCAAGAATGGCCTCGTTGTGCTCTCCAACACTGGGTATCGAGCCCATCTGAGCACTATTGGCACCGCCTTCTAGCGATGCAATGAATCCAGGAGGCAACAGAGCCGGTACTGCCCCAACAGGAGTCTGCACCTTCGTCCAGCGATCGCGCGCTTTAAGCTGAGCGTGGTCCCAGACATTCTGCATGTCATTCACGCTAGCGTTCGCGATCGATGCCTCGTCCAACCGGGCAATAACTTCATCGACGGTGAACTTCGAGAATACATCATGAATGATTGCTTTGAGTTCGTCTCGGTTCTGAGTCCGTTGAGAATTACTCACGAATCGAGGATCTTTAGCAAGATCCGGCAGTGACAGAACCCCGTTACAGAAGTTCACCCACTCCCGCTCGTTTTGTATGCCCAACATGACTGACTTTCGATCACCTGTGTCGAACGGTCCATATGGGTAAATGGCCGCATGTGAGGCACCTGCCGGGACCGGACCAGGGGCGTTGTTGAACGCATAGTACATCGGGAACCCCATCCACTCTACCATGCATTCTAGCATAGAAATGTCGATATGACATCCCTGCCCGTCTTTTCCGCGCTGCAGCAAGGCTGATAGAATATTGCTGTAAGCGTACATTCCGGCTGAGATGTCCGCGATGGAAATTCCCACTTTCACTGGCTCTTTTCCAGTCCCTGTAACAGAAAGCATGCCCGCTTCACTTTGGATGAGAAGGTCATATGCCTTTTTGTCGCGGTAGGGGCCGTTCTGTCCATAGCCGGATATATCGCATACGATCAGACCAGGATGCTTTTCCTTCAATGAGTCATGAGAAAGCCCAAGTCGTGAACTAGCACCAGGTGCGAGATTTTGAACAAGAACGTCGGCCTTTTCAAGAAGTTTCATGAGAATGGCATGGTCTTTTTGATGCTTGAGGTCTAGCGCCAGACTCTCTTTTGAACGATTTGTCCAAACGAAATGCGACGCGAGCCCATCGACGCGACTATCATACTGTCGAGCGAAGTCTCCAACCCCTGGCCTTTCGATTTTGATGACTCGTGCGCCAAGATCGGCAAGTTGACGAGTGCAGAACGGTGCGGCGATGGCTTGCTCAAGGCTGACGACTGTAACGCCAGCAAGGGGAAGAGGTCGTTTCGCGCTAGTGGATTTGGTAGAAGAGAGGCGAGACTGACCATTCAACGCTGCTAGAGGTGGGAGAGAGGTTGACCGGGTCAATGGCCGAGAGGCAAGCGAGAGAAAGAGCCTCATTGGGACCGGGTATTTTCAAGGTTGATATGAGTACAGATTTCGCAGTGGTATGTCTCTTAATACCACTATTTCCGTTGCCCAAGGATTTTGATGAGCGTTTGAACCTGTTCTATATAACGCGGGGGAGACATCGGTCGAAATGCCGACCTAAAGCCGGGGATGCCAAGCCCGGCGAGTCGGCTACATGGGGAGCATGCCGGTGAGGGAATGGGTACAGTCTTTAAGAGTCGATCTCAACATGCAAGTCAACTATGCTGCTAGACTTGAGTCATGAAAGGTGTATCCTCTGAAATGAGCGTCCACATTACTTCAAGTTTGAGTTGCGACAGTCGCGAGACTAAATTGTCAGACTAACTCCACCCCTTTTTTTGCCGTACAAAACCCCTTTGCTCATTCTTTTGCTTCGTACGACACGAAAATATGCGCATTTGTCGGAGTTGACTATGCACTTCAATCCCAATTTGCCTCACACGCGTAGTCTTATCCGGCGACTTTCATTCCAGATTGGTGAAAATGACCGCTGCTAATTTCGAACGATCCCGATCAGATTCGTGTGAATCGCGAGTTGCATCCTTCCTAGTTCCGATCGCGAATCCAAGAATAGAGTGCGCTGATAGGAAAGAAACGTTACCCATTGAAGCCAGAGAGAAGAGACTTCGAGGAAAAGCAACAAGAAGTCTACATTACTAGTAGATGTGGAATACGTGTGAATCTGATGTACCTCGGTACCGTGCACAGCGCAAGCTTGTCAAGGTCAGACCCATGCCAACCATGTCGACTTGGTCGACTCTATCTACTGTAACATTCAACCTTGAATCAGCAACATAAGAAGAAATATTTCACGATCATGCAGACCTAAAATATCACCATAAGATGTGAAACTACTCAAACTTGAAACTTGAAAGGGACCAATTTTGGAGAGACGATCATCTCCGCAAAGCGGGGATCGGCGCTACCCCCCTGCGGGCACTGACTGTTGGCCAGGGCTGTCCACTTAATTTCGTACCTTAAACCAGGAAAGAGAAGAGGGTCCTGCCCAAAGATTTGACCTCTGACGCCGAGGTGTCAAATTTTGAGGATGTGACATGAAATACGAGGGCCGAGGTTGGTCCGTTCATGTGGATATCTCTTCGCATTGAATAAGAGCGCATTTCCATCGAGACTTAGGGTTTTTCATCTCTTGAACACACAGATACTGCATCATGGCTCCCGATCCCAAACTTTCCGGACACCTCGGCCATCTGACCGGCGAGCAAGAAGCGAAATTGCGCGAGTTTTGGTGCATACTTTTCACGTCCGTCGCATCGGTCCTGTCCGCAGTTTATGAGGTCCCCATTCCGGATGGCCCTCCGAGTAAGATATTTGAAATCCTGGACAGGATTGAAGAGCCAACAGTGGATGCAATCACTTCTGCACTAAAGGGAATAACCTTACAAGAGTCGAACGGAGCTTCCACGGAGACAAATGGAGATACCAACGGTCACACCAATGGAGAAGGGGCAGAGGCTAAAGCTGCGGAGACAATCGTCATGTCCGAAAAGGCAAATCAAAAAGTCACGCCAGAGCACTTCGCTTCTCTCCTCGCTGAGCTCCGCAAGCTTGGAGTGCAGGACTCTGAGATCAAATCCATGGAGAGTATCCTATCCCAAATGACGCCGAAAGAGATGTGTTACAATGTTTTGAAAATGGTCAAACAGGAGCACCCTGATAGCTTACTACTGCGCTTCCTGCGAGCCAGGAAGTGGGACGTCGGTAAAGCATTTTCCATGATGGCTTCCACCATTCTCTGGAGGAAAGAGATGGAAGTCGACGATGAGATTCTGCCTCGTGGAGAGGCATACGCACTAGAGCAGTCCCGCGGAAAGGGGGTGTCTGCAAAGGAAAAGAAGGAGGGAGCTGATTTGATCAACCAGCTCAAGATGGGCAAGAGCTTCCTTCACGGCTTTGATCGGGAGGGCCGCCCCGTGAATTATGTCCGAGTCAAGATTCACAAACCTGGTGCTCAGAGCGAGCAGACCCTTGAGCGGTATATTGTTCAAGTCATTGAGTCGACGCGACTTATCATTGCTCCTCCTGTCGAAACGGGTGTATGTTGTCTTAAACTGCAAATGGGGATTGGTGCTGATATACGTATAGACAGTTGTTTTTGACATGACAGGATTCGGACTGTCCAATATGGTAAGGACCTTAGATATCAATGTCTGATACCCCGGGGGATGAGTATGCTGACCACTCGATAGGAATATGGTCCGGTGAAATTCATCATCAAGTGCTTTGAAGCAAACTATCCGGAATCTCTCGGTCTACTTCTCATCCATAACGCACCATGGGTATTCTCCGGTGGGTCAATACAGGGCATTCCGCGAAGACCAGAAGCTAACATAGCGTTCTAGGAATCTGGAGATTGATCCAGGGCTGGCTAGACCCGGTTGTCGCCTCAAAGATCCAGTTCACCCGCTCCGTTGCCGACCTCGACAAATACATTCCTCGGAACCAGATCCCCAAAGAGCTCAAAGGTGACGAAGACTGGAATTATCAATACATCGAGCCAGTAGAGAATGAGAATGCGCCCATGCAAGATACGGAGACGCGAGACTCACTCATGCTCGAGCGCACCAAGATCGGCACTCGGCTGCTGGGCGTCACAGCAGCCTGGATATTGGCTACTACGTCGAATGAAGAGTCCTCGAAGGTTGAGGGGCTCAAGTCCAGACGTGATGCGATCGTCGAGGACTTCCGAGTCAATTATTGGAAATTGGATCCTTATATCCGGGCGCGGGCGCTCATTGACCGGAACGGAATGCTTCTTCCCGGTGGTCAGCTTTCAAGGGGCGTTATCGAAGGCCAGAAGAGATAGATGGACCCGGAGATAGACTTCATTGAATAAATTGAAGAGCATTTGATCTGCATCCGAGAATGGAGCAGAAGTTGCTCTTGTGAATATTTGAGGCTCGCTCTTGCACTCCGAATGAACCGAGTGATGGCCACATATTTCCGAGGTAGTGTCATTAGTAGTAGAACAAGAAGATTGCATCCTTGGTAGTGACACTAGCCACATAGGAGAGGAAATGAACTTTTAGTTTCATTCAGGCATTGAGCTTGTGGGAGATCAGTTCGGATTATTTATCCGTTTCCGGTAGTGTTCCCGGCGGAAGAACCACGGAAATCCGGGCCAGACTTCAATGAAAGATTTAGAGAAAACATTGGAAATTTGCGAAACAAATCCCGGTGGGATTCATACTGTTTATAACTACTCCGTAGGTTAGTGAGAACTGGGGGTTGGTTACGATTCCGAAGTTGTAACCTTCGGGAAACGGGCCGACGGAAAGATGTCCCAAAATGGTAGTGATCCCACCGGAACTTTATACACTCAGTGGAAGACTCACAATCTCTATATAACTCTCCAGCTTTCTCTGGCAGATTGAGATTTCCAGATCATCAACCAAAATCATCTCTTCGAAATCCTATCCAAACAAAATGTCTGACAATACTATCACCGTCACTTTAACCCAGATCGCTAAGATGATCGACCACTCTCTCCTTCACCCCACGATGACCGACTCCGCCATTCTTGCTGGTCTCCAGATTTGCAAAGAAAGCAATGTTGCCACGGCCTGCGTCAAGCCCTATCTCATTCCTCTCGCCAAGAAGGAGCTCGCTGGCTCCGACGTGAAGGTCTGCCCCGTGATCGGATTTCCCCACGGAAACAGCACCACCGAAATCAAGGTCGCCGAAGCCATCGCTGCCACCGAAGCCGGCGGTGCCGAAATCGATATGGTGATCAACATTGGCAAGGCTCTTGGCGGCGACTGGGACTATGTCTCCCATGAGATCGATGTCATCAATCGCGCCGTCGTCAGCCGAGGTGCCATTCTCAAGGTCATCTTCGAGAATGATTACCTCCAATCCGATGAAATCATTCAACTTTGCAAGATCTGCACCAGCCTCGGAGTCGCATTTGTCAAGACCTCAACTGGCTACGGCTTTGTGAAGCAGAACGACGGCTCCTACAACTACCTCGGAGCTACGGTCAAGGACCTCAAGCTTATGCGCGAGCACTCCGGCCCCAGTGTGCAAGTCAAGGCTGCAGGTGGTGTTCGCACCCTCGATGATCTGCTGCATGTCATGAGCTTGGGTGTCACTCGGATTGGCGCAACAGCGACCACCGCAATCCTCGATGCTGCGAAGGCTCGCGGCATCGGTGAAGAGCCAGTGACTGTTTCTTTCAAGCCAATGGTTGAACAGGCTGGCGGCTATTAGTTGCATGGGTTCAAAATCTGCTTTTATTTTACATGTGACTGTTTTGATTTTCAATCTTTCTTGTTTCGCAAGTGGGGGGTCTAGTTTCGCGCGTTGAAAACTTGGAGTCATATAAATCCATAGCTCGAACAATATATACGAACTTATCGTGGTTTGACTGTCAGAATCTAACACTCTCGCTGCAGGATTGCGGTCAAAGGTAAAATGGAGTTTTCTTGAACCATTTACCGATGACTTCCAGCTATAGGTAGGTAAGATATGGTGCCTCTTTATGCAATCGTTTCCCAGGACCTCGGGAAGACCATATCTTAGAGGTAGACACAACCTTGGAAATGCAGAGTAGTAGCAACGCCAATGATCAAAACGGAAATTGATTATCAGCTAAGAAATCTTTTTTTCTGCTGACTTAAAGCAGAAGGGAAAGAGAGGGGAGAAAAATGAAAGAAATCAAACAAACACCGTAAAGCACTTTGGTTAGGTCCACGGGTGTCCGCCTGGGTGCCCCAGGGACCAGGGTCACGGGGGGCCTTACTCAGCTGCCCGGGTGGAGGGGCCTCTCGCCCACGATCTTTTTCACTTCCAACCCCCAGGACACACGTCAACGAACCGGAATGGAGCTTGGTCTTGCTTCGAATGGTACCGATGGCTTATTCCATTATGGGTAATTAGCTTCACACAGCCGAGATTTCTCATTGTCTATTTCTCCGCTGCAGCTGCAGCTGCAACGTCGACGCGTCGGATTGAAACATGGCGACCCGCGGGAAACGAACCAGAGTAGGACGCGCCTGTGAGAGATGTCGGCGCCAAAAACTGAGAGTTCGTCGAATATGTCCCGCTTTTCGGGTTTCTGACTCCATTGCTAATGCCTGCGTAGTGCGACATCCAGCGCCCGTGCACACTCTGTGTACATGCGGGCACTGAATGTGCGACGGGGCCTCAGGACCAATTTCGAGCATTCCAGGCACCCACTCAAGATTCCGTGAGGAAACGCTCTCGGCGACAGAGTGCTTTATCTCAAGAGAGACAGTCCCAAGAGAGACAATATGAGCCTGGTGAGAATGTCGATCAACCCTGGTCTAGCTCAACCATGTCACTTGTAGCAGGTGTAAGTGTGCCGCACTGAAAGCCTGAGCAACACGACCTAACACCGCAGGCGTTTGAACTGCACAACTCTGCCACCCCAGATACGTCGATGACAACCGCTATGCCTGGAGGCCAAGATTTGCAGGGTGCATCGGAACGTCCTCCAAAACCAGGTATCCCACAGCAGCAGCATAGACCCGGAAGGATTTATTCTACAAATCCACTGTTGCAACAGTCAAGATCGGTGACGACCGAGCTCCTTTCACTTCTCCCTTCCCGAGAGGTTGCTGCCTTGCTGGTTGATACCTACTTCGATCGGGTACACTGGTTCATGCTCATCTTTCATCAACAAGACTTCAGAATGAAATGGCAGCTGATGTACGACCCTTCAGTCGACAGCACCCCGGGAGGAAATCCCAACCCGGGGCCAGTGAGCACTTTTCTGATGGTGATTGCAATCGCTCTGCAATACAGCGGAAGCCACAGGCAGCAAATACTGCAGACGCATAATGTTGATCCGACTGCTATGAAGGAAAATATTCTGTCAGTCATACGGTCGAAATTGCTAGACATTGTTGCCTCTCAGTCTATAGAAGCTGTGCAAACCTGCGTTCTTCTGGGCACTTATTACCTCTATCATGGAAGCCCCAATCTTGCGTGGCCAGTCTGTGGGTGCGGTCTTCGTGTCGCACAGGCGTTAAGACTACATCGCAGATTGCCAATAACATCTCCAGTATCGCCCGAGTCACAACAGCTAATTGAAACCCGAAAGCGCTGCTGGTGGGCTATCTACGAGATTGAGACGTTCTGTTCGATTTCATACGGTTATCCGCATGGCATTGTCGACGCCGATTGCAACGTGGAGCTTTTGGATCCGTTGGCCACGTCACAGGGCCAGTCCCCTGCCAGCTACAACGAAGTACACATGTGTCCGGCAACTCTGCTATCATACAAATACCTGATGTCCAAGCTTTCTGTCTTCCTTAAAGACGCCTTGACTGAGCTTTACGGGATCGGGTGCCACAAAGCCAGTGACCAAAAGGATCGAAGTCTCTCCGCTCGATTTGAAAACCTTCTACAAAAGGTTCCTAGGCTAGATGGTCGACTCGAACGATGGAAGGCAGAGATTCCTGGTCCACTTTGTTTCGATCGGTTCAGTCCCGCAAGTTATGCATCTGTGGAGGAAATCGACCGTGATATTGGTGCCTCGGGTCCGAAATTCGAGACCCACGTGTATCAACTCCAAGCACTTGCTCTCGCCCTTGCATATGATAATGCGAAGATACTTATCCACAGACCTCTCATGGCATACCGAGAGAAGCTATCACATAATCATACTCCAGCAGCTCTACCTCATCCTTCAAAAAACTCATCGCATTTAGCTTTGACGGCCTGTCGAAACGCTGCAATGAGTACGTCACACGTTGGAGAGTCACCTATTTTCTCACTCGCTGCCGAAACATACGCTGCAGCCTACATCAGTATTCACACATTCACTGCTGGAGTATTACTCTGTGTTCTCAGCAGCATTGAGTCTCTTACGCCTGAATCACAGGAGTCGAAGCTAGGACTGCGGCGCATACTGAGCATGCAAGCCAAGCTCAAGTCAAAGTCACCATCCACTTTGTCGGCCCAGGGTCTGGATATACTGGAAAGGCTTACTCGCTTGGTCATGGAGAAGGAGTTAAAAGATCTTCTCGGTCAAGGTAGTGATGCCGATCTTCAGAGCAGGCGCACTGAGCCAGGAGTGCAAGAAAACTGGGAAGCTAGCCAACAGGGCCAACTGGATGCACAACTCGGTCAAATTATGGAGCCGACACATGAGCAAATCATGCCTGAGACACTCGAAGACACGGATGTTTCACAGGCATTATTTGACCTCGATCAAGGTATGCGGCCAGACTATCTTTCACAGAAAAATGATCGCTCACATGTTTTGCAGCATTATTCAACAGTGACTCTCAGATGCCCATTGATCCAATATTCTCCGACCCCAACGGACCTAGCAATGTGTTCACCCAGGAGCAGGCCTGGATCTGGGGCATGGAAGATCCGGTGGAATTCAATCAAGAGTGGTAGCAGTCGGAGGCAACCATACCCGGCTCAAGTTCACTGTTCTGCAACTGCCAATCAGACCCACCTCCTTGTTTCGGAATTCAACTGGGGTTGAAAGAGGTCATGTGCGTCGGCCATGCTCTGCGTTACCAGCCGGGTGTTTAACCGAATGTTATCCGGGCGGGTTGCTACGCTTAACTACCCGGGCCCACTCCAGGAAACTTAGCCCCACTCGTTCTATATACCGACTGACTTTGTCGTCTGAAATTATGGGCTTTATATCAGTCAGTCCGTTGAGTCTCTTTCTCATTCTTTCAAACCCATAAAGCTCTGATTTTTCCTCATCACATTGGAATTAATTTGTCGCGTGCGAGATTTCAACATGGAAAAAATCCAATACCTTTCAAACGACACAATCCACCGGCTATTGATGAGCCTCTCCAAGGAGGATATCATCAATTTCAAAGTCAAGATTGAGCAAACATTGGAGGCATATTCTGCTGGGGAGGAGCGTCAATACCAGCCCGACCCCAGCGCCGTGACCCGTCCCAACGGCACGCGAACTCTATTTCGCCCATTCACATCTGACCTAAGTGTCGGCGCAAAGCTCGTCGTCGAGCCTCCAACTCAACCAAACGGCAAAAAGGACCCCTTGCGTGGAATCCTCATTCTCCTGGATGGATCTGGGAATCCCACCGGCATCCTCGGAGCCGAAGAAGTGACCGGTTATCGGACCTCTATGAATGTCATGATACCGTTTTCCTGGAGGAAGAACGTGAGCAACATTGTCATCTTCGGTGGTGGCATGCAGGCTTTGTGGCATACTCGTCTCATATTGAGTCTGCGAGGCGATGAAGTCCAAACCATCACTTTTGTGAGCCCCATCAAGGACCAGGTGGATACATTGATCGAAACTATCTCCGAAGAGAATGCGACCCACTGGAAGTCAGATTGTACTTTCCATTTCATTCACGCTGGCGAACAGTCACAGCAAGAGATTGAAACCCGGATGAGCGACGTTGACTGTGTCTTCTGCACCACTCCATCCCGACAGCCACTTTTCCCTTCTACCTACCTGACAAAGCGAAATGGCTCCACCCATCAGCCATTCATCTCGGCGATCGGCTCTTGGCAGCAAGATATGATCGAACTGGATCCACCATTGTTGCATCATGCCGTTGTCACCGAGGGCGGGTATAATCCTGCCAGTGGCGAATCAAAAGGGGCCGTATTGGTCGATGATCGAGAAAACGCTTTAATGAACTCGGGTGAGCTGGTCCAGAGCAAGCTTCCGGCTCACGACGTGGTTGAGATCGGCCAAATCCTAGCCATGAAGAGCGGCAGACATGCAAACCTTTCCGGGGAACAAATCGAACAGACCAATCGGTTTGTTTCAGAGGGGTTCGTCGTCTACAAAAGCATCGGAGTGAGTCTTACAGACTTGGCGGCCGGTCAAGCTGTGCTAGCGTTGAGGGAGAAGAAGCAATTTCATCTGTGAGCAATCGGCAAGCCAGTCTTCCTGTTGGACCGCAACAACCTCTGAGAACACTTTGTTATGCACTAGTACTCTGTACCACTTCAAATGTTACTGGAATCGGTGAATGGCTACTTGATACAGTGTGTTCAAAGCATTCTTTACATGCAGGTATACTATTCTTAGTAACTTAGGGACCTTTGCTTTTACCCATGACCGCTCTCCATGCGGTGCTAGGGACTTGGTTTCATGACTGCCCATGAGCCATGAGTAAGCGTGCAAAATGTATGTACTGTATGCACATAGGTACTCATAAGTCCAACATCAGTGCACTCCGTAGGATATTCTAAGCTCCAATCCACCCCTTTCTCGGATATGCACAGACTGGGCTTTTTATCAACTCCATGCAACATGGGGGCGGCCCCCTATGGGGCCATATCGGCTAGCTTGCGGCCCATGATTGGGTGACATCTCGCATTTTACCATATTAGGGAGTGATCGTCTAGTGTCGATGCAAAAATGCGGACCGTCAAGGCAGACTTACCGGTGTGAATTCGAAGGCTTGGTATTGAAGGATGTTCAATGTCTTGCCAAATTGGCGAATTCCTCACTTGTTTAAGCACTATCTCCGCATGCTCCGGCGGGGGCTAGAGGGACATCTATTCGTGGCTGTACTTGTGAATCGTCATCCTCGCGCTGCGCTGTTAAAACCCCTACCTGCTGGTGATCGGCATCAGCTCAAATTAAAACGATTTCATCTCCAGCCTAGCTTATTAGTGTCGCATGCCGTCGCGATCCCCGCCCATTGACAATTGAAAATTATTTTCTCTTCTCAACTATCCTGTCACCGTAATCAAATCCCCTCGCCTTCCCTCTTGATCTCGGGTTTCATCTTTTAACGGTCGCAATGACGGAATATGTACAAGGATATGCGATCCGTCGAAATGAGTCGTGCGCAGACAACGAACAGAAATGCACGAAAAAAGCAACATGGGGCGACTACCAGGCCTGCTGTCCGGGGAATTCATTCTGCTACGATTCGGACACCGGCATTCCCAATATGATGTGCTGCCCTATGGGTAACACCAACTGCACGCAGAGTGTGCAGGAGGAAAAATCATGCGCCAACTCGACCTGGAATTTATACAATTGGAGAGGATATTTTTGCTGCGAGCAAGGACAACCGGGGTTTTATGTCAATGACAGAGTCTTAGTCGGGTGCTCCGAAGACAGCAAACCAGGAAACTCGAGTTTCAAGCTCCTAGACATTCTTTCTACTGGTCAGTGAAGCGTGCACGGACGAAATTCTCCGAGATCCTAAGGTCAAAGAAGATAGCTGACCTTGGCTTCTTTAGGCTCTGATTCAACTTCAACGACAATGTCTTCATCGACTTCTTTGTCAACCTCACCATCAACGGCATCGTCAACACCCACCTCGGCAACTTCCGGAGCGGCATCATCAAACTCAGAAAAGTCTTCGTCAACAAACACAGGCGCGATAGCTGGTGGTGTTGTTGGCGGCGTTGTAGGCGTCGCTGCTTTGCTTGCGATCCTTTTCCTCGTCATGCGCCGTCGGAAACAGCAATCCTCACCACAATCCCAGCCAATGCTTGGAGCCCAGAGCGAATTGCCATCGCCACCGGTGTATTCGGAAGCCGGAAGTGGTGAGCCGCGTAAGGAGCTTAGTGGACAAGCAGTATCAGAGTTGGGTAACAACGCTGTTCGTAGCCCACAAGAGCTGCCGACCACACGTTGATCATGAATTGAGATTGATCTTCTATACGATAATTGTGGATATGTGAAGAATGGACAACAAGGCAGGGCTGAGCTTGTCAGACTCGTGAACTGAAGCTGCTTGCTTCTACACGGTATCTTCGACCGATGCTCTTTTCTGACTTCGCCATTCAAGTATAGCACAGCCATAGGACGGCAGCGTCTGCGACAAACTGCTGCAGACAAAGGCGCTGACAGATTGAGTGAAAAAAAAACAGTCTTCATGGTGACGGGCAAACTAATTTATGCGATGGTAGCGATTATGATTGCAGCCGTTTGTCGCATCTTGTCCCTTGCTTTGACGAGAGTGGCGGTGCAGGAGCTTCTGCCCAGGTGTATTCCTGGTGAAATGAGAACGTGATAGCTGCCTGGTATAGCAGGCAGGACGATGGGGATACTGAAACGTTGCGGATAATGACGCGGACCTTATGATGCTTAGAATTCCTTAATAGAGAGCAGGCGGTGACGCCTACGAAGTACTGCGTTCATTCAATTTGGCTTCCACATGCCTCAGTAATCATGCAAAGTGATCACATCTGCTCAAAAGAGGTCTAATAACCCGGAAGGGCTACCATATACCATGAGCTGCCATAGCATTGGAAACCCACTCTGCGTCATAGAAATCTATAGAATCTGCCATAGCAGTCATCTCAGCTGAAGTCCATACAGAGCTAGCCCCGAAGCTCAATTCTGTATCAATCGCATTATTTGGTTCGGACGGGGTTTCGTTGGGATACCCTTGGTCCATAGACCTGGCGGTAAGGCTTGTGTCTGGCGATGGCAATTGAAGAAGTGTCCCATCAGGGGATGCGGCAGTTCGCCCTGGAGGCTGGGCTTCGACGGAGGGAATCTCGCGAAGAGTCAGATCTAGTTGCTGAAGCTCAGACCATCGCAGTCTAGCCACCCGGTTTCCTGCATCGACCATCTCTCGGAAGATCTCGTAGGCTCTCGCAGGCCACCACGAGCGACCGTTCATTAATTGGTGATCGATTGCTGGTCCGATGAGAAGCACGACCGTGGAAGTGTAGATTGACTCTAAGTCGAAAGCGAGGAAAGTCTCTATAAGCATTGTATCAGAAATGAAGCTGCAATTTCAGTGAGGCTGGTCAATTACCAAGCAAGCCCTGAGACTTCAAACTCATCAGGATCCGAATAGTATGTTGTGCGGACTCCAAGCACATTTGGATGAGATTGCGAACAGTCTGTGACTCGCCGAGAAATTCTGCACATGTCTCTGGTGATTCAAATCGAACCTTGAGAAAGCAAAAGAGAAGCGGCCTAGTGGCAACTATTACGCACTGATTTTGTAAGCTCCATTAGCCTTCGTGTGGTCTTTAGTACTCTCCTTTGGATATATGCTCACCTGCTGGTAGAATAAATGTAAGTAAGCCGAAACTCGAGGAACGCCACTAGCTGTATCATCTAGATACAGTGGGAATTTGCTCTGGAGTTCGTCTGCAGTACCAGCCAGGTTTGTCAATGCCTCTTTGGTACTCAACAGAAATTTTCGGTTTATTCGTCCATCGATGGCATAGACCGCTATTGAATGTTGAGAAGATATCATAAGATAGGGTGTAGAGCATCTCACTTTTATTGATCTCAGAAACACTGCGGCTCAGTTTAATGTGCATGTCTAACGTCAAGGCTCGCAGCGGAGATTCCGCAAAAGAGGGTAGGCTAGTTTGCACAAAATTGTCGTCAATTGATTGCGGCAAACCTTGGACGCAAGTCATCTGTCGGTTGAGAATATCGATCGTCCACCATATTTTGCGGCATCTCTCAACGACGTGTAGTCCTAACTCCGAGACTGGCATTGAGGTATGCATTCCGTGACTCATGGCCAATCGCATTGCTTGGCCAATCTGGGGGGATGGTTAGTTGCTTGCTCTTGAAAATAGTCAATTTAATAAAATATAAACACCGTACATAGTTGTGCGCTGCGCTCCGACAGTCCAGAGATTGATAAAATATGGCTATACAGCACAGGATTTCCGTCGATATCATTGGTGAAAGATAGAGCTGATTGTGATCAGGCAGTAATTGCATAGCTTTAGCGAAATATTCCAGCCCGGCCGGAGTGTCATCGTGGGTTTTGGCTTGAGTAAAAGTTCTCCCAAACGCCAGAATCAGAAGAAAGTGAATATACCACAAACCTGATCTTGAAATTTCGTCCGTGGCGTAGAACTCATGGAGGGATTTGAGAAAGTCGTACTCTTCGAAGAGATGGTATATTTGCCCACAACGGAAGTTGACAGTATTTGTGAGGTATAAGGCATGGTCTATACTTGGGATCGTGGGATCCTTGGTACTAGAGCCTAGTCCTGGTTCTGTTGGGCTCAAATCGTAAGCAGATCCCTCGAATATCAATCTGTCAGTTGGCAGGGTCTGCTGGTACACATGCTGATGTGCCATACTCAGTACACGTCGGGTGAATGACCAGTTCGAAGAAGTTCCGAGGTAAACTAGACCTTGTCAGTAACAGACGTTAGGCTGTTGCTAGCCGAACACACATATTCGCCCATCACTAGAAGACATAAAAGCGGGAGAGCCATTGGCTAAAGGGTTGAAAAGCCCAGGCTCAGGGTTTGCTGGATCTTGGTCTCCCGGGTTCCGGGTCTCATGAGGGATATCTGACACATCACTTCCGGGTGTTTCTTCGCGATCTGCGGATTCTGAAGGGCTGGGGTTAGCCAAGCCGGCGATGTGCTCATCAAACACTCACCATCATCGTATACGGCAGCCAAGGTAGAGTCATCGCCGTGTTGCCCGCCTGTTGCCACTGTCTGAGCAGCTCTCTGTCGTAATTCGGAGATGTAGCTGTTCCTAACTTGAGCCCCTGTAGAAAATCAGACCAGCCCCTATAGTGACTCACCCGAGTGTAACCCGAACCTTGCGGTCCATGTTGTTGAATATGCATGACAGACCGCGTGTGTTGCAGCTATCGCACGGCTTCGAGCCGGAGCACTTGATCTTCTGTCGTCTACATCGCACGCAACTGGACAACGAATGATAAGTGAAAGAAATTTTCACCCTTCCCTTTGCTACCTACACATTCAAAGATCGTTTCCGCACTTTCGGCGCGCTCCCCATTGCGGCTCTATTCTGCTTGCGGTTGCGGTAAATTGGTATGGAGCAGGGAGCGGGGAGCGAGGAGCGATTCGGACAGCAAAGTTGTTGAGAGCTCTCGACAGAGTTGGCCTATCACACAGTCGATCAAAGTGAAAGTGGAAGAGTCGAAGTGAGGAGAGTCGGTAGTGTTGCCGAGATGGACGGCGAGAGTGGAGCCCCCCGCCGCTTCGCCTGCCGGGACTTGAGAAGTTGCCACTCACTCTCGAGTTCTTGCTTCAAGGGCTCAGTTGCGGGTGATGTGTCTAATTTGGTGAGAGCCTGAATGTCTGAGAGAAGACGAAAGTCCAAAGAGTGCTCATACACCAACAGGGGTAAGGAGCCGGCACAAATTCAACTCACCTGGGACGTACCTTGAGTCAACTGTACGGATGACTCACTTCACTAAGCAATGTGAGCACCAAGTCATCGATCGCAACCTGCGTGAATTTGCTCTTTGCACTTCAACCTGAGATCTCAATTCCACCGCGGTGTCGAGGCTGCTCGGATCGGTTGTATTGCCGGGCGAATTGCGGGGCCGACCAGTTGATGCAGAAGCGGGCATATCTAAAGGGACCCACCATCATCCGGGATCGTTAGTCTGCCTTCTATGGCTGTTGGTGGGTTTTGGTCGCGGCCATCTACTACCAAGCAATCTACAATTGAGGGGATACTCTAACTGATTGGGAGCTATAAGACGGGTCCGGTTCTGCGTTGACACTTTCAAAGCATTTCTCCGGAAATCGTCCTTCTCCTTTCTCCCATTCCCAGCAACATGCCATACCAGAGATCTATCAACGTAGTCGGCTGCCACTGCGCCGGCGAGGTCTGCGATGTGATTGTCGGTGGCGTCCTGAACCCTCCTGGATGCACCACCATGTACGATAAACTTATCCACTTTCGGGATAAAGAAGATCACATACGTCAGCTTCTGATGCAAGAGCCCCGTGGTCGCCCTGCGATGTGTCTCAACCTCATTCTGCCACCCTGCGATCCGAAAGCCGACGCCGGGTTCTTGATCATGGAAAGTGATGAGTACCCACCGATGTCAGGCGGCAATACCATCGCTACTGCGACAGTGCTCCTAGAGACAGGAATGGTCAAGATGACAGAGCCCACCACCGAGATGGTCCTCGAAACACCCGCTGGACTCGTGTCTGTCACGGCAGACTGCGAGAATGGAAAATGCAAGTCCATCGCATTTGACAATGTTCCATCCTTCGTGTTTGCTCTGGACTACAAAGTAAATGTTCCCGGGATTGGAGATGTATCGGTCGACATCGCGTGGGGAGGTATGATCTACGCCATCGTGGACGCAACATCACTTGGAATCCCTATCAACCACGAAAACGGCCCGAAATTGATTGACTACGGAGAGCGCATCAAGCATGCAATTCAGAATTCCACTTTCATTCCCGTTCATCCCGAGAATCCGAGCATCAAAGGCGTCAGTATCCTCGAGTTCACTGAGCCCCTTCAGCAGAACAATATGGAAGCTGTAAACACGGTTGTGGTCTCCCCTGGGCGGTTTGACCGATGCCCCTGTGGAACAGGAAGCAGTGCAAGAATGGCTGTGCTTCATGCTAGGGGTGAGCTTGCTGTTGGTCAGAAGTTCACTCATCGAAGCATAATTGGCAGTACTTTTGAATGTCACATCCGTGGGACCCAGAAGTTGGGCGGATATGACGCTGTACTACCCACAGTCAAAGGGAGTGCTTGGATCAATTCATTCAAGCAAATGGTTCTGGACGCAAGCGATCCGTGGCCAGTCGGCTTTAGGGTGGGTGATCAATGGCATGGCGGAGCGGTATAATTACCTTTTTGGGATCGGATCAGTTCCCATGGTTGGGAAAACCTTACCGCGTCAAAAACGACGTCGGCGATAGTTTCCATGAATTCATTCAGAGACCAGTCGCCGAATAGCCCTTTCTATATCTCATCCAACGCTCCAGATTTTATGAAATATCGTTCACCTCAAAACGCCTGGTTCAGATCGTCCCGAAGTCCCGAGTCTGCATTGAGGAATGTGTGAAAATATGTTGTTAATCATCGCTCATGTCTACCCGTGGGCCCAGACCTTCTGAGTCCCCTAAGCCTTGGAATCAATCTTTCCAAGTTGCGATCTCGAGACTGTTCTCAAGGTTTCCAAGGTTTTTCCTAGGTACCTAGGTACTAGGTAGGTATGTTTTCTGAAGTGCGGACCTTGGAGTACGTGCTCGATAAACCTCTAGATTCAAATTCCAAGGTTTTACATTCTCTGCGCACTCCGAGATTTATTACTTCCAAGCCTACCTAGTAGAGGTTGTATAGACACGTCGGCGCTATTGGATTTTACAATTTCAGGTTACAGTAGAAAAAGGGGTGTAAGCAAAGTAGAATGATATATTGGTATCAAAAAGAGCATTCCATCTTTCAAGGTTCGTCTTTGTATATACATGCCAGAAGCATTGTCATCAATTCTATCACCAGGACATTGGTATCCAAAGCGGAAACGACCGAGATGAGCAAAACGTCAAAACATAAATTAGAAAACATCCAGTGTCACATATTATCGTCGCCTTCAACAACCACCGCAACACGTCCAATGTACGTGTTAATCATTTCTCGCGAACCTCCTCGACCTCATGGCCGCTGTCACTGCTGAGTCCAAGCTCATTCTTGTCCTCCTGAGTAGTGTGGTCGATGTTATCCAAACCCAGCTGGCGAGACTGCTCAGCAATCTGCTCAAAGGTGAGCTTGGGGAGGGTGTTGGCGACTCTCCAAGCCATCTTGCCTTCGACGTGAGCCTTGGCGTAGATGATATCAATTTCTTCAAGCTCACGACCGGCGGTCTCAACGTAGAAGAAGAAACCGAAGATGGCACCGATGAAGTTGAAGAGAGCGAAGAAGAGGTAGACACCCCATGGGCTCTGTCCGGCGAAGAGGGGAGTGAACATGACGACGGCGAAGTTGCAGACCCAGTTGGTACAAGTCGAAGCGGAGGCACCGATGGTACGGGTGCGGAGAGGGTTGATTTCCGGGGGGTAGATCCAGGGCAGAGGCAGGATAGTGAACGCGAAGAAGGTAATGAAGAGGAAGATACCGACGGCAGCTCCCTTGGCATTCTCGGTGTTCTGCTCGATCAAACAAGCGAATGTGATAACGAAAGAAAGACCCTGGCCCAAGAATCCAATCAAGTATAGGTTGCGACGACCGACCTTCTCAATCATGAAGAAGGAAGGAATTGTTGCAATAGCGTAGACAGTAGCGAACACACCGCCCATGATCAGAGACAGGTATTCACCCATGTGAAGGTTCTCCTGGAAGAGCAGAGTAGAGTAGTAAATAGCGGCGTTGCAACCGGTGAACTGTTGGAAGAACTGGCCAGAGCAACCAATGATCATACGCTGGAACTCCTGGGTCTTGCCTCCGGTGAAGACGGTCTTCCAGCCGGCCTGGGATCGGTTGGAGGCTTCGACATCAGCCTTGAGGAAGTTGAACTCGTAAAGGACCTGGTCGGAGTCGGAAGAGGCACCCTTGAGCTTTCCAAGAACCTGGCAAGCTTCGTTATCCAATCCTCTCTTCACAAACCACGATGGCGAATCCGGGAGAAGCAGAGCACCGACAAGCACGATGATAGCGAAGAAGATTTGGAGCGCAATGGGGAATCGCCACTGCACACTGTCGGCAACGTGAGACAGACCAAACACAACCCAGTAGGCAATGAAGGTACCACCGGCAATCATGGCACCCTCGAAGCAGACGAGGAATCCACGGTTGTGAGCGCCAGAGCACTCGGATTGCCAGACGGGGATAGTAGCAGTGTTCATTCCGTTACCAATACCCGACACAACACGACCAATGACGAACTGGCCGACCTCCCAGTGGGCCCTGAAGCAAACGGTGGTGATGAGGGCACCGATAATCAGAATACTGGCACCCATGGCGATCAGACGGGTACGACCGAGTCTGTCACCGTAGAACATGGAGAATAGGGCACCGAAGAAGCAGCCAATTTCGTAGCAAGAAGTGACACCACCGCGAATGACGTTGATGTAGTGCTCTTCCGAAGCGGTGGGCTCGGTGGGCATTCGCAGAATGGGGAAGGTCTTGACGAACTCTTTACCGTTCAGAATACCAGCCATCATACCCTGGTTGTAACCGAAGAGGGAGAAACCGATGACAGCGGTGAAAGTGATGTACAATCTGAGCGGCCGCCCGCTCAATCCGCAGGTGGACGTCCACATGTTGACGGTTCAAACAAAGATCCGTCAAACTGTGGGGGTATAAAAAAAGTTGGGGAAGACGTAGAACAAAAAACGTGGCCAGGAGGAGGGATTGTCCGTCTTATAGGACGCATCTCCATGGGGCTTTTGTTAGACGCTAACTCAATTATCCGATTCATGCTGCAATCATGGGCGGGACCCAAAGGGGAAAGTCCAGCGAACCCTCTACCTCATTGTGGGGGTCCCGCATCGGGCGACGTCGGCTTTCGCGGAGAAAGCCAAGAGCCCCGGGTCAAGCGCCAAGCTCTTGGCGCTTGGCGGGGTCCGAAATGGGCGATTTTCGTCGAGTGAATCTGGAGGCGGGAGGCCCGATTTTCGATGTATACTTCGCATCAACAGCAACATTGGTTTATTTTGGAACCCACTTTATGGCCCCCTTCAAACACGCAGTTTTAATCCCGTCTTTTCGATGTGATATGCACATTGTGCATATGCAACATCCTATCACAGTGTGCCTAGAATCGCCAAGGACTTTTCGCCCCAACATGACGTCGATTCGCCAAGTCGCTCACGGTTAGACAAGGTTTGCCTAGCTACAATGCGGCACAAGGCACACGGACCGGTGCAATCTCGCTAAATTGCTTTTCTGTGTTAAGTCGGCTTTCCGACTCACGGGGAATGCTTAAGTAGCAGGTCAACCGACTCGGCATCACCGCACCCCGCTGCATGCAGTGCAAGATCTATTACATACTCCGTAGTATTGCATTAATATCTATTGACATTGAGTCGATACGTCCCCGGGAGAGCAACCCTTCTAGTCTTTCCGTACCTCGATCCCCGGGTATTATTTTCCGGTTCGCTCTCCAGCACCCGGTAGATAGATCCGGAATACATACTAAAATGAGTTCCTGGCGTTTTTCTTGGCTTTCGTCTTGTCCCCACGCCAAGAAGGAAAAATCCCCAAAGGCGCCCGCTTTTAATCTCGCCTGGGCACTGTTCTGGTAGAATTATGGCATGGTTGAGCGTATTTCCATGGGCAGCCAAGCTCCATCAGAGCGTTTGCGGGCTTTTCGGTGCCAAAAACAGAATTTTCCTCATGTGAAACCAACAACAAGAGCCGGATTGTGGCCGCACCTGAATAAGCATCGTCGATTACTACGTAGGTGTAAGCCAGGCGTACAGCCACATCCAGTTGGCAATGACATCAGCTCTCGTCGGACTTTCCAATGCGTGTTGATGCCCAGGTCTTGGTCATTTGAGATGGGCTATGCAAAGTGGTATCGTGATGTACCAAAAGACAAAGCTCTTGGTGCGCGGTAAACCCTGCAGGGGCCGTGAGTCAGTCTGAGATGCCCCAGTTGACAACCCTGTAGCTAGGATAGACTAAATCTAGAGCCCCTGATCATCATCTCGCGCGAATCGAGTCTAACTGCTGGCCGACAGATGTTTGATTCGAGGTTCGCAGATTTTGTTAGAGCCCTTGGGTTTGTTTGAAAGCCTCATTGGGAAGGTGGGAACTCTCAGGCTGACAAGATCGGCCTGAGACATACAGTTTTTGCGACGGGCCCTCGTAGGATCCCGTTGTTGGATCTCTGGGGACGGACCAATGGTAGCCCATTGAGTACCAAAAGTCGGACATTAAAGGCCGCGTTAGTTTCAAATTACCAGTGGGCCCTTGGACATTGGTGCCCCGCGAACAAACCATGTCCGGTAGGCGTGTCCACGAATGCATCAGCTGAGTCGTGCATTGTTCGGGGTTCCGACTTCTAGAATTGCAAAAGACCAATGCGTATGAGGCGACTTGAAGGCATGTGATCCAACCGGGTATTGCTCGGCGCAGTGGATTCTGGGGAACCTGCCCCAAAATGCTGGCGTTGTACTAGCAATTCGTACTAGTAGGGACAAAGAGACACGGGGCTCGAGTAGCGCCAAGCGAAGCGCAAATGGCTTAAAGGCTTTGAAGGGCTTGAGAACGCTTGAGATGGCTTGACTAATTGCCAATAATGACGCCGGTGGCCCCGGGTGAACACGGCCCCCGCGGGCACACTGGGTCTTGGCAGGTCAGCCACCCGGCAGAATTGGTCATTGGGGGCGGTAAACCACTTCTATTCTGCCGCTTGGTACCGACCGCCAAGCATCAGGTGACTCCGCCGTCCAATGACCGTGTTTGATGAGTGCCAACTACGGTCAATAGCGGGCCTTTTGCGCTTTGTTACATTTCGCGTGCATTCAACATGTACCAAGCCGACTTGTATCACTCCAAGCGCAGGTGGCTGAAAGATCGGCATCTTAGTCTTTGTCCTGGGGAAAGCCAAAAAAAAAAAAAAAAAAAAAAAAAAAAAAACACGCTCCTCTGCTCGGTTCGAGGCCCCAAGCCCGTGCCAGGACTGTTTTATAATCTCAACGGCGGTTTCATCTCCACCGTGCACCCAAGATGCGCGATCGGCGTACTGTTACTGAATCTGACCTTCTTTCCGCGGCTGTGCGTTCCCGGGTTGAACTCCGGAGCCACTTCCCCCACGCCCCACGGAGCTCGGCGAAGCCGGTGCGGCCCCGACGTCTAAATGCAAGAACAACACCTGCGCAACCTTGGCACGGTAAAACACATATTATCCCTAGAGTCCTTTTCCGGTTTGGCCCCCTCACTGACAAATCCGGGGTCCTTTATTATTCATATTGACGGTTGCCTATTTATCCATGAATTGATTCATTGCATTTGATATCCACAAACCGAAGACGAGGCTGAAAACGAAATAACGGGTCAGGGGCCCCCGTAGCTTATTTTGTGATTGGTCATTTCTCAGTGGGAATTTTCACCTCGAGAGATAATCCTGAAGTGCTTCCGACCCTCGGGGAAGCGTGTTGATCAAAGATACCGAGTACAGAGTACTCCGTGCCCATTTCCGATATTTCCCATAGGCACCTGGGCATGTTGGCTTGACCAACGTGCCCCTCCGTAACATGTGGATTGTAATCAATCAAGATGCCCAAAGAAAAAAGAAAGAGCCTCTTCGTTGTAAGGCTTGTGTCAGGTGACCTCCCATAGCCCCCCGGGGCCTTGTGTCCTTTGGCTCTACCTGGATATAGGGCCTACGTAATAGTAAGAGCACAGGAACTGACGACTTGGGCTACCTAGGTAGAAAGGATGATGGGTTCTGTTAAAATTGGAGGGAGAGAGCGAGAGAGTGTGAGAGAGGGATTATGCGTGTGTATGAATGGAAACAAGCTTTTAGAGGATATATAGGAAGCAAATGCCACCTGATCGGATGTTGATCACAACGTGGAGATCATCTTGAGCCAAATGCAATCACTGACCACGGGTATTGATTTCCCAGCCATGATCAGCTCGCTGAGCAGAATCAAGGGGCATATTGTTTTCTTCGCTGGTACCTATGGAATACTGTAATTTGGACACGAGATAGCTTGCGGTGAACAGTAAATTAAACTCGAGCCTAATATTTGGCAACATCCAACATTGGGATTGGTTGAGAAAAGATCGAAACCTTCAAGGTTGGAATATATTTCAGATGTGACTAGTACTAGTACCAGCCCTTGTGGAATCCGCCGCTGCCATCATGGATCGAGGGGGGAATTGTCGCACTCTGTGATATGATACCGCATGAGTTTCAGCATAAACTCACCAGCCTTGTCTCAATCTAATTTTTATTGATTTCAGCAATACCGGGCGAGTTTCAAAAACATCGAGATAGTTTACGAACTACTCCGTACGGATCCCTTGCTTGGGTCTGGAACCCCACAAATACCGCCATTTGGGCGGTCTGCAGGGTCCCGCCTGGGCAGCTGGGCACCTGCAAAGATAAAATCCTAGGTAGGGATGAGAAGTTCAAGGTTCTTCATTCCAGTATTGCTTTCCACTCAACTGCCCAGCTGATTTAGTTATTCACCCGACTTGAGTCAAATTTCCTCGAAAATGGATTATAATCAAGGTATTGATCTCTCACATCAGACGCAAGAGGATATTTGGGTGGACGAGATCAACAAATTTCGATTGAATGGGCGTCTTTGCGAGTGGGTCGCTGGCTTTCACGCAGACAAAATTCCTTGCCGGCTAGTTGGTGGCTTTTTGAATGGCTCCTACAATATCGGTCAAAAGTTTCTATTTGAAGATGGTACTGCGTGGCTACTCCGTTTTCCTCGCGTGAAGAGCGTTTCCTCTAAATACGCCGACGAGAAGGTAGTGATGGAAGTGGAAGCTATTTTCCTTATCCGCGAGAAAACAAGTGTACCTGTTCCATGTATCAAAGCCTGGGGTCTCGCCGATGCCAATCCACTGGGTCTTGGTCCTTTCATCTTGATGGACTTTATCGACGGAATGCGTTTGAATGACATATTCACTGGAGGCGATTCCAGGCTACTCAAAAAGGAAATATCAGATAGCGACCTCGAGGTTGTGTACAGACAGATAGCGAACTTCATGTTGCAGATTTTTGAAATCAATTTTGAACAAATCGGAAGTTTGCCAACACCAAGGACCGGCTATTCTGCGCCTACACCCCCACTGACATGGAAGGTGCAAGAGATCGCACAGGTCGGGGGTGTTCACACTTTTGGTAAGTTTGGAAAACTCTTGCTTTCTATATTTACTAATAATAATCAAAGGTGATCGATCACAGCGTTTCTCGACAGTCACGGAATACTTCCAGTATATTATAGATCAAGACTGGAACCAACTCCGAGAACAACCAAATTCGATTGCTGGTGAACTAGATGCTATCTCCAAGTATACTTCATTGAAGATTCTGGAATCACTGATCTCCCAATTTGTTAATGAGGAGTATCAAAATGGGCCCTTCAAACTCATTTGCGACGATTTTGGCCCTGCAAACATGATCGTGAAAAGCGATGAAGATCTCACGATTGTCGGGGTTGTGGACCTTGAGTGGGTCTATGCAGGGCCGGCGCAGCTCTTCGGCTCAGCTCCTTGGTGGCTACTTCATGACCGACCGGTCAATGAAGAGTGGGATTTTTCGGACGGCAATCCTCCGGAGGCTACAAAGCGATATTTGCATTGCCTGAACATATTTAAAGAGGCTTTGGCAAATGAAGAGATGAAATTTCCCAGAAGTCAACATAAGCAACTCTCGGAGCTTGTCAAATGGTCTGAGACTTCGGGTGCTATGTATCTTCATATGCTCTTATCTGCTGGGTTTTTCGGTCCATTCAGTTTCCCTTGTATGCATCTACGCCAGTACGTCGATGGCCAACGGTGGAGAGAACGTGCCGGTGAGCTGGAGGGCAGACCAGAGGTGAACAAGTTTGTGGCTAATAAGCTCCGAGACTTGGTTGAGTATGACAAAAAGATCGAGATAATCGAGAAGCTCAGGATGCGCCTGGATCGAGGTCAGATGACCAGGGAAGAGTTTGTTGTGGCCGTCGATGAATGTATGACGTTGAACCGGTAGACTGCATTTTCAAGTCTCTGGTTGAGGTCGCCGTCACATAAGATCAGGAGCTTGCGACCAAAAGATGGCGAAGACACCTGGGCAAAGATATCTTTGAATTTGATGGGCTACTCACTCCAAAAGAGAATATGTCTAGCCCAAGGACCACGATGAACAAATGTTAAGTACTGCAAGAACTTAAGATGTTCAGTGAGAACTGAAATCTCTTATGTTTACTTCCAGGGGTTTAAGTCGAAAAAAAGAAAAAAAGATTATGTGTTCTGCTCTCTTTGCCATATCCCATATTTAAATCATCAATCATATATGTAGATACCTAGGTATGAGCTTGGCAAGCAATTATTCCAGCCCTCAGATCCCCGATGGGTCGGGCCGGACGATCCTCAATCTACCAGGGTATCACTCCCATCAAGGCGACTCCATCAAATCCATCCTCCTAGAATTAGCCAAGTCACACAATACCAATATCAATAGCACCGAGAACAACTGAGAGACAGTATTGTACACCTGGGCATGTTGGCTCAGAATCTGGGACAGGCTCCAGCGGGAAAGTTCTTGATTGGGCATGGAGCGGACATTAGGGCTTGGGGCATTCTCCACGAAAAGCCGCTCCATGTCGCAGCGCGAGAGTTTTGGAATGATCATGTACGACATGACAGGTGAGATGAGGGACTGACAACCACGAACAAGGTCAGGCTTCAAGATGAGATCATGTGTGCTCTAAACAATGTTGCCAGGGAAGGTGTCCCTAAGTCAATGAGTTAACCCAACGAGAGAATAACCTCACAAAAGTTGTTTGAGGAAGGTAGGAAGGGTGGCAGGGAATAGCGTAGCATATATCTGGTTTCTGGAATAGGCAGGGGCAGAGCCCCGGGGCCCGGCAGAGGGCATATGTAATTCGACCCGTGACTGACACCCCCAAAACTTTTCTAGGGTTTCTATTACGCTCATGACCCTCTGATCCAGTTAATTATCAATTCTTCTATTGCTTCTATGAGGTTCTGTTGAAAGCCATGATCAACCGCTTTCGAATCGCCTAGAAATTTTCATTGGAAACATTCTCAGCCCCTCTCCTTTGCAGCCATCATCCTGAAAGCCTTGTTGCCTCCAGTATCCTTTGTTAGTGAGGCTTTCTCGCAAGTCTAATGGAGTCTGGCCTGAATCATCTCTTGCGTTCATATCAGCTCCTTTCTCAAGTAGCAGCTCGACGACTCCCCTATCCCCTGTCGTAACTGCCCAGGAAAGAGGTGTTCGGCCTGTCTTATCTCGCGATTCCAGGTCGGCTCCGTTCTCAAGTAGTAATCTTGTCACAGATCTAAGGCGATATTTAACTGCCCAGGAAAGAGGTGTTCGGCCTGTTTCATCCCGCGATTCCAGGTCTGCTCCGTTCTCAAGTAGCAATTTTGTCGCAGATAACGAGTGTCGTTCGACTGCCCTGAAAAGAGGTGTTTGACCTGCCGTATCTTGCGATTCCAGGTCTGCTCCGATCTCAAGTAGCAAATCTTTTGTATATGTATAGTCACGTTCGACTGCCCATGAAAGAGGTGTTCGGCCTGATTCATCTCGCGATTCCAGGTCTGCTCCATTCTGGAGTAATAGTTCAATAGTATCCAGTCGAGCATCAGTAACAGCCCAGGAAAGTGGGGCTCGGCCTGTTTGGTCTCGCGATTCCAGGTCTGCTCCGTTTTTGAGTAGCAGCTCAACAACATCCAAATCAGCATCGATGATAGCCCAGGTAAGCGGGGTTCGGCCTGTTTTATCTCGCAATTCTAAGCTGGCCCCATTCCTGACTAGCTTTTGGGCAACTATACTTTGACGCGCCCTCAAAGCCCAGTGTACGGGTGTGTAGCCGTCATGGTCTATCGCATCTGGATTCTGCTTGGAATTGAGGAGTTGATCGACGGTCTCGCTCAAACCAAAGTGAGCTGCGAGATGAAGACCTGTAATCACGTGGATATTCAATGGACTTGTCTGGCAGGAATATCGAGAAATTTCATCAACCGAGGGAACATCAGGGATGGGTATATCATCCAGCGAGCTAGGTTCCTCTGGGGTATGATTGACAAGGCTCTCCTGTTCGGTTCTATCATCCCAGTCAGAGCCCCACTTGGAGCCATTGGCCTCATAACCATCATTCCGGGAGCCACGACTCTCAGATGCAACATCATAGTAGGAGGAGCAGTAGGAGGGGCCAGAGAAAGAGAGACTTGGGCCGAGCCACATGCTTAACCAAGGCCGATATTTTTCTATAAAAGCTTGGGCAGAGGCAGACACTTTGTGACCATTTCTGAGAAATTCGAGGGTAAGACTTGCTGATTCGATCTCCGTTCCGCGGGCATGAAGCCCCCAATATTTTGATGAGTACTTATAGAGTGCATAGTGTTGGCGCCGAGCTGCAAAGTCCTTGCGATTTTGACAAAAACCACTGTCAAATATATCGAAACACAGATATGTAACACAAGTCTGGGCTAACATCGCCTGGGCATTAGGGAAGAATGAGTCTTGATTTGTTTTGAAATAGACTTGTGTGGTGTAGTGAGCCAAACGAATGCTGTCGCTGTTCTCGTCTACCATGACTAGACCTGCGCAAACGGATACTATATCTCTGATATCTGGCATATTGTAGCGATCCAGTTCCCGTGTGCCCAGCTTCACCGCCAGGGCCTCGCGGAGTTCCTGGATTTCAAGGGGCCTGATGGCATGAGTGATCCATTTCAGAGTTTCCATTGCGAGGTTTGAGGCATCCCGATTTTGAGCCTTGATCCGCTCCATGGCATTATCATATGCCTGGTTGTATGCCTCAATTCCTGAGCGAAGAGCACTCAAAGATTCCATCACGGCCCTGGGTGTCAGTTTTGATTTGATGGTGGCAAAGTGGAGTTGCGCTAGCAGAAACCTAGAAAGGTCAGATCTTATCCTGTCGTTTGAGAGTGATGAAGGAAACAGACATTCCATCGACAGATCTAGTAATCTGAGTCACTATTTCTTGCTTGTACAAAATGAGGATTCCCGATCCCGCTTGGGCAATGCGGCCGTATAAATAGGTTTCCACATCACTTTGATCAGCGCGGATCTTCAACTCCACGCCGCGAAATCTCTCCGCGATTTCTGGGATCGGCCGGGAAGTAACCAGCATCTTTGAGTGGCTTGTTTTCTCAATCCTGTGAATGTGAAGAAGATGATCTATGAATATGTTTTGACAGTCATTCGATTTCTGGCATTCGTCAAGCGCGTCGATAACCAGGAAGACCGTTCTGTAAGTTGCTATCACAGATTGGATACACTTTGATAGTTCCTCAAGTGAGGGTCTAGTCCGTGCCGGCTCATGGTGGTCGTAAAGTAATTTAACGCTTTCAGGCAGAGAGGATTGGCGTTGAGCAAGTTGCTTGAGAATACTGGCTAGCATGTGCCCAACACTCTGTTGATCTTCCAGTCGGAAGTCGCAAAAGACATATGCAAGGCCAACAGTGGGGTCAATCGAGCATCTAGCAGTAAGGTCTTCAACCACTATAGAAGTCAATATTGTCTTCCCAGCTCCAGGCATTCCTGGACAGAAAAGTATCTGCGCATCAGAATCTCGCCAATTCTTGTACTCCGTTGATTCGAGGAACCACATTCCGGTTCCTGGTTGCCTTCGGCTAAGATGATCGCTCTGTTGAGGGCCATAATCGAATTTCGTCAGCCAATCAAGGATTTGACGGTCTTTCCAGCTAGTAAATGTGGAATTCAAGCTCGCAACATGAGATTCGGTCTTGTATGTATTTTCGCCAACTATATAGACTGTTAGTCAATAAGCTCATTTAAAGGCCGGTGATAACTAACTGTTCGAGATTAATTCAGTGATTTTCTTCTCCTTCTGGATGTTGGCCAAAGTGAGCCTTCTGAGAAGATCTTTGGCATAGGAGGCAGCAGTCATTGCTGCATATCCCTGCCATTCCATGTTCTTGTGGGAGTCTGCATAATCGCATATGCCACGAATAACCAAGCAGGGAAAGTGATTCATCAGCCCTGCTGCTTCCATCTCAAAGCATAGCACACCCATCTCAGTACTTAGTTTGTCTCGGATTGAAGCATCTTTCATCAATGTATTTGCCGAAGCGATAAGGTCATAATGAATGGCTGGATCGTCATCCTCTTCGTCTCGTTGCTGCCTTGTCACCAAGTGGGACACTGCATCCCCACAGACTACCGAACAGTCCTCTCCATCGGCCTTATGGACGAACGTGCTTTGATACAGTCTGTCGCTGCCTGGGTCGGGACGCTTGTACTTCTTTCGGAGTCTCTTTTTCTTCTCCAGAATAGCGTTGATAGTTTGGTCAAAATCATGGCCGTCGCTCTCGTAGTGGCTTTGGAGCTGGACCACTGCCGCTCGTAGTGCTTCTGGTGGCTGATTCAGGAACCCTGTCTGTTGAAAGGCTTTCTCTTGCAAGCTTTTGCCGAAATCATGCTAGAAAACTCCGCCTTTACCATCTCGAGGCGAGCTGACGACAACATCACCCAATCGAATGTCACACTTCGCACTGGGAACCCCACCACCGATACCGACCATCAACCCAATTTTGACGCTGGGAAAGCTATGGAGCAGACTTTCTGCGACTCGTGCTGCGGAGGATAATCCGTACTCCCCATCGGGCAACACAGCAATAACCACATTGTGCTTGTCAATCTTGCCGAGTGTGTAGGCGTTGTTGTCATTGGCTGATAATGAGTCTGGCTCGTCATGTACCTCGTCGAGAAACTGTTTTGCAGCAGTATATTCCGTTGTAATAGAGCATATCCAGCCGATGGCGTACGCTTTTGGGTCTGACATGATTGAATACCCAAGCACCGGGGGGAAGGCTCATCGAGAACCAAGTAGAGAGTGATCTGACTACTGCTGGGGGCAAGAGTTCAGAGAAGAGATTGCTTTTCCTGAGAGAGAAAAAGAAAACGAAGGGGGGGAAGCAAAGACACCTGGGCAGTAGAGAGCGCGAGCTATCTGGGGAACAGCTAGGGTCACCTGACCGGAGGGTGCGCAGCAGAAAGTAGTTAGTCGATGAAGGAACTGTCCCGAGATCTCCTAAATTTCTTCGTCAGCTGAATGAGGAACCCCCCACCAATTTGACACGCCACTCGACAGGGGGGTTATGCATCCTCTCGCGAGGGCTTTTTAGTCGTGAACGCAGCCACCCTGAGAAGCGTCAACAAATGCAATACTGAATATTGCGCAGGCCTGTAATACAGCACCATCATCAAGCGCTTTATTAAACTTGAAACAAGTAATGCAGGCTCAGCCCCGCAAATTTTGGGGGCGGCTACCTGTATGGAGGGGCTGCAATTGGTTGCCTCACTAGGATCCTCGGGGAGCCTCGCCCACTTCTAATCGGCGCCAGCCGGCAGACTTTCAGCACGTCTTCACTGTGGCATAGAGAGAGGGGGGAAGTAGGTGTCTACATATAGTTAATCACGCATAGGTCCCCCGAGGTGCATACAGTGACGGTGAACTGTAAGTGGAAAAGGTGAACTAACAAGTATGCTCGATTATAATCATCCGATATGGTTTGATCCAGGGGCACAGCGGAAAGATCACTGCTGTGCGTGGCGTTTCGGAGGATAATCGTGGTGATATGGGCGTTAAAGAGGGCCCGTACGGGACCGTAAGTTTCTGTATAGTCAGAAACCTTGGAACCAGTGCAAAATTACATACCTAGTAGGAAAAGGTCTTTCTGGGATCTCAATAGTCAGGAAAACTTGGGTCACTAGGAGTAATCGTTATTGGTCATTGGATTAGTTGCATTGAAGCTATACTGTAGCAAAGACGCGTCCAGTAGCATAGTGGAGGTTCCTCGTAGGCAGCCTGTCCTTCACTCAGGCGCCCATCCACACTTTTACCGTTCTTTTGAACGGGCTGGGTACTTTCTTTGGAGTCTGGGAACGCTGCCGGGGTGTGCTGGACGTTGTTGTGAACACCCCGGTCAGGTGGCCCTAGCTGTTCCCTAGATCTTGCTCTCTCCTCTCTTTGCTTTTCCCTCCTTGGCCTTTCTCTCTCTCTCTCGGGGACAGACAATCAATATCTTCTCTGGCTTCTTGCTCCCAGTAGTAGTCAGATCAGGCGTTGTCGCCACGGGAAGCGAGGACACCTAGTGTTGTTGCGGCCAATATAGAAGAAATATCAGTGCTACCGTCCTTTGCTAGTGTACAGAGGTCTTCTAGGTCATCCAGCGCTTTCTTGATCTGCTTCGCTGCGCCGGATGCATGAAAGATCCGCGCGATAACCGCATGAATCTTAAGAAGCTCGGGATGCGGGAGATCGTATCTTCGGTCGTACCAATTAAAGAACACAGTTCGAGAGAGATCCATTCCCCTATAATTTGGGCTATAGTTTTGAATGCGGTATTCATGTGGTCGAGTAGTTTCTTCGAATGAAAAATTGAATAGGCCAAAGTGTCGATGTAAATCACTTGACATGGTCATTGCATTAGCAGTATCGTTGATATTCTCACGGTTAAATTTTATCGTCTGTATAATTGGAAAATGGCGTAGAAGGTGTATCCAGATGATATCTTTTGCATAGCCTTCGGATTCTATGCAGGACGGTGCAAGAGAGTACGGGATAATATGCACACAGTCTGTATATGTTGCAGAGCTAGTGCTGGTTACATCAGGAGATTCGCCATCGAGAAATCCAGTCACAACACATCTGTTACCATCACGGGCAAGACACTCTGTCTTAAGGCGACCTTGTATTTGCATAGGCCCACTCGACTCGGAAGCGACATTGGCAATAGAGTCCTCCATTCCGAGGCGCGGGGAAATACTCGGAATCGAGCGTAGCGATAATCGAGCGTAGCGATCTGAATGGCGTTACTAGACCGTCGATTAACGATTTAGCATAGTCGTGCAGTTGTTGGTTGGCCTGCAATGAGTCGAGATGGTTGAGCAAATTGTTCCTCCCATTTTCGGGAAGGTAGGTGTGAAATGCTCGTAAAATCGAAGCTGTCTTATCATCGGAACTCATGGGCTGGTATGCATCAACATTCTCCATCTTTATAGCGGATCATTTGATGGCAGACACTGTCGGGGAAAAAGATGCGCTTGAGGGAGATTCGATGGGAGCTTAAGGAAACAGTGGATCTTTCAGAGGTGCCCGCTCTTGCTTCCAGCTCTGCACGGTGGACCAGTTAGGCCAGAGTTGCTGGTGCTCATTACCGCACTATGACAAGCTTCCAAGGCTGGAAAGAGTGCCCAGGTGCTAAACTGCAAGTAATCAAGAATCAACTATGCAGGGTTCTCTCTTATCCATTCCGATATGGTGTAAGTCAGGGTCATAACGGAAAGACCACGATTGTGTGTGGTTTTGCAGGGCAGAATCGTAGCGTTTCCGTATAGTGCGAGTATATACGGAGTACTAAGCCTGGATTTCAGCCCCGACAACACTTTCATCCTTGAGGCGTTTATTATGACGTCACATGATAAATACATCTGTAAGGCCAACATCAACTCTGGCATTTTGACACTTGGACGATCGAGGCGAGATCTTGACATGATTCATTTAAACGGCCCAGTATTTCACGTGCTTGCTTGTTACTACCGATAACCTTGGAAGACCCTGGACCCTGGGTCTGGGCTCCCCAATTATGTCAAGTCTTCACGAGCTCCTTCACCGACAGCGACCAGGACGATGTCAAGAATTCCGCACCCATCCTTGTGTCTTCCTCGCAAAAATGCTCTATGCTTGGTACGAGCCTATTCCAGCTATGTCACTCACAAAACCTATCGCGGTTGTCTGTATCTCTGATACCCACAACACCCAAATCGACGTCTACGATGGAGACATCCTCATCCATGCTGGTGATCTCACACAATCTGGATCTTTTCAGGAACTTCAAGATTCAATCTCCTGGCTACGCAGACTACCCCATCCCACTAAAATTGTGGTTGCTGGCAATCATGACCTACTACTTGATTCAGCGCGGGATGATATGTCCCGTCGAGCAGCCTCCGAGCGAGCTCAAATCGACTGGGGCGATATAATCTATCTCGAGAATGAGGAGGTAACAATTTCTTGCTCAAATGGTCGTCAACTGAGGGTCTACGGAAGTCCGTACTCTTGCCGCCATGGCAACTGGGCCTTTCAATATCCCCGAAATCAAGATGTATGGGCTGGCTCAGTGCCAGATGGAATTGATGTGCTGATTACGCATGGTCCGCCACTTGCTCATCTTGACTTACTGAAGTATGGCTGTCCTTATTTGCTGCAGACCTTATGGAGAGTTCGGCCAAGACTACATGTATTCGGCCATATACATGAGGGTTCGGGAACTGAGTTGATGCTGTTCAACAGGCTCCAGGAGGCGTATGAGGGCACTGTTGCTGCTGGAGGGGGCTTGAAAAATCTACTGATTACAGCCTGGGAGTTTGCGAAGGAAGTTCTACGCCCAGCCGTGGAAGCAAAATGTTTACTTGTAAATCCTGCCATCGTTGGAGGATTACGGGACAATGAACGAAGGCAGCCTATTAAAATTTTTATCTAATTTCACAATCTTGCCAACTAACTATCTTGAATCCCACCTGTACAACTGTGCTATGCATGCTTCCGTGTCTCTATTCTATGGAATCGTCACTTCATCTCTGCACATGGTGATAAATTCCTCGCTTTTTGGGGTTATATTTATCTGTCCCATGAATTACCGTGATTTGTATCCCGATTTGTATTCATGATAGATACTTGAATAAACAACCTCGCTGCAATGATATCACTGGACACTAAGGTAAAACTTAGTGTGCTTTTCTCCTCTTTGTCTTTGGTTTTGCAAACGAAGAAAGGTTCTTGGAAAGGTTAGCTGGACCGCAGGCAAAGTACGGATACAAGAGACTGAAGGCTTTATGTATAGATCCACGCACGGGAACGCATAACGACAGAGCGCTAAACCAAAAGGGTCCATATTTAGCCTAAAGGCATAGTTCATCATAACCGTCCGATATGGTGTAGTGGCTAACATCGTCGTCTCTCACACGACAGCCGGGGGTTCGATTCCCCCTATCGGAGTTTCTTTTTTTGCCCTTTTCGCCTTTTCCAGCGTTTCCTCGTCCATGCATGTGGTAATATCAGACGCTGACTGGCTTCTTGTTTTGCTGGCTATATGAAGAGGAGAGTAAAGGTCACTGTAGATACAGCAGCCGATATAGCCCATGGTGACCTTAAGTTATAGCTGCTTCACTCCGGGGTCATTCCAAGTTGTCAACTGACGCTCCAATCCTTAGACACAGGGATATATTACTATCTCAAGATCCATTGGAAGCCTGTTGAGATATTCATGGTTATGTGCCATAAGTCTCGTGCCCTGGGTGTAGCTCTCTCAGTTAGTTCTCAGTTCTCTCTCTCTTTTCTTGGAACATGAATCAATTCTCTGCTCTCTCTTCTCGTGCTAGCTCGGTAGCTATCACAACAAAACCTCAAGATTCACCTGAGTATTGGAATTCGCTTTGAGGCTTGGATTATCCGGGCGACAGTATCCTACCATACCTCAATACCTAGGTATGCCTCTTTGGTAGCTTTACTGATAGACCTAAACACCAATGTTTCACAAAGTGCATGTAAATTCGCTGCAGTGGGCTGGTCATTCCTGGACCAAGACGGATATTTACGCCTCATCTTCAAAATTTCAGATGTTTTTACCCCGTGGTACGTGTTCGGGTCAGATTTTGTCGAGTCTGGTATCTCTTCTTGGAGCACAGGAACATGTAGCCAAACATCGAGGGCCTTCTCATCCAACATCCGATATGGTGTAGTGGCTAACATCGTCGTCTCTCACACGACAGCCGGGGGTTCGATTCCCCCTATCGGAGTTCCTTTTTTGCACTCTTTTTGCCTCCTTAAAAAGTGGATTTCTCGATGGAAAAAAAAAAGCGTTGACAAAATTTTTGAGGATTTGATTCAGTGCTCTCATTGGTTGGATTGATCTCACCGACCCTTTTCTGCCGCTCCCTTGTTTGCGGAATCTAGATGTTTACCTACCTACCTAGGTAGGCTGTTTGCCACCACCTCTTCTACACATTTCTCTACACTTTGACCATGTCTTTCTGGTAACTTCCATGTTTTAGGGACAGAGTTTCAGTACCCCTGGAGGGGCTGAATGGTTGGTTCAGATTTATTTAACAAAAAGCAATAGTCTATATATCATGCCCAGATGCAATGCGACGGACCTAGTAGGTCACTGAGTGGTATCTATATTTAATCAAAAAAGGAGGCCTTCATGGAGTTGGGCTGGATGTACTCGGAAGCGTTCCGGAAGTTGGTGAAACCCCAACGAATCTGAGCCGCCATGGCGATCTCGACATCCAAGTCCTTGGCGAACTGCCACGCAAGACCAGTATCACGCTGGAAAGAACGACCAACAAGAATGACATCGATATCATCCTCGTTGATAATCTTCTCGGACAGAGTACCGCTGTTGATCATTCCAACAGCGGAGACAAGCATCTTGTCACCAACAGCCTTCTTGACGGCCGCGGCGAAAGGAACCTGGAACGCGGCTCCGGAAGTAATCTTCTGCGCAGCGTGCACACCACCACTGCTGATATCGATCAGGTCGACACAGCCCTGCTCAGCGAGTGCCTCGGCAAACTGGACAGTGTCCTCGAGCTTCCAGCCCTTCTCACTCTCGACCCAGTCGCTGGCACTAACACGGAGGAAGACAGGCACTTGCTCGCCGACAGTCTCGCGAGTAAGCTGAGCAATCTCCAGAGGCAGACGAATGCGGTTTTCGAAGCTGCCACCGTACTTGTCAGTACGTTGGTTGGATGAAGGGCTCAGGAAGGATGAGAGGAGGTAGCCGTGGGCGCTGTGGATCTCAACGAAATCACATCCGGCAGCCAAGGCGCGCTTGGTAGCAGCAACCCAGGCGGCCTTGAGCTCAGCGATATCACCCTCAGTCATCTCCTTCGGCATGGGGTCACCCTCTGCGAAAGGAATCGCGCTGGGACCCTTAACATTATCAGTCCAGCCGCCAGAGTTGTTGTTGGCGACGACTCCACCGAGCCAAGGCGCAACGGTGGAAGCCTTGCGGCCACCGTGAGCGAGTTGCACACCGATCTTTTGGCCCTGGCTGTGGGCGAACTCAACAACCTGCTTCAGAGGCGCAATCTGGGCGTCTTCCCAGAGGCCCAGGCAACCGGGGGTGATGCGACCCTCGGGGACAACACCGGTTGCTTCGATGATCATGATTCCGGGTCCTCGTTGTGCGATGGCGCCGTAGTGAGCCATGTGCCAGGCTGTGGCCTTTCCATTCTCGGCGGAATATTGACACATAGGGGCCAGGCCCAGGCGGTTTTGGAATGTGACTCCGCGGACGGTCAAGGGCTGGAAAAGCTTGGGGATGGGCTTTCCACTTGTCTGGGGATTGCGAGCTGTGCCTGCCGGGGGGCTCTGGGCAGGGGTGAAGTATGAGATGCCCTCAGCGGGCTTCGCGGCGACGTCGGGCCAAGTCATTTTGAAGGTATTAATAATTAATTAATGAGTTCTTAGGTATTTATTGCATGCTTGGAGCAGGGGTATGAAGGGAATATATATGTATTGCTGTACAGTGGGGAGGTTTGGGGCATGGATTTATCATCTGGAGACTTTTCATCGTGCAAGGCGTGTCTATACCAGAGATTTGAGGTGAGGCAAACCTCGGAATTCAACATCCCGCTCGGCCAGCCACGCACGTCCTATAGAGAATTCTCGCGATAGGCCAATTTCCCATGCAATGGAGTACAACATTGTCAAGCAGGAAAAAAAAAGTCGCCGAACAATATCCACCCGGTCCAACGGTATCCCGGCTGGCCTATCAACAGCCGAAATGAAGCCCTGGTGGGTCCCGGAAAAGAGCCTCGGGAAGAAAAAAATCAATCGAAGTTGAAACATAAGGTAAATATAGACAAGAAAGTAAGTAAAACGCATTGTCTGGGAATGGCCCTCATGGGCCAACCTGACGAACAATGGGCTTTGCAACATTGAAAAGAAAGGGCGTTCGTGCATCTCAGCCGTGAGGTCTTTAAATGAATGTCTGAAGCTTCATTCGCTGCTTCGAGATCCAACTGCTGATTGAAGTGTCCGAAAAACCGGAGAAGTCACTTCGCTCTGAATCTACTGATCGTCGTCGCATAGACTCCACAAACTTGGGGAAAGTGTTTGTCAAGACGAGGTACTTGATGTGATCTTGGACGCTGTTGAACACGTCCAAGTTGAAAGCATCGGGTATTTCTCCCATATAAGAACCCCGGTCCGCAATTGCTTCGTGCAGTGGAGTGGAGGTGATATCACTCTCGAAGGGAGATGTCTGGTTGACTCGCTTCTCTCCAAGCAGAGTGCGGGCGGGTTTCTCGAAGACGCTTTCTAGTTGCTTGAGACTCTTCGAGGAGAGGTTCAGAGGGAATTCAGCGTCTTGTGTGCTGACAAAGTCTGCATAGATCCACAGTGCCTGGTTGAATGCATCGGATCTGGCCTTCTCGTCGGAGATGTCAGACCAGCGTGACTTCCATACTGCGAGCTCGCTCAAGAAAGCGATGTTTTCACCTGAAAAGTCGCTAAGTGCTGCGAACTCCTGGAGCTGAATAGCATTTTTGCTCAGCACATGCTCCAGGGCATCCATTGTGTACAAACGGTCACTTTGGCTGTCGTCGAAGGATACAACCGACTGAGTCTTCTCAGCCAGAGTGGACGATGACTCGTTGTTCCATTTAGCAGAAGGCGAGGTCTCGATGATTGTCGCGTTCGAATCATACTTGGCCATTGACTGGTTGGTCTTCCTCTTGACTGACCAGAGCTTGAAAACTTCGAAGATGGGAATGAAGACAGTGAAGATTTCCCACATCATGATGGAGACGTGGATCCTGGCGAGGATAGTCAGTATATGGCTGAAGTGTTAATGCAGGCCGCACCTACCATTGACTAGGAGTGAAGTAAACATTCACTTTGGCAAAGCTTGGTACGTATGAAGCAATCAAGAACATCGGGGTCGCGTGGAGACTGGTAATAGGTAAGACATTAGTTCCGTAAGTTTCATGTGTCGAAAGCGACATACCTGGAGAGACAGCAGGCGATTGTCTGAGTCCGCCATCCCATGGTATCGCGGATCCCCCAAGCCTTCCAAATAAGAATCGGTGCGGCCTGCAATGCAACGACCATGTTAGTGGACAGCAAACACAGTTTATGAGTCAGGGCAACTTACGATCCAAGTCCAGATGACTTGCCAGAGCATAGATGGCCACCACTCCCATCCTCGACCGAGATAAATGACCTGTTCGGGCAGGAGAAGGCCCTCGGGAATTTCGGTTCCTGGAATACCATAGGTAGGGTGGTACTTCGCACAAGCGAACCACATACCGAGGGTGATGATAAACTAAGTTTGGTTAGCATTTTGGTCAAGAAACGAAAGGCAATACATACCTGGACGATCATTCCAATCGTGATGAAAGTCATGGTCCTCTTCATGTAATCCATATTCCTGAGTCGGCATAACCAAGAAGAATCACCACCGTTGCATTTCCGCCCGATTCGATTGTCGGAGCTGGCGAATTGCTGCTTCTGTGTTCTGGCGACGTGGAGGAATCGGAGGTTGGAGGCTTGGAATAGCGCAATTCCCAATGGGAAATAGACACCCATACCGAAGTATTGGACATCGTAAGCCAGCACCGTAGGCATGGTTGCTCCGATGGGGTATGTAATCTGGCCTAGAATCCAGTATACATGGAGGAGTATGATTGCTGAAAAGCTGAGAGGCAGGCCTCGGACCCTCAAGATGGGGATGCGGTGGTTGATTGCGCAGAAAATCATACCTGCGACCAAAAGGGTGGTCCAGGTGATGCAGAATGCGATATAGAACACACCCACCTTATCCCAATTCGGGGGCGAGGGTGGCATGTTGTAGACCGTGAGGTCGGCCATGCTGGCGGCCATGGCCATGTTGGAGATCGATGAAAAGACTGGCGGTAATGAGCGACGATGGTGTGGAGTAGAGACGAGAGAAAAAGAGTGGGTGAAGCGTGATCCGAAGTAAGTGCTTACTTCCCCAGACGGAGGCAGAGACTGAAGTTAAAAGCAACAGTTAAGACCAACTTTTCGACCCCCATTGCAATATCAAAAAAACCCGAGACTCGATCGATCGGGTGCACCGATCTTCGCCAAGCTGATCGCCATCGCGGGCAACTTTCCGAAGGAACGAACAAGGTGAGGATCAACAGGACCCGTGCGAGATCTCTGCCATGTCTCAGTCCCCGGTCTGCTTTTTTTTTTTTTTTTTTTTTTCGCTTTGCGACTCAGGTGTTACTTTTCTAAAGGCAAAGAGTTACAAGCAAAATCTACGCATCTGAAATATCAATGAGATTGGGCTGGAAGACGCGCAAAGTCTCTCCAATGTGTCAAAGGGTGGCATAGTCCCGAGAAACAGGATAAAGCCTCCTGCAAAAGTGGGGACTAAACTCGTGGGAAGGCCACTAGCGATCAAAGGACACGAGGACATCCCTTGAATTCCAATGAAAAGCTCCCGATTTCCCTTAAGTGGAGAATGCTTCATTTACGCACAAATCTCGTAGAATTCAAATCAACGGGACCCATGTCAATCCCATTAGATCCCTTTCGCACAGATCATTCACTAGACAGGACGCAAAATGAGTCTATTGAAATAGTTGATGGATCTCAACTGCATGAGATTCGCCTATTACCTACAACATTACAGAGCGAGACCGAGTCTTTTTCCAATCAAGGCTTGAGCAAGGTTTTCTACACAATGTATTTGTCTATCACGGCGCTATTTTGCAACCCTGGAAAATGTGACAATCCTAAGACCTAGTTTTTCATTGACCAAGGTCACTTTTGCAGATCATGAATTCGAACGTGGTCGGTCCAGGCACACAAGACGACTAAGCGAGCTGAAGATTTCGTTTTTCTAGGGAGTCTATGATTCATAGACATTTTGTGTTCCCCTGTCCACCAATGGTTCTTCGTTCAGCCTGTTCGGCCTGTTCAGCCTTTCTAGCGCCACTGAATTGTCGGGAAAGGCTTGGAGGTATTACCGAGTTTGCAGCCTCCATCTGGTGTCAACCAGGCCCCTAGGGGTATTTCCGGCCAAAGTCCGCCAAACAAAGAAAGACTGTGATGTTCTGGTCAATCTCGAAATCGATGATTATAGCACGTGCTTAGATTCACATTCCAGCCCCTAGTTGACGACGCTTTTTTGTCGATCTGCAATCGATTTCTTGGACTTCAGTCTACATACATTAGTGCGGGGCAATTCTGATGATTCGTACTATATACGCCTGGGCACAAGCTGGGCTAGACATACATAGTTAGATGGCGCTATGTCCTCGGAAGCGCACATTTATTCACCCAGCCAATTGTAAAGAATCCAGCCAGAAGGATTGGATTGGGGTACTTCCAAGGTTGAGCCATGTCGAACCAATCAAGCTGCTCGATCGTCAGTCGGATAAATACTCCAAGCCAGTCCATATCTACTTAAGCATTTTCTTCCTCAAGTGCTTGGCCTTGACCAAAAGTCAAAATGGAGATTCCCTCATCACAGGACAATTGAGGGGTCCCCTCGGGTCATTTCTAAGAACAATGTTGGAACGTCAATTTAAGCGTAAGTGCAAAAGCGTAGAAAGTCTTGGATGGTCCCAAAGCACGTGGTTAGCCACATGGTGCTTTCCGTGTGTTCGCCAGACCACAAACACTTGAGCATGTAGGAGCTTCGATATCAGGGCTTCAAAGTTATGTCAAATATACAGCCTCGTTTGCAGAATCAGCAGGTATTCATAATGGTCATGAATCTAAATCAAATTGAAAACAACTCGCTATCTTGGATATAGGAACTAAAAACAAAGCAAACCCGAATCAAATACCAAACATCTCAATCTATGATCTTCCCCTGTGCAGGCTGCGTGGGTTGCGTAGGCTGCGCCTGCGGAGGCTCGATGTAAGCGTCCTTGCCCGAGCGCATAATAGCCGAACCAAGCAGGTTCAGTGGGTTGTTGACCCGCATATACATGCAATAGCACAGAGTCAGACCGACAACAACGATCTCATCCATGGCCGCAGTATCCAAGGCCTTGGGGCCCAGCAGCTCGATCTTAGCGAATCTCTTCACAGCCCAAACATTCGCCGAGAATTTCGCAACAGGGTTCTGGTTCTCATCGCAGCAGACAAAGTCCCAGGTCTTGAACCCGCTGCTGCTGGTCCAAGACATCTTGGCTGGCTTCCCGGTGTCGGAATAAACGTGGGAATAGTGCGTGTACATAGTGCGCAGGCGGCTCTTGGCGCGCAGGGTGCCTTTTGAACCGTGGAGCTCGAAGTCCGGGCTGATGGAGATGGCGTGGATGGTGCCGGTTCCGACTTGTCGGTCTTGCTCAATTGATTTGAATTTCAGGTTCGGGGCTAGCATGTCACAGTTGACGTCGTAGACTAGCTTTGGGTTGGGGTTTTTGGGCTCGTAGTCGGTCACGTAGATGTGCATCTTGGACCACATGAAGTTGACTGCTAGACTGCGGGATTGGCCAATGGCCATGTGGCTGGGGATTTCTTCCGATGATGAGTCCATAGTGGGCAGAGAGTTGTAGCGTTGAGTGTGGAGTGTAGTAGAAGTGAAGAGTATGATTGTGATGTTTTCGGATTTATTTGATATGAGCTGTTGTCGGGAATCCAGGTGGATTATATAGTTGCTGTCAAAATATGCTCGTAAAGCTGAGCCCCCAAATTAACCCAACTTGGCCGTACGTCGCGATCCGCCCCCACAGCATGAGAGGTGGTGAGGGCGCCATTCCGTCTGCCAAGAGCACGCTGATTGGGCAGCGCGACATTGCGCCCGATGCGGATGTCCCGACGGTGATCTTTTGTCAGCTCTGGCCGCCAGACAGTAGGAGATATGCGAGTCTCTTCGTGTCTGCCGTCTCTGATTGGGGCTGTGGTTGTCGTTTAAGCCGTGTGTGCTGTGTCTTAAGTTGAGTCCAATGTGGCAGGGCTGAGTTGGTAATGATGTCATAAACGTCTACGAAGATAAGCTTCTTAGCTTTATTTCTCTGTCTTCCGTGTCTTTAGGGAACGGGGTCATTATTTTCAGAAGAAAAAATGGCCAAGATCGACTGGTTGAGACACTTCTTGAATCGCGCGTGAGAGTGTCAATTGGCGATTTCTCTTGGCGCGGAACGCCCCCATGTGGAACATGCGATCCCAAGATCTTGGGCGTTAGTACATACTTCGGCTCTTATTGTTTTTCGTGATCTCGTTTGATTCCACTCAGTAGAAAAGACAGACTGATACTATCTCAAGGCGCATCAACAACCATGGCCTCGGTCATAAGCTTATGTACTTTGGTCTCCCCAGCCACATCGAGTGATACATGCCACTCAAAGGAGTTCTTGTGAATGATGCGATATGTTGAAAATTGAGGAAACATTGCTGAGCCCGGCACCATCAACTGATTGCCATGACACAGTCCCCTCGACGAGAGCGTGAGCTGAAAGATTTTCCCAAAATGAACCGGCTCATTTACTTTGCCCGTCGTAATCTTCAAAGTCGTTTCCAAGTCTTCGAAAACCTTGCGAAGACCTGTGTCTAGAACACGCGTTTTTGAAAGCTCACCAATCTCCGGACGATGGCCATAGTCCGGTGCTGGATGCTCGGTCTTCCGATGAATAAACAAGTTTATCCAGTTGACCTTGATCTCCTGAGGGACGTCTCTGATAGATTCGGACGTTTCATCTCGACGGGGGATGATATTGAGCGATACCGCAATCGGCTCTGGGTTGCTTATCTGCACAACGCAGGGCATCGTAATTTCGGCGAAGTAGAAGAGCTTTGGAATACTCGAAGTGTGGAATAACTTCTTGATGCCTTGCCCCACCGACAGCCCAGAGTTCGCCTGTCCAGATAACAAGCGCGGACTGCGGATCGACTCTCGGCATCTCCACGCTCTCTCTTCGAATCGGTCGTGACATAACGGCTCTTGGTGGCGGATATTGATGGGCCATATTGTGTCGCGCTGTTCATTCTTGCGACCAAAGGTATACCGGAGAGTTGCTTGCAGGGAGTATTCTACTTTAGACTGGTTTCCGTCTGCCAGAGGTGTAGAAAGAAAAGAACCTGGCAGAATGTCCGGTGCTGGGAGGCCGTTGCTAGATTTCGGGGGACTGGCCTCTGTCGGGATCGATATCTCAAAAGGCCAGCTAAGGGTCTCATCGCTGCCCTCTGGAAGGTGCAAGGGTCCTTGATGCAAGGTCTCTGGTTTCAGATCCAGCACCCTATATGAAAGGGGGACTTCATTGCGTCTGACGACCTGCGACTCGATCTTCCCGGTGAGCACAATCGTAACCTCGGCTTCAGGGGTGACTATAGGCGTATGTCGGATGAGATGGCCTAGAATAGTGTCTCCGGGGCTAAATTTCCAGCCGGGAGGTGCTGCAATATCGAATTTAAGATCCGCGTCCCCTTTGCTGACGTTGAAGCGCATTGTGTGAGTCACTCATTTGTGAGGCCTCGGGACTTGGCTTGATTTTCGAAACACTAAGTTCGCACGCCCAGGCGCTAGTCGGGGATTGCGATAAGGGCCACAAAGGGCAGTTTGACTGTTCCTTCAGTCCCGCCTAACATGAACAATATCGAAATCCGAACGCACAAAGATAATAAACAAAGTCCAGCGGGGAGTCTGGAGGTAGTGTGAGATGACGTCACCAGGTCACTTTCCGGGAATAGCTTCACATTATGTACTCCATACATTTGGCAAAAGCAAAACATTGTAAATCATACATTGACACGGAAGATACGATGGTTGTGACAGAATATGAAATGCGAGTCATGGCACACTCACCCACAGACCTCCCCAGATAGCTTACTTTCATGATTCTGTACATTCCGAACATCTATTAGCTCTCTGAATTCGGTTTCGTCGGCATCTGCTTGAATCTGTTCAAGCTTGATAATGTCTTCACGATGTTGCAGCGCGACTGCAAGTCCCGCATTGGAGCCAATGTCCTGCAGACGCCGGATCACCCACCGGCGTGTTTCGCTTCGCACCACTGTGGATTGTCCGACCGTGTAAAGACACCAGGTGAGAAGATAGCTCCCCGAAACACTGGCTGGGGAAGAGAAATCAATGACCGAATTGGGTTGAAACGTCGAGGAAATATACCCCAGGGCCTGTGGGACCGTCGCAAGGATGTCTTTCTCTAGCTTGGATTGGATTTGAAGTGTGTCGTACAGTCCTTGTCTCACTTGTGCACGCATTGCCGGTGCAATATTCATGGCAAGGGTTTTGGTTAACAAGAAGTATATAACGTTGCCAATGATTATCTGAAGCATCCGGGCGTTGTTCCACAGTCGGATCGCCCAACTGGAGTGGTAAAGATCATAGCGACCTTGGTAAATGATTTCTGGGTCACCGCCAGGGTGGAAGTAGGTGGTGTAGGGCTCTTCGATCGCAAGAGCAGCGAAGAGATATTCAAAATCCCGCTGGAGAATAGTCGCCTCCTCCAACAGAGCGGACCATTGGGCCTTGCTATTAGGTAGCCGGACCTTCCAGAGAAGATCCACGTGCCTGGAAGCTAAGACACCCAGGGTCCAGAAGGCCCCAGAAGCAGCCTCATGTTTCATTGCCTCTTCTTGCAGCACGCGCATATCCTCTGGAAATGGTTTGTTGCTGTGCACACAGGCAACCGCCATATCAGCACGCACTTGATTGAACATCAGAATGGCAGCTGGAGTAGTGAACTGTTTTTTCCCCCGAGCAACGACAAGCGCTGCAGCTCCTTGGACATGCTTGCTCCACGAGAGAAAGTTGGAGGAGTTTTCAAACACCCCAAGTGAGATAATCGACATTAACAGATCATCCCGAAGGGAATCGACAGGAGATGCCAGATCCGTGTTAACACGCTGGATCGCCTCGGAGTATTTGGCTCGAGCGTGGCTAACTAAGTCAGGTCGCCGAGCCGAGTTGGCCAGCGCCACAAGTCCCACGGCAGCCATACTGGCTCCTAGCGTTGGATGATGGCCATCGGAGTCATACAGATTTGAAACGTAGTTCAAATGCCCCCGTGATGAAGAATGTCCACCCGCAACAAAATTGTTCATAAAAAATGCGATCCCGATGTCGTCAACATTGGGCGTAGGGCTGCGAGCCGGTGGGGATGTGGGGATAGCCTTGGCCTTTTTTTCAGCCTCCTTCTTCAGGGAATTCTTGATGGTTTGGGTGGTCTGGTCTCGAAAATGCAGCTCCCATTCCGACCTGTACCCGCGACACTCTTCGCGCGTGCGAATACACTGGCCACAATGAGGAAGCTGCTTATCGCACTGTAAAGGCAGTCCTGATTAGAATCGACGTCACAGGATTCGGTGAATCGTGCACGGGTGGATGACCTACCCGACGCTTAATGACCCGGCAATTCTCGCAGCTCTTGGAAACCCTGGGTTGTGCTCCATTGGTGGACACCATCTTTGAAACTCCCTTGGCACGCAATATTTGCAGTATGATCTGTAACCCGGTGACGGTGAGGCTGCTGACGATCAAAGATTGAAAGGTTAACAGGATCAAGCTCAGTTCCAAGACCTTTCTGCACCACCCCGCACTTGTGCGCTGGGCAGACTTGAGTCAGGAAGGGCTGAGCGATGGCCCCCACATGCAGGCCAGTTCGTGGCATCGCCCCGTTGGATCTCAGCTGAGCGTGTTCGGGAGGATGAACGTCGATCATTCGTATTGTTCAAAGCCACTGACATCGTTCGGAGAACACCGTGCACCAGCTGGGATTCCAGTGCGAAAATGCTTAAGCGGCTGAGGCTGAGCGGCGGAGATCGACATGTTGTCGGGGGCCGCGCTAGTCCCAAAGTGGCAATCGAGATGCTCGGCCAGTGAGCCGCGAGAAAATCGCCGAAATTAAGCATCTGAGATTGAGCTTGTTTCGATTCTTTCCGTCGTGATGGGGATCTTTTGATTCCTATTCAGGTACGTGAGTTGCACTGCCAATAGAGAGGATGGCTCGAGGATCATAGTTCACTACACCAGAATAGAGAGAAGCCATGAATATAAATTTCGAATCCCCAGCGAGATCTCTGAGAGATACATCCTTCCAAGACTCATTGAAGCAGCTCGCCAACTATCATCCATTGCTACCCTCTCACCACCCATATAATTAATTGCAACCAACCTTGGAAACCTTGAAGATGGGCTCGGTCACCTACCGCAACGGCATAGCCATCCTCCAACTCATCGTCTTCCCTTTTATTCTTGTGGCATCGATATTCATCTGGAGGCGAACGGGATTGAAGGTCGGCAGCAGGATCTGGCGATACCCATTCACACTATCACTCCTCCGCATCGCAGGCAGCATCTGCTCCCTGTTGACCATCAGCAACAAGTCCCAGAGAATCTACATCGCCGAAGCCGTGTGCGAATTGATCGGCATTGCGCCTCTACTACTCACATACATCGGAGTGTTGCGACAAATGTGAGCTCCATTGATCACACCAACTTGACTTGTGTTTACTAACAAGATCATCTCCAGTGACATCGACGAGGATATCCCACCCAGAAGCTCCAGGCTCATCACGCTGATTACCTTCATCGGTCTGATTCTCGGTATCGCCGGCGTCAGCACTGCCGACGATGGAAACTACAAGAATGGACTGACAAAGGGTGCGATGGGCATATTCCTCGCTGTCTTCGTGATCTATGTCCTCATGGCCGGCTGGCTTTGGATTCGAATTTACGGCATGAAGCGATTCCAGAAGAAGCTTTACCTTGCCATTGCTCTCTCGCTTCCTTTCGTCTTGGTCCGCTTGGTGTACTCTGCGATCGGTGATTATACCGAGATATCTCGATTCCAACTCTTTGGAGACAACACGGTCTACTTGTGTATGTCTGTTTTGGAGGAGATTGTTGCTATGGTAATTACCATGGTTCTTGGAACTTCGGCCGTGCTTGAAAGCGATTTTGTCAGGTTGGGCTCAGCCCAGCAGAGTTCTGAGCCCAAGAATGAGGTGGTATGAGTGTGGCTCGAAGACCAGGATACCGAGATGCTCCCTGGCTCTTGTGAGATATTGCATGCATTTGTTTGAGCGTTAGACAACCACTCACTGCGCCGGTTCCAGCGCAGTGGGGCATTAGATATTCTTTAGAAAGGGCAATGCCCGGGTGTGCAACAAAATTGTAAATGGTATTGTGAGCTAGCAGATACCCACCCAGTATGCGTTAAAACATTAATCGTGTCTAAATGCGTTACATAAACATAAAAGTGGCCGTGGCCATCGCTGCGACCAGAGCCATGATGCTCTTGGTCTCAGCACTCCCCTTCAGATCCCCACTAGCAGCGCCAGTGTGGTTTGCCGAGCCATTGACCGATGTTGGCTTGGTGCCAACACCACCAGGTAGTCCCTGGTATGAGAAGGTCAGGTTCTGGGGAATGGAGGTGTTGTAGCACTCTCCCTTGGCGATATCCAAGTTGGACAGGTCATCCGCATGGCGGAAGAACATGTAATTGGTCTGGTTCAGGGACTTGAAGCCAGAGGTGTCGTAAGGAAACTTGTCACCCGGGTCGGTGGCACTGGTGTTACGGAGCCAGATGCACTGGACTTTTCCGGGGAACTCGGTAGCCATCTTTGGGTAGTCACGCATGACATCACTGTTACTTGTATCGGCGACCAAGATGAACTTGCGCTCGGGGAAAGTCTCAAAGACCTTCTGAAGCAAGAACTTGCGGATCGACAGAGTGGCGGAGACGTCGCTGAAGTTCAGTGGACGGGTGTCGAATGATCCACCGGGGAAGTTTTTGTAGATGAATTCCATGTAGTTTCGGGTAATCTGCTCCGGGGTCGTGGTGAGGTAGTGGAAATGCAAGTCGGGAAGGCTGGTGGACCAGTTGCGGTAGATGTCTGGCATGTTTTCCCAGGCTGTGAATGGACGAGCGAAGGAGTTGAGCAACCCTTGCTCTGGTTGGTAGATCTTGGTCACACGCAGAATATCGTCAATGTCGGACACAATGGTGACTCCCTTCGGGGGCACCAGGTAAGCAGTACTGTTTCCAATCGTGGCGTTCTTGACGTGGACATCGAGTCTCTGAATGGCTGATGTTTCATTTCCTGCGGTGAGTCCCTTGCTCTTGATGGGCACGAAGGTGTCGAAGTCACCCTCCACGGTTGTGTTGTAAGGTAGCGTAAGGTCCTGCGTGCCACCGGTGGTATTGGTCGATCCACCACCGCCTGGCTGTCCACTGGAGCCCTGGCCCGCTGCAGGTTCCAGGTGGATAGTGTTCACAGCAACTTCTGGCTGTTGCACAACGAAGATCTCAGCAGTGAGATTGCGAGCCTGGTCGGCCTGGGATTTGGGCAAGTCCGAGATACTGGTGTTGACCAGGAAAACGTTGGCAAGCTTGTTCAGGGTGGAGACAGAGGTGTTGGGCTGTTTGTAGACATTTCCGTGGAAACGGACATTCCAGCCCGAGTTCGTCCAGTTGGCATACGGATCGATGTTCAACACATTAGTTGGCAGTGCTGCCAAGTCGCTCTTGTCAAGTCCAAGGGAGCTTGCCACGGAATCACCAGTAGGGAACCCTTGGAAGAAGTTGGGCACTCCAGATGCAACCCACGAGGGTAGGCCCGATCCAAGCCCTGAAAGAACATTGTCGACATCAGACTCCACGTCGCTCAGGATGTTTCGAGCAACGACCGGAGAGGGAAGATTCTCCACCGGGGAGGGAGTGATGACGGGCGCGGCCGGTTCGGCATTGGCAAAGACCGTTGGCGCGGGAGCAGCCAAGGCAACCGAAACCAGCGACGCCTGGGCAAAGGCTAAGATAGCGGACCTCATCTTCCAATTGGCAAAATGCTTGAAGAGTCCAAAGAGCGACTTCACGCGGTTTAATATCAACAATGACGTCATTTGGCGGTCTGCCGTTCCAAGTTCCCTTTTGCACCTGCGTCATGGCTCATTTCCCTTTTTTAATTAATTGCACTGCGATCTTCACTTGATCTTCAGTTTCATTGATCGAGAGGACTGGAGAAAAGCGGGTCTATGTCTCAACAGCCTCTAGCGGCTCGAAAATATACTACATCGTACTGTGGTTTGAGGGAATAAGCGAAAAGTGAGAGTAACAGAGAAAACTTGGAAGCAACAGTAATCGTGATTGGATAAAGCAGACGTGCCCAACGATCTACACATAAGTAGGCGATATATCATATCAAACTCAGAGCCACGGACTGCAAACCAGAAGCTATTCATAGTCTACAAGTTGGGCACAAGATGAGATTGGCAGTTGAATTCAAGAGTGTTGGTGAAATCAAAAACATTGGAGCTCCGCAACCACTCTTAATGGCTCCTCTGGCAAGCAAAGGGTGTGTGTTCCTACCAACGGAGTTGGTCAATTGGAACAGAGAGGGAGATAACAATCTCGGGTTCATCAATTGATACACGAAATGGTAGAACCACCCCGATAAACGTTACTTGATCTATGTAGTCTATCTGACCCGCGGCACCCATCTGGGCAGGCTTGACTCTCTTATCCAGGCATTATCGTCTTGTCCCATTGGACTCACTCTGAAACAGCTTGTTCTTAGCGCCAACTGCATTCCAATCAGGGTCGTCGAGATGCTCTTTCGCTTGTGCAAGCCATTTGTCCCAAGTCTCATTGTCGGGCATAACACCAGACCGTTTCACCCAGTCGGTGCTCCGCGATCGCTGAATCGCAAACCACAGGCTTTGGGTGTAGCTTCTGTGGGAACTCTTCTTCTCCGAAAGACCTGCTTCATCATTCGATCTCTCCTCTGGCGTCCTTTCCCATTTATTGACCAACTCCTTATATTTGTTGGACTCATATCCTGCAGTCTGTCGCTGAATCTTATAGCGACGGAGGTCCCACATATCTTGGGGTTTGACCAACAGCGCTAACATCCAGTAATAGATGTTCAGCAAGAAGAAGCCTGCACCCATCGCCAATTGCATTTTCCAACTGCAGTTGTTGAAGAGCACCACCGAGCTCATGACACAAAGCGTGCTGATACCTAGCAGGCATCGGTGCCAGAAGTCTTCCAATCTGAACTTGCACTTGTCCATGCCGACATAGAGCTCTCGAGCCACGGTTTCATCGCATTCAACGAACAACATGGCGCCTCCACGGGTGACAATCAGCTGATTACCGGATGGAACCTCGCATTTGGCTTCTCGGCTGACCATCGTCGGGGTCCACCAAGCAGAGATACTGGCTGCGCTGGATGAGATACCCATGAGTGTGAGGGCTACCAGGGCGACACCGTCCCCGATAAATCCAGCTGCGATATAAAGGCCGATAAGGATGCCGGTCGAAGCAAGGCAAGCGGCATTCACGGCTGAGAACGTTTTAATTTGAATGGGTCTCAGGGCGGTTGTATTGGCCTCGATATCCTTTTTGCCGTTCATTTCAATCTTCCAGACCTTGAAGTCGTACGGTTGGATTGAGTTGACGTCGTGGATCAAATTCGCAAAATAGTTGAGCTCAAGCGTCAACACACCGGAGTATATACCGACCACCCTGGTATTGTTTATTACTGGCAACCGACTGAGACGATCTGTACCAAGGAAGCTCTCTGGGGCGGGCATGAGCCGTGGGCACATGGAAAGCTTGGAAGCTGTTATCGCTGGGATATGCTTAACGACGGCGGAGGCTCCGATGACAGCGAGGAGGATCAGAACGTCGAACTCCCAGCCTGAGTCGTCGGCGTCGAGAGTAGAGGGAAACCAGCCCATTGTATCGGTTGTATAATGTGGTTGAGCAAAGTTCAAGTACCACGGAGAGCGGCAATGAAGCCAGTGTCGAGTTCAGGTGCCAACATAACTGACCATATTGGAATCCAAGGTGGCTGTGCTCATTTTTGGTCTTTTGCTCACATCCATTCGAAGTCATGCTGGCTAAGCCCATTGGACGTGGCGCATGCAATGGAAGGCACCTGGGTGAAGTGGGGGCTAGCGCCTGTCATATCATCCAGTGAATTTAGCCTCTGTCGATCATTCCCTCTATTTGGCCGGTGGCTGACCTGCCCAGGTGGCTGAATACTGTAGGATTACACAGATGTATAGGGCAGATCCTCGACCCTCTAAGCTCGGTAGATCGATCGACCTAAGGCATCCTCAAAACTACATACATGGATGTAAAACCCGGATGGTCCAGAGGTGCAGGCAGTGTTGATTGGATATTACCGTCGCATACCCAGACCTGCAGGTGGGCAACCGGGCGAACACATCACCTTGCATCCGTATTCTGTTCGTCCTCGAGGATTTAGTCCTCTTTAATACTAGCGGCCGATGACGCATCGGCTTCGCCTGGAGACTGGCTTTATGTAAAATAAGCGAGCCTCCTTGAAGAGCGATCTCCTCAAAATCTAGATATTACTACCCTCTACTTCTTCTGATTTTTTCTTCGTATGCTTTTTTCTGGGGTCTTCTGGCCGAGGAACTGTTTGGGTGATACTGGAGAGACAAACGAACTGTCGCGAATCGCTGCATCCTTGTCGGGGGCTGAGTGGGATCTGCATGCGTACCTAAATGTCGAGTTATGCTCTTCAAATTACTCCGCGCGGAAAACTCCATACATACTTGAAGCGAACCATCATTGCATTGATGTATGGACTACGGAGTACCGTACATTGCGAGCAGGGCTTCCATTTATCTCTCGGTAGGTATCAATAATGCGGGGTCTGCTCAATTCTCAGCCCAATTTCTTGGCGTTGTCGTTTACCATGTCAGTCTCTACCGATGAAAGGGAGTACTTCATTGGAAAATTGTTGCGCTAGAAAGACAAGGCGAGAAAATAACCCGCAGCAACTATTCTACAGAGATAGCATGCTGCTTCTCTGTCCAGGTACTTCATAGGGGATATTGCAACCTCAGAGGGTTTGAAGACGTTTGCCGACTAGAAGATATCTTGTTCTTCTATGTGCAAGTAGCTATAAACCCGACAGGTGGCCGCGTTGGAGTTGGAGAGTGTTCATTGGCGTCTTCATTGTAGACTTTAGGGTGGGTCCTCGACAAGCCATCGGTTGGTTTTTTGGTAATATCCAGGGCCAAATATGCCTAGGCAAACGTGCTCTCCTGGTTTAAGGCTGTTGCATAATGAGAGAAAAGCTGAAAGAGGGAGTATGCCCAGTGTCCAATGTGTTGGGATGGCAGATGTGACCAGTCACGTGCATTTCGCTTCAGGTCGGGAAAACCGAATGATCCGACGCACCCATAAACGGAATGAATCGGCCTCTTTTTCACCTCCCAGAGACCCCTGAAAACACACCCTAGAGTCACTGTCCAACATTCAGCAATTGCTTATGCTTTTGCTGGCTTTATGATGGTACCTTGCACAGCTGTGTGATTTCCGGGCTGTCTCCCCCTTTCCCTCGTTGCACTCTAGCGGTGGGAATTGTACAAAATCATCCAAGATGTGTTGGTGATTGAAGGTCGCGAATGTTGCTTTCATTGCATATCGCATTCAAGGATGTCGTCCTTGACCCTCGGTCTCACCAGAGTCCCACTCAAGGTCGGTATGATTGAACGGCCGTCAATCTGGCACAGTTCCCCTTTCTTGACCCTCGGTCTCACCAGAGTCCCACTCAAGGAAAGAATGAAAATTGAAGAGACAAAACTGGCATCGTCCAGAAAATGACAAATACCCCATCTTTGATCCTCGAGCAGCCCGCACCGGGACGAGGATCGAACCTGGACACAATGAACACAATGAACACAAATACCATCTTTGATCCTGACGAGGATCGAACCTGGACACAATGAACACAATGAACACACTGAACACAAATACCCCATCTTTGATCCTCGAGCAGCCCACGCCGGGACGAGGATCAAACCTGGACACAATGAACACAATGAACACAAATACCACATCCTTGATCCTCGGTTGATTCACAGACCGTTGCAGGGACAACAAATGAACAAATCATGTGCACAGCATAAAGCTGTCCACGATCATCAAATTGGCACCGTCCACCACAAGACACAGCCCATCAAATCGGACATCACCTCGCATCCTGGACCCTCCAGATCCAACAAGACATCGAGTTTTCTCGCTCGGCGGCTTTCATCGGTGATTGTTGCGATCCACAAATCCAGGAGTGCAAGTGTCCAAGCAAATCTTGTGAGAGAGTGTTCGTCTAAGGACGACATGCCTACAGCCATCACGTTTCGAGAAGATATCCCAATACCTTTACGGGATGGTGGATATGAACAAGAACAGTGGCAATGGAGCTCTCTCACTTCTCAAGACCAACTCGTTCACCTCGAGCACAAAATCCGTACTGGAGTGGAGTCCATATTGACTGCCACTGGGTTATCCTGAATTCGTGGTGGTCATACGCCAAAGTGCAAACTCTCCTGAAACTACGGAGTGCGCTCGAAGACAGCATTATCCACCCCAGTCAATCAAGAATATATTACTCGCGCTCTGTTGGACCAGGCTGGCGAGGGCGAGCGCGTCAGCCCCTCGCTGACCCAGCAACATCGCCCGTCCTAGTGCGGTAAACATTACTAGAACAAATCCTGTGCTTTTGTTGTGTTTCGCCGGCATGTGAAGGCGAGCGCGTCAGCCCTTCACTGTCCGCCAAACCAACAGAGCATCATGCAAGTCAGCATGTGTTTTCGTTCGATTGAGTTCACACTTTATTGAGCGGAGACACTTGTTTTTTTTTTTTTTTTTTTTTTTACCCTCGTCCATTCAGGACAGAGGGGTTTTTTTGTTGAAGGCAAGTGAGATTCTTGGATCCACTGTCCTATGGCCTCTTCAGCGTCCGTTGAGGATCATGCAAATGGTCTTCGATGTACGCTGAAGTCTTCATACGACACTGCTCCGGAGTCTCATTGGCCTTTTACATTGTTAGCTCGATATTATTGCTTCCCAGGCCGTTATTTGCGTTCTTCAATTTGCATGGGGACCAGCGAGTCCCCATATTGTATCGCCTACGCTTGGCAGATCTCCCGCGCACTTGATGTCCCTACATTGCGTCGCCGCATTCATGGTCGTATACAAGACAGCTAATCACCTAGGCACGAATGCTCACGGCACGACCTCCTTACCCTTCCAATCCCAACACCTTCCTCTTCCTCCTTTCGGCTCCGACGAGAACCCAGAAAGAACTTCCAACAGTCTGGTCGCTGCATCGCCTGGCTCCAGCATGTCCCTCCCTCCCCAGAAATCTTTCGTGAACTCCGTCCGAACAGTCCCAGGATGCAACGCAACTGCGATCGCCCGCTCCGCGCTCTTCGTCCGCAAGTACAAATCAAACGACTTGGCCAGCTGGAAGACCGCTGCCTTGCTCGCGCGATAAGAGTACCACCCGCCCGAACTGTTGTCGGAGATCGAACCAACGCGAGCCGCCATCATAGCATAGATAGCATGTGAAGGCAGTGACAAAGAATTCGGGGAATTTGTGCCGCTCGAATCGCTTGCGAACGCGGGCGCGGATCTGAGTGGGACAAATTGCGTGAGGTGCTTCATGAGTAACAATGGGCCGAGGGAGTTGACTTGGAAGCTATCCAGTGCTTTGGTGGCGTCAATTTGACTTGGTGATTTTTCGACGTGCAGAGTGCCAGGGATCGTCAGACCCAACCTCATAGGCGTGTCTGGGAACTCCTGTTTGATTGTGTCTGCCATTGCGGATATCGTGGATTCATCTGGGATCCTGGTCAGCTCTCTGGTGCTGGGGATGTAGCTCAATGGCTTTGACTGTACCTGTGACATCGACCTTGAGGACGCGTAGTCTTTTCGCCGAATCCCTGGGCACTCCTTCGCTGGAGAGTAATCTCTCCCGGGTCCCTTTGCAGTCTTTGCGGGCTGTTGCGATGACAGGGAGCTCGGTGCGTGTCAATAGTTGCTGTGCAAAGGCAAACCCCAAGCCCCTTGAGGCAGGTGTTACTAGCGCAAAACCAGCCGCTGCCGACATGATGATAGCAATTGGGAAATGTTTGGATTGTTAGAAACAAGTCTGGAGAGTGAAGTGCAGATACTCTGGATATTGGTCTAGTCACTCTAGTGACGTCACGTTCCGGATGCATTTCTTACGCTGCAGGGCTCGTGCCCCGTTCTTACACTTCTCGGCCATTCAAATCAACGCATACTAGTATATTGTTCGACAATCCTTGCAGATCAATCTCCTGTGGCGATTGAGTTCAACGATCGGATCGTCATGATCTGCCTCAACCAATCTTTCCCTCCAAACCTGTGAAGAACACCCTCCCAAAATCTCCGCTACTATCATTGAATCGAAGCTTCTTATTGATCTTCTGAATATTCTTCATGTCCTCGGGGCTCAATTTGAAGTCTCCTTGCAGATTGCTCCTGATCCTTGACGGCGTCTTCGACTTGGGCAATACAGAATGACCCTGCGTGACTCCCCAGGCTATTGAATCGGAGTGCTCAGCATGGAGTACAATGTGTGGAGGAAAATTTCACTTACCTAGAGCAACCTGGGCAGCTGTTTTGTTATACGGATCCCCAATCTCGGCCAAGACAGGCTCGTCGATCAACTTTGCAGCCCCTCCTTTCTCACCATAGAACGTGTTCTGATTTCCAAAGGGTGAGTAATGCGTGATGTGAATGCCATTGTCTCGATGCCACTTCGTGAATTCAAGTTGCTGAAGCCATGGATGGCATTCCATTTGGTGCACCGCGGGAACGATAGAGCTATTCTTGATCAAACGCTCCATCTCAACCTTGTCAAAGTTCGAGACGCCGATCGCTCTGGCCTTGCCGTTCTTGAGTAATTGCTCCATGGCTTTCCATGTCTGTTATCAATCAGCATCATTCGGTCACTAACAATACAAAAGCGGCGTACATCTATGATGTCGACATCCTCCATCACGGGCTTGCCATCTTGTTTCGGGAAGAGCTCCTCGCCTCGTTTCCAAGCTACGGGCCAGTGCATGAGGTACAAATCAACATATTTCATCCCCAGATCATCAAGTGACTGTTGGATTGCCAGTTCCACGTCATCCGGATGATGCTTGTTGCTCCAAAGCTTGGTCGTGATGAAGAGAGCCTCTCGTGGGACACCGCTCTTTCTTACTCCTTTTCCCACGGCTTTCTCGGTACCGTACCTTCTCACATCAGTACGAGCTTCAAACCCATTACCTTCTTTCTGAGGGGAGTGCGGGCCACTCACACGCGCGCAGTATCGATATGGCGATATCCCGCCTTGATTGCCTCTGCCACGGCGTCTTCCTGCTCGCCTGCATCCTGCCAAGTTCCGAAGCCAATTGCTGGAATCTCAGCGCCAGTGTTCAGCTTGAAGATTGTTGGCATGTCTTGATGTCGCGCAGTCAATTGCAAGCCGCAGTGCTCTGTTCTCGGGTGCTTACTGGCTTCAAGCTGTTTTAGTATGCTCGAGTTCGACCCGCGTCAACATGACGCAGATAGATCGGCCATCATCTTGCTACATATGACGTGGCGATGAAGTTTTGTTGTTCAAGATGATACAAAATGAAACGTCTTTCGCGGAGTCGTCCTGTCTCCGGGCGCAGGTATGGGCACTTTGTAACCATTGATCTTGATCAAGGCTACTCCTCGTTGGTTTGACAATACTCCCTTTTGACTACGGTAGAAGTTGAGAACAGAATTTGAATTTCTTGCTCCCGGTTGATATTGCCTGCAAGACAGACTGTCCAGGATACAGGTGAGTCGTTTTTCATTGGCACTATGGATTCAAAGTCTCCTGCAACGAGACTATCCTGATATTGTGGGCTCGTGGCATAATTCCAACACCGTACCAACTCAGGATCCCATCCAGCGCTATTTTCAAATGGTATGTTGCCATTTTCGCTAAAACGCGTATAAATTTGATTGCAGTTAACTCTGAAATACCATCAATTGATCAGAATCGACAATCGATAAGCAAGATATTTTCCCGAGGTGTAGACAGCTACGGGGCTCGGTTGTTTCGATGTTTGATGCCAAGACAAACAGCACCAAAGGTCCAGCTCGGCTGCCGTAGCCCACCGCTTTGGTTTATATAGCGAACTCCACTCGCAAATTTTTTTCTTCCTCTTCCCATGCTTGCAACCTTCCGGATTGGAGCTTAAAGCTCTCTCCTCATTTTGTTTTTCTTCTCAGCTCTGACTGTGTCTGATGTTGGCACATGTCTTAGCTGCGCCTCCAAGGCCGATGTGATCATCGGTGCTTCCAATATTCTTCTCTAAAAGGTAAGGACAACTTTTTTTTTTTTTTTCTGGCAACCCCAACCCTTCCGGGGATGATTACATTCTAGACATGCAAAGGCATTCCTCAAGCAGAAGATCCATGTTGAATCTGTCATATTTTTTAAGTTTCAGCCTTGTCTGACCCAACACAATAACCTTGTCACATTATTATGCCATCGTTTGAACGAATCTTTGACTAACAATCTGTCGTTCAGGTAAATCAATCTTGCTTCCACACCCATGATCCCATTGCGGCTGTTGCCTTGCATGAAGAAATTTTGAACGAACGGGCGGACATAACGTACCCATCTTTCATGCAGCCGAAACAAACGGAGCGTACAAACTCTGTGGAGGCATGCGAGGTGGATCACTTGTTGAGAATTCGTCACCTGACCCATTGCCCTTGTCACGATCATGTCACGTCACATCGACAAGTTGAATTCGGTTTTTCTAACAGAAATTCTAGGTAATTCATTTCTCTCGTCTCGCTGTCTTTCTGCAACATGGTCATATCTATATGATGAATGTGTTATTCACACTGTTTGACCTGGACTTCGGTCCGGGAATGAACATTTATACAAAAATCTGATTTAATGAGGTATGTGTCGATCCAAGAGAAGAAATTTTCCATTTTTTTGCTGACTGACCTCAAGCCTGACTAGTTACCATGTCATGATTTTGCTTTTGTCTCTTGCATCTTGCTTGAATGCCATCGCTGACTCGACATACAAGTCAACTAATAGGAAACTGAATGATGGTCTTGTCTGGCTTGTTGACCGTGAGTTCACCTCCATCACCCTTCCCACTATTGCCTGATGAACCCTTAATATTCGCTGTGTTCTTTCTGAATCATCATGTCGATACAATATTATTTCACCTTGGAGAACTGATCTTTTCCTTGACTGCCATCATATCACTCACATCATGATATGATCCTTTGCTAACTAGCATTGCAGAAGTCTGATACCACCATCAAATTACGAATTTAATAATATCAATAATTTCTGTGCATCACTTTTCTAAGTTTCGAATCTCAACGTAAACTATCTTGTACATTCTCAAAGTCGACCCCGTATGACAACCACCTGGGCGCTGGTCGTCTTCAACTTTGGGAACTAGAGGTTACTCAAAAAATAGACCATGTTTCTTGTGCCATCCTTCGAGGCTATCCTCACCGTACACCTCGTGCACGCTTTTCTTGCCCTCGGGCCATCGTGCCCACGCTGGCTTCGAGCCTTCCATGATACATACCATCTCATCCGGGACTGGCAATTCTGTATCAATCGCTGATGCAAATGGGTGAATCAACTCGGGCCAGTGGTGATCCCATAGCCATAGCATAGTACTGCAATTTGAGCAGAAGTTCCTCTCGGAAGAACAAAGCTCTGCCTTTGGCGTGCCACGGTCTTTAATTGCGGTGTATTTCCTAGCCACGGCGTCAGTTATCACGATTCGCTTGCATAATGGTCCTTCCAATGTCCTGTCACCTGGACACATGGCTGTCATCAGGGTGAGACTATGGGGCTGTGGAAGGTTGGATTGCTTCGTACTTAATCATGTCTTTTCCCTTGATTATGTTCAGACTATCCGCTATTCCGCCTAGGTTGACGCTGCCAAGGTGCCCGCCAACTTTCCGGCAAATGCTGCAGGCACAAAGCTGGTAAGGGACTGGCGTTTGGGACTGGAGGGTGAATTCGATGCCTCCACACTGGCAGCTTCCTTCGAGCTTCCTGGTCACTATGTCAGTATCCATGGGATAGAGGAACAATATTTACATACATGGGCATGATGGAAGATAGTTGGAAAGAATACTTGGTGCTTTGAGCGTTCAATTTTCAAGCTTGGGATGCAGCAAGGTTTCGAGAACTATGAAGTCAGAAGTGTCGGCCTCGAGAGACGCGGAATATATACTTCTGAGATTTGAAGGAGAAAACGACGAAGTTGAAGTCCACGGGTTGAAACAAACAAACGACGTAATTGAACCAGAGACAAATATCCTCTGCATAACCTCCATCCAATCCAAATCCCACGATTAAAGATATCGTCCTGTTTCCCCTCTATTCCGCATCTCCCAACACATCATCGAGGCGATTCCGCTGCTGTGATTGGTCCCACAGGTGTTTGCACAGTTTGTCTTGTTTGCTTCCCATTCGATCTCGATATTCACCAGTCGCATCGCGCTACTTTTCCAGCACAAGTCAGCACAAAAGAAGATCCTTGCTCAATATAATCTCGAGTGCAGACCCTCTGAGTCATCCAATATGAGTTTCGGAGCCCCCGGAGGTGGTTCAGTGAACATCAAGCCTACACCGTGAGTTGAAACCCAAGCCACTGTTCTTTCGCAGTCACCGCAATGGTTGGCTTGGCTTGTCTGGGATGAATTTATTTACTAACCTATGATCTGTACTATAGGCCCGAGCGCGGTAGCTTCCCCCTCGACCATGAAGGTATGCCGATCTGCCACCCAGCGCAGAGCGCAGAGCTCCGGCGAGACCAGCGGATACAGCGGACTGATAACGATGTTCGACAATACAGGAGAATGCAAGCACATTATCTCGGGATACTTGAAGTGTATCAAGCTCAACAGAGGCACCAACGACGAGGCGTGTCGCAAATTGGCCAAGGACTATCTTGCCTGTCGGATGGACAAGTACGTTGGTTCTTTGCGTGGAGGCGCTATATCTATTTGCTCGGACATCGCTTCTACATCCCAAGCGCTGGAACAGATTGCTGACCATCCGATTTAGAAATCTCATGGCCCCAGATAGTTTTGAGAACCTGGGTCTGGTCTTCAAAGGCGCAGGAGAGAAGGGACCGGACTCAGCGCCACCGACCGATGCAACAGAAGGCAAGAAATGACATGGGTATCGCAGGTGAGGCGTTGCATGATGTACGATATGAAGAGAGGATTGGCGCGAGTCCAAGTTCTCCAGGTAGTGCTGGCATGATTAACGGCGTTGTACATATTACTTGGCAAGCCAACCGAGATGAAATCGATTGGAATGTCAATTTTGGTAAAACTCGTGGAGTCAGTGTAGTATGTGTACAGCGTCCCAGGGCTCGTAACTAGAACCCGGAGTGTTGAATCCTACCCGTTGGCTCTTCATGCGGGGAACTTCCGCCCAGCCACATTTGACGATCTCTAACTCCTCGGGGCAAACCAGGACGTCAAATGTCGTCAATCGCACGGCCTCCAGATCCATGCCTGGTGGCAATAATTCTCATAGTTCGCTCACGTACCGGCCCGCGCCTCGTCTTCCATTACCCTCCGAACCCCCTCAGCGAGAACCGCCTCAAGACCACCACGAAGGGCGGCCGTCGCATCTCCCGCACTCGCACCCGACAGGGATCCAAGAACACCGATTCGAGTTCCAGCGATGACAGTGGACTGAGCTCCGACGAGGACGAGGAGGAGCGAGAACTCCAAAACCAGAGCCAGAGCCAGAGCCAGTCTCACGGCCAGATTCATGGCGGAGGTGCGAGTTCCGTATTGGCGGGTCGCAGGGCAAGCAATTTCGCCCTTGATGAACTTTTATTAAATGCCACATCGCCCGCGGCTGGCGATACTCAGAGACCTGGATCACTAGGCTCTGGACGGGGCTCCTCAATGCGCAAACGCGGCGGAGCTGGCTCTGATCCGGAGGAAGACGGTGGGACATCTGACCGGCCTGACGATGGCCCCGGAAGCTCTAGACCACCCTGGGAGTCAATTTTGGGCGTCCCCGGGAGTGTGTGGGAGAAACTTTTGAGCCCTTCGCGCTCATGGCACAAGCGGCGGTTTGAGGTTGGGATCAACGACCTCGCGCTTATCGGGTGGCCCGTCTTCGTGCGAGAGGATGGAACATGGCGCAAGCAAAGGCGCAAGAAAACGAAGAAGCCGCGCCCTGACTGGGATGGGGGAGAGCTAGGCCACAATGAGAATGCCGATGATGGCCCAAAAGACGAACGCTTCACGATGTCTCCTGATTTGGGTGCCAGTGTTGCTTCTATTGCGGATTCCTTGATATCGCCCACAGACAGTAAACGGGGATCGACGAGCGGGAGACCTGGGAAACCAGATGAGACCTTTGACCCCGATGACAAGGATCATATGACGATGTTCAATGTGGTGTTTGTCGTGGACCCGCCCTTGTTGGAGTACTCAATGCGCGTGAAGGAAATCTATGACAACATCATCAAGAAGTTCGCCAAAGCACTCAAATGGGAGCAAGCTCGCACCGACTATGTCTGGAAAGAGTCCCAGCATATCTTACAGGTCCGACGCAGGGCCAGAGAGACGAAAACCTCGACCCATAACCTTTATTCCGAATTGATATCTCAATCCTCGCTGGCTCGGGCCATATACACCGTCTACAGCAGCATATCGGCATCCAAAATTGCATCAGTGTCGCTTAGCCCAGATGTCTCCATCTCGCTGCAAATTCCACCTCTAACTTCTACACCATGCCTCGCTGGCCCCATGGACAAATCGTACCCGGGCCTATGGCTGACAACGGCAGACAGTGCCACTCCGGCCGACGACCCTGGAGCCGATGAGAATAACACGCCCCATCAAGTCCTGGCAAAACATTTTGCTCTGCTACTGCTAGATAGCGAAGCTGCCATCATTAAAGATGTCGAGGCCTCCGGTGGAGCGCTTGCTCCTGCACTTGCACACTACATCCGATGCTCGAAACCGACTAAGTCATTCGCGCAAATATCAGCGTCCTCGGGAATCCCCCTAGCGCACATCCAAATGCTCTCAAGCCACCTTGTATACTGGCGGCGTGCTCGTGCGATCCCACCAATTCACCAGAGAGACACCTATATTGTTTCTCCAAATTGCGATCTCAGCAAGCTAGAGATAGCCACTGTTGCTTACCAGACAGCATTCCCGACATACCCAAGCTTGCCCAAGATGTTGTCTACGCTCAGTGGCACCCCACGCCCATACAGCAACTTCATACCCAGCAAAGACCACAAAGAGATTTACTTCACCATTCTGGCGTGGTTGCTACGTGGTGGCTGGGTCACCCAGCTCCGCACCTTTGCGCGCATCAAAGTCTCACCTGAGATCAAAATGGCCGTGGAGCTTGCCCTACGGAAGGAGGAGGTCGACCGGTATCTGGCAAAGGGCGCCTCAAACTCTCTTTCAATCGAGTCAGGAAGCGACCACGAGGAAGCTGGCGACGCACATTCTTCCTCGTCATCTTCACTCGAAAGTCAGGAGAGCGGAGAAGAAACGCCCATGCCTGGCCGCACCGACCCACACGCCCAACTTCGTTTCTCCCACAAGCTCCTTGACCGATCCACGGCCCTACGCCTATCCTCCTTCATTCTCTCTCCACACCGGGCCTCTCCCTTGGAATCCCGCTGGTTGGACGAGATTGTCCGCCGATTCCCCGACAATCCCGGGATCGAGCAGGATGAGGCGAACACCAGCCCGGATATCACGCCCAACGATATCCAGACCATCCACAAGAAGTACTGGCCTGTCTTCCTGAAGTACTTCAATGGCCTTGATGCACTGGAGAAGATCTCTGTGCGTGAGAACCTTAAGCGCAAGCTGGTCTGGCAGGTTCTCATGCGATTGGGCCTGGTGACTGGACCACTGGGATCGATTGATCTTGACGCTCGCGAGCAGGTCTTGGTTAGCGTTCGACACTGGTAGACACAAAAGCAACGTGTTGGAATGGAATCAGATCGCTGATAGCTCACTTTGGGAGCTCATATGGTAATTTTTATAGATCAACGGACACCTGAGGCAGTATTTGCGTCGCCCGGGTAATACAGCGTATTTTAATTACATACCCACTCCCATTCCGTTGGTTTCCGTCGTGCCCTCAGCCCTAATCTGTGCCGAAAGCACAACTTTGAAACATGAGGTGAAAGTAGACGGTTTGGGATTGAATTGGTAGTTAGATGTTATTTGGATGTAAGGGATTATTTGTAGGGTAGTTTGTATGGAAGATCCTGGTACGAAGTGTCCAGGAAGTACTTGGGGCGCTCACGTGCTCACCTATGTTCACATTCTTCAGTCGCACAATAATGAAATGGGATCGCCTGGTAGGTAATTTTGTTATTTTGGCCCTGTCGCTTTGCATTGGCATTAGAAATTTGTGAAGTAATTAAATACCTAAGTCTGTAATACCTTTACCCCGTAGCCGGTTTCTATATCCGAACAATTGAACTACTATACAATGTATTCTCTCTGCCTGAGATATGTACAGTAGGTGTGTGATCTTGGTGCCACATCACCAGGTAATGATACCTGTCATACTATCAGGAAGACTCGACTTTTGATCAGATACTTCGATTGTGCGCCAATGGCCGGAGGGGTCGGTGGACCCCGCGATATTGAGATGGAATTTTTCCCTCACGATGATCGGACCAAGGGATCCTTACAAGCTGTATGCCGCCGTATGCCGCCGGGTGATATCGTATCTGGGCCAGTGAGACCATGGCCATTGCCGATTCCAGCTCTCTTGTACGGCCAGTGGAATGAAGGTGAAGGTTCCGAACAATAAAGCCATCGGGTTATCCAATTGGCTGAACATGGTCGCTTTAGACCTCAGGACCCTGAACTATTGCCATTTGACAGCTACTTTAATTTAGCGGAACTCAGTGTGGCCTAGGTAAATGTCGGCTCATTGTTTGCAGCTTCCAGGTGTGTTTATGCCCAGGGATGATGCGGTGCAGAGACCTCGGCAAAGAAGGTACTCAAAAGTGGACTTGGAGCCATCAGGGTATTCTACGGAGTACGTCAAGAGGAATTCGGATTTGCCAACAAGTGAAATAGTCATAGTATAGTATAACAATAACTGTACTTGGTGGAGGACGTGGCTAGAAAGTAGGGTAACGAGGCACGGAGGGCTAGAGTCGATACCCAAGTACTCCAGGCAAGGACGCAAAAGCCTGAATTAAAGCACAGCCCAATTGCTTAGAATAAAAGCGATAGAGAAAGAATAGCGAGGCTGCAAGTGCAAAGTGCAAAGAACAATACCCATTAATTACGTGTAAAGAAAAAACCCCGCTACCAGTTCTGCCCTGAACCAAATAATTTTGCGTTCTTGACTTTCTCTCTTCCACCCCTCCGCATCGGGCTGTTTTCCCTTCTCTCGCACCTTTTCTCCGCGTCACTTACCTCGCGATACCTGGTCTTTGACTTGATCGCGTCAAGTTCTTTTACTCGTTTCTCAGAATTCCCGTGCATCCCGGCTGACGCTGTACCTCTGATTAGCGCACACGCTTTTGTACCGGGAATTTTCTCCTCTCAACCTGTGCGCGAGCGACGGTTGATCTTTCCCTCCGAGAACCCCATACGTCCCTTTCGCGGGAACTGGTCTGCCTCTCTGAAACACGGGAAGCTACAATCCATTCCGGTCTCAAGGTGGAAAAATAATCCCTCTTGATTCCAACAGGAGACGTCACGCCAGCAGGCGCAGATTGAGATCTCCAGAGTCGAGAAAGGTCGCTTGGGCACACTAACCCGCAACCTCAAATCAGACTCGATCCTTCACTTTTTTTTTTCTTCCTCCCCACAACCTTACGAGCAGAGCTACCGGCTCTTCGTTCGATATGTCTACTTTCTCGTACGCACAAGCTGCCAAGGGCAACTCCGGCACAACGGCCCCAGCCAAGACGCCATCAGAGCCCGAGAAGACCGAAACCCCGGTGGTGGAGCAGACTAGCACTGAGACCACAACCGAGACCGCACCGGCTCCCGCCGAGTCCGAGGCCCCTCAAAAATCCGAGAAGGCCGTCGTTGAGGAGAAGGATGACGACTTCACTACCGTCACCAACAAGCACGCTGCCAAGTCCAAGGCACTGAACTCCCGAACATCCAGCCCGAATGTCCGCCCCGGCTCCAAGTCGCGCAAGACCAAGGAGGAGGACTCATCAAATACCGCGAATGGCACCGCGGATGCCACCGAGAAGCAGGCTTCCACCGATGGACAGACTGAGAAGGCCGAGGGTGCCGCAGAGAAGTCGACTGAAAAGTCCGAAGATGCCGAGAAGAACACACCCCCCAAGGAGCTGAAGGCTGCTCCTCTCCCCTCGGTCAACATCTGGCAGCAGCGCAGGGAGGCGCAGGATCTCAAGGTCAAGGTCGTGCCCAAGTCCGCTGCTACCGGCAAGGCGGCCTCCACCAAGGCGGCCTCGAATGCGGATGAAAGCCAACAGGACTCATCCAAGGCTTCCAAGAAGAAGGGCACCGACGGTGCCTCCGAAAACAAGGACCGGAAGAAGGCCGAGGGTGGAAAAGCACGTGATGCCGGTAAGACGCCCAATTGTTTGCGATGTTCAGCTATGTCGGTCCACTTCGGCCGGTAGATGGACGATGGAACTTTCCACCGCGGCAGAACATCCAGAGCTAACGTTATTATCAGTTCCCTCAGTAGAGGACTCCACCGCGTGGCCTACCCCTCAGGTCGCGATCGTCGAAGAAAAGAAGAAGACTCAGGAGAAGACCGATAAGAGCCCTGTGATCAGACCCCATGGCAAGGAGAAGTGGACCCCTGTCCCATACGTGCCTACCGCCGTCTTCAACACCCCTCTTCCCTCCGCCGGTGGTGGCGGTAACGGTGGTGGTGGCGGTCGTGGAGGTAGACGGGCCACTCGTGGTGGTCGTGACGGAGGCCGTGGAGCGCACGGAAACGGCGCGGCTGGTGTTGACAAGACTGCCTCTGGTCAGGCAGCTCAGGGCGCTAAGCAGGCATCCGGAGAGCGAGGACGTCAAGAGTCTGGCACCGGACGTGCTGCCTCTCTCCCCGCCCAGTCTCGACGCTCCACCAGCACCGATGCTGGCGCCGCTGCTGATGCACGCAAGGCCACCCAAGCCACCGAGAGAGGCCGTGGACCCCGCAATGGAGACGAGAACATCAATGGTAAGCAGGTGAACGGAGGAGAGAATGTCCCCCGCGCCCAGCGCGAGGGCAAGGCCTTTGGCCGGAACCAGGACCCCCGCCAGAAAGGTGGAAACCTGGCTGTTGACCCCCAAGCCGCAGCCCGCTCCAACGACCGCCGTTTCGAGGCTGGCTCCAAGTCCGCCGACCCCGCTGGCTTCAGCGATTTCAGCCGGGAACGCGGCGAGTTCCGCTCCGAGCGTGGAGGTCGTGCCAACCGCGGCCGTGGTGGCCCCTACTCTAGCTTCGGCGGCCAGAACGCCCAGTTCGGCAACCCTGCCATGAACTCCTTTGCTGGCAACAAGCCCTTCGGCTTCAACGACCGTCAGCGCTCCCAGCAGCACGCTATGCCCAATGGCGCTCAACAACCTAACCGTATGCCCCTCCGTTCGCCCTCTTTGCCAAATTCTGGAAATGTTTATGGTGTTTATCAATACCCAGGTGACATCAACACGATGTATGGCTACCAAGCTGTGAACCCCGCCCCGATGAGCGCCATCCCCTACCAGCAGTACATGGAGCCTTATGCGCTCCTTAACCTGCTCTCTATGCAACTGGAGTACTACTTCTCGGTCGACAACATGTGCAAGGACATGTTCCTCCGCAAGCAGATGGATTCCCAGGGCTTCGTTCCTCTGCACGTGCTCGCCAGCTTCAAGCGTGTCAAGTCTCTCACTGAGGATTTCGAACTTCTGCGTCACGTCGCTCGCCAGCTCCGCACCGTTGAGTACCACACCAGCGAGGATGGCGTCGATCACCTGCGCCCCCGCGAGAAGTGGCAGCAGTGGGTCCTCCCTGTGGACCAGCGTGAGCCCGCCGCTCAGCACGAAGGAGCCGCCCCGATCCCCAAGTCCGACGAGAACGCCCCGATTAACCCCCAACCCGAAAGCGCCATCAACGGCTCCGCTCCCCAGTTTGTTCCCAACGGTACCGCCAAGACTTCCTTGTCGTCTACCGCCCCGGAGTTCATGCCCTCCGTGCCACCCACGGCCGGTAGCGAGATCACCAATGTAGGATACCCCATGGATTCCCCTCTGTCCCCCGAAGACCTCCCTGCGTCGTTCGTGCCTTTTCCCTGGGATGACCCAAATGTTGACATCGATCCAGCGCGCGGATTAGACTCCCGGTCCGAACCCCCTCTCCCCTCTGATCTGGTACCAGCTGCGGGTCCGATGAGGTATGTGCTTGCTCATGGGGAGAATGCACACTTGGTGAAGCATTAACTGACTCGGTGAATAGCTTTGACAAGAAACCCAACCCATTTCATGCCAGCGGTGCTGCACATACAGTGGAAAGTTCCTTTGTTGAATCACGTCACCCGGAACCCAACTCATCGGGGGGGAGACGTCCATTCACCGATACGCTCAATTATGTTCCCAATTCTTTCGATTCGTCTTTCAACGGCCGAGGCCGATCGGTGGCCAGGAGATCTAGTATCGAAAATTCTGCGTCTTACGAATCCTGGTCGTCGCTCTTGGCACAAAATTTCGATTTCAACCTGTACAATGATTTTAGGCGTTCAGCCCTTGATGACCTTCTTACACGACATGTTGACCACGGATTCAATGCGCTCGTGGAGTTTTATCGGAAATCCCTGCTTACCCATCGCAACATGCCTGATAGGGTGATGATGGATATGGTCTCCCTTTCTCAGAGAGGGCCGGACTTTCACACTATCATATTCAATACGATCAACGACGCCCTGGCCAGTGGAAACATGAAGATGATAAATCGGCGAAAAGTCAACAAATATTTCAATACCCAGCACGGCAAGACGCCCGAAGAAAAGTTATCATGTTGAGCCCTTTCGCATCTTTTTTTTTATTCTCTCTCAAATTTGCTCGTTTTGCCTTTTCTACTCACTTTGCGACTCATTTCCGTTTGCTCAATTCATCATGACCCGCATTCTTTTTATCCTTCTCGAAAGGCTTTTTGCATGCATATTCGCCAACTTTTTTTTTTCTAGAGTGCCAATGGACCATACCTTGCTGCAACAAGTCTTGGTTTTTTGGTCCTTGCGAAACCTCGGGGTTCTCTCGTCTTTTCTGCTTCGGATTTCCTTTTATCGCTTGCTTTTGTCATGGGAGGCTTTCAAAACGTTCCGGCGTCTGGTCATGATTCCTATTTTTTTTTTAACCCGGCAGTATTTTTTTTTTCCTCTTTTTTTTTTCGACAACCGCCGCTGCGGCGTCCCGGTCAACAAAAATGGTTTATTTCCCTTGACATAGAGATTTGCACTTGTTCCATCTTCTAGGGCTGCGGTCTTTTTTTTTCTTCAATATCGATCCAATGCATTCTCGACTCCTTGATTCGACTCGGATTCTAACCAGTATCAACCCGACAATGACTCAGAAAACAAACGCCCGAAGGTGTTCTCTTCTGATGTTCACTAATTGCCTCATTTACTACGCCATCCGGACATCGACTGATCCCGGCATTGTTACTCTGTCTGGGGGGGTTTTTTTTTTCGGAGAACGTCTATGCTAGGCTGCCACTGGTGCGCTCTTAGCCAACGGATCCCAATCTTCGACATGGAAATAGCCTCGGTTACTTCTGTGCCTCTTTGTTTTTTCCTGCACAGCAGACTGTGTTCGTCTACGGTGTTTTTTGCATAAACAGACCTAATGTCTTTGCGGAGTAATACGATTGATATGCATATCACGAGCTAATTGACTCTCTTTCGTGAAATTATTGTAATGTACGTAGTATAGGTTGCATAGATGCATCCCTCCAGCGAGTCCACATCGGCCCATTGTCCAGGAGGCGAGCTGCCACCAGCTTCTAGGGATGATTGGTGCTACAAATGAACCGAAAATTTGTTTTTGAAAAGGTTTGGGGAGCGTTGTATGTATACATCTCCAGGGCTCCAGGGCTGACCTACTTCGTGCTCACTCCACCAGATTTCATTGGTGCCTGAGGCACCAAGACCTTCTGACCAAACGGACATAACCAATTCCGCCCGAAACCTAGACTCCGCAGAGCTCTTCCCATCATCAACTTCTCACCATTCATTCTCGCGTCAAGATGGGCGCATCTCGCCAGTGCACCCGGCTTCTACGGCCAAGCCAAACCCTCCCCCGCCACCCCCGAACCGCGACATCGTTCGTCCAGACCCAACACCGAACCCTGTCAAATACCCCCTCAAAGCCCGCCCCAGAATCCATCTTCAACAACCTCCGAGCGAGTGGCCCCTACAGCGATGGTCCCACCAGCTATTTCTCCACCCGAAAGACCCTGCCCGCAAACACTGTCGTGCGATTCGTACCTCAACAGACAGCATGGATCGTCGAGCGCATGGGTAAATTTGACCGCATCCTGGAACCCGGTTTAGCTATCCTTGTGCCTTTCTTGGACCGGATCGCATACGTGAAGAGCTTGAAGGAGGCTGCGATTGAGATCCCCAGTCAGAATGCCATCACGGCTGACAACGTCACTCTGGAGCTGGACGGTGTGCTATACACGCGGGTGTTCGACGCATACAAGGCAAGGTGAGTTTCTAGTAAAAACGGTGACCATAATCCCCTAGGTGGGGAACTAGTTTACAGAGATTTGTTGCTGACGTCTGGTTGATTACAGCTATGGAGTTGAAGACGCAGAATACGCTATTTCGCAGCTTGCGCAAACGACGATGCGGTCAGAGATCGGTCAGCTCACTCTTGATCACGTTTTGAAGGAACGTGCCAACCTCAACACAAACATTACCAAGGCCATCAACGAGGCTGCCCAGGAATGGGGCGTTGTCTGCCTTCGCTACGAGATTAGGGATATCCATGCGCCGGAGAAGGTCGTCGCGGCTATGCACCGCCAGGTCACCGCTGAGCGCTCCAAGCGCGCTGAGATTCTCGAGTCAGAGGGTCAGCGCCAGAGTGCGATTAACATCGCCGAGGGTCGCAAGCAGTCTGTCATTCTGGCGTCTGAGGCTCTGCGTGCTGAGCAGGTCAACCGCGCCTCCGGTGAAGCTGAAGCTATCAAACTCAAGGCCGAGGCTACTGCCCGTGGTATTGATGCTGTTGCTCAATCTATTGAAGAAGGTGGCGAGAACGCCCACAACGCTGTTAGCCTCAGCGTTGCGGAGAAGTATGTCGCGGCCTGGTCGAACTTGGCTCGTGAGGGTACCGCCGTTGTTGTCCCCGGAAATGTGGGTGACATGGGCGGTATGATTGCCAATGCGATGGCTGTCTACGGCAAGGTCAGCGAGACACAGGCTCGGGGTTTGGCGAAGAAGACTCTTAGTGTCGAGGATTCTCAGTCGCCCAAGACCTCTACTTCTGAGCAAGTGGAAACACCCGATGTGGTCTCGCAAACTGTGACTGAGGGATTTGACGCGGTCCGCCCTCTGAAAGAATAAGATGTCTACATCTCACCCAATCGAAACGAGAATGACGACTCCTCTCTTGTGTGGCTAGATCCACATCTCCACATACTTTCATCAATCGTCTCAGCGTCCCGATACTTCTGATCTCCATTGGACTGTTGGAACTGTTGATCGTCGCTCTGGGCCCGAAGTCACCGAAATATGTCTTATCACTGGATTCCCTCCGCCATTACTTTCACTGCCCTCTACCTTTTCATCATTTCGTTGCATTTTTCGGGAGTCATTCAAAATGCATGAGCTTCGCTATGCATGGGGCCTTGGACCTACCGGTGATGCACCCATCCCCTATGTACACATCAAGGAGTAATCATCGATCAGAAAGTTAGTGGAGAGGACAGCCCAATGTACTCTACAATTATTAGCATCTCCACCACCCATCACCTCACTGAACCTTGGGATTGGTAGCCGCATTGTAAAAATGTTGAAGACTGCTTGAACGTAGTCTTTGCTTCAGAAATTTGGCAATGCCGATACCTTGTCGACACAGCCCGGCGAGGCCTGTGAAATCGACACCGAGTCCCACACAGCAAGTTCGGAAAACAATTCCATTCATGAAGCGGTTTGCACCTCTATTCAGAAAACTTGTGGTTTGTCCAATCGTCCGACAAACACCCGGCCGTTCGAATCCCGTGGCCGTGGCGGTTTATATTCATCAGCTCATTAGACCAACCTGCCCGATAACGCTGGTATATCTATAATTTCCCTGCGGAAATCTGATTCTCGGAGTAGGGATATAGAATCTATCATAGGTAAACAAAGAACCCTGAAGCCACCGAAAGAGCCCATTGATAGACACAAAGCCAACCTTGGAACGATGTGCATACAATGTGCTCCGTACTGACAGGGATAGAAGCACTTAGCCATTTGAAAGAACAAAGAGGACACAAGCTGATAATGAGCGACAAGGAGGACATAGAGCCTTTATGACCATCATTGACCTCTTTGACAAGCTGCTATAATTGTTTATCTCCCGCTACAGAACAGAGAGGATAAATAGCCTCGAGTTTCCCAGCATATCGAGTATCACCAGCCTCAAGCTACTCAAACTACTCAAATACACACAAACCTTCCAAACACTCACTATATCCAACCATGTCTTCCAGTCAAATGAGCGAGAACCGATTCCACGAGGCCTGCAAAATCCTCGCTGATTCTATCTCAAGCACAATTGACCGTCTCAACAACCGGGAAGAGCGCATCCATTCCCTGATCGAAGCTATCAATAATCAAGGTATCGAGGTTCTTCGTATCGTGGATCTTGCTAAGGCCATGACACTGAAGGCTCCAATGTGCGCCACCATCCTCACCAGCCCTCCTGGCTACTTTGTTCAGGATTTCAAGCAGGCTTGTATGGACAAGGTGATCCCTGCTCTCTACCTGGCTGTGCATGCACTCAAGAAGTGTGATAAAGTTGATGCCGATGTCTACTTCAAGACTTCTGAATTGCTTGAGCAGGCGTCCGATGATATGCTCTTTGCTCTTGACAGCCAGGAGTAGGGTAAGATTTAATGTTTTCTAGGTATCTATCGTACTTCCAAAGTTATAGAAGAATTACAGAAAATTGAAAAAGAATTGGATTTGACCAGGTAAAACTAGTAGGCGCTCTGTCCAAGTTTCTGCTTCCAACCTTGGAAGGTTAACATACTTTTTCCAAGTCCAAAGGTGAGAATATATTCCATACATAGCTACTCGTACTTCCACTGCCCAGTACCTGGGTAGGCGAGGCTCATGGCAAAAGTGTTGTCATCCTGAGCCTATTCCTAAGGCCCAATCTTGAATAAGTAATGGCATTGGTGCTCCCTACATGCTGCTGGCTCGGTTTAGATTGAATTTGGTCACCATTTGTAGACAATTCTTACCTCTAGGGCTAGTACTACAGCTGACTCCAAGGCTCCCAAGGTCGTGCCTAGTAGTACCTAGGTATGTACTCCGTACCTAGGTATGTACTCCGTACTTCCTCCAATGCGTCAGATCATCATCAGCCAGACATACCAGACCGTGGTCTTCTCCAGGGCTGGCCTGTTCAATACTAGTAGTTGACACATCGTATATGCACCCGTGTTCCAGCTACTAGGTATGGTTGAGCTGTAGATCTATCACATCTCGAACCTTGGAATTTACCTAGGTACGGAGGACAAGCCTGGTACTCCATACTCCGTACAAAGCACAAAAACGACAGATCGATTTGTCCCAACCCGTGGACGTCATATCCGCGAGTGGTGGTGCATCCGTCTATCCCGCGTCTCCCCACTACATATAGACTCCTCCCCTCCCCTAGGACTCTCTCCCTCCACATCCCCTCAAATACGATTCACCATGCCTTCCAGAAACTACACCACCAACAGCTCCGGCTCCAATAGCCAGGTATGTTGTATCCACCTTGTGAGACAAGGTCCAGCACAGCTGTCACCTACTCCGTAGTTGATGATTGAATGAGGGAGTCAGTACGAGGAATATCGATGTGCTGACTCAATGATCAGGGTAACCACTACTGCTCGCGTGATTATGGCTCCAGTGCCTCGAACTCCAACAGCTACCATTACTCCAACACGTAAGTCCTATTTGGAGACAAGGCAACTGCAAGCATGAATCACACACTCACTGTTTGTAGGAACGGATCTTACTACTACTCCAACCCCAATGGAAGTTCCTACTACAACAGTGGATTGGGAAGCTCGACCTACACTCCCCCCTCCGGAGGCTCTGGAAAGAAATAAGCGTTGGGTTCGATCTCAATCCCCACATATGGGTTTTTGGCATAACGAAATCGATCACACAAATAGCTCTGAATTTGATATTAATCGGCAAAGCCCGAGTGCACACCGTACTTATTGGGAAACGCTTGTAAATCTTTATCATTTGCCCCAGGAAGTGCTCAGTACGGCTCATAAGCGGAGTCGATGAGGACTGCAAAATTGGGGGAGTACCGTGTTTGTAGCAAATGAGTCTCATCCATGGACCCATGGATGCAATCAAGTAAAGCACGCTCGGGGATTGCATAGATGATCTTGGGTACATAGTTAAAGCTTGAGTTACGTACCTAGTATATAGCGCATCCATTACTTCACGGACAGGTTTATATATCGATGATATTCAGAGCATTCATTCGAAGCATTGAATTGGCAGATACTAGTTGCAACATGCGAGAATAAGCAAAAAGCCCACAGGATGTAAAGAGCCGGTATCCTAGAGCAATCGACATGTCATTTGGGCATCAAAGGCTAATCATTGCATATCCGATGTACGGAGGAGATGACTGGACTACAACTACACATCAGCTACTGACAGTAGTACAGTGACTGTAGAGAAGTACCTAGTAACTCGATAGTATGGATGGTCACTTGTAATATATACACCTTGCATGGGAGCAGGTGCAGAAAACAGTCAGAAGTCGATAAAAAGAACTGATCTCCTGTCGCGGGAGCTCGGACCAAGTGAATCCGGAGATCGCGACTTAACCATCGCGCCCTTTTTATTTTCCCACCCCCGTCCTCCTTGCACCTGTGACTCCCTGGGACATGTCCAATACTGTCTGAATTGAATCGAACCCGAATCACACGCGCCAGAACGTGTCACAACTCTTCGACACGGTCATCCAGGGCTCCTGACAAGCGAATTGCGCCGCGCGAGGCCTGGCGCGATGCATATCATCAAGCCGGTCTGGCTCACTCACGGAGGTATGGAGCTACATCCTGACAACCAGATTCTCAGTGCTAGGGGTGTCCGGGCACTGGGACCGCTGGTTCTTACCCCATGAGGGCGGAGTCGCTAATCCCACTTCTCGGACAGGTGAACGAAAAGATTTCGAAGTTTACAGTTGCGATGTGTCCCCGGATGGCAAGAGACTGGTAACAGCGGCGGGAGGTGAGCATCGCTTTTTCTGAGCTCGGGGCGGAGAGCACCGTGTGCCTGGACGACTGATCGTGGGGATTCTGACTGTGAGCAGATGGATACGTTCGAATCTGGTCCACGGAGGCCATTTACGGGACCGGAAATGCCGAACTCGAAGGCAAGCCGAAACAACTGGCGTCGATGAGCAACCACTCCGGCACGATTCACACCGTGCGTTTCTCGCCGAACGGAAAATACCTTGCATCAGGCGCTGATGACAAGATCGTCTGTGTCTACATGCTCGATGCCAATCCTCCCACACACTCGTCAACATTTGGTACGTTTGGAAGATACTAGATTGACAGGGAACCGGAACTGATACCTGGGAATTGTATAGGCTCGGACGAAGCACCCCCCGTCGAGAACTGGCGCACGATTCGTCGATTGATTGGCCATGATAATGATGTGCAGGATCTTGGATGGTCATTCGATTCTTCGATCTTGGTCTCCGTTGGACTGGACTCCAAGATCGTCGTTTGGTCTGGACACTCGTTTGAGAAGCTGAAGAGCATTTCGATCCATCAGAGTCATGTGAAGGGCATTACCTTCGATCCGGCAAACAAGTTCTTTGCAACCGCCAGCGATGACAGGACTGTGCGGATCTTCCAATTCACTTCCCCGGCCCCTAATTCTTCAGCGCACGACCAGATGAACAACTTTATTCTCGAGCAAACTATCACAGCACCATTCGCCAACTCCCCGCTGACGGCTTATTTCCGCCGCTGCTCTTGGTCACCCGATGGAATGCATATTGCTGCGGCAAATGCTGTGAATGGACCTGTTAGCTCGGTGGCTATCATCAACCGTGGGTCCTGGGACGGCGATATCAACCTGATCGGACACGAGGCTCCTGTGGAAGTGTGCTCGTTCTCCCCGCGACTGTACTCGACTGAACCCCCCAACAAGAAGCAACCGGATGGCCAGGCAGTGCCGCAAAACCACATCACTGTCATTGCTTGTGCCGGTGGTGACAAGTCTCTCAGTATCTGGATCACAAGCAATGCGCGCCCCATCGTGGTTGCTCAGGAGATGGCGGCCAAAGCGATTTCTGATCTGGCTTGGACCCCGGATGGAAAGTGTCTGTTTGCCACAGCTCTAGACGGCACCATTGTGGCCGTTCGATTTGAAGACGGCGAACTCGGATGGGCTGTGGAAATGGAAGAGAATGAGAAGTCACTCAACAAGTTTGGAACCAACCGAAGGGGCGCCGGCATCACCGAGAACACCGATAGCTTACTGCTGGAGGAGAAGAGCAAGGCAGGTGAAATCAAACACGTCGAAGGACGAATGGGTGCTTTGATGGGCGATGGTGCTGAGTCGACTGCAAATGGAGACAAATCCTCCCGGCCTTCAAATGGAACTACGCCTGCACGCGCCTCGTCACCACCACCCGAGGCCCCCAAAGCCCAACCTAATGGAACAGCCCCAACCCCTACCAGCACGGAGGCCGAGAAACCAGACCCCTACCAAGCCAAGCTCGAAAGACTCAAACAACGACCGACGTATACTAAGGAAGGAAAAAAGCGAATTGCCCCGTTATTGGTCTCCGGAGCTGGTGCTGGGGAATCGTCCCTTCCCCAGGCTCGTTTGATGGCCTCCGTCAGCAATCAAGTCAAGGCAGATGCCCCGAGTACAATTGTCGACCTCTCAAAACCTTTTGATGGGTTACCCAAGGGCGGTCTTACGGCCCTGCTACTTGGAAACAAGCGAAAGCTGGCTCAAATCGACGGCGACGAAGACAACAGCGTGGAAAAGCGCGTAGCGCTCGCTAGTCAAAATAACGCAACCCCCATCATGACCAACACCCTTGAGGGGCTTCTTCCTGCCCAAGTACAGTCTGCCACAACCGGCCAACAACCAACTCCGGAGTTTATTCGACCTGCAGTCACCAACCCCTGTATGTCAGTCAGCCAGCTTCGATTGGCCGTTCCCAAAATTCGCAACCACATCCTCCGAGCCCTAGATTCCAGCGGAAAACCGACCGAGCCACCCGCCCCCGGTGCAGACCCAAGCACCACCAAGGGCCGCGTCGACGTGGTCTTTGAAGCTCGAAACCCATCACCCGCAAGCTTGACCGGCCGCGCCGTGGATCGTGAACCTGTCCGCCTTACGCTGTTCCGCGGGGATCAACCGCTGTGGCAAGATTTCTTGCCACGCACCGTTCTTCTTGTGACTGGTAACCAGATTATGTGGGCTGCTGGCTGTGAAGATGGTTCAATCTATCTTTGGACACCTGCGGGACGTCGTCTAGTCTGTGGACTTGTGCTCGAGGCACAGCCCGTCATTCTGGAGTGCAACGGCCCTTGGATCTTGTGCATCTCCTCAGTCGGTATGTGCTACGTCTGGAACGTGAAACATCTATCCTCCCCTCACCCACCCGTCTCTCTTCAACCCGTTCTGGACGCTGCTGTCCACACCCTCGGCGCAAATCCTACTGCCGTTCCCGCAGTGACAGACGCGCGCATCAACTCGGAGGGCCGAGTAGTCGTCTCTCTATCCAACGGAGAAGGCTACTCCTACTCCCCATCCATGTTCACGTGGCAGCGGATCTCAGAGGCGTGGTGGGCAGTTGGTAGCCAATACTGGAATACAACAGATGCACCTGTCAGCAACCTGCAGGCCAAGGACGCCCAGCAGGATAACAAGGATGCCAAGGCAGCCGTTGCCGCCGGAATCATTCCTTGGTTGGAGCGCAACACTACGAACGAGACCCTTCTTCGTGGCAGGGCATACTTCCTCCAGCGTCTTATCAAGGTGCTACTGTCTCGCGAAGGATACGAGACCTTTGAATCTAGTGTTTCGATTGCCCATCTGGAGAACCGCCTTGCTGCCTCTCTCTCATTAGGCGCCAAGGAAGAATTCCGCCTGTACTTGTCTATGTACGCCAAACGGATTGGTGCTGAAGGACTGAAGCTGAAGGTTGAAGAGCTTCTCAAGGGACTGATGGGTGGTCTGTTCGATGACGAAGATGATGCCAGCGAAGGTATCAAGCAATTGCAAGCCAATGAACGCGAAGGCCGTAACTGGCGCGAAGGATCCGACGATCTATGTGGCTGGCCGCGAGAACTCCTGTTGAAGGAAGTGATTCTTGCTCTTGGTATGTTTTCCCCGTTGTGCTTTTCAATGACCATGACTGACTTTGACTTTCCTAGGTAAACATCGTGATCTGCAACGTGTCACAGTGCCTTATGCCAAGCTTCTCGATATGGTTGACACAGCGTCCGAACAGGGTGATGCGATGGACCTTTAATGACCTTTATCTATACCTCTTTTTGTCTTTTCGACTGGCGTTCACGAGCTTGGGTGGGTAATCTTGACAAAAGGGATTGCGATACGTTCCCAGGCGTTGGGCATGACAAGTTCTCCTTCTGTGTACTTTTAGACTTATTCGGGTTGCTACAATCCTTTCAAATGCCCAGCACTTGAGGTGTGTCCTACCCGTGGACAGTATAAATGGCCCCGGGCGAGTCAGACGTTACCTAAGACATTCCACAAATGACGTCGACCAGGGCTTGGCCATCACGTGGGCGGTCAATTCTCTGCGGGCAGAAAATTCGATGACATCTGGCGCGAACCTCAAAAACTTTGCTTTTGACTCGCAAAAGACGCGTTCATTCCCTCCGTACTCCCTCTTTTTTGTCCATTGATTGTGCCCACTGCATTTGTGGGCAACCGCCATCACGTCTTCCTCGCCAACCCTCTTCTTTCGTATCGTCGATCGATCCGCAGCTGGTTCTGCATTTGGCGCGCTCCATCCTTTCCGCTTCCGCCTTCAAACATCCCCCCACCTCCCACCTCTCTTCTGTCGCTTCTACTCTAGCAAGAAGAAAAAATCCAATAAAATGCCTCCCAAGAAGCAGCAAGTTCAAGAAAAGGTTCACCTGGGCCGTCCAGGAAACAACCTGAAGAGTGGTATCGTATGTGAGCGCCCCACCCTTTTTTTTTTCCTTTTTCCACACAGCACAGTCCACTTTTTAATTCCGCAGAAAAACTATTTAACCCCCCCTTGCCCCCTTTCCTCACATTTTTCTTTTCTTCTTCCTTAACAACCATTCTAATCATGGCGTGACTTGTAGGTTGGTCTTGCCAACGTCGGCAAGTCGACACTCTTCCAGTCCATCACCAAGTCCTCCTTGGGTAACCCGGCCAACTTCCCCTATGCCACCATTGACCCCGAGGAGGCCCGCGTTATCGTCCCCGATGAGCGGTTCGATTGGCTCTGCGACCACTACAAGCCCAAGTCCAAGGTTCCCGCCAACTTGACTGTCTACGATATTGCCGGTCTGACCCGCGGTGCCTCGACTGGTGCTGGTCTTGGTAACTCTTTCTTGTCCCACATTCGCGCTGTCGATGCCATCTTCCAGGTGGTTCGCTGCTTCGATGATGCCGAGATCATTCACGTCGAGGGTGATGTCAACCCCACCCGTGACTTGGACATCATCAGCGAGGAGCTGCGCATCAAGGATATCGAGTTCGTCGAGAAGGCTCTCGATGCCCTCAAGAAGCAGACCCGCCGTGGCGGTCAGTCTCTTGAGATGAAGAAGCTCAAGGAAGAGGAGGCCACCACTGCCGAGATCCTGGAGTACCTCCAGTCCGGCAAGGATGTCCGCTCCCGCGAGTGGAGCCCCAAGGAGGTACGTTTTGAAAATTTCTTTCCCCTTCCACCTGCACCAACTCCTACCCTGATGAATAAGAGCACTGCTCGAAATTTAACCCAGCTCGTTGAGTGCCCTCATATATAAACTCACGAAGAGGGCACCTTGAGAAAAACAGTTATAAACTGAAATTTGGAGTCAATTCACAATCATGTTACTCAATACCTTTTTGAGACATTATGCTAACCACTCTGGTTACAGGTCGAGGTCATCAACCCCCTGTTCCTCCTCACTGCCAAGCCCGTTGTGTACCTGGTCAACCTGAGCGAGAGAGATTACATCCGCCAGAAGAATAAGTACCTCCCCAAGGTCTTCGAGTGGATCAAGGAGCACTCCACCGGATCTCCCATCCTTCCCGTCTCTGCTCAGTTCGAGGAGCGTCTCACCCTTCTGGGTGACGAGGCTGCCGCTCTCGAGGAGTGCAAGAAGCTCGAGACCAAGTCCGGTCTGCCCAAGATCATCACCACCATGCGCACTGCCCTGAACCTTGCCAGCTTCTTCACCACTGGTGAGGACGAGGTTCGCCAATGGACCATCCGCAAGGGTATCAAGGCCCCTGCCGCCGCCGGTGTCATTCACACCGATTTCGAGAAGACCTTCATCCAGGCTGTCGCATACAACTACAGTGTTCTGCGTGAGCTCGGCGATGAAGGCTCCGTCAAGGCTGCTGGTAAGGTCATGACCAAGGGTAAGGATTACGTCGTTGAGGACGGTGATATCCTGCTCATCAAGGCCGGTGCTGCCAAACACTAAGTGCACATACGTTGTAGACAATATATGAATGATAAATCAGTCTTAACGATCCCATCTGAGTTCCTTGTAAAGCTTCCATCCAAAGTAGAGTCTTCAGCATCTATCACTATCATGCACTGTGTCCGCATTCCCAATGTCATATTTCGTACAGACCTCGGGCAACGCATTCGAGAAAAAATCCGAGGGCGATCTGCTAGTCACGTGACGGCTCCCCGCGCATCCCACCTGCGTATCAAGAGCTGCGTTGAGATAGCATCACAGACTTAAAAAGCACCATGTTCAAGAAGGAGTACGTTCATTGCCTCACTCTACGTTCCAACAAGCCTCCAGCTGCACATGGACCTCAGCAGGGCCTTCTGTATGCCAAATTGAGCCCGGTTCCCGCGGGGCACAGCCGGAGCCGGGGAAGTTGCTCAAGACTACAGATTGAAGCTTCTGATCCTGTCCTCTGATCGAGAAGAGTCAACCGAATCTCGGAAAACTGTTGGACTAACAGGACTTTCTTCCAGTATCCCCCCAAGCAACCGATCGAAGGTCAAGTCTTCCGTGCAGCGCGGTCTGCGCCAGAAGCTGCTGGAGACATACCCAGGCTTCGAGCCCGTCATTGAGGAATTCATGCCCAAGAAAGCTTCATTGGAAGCTGTGAAACTGTACAGTCCCACCCACCCAACTCGCTATCGACGTCATCACGACCAAGAACAGTTCATGCAGCTCACACTCCCAGACCGGACCGTGTCACTCTCTACACAATAGACTCCACCCCCCTCTTCTTCCAACCCATCGACGGTCCTCCTGTTCCCCACCTCCGTCTCGTCCACGCCTACCCCTCCGCCATCCCAACAATCCAGATCGACCGCGGTGCCATCCGCTTCGTCCTCTCGGGCGCAACTCTTATGGCCCCCGGCCTGACTTCCCCCGGAGGTCGATTGCCTGATGCCGAGCATGCCATTGAGGCCGGTCAGATCGTTGGTGTTACAGCCGAGGGCAAGGAAGAGATTTGCCTCATCGGTATGCTGAAGGTTGGCACCGAGGAAATCAAGAGTAAAGGAAAGGGCGTGGTTATGGATGAAGGCCATTACCTGGGTGATGGTCTTTGGAGAATGCATTTGGACTAAGCAAAAGAAGAACGGTTTCGACTTTTGAGACCTTGGTTTTACAACTTGGAATATACCTCCCTACCTATACAGTGGGTATGTGGTGAATGAAATGAAATGTTATACATAAAATCGGCATTGATCCGTGGAAGTATGCAGGTATGATGGTGGAATTTGATTTTATCTGATCCCCAGGTCATATTCTGGCTTGCCTAGGACTAATGTGATAGCTCTTGATACCGAGTAAGGGGCTGATCACCTTAGTACCTAGGTACCCCTGGAAATATACCTAGGTACCTACCTAGGTATAGAGGTCCTCCAAGGCTGGCACCTCCAAATGTCGTTCCAAGGTTCTTCTGATCCCCCGAACATCCAAGGGCCGATGCTACCTACCTAGGTAGGTATCCCGCGATCTAAAGTATATGGTCTCTGAATAACCATTACCTAGTACCTGCGCAATCAGGTAGGAACCTTGGAAGATTTGCTGAATGCAGCCCTGGAGAGGAGTGCGAGAGAACCTTCCAAAGTCCACGGGTTGGAACATGGAGACAGATCACATGACTCTTCTTTCCACAGCCCTAATTCCCAAGGTTTCGCGTGCGACTCGCCGAATGTGGAAGGTATCTCAAATCTCGAGAATTATTAAAGGTCTACCTAGTAGAAGTGTTAGGGGGCGAGACGACACAATCTCGGGATCTGCCTCAGGGTATGGAGTCGGTAAGACATATCGGGCAATGTGTTGTGCAACATGCGACTCGGTCCGGTTTACGTCCTTTGCGAGGACATGTCACATCTCAATTCACCGATATTCATTATGCAATACTAATCCGAGGCCTCACCGACTATCGAGATCTTCACTGGTGCATTGCCACACCAAACTTCCCGGCTGAAATTCCTGTCTCGGAAGCAATCTGGATAGGAAAGTCTGATCGGTTTGAATATAGGACGGTGACCTGTGACTATGTATGAACTGGGTTTTATCCACACTCTCTGTCTACCCGAGCCTATGTAGCCCAATAGAGACAAGCCACCGAAAATGGATTGAAAGTTTGAGCTGATGTGTTCATGCATGCTTGGAGGTCTTGTGAAGCATTTGATATTTCAGTACGGAGTACTCCGTACTTCGTATGTGTCCAAATGGTTCCCAGTGACCCGACAGTAGATAAAGGGGGCTAGTGGACATTAGAATCAATTATTGTCTTTTCCAAGAATTCTCTACGGGGCCCCGTCCTTGTCTACGAATTAGTACGATATTGTGTGTATCCCAACGCCAAAGCCAACCGTGGAAGAGAGATATGATGAAAGTGATGATATGAGAGGATAGACACTAAGTAAGGACGTCGGTAAATGATAAGAAGAATATACCTCCAGGGCTGGAGACAATATGTAAGGCTGAACAGCGTCTGATCTGGAAGCCAGATTGGACGTGCGAGTGGATCCAAGTGAAACGTTCAGGATCCAGCGAGGGTCATTGGACCTTCTTGAAAGGACGTCTCACAGCATCCAGCCTCTGAAATTCTAGCAATCAGAGTGGCTGACTGGCGTCATATTCATAAATAAAGTCATAAGAAGAGAAAGAGAGAAAAGTTAATTCCCCCCCAGTGCCAGATTACCCCCTCAGTATTGTAATCAGGCAAATACATTTTGGTTTGCTGTATCAATCAGCCTTGATCCCTTGCACTGCAAATAGTGTCACCATAGCGGTGCCCAATGATACCCACCGATAAGTGATAGTATAAGAGCGATGGCAATACGGAGCTTTTTGCTACAATTTAAAAATTTCAAACACATTGTGGTCCAAGTCCATTTGTTGAGAGTGTGATACCACGATGAAATTTTTGAAGAAAGTGGACTCTATCGCCTCCGAGGCCTGCAACCATTTATTGACACACGGCGATGTCCAACAAATCGTGCTCCTCTTTGCATTCGTTGCCATAATAATGTACCACACCCGACACCAGGTGCCCATTTATCATCGAAAGTTTCAAAAGAGAAAGATCAACCTCTACGCTCACATCCTAACAGGCGTAGCAGAGGCAGTGAGTTACCGAGTCCGCACAATTTTTCAGGACCATTCCGAAGTTTTGCCAACTCCTATGGACGTCATATCCTGTTTCATCTGGTCTTGGACAAGCCTTGAACTTGTGAAGACACTTCGCCGGGGAAATCCCCGAACCACTCGACCTCCATACCAGGCCGGAGCTTTGTTGCGTCCAGTAATTTCACTTATCTCTTATATTTTCGAAATTTCCAGCCTACATCGGGTTTCAATATGCGCCTTGGATAGTTTTCTCTGGGCTCGACTATTCATCTTCTTCTTCAGCTACACGCCATATATCGGGGATTTCTCCGGTAGCGACATTTATGCAATCTCCATCCCACTGTCCGCAGCATTTAGTATTCATGAGAGCCGTGTACCTGGGGCTTCCCTGGTATTTGTCTTTGCAGTTGCTTTCGTTTCGAAACTCAATGCATGGGTGACGCACCAGTCATATATCTTGAGGGAGTAAGTGAATGAGATACACCGGCGACAGAGGCTCTCAACTAATCTTTATGAATAGTATTAAGCCTTCCAAGTCTTCAGACCCTTTTCGGATGTTTATAACCACAATGGTGAGATTTGGGTTTGTCGAGATTGAGGAACTAAGGAAAGTGGAGAAGCCAAGAGGATTGGAGAAGCCAGTCAGTGACGAATATGTCCCAATTGAGTACAGCGGATCGTGAAAGAATCGGATTTGGCACTTTCCGATAACACAATTTTCTTTGAAAAAAGCCCATGATTATCATGGTAGTGGTATACGAAAGGGGAGAAAGTAAATCAACTGTCCTCGAAGCCAAGGCGCCTTTGTACCGGTATTTCCTTTATCAGATGTGCTCATATCTTCTCAAACTGGGATAAATTCTAAAACAAACACACTACTAAGACATCTGAATTAGGATGAACGGATGTCATGATATAATCCTCTGTGCAAAGCCCAGGAGAGCATGCTCCAGAGCAAATGACTGCCTCGGTCGGTTTGGTTGATAAAGAATAATTATTACCCCCAAATGGACTATACGAGTAATAGCGACGGCCATTCCTGTTTTCGACAACCTGAAATACTACCGCTTGTGCACTGGCTATATTTCATGTAGCTATGTATTCGTTGACGTGTTAATAGACCCTCCGTAGCCAAACCTAGTGCTCGATTTTACCTGGGGTTCAATGCCAGAACGGTGAATTACAGTGAAGAACAGCGCAAGCTACAGCAGTAAGGGGTAAAATAACTTAGGGTTTACGAGGAGCCGACATTGAAACTGATGGGGCATTCTTTGTACCCTTCTGCAAATTGCGTGGGCTTGTAGAGGTCAGGTAAAACATGTAGGAATATGGGAGACTTTTGGAAATGATCGAGTTGTTTTAGTCACAAGGTCAATACAGCATAGCAAAATGTTGATTTTCACTGTTGAGCTCTTTGGTTTTCCCAAGATACGCTCAACTTTGTTTGTCCACAATTTCCAGATACTATCGGTCCGTCGGATTCACAGGATAGACTTACTTCGTGTCGCCGACCTTGAGCTTGCGAAGAAGATGTAATTCTTCCAAGTTTCCAAGATACGCCCAAGGCTCTTAATTTTCACATCGTAGCGGTGTAGAACAATGCGTGCGAAGGGGCATAGGTGCCAGTGCACAAGTCTTGGCATATGCTAATTTTAGACAGGCAGAATGAAATATATTCTTGAATTACCAAAACAGACCCTTAGTCATCATTGCATCAAATATTCCAAGGTTCTAAGTCCAACTTTGCTCCAGGTCTTCTACTAGTAAGTTCAAAATCACCAAAAATTCGACTCCATTATGTGCCCTGACGCCGCTTTTGCCGTACTTGGTCGCGTATAGAGCCCCTGCGGGTTGGTGTTTCCTCCTGCAATGCGTCCCATTCGCGAAGACGGGTGCTGAAGCTGTTTCGACTGATATTAATGCTATATTTGTTGAGTAAAAGGGTGTGAATCGCTTGCTGTAATGTTTTGGAGGGAAGTAGGAGATCCGCGGAGTTATGATACTCTAGATAGTGAGGGATAATAGTAAAGAAAGGGGTAGGTAGCAAAAATGGGCATCTGGACACCTGGGCAGGGATCCCTGGGGTACCCGAGGGGGCTAAGCGCCTAGAAAGTGGTGATACTGCGGGTTTGTACGTAGTATGGGGGGGAAAGTTTCACCGGGCCCCGGGGGCAGGCACCCGGGCTCAGCACCTAGAAAGTGGCGATACTGCAGGTTTGTATGGGGGGAAAAGCTTCAGATCCGACCGGTACAGTTACAGTACAGTGTATTAGGCGGTGCAAAAAGCGGTCAATCACAACTATTATATTAGGAAATTAGTGGGTCATCTGCCAAGACTTGTGCACTGGCACCTATACCCCTTCGCAAATGCGGCGATCTTTTAGTAAAGTTCCCGTAGCATCCCCCAATTGTACCCCGTACAATGAACTCGAAATCAGCAGGCTTGCCTGCAACTATATGGTGAGAAAGTTGGTATGTTTCACCAATCATGGCGTAGGACACCGATACTTGGGTATCAACATCTAAACGCGGGCACCTTGCATTCAATAGGGCAGCGTACCCGCCATATGTAGACGGGCTAGCGGTGGCGCAAATGGCAGCCTGCTGGGGAGTTGAGATCGTGTCGAGAGCTAGCTCTATAGCGTCATCTGTCTCATCGCAAATCTGACCACCCACTCGGCTAGCTAGGCAGCAAGTCGTAGCTATCTAGACCTTAGAACCCCAAAGCCTACAAGATTTCTCAAGAGGCTACCTACCTAGGTAGGTAACATGGCATTCGAAGAGTGAAGATATCCTCGAAAGGAAAGGGGGAGTGTATTGAGGTTTTGTAAAGCTCCCGAGGTCGGATTTTGGCAGCCATCACTGTTCCACGTAGTGCATCTGAAAAGCAATTCTGGCGCCAGTGCCTGTAGCACGTTGTAGATTCAAAAAAGACTTTTCTTTGCGACGTTCACTCGAGGCGTGAGCCCTGGAGGTTACATGGAGTCATATGGGCGACGCGTTGAGAGAAAGCACAGGAGCAACTTGGGATGACCGGCGTATAGGAAACTACCTAGGTACTGTTTCCATCGTAGCTTATTTCTCCTTTCTCCTTTCTCCTTTCTCTTATCTCTTTACTTTTAGAATTTCAATTGAAATAACACTCTTTTCGAAGCATTGGTTAATGGGTGGGTGGCCACCAGCGAATCTTCAGTGCTGTATATATATATTTTTTGGCTCACCGGGACTCCATGCATTCCAGCACATAGTTTACCCTCCTCAAATTGGGAACATCTGGGCAAGTCGCCATTCGCAGTAAGTAGGCCGGACTGCGATAAGTGGAGACCTTCGTGACATGCGGGCCACAGCGGGACCTCGGTCACCGATGCTCCACAAGCCATATCGGGTGCGCGAGAGCGAGGCAGCAGATGAAACTACCTAGATATGCTCCAACCTTGGAGCCTTGGAAGCCACACCTTGATGTACATATCAGGTCGGGGTTACTCCAACAAGGCGAATTGCTTAGACCAACTATAAAACTTGGCGAAATCCTGAAAACGGGCTTCAGATTAACGAACTCTTGACATCTAAGTAAACATTGAAACTTTTTGAATCAACCAACACAATCACCATGTCTTCAAACCGGGAAGCAATCAACACAAAGGAAGCACCCCCTCCTCGGCCATTCTACAATCAAGCAGTTGTTGCCAATGGCTTTGTATTCTGCTCCGGTCAGCTCCCAAAGGACTCTTCCGGGAACATCGTGCCAGGAACCGTCCAGGACCGTGCGGTATGTTATCAAAGATTAAATCTGGACTTTGAGGAGACTCGATCAAGAAAGCCTTTATCTGACTTTGACCAAGAACCAATGCATCAAGAACTTGAAAGCAGTGTTGGAATCAGCTGGATCCTGTCTAGAGAAGATGGTTGAGGTCAATGTTTTCCTCGCCGATATGGAAGACTTTGAAAAGATGAATGAGACCTATTTGCAGTGGTTTGGTGAGATCAAGCCCGTTCGAACGTAAGTGATATCCAATTCCATGCATATGACAGTGGCTAAGTGTTGTGTCAACCACGGAACAGTTGCGTCGCCGTTAAATCAATCCCTGAATACACCGACGTTGAGATGAAGTGCGTGGCACTTCTGTGATGTACTTAGGCCATTAGCCACGAACCATCTGGCTGGAGTAAGACTTCCCCGCAAAACCCTGAGAGCCATGTATTCAATCAGTATCCAAAATCTAAATATCAACTTTGATCGGCACCAGCTCGCAATATAGAAGTCCAGAGCTCACTCTTCTCCCCATCGTTAGAACTTCATCAAAACACTGGCTATTATACGACATGTATTTTCCAGTACCACCGCCATCTTCTTCAGGTAGTGCAATCGCGTAGATCTCATTGCCGGCAGCCTTCCCTTCATTGATCAGCCGAATAGTCTCCCGGGTCTGGTAGATGGGAAAACTTCCCTCCTCCAAAACGGATAATGTGTCCCATTCATGCACCCAGTCCTCGATCCATTTTCCGATCATCGCATCCTGACACCGAAGAAGACAAATACTAAGAAGACTGGATATTCCAATCGAATGAACGTTACGTCCAAAACAATCCCCTTTGTCGAGACCAGAGACAATGCGAATTAGTAACATCATCCAGTAGTTAATTTCCTGATTTTCAGGGTGGTCTGGTCGAGAACCCGTAGATCCCAATCCATGCAGCAGGTGAGTGCATTGCATGATTCGAGCACAGACATAGTAGGCATAGTTCATCGCAAAATAATGGGAATTAAACCTAAGCGGACGAAGGTGCCCTTCGTCGCGGTTCACAAAACCGGGAAATGATTCGATCGGGAGCTCTGACTGCGAAAGTTCGGAATGCCATTCATCCAACTTCCGTGATTCCGTTTGTAAAGATTCAACACACTCGCCAACGGTAATAACTGAGGTTTGCGTTCCACAGGGCCCCAGCTGCAGTAGGGCGATGTTACTAACACGATATGATTCGCACAAGATCGACATGATTATTGTCCGACCGGCATTGATAGAGCGAAGCATGGTAGTGATATCCGAAGATAGACAAAGTGAGCCTTGACTAGCTTGGAATGAAAACGAGCTGAAGTTCATCCTGAGCCACCAGGCGTGGAACTTTGCTTGAAGCCAGGCTGAAATCATATCGCGGTCTTTTGGATTCGATGATATTGCTGTGAAGTGTGCGTTTATGAACTTGTCAACGCCTTGGGCGTGGCAAGCAAAGCCTGCAAAGTCCCCCATCGCGGACTCAAAATAACAGAAGAGAACCATCGCAGCCAGCGTGTGTGATACACTGCTAGATGTAGCTTTGCCGACGATCCTGGCAATTTGATTGATTGCGGATCCGTAGTAATGTTGGCTTGCTTGGAGGCAGTCACGCCTAGGACGGTATATTATTTGTGAAGGTGATGTTCCAATCGAACCTTCGGTTTTTTCTGGCAATGAACGACTCATATTACAAGCTGAGAGAGCCAATAGAGCTTGCATGAGGGGCGCGTGCTTCTCGGCCATGAGGAGAATATGTGACTGGAATGACGGGAGTGCTTGCGCACAAGACTGCTCCCAGTGCATGAGATACAACATCTCATTTTCAGACCGGCCGAGAGACCGCATCATTGTTTGGCTTGGTAGTGGGGACGGAAACGTCGTGGTCATAGATTGAGGTGTTATTGGACTGCATGAAAGCCATTCGCCGTCCATGAAGTGGGACTCAGGTGTGAGGGGATTTTTTGACCGAGTGGGTTGAGTCGAGAAGTCCATCAACGAATCTTGATGATCCTCATCCAGAGCAGCTGTAACCCGGCCCTGTAGCTCTTTGCTAGGCGTCTTCCGTTCAACGCGGCGAATGGCTCGTGGCTTGGCAGCAACCCCGACGCCATCACGGAAGTCGAAATTGGGAGTGATCGGCTCACATTTGTCCCCCCGACGTACACATGCGCGACATGACGGTTTTTTCTCATCGCACTGTCGGTGATTAGCTCATATAGCTAAGCTTGAAAACTTGCTCAAAGTCACCTTGACCCGGCGTTGTCGGCATGCTTGGCAGCCTGATCGAGACCGGACTATACTCGTCTTCTTGGGGCGTTGCGGCGCAGCCTTATACATATCTTTCGTGAGACGAACTCATGGAGGATGCGAGAATGAACCTAGGGATGCGAGAGGCGACAGTTGGAGACCTCACTGTCCGGGTAATAGTTTCGCCATAAGCCGCCACCCAGCTTACCCCAACTTTAGCCGCACGTCCTGGTTTCGTCTCTCTACATCTACCACATCCACTGGGTGCTTTCAAGTTGCTAATGTTTCTTGGCAAGACGGAGTGGATAAAGTGACACTGCACTCAAACCTGATTCAAATGAATTTCAAATGAGCTTCGCAATATCTGGATACACGTCATATCTCTTCTGTATGCTAATAGGAATCGCCTGCCGAGCCTCCTGGATCGCACTCGAATCCAATGTTGCATATATGATACCTTCGCCCTCCTCAGCGGCGGCGACAATTCGACCCATCGGATCGCTGACCATGCTATATCCCCAGGCAGGGTACGAAGGGGGCGGGGCTCTCGATTGCGAACACAGAACACTATAGACCTGGTTGTCGAGCGCCCGCGAGCGACCGAGAAGCTCCCAATGAAGTGGTCCAGTGGTTGTGTTGAACGCCGAGGGGAAAATCAGTGCGAAGGCGCCTTTCCGAGCTGCGATCGTACTCAATTCGGCAAACCGGATGTCGTAGCAGATTCCGATACCAATTTTGCCATACCCATCCAAGTCCACAATTGTGATTTGATTTCCTGGCGACAGGGTATCGGATTCACGAAAACACATCCCACCGGGGATGTCAATGTCGAAAAGATGCATCTTGCGATGAAACGCAAGCAATTCTCCCCGGGGAGAGTATACCGCGCAGGTATTGTAGATCTTGCTGAGCTTGTCGCACTCTGGAACACTCCCTCCGACCAGCAAGACCCCGGCGTCTTGAGCCATTTGCGACAATGCGGCGAAGGTAGGTGCCTCTGCAGGATCAGGGCTTGACGACAAGGGCTCGGCATACTCGCGAAACTTTGTTGTGGAATACGGCGCGTTGAAGCATTCCGGAAGGACTACTAGAGAGACGCCTCTGGCTGCTGCTTGCATGACTTTTTCTCTCGCTCGCGAAATGTTATCGGCTTTGTTGGGACCTGTCTCAGTGTGTTAGTTCAATGGCAACAATCAACCACCCGGGCAAGAAATAGCTCTCACCACTTGCAATTTGGACACAAGCTATTTCGAGGGTCTTTTGGAGCATTTTGCCTGGTGATACCGTTTTGATGAGTGAATAGAGAATCAAAGGACTGGAAAGTGTTGGCCAATTAAGCCGGATGCTTCAGCTGCTCCCCAAAATCGAAGTCGGTATCTTCATCGTCGAGTCCGTGCCCTTGGGGTCAAGTGTATGGGGTTTTCTCCAACGGAAATTCAGAGAGATCTCGTCTTCCGACTCCAATTGTTGGAGTAATTTGCAAGCCATTCATGTCTATGAGTTTTCACGAAGTCTCCAATCCGAGGCATAACAAGAGATTGAATTCAACGTTCCCACTTTTCCCAATGCGGTGCGCGGGAACGAGATATTGACCAATCAGTGGCCATACAGCCCGGAAGATAGATCAGGCTGGATACCCGAAGTCATCGACCATGCGATGTAGTGGCGTTGGCTTTAAAGATAATCTCAATGCGACTCCAATTGACATGAGTTTAAAAGCCGCAGACTGTATGCATGCAAAGCCACACAGGAAATCTCAAAAATCTTAACACAATTCGGCTTTTCATCGTATCGCCGCCGAAGATAATACTATGGCGGACCAAAAGACGTGCCCTCCGCTGACATCGGACTCGGTCAGGGCTGCATATCCTTTGATCAGCCCCTACATCCACAGAACTCCGGTACTGAGATCAAAGACCCTCGATCGCATGGCTTCGACAGCGCAGGAGGAATCTGCGCTCAAAGGTACAGCCTTTGAGGGCCAAAAGCCTGCAGCGCCAGTGTTCCGACTGCATTTCAAATGCGAGAACTTCCAGAAGATTGGAGCTTTCAAAGCGCGGGGTGCATTCCATGCTATGTTGAGACTCTGTTCCGAATTAGGGATTGATGAGGTCCACAAGCGTGGCGTTACAACGCATAGTTCAGGTATGGAGAACATTTCTTGATTCCGACGATTGATTGCGGCCGTTCTGACTCTGAGTAGGCAATCATGCACAGGCTCTTGCGCTCGCAGCATTTACCCTGAACATTCCTGCGCATATTGTCATGCCGTCGATTTCCACCAAGTCAAAGATAGCCGGGACTCGTGCGTATAACGCGCGTGTCATTTTCAGCGGATCGACTGAGCCAGAGCGCGTGGCTGTAGTTCAAGAAGTCATCAAAGCCACGGGTGCCATTCTCGTCCCTCCTTATGACCACCCCGATATCATCCTGGGACAAGGAACCGTGGGACTCGAGCTTGAAGCCCAGGTGAGAGATATGGCGGAGGGCTCTGCTGAAGAATGCAGTCCCAAACAGGGCTCTTCGCTGGACGCCGTTATCACACCCCTGGGTGGAGGGGGATTGCTCGCAGGAACCGCTGTTTATTTTTCGGACAAGCCCTGCACCTCGGTGTTCGGGTCCGAGCCGTCATTTGAAGGCGGCGATGATGGAAGAAGAGGTCTCGCCGCTGGGTCTAGGATTCCTGAAGTCAGCACTCTGACCATCGCGGATGGTCTTCGGACACCTGTTGGGGAGGTCAACTGGACTGTTATCTCTGATCAGAAGAAAGTTAGAGGGATTTTCTCTGTAACCGAAGAACAGATCAAAGAGGCAATGAAGCTCATTTTGGAAAGGTTGAAGGTCTTCATCGAGCCAAGTGCTGCTGTGCCCCTCGCGGTCATCCTGTTTGATGAAGACTTCCGAAAGCTTGCAGAGAAGGAAGGCAAAGAGAAAGGATGGGATGTTGGCGTGGTTCTTTCAGGAGGGAACACTTCGGTGGAAGCAATCTCTCGTCTTTATGGAACAAAATAACATGATATAGCCCAGTGCATGAAAAGAAGTCCTCATCGGATTCTCGGAAGTACTTGAATGATCACCTTCTTCTCTCTTAAGCTGAGGGCTCACTTGGGGATACGGTCTACGGGTGATTGCCTACTAGTATGACTTGGATGATTTTGGGCCACTTTCTCTAGAATCCATATACTCTGGTGTAGAGGAAATAAAGCCTAAGCAATGAGATTAGTTAAATGGAAACGCGATGGTCCGGTGTTTGTAATATGGTAGACTTGTTTGCGTGGAATAGGGCTAGGGCAATCAGCAACACCTCCAAATGACCAAGCTGATTCATATGAGTGCCCAGGCCACATCGATGTTATGTCACAAACCTCGGTTAGTGAGATGATTCTATTTATTCGCTGCACTTGCCCTTTACTCCAGAGCCATTTTCAACGTCCGATTATGTGATCTTGGTCCTTGCTAGTTGATAGCTCTGTAGCTTGATATCCTTTCTCCTCTTTGTTCTTTTCCCTCTCCCCTCTCTTTCTCCCTTTCTCTCTCCCTTCTCCCCTTTTCTTCCCCCTCTCTCCCTCTCTCCCTTCTACTCTTCTCTCCTTCTCATTCTCTCTCCTTCTCATTCTCTCCTATTCTCTCTCTCTCTATATATCCAGTCAGGTTTATTTACCTTAGAAAAGCCCCAAAAGACCAATATAGTTGCTCCAATCTTAAGTGTTCTAAAGCTGTATAGCAATCCTAGCCAAAAAAACAGAGAGGCATATGAACGTTGGAACCTAAATTCAGGATTTCTTAGGGACCTCGGGAGCTCCTCGCAGGGAGTAACTTGGAAGTATAGAACACAGACAATATATAAAACGGGTGAAGACGGTGTGAACATTCCCTGTTTCTCCAACTTTTGGAGCCGAGCTGGAAACAGACACCTGCTTTTGAGTTTATGGTATCGAGCAATCGCGCTGAGCTTCTTCATACCACCCTGCTGGGTATTCTGGCATTGGTGGGGCTGGGAAGGGGACGAAATCCCTTGGCAAGCTTCGAACAGATATTGATTCTCCACTCCGGTTTAGAAGAAGGTGAGTTTCAATCAAAAGTCCCGGGAAAAGACGAAGCTCCGCACTTACAACGCATATCTTTGGATATTTCGCCACGCGCGTAGAAAGGAATCTTTTGATGCCATCTCTATGGCCGACAATGGGATTACTAAGTCCATTAGAGGAGGATTAAAGCTGTCGTTTCTTCCTTCGAAGATCCACTGCGCGAAAAATTCAAACAATCTCGGATAGTAACCGGCAGACGCCCAATCCACAAGGCATATAGTTCCATCTTTTTGCAGCAGAATATTCCGAGGCGCGAGATCTAAATGGCAGAACACGAGGTCACAGCCTTGGAAAGAGATATTCGGGTCGCTTGGCAGTAGACGGCTATTAAACCACCTCTCCATGTGGTCAAGATTGTCGAATAGCAAATCTTCGGTTTCAGGAAAGAGAATGCCGCGGCACGGCCCTCCGCATAGAGAGCTAGGATTAGTGTGCCGTAATGTTGCAAAATAATCCATCAAGTCAGCAACTTTTCGAAGGGCTGAATCGTCTGCCGGATCCATCACTGTGCCATCAATGTACTCCATAACAATATAGCCACAGTCTTGCTCATCAGAAAAGAAATCAAACACACGCGGAACACGAACTAGGCGGTTTTCCAAGAGCCCATGGGCGATTCTTTGATTATCAGCTTCTTCTTTCGTTACATCTGGTCCGCATTTTACCACTTCGTGATCGGATACCCTGATGACTCGCTTTCCATATTGGCTGATGACATTTTCAGGAAGCGGGTTTGTACAACGGGCGATCAGCGAAGCCCGGTTATATTCCGGAACCGCCATGCTCTTCCGCAATGCGGTACAAGAGTGAGTGCCTTCGGCGTGGCCGCCTTTTGAGTAAGACGTGACGAAAGTTGAAGGGGTGATGTGAAGGTGCCCGCTGGGCAAGGGGCAAAGTAGGGGAGGAAAGAAGCGCCCACCGCTTTTAGTGAGATCCCCGCTATGGGCCGCCGTTACCACTGAAGATAAATTGATGCAGATTTGGATGAGGCCCAAACGCCCGTGAACTACCACGTATATTGGTTGTCGAGACTCGAGACTCACAAAGGCCTCAGGCGCCCGGCGTGTCACGCTTAGGCAGGCTAAATCTTGGCATGTTTGTAATGTTTGGGGCCCAATGGGCCCCCAGAAGAGCCCAGTACTGGGCCCGGGCTTTCTGGGCTGATGCGGAAGCCTAGGGTAGGGTTGGGCCTCCGGCCGGATCTCGGGCCTAACCCAGCCCAATCCGGAAGTCTACTTCTACCACTCACGAACCTGAGAGTAAGCGGTCAGTCATCCTCTACATAGATGGGAAAGATCTCGAGCGGCAACTATCACGTGCGCGTTCGCCCTATTACCTAGCGAAAAAGTAAGGGAGCTATGGCGCTCTCACAAAGAAGGCAATATGATGGGAGGACTTAAACCATGAGAGTACTAGTGGTGGATGACGACTCAGGCCTACGAAACCATAGCATGAAATAGAAGCTGCTTCATAGAGTGTGTAAATTACTTCATCGCCTCTGACCGTGCATCGATCTGAGGCCTCGATTACCCTTGATGTCTGATTACCCCCCAGACCTGTGTCTTCTGTGATGGGAAATGATCCAATTGTAAATTAACATCTCATGAGAATTTGTCTGTGAAGTTCCAAACGCGGTTCATTTGCGCAGGTCAGCAGTGTAGTGATCGGCACAGAGGAATATGTGCCGTAAAGGACCTGTGCTTTGACTCAGGGGAGGCTGGTGTCGAATACCATCCAAACCTAACTCATGTGAAGCCAAATTTGTCTGCATCTGGAACCTTGGAATCGATGTAGTATTGGGAATTTCAACTGATAAGCTTTTTGGACCAATTGACTACGTGGAAACTTGCACACTTGGCAACATATTGAAGCTCCCAACCCACGGAAACACTGATGAATTTTGAATTTTCTTCATGCTTTCCACCACCAGGACAGCATGCCCCTAGCCTCTGAGAATGACGCGTCAAATGATTATGACATGTCCAATGTTCGAGTTATACCAAGATGTGGATGCTCCTTTGGTCCGGACGGGATCTACTGCCACGGGAAATAAGCTCGGTGAGTTCGCCCAAGACAGCTTCCAGCATGCTCTTTGAGAAAAAGGCCGATACCGTTCTACTTCCTTACAACGAGCTTTGTGTGTTTCCAAGGTTACGTGGTGAGGACAATGGGCGTCTATACAGCCAAGGCCTGGGTCACAGAAAGTTTTGGAAGTCATACTCCTGGGAATAAAGGAATCATAATTTTATGCTCAAGTCTCAAACCCACGGCTAAGAGTCTGCCTATCTCTATCCTTGATGTAGCTTGTTCTTTTGCGCACAAATCACATCCTATGCTAACTACAGCGATCATTACCCAACATTGGCTGGCGACCCAGTCTGTCAGGTTCTTGATCAGCGAAAAGGAGTTTGTGATCATTGTATCACATACAAAGAACCACAGATATGCGGTGCCACATCGAAGTCTGAAAATCCGCCAATATCCTTGATTTTGTCCCGTGTATCAATCAGGCTGCCGGTGAGATTCAAATGGGAAACTGCCTGTTGAACTGTGTACAGGGTCCAGAGCGACCGAGGTAAGTTATGATGTTGCATCGGGAGCCTTCCCAAGGTTGCAGAGATCAACGTGATTATGCGTGGGTCAAAGGCCTAAAGCAGATTCATATCATGAGGCAGCAGAAATCTCTACACCAGCCGTGCGTCCACACATGCTGTTGTGGACCCTCGGTCCACCCCCGAGCTTTAGCCGGCAGACTACCCCTATAGGGCTCATGGTCCCAGCGATCAGCTACCCTGATCCTATCTGATTGAACCGTGCTATTTTATTGGTTCTTGATTCTTCCATTGCCCCCACCCAGGGACCAGCAGTCAACTTATCCAAGACATGCAACATGGATCGACTTGAATACCACCACGTCAGGTTAAGATCTTTAGAATGACATTCATAACGTGTAGATCATGGTGGCATGAGCAGGATACTTTGAGCCCGTGAGGCACTCTAGAGGGGTATAAAAAGACCCATTATCCCGTGGTAAGTCTATCATCAATCTTCCACCCAAAACCAAATCCCACAATCATCTTGAAAACCTTCAGCTTTCCACAATGAAGCTTCTCGCAACTCTCACTCTCCTCATCGCTGCCGTCTCGGCCGCCGTTCCCGCGGGATCCCACCAGAATGCTGCACGCAAGGCAGTTTGCTGCGAGGTAAGCAGAGCGAGGCCACGATGAGTACGAGTTTCTAACAATTGGATAGCTTGACTGCAAGGGAGACCCTGCCTGTCAGTCAGAAGGACGCTGAGTTCTCTACTCAATGATATTAGGAATGTTCATGATATTGTGTTTGACCTTGGATCATCGGGAACCCTGCATGTTGCGAATGATGAGTACTTCGAAGTGGCAGCAAGCTAGAGGAGTTACATTGATATCTTGAATTACAAACGACATGTCATATCTTCGTTTCAAATATATGAATCGGCACATTTACATCAAAGGCTGACCAAAAGACCTAAAAAATTGGCGCACGAACAAGATTTTATTCTCTGAACAAATGAGGGTGATAGGAACTAAACTCATTGCTAGTAATTCTGGATTCCAGCTCATCTACAGTAAATTCAATGACCTTTAATGCCTGCGAACACAGCGGCATGGCAATTGAATACCTTCCCCGGGGCCATAGTTCTCATTCATCCGATGCTTGTAAGAGTACATGTAAAGGTCGAATAATCCGGCCTGAAGTAGCCCCTTAAGCTCAAGGCGCAGAATCAAGTAGCAAGCCCACAGTTGGCAACTCTGCAGTGGGATCTTCTCGGCCTCTTTTGGGACAATGATGCTGTCTCTCACGTGGATCTTACCAAGATAGTGTGAAGTCTTGACTGAGCGACTGTCAAATTGCTTGTCGAGCTCCATCGACAATCTACGCTGACCTTGACAGCCAGTGCTATGGAGCCGAGTGCCTCGACTGGCACCTGGACACACCATAAATATCAACCAGTGGACGGCACCATCGGTTTCCGGATGGCAGATCTGGAGGTAAAGTTCTCGATGGTCGTAGTCAATGTGGGTCGGACGAGGTGCGCCATGCATGGGGCATGGTTTCGGTGCTCTGCCTGCCATGGTTATGAGATCGAAGATATTTGGGGGCTATCACTTACGAGAGAGTGCAATCGAAATTCTCCGGGTGATTTGCAAGTTGATAATAACCTTGAAATGCGAATGATGTCTGGTGTAATGATTCAGTTTCTGCTCATCTGCAATGGCAGACTTGAAGTCTTTTATAGGCACTTTACAAGTTAGATGCTATATTGAACGTCCTTTGTTGAGTCTACCACAGGGTATATTTCGAGATCAACAAAGCTTTTATGTCCATTGTCCGACCTTTGCCACAAAGAATCGTTGGAAGGTTTTCATTGGCTCCCGATATAAATCATTGTCGTTTGAGAACAATACGTGAGATGAAAGAACCGCTGCTGTTGTTTACTTCTCCTAAGACTGGAGCAGTGGCGAACCTGAGATGTAATAGAAAAAAAAAGTCAAAGATGAAAAATAAAAAAATGAGTTTGTAGAGCTATAGATCCATGATAAATGGCGCGAATTCAAGACTAGAAATCTTACTATCTTACTGTTTTCGCTTATTGTGTATTTTATGAATATATTCATTCTACTTTGGAGATTCAATTTAGAAACTAGAAAGAGAAATAAGAAGTAATGGAGACCTTGGGGGAGAGAGGGGGAGAGAGAAGAGAGGGACGGGGAGAGAGGGGGAGAGATGGGGAAAGAGAGATAGAGAGAAAGAGAGAAAGAGAGAGAGAGAGAATGAAAAGAGAGAGAATGAAAAGAGAGAGAATAAAAAGAGAGAGAATGAAAAGGGAGGGGGAGAGGGGAGAGAGAAGAAGGATCTCGGAGAGGAAGGAGAGGAGAGTGGGAGAAGAGAGAGAAGAGAGAGAAGAGGGAGGGGGAGGGACCCTTAAACAAATTTGACATCAATATATAACGCTTCATAGAGCTTACCTCTAGGGAAACAAGCCACCAATAGCAACTATCACCGCTCTCAATAGACATATGGAAATGATCCCGATGACATTACATCCGACGGAAAATAACCCCCGATTTGAGATCTAGCAAACTTGGTAGAATCCAACTACGAAGCAAGTTGTGAAACGAGTCACTTCCGACATTTGGAGCTATTTTGGACTGCCTCAACACAAAGACCAAGCGAGCCTTGAGATCTTTAGATTTTGCACCCGGAAAGTGACCTCGGGGCCCGTGGACCCTCAGACAGGACACGTGAGTATGCAAATATATTGCTTATGGGTATATTCTCCATGAAGGCTAAATGGTATCACAAGGAGAATTACAGCTTTGGAAGAAATAGACCATAGATTGAGCTCGGTAGATCGTAAGCCGGTTATAAACCGGTGATATTGGTTGCATGGAGACTTGGGCGTAGCCGCGTAGTCCGTGAGGCCCCAACGTTTGCGAACCAACCTGGAACGAATGCCATAACACGAGGTGGCCAAACATTTGATTGATTATGTAGATTCAATATTCAGATCCTAGCTTCTAATAGCTGCGATTCAATTGGCTGTGTTCATTCGTTCTGGGGCTTGCCATTTTCGCTCTAGGGGGAACAAGGTGTGAGCAACGGAACCCGCTTTCCACTTTCAGCCAACTGCAAACTACGAGCTTTAAGATTCATTCAACAGCTATGACATAGTGATGAGAGCTCACGGAAGCCTAAGACCGAGTGATCTCTATCACGTTGCTCAGGTTGACTTCCATGCTGCGGAAATCACGATCCGAGCAAATAATCAAGATGCAAAATTCAAGGTATAAGATTCTATTCACCCCACTGTCAGAAAAACAAACAATCAAGCAATAGAATCGCAGTCTTCTAATATCAGCCTGCCACCCTCATCTCAGAGACAACGTCGGAACAAAACAGACTGAATCTCCACGCGCAAACATGGCCGTTGCAGTTCAACCAGTTCCTATCAGCCTCGAAGCTCTGTCCGACAACATCGACGCCGTCAATGTACACAAGACTGACCTGAAGCAACAGAAGGGTCTCTATGACGAGTCCGAGTTTGACAAATCCAAAGACAAGCAAGGGTTCCGCCAATTTGAGGATGCCTGTGATCAAGTGAAGAATTTCTATGCGCAGCAGCACACCCTCCAAACAGTTGCATACAACCTGAAAGCACGCAACGACTTCAAGAACAAGACTCGTGCCCATATGACTGTCTGGGAGGCAATGGAAAAGCTGAATACTTTCATTGACGAATGTGACCCCGACACCTCCGAGTCCCAGATGACCCACTTGTTGCAATCCGCGGAAGCAATTCGTAACGAAGGAAAGCCCCGATGGATGCAGCTTGTTGGGTTGATCCACGATCTCGGAAAATTGCTCTTCTTCTTTGGAGCCAAAGGACAATGGGACGTCGTTGGCGACACCTTTGCAGTCGGGTGCGAGTTTGATGACAGGATCATTTTCGGAAACAAGTCATTCAAAGATAATGAAGACTACAACAATGAGATCTACAGTTCCAAGTACGGGATTTACTCTCCTGGCTGTGGATTGGAGAATGTCATGCTTTGCTGGGGTCACGATGAATACCTTTATCACATCGTGAAAGATCAATCCACGATCCCTGAAGAGGGTCTGGCAATGATCCGCTACCACTCCTTCTATCCGTGGCATCGCGAGGGCGCCTACCATGAGTTCATGAATGAGCACGACTATAAGATGTTGGAGGCTGTGAAGGCATTCAACCCTTACGATCTATACAGCAAGAGTGACGAGCTCCCTGACCCCGAGAAGTTGAAGGTAAGTCAACTACCCGATAGTGGGTGCTGTTTATTTGTTCATTTTGGCTAATGTTATTCGAATTGACCAGCCTTACTACACAGAGCTGATTGATGAGTTCTTCCCTACTAAAGTCATCAGATGGTAGTGGAACCACCGAAGGAACCTTGACTGATCTGAGCATCGGGGAAAGGGTTTCCATTTCGTGATCAATCAAGTGAACGATGATACACAGTATATTTGCTCCCGGATATGTGGTAGGAGTCGATCAGGTTCATAGTTCAGGGTCCGCTTTCTCTATAAAACTCGAGCATCTATTGAATTGATCAAATCCCATTGTCTTCATAAGGGTACGTAGCTATGCCTTCCATAACTTCCAAGTTATCGTCATCATTACCTTTTGTGGGCGTGCGAAGCGTGCAATGTCGCAGTTCAACTTTCGATGCTGCACGATCAATTCTCACGTTGACCCGATCAAACCGGGAAGCTTTAGGAATAAATTCCCCTCTTTTCATCCCACTAGACTCAAGAAGTATTAATCTACTCATTGCGGTAGTTGTTGCGCATACCCAGAAGTGATCTCCAGCCAAGTTTCGCAGTATGTAGAGGACATCACGGCGGACTAGCCAATTGCGGCATTTGAGCCCAATCCATAGCAGTGCAGGAACAACAGAGACTTCGTAGAACATTGGCGACAACCTCTCAACGTTTGTACCCGGACCTGACAGGTCCAGTGCCATTTTTGCAGCTCGCTGAAATTGCTCCAAGTGATCATCATATGCTATCTCATCCGAACCAGGAATCTGAGCAACAGCAACTTTGATCCCAATGACTTCTGCCCAAAGAGCAACCAATTTGAGGGAATCATTGTTTCCCGGAGGTTGATTATGCGATGCGCGGAGGACGAGCTGGATATTCGTTGATATCTCTATTGCATGGTCATTGAGAGAACATGCCGGTCCGACCTCAAAATCAGAATACGTGCCATGAATCACGACACCGTTTAAAACCGATGTCAAGTTCCAAATTCGATCGAGTTGGTCAATAGGGGTAAAGAGAGTTTTAGACATATTGGACGACGGGACCGCATTCCTGGGGAGCATCGAGTACTCCACGTGGAAGTAATCGGCATCGTCGGGCAATATCTGAAGTAACTTGGGATTGCTGCAAAACGCCGAATGACCGCGGATCCTGACGAATAGTTGGGTCAACAGGAACCCCGATAAACTTCTCTTTTCAATTTCCCATTGCTTAAGGAGGTTGTATCCAGAAGTCAAGTGAGAGCGGAAGGCCGGGAGATCCCCTTGTAAAAAAGCAAGATTTGCGAATAGAGCACATGTGACTATGACCAGCTCCTTCTGTATGTAATTTGTGCTACCCGTGAGAGCTGCAGAATCCCGAGCCAGACTTTCTCGGAGACAAGTGATCGCTTTTGTAGAATGATAGAGAGCGGGCAGAGATTCTAAGTCCGCTTTCTCACCGTGCCGGAATTTTTCCAACTGGTGATAATATGCACCCAATGCAATTGCGGCATGGCAGACCACGGGGTGCTGGTCGCATATCTGAAGAACTAGACCATTCCAGAATGGGGAAATGTAGTAGTTACCGAGTCGTACCGCGGCTCGACTACGGTAATAGTCCAGATACCATCGCTCATTCCAGGTGAGGTGGGACCGAAATGGGGTGAGGGACAGGCTTGTCATGGCACGGGATGGTCTGACGTCTGAAGCATGTTGGCTTCGTGGGTTTAAGTCGGCCTTGCCGTCGGTCAGATCACTGGCTTTAGAGTCTCGCCAGTCTCGGGTCCGTTTATCGACAACAAAGTCATAGCCTTCACATTGCTTCCCCGAGCTTGTACATCTGACACACGCCGGGCGAGTCTCGTCACATTTCTTGTGTCGATCCCTTGGTCTTTAGCCGATGTGTGGCTGGTCGGCTTCAAGGGACTCACTTGCACGTTTTGCATCCTAAGCGTGAATTTGAATGCTTTGATCTTTTCTTTCGATCAGAATGGGAATGGTTCATATCTGTGGCAGCAGGCAGATGTTCAATCGCAATGCAGACCCCATCCCTTCATTGAGGCTAGCATATGTGTGGGCAGCGGAGAAGGAAAAGCGGGCCGCGGATCCTCGGACATCGCGGGATCATGTGATATCACGTGTTGTTATCGCGCTTATCGAGAAAAAAGTGTATTGGCAAGAACATTTGGACTCCAGATCTCCTTTCCATTGAGCCCATCATGGAGGGAAAGACTCAGGGATACCAGCAACTACAGGCTGCAAAGCCTAGTGTCTCTGTCAATCCGACGGCAAAGAAGCCGGTTGCCTCGTGGGTTCACCTGCTGGCAGGCGCGTACGTGCTCTCTTTTCCACCTGTCATCATCATCATCAATCTAATGTTTTCCCTCTAGGAGCGGCGGCTTCGCAACTGCGATTGTAACATCGCCCCTCGATGTCTTGAGAACGCGCCTTCAATCCGACTTTTATCAAACCCAGAGCAACTCCACACCCCAACCGCATCGCGGATCAAATCATAAAACGATACGAATCATAAGCTCGATATACCGCGCCGAAGGCTGGCGCGCCTTCTTCCGAGGTCTCGGACCGAGTGTCGCAGGCGTGGTCCCCGCAACGGCCATCAAATTTTACGTCTACGGCAACTGCAAACACATTAGCGCCAAGCTTTTGGGTCGAGCGGAAGACTCTCCCCTTGTGCACGCTCAGGCAGCCATCTGCGCCGGCCTTGCAACTTCATCTGCGACCAATCCGATCTGGTTGATCAAGACAAGACTCCAGCTCGATAAGACAAAAACACATGCCAGCGGGTCTTCGACTCGCCAATACCGCAACAGCATAGACTGCATCAGACAAACTTTGCGCAATGAGGGAATACGCGGTTTCTATCGGGGAATGAGCGCAAGCTATCTTGGCTCGGTTGAGACGGCGCTACACCTGGTGCTCTATGAGCGTCTGAAGGTCGGCCTTCGTGACACATTGAAGCCTTCTGATGGTAATTCAACTCCTCTTTGGACTGAGATATCACATTGGATTAGCACCAGTGGCGCCGCTAGCTCTGCAAAATTAATTGCGGGCTTGACCACTTACCCCCACGAGGTATGAAATCCTTACCCAGGCATCCAGCCTTTACTAACTTTACCAGGTCATTCGAACCAGACTGCGCCAGGCTCCTATCGAGAATGGCCGGGCCAAGTACACCGGTTTATTGCAATGTTTCCGAACCGTCGCCAAGGAAGAAGGCATGGCGGGCTTATACGGAGGCCTTGCGCCTCATATGCTGCGGTCCTTACCATCGGCCATCATCACTCTTGGCGTCTATGAATTCGTCTTGAGGATCACTGGGAGCTAGTCGGCCTTTGCGGCCTTGTACACTATAAGTAGATCTTTGGGAGATCCCGGGGTTGTTTGCATGTTTTTCGTTCAGAGCCATGGCTCAACATTGTATTATATTCGGCGAGTCTTGCATTGCAACTGGGTGCATTGTATCATACTGGGTTAGACAACTATCATATATTTTGCGAACAGTTCCGTTCATACTAAGTCCCGCGAGTCTAAAAGGCATTGAAAACGCGTGGTACCTCCAACCAATTCTCTCTCATATTCCCCCGGCGCTGGATGCTTGCACACGATCACTGAAATGGTCAAAAAAACAAAAATCTGAAGACATCCACGGATAAAGTCCGCATCATTCTATGGGCGAATCTCTAGATATTTTTCGGCGCCCATCATCAAGATTGTGTAATTTCGAGGCTGTATTCTGTTTGCAAAAAGGTCACTGAGAAAGTGACGTCGAACCCAGGCGTAACACCAAATGCGATGCAATATATGGGCTACTTGGGACTGAGCTTCACTCGCTTGAGGTATGAGCGACGGAAAAATGACACAAAAAGGTAAATAAGCGGAAGAAGATAAAGGACGGTTATGAAAACCGGAAATGACTGTCCGCTGTCTTGTAGACACGGAACCCGTTGTACTTCGGTCTCTCTCTGGAGATCCGATGCAATTTGGTCTTTGAAGTTGCCGGTAGTCGATAGATGGTAGTCGAATTTCCCCATGGAATCTTTGAATGCCGATGCACTAGCGGTCGTATTATTGGCAGAGCGATAGACCGGGGCATCGTATTCAACGAAAAGGTAACCCAAGCCCATGGCGCCGCCAACGAGGAATTGTGCAATTTGAAGACTGGTCAAAGTTTGCTTCAGGGCACCGGGGAGGGGGATTTTCAACGAAGTCAAGGCATAGTACGAATACTAATGATGAGAGTCAGCAATCATATCTTGGATGTAAAAAGAGAAAGAATATGTACCATGCAAGTGTGAATACCCGAATTCAGAACGACACCGACGATAGCGGGCGATGCCATGTATCGGGCGCCTGACCACATGCACAACATCACACCAGCGTGATGGTAAGTTTGCAGGACAGAGCTCTTCTTTCCTTTGGCGAGTATGATCATGGTATCAACCGTTTCGTAGAACTTTGATATGTAGAAAAGCCAACAGAAGTAGGCATAGCCATTGTCCCAAACGCGCTGCAAGGGAATATGCAGCGACTGGTCCTCACTAGTCCATGACTCTTGTGTAAAGGCCGGCCTGACTGGGCCACTAATTCTGCACAGAGAATCTGCCACATGAGCCAAGATGTTTGGCTCTGTTTTTTGGGGCCAGCAATTCCACAAAATATGACACGTCGCGTAGAAGATAAGCCCGGAGAACAATGCAAGAAAGATATTATGACAGAGCACCAAAGTCTTGAAGGTCGAAGTTTTGGCGATGTTCCAGGGTCTATTTTGTCGGCCTTCGTTGAATCGGTTCAAGTAGAGCACTGAAACAACATAGACCGCAGCAATTGTGATAGGGACCTTGGGCTCAAGGAACCAATGGAAGAGAGCCGGGTTAATTTCGAATAGCCGAATCCATCTTGCGATATATTCCGGATTGGGGACGGTTGCTTGTGTGGCGTTTGTGAGACTCCAGTCGAAGAGCTCCCGAGGAGGTAGTCTATAGCCAACAGAGAAACTTTGGAACGTCATTTCAACGACGGACAACCTCAAGCGTGCCCAGTGTTGCAATAAAACTGCGTCTTTTGACCTCGAATTACAGGGGGATTGAGCGGTTTAAATGTGTTTAATTTCATGATATTCAGGCTTAATAATAAGCTGTTTCGATGAGGAGACATAACATTGATCAAGAGGTCATATGTGATTTGAGATGCATGAGATAGTAGGCAATAGATTATCAAGCCACTGAGACTGTACGGAGTATACATGCATGGAAAAGGGGGGCTAGTTGGGGGCATCATTTCCCTTAACTGCATCGTCGTACAAGGCGTTATGGTACTGGGCGACATGTTCAGGCCGCTTGGTTGAAGGTCTTGGTATCACAATGGTAGATCTTTGGAAGAAAAGAAATAGCAGACGCGGTAAGTGTATCGAAAGGGGAGAGAGTGCAATAGAAACCGTGGGGTCAAGCGCTAGTTCTCTCGCATGACCCGTCGCACTTCTGCCTCAGGCACTAAGACGGGAGGGACATGACCCACAGAAGTTTGGACTGTTTGCTTGGACTGCATTTTCTGTCAAGTGTATTCGAGACCGTCCGAACCACTTTGCAGGGTTGAACAAAACGGAGTTTTGTACCTATTTATTCAGATCCATGGATCTATTGTTGGACCTTGCTGTAACGACAGGGGGTTTCAAGCTGCAGTCCTATTTTGAGGCTTTCAATAGACCACTGCCAACTATTTATTGTAATATTTAGACCCGATTTTTGTACAAATCGTTAATTTAAAATAGCCTTCTTGACCTCGCGAGGAGAAAAAAGATAGTCATAAATCTTCCAATGTTGGAATTGAGTTTCGGATGTGTAGATCAAAAACCTTACTCCGTACAGAACACATCATTCTGGCATAAGGAGGAGACATCAGGATATTTCCTTGGTGGATTTGATTCAAAAGAATTCAATCATTTGAAATCGATAGCTACATATGTATTTAGTATAGATTCTCTGCGAAAGACTCTTCATCTCATCCTCATAAGCTACGGCATATCATCGCAACATATGCAAGGAATGGCCTTGATTAGGTAATTCTGCAAGGGGCTGTCATTTCATGAGGAATTGATCGATCTCTTATGCCTATACGGAGTATACAGAGTACGCAGGTATACAATGTAGTATGTAGTACTTCGTACATACAAGGTGTGCATTCTCCCGAACAAGGGGGCCGGCTACTCTCTGCTTTACTTATTAATGTCTGGAAACAAAAGCTCGATGTTTGTATAAGTTGGGAAGCCGGGCCAAAAACATTGCGAATTTTCCCCACAGCCGGATTGCACTGTCAGTAACCATGGAGCATCCATCAGCTGGGCAAGATAGTGTAAGTGCTGTTCACGTCTATCTAGATACCATACGAGATATTGATGAACCAATAGCCCCCACAAGAAGAAATATTCACTCTTGGAAGACGAGGGACGATTATCTTTGTAGCTCTTGCAGTTTTGACTCTCATGGTCGCGCTCGATGGTACTTCTATATCGCTCGCACTACCCGTAAGGAATATTATTGACCAAAGCCTATGCATGCACATGCTGATTCTCCGCAGGCTATGTCGAGTGAGCTCGGTGGTACAACCATTGAAGCATACTGGAGCGGAACATCTTTCTTACTTACTTCCACTGGTATGTGTAGCGGCCTCGGGGGATACCTTGCCTTCTGTTCCTTTCGCCCTCATCGCTCATGATTGCTTTAGTGTTCCAGCCGACATTTGCTTCTCTGTCCAACATCTTTGGCCGAAAGTCAATAACCTTCATAGCCTTAGCAGTCTTCCTTGCTGGTACAGTTGTTGCTTCAGTGAGCCATAACTTTACAGAAATGCTCATTGGTCGATCTATCCAAGGTGTTGGAGGCGGCGGTCTGATTGCATTGTCCGAGATTATCCTCACTGATCTCGCACCTCTTCGAGTTCGTGGTCTGTACTTTGGATACCTTGGGGCAGCATGGAGTATAGGGTCTATCATTGGTCCACTGCTGGGAGGTGGCTTTGCCCAAAACGTTACCTGGGTAAGATAAATTTGATTCGCCGTGGAAATGTAAATGTTTATACTGACCTGAAAACCCTCAGAGATGGATTTTCTACATAAACCTTCCTCTTATTCTCATCACAGCGGTTTTACTCTTCTTTTACCTCAAGCTTGAAATACCCAAAGATGGTCTTTCACGAAAGCTTCGTCACATTGATTACTACGGCACCTTCTTGCTTGTGAGTAGCCTCACTTCAACCCTCATACCTCTGACGTGGGGCGGGGTCCAATATCCTTGGGGTTCATGGAGAACAATTGTTCCTCTAGTTCTCGGAATTGCTGGCCTAGTGGTCTTTGCCTGGTATGAGTGTTACATGGCAAAGGACCCCATGATCCCACAGTCCGTCTTCCAGAACAGGACCACAACCATTGTTTATGTCTGCACCATCATTCTAGGACTGCTTCTTTGGTGCTTATTGTACTATCTTCCTCTATACTATGAAGCGGTGCATGGTTATACACCAATAATTTCCAGTGTTGCGATCTTCCCAGAGACGTTTACTATTGGACCAATAACCACTATCACCGCACTGGTTGCGAGCATAACGGGCCATTACATATGGGCAATCTGGTCAGGCTGGATGCTTACTGTCATGGGGATGGGCCTGCTGTGTTTACTTGATGTGGACACAGCCATCCAGCAGTGGGTTTTTCTGAACCTTGTTCCTGGTATTGGCCTTGGACTCCTGGTAACATCTATGGCCTGTGCTGTACAAGCATCGGTCACAGCGGAAATTCTGCCAATTGCAGTAGCAATGTTTAGTTTCTTCCGAGGAATGGGCCAAGTTCTTGGAGTTGCCATTGGGGAGGCGGTTTTTCAAAATCGCATGAGAGTCTATCTCACAAATGATGGGCTGCCTTACGCTGATGTTGAGCTATTAAGCAGGACCGCAGTTAGTGCTGTGGGTGCTATCAAGGAACTGCATGATGAGACGCTCAAGAGAACTCTGCGACGTGCCTATACTGACAGTCTGCGCGATGTGTGGATCGTCTGTTGTGCATTTGCTGCAGTTGGCCTTCTGCTAAGCTTCTTTGTTCAATCCCATAGTCTCAACAAGAGGCAAAATACTTGTCAGAGCTTGAGAAAGGACGATACTTCTGAAAAGTGAAGGAATCTATGATATTTTAACTCCAAGCCTTGTATTAAATTGATACTTGAGATTTCTGGACGGACGATACTCCTGAGATTTGGGTATGTAGGCTTGGATGTTCTATATAGTCACGTATCCCAGTCCTGCGCTTCTCGTTCCAACTCCAGAGGAGAGAGAGAGATGAGAAAAGATGAGAAAGGAAGAAAAGAAGAGAAAAAAGAGAGAGAGAACCTTGAAGGGAGGAGATGGAAAGAGGGGGATGGGAAGAGGGGGGAGAGATAGAGGGGAGAGAGATAGAGGGGAGAGAGATAGAGGGGAGAGAGATAGAGGGGAGAGAGAGAAAGGAGAGAGAGAAAGAAGATAGAGAAAGAAGACAGAGAAAGAAGAGAGGAGAGACGAGATGGAGATGGAGATAGAGAGGGGGAGGGGAGAGGGAAAGAGAGAAGAATATCTATTTAAGTACCTAGGTATGAGATTGATTTCGAACTCTTCAACATAAGAGATATATATAGAAATAATCTAAACTATATATGTGGAATGTTTCTTGAGGTCCTTACATCATGAACCCAAGAGGAGTATAGATCTCTGACAACAGCTCTGAAATTCGCCCACAGAGTAAGCCGTGCATCCTGCTATCCCTTCAACAGACAAATTTGGATTAATCACAGGACTTCATGAGTAACATTCTGATGTAACATTGCCTAATGAAAACATAAGACAAAAGACAAAAGTTCCACGCATCGACGTGAGACTGGGCTCGGAGTCCTGGGTATAAAAGAACCTAAGCTCTCGTTTTTCGCGAGGACTGCAAATTTCAGCATCGTCAATATAGGTGAGAATCTACCCAGCGCCAAATTTCGAGCTTCGAAATGTTGCTCTTGCATAAAATCTTCATTCTTCTATACATGAATCGGGTTCTTGGATCCTCTTCCCGGTCGGAGCCCGGCAAATTTGACAGTGAGCCTTTCCCCCGGCATTTCGAGATAGTGAGGCCTGGAATCAGATCTGATCACGCGTACATTAGGTCTTTGCGAGTCTCCCGGTGCTTCGGAACATTCTCCTTTGCCCAATATTTCCTCTGATCCTCTGTTCATACCCGAGCGAGAAGACCAGCATATCCATCACACGCGGGACTTTCAAAGAACATATCATGGCGTAAATATATTGTTGATTTCCAACTTTACTTCTTACCTCAAAGACTGAGGGAGTTGACTTAAGTTAGTATTGCTTGGCAGGTAAAACCCAAAAATGTACATTCTGCGTGAAAGGGGACTTTTACTGGGGTACATGCGCCGATGACCACAGGGTGAGCAATATATTTGACTATTTCGAGCGGCTCTCAGTTAAGTGCTTTGCAGTGTAAAAAAACCGGAAATCGATGCACCTGGTCTGATAACGAGAAGAAGAGGGCCGTCGTTTGTGAGTGAACGAAATGTCTCCTGTGCCCAGTTACGAGTAGGAAATGTGGGAAATTTTTGAACGTCCAAGAAATGAGATCAAAATATGACGGGAAAAAGCCATTCTTGTCCGACCTTTTGCTCTTCCGAGCTTTCAAGAATCTTTACCCCAAAAAAAGGCAAGGCCTACCTCCTTTTCAAGTTGACTTTGCTGTAAATGACACCCGATGATGCCAAGCCGGTAGTTCTCGCTCCCCACAACTCTATTGTTCCTGTGAAACTGTAATGTACAATATCGTCCAGACCCGATAGAATAATAATTACAATTTGAATTGAAGGGTAATAATATTAAGTAGACATATACATGAAGTGCCAAGATTGCACCCTTCCCATCGATAAATTTTAGTTATACGCAACGTGAATCTGCCGACTGACAACAATATCAGCCTCGCCAGGCCGTTGACCATTATCAAGGATCTCTTTCTGACTATCCCCATCACTCAGGCTACCCCGAGGATTGTGATCGATAGCCGAGGTGGTAGTCATATGGTTCAGACCCTTGACGTTCTCGTTGAGCTCGTAGTTCCGTGAATTCATCATTCCGCCGGTGCGATGCGAGCTGTATCCCGGTGATTGGTGGTAATTCTTATAGTCGGAGGTCTTGCGGTCGCGGAGGACGCGAAGCAGCGGGCGGAGAGTGGCGACATTTCCAACGATCATACCGATACTGTTTTCGGCGAATCCCCAGATGACCACGTCTGCGACGCCGTAGAGGTAGTCGTTTTGGTTGGTTAGTGCGACGGTGTATTTGAGTCGCACGCATGCTGATAGTGAGGCACTGTATTGGCAGGGTTAGCGATGCGCGTGGCAGTGAAGGGAGAGGACTGCGCACAAGATACCGAGACCCATCAGGCCGACGATCGAGATTTTGGTGTTGCGGTTGATTTGCACATTCCAGAGCAAGGGGACCGGCCTGTCGATAGAGTCAGTATTCTGGGTCACTTTTCGTATAATATGATGGGCGGTAAATCCTTACAGGAAGGCAGTGATCCAGTCAGTGACGATGTTGACGGCGGTACAGGCGTAATAAACATCGGCAAGAACGTAGCTGGGCTTGCAGTGACCTCCATTCGCAAGTGCCTTGGCGCTCCAAGCAGCCCTAAGAAAGGATCAGTATATAATCTGTGACATCTTGTCGCAGAGGAACTCACTCGACGGGGATGCAGTTAGTCAAGATGAAGATCAAAGCAATGAAGTTCATAGACACGAATGTTGCGATGACCACATATTGCACGTAGAGATACGCCTTGCGTCCCTGAGCAACTCGAATCAACATCCAACTAATGCTCAGCTTGATTGGAATGATGGCAGCGCAATAGCCAACTTCAAAGATGAGGAAGAACTAGGCGACGGATTAGTTTTCCGCCACGGACTCTCACCCAATGCGCGCATACCTTCTTTCCTTCTGCGGAGTACTTTTCGTTACCAGGTTTGGCGAGCGTCGCATTCTTCGCGCCGATTCCACTGAAGGCACCTCCAATACAGCCTGCGACAAGGACCGCAAAGGGTATCTTCGGTGGTGTCAGTTAACGATCTAACGATCGGCAGGTCACACATACCATTGCTGCACTCATGATCCAATCCTCTGTACCCCACGACCTACGCGATAATCTGCAGTAGACCCGCAATCCGAAAGTGATCAGGGCCAAGATCGTGAGCATGATCGTGCTCCCCGCCAGGGACGGGGCAGCATCGGCGTAAACGACCATCGCGTCAAGATTGAGGGTTGTTTCAGGGCCAACTTGGGGGCTGTCAGCAGTCTGTCAGCCTCTTAAGGAACTGGTCCGAGATCCTTTAGAGTTCCTCAAAGATGGGGTGAATGAAAATCTAAGATACAGTGAAAAAGAGCCTTCTCTAGTGCTTACGATGGGCTCGTGTTTTCATGCTGCTTAGGGGAGTGGGGATGGCGCATATCGGCATGGACTCACGGATACCCTGGAATCCGTAACACTGATCTCCGCTCAACTCCATTGATCACCTGTCGGATGGCCATTTTGAATTAGCTCAACCCTATGGTTATTACTTGCGGAGATGCTGATTCGCTGTCAGACAGGGAGAATCCAGTGTTGCGGTGGATATACATCGCGTTCAGTCTAACCCTATGCAATTCGCCGGTACCGAACCATCGGGTTCCGCGTCTTCCAGAACGGATCGAAGACTCTGCACGGCGTCTATTCGTCCACCTGCTCGTCAACTACCCTTTTCGGCTTGATTCCGAACAGAAATCTCTACTAGTACTAGTACTCCGTATGATGATCGGACTGGCAGCCAAACGAAAAGTCTTTCCACGCTTGAATCGATCGATCGAAGAACTGGGCATTGGCAGATCTGTGCAGTGTGTTACCCCTTTCCGACCTAATTATAAAAGTTGTGCGAGTCATGCTATGTTGATCTCTGCATTGGCGTCTGTATAGTTAAGCCACGTAATTTCCGACCGTCAGGACTGTCGGACCACTAGCCGGTCGCTTAGCTTTCCTCACCATGCTGCCCCACACCATTGGCTAGATCTTACAGGTTGCGATCATGCAAAGGCGTTTATCCTATGCACTAGAGCGCAACAGCTGCCTCTAAGGGTGCAATGGCTGTCTCATTGTTGCTTCGGATTTCCGCGCGACGATCACTGTGTTCAGACCTCGGAGCCACTTGGATGTTGCCGATATGTGGCGAAAATGATTTTTTTCCATCGACGATCACTTTGGGATTTCAGGCACTTATCTTCAACTGTCTAGTTTCATCGGCAGGAATTGCCGATACTAGTTACTCACTATGAGTGACACCCTCCAAATTAACCGTTTTCAAGATTTACGGCTGAGTGCGGAGGTCTCCGGTGTTTATGAAGTGGGTTCGGCCTGCCAGCGGCATTTACATAGAGTTTTCGCCTCATTTCTCTATTATTCTTGGATGCTGACACAAAAGCAAATAAAGGTCCGAAGAATGGGATTAGCGGAAACAGTATCCCGTGCCTATCAGTACGGCGATAGAGTACACCAAGACCAACTTCATTAGCTCGAAAGCATGCCGCTCCAGCTATTTCCCGATGTTTAGCCTTCCACGATTCATTGATCATTGGAGCGAAATCACGGCACAGCCTCAGGCTAGCAACTCTACTGTGCTAGTGCAGTATAGTACTATGACTGTCCACCATAGTCATGTGGCACCTGGCAGCTCCGACAGTGGGGAGCCCCATGGAAGCTGAAAGCCCCCTGCAAGCTTTTGAGCTCATCTGGGCATCATTGCGGGGAATCTTGGAAGCTGGGGGTGGCATGCCTTTGACAAACATATTGTTTTTTGAGATGCTTAAAGACATTCCAAGTTGTCAGAGTATGGGGCACCGAGTGGAGATCGTCGAATCATGTTTCAGAGCCTCGCGGCTTGAAACATCTGAAAGCCCGGCCTCGGGACTTGAGGCCTAGACCTCCGGCCCACCAGCCGGAGGAGAACGTGCCGTGTTGTTTATCGCGCCATCGGGGATCCCGTTGCTGTTCGGATTTTCCATTATCGCTCGGGGCCCTTATTCCAAGGGTTGAATATCGAACGGGAATGAGTTTGACCCTGGAATATGAAATTACAGTATAAACATCACTGGTTGTCCAAGTGGACTGTAGCCCTGGAGCCTTTTTCCACAATGAACGTGAAGTTCCCAAGGTTGCAAACATATTTCCCGGCATTCGGCAAGACACCATGTTTGCCTCCAGGGCTGTTTCAACTTCCACCTGTCCGGCATCAGCCCGGAGGTCAAATTGAGGCTCCACATCTAAACCTTCTACTATGACCATAGTCGAATAGCTCCCGAGGTCTGAACCTTGGAAATCATTCCAAGGTTGGTAGCAATTTTGAACTTTATACTATACAACATCTGAAAGGCATCGATCATGAAAGACCGGTCTTTTCAAGGGTTGGCGCCAAGCAACCGACCCATCGTGGCGTGGGTTTACGAACTTGGAAATCTAAAGCCTCCACGGGGAGGTTGTGTCTAATGAGATGAGTTCCGGGGATGCATTTGATCGAAGACATTTGCATACGGCGCTCGCATTCAATGAACCGTGTGCCTTATCTCATGCCAGTGACTACCTAAATGAATATGTAAGAAAGAAGTCGCTTTACGGCGATTCTCCCGAGTCCGAAGGTCTGGGGCCCCGGGTCAGTGGCTGTAGTTTGTCAATTCCCGAGGTCATGGCCATCCAACCCAGGGGGTAATTGCGGACTCATTCCATAGACCCAATATGTCGAGGGGCGAATGGGACAAACGGGGCACGACTTGTCGGATCATCATTTTCCTGGGGATTTCCCCTTCTCCTAGTGTCAAAGCGTGTCGGCTGGATTCCACGTTCGGGCCTTCATTCACTATTGCAATAGTCTGTCCACCATTCAGAGCCCCTGAAATGCAATACAGGGCGCAGACACTATGATAAAAATAGAGGGTATTAACTTGGAATGATCAAGGAAGGCTGGTCATTCATTTAGCGGTCGCACGCCCGGCGGTTGTCCGTGTCGGCAACATTCTGGTCGCGAAATCGGCAGTCCGAGCACTTGAGGTCTCCGTTCCGAGGTCCAGATGTCCTAAGCACCACCAGCTCTGGAGGCACTTTGACAGCCGAAACCAATACTCAGATGGCCGAAATATATATCACGTGTAACTGGATTCGGATCCACGAGAGAGCGTACATGGGCATGTCATTTCAAAGTCTTCCCTCCAGTCATCAGCGGACCGTTCTTGTTTCTGTCTTTCTTTCTTCCTTTTTCCCTTTGCTCTCGTTTCACCCAGCCAGCTCATATGTCAACTATAAGATCGAAATTGAGAAACTCAAAGGCTTAATGAGCCCGAGGCCAGTCGTTGTAATTGTCGTTTGGGTTTTGATAGGGGCCATAATTGACCATGCCACCCCGATCATTGGAAGCAAGCGGAGCTCCAGACTTGAGTCGGCTCACCAAGTCCTAGACAAAATTAGCAGACTTCGAAGAAAGTATACCGATAGCTAATCAACGAACAGGATTGTAGATAAATGGCCTGGCAAATTGGGGCATGTCGATCAGACCCGATTTGACGAGGTGATCTGCTTCCTGAATAGTGTATTCATGATTCACCATAAGCGCAGTCGTACTGCCGGGGTACTTGATCATGTGTCCGAACTGCTTCAGGGGCTCGTAATTTGGCGGCAAAGCATACTGAGCGGGTCGGGGCTTGGACACGAAAAACTCATCTTGATTCCTGCCGACATCATATCCTCGCCGTGACAGGTTAATGAAGCCCAAGTTGCGAGTCATCAAAGCTTGGATGAAATAATTATAGGTCTCCGACAATTCTTCATAAGATACCATTGTATCGTTGTAGTCATCAGATGGGCAGATTTTGATGCCGACGGCTCGTGGTCCCCAGACTGAGATGATGGCGTCGAGTACTTCCAGGGGGAAGCGGCATCGGTTTTCCACGGAGCCTCCGTACTCATCGGTTCGAAGGTTGGAATGACTGATGGGCATGTTAGACTTGGATGTTTATTTTCAAAAACCACGGGCGACATACCTGCAGAGGAAATTATGCAGAAGATAACCACTATAAAACGGGAGAAGTTAGCAATCTCCAGAATCTCATACACAAACGCCATGCATATTCATACCCCTGAGAGAGCAATTCAATTCCATCGAAACCAGCCTCTTTCGCCAAAACAACTGACTGTCGGAACTGTTCAATGATAGCCTTCGGGTCTTTGATTTCCGTGATGTTCTCGGTGTATCCCTTTCGAATAAAAGATGTCAGCAATTCTTCATGCCCCGTACAAGATCGACGTATAGTGCAGTACCGGTTTTCCTTCCAAGATCCTGAATTTCCCTCCGCTTGCCTTCACCTTCGAAGGAGCCAGCACAGGATACCCATGCTCCTTCAGCATGGGCATGTTTTCATTCTGGATTCGACCTAAACATGGTATCAGCATCCCATTCTCCAAGGACATCTTGCAAAACATAACACACCAGGATGCCATGGCTGGAAAAGAATCTTTCCCCCCTCCCGATGAACGGCATCTGTCACCATTTTCCAAGCAACCGAGTGGCTCTTGTCAAACATGACCGGGGCTTTGGGCCATTCCGCTCCATGCGGACAGATGAACGTTCCTTCTGCCACTATCAAACCGGTGCCGTCCCGAGCCCGGTCTGCGTAGTGAGTGGCAACTGTCGGTGTCGGCTTCGAGTGATCGGTACAGCGGTTGCGTGTCATGGACCCCATACACACACGGTTGCGCAGGTGAATGATGTCGCCGATTGTGATTGGCTGTAGTAGGTGGGACATCTTTGTGGTTTAATATGCTGGGGTGTCTGTCAAGAGTTGAACGGCACCGGTCAATGACGGAAAATGTGTGTTGTGATATTTCGGTTGTGAGCAAAATATGATTTGAGACTTGGTGCCCAGGTGCCCCCAGGGACTTAAGTAAAGACTGGGCAAGCTTGATTCGTGGCGGAATGCATATTCCGCAAAACCCGCCCAGTCGTCTCCATCAACACTGGAGGAAAGTACGGGAGTCTGAAACTCTTGTTGAACAGGAAGTTTCGAGCATGTCTTTATGGAAATGGAGAGGAAAAGAGAAGAGGACAAAGGGAAGAAGAGAAAGGGAAGAAAAAGGAGATGGAGGGAGAGATATCGAGGAAACCCGCAGGCATGACCACCTGACTGGGCGTTCATGAGGGTTGAGTATTACCACTTTCTTTGAGGCGTTATCTATGCTGTTTTCCTCCAAAATAATCGACGAATAATGATGACTGGGAAACAACAAGCGTGGAAGTTCACAGCCCCATGGTGTGTCATGAAAGTTGAGATTGAGGATGAATCAACTCCATGCCTCAGTGGCCTCCTAACAAGATCCCGATTGCTTATGAGCCACGCTAACAGACATTGCTGGGCTCAACCTTGGGACGAACCTGCGAATCACCCCTCATAATCATTCATGGTCATAAGGGCATTTCTCATTGATAATCCAGCCTGATCTTCTCTTCATGGGTCTGACAGTTGCGTGAGCCTGTCATCAGAGCTAAATACACAAAGAGGATGATTCGTGTCCCGACCTCGGGAGGTTCCAATAATGAATTCAATCATAGTCTCTTCAAGCCATGAATGCCTGCAGCTTCTGCTTGTTGAGAATCTCGCCTTCCACGAGTCTCGATGTCTCAGAAACCTCCCCGTTGACGTTCTGATAACGTACCAACGCAGGGATGTTCTTAGTAGCCCAGGTTGTGCGGTACACATTCTGAGGGTTGGCCCATCTGGTAGCTATCAGCAACCTGTGTCAAATGTCGCATGGACACTCATGACCAAGGAACGATGTCGGAACTTACTCAGGCTTCTGCCCAACCTCGACGATCGCAAGGTCTGGTGAATCATCACCAGCGAAAGCGTCAGTGATGTGAGGCATAGCAGCTCGTACGTCCGGGCACCAAGCCTGCTTGGTAACGGGGTCTGCGGAAGAGACGAAAGCGATGAAGAATTTGGAATCGGGACCAACAAGGAGATCCTTTACCGACGCCGGTAGAGTGAAGTTTTTGATTATTGCCATAGCTCTATGTTTCGAAGTAGGTGGTTTATGTCCAAGTTGAAGAAGCGAATGTGGCTTTTTGCGATGTCCGCGCCAAGCCTTTTCGGTCGCGGGTATTGCCGGCGTTTTACACGCGACACAAACCGCTATCATCCCAGTCCTCACTCCCAACTCCTTTGCGCACAATGAATAGATCGTACGGGTCTCGCAGTGCTTTAATCTCACGAAGCCGAGGGTAGTTGTCGCCCCAGAATGATTCCTGGAAGTCGGTCTCGTCGGCATCGGCTTCGTTCATGTAGGCGCCCATCTTGCCTGGCTCCAGGGACTTGAGTAGTGGGACTTCTACATTGGTGATGTTGGCTTCCAATGCTTTCTGTTGGTCGAATGTCATCTCGGGGCTCATCCAGTGGGCGGCTATCACATGGACCAATGCGTCCCGCCAGGCGGGATTGAGCCCGGATTCAATGTCGCGATTCTCGGATACCTGACCGCCAGCAACAATTGCGCCGACAATTGCGTCCCCTGGGCCATATCGGAGACTTGAGACAGCCTTGGTGAGCTTGTTATGGTTGCCTGATTCGAATAAATCTCGCGATATCAGACGGCTGGCGAAACGGATTTGGAGACCGGTCGTATCGTTTTCTCCGAGCAATGCTGAGTAGTATGTTGACAGTGAAGGCAACGCCGTGACATCAAAGTAAGGCTCCAAACCTATCGCGTCTTTGATCTCAGACTTCACAGGCGCCAGGAGATCCTCAATTGCCTTGGTGTCCGTTTGGTTCACAAATGTCGCGGAAAGAATCATCAGCGATACGGTTTGTGAATCCGAAATAGGCGTGTTGGGCACCAGTCCATAGAAGCCAGTGCCTCCTTTATCGTTGATCTCAAGAATATGCTTTTGAAGTGCATCGACACCGTCCCAGTATGGAGCACCGATGGGCGTGGTATAATTGATAGTGGCCACGACCGTAGGGTAATCGGGATGGGCCTTGACGGTAGCACTGACTACTACACCAAAACTTCCGCCTCCGCCTCCACGTAGAGCAAAGAAGAGATCCGAGTTTTGGTAATCATTTGCGACAACGAGGGAGCCCTGATGCAATGTCAGCAGCTGCAACGAATACCCCGAAAACGCCGCACATGGAGTTAAAGACTTACATCGGCTAAGACGACATGGAACTCAAGGGCATTGTCGCTTGCCATCCCATGAAGCCATCCCAGTAAGGAGTGACCGCCACCTTGAATATACCCACCGGTAATACCAACGGTGTTCGCTGTTCCCCCAACCACCATCAAGCCCCGCGAACCTAGGTACGAATACATCTCATGCAATTGAACGCCCGCCCCAAGAGTCACCGCCTTGATACCTGGCGGAGCTCGTTTGTTCTTTGGGGCGGTAGGAACAAAATCGTCCAAAATAGAAATTTCTTTCATCTCATGAGTGAAGATTTGAAGAGAGTTCGGAGCAGAAGAGCGCCCGACGAAGTCGTGTCCTGTGTTTTTAATGACGAGCTTGAGATTTTGTTTTGCCGCAAAGTTGACAGCTTCTTGGATGTGCTTTGCCTCTTGGGCCTTGACCGAGAAGAGTGGTATACGACCTTGTTTGCATGGTGTCGTCTTTGATGTTTCGATGTAGCACTGCTCATCTTTCTCGGGCCATGCTTCCCAATTTGACCATTGCAAAGCGCCTGAGAATGTCAGCCTCAATTGGTTGATTTCGAAAGCTTCATCGCGTTGTTAGAGCCTCACCTGGATCGGATGATCTGTAAGAAGAACTGTTTGAGTTGGTCTTGGCAATGGTACATTCTGCCTCGTTGAACGTCGGGTCATGGCAAGGCAGCGCATATGGTGTGACTTTGACCAAATTCCCGTCAGTTGAGGAATTCAGACGAGCCCAGCTGTCATCACTTGGCCAGCATGGCTGATCAGGTTGACAACGGCAGAATTTCGCATTGGCCGAAGTAGTCGCTGCCAGCACACCTATAGCCAAAAGTGCGGCCTTCATGTTGTCGCACAGAGACCTCGAAAGACGATAAACTCAAAATCATCCTTGCCAGCTCTTTTAAGATCTCAAAATACTCGAACAAAACAAGTATGGCCCTTATTTTGCCGGCATGGTGGGCAGGAATGTGCGGCTTGGGCAAGGGATCTTGATGCAAGGGATACCGCGGAGTACCTTTGAAGATCACCGCATTTTCATAGGCCGAACGGCACTTCTTTGGTCATGACTGGTCTATTCTATGCCGTCATTCCAAGATCCGAGCTGCCATGCTGCTCTTCGTCGAACTCTATATCCATGGATCTCTTCGGTCACATCAACGTTGCATATAAATTGCATACCTCTTGGCTTAGCGCGGTAGATCCCTCATCTTAGGCAATGAGAGAGAGGGAAAGGTCAAATTTGCGGCTTTAATCCTTCCAAATATATGTCGCTTGACATATATATTCTCACACTGGTGCAGCAGTCACCATCGGCTTTGCCCAGGCAGCCCAACTAGGCTTCCAACGCAATCGCTTCATAACCAAAATAAGTGTGAGCGCACGACGCAGTCTATATGTATAATTGAGAGTTGATCAAGATCAGCATCCGTGCGACGATGCTTCAATGTCATAAGATGATGCTTGAAGCTTCGAAATCAATGAGCAAACATAAATGAACACATGAACGACTTGGATACGCAAGGACTGAATTGATAGAGCCTGCACATGTAGTGCATCGACTCATAGATCAACCTCGCATCACACGTGCAGCCTTTGATTCCCCAAATTTGGGTTCTCCAGGTCTCAGACGGGGGCCAAAAGTGTCAAAGCGGGATATCGCAGATCAACTCAATCTCACTCTGGGGTCCACGGGTAGCCTTGCGGATGACCTGAAACTCAAGTGCTAGATGAACCGGTAATTAATGATTCGGATTCAAAGGCGTTATTATGAGTAGCTCCGTGACACTTTCCTCACAACAACAGCTCACGACTTACGTTGTATCTCCGAGTGTCTCCCGCGTTGACGCAGAGCCGAGCTAGCTGCATATACATGCAGCAAACACGAACTATCTCATTGGCGTCATGCGCCCCACTTTCACAAACAGAGTAAAGCGTCACATCTCATGCACGCTCTATGGCAGCGGATTTGTCAATTTGCATGGAATTTAATATCGATAACGAAGTCCAAAGCGCGATGATCAGTCCACACCGTTCTGACAGAGTTCTCTCTCCAAAGTTTCCGGACTCGCCATCCAAGCAGCCGGCCTAACCGAAACATCGGCAAACCATTGATCGGAAAGCCACAGCGCCACAATGCAAGGACCCGCAGATCAGGGATACCAGCTCGGAGTCGATGTGGGCGGCACATTCACAGATGTCTTCGTGTTTACCCCGCTCGGCAAGACTGTTCGAGCAAAGGTTCCAACCACACTGCCTGATCAGAGTATTGGCATTCAGCGGGGTATTTCCAAGGCGCGCGAGACGTTGAAAGAGCAATTTGGCTGGTCGGGAACTTTTCAATTCATTCACCATGGCACAACAACTGCGACAAATGCTGTTCTTGAGGGGAAGGGCGCGCGGACGGCGCTGATTGTCACGGCTGGTCATAAGGACGTTTTGGCATTGCGTCGCTCACAAATACCGGGTGGACTAGGTGCTTGGTTGCACTGGACACCCCCTGAGCCGATTGTGCCTCTTGAGCGAGTGGTTCAATGCAAAGAACGGATGTCTGTTCAGGGAGAGACAGTGACGCCAGTTGATATTGAGGACCTGCGACGCAGTCTCAAAGATCTTGCTCGGCATAAGCCAGAGGCTGTTGCTATCTCCTTGCTGAACTCGCACAGCAATGATTCCCACGAGCGAACAGTCGTAGACGCTGTTCGAGAGGAACTTGGGACAGACATTGCGATCAATTGCTCCGCTGATGTTCTGCGTGAAGTCGGCGAGTACGAGCGGACAGTGACAACCTGCACAAATACCCTTGTCAAGCCCGTAGTGGAGAAATATCTTCAGAGTCTTTCCGAGGCACTCGCTGCTGAAAGCGAGGCTATCCGAGTACTCAAGAGCGATGGTGGACTGACCAGTCTCACCCTGGCTTCTGAACTACCGGTCAATATCCTCATGTCTGGACCCGCCGGCGGTGTCAAAGGGGTAGCAGATGTGGTCGCACGGAGCACTCCATACAAGAATCTGATTACCTTGGATATGGGCGGAACTTCAACTGACTGTGCATTGATCTACAACGGTCAACCCCAGCTCCGACGAGAGACTGTTGTCGAGAGCCATTCTGTTCGCGCGCCTGCGGTGGACATCAAAACCGTCGGGGCCGGAGGAGGCTCCATCACGACGTACATGGAGCTGACCGAAACGCTACGGGTGGGCCCCGAAAGTGCTGGAGCAACGCCCGGCCCTGCGTCCTACGGAAAAGGCGGCAAACAAGCGACCGTTACAGACGCGAACTTGGTCCTTGGGTATTTGCCCAAGACACTGCTAGGTGGCGAGTTTGCACTGGATGTCCAGGCTGCCATGGCTGCTGTTGAGGATATTGCAAAGCAAATGAATCTTCCCGTCATTCAGACAGCAGAGGACATCATAAATATCATCAATGAGACCATGTACGGCGCCTTGCGGTTAGTTTCCGTGGAGCAGGGCTATGATCCTCGCGAGTTCGCGCTGGTCGCTTTTGGCGGTGCCGGCCCGCTCCATGCGAATGCTGTCGGCGAGCTTCTAGGTGCTTGGCCTGTGATAATCCCACCCTCGCCTGGAATTCTATGTGCACAGGGTGATGTGACCACGAAGCTGAGACATGAACAATCGACCACCTTCATTCGCATTGTCTCATCGACGACGGTCGCCGAGGCTAGTGAGCTATATCAAGCCCTCGATCGGGATTGTCGTGAGACTCTGTCGAGGACTGCTGGTGATCAATGGCCGGTAACATGGCAAACCGCATACCAAGCAGACCTTCGATACAAGGGTCAAGCTTTGACAATCACAATTGATCTCACAGAGAGTGAGTTGGCCTTGAGCGATGAAGAGTGGCATCGTGTGCTGCGGCAAAAATTCGATCAGCAGCATCAGCAGATGTTCACTTATTGCTTGCCAGACTTTGATCTTGAGTTAATGAGATTGGGGGTTGTCCTGGAGGATGCGTCGCCTGGAATCGATATCCCTCAAATCGAGAAAGGGACTAACATCCCTACCGATGCCAAGATCGGCGAGCAGATAATCATCGTCAAAGGCGAAGAGAACCTTGCGACCTTGTGGGATCGTCAGAAAATCAGCAAGCAGGGAACTCGAGTAGATGGACCGTGCATCATCTCTGAGATGGATAGCAACACCCTGATCCTGCCTGGCTACTATGGCGAGATTGACAACATCGGTAACATTCTCATCAACCCTCTGGAGCGCAAGCCCGCTGTTGCTACCTTGCACACTGCCGAGTCAGCGAAGGAACTTGTGAAGTCCACCCCGTTGTTACCAACACTCATATCCTCAACACTTGCTTCGATTCGTGGTGAGATGGACAAGATGATGCTGCGATGCAGCATGTCTCCAGCAATCAGAGAGCAACAGGATGAGTTCAACGTCATAACCGACCGTGATGGCAAAATGCTTGTCGGCCAATTCGGAAGCTTCATCACACAGTTCCTCGATGTATGGGATGGATCAATCGAGGAGGGCGATATTTTTATCACCAACGATACCTACCAGGTGCAGGGGGCGATCAGTCACCTCAACGACATCATCGCTTTCTTGCCGATCTTCCACGATGGTCGAATCATTGGATTCGCGTCGCAGTTTGGGCACCTCACTGATGTGGGTGGTATTGTCCCCGGAAGCATGTCAATCAATGCAACTTCAGTCTTCGACGACGGTGTTCAGATCCCATGCATCAAACTTTATACCAAGGGTGTTATGAACAAAGATTTGGTTGATCTACTTTGCCGCAATTCCCGCCAACCAGCCTGGTATCGTTCCGATTTGACCGCGATCGTTGCGTCCTGCTCAATGGCCGCAACTAGAGTTCGTGAATTGGCGACTCGGTTCGGCGTAGAAGTATATCTTGCTGCATGCTCTGAGCTATTAGATCGGAACCGAAATGGCTTTGCCAAGATCATTGAGCGGCAATTCGATGACCTCGAAAGCAAGTTCACCGACTTCGTTGACGATGACGGTCACGGAGTCGGACCTTGGGCCCTGACATGCTCCATGAACAAGGTGGACGGGAACCGCCTGAAGTTCGACTGGAGCGGTACTTCACCCCAGAGCGAACGAAGTATCAACTTCTATCTCTCAGAGACAATGTTCCGGATGTTCATCGGCTACTATCTCATTGCAGCAGCAGCCCCAGGAACAGTCATCAACGATGGCTTCCACGATCTGATCGACGTGCATATCCCGAAAGGAACCGTTCTCAAGCCCGTTCGCCCTGCACCCATCTCATGCCGCACTCACTTCCTCGGTCGGACTTTGGACATTGTCCAAGCCTTGATCGGTCAGAAGCAAGACTCTTACCAAGCAGCAGCAGGATTCAGCGACTCGCCGCACTTCTTTTACTCTGGATTCAAGCCGGACGGCGAGTGGTACCAGCTTTACCAAATCGGCTTTGGTGGTGTACCTGCCCGCCAGGCCGGTGATGGCCCCGACTGTCACTGTCTTTTCCCTGCTATTAAGTCCATTCCCACGGAGATCATCGAGCTCAACTACCCGCTGCGCATTGAAGCGAATGAGAGTGTTGCCGATAGTGGCGGTGCCGGGTTCTATCGCGGTGGCAACGCACAGCGCACGCGATACCGATTCCTCTCACGTGGAGAGTTCAGTCTGCATGATGATCGGTGGTTCACGAAGCCATGGGGGTTGAAGGGCGGAAAGCCGGGACAGCGGTCGCGTAAGACTTTATTCCGATACTCCAAGTCCGAGACTAGCCCACCCATTGAAATTTTGCCTTCGAAATGTGATCATGTCCGTGTCGATCCTGGAGATCTACTCGAATGGGTGACGTGGGGTGGAGGTGGTCTTGGTGATCCTTTGACGCGTCCTGCCGAGAAGGTTGCGTTGGAGGTGCAGCGGAAGCTTGTCACGGTGGAGGGCGCTCGTGCCGCATATGGGACCGTAGTCAATGATGACTTCTCGGTGGATGAGGTTGCGACCGAGAGGCTGCGCTCGGAAATGCGTCTACAAAGCATGAAGATCGACCAGCCTTCGGTGTATGATCGTGGAGGTAGTATTGAAGAGCTGCGAGGAACTTGTTTGGAGGAGACTGGCCTTCCTGCCCCGTTGCCGCAGTGGGAAACCGATCTCTATGGGCCTCATGCTGGATTATCATACGTTCAAGATTGGTTCACTAACATGCGATCGCGCAAAGGATGGGAGCTGGACTAAATAGTCTGAATCATCAAGTCGAATGTGAATATAGAGAGGTGAAGTGGAAAAGGTGACAAACAGAACCCGGTTTCATATATACCTGTCTGAATATGTTACAGTAGATCAATCTCTTTCTCCAACGATGACTCCAAAAGTCGCAAATAACAAAACCTTGGTTGATGGGTGAGCTTGTCCACTGCCTGATACGAACTGAGAGCTCCCGGCACAGGCTGCAACTCGAAGTTCCATAAGAGAAGGACAAAAACGATCTTCAACTCAAGATATGCCATTCGCCTGCCAAAACAGCCTCTCGGCCCCAAGCCAAAAGTCAACACTGGCCCCGACGTCGAGTCAAAACACTCTTTGCCATCTTCCACGACAATCCACCGCTCCGGTTTGAACAAGTGCGAATCAACTGGATCCCACGCTCCGATCTTCCCATTCGCTTCCCGGCAGCTCTTACTACGCAGCTCTTCTGGTATTGTGCCGATCGGAGGTGCAATGAAATCCGGACCATTGCCCATCAGGAACACCGTTGTGCCTTTGGGAATACGGTGACCAAGAATGACTGTATCGACCATCGCCGTGCGTGAAACCCCTGGTGCTGTCATTGATTTCCGAACAATCTCCTCCAGGGTGGCGTCAAGATATGGGATACGCGCTTTGAAAATCTCCTCTGCCGTTGGCGGTCGAAGCTCTGTAATTGCGCTGGAGAATCCGTCTCGAACGGCCTGTCGGAGTTTCCTTTGTATCTCGGGGTGGTCGGAAAGCAGCTTCAGCCCCCATGTTGCTGTTGTGGAGGTTGTATCGTGGCCGGCGACCAGTAAACCAAATAGCTGGCTTTTCTTTAGCGATGTATCTCGAAACTATGACATTGGGAAAATAGCTGCTCACCTCATCGTACACTGTTCTAGTGTTGTAGGCAGGTTCACGATCCTCCCTCGCCGCAGCAGCGAGCTCGCGGCGCATAATATCATCCATGGCACATCTAGCAGTCTCCTGCGAGTCCGAGTCCGAAGAAAATCGTGCCTTCGCTTTTTCAAGCTCAGTAGTGATCATGTTTTCTTTCGCTGCTGTTGCCTTGCGCATGTAGGGAAGCTTGCTCAGAATCCAGAAAGCCAGCTTTGGGGTAGGCGATAGCATGATAGATTCCAGGCTTTCTGTCAGTGTGAGGATCGAGTTTGGGGCGTCTGGGACAGGGACTTCGGGAAAGACAACGGGCGCATCTAGAGCATTCTTCAATATCCCAGGGCTGCTTGTCCGACCGGTGAGAAATCGTTTTTCGGCATGAATAATGCTTTCTTCTGGGTTGAGAGGAAATGTAACAGCCCAGATTGCATCTAGAGCTGCCCTGTAGAAGTCATCCAAAGCAGAGAAGGGACGACCCTCCGCCAATCGAGCCTTTTGGGTCCAAAGATCGACGAGTTCTGTGAAAGTCTCGTACATTCGGGGTGCAGCAACCTACTTCGTCAGTATGGGATCCCACAATGTGATAAGTTGGCCGGACAGACCTGATTCAAAAAGCCAGGAGTCATCAGATGTTGAATCAACTTCCGGTGCACTTTGAATTGAGGATTCGTCGTTTTCATAGAAATATGATGGTCGGGGCCTATGCCTTTGAAGAGGTTTCCAAGTAGATCGCTCCGATCAAACTCCTTGGTTCTGCGTAGGAGAATATCCTGACTCTCTCGGAAATCCGTGATGACGACCCATGGCCTGTTGAAGGGGTTCACGAATATCTGGATGATAGGCGAATTCAGCTTCCTGGCTTGCAAAGGTAGCCAGCTCAACTTCTCCCCGGTTTTCTTTGTGTAGTCGGTCCAGGCAGGTAGATCACCGAATAGATTCCTCGCCGCATCATGGTTGTAAGGGATACCTGGAATGGGATTGGGCAAAAGCCATCTATATCCCATAAATAACAGGAGTAATCCGACTGCGAGGGCAGCAGGTAGGTGGTCCATCGTTGTAGTTTGAGAACAGAATCACCAAGTACTTTTTGGACATTTGAGATTCGCGATACTGGGAAGACAAAGAAGAGCCGACCCGTATTCTGGAGGCTATTTATGACATGCTCACATTCAACCTAGGGACAAAGAACTGTCTATATCTGGAGTAAGCAATGATGATCTCCCCAATCTCAACGTTTTTGCGCGGTTAAATCCTCCGATTCATGATAGTCTCATAAGGCTGAGACGCGCGTGATCCGATACTCCGAACTTGCGACGGTGCAATAGTTCCGCCGGGGAGCACTGTGGACCAAAAAGCATGATTCTTCTCATTTACACATGGAATGACTCGGCATCTCATTCTATTATTGAAGGTCATGATATCCACTTTCATACTGACAGGTGGATGTCAATCCGAGAGCTGCACATCACTTTAAGCCAGGTTCATCCAAAGTTCTGAGTTGAACCAAAACGAATCGATTGCAGGGTTCGAGGGAGATTGTTCGAAGCGAAACATATTTTTTTTCTGCCGGCACCTGAGCAGGATTCTGAGCCTACCACAAACAAGTGACCACGCGACATACGCGGGAAAAGAGGATTCTATGTTACTACTCCGTATATTGCTTCGCTTCGCAATTACCGCGAAATGGAGTGCAGCAAATAGCGGCCACGGGCAAAATAATCCTAGTGTGGGTGCTCTTAGTCGATTTGAGGTGCCCCTAGTCGGTGTCATCGAGAGCTCAAAAAACAAAAATGAAATTGTCGAAGCTGCTGTAGTGATAATGTCGAGGCATGAAAATCGCAAGACAGACCCCCCTGGATAGTCGAACGCAAAGTACCAAGTCTATGGATGCAGAAAACAATGCATTGGGGGTATACCGAGTGGGTGCCAGTCAAATAACATCCGTCATGAAAAGTAATCTATACGAAATCATAACAAACCAAGAAAGAAAAAGAAAAGAAGAAATCCCAAAGCAGAGAATGTAGTCACAGACTCTTTATGTTCAACGAAAGATGGGGCCAGGCTCTCATGCAAGTCGGTGGTCCAACTTCCTTTCCATGGCATTATGGATGCTCCTCTCGCGGGTAATGCTCCACAGGCATACTCCGATACCGAGTAGACCGGAAATGAAAGTCATGAAGTAGGCAGATCGGTAGCAACCCAGTCCATCGGGACACTCGCGATCGCCATCTTTGCCGACAACCGAGTGTCCATCGTAGATGTTACCGTAAAGCAGGTTGAACACGTTGCCGCTGAAAACGGGAGCCAGGGTCATGACGCCCCAGTTTTGGGATAGGCCTTTGATGCCGAATGTGTGCGCTGTAAGGGAAGGGAAGACGCCGAAGAGGAAACCGTATGCGATTCCTGTTAAGCCAGAGACGATGACGAGGCTGTTGGGGTTGGAAATTGTGGTTCCGGCGAGTTGAGTGAGGGTGAAAACCACTGCTGAGAAGAAGAGGCACCAGAAGCGGGACATGCCCAGCTTCTTGACGAGCAGGTCGGAGCCAATACCACTGGATAGACGGCCTAAAAAGTTACCGAAGGAAAGGATGGAGACGTGCATGACTTGACGATGCTGAATGAAAATGTCTGTCGCGCTGTCGTCATAGTAGAGCCATAGGGCCTTGACGCTGTTGCCGATATTATTGATGGTCATCAACCCAATGCCAGAGAGAAGGGCCATGGTAAGGAAAAGCTGCCAGAACTCAACCTTACGCAGCATGGCGAGACCTCTGATGTCAAGGTGGTGAGATTCGATGGCAACCTCTTCTAGGAAATCATCATCCAGAGTATCAAAAGATGGGCGTGGGCGGTCAGATCTAGAAACCAATGAGGATCTCTCATCGTCACCATAGGACCGAGGGTTTGATGCGTTCGAGTGCGACCGCGCATGCGCGGGGTGCTGCCCGTGCTGGAACGCTGTCGATCCATGCAGGCCTGTGTCCTCTGAGTCTTCCGGGACGGAATGAAGATCTGTGGGGTTGGACAGCCTTCCGGGTTCAGCGGCACTGTGAGGAATAGACGAATAAGGCTCGCTGGCCAAAATGCGCAGGAATGGAATTGAGCAAAAGGACAAGATGGAAGTTCCAAGCGCTAAGAGCAGCAGGAAGCGGCCTGTGTCGTCTTTGAAAATGAGTGTGGAGATGTTGGACCAGAACAGTGCACTCAGCCCGAAGGCTGCAAGGGGGAAAGCGGTTGCAGTGCCGCGATGATCAGGGAAGTTGGATGCCGCTAAATGAATTAGCTACATTCTGCCCGGGCATCAATTTGTGTGTTCCTTACCTGTCTTGATAGCTCCACCAAAAGCGGAGCAACCACCCATGCCAGTAAGGAAGGCGAAGAAACATAGGAACACAATAGGCATTGACCCTTCGCCATTTTTATATGCTGCGAAAGTTAGATCTGTCCAATGCAAGAGCCGTTCATCACCTACCCAGGTAGATCGGGAAATAACCTAGACCCAGCGCAATTGATCCGATCAGGGTGATAAGTTGTGGGCCGCGGGCATCGGTCAACAAGCCCATCGGAATACCCGTCGCATACATCCCGAGGTTCCCCGCAACACCCTATACGTAGCTTGTTAACTTTTGGATTCTCCCCGGACGTAGTCCAACTCACAATCAAGTTGCTCTCGGTCGACGAGAGCTTCATGTGCTGTGCGAACTGCGGCGCCCATGCGGAGTATGCATACTGCAACAAGTCAACTTTCCTGTCCGAATGGCCAATCGGGGAAAAGATCACAGACATTGGTTCCGCATGACAGGGCGACCAGCGTCCCTGCGATGACGGAGATCGTCCGCGCTTTCTGGTGTATAGCTGCCATAGTGTACGGAGTAGATGGTCGAGTCTCCGACTGTGTCCGAGCACGCGATCTGGGGTTCTACTGATCAAGCGAAGACTCAAACCATCGAGCAAAGGAAAAAGAGCGAATGGAGGAGAGTCAAGTGTAGGACGGGGAAAGGCGAAGTGTCCCCGACCGCTTATCAGTCACGTAATCCCCACGGCCGCGTGGTCAGAGCACACTATCTTCACGCTCCACGTCATGGAGAGAACGGGGCAGAGCGAAGGACTGAACTGGCGGCAACGACCTTCGGTCAGGTGAGAATATCCCGATCTGGAGATCCCACTGATATGTCTGGATGACCTTGACAAGCCTCTGCTTTGACATTTCCACGTTCAACGGAATAGTTCGCATTCACTCGTATTACGTAACCTCCAATGACGCGGGCGGCCCTGTCCCAGCCGAAGGCGCTCGATCTCCATCCGATCTCCACAGCCCTCACGACATAAGTCACTGGTACAACCTGATACTACCAGAACCAGACGGGCTACTTGACTATCGTCCTCATGGGTGCCCTTCTCTCTATTCCACTCTTGGCAGTGCCGAGTGTTGGCACGGTATGTTGTCGCCTTACCTCGAACGCTGCCCTCCAGGGCAACCACGCAGTGAACTGACCGGGTCTCTCTCGATAGCTCATCACCGTCGCAGGATCATGCTGTGGCGCCGCGACGTGCTCTGCGGTCTGCAGTGCCTGCGGAAAGTTTCAGAACAGGTACCCCATCCCACGCCGTGTGCGGAGATCCTCGGGCTAACAAGATCAGTATGGCAACGAGAATCGCCTACGCCTTCATCCTTTTGATCAACTCCATCATATCCTGGATTATGCTTACGCCATGGGCCTTGAAGAAGCTCCAGCACCTGACGCTTGACTACATGGAAATTCAATGTGACGGGAAGGAATGTCATGGTTGGGTGGCGGTCCATCGCATCAATTTCGCTCTCGGTCTTTTCCATTTGATACTTGCCCTTCTCTTACTCGGAGTCAAGAGCTCCAAGGATACTCGCGCCGCCATTCAGAATGGCTACTGGGGCCCAAAGGTCATCCTCTGGTTGGCCTTTGTTGTCATGTCCTTCTTCATCCCCGAGCCCTTCTTCTTCGTCTACGGCAACTACATTGCATTCTTCTGCGCCATGCTCTTCCTGCTGCTTGGTTTGATCTTGCTGGTCGATCTCGCACATACGTGGGCGGAGCTGTGTCTGCAGAAGATCGAGGACAGCGACTCTCGCTTATGGCGAGGTCTGCTCATCGGTTCGACCGTCGGCATGTACCTGGCGTCTTTTGTCATGACGATCCTGATGTACATCTTCTTCGCAAACAGCGGGTGCTCCATGAACCAGGCTGCAATCACGGTATGTGTTTCCGGTGATCTAGTATTGACCGACAGACTAACTCGTCACAGATCAACTTGATCGTGTTCTTGATCATCTCCTTCGTGTCTGTTCAACCTGCAGTGCAAGAGTCGAACTCTCGTGCCGGCTTGGCCCAAGCTGCGATGGTCACCGTCTACTGTACCTACCTCACCATGTCCGCTGTCTCGATGGAACCGGATGACAACAACTGCAACCCATTGATCCGGTCTCGCGGAACCCGCACTGCCACCATCGTTCTCGGTGCGATCGTGACCATGCTCACTATCGCATACACGACCACCCGGGCTGCCACGCAAGGCATCGCCCTGGGCTCCAAGGGCGGACACAGCTACATCCAACTGGGCGGGGATGACGAGCACGGATTGATCACTCAACAGCCCAACACCCGTCGCGAGATGCGGGCTGAGGCTCTCCGGGCTGCCGTCGAGAGCGGCAGTCTGCCTGCCAGTGCTCTTGACGACAGCGATGACGAGGATGAGTTCGAATCTGTCAAGGATGACGAGCGATCCTCCACCCAGTACAACTACTCGCTCTTCCACATCATTTTCTTCCTCGCCACAACTTGGGTGGCTACTTTGCTGGTCCAGGGCTTGACGCTCGAAACCACGGCGGACTTCGCCCCTGTTGGCCGTACTTACTGGGCCAGCTGGGTGAAGATCATCAGTTCCTGGGTCTGCTACGCCATCTACCTGTGGACCTTGATTGCGCCGGTTGTTCTGCCGGATCGCTTTGGTGTTTATTGATTAGCAGTTGATGTTGGATTCGGGCGTTTGTAGCGATCAGCTCATTTGTGTTTCTACCTATATCCGTAATAGCCAGGCGATGAACGCGATGATTGCGAATACTATTCACGAGAACCTCAACTGCAATAAAAAAAAGTAAAGTCTCAGCAAGCATCTGCTCTCCGCTTCCTGCGCGGGAGGGTACTTCGGGTCTTGGCGCTCCCACGCGTAGAGTGCAACGCGTGCCAACGCCAACTCTCTTGGGACGCCATGGAATGAAAATGGCCACAATTCAGGCCATCGAGGCTCGCTCAGTATGTGAACTGACAAATCCGAACCTTCAGGCTCATCCCTTCTTACCCTTATTAGGTACACCAAATCCAATCCGGCCAAGTCATCGTCGACTTGTGCTCTGTCGCGAAAGAGCTCGTTGAGAACAGTCTCGATGCTGGCGCATCCACGATCGGTCAGTGAAACAATCCCAGTGAAGGTCGATTTGGGTCTAATGCCGATACATTTCGCAGAGGTCCGATTCAAGAATAATGGGTTGGACTTGATCGAGGTACAAGACAACGGCAGCGGTATATCACCCGAGAATTATGAAAATGTTGGTACGTTCTTGCTGCTCTCTGCGCCGACCACGAGGCTGATACATCTACTCTGCTAGCCTTGAAGCACTATACCTCGAAACTGTCTACGTACGACGACCTCACAAGCCTCCATACCTTCGGTTTCCGCGGCGAAGCGATATCATCACTCTGCGCCTTATCCGACTTCCATGTCGTCACCGCGCAAGCAAGCCAAGTCCCGCGCGCAAATCGACTTGACTTCGAACAATCTGGGAAGCTCAAGAAAACACAGATAGTGGCTGGGCAGAAAGGAACAACTGCGTCGGTTGAGGGCATCTTCAAGCGGCTGCCAGTACGTCGACGGGAGTTGGAGAAGAACATCAAGCGGGAGTATGGAAAGGTCTTGAACCTGCTTCATGCCTATGCCAGCATAAGTGTTGGTGTCAAATTCAGTGTGAGGAACACTGTTGGAAAGACGAAGAACGTGGTGGTATTCTCTACAAATGGAAACAAGACCACAAAGGAGAACATTGCCAATGTTTACGGTGCAAAGACTCTCTCGGCATTGATCGCGCTCGATCTGGAGCTTGAGTTTCAGCCTACCGCATCGACGAAACGAGCTGGAGACAAGGATATGAACAAAATTCAGGTTCGAGGTCACATCTCTCGCCCTGTCTTTGGGGAGGGACGCCAAACGCCTGATCGTCAGATGTTTTTCGTCAACTCGCGGCCTTGTGGTCTGCCGCAGATTGGCAAGGCTTTCAATGAGGTCTACAAGTCGTTCAATGTCTCCCAGTCGCCTTTCATCTTTGCAGATTTCCAGATGGATACAAACGCGTATGACGTGAACGTTTCTCCTGATAAGCGTCAAATTCTTCTCCATGATGCTGGAGCTATGATCGAGTCTCTCAAGGCCTCTCTCACAGAACTCTTTGAAGATACTGATCAAACCGTGCCACAGTCGTCGGTCAAATCCAAACCCCTGTCAAAGCAGCAGCCGTTATCCTCGCTCCCAGGCTTTGTCACTGCCCGGGAGCTCAGCCAGAATAGTGACAGTGGCAGCCCTAGCCGCGATCAGACCCGAGAACGTTCAGCGGAGCCTTCAGAGGCAAGTCAGCAGAGCGCAATATCAAAATTCAAAAGATCACAAACAGGGCTAGAAAGTCCCGCACCAGCCACTTCATCTCCAGCTCGATCCCTGAGGACCCCTCGCGCTTCTACGAACTCAGAGGTACCTAGCTCAGCTGTCAGCCAAGTCGAGACCCCCACAATTGACATTCCACACGATACTCTACACCCGGAAAGCTCCATAAACGAAGATACCGATTCAACACCTGCGTTGCACGAGCCGTCTTCCCAAGCGTCGGGATTAGGAGAAACGCCATCTCGCAATCGCCAGGCTTCCGAAGAGACCCCCAATGTTGTTCAGAACGCATTTGACAGAATCCGCCCACGGCGGGAACCAGCAGAGCTGGCTACCATCACCATTGGGGACCGTACTATAACATCTATGGTTGGTAGTGGGCTTCCGCGGAAGCGGTTGCAGGAAGATCCTCCTTTCATGAAGGAGCCACCGCGTCGACAGAGACGAATCCACACACCATCGCGTCCGAATATTTTTGGTGATCACATGAAGTCATTTGCTGCACCGGGCTCGCAAATTGATGCTGAAGCAGAGGAGAGCTCTGTGAGTGATGCTGACGAAGCCGCGGAAGAGGAACAAAGCATTACTAGCGATGCTGAAGATGTCGAAGAGGTCGAGGACGATGAAGAGGCTGAGGGTTCTGAGAATCCTAATGACGAAGAAGACCGTGAATATCAGGAATCCCATGCATCTGAGGACGTTAGCCTTCCTCCTGAGCAAGAAGCCCAGCACCAGGAACATGAAGAACTAGAGTCTACCGCAGGCGGGAATGACACAAATCAAGATGAAAGTCTTGATGAGTCCAAGAAAAAAGCTCAGGAGGAAGCCACTGTCCAGCGCCTGATCCACGAAGCTGAGGAGACGGCCCTGCTGCCCGGAGAGAACAATGTGAAACGCGCAAATAAAATGAACAAAGGTGCTGCCCATCGCGACGCTACTGTTCAACTCATCAGCACGGTGGACGGATCCTTTTCACGACTACAGTCTCAACACGATGTATTACAAAAAACTTTGAAAGAACGCACAGTACACCCGGAGGAGCGTCCTGACGATTGCGAGAAATCTGCCGAGGACAAACTTTCCCTCACTGTGAGCAAAGATGACTTCGCCCAAATGCGCATCGTCGGTCAATTCAATCTGGGATTCATCATTGCTGTCCGCCCGGGAAAAGGTCACGATGAACTCTTTATCATTGATCAGCACGCCTCCGACGAAAAGTTCAATTTCGAACGACTGCAGGCTGAGACTATTGTGCAGAACCAGCGCCTTGTCCGCCCGCAACGGCTCGATCTCACTGCTGTTGAGGAAGAGGTCGTTCTGGAGAATCGTGCGGCGCTCGAAAAGAATGGGTTCCTGGTGACTGTCGACGAAAGTGGTGATGAGCCCATCGGCCGTCGATGCCAGCTTGTTTCGTTGCCTCTCAGTAAAGAAGTCGTGTTTGGCGTACGCGACTTGGAGGAGCTGATTGTGTTGCTATCAGAATCAGTCTCGATGAATGAACTCTCGGTGCCACGACCGGGCAAAGTACGCAAAATGTTCGCCATGCGAGCTTGTCGCTCCAGTATCATGATCGGCAAGACCTTGACGAGTCGTCAGATGCAGCGCGTCGTGCAGAACATGGGCACTATTGACAAGCCATGGAACTGTCCTCACGGACGGCCTACAATGCGGCATTTGATGAGTTTGGGCCAATGGGATGAGTATGATGAATTTGAAAACGAGGGTTTGGAGCCTTGGCGGGAGTATTTGGGGCAAGCAAGCGACGAAGATGTATAGTCGATAGAAGATACCCAGTGTGATATAAATGTATATTCGAAAACAAGAACAGAACCCCAAATCTCATCACCACCATCGAAACCAGCCTCTCGTCTCAACCTTCTTTCCATGATCAACATCATCATGTCCATTCTGATTCCCAACCTCATTCCCATTTGCCTCGATTTCGTCATCATCCCCATCCTTCTTCTTCTCCACATCATCCATCATATCCTCCAACGCCAACAAATCCCGCTCGATCATCTCCGCCCAGTTCTGCACATCCCCAATCTCCTTCAGACCCTCACGCGTCTCATCCGCCAACCCGACCCATTGCTGGTTCTGCCGCGCCAGTCGCGCCGTATTCTCCGCCAAGTCGGCTTCCTGTCGCTCCAGCGCAGCAGCGTTGGATTGGATGTTTGCTGCGCGGTCGCGGAGCGGCGCTTCGAGGTTCGTGCCCACTGAGTGGAGCGTTGCTGTGAAGGCCGCCAGCGCTTCTTTCTGTTGGTCTTCTGTGGGACTGGATTGTGGATCACTCATGGTTTGCAGGTTATATATTCTTGGGAGGTTCAAGTGGGATTTTTGTTGTTGCGTTTGGTCGACAACCCCACTTGGCATATGGGCTGGCGCTTCCCCGCCTTGTGCTGAGTCTGATCGCGCCGGGTCTTTTGACGGGTACCTTCCAAGGTTTGTTGCGCAGATGTTCCTTCGTGTCGGCATTGGATTGGTGTAATAGGTTTCAAGAATTGTGTGAGGTTAAATCACGGCCTACGTACTACGTAATTGGCTCTGACGTACCAATATATATTCAGCCTGGCAGGCAATTTCAAGGTTACAATGATGCGCTTTGGGGATGAAAACCCCCTGGTATGTTTCCAAGGTCATAGGGGTTCTAAGATGTATCATGGCCGAACTAAGAAATGTGTGGAGTAGACCCGCTCCTACATTCCAAGGTTCCAACCCACGGTCTGCTCGGGTCGAGAATACCTTGATTCATTTAAGGTGGATCATGTGATACGCGAATGGGTCCACAGGTCTTGTCCACTCTCCCCAGGTCTTTCTGGACCGTATACTCTAGCCCTGGATGGAACTTGGAATGTACCCTCGGGGCCTCGAGAATACCTAGTACCGCGGAGCAACCTTGGAGCTAAGATATTGAAATCTTTGTTCCAAGGTTGCCCACAGGTCTCAGCTGGCTGTCCACCCGTGGACGGATCCGATTAACAGACTGGTCCTGAGTCTTGCCCAGTGACTCTTCCAAGGTTGATGGGTCACTGTAGTACCTACCTAGGTAGGTATCTGCCGTAAGACCAGCACAAACCGCGGCAGGATGGCTGGGCATGACCTTCGAAGTTGGAAAATTGGTTAGATGAAATACTTGTGGGCGTAGTACGCTTGCCCAAGGAGCCTCTGACATGAGAATCGAATCAAGATTTCACTACCTAGGTACAGAGGGACATACTATTCCAAGGTTTGCATCCAAGCCATGATAGAACAAGTTACGAGCACAAAGTCCCCTTTTCAACCTCAACACTCGAGAGCCACAAGATCAAACCCCTCCAGGATTGAATATACTAGTGTTTCCCAGCATTATTGACCCAACCAAGTGAGAGATGATCACAAGATAAGGTCAGCCACAAGGGAATAATTCGATGCTCAAGTTTGATCCACTGTTGTGCCCGCGAAGATAGAAGCTTCGAAGGCAGCAGCAGTAGGTCAATGTCAGCCATCATCCAACCCAACAAGTTCATAAGCCCATTGATCACCAACCAACATTCTCTGTTGTCCGTCCAGCCCGAGGGAGATAGTGCACTTGCGCCCACTTGGGACTCGCCCCCATGAATAAACACAGCCTCGTTTCTGTCCCTTGCCGTTTACCGTATCGCAACAAGCGCCTCGTGTGGGACCGTTAGTTGCCAAACGTAGTGTGCGATGCACCCCATCCGGGTTCTCACAGAGTCCCCTTCTTCGGACTCCCCCCCAGACTGTCCTTCAAACAAAGACTGTAAGGACCCCTCGGTGGAGCTTGTACATGGAAAGAAGAAGGCAAGTGCAACGAGAGACAAAGTGGGACCCCTGTGGTCCAGTGAAGACAAAAGTAGAGCACACACAGCATGGAGCCACAGGTTGAAGGAGAGAAAGAAGAGAACAGAGAAAAACAAAAAAGACAGAAAAAAGACAGAAAAAAGACAGAAAAAAGACAGAAAAAAGACAGAAAAAAGACAGAAAAAAGACAGAAAGAAGACAGAAAAAAAGTGGGATCCCTGTGGTCCAGTGAAGACAAACATGCACAGCATGGAACCACTGGTTGAAGGAGAGAAAGAAGGAAAGAGAGAAGAGAAGAGCAGGGTAGGGAGGAAGCTTTTATAGACAGGCTAGTCACAAGGAAAGCTCAGGATCGCACCTATTGATCTCCATGAGAACAATAGGAACTGAGTGAATTTCAAGTGAGAGTAAAGTACATTGATCTAGCAGCAACTTCCTCACAACTGGAAGCACTTCAGCCTCACTTAACTGGCGCCACTCCCGCCACTAGTCCCGATTGAGTAGAACAATGGGAAATATCAACCAATGAAAGGAAGCTACCACACTGCACTAAGCCCAAAGCAGATCAGGAACGTCAATCAGCCAATGAGATAGCAGGATAAATCAAACTGGATCCCACCAATCACCTAGTATTTGGGATTTTCCAACGCTCTACCTACTTTCCCGGCACCTTCCCCCTGACTCGGGGGCGGGTGAACCTGTTGATTACTGTGCCTATTCTGGGAAAATGCACTTCTATTAATTTCTCTACTACATACTACGTGGGCATGGCTGAATGGACTCAATGGCAGCCATTTCGGTATCAGTGTGAGAAGGGGACTACGTACTAGAAGACGGAAAGTCTTCGTGATTTCTTTTCATCGGAGAGCATCCTTGGATTTCAAGGCCCAAAGAATTTGTCGATAATCAACGCTCGCAGATAGAGAATACTACTGGAAGCTCCTCAGGGCTGCCTGTTCACTTCGGGTCTAGTTTCTTGGCCTTGTATCTGGGAGCAGTATCAGCCACAAGCATCACGTTTCACATTTCACATTGCAATCCTCCAAGCCAGAATACGAGCTCGGTTTCAAAATTGCACTCGTGGTTGTACTTCCAACACGTCATGGAGGCTCGGCGCGCATGCCGCCAGCCCAATTAGGCTCTTTGATACGCCTCAGATCCAGAACATCACAATATAAGACTCGAGGTTTTCCACACTGACCTGCTGTCTCCAAAGGCCGGAAATCGACTATTCTTCTCAGTCAGGACTCCATTTTATTGACCATGACCTTCACAGATTCAGTCATTCATTTTCTCTATGGCCTCCCGCCCCCCGCGATCGGAAGGAGAAAAGACGATATGCAGGTCCTGGCGGTCGGGATATCGCGAATTTGAACCGATAGCCTTCGCGAAGCCCTCCATGTGCTAGGAGTGAACCATACTTACCATGGATTTGACACAATCCTACCCCCTTCATCACTGGAAGCGATATACAAGCAGCTTCAAAAGAAATACACGACGGTCTCAGACGCTGCCTCAAAAATGAAGCTGACAGCCGAGGACTTTGACACTGTTTTAGTAAACAGTGTTGGCGTCAGCGACCTTTTTGCGGCGGAATTCGCCATCGAACTCATCGAAGCCTACCCCGATGCGAAAGTCATACTAAACGTCCGCCGAGATCTGGATACCTGGCAAGCGAGCATGAAGAACACCATGGGTTATTTCGACAGGAACCCCATTGATTGGGACTGGTGCAAGTCATGGTTCAGCGCCGAACTCTTTTAGATTCGTCAGACAATGTCAAGGACTATGATGCCCAGGTTCTTCCGAGGAAGTCTAGAATCCAATGGGAAATGGGTATACAAGCAGCATGTTGCGATGATCAAGGGACTGGGACTTCCAGAGGACCAGCTTCTTGAATGGTCTGTTGAAGATGGCTGGGGACCTTTATGCAAGTTCCTAGACAGGCCGATACCCGAGATGGAATTCCCCAATGGGAACCCGCCCAAGGCATGGGCCGAGCGGATTGCGAAGACAATGAAGAGTCATCACGACCGTGCAGTCAGGAACATGGTTATTTTTGGCTCTTTTCCCGTTGTGACTGTTTGTGTGGCTCTAGGCACAATTTGGACAGGGCGTGCCTGAACTGGTGCCTGCTCCATATTTGATACCTCGTTGAGAGTTTTTGGTACCTGATCTATTGGAAGGCAGAATCAAACAGAGCAAACATCCATTATCATTAGGAGCACGCAGTACGGAGTACGCTTTGAGTTATCTCACAAATACGGGGCATTCGGAGGCCAGTGAAGGTATTCCTATGCTTCGTCTGACGTTGTTCCAACGGAATGACACCTATCTTGCATGTCCAGTATCGCCAGAAAAGATCGTCACCATGTACGAACTCCGTACTATTGGAATTCTTCGGTATCACATCCTATGATGTCACCTCAACGGTCCATTGACTTGAATCCTGAAGTCTCACTCAACTGCTGCACAAAGTTTTAATCACAGCCCAACAATTAACCTGAGGATGGAAACAAGCTTCAAAACCCATGGACTGTCTTCAGTGAATGCCCCAGTCTCTGGGGGAGGATACCCACAGCCGAGGCCTCCCCCCGATGCCGATCTCCCCAATGCGTCTAAGATCTGCACTCTGGGCGTATCGGGTCGAGAATGTACGAGACCCTGCACCTTTTTTGGGCCAAGCGCCACTGGATTTCTCGGGGCGAGCTCTTTCATTGACTATGCGGCCTGCTTGTTTTTGAAACATCCCCGTTTGTTGGTGAGCTTCGCTTGCGACATGTTAAGAACCTTTAACCATGTGCTTCGTACTGTACTCCGTACAGCGTACTACCATTACTCCGTATTGCGATCATGAAATTGATACTTTAGAATTCCTGATGTCTCACATTGAAGCCGAGAGATCCTCGCAGCACCCCCTTTCGTCCAGTTTGGACATCTCATCTTTCCCATGTGAAAAGTGGGTCGATCGACATTCAAATCGCAAATCTCCGAGCTCCTAATAAATGGGCGACTTTGTTTCAACCTTGCCTCTGACTTTTGCGACCGTTGGATCCATTGACTATAACATGCGAAACGCGCGCACCATCAGCCTACGACCTTCCACGACCTAGCGTGCAACCCGTTAGCCCTAACGCCATGTCAAAACCACTATCTTCAACCGCTTCCGATGTGAGCGAGGCTCAAGCTCCCATCGCGAAGCCGACGTTATGGAATCGCTTCTCAACACACATGAAAAGGTTCTGGTGGGCTTATCTGATCGCATTCTGTGTCATTGTCCTAGTTACCGTCCTTCCTATGTAAGTTCAGCCGTGGAAACCCCTTAACCCGCCACTCATTCGCCTAGTCTCTACGTCGGAGTTCCCAGATTCGCAGAGAACTATATCAATAATTCTGCCTATGGCTACGATGGACTTGAAATTACCAATCCTCGGCCAACTGCCTTCCATGTGAGGCAAAAGAAGTCTCTTCCGACAGGGGGCGCTGTCAGTGGGAGCGGGCATTTGGACGCATTCAACGCCACATGTCGTCTGAAAGAAACAAACGAGGCCTTTGGATCTCTCTCAGTGCCTCAAATCGCATTTGGAAATGGCGCGTTCCTGAACATTGACCAGGATGTGGAGCTGTCCTGCGTCGACTGCATGTCTCAAATTGCCAAGAACGCCGCATCTAATAAGAGCTCGTCATTGGTGATGGAAGGTGCCTCAGATCTACATCTCGGGCGCATTCCAACCGCCCATGTGAATATTCGAAAGAACATGCACGTAGGCAGTAAGTTTGCACTTGGTCCTCTTGTTGACGACGTTTGCTAATCATATTCTGTAGGCTATAATGTCACAAGTGAGAGCTGGAACGATGAAAGCCTATAAATAGAGACACCTATCTAACCTTTTTCTGGCAGAATATCTCAACGGAAACGGATCATTCAATATCAGCAGCATTGATCTGCTGGATCCTCCAGTCGATGGCTACAATTTCAATGCCACGATTACCGTGCGAAACCCCGGTGTTTTTAGCATTGAACTGGTATGAAATCCCTGGTTGCCTTGAAACACTCCGGCTCTGACTTACATGGATCCAGGGGCGTACATCATTCAACCTCACAATGGGAGGCAAGGATCTGGGCTATGTCGTTCTTCCCAATCTGTTTTTGGAGAAGGAGCCAAAAGAAACAGTTGTTCTTGGCTCGATCGACAAAGGAATGTTGATCCACGAGGCAATTGCGGGTGATGATGACTTTGGGACTGTGACGGTGGGCATTCATGGGCACAGCTGCTCATACAATGGAGTCGAAATCCCGTACTTCACAGCGGCCATCAAGGCCATCTCCGCTCCTTCGAAGCTGGACTTGTTGAAATATGCATCAAAACTCTTTACGTGAGACGAAACTGACTCAATGAGATGTACGAAGTCATAGCTTTCATTCAATAGACACATTTTTTTCCAGTTGGACCATAGTATTAGCCTGACAATATGCTTACCTAGTATTTGATAATAATTTTGAGAGTGTAGGTGGCCATGACCCTTGCCACTATCACAAACCTTCAAGTCCACATGCAATAAGTCCTCCAGGTACCGGTAGACATACCGCAGAGTCCAATTCAGTCATTGGACAAACGATTGCGTAAGTGGATATCTATTTCCCGCTGGTCAACCTCTGAGTTTGAACCCCAGAAGTGCTAGCCCTTCGAACTCGAGATGGTGAAAACAGAGAAACCGTTTTTATCCGATGAGACAACGAATGCTGCAACCTCGCAGCGTCATCTTGACGTTCATAAAACAAGGAATTCGTCAAAGAATGTTACTTGGACGGTACTTGACTCGAGAGCTTTGTTCCCATCAATTAATTTTTGTGGAAATTTCTTTGTTCCGCAACATGAACAAACGGCTTTTCAAGGACGCAAAGTCTCGAACAATGATCTTTGTATGTTTTCGGTAATCTCCTTGAATCACATTGTGTCATGGTCTAATTCCAAAAGATGTGCTAGTAGTAAAGGAAAGGTATAAATGCCCTCGGTCGCTCTAGAAAAGCACTTCATCAGAACCAGAACATCCACCACCATCCATATCAACTTCCAGTCCAGCATCCATCTATTTGTTACCAAATACACTGCCCAGGTGACTATATCAATCAACATGTTTCGCCCAACTAAACCCAGAGCTTCACCCGAAGTCGAGTTTAATCAGCTCGTCAATACGTTCAAGAACGAGTTTCAGAGAGACATGGACGTCCTGACGGGCCCCGAGGACGCACACCCAGCCCGGTACAAGTGGACCATCGACAATCTAAGTAAGCTTGCTACCCAGGTATCTGCCATTGAAAAGGCCAGTGTGGTGATGTTCAAAAAGATGCCTGACTGTGAAACTCTGCGCATGAAGGAAGGTTTCTACGGCGCGGGAAATTCGATCTTCTTAATGCTGACCGCGGGTCTCCGAACCAGGATACTCGGTCTGAAAAAGCTCCTGGAGAAGAGCCCGAACGCCAGGAGGCAGATTACAGAGTATATCGACAAGTTGGTTGATTTGTCTTTCTCGGCATTTGATCTGGATCCTCTGACCGCGCAAAGACCTGCCGGATTCTTCCGCATGCCTACCGCTGAAGATATTTGGCCGAAAGGCGAGTCAAAGGCTTCCGGATCCAAAAGGGCGTCCCAAAAGGCGGCCGGGAAGGCGCCCCAAAAGGCGTCCCCAATGGCGCAACAGACCAGGTTCAACGTAGTGCCTGAAGTCTTTGGGCAGTCGTCCCGGAGCTCCGAGCCCAGCGGAACGCCTGCCACCTCCCGGTTCCGCGCCCGAGTTGAGCAAGAGGCACCTATGTTTGCTCAGCGGAATACACAGGTGGTGAAAAAAAGGGCCCCCAATTGACCGCGCTGCTTTCCGCACTCATATTGGACAGTAGTGCACTTGACTCCCGAGGTCCATGTAACTAGGTATTCTCATGGTCGCATTAGGTGGTACCTAGTATATTATATTCTTTGAGTTTAATGAATTATTTGAATCGTTTGAAATTTGCTAGTAGTCCGAGTCACCGGGGAAAGCCAGCTGTGGCTATAAATTATAGTATTCAATATTGGCGAGGTCTGTTGCTCTACTTCTTGTTGTCTCTTTTAATCGACTCCAAGGTCCAGAGATACTGAGCGATACAAGACCTATTGAAGAGGCTCTCCCTGTTGGGAATGAAGATCACCATGATCAGGCCAAGGCTCAATCAATTCTCGTTGCAGAGAGTCTTCAAAAGGTTTAACTTGCGCTACATCGTGAAGTTTTCCATTTTAAAGATAATCCTGACCGTGGCACCGTGTCGCTCGCCCGATGCCCTGTGCAGTTCGTCCAAAATTGAAGTCTTTTGATCCGAAGTCATGTTTGTAGACTCAGGGAGTCTCTTGAAGAATGCTGCATGCTTTTTCTTCGTTGCAGACCATGACAATAAGTTCTGGACATGTTCTTCTGTCACATTGACTGACCAAACAGCCAGGCCGGATGGCATATGGAAGCACATGAAGCCAGATTGATACTGTATAACCTTCCGATGTTGCGTTTGGAAAAGAGCCGGTCGGAAGCTGTTCCTGGATACATGGTTTCAAGCGCCTCGAGCCATGGACGGCTGGAAAGTTGGTGCCTTATATATCAGGCCCAATAACCTCGACGTCAGTCGGTCCGCGGTTTCCGTGCGTCGCAAACACCCGTGGACATCTACTTTCTTTTGTACCTTTCCTCGACAGAAGACCAGCTAATGCCCCCCAAGCAAGCGCTTCGTAGTGGAGAATCACCATTCACATGCGACTTCCCCGGATGTAGCTCGCGATATCGACGAAAAGAGCACCTCAAAAGACATCAAGCTAACCACAGAGGCATTGGCAATGTCTCTTGCCCTCATTGCGACCAAAAATTGACAAGAAAGAAAGTCACTGGCTTCAATCACTCCGCTGATACACCTCGTCACATCGGCAATGCTAATACCACACAGGGATCTCTTACGTCGGCATATTCGCAACTACCATCCAGAGTCCCAGCTACCTCAGTCTCGATCCCTGAAAGCATGCACGGCATGTCGCCAGCGAAAAGAGATCTGTGAAGGGGGCTCTCCGTGCAAATCGTGTGAGCAACGGGGACTCCAATGTTCACTCGTCGAGCAATCTCCACCAGCAAGAAATCAGGATGTGAATCAGTCGAATCAGGAACGTCTCGCAAGTCCGTCGATAGATGACTACGTGAATCTTTACTTCCGTCACTTCCACCCGGAATGGCCGTTCCTTCATGCCCCAACTTTTGACGCCGTACAAGAGCCTCGCGTCTTGGTTCAATCTGTTATCGCACTTGGAATGTGGGCCGATGGCGGCGGAAGCTCCAGGAGTGCGGCACTCACCCTGCATCATCGGCTCGGGTCAGCCTTTCAAAGCCAACGCGTCAGTTTCGTGTATCTTTTGGTCATGCCGACCGTACTTACCAATCTTTTCAGAGCCAATGGGACTATTCGAATGCAACACCGGATGAAATAATCGGCATTAAATGGCCTGTTGTGACTTATCAAAGCATACTGTTGCACATTATACTTTCTGTCTTTGTTTCCAGAGACACTGGGGGCGTCGACTTCGGTCTTCGGCACCGAATCCCCGCCGAGGAATACGATCTTCTTACCGCTTTGGTACAAAGCTGTCGCAACTTGGGTGTTTTCTCATATCCAGAAATGCTAGCTCAACACCCCATCGGTACACCTGTCACAATGATTTTCCTGAGCGTGGAAGAAATGAAGCGGTTCACGTTGGCTTTATACAAGGTCACACATATTTGCACCTCAGCAGACAGACAGGAAAGTACCAGTGAGAAGCTATTGACTGTCGCCGACCTTGCTTTCAGTATGCCTTATAGTGATGAACTGTGGAATCGACAGGAAGGAGCCGATGGGCAATCTATATCCATGGCCACGGCACAAGCTGGCCAGAAAGAGAACAGAGATCACGAGAAGTGGATCAACAGCTCTTTTACAACGCTACACGTCCCACAAAGCAGCTTTAAGTGGATTTGACAGCTTTTTACCGAATCTTTGTTGGAATATATCTATTTCTGCAATTTCCTCACACCACATGAAAACCCTTCGCCTGAGCACATTTTCAATAACCGTCTATTTGGAAACGAAGCCCATATTCCGGCAAGAAAAGTCTGAATACCTATCTTGATGCTTGGGGGACCCTAGTCAGGATGCGCTGAACTTTGGGTTATCCTCAAAAGCCCTAGTTGCTCCCAACCTAGCATCCCTCTCTTGTTGCATTTGCTGAATCAAGGGACTCGCCCGCCGAATTCGATGACCATAATACAGAAAAACGAAAGGTATCAAGATACAAATTGTCTCCGCCATTCCCAAAAGGAAACCGCCCCAGTTGAGACCCAAAGTGGCGTACATAGAAGGACCCGCGAGTGGCAGCACAGCACCCAGAATGCTCCTTACGACCGTGTTGCCAGCCAATGCCGAAGCAGCGTACTGCCCATACGAATGAGCAAGGTAATTGCTCGAATAAATGAACAAGGCAGCATTCCCAGCCCCGAATGGGATCCCTGCTAAGATGGGCACAACCCAGTGCACGTTAGGGGTTGAGGTCCACGCAAACCAAATTTGGCCAACGGCTAAACAAATAGCCCCGACTGTTATTGGCTTCACGGTGGCTTCTGGTGGCACAACGCCTGTTTCTGGGTCTTTGGGATGGGAACGGATCCAACATCTCAAAACAGGCTCCATGAATATGGTGATCAATGTCCCACATCCTATTCCAAGATATGAGAGCCCGCCAATGCCTGGTGACCAGCCTCGGTTTGTTTGAAAGGCAATCGGATATGACACGAAACAGAGGTAAAGTATACCGTATGAAACCGCGACGTATGAGTCCCAGAAGATACTTTATTGGAGGATCAGCTGCTATGCCACAAGAAAATTTGCAGAATTTGTGAACTTACCAAATAGGTTCGGTCAATATCATAACAATTGGGCGACTGATGTTGATACGACAGAATGACAGAAAAGGGAGATTGTTATCATAAGCGCTCCACCACTTAGGGTCATTTGTGTCGGCTCTTTCCTTCTGGGCTCGCTTTCGAAGCAGGATGGGTGTATATGTCTCCTTGACAAAAGCCAATAACACAAATGACAACCCACCCATTATCATGATAATCCAGTTCGTCCATCGCCAACCAAGATATTGGTAAATAAAACCGCCCAGGATCGAACCGAGGACTGGTCCGTTCAATGGACCAATAGCCCAGAATCCAAATGCCATAGGACGGTGATGATCCGAGACCACATCACTGACAGAACCAGGTGAATTTGATACCATGGCGCTTCCAAAAAATGCGCTTAGGAAGCGAAAGACCAAAATAGTTTCGATGTTGTGGGCCAAGGCAACTGGAAAAGTCATTATAGTAAAGAGACCCACAGACACAAAATACACGGGGCGACGGCCATACATTTCGCTCACTGGCGCCAAGAGCAGGCTTCCTGCTGCCATTCCCAAGAGATATGTGGTGATTCCTAGAAGGCCCACAATCTTGGTAATTCCAAGCTCGTCTTCCAGGCCTGGAATTGTCACTGAATAGCACGTACTGGCGAGAGTGATGACCGTTGCACTGTATCCCATTGATGCAACCACGATCGTCCTGTATAAGAGTGACCAATTGCGAGGGTTCTCGGGGTCTCCATCAATCCATCTCACTTCATAGCTCGGTGACCGGGGTTCGTCGATGGGGCCGGTAGTCGCTGCAACCACTGAACTTGCATATCTCTCAGCGCCTCCAGTGAAGCTTCTTGTGAGGGAGACATCGAAGGTGTCTATATGGTGACTGATGAGGGATGCCCTTCGCGGCAGAGGATTCATAGTTGTTTCTGTAAAGATGGCGGGTTATTTTGTTGCTAACATTTCAGGGGAGCAGCCAAGGTTTCAGATGGGGATACTTAACCGCATGTCGGTTAGAGCGGCAGAGCTTTCACGCTGCCGTGCAGTCTTGCATGAGTGATGAATATTCGAAGGTCTTGCCCATCTGGGCAGGTGAATTCGCCAAGTCGGATACTTCGAGTGGGATACCGGACGGGATGGCGAGCGGGATACCGGACTGACCCACCGACTTACCATAGATTCAGAGCCTTCAACATCCTCACAGCAACGGGCAAGTTGCTTGATTCGAACATACTAAGCCATCACTAATCTGAAACTTGCGGTACCAGTTCAGTCAGCATGCTTATGGTGATGTTTAGAAGAGAAGCGCGTCGAAGGACACCCACGATGTACTTAAGCGGCTCGGGAGACCAAGCAGAACCACTCATCAGATCACAGTTCTCCCAAAAAACATCAAGCGCCCAATACATCTTTTCTCTGGAATTTCTCTCATCGCAATCATGAGCTCATCATCGAAACCCAGCCTCACCATTACCCACATCACGACGGCCACGGCTATCCTGAACATCGATGGAATCAACTTCCTCACCGATCCCTACTTCGGCGAGGCCGGCTGCTTCCCTGCCGAGCTTGACTGGTCCAAGGGACGACTCATGGAAGACTTCGGCCTGGAGGAAGCCCCAACGCTGGTGGAGATCTCAAACACCAAGACCCCAGCCATGAAGCTTCACAACCTGCCTCCCATCGACGCCGTTCTTCTCAGTCACGAAGACCATTTGGACAACCTCGACCCCGAAGGCCGCAAGCTCCTTGACGGCCGTCGAGTCTTCACCACCATGGATGGCGCGAAGAACCTGCAGCCACGCCCCGCAGTCGTTGGATTGAAGCCTTGGCAAACAGTGACATCTGTCATCGGAGGCAAGGAGTTCCGTATCACAGGAACTCCCTGCAAGCACTTCCCGATCGGCGAGGTTACTGGATTCCTACTCGAATGTGACTCCTTCGGCATTCACGAAGAAAGCGGAAAGCCCAACGCGATCTACTTCTCGGGCGATACTGTGTACATTGATGAACTGAAGGAAATCAAGGACCGTGTGCATGTTACAGCTGCTATTCTGAACCTGGGCAATGCTACCTTTGATTTCCCCATTGGTCCAATTCAAATCACCATGGATGGAAAGCAGGCCGTACAACTGGTGCAGGACATTGGCGCGGACATCATGGTCCCCATGCACTTTGAGGATTGGGGACATTTCCGGGAGCATGGCGCGGATTTGGTCAAGATTTTTGAAGAGGCCGGAATTATGCATAAGGTCTGCTGGACAGCACCGGGAGTCACCAAGACTGTTTACTAGAGGTGTTGGAGAGTGATTGTATCAACCCCTTTGTGGTTTATACTGCTGCTGCATAAAAAGTCAACTTGTTAACATTGAACTTTTGGGCACTTTTTTTTTTTTTTTTTTTTTTTTTTTTTTTTTTTTTTTTTTATATTTTTTTTTTTTTTTTTTTTTTTTTTTTTTTTTTTTTTTTACAAGACGCGCATTAGTGACTGGAGTTCAGACGTGTG